TATTAATATCTCTAGTAACTACAGTTAATATAGTAACTAATAAGCTAGGTCTCCTAAGGCTTCCTATTGTAGTTTATACTGATTCTCTATCTCTTTATAAATATATTATTAAACTTAGTACTATAAAGGAGAAACGTTTAATAATTAATATTATAGCAATTCGTTAATTATATAAGCGTAGAGAACTAACGGAGATATAATAGATCGATAGAGCAAGTAACCTTACTAACGCTATAATAAAGGCTAGTTTAAATAAGGCTCTTTAAGAGTTTATTAATACTAACTAGTTAATAATAAAAGTAGAGGGATAGGTAAAGAGGTTAAATAAGGTCGATTCGGACCTATAGCAGAGGTATTTTAACGCGTTCACTTATTTTTCTTATATTAATTTCTTTATAACTCTCTTTTATTACTTATTTATTTCTTTATAATTAAGTAAGATATTATAATAGGAATAACTTTTATTTCAAGATAATTACCCTTTAATTTAAAGCGCTAACAGGCGGCCTTATAATAATACTCTAATAAGGACTAATTGCTAGTTTCACTATAGAGAGCTACTCTTATATAAAAGTATAAAGAAGATACTACTATAAAGAACTAACTATAAAACTAATCTAAAATAGAGCCGGAAAACCCTTACTTTTATATACTATTCTCTCTAAGACTACTATTAGTAGTTTCTCTCTCTCCTTAAGGAAGAGGAGGTAGAGAGATCGGGTTAAGTGCCGGAGTATTATTACTACCTTCCCTCGCTCTAAAGAGCTAATTAATTATAATAAAGCTAGAAAAGCGAATACCTAAGCTACTTCTATTACTAGAACTACTACTAGAACTAGAACTACTAGGACTACTAGCTAAATTCTCCTCTGAATTACTTCTAGGAGTCCTTTAAGTACTTATCCTTGTATAACGCTTTAATAGACTCGGACTATTTAGTAGAGCCTTCTGCTTCCCTAATATAGTTTCTAAATTCTATAGTACTATAAGTATCGCTTATAATATAGGGTATTAGATTATATCTTATAAAGGGAGGTAAGAGGAGTTAGTTAAGGAAGGAGAAATACTTATAGTATTTTATTCTGCGATTCTAGCTATCTTATTATATATAGTATAAACCTCTACTAATACGACTTCTATAGCTAATAGTATATCTCTTAGTATATTAGCCTTAGTAATAGAGATAACGTTCTATAAGGCAGTTTTAGCTTTAAGAAGGTCGGCTATATCTCTACTAGTAAGAGTATTAGTGAAGGTGTGATACTTAAAGGCCGCGTATACTAGGATCTACTTCTGTTAGTTATAAAGGATTATTATTAGAGGAGTTATAAAAAGGACTCGGATTAGAGGATACTTATAAGTTCGTATTTATCTTTATTCTTAGTATAATACTAGTATTTCAAGCTTACGGAACTTTGGAATTCGTATAGTTTTAGATCACTCTTCTTCTGATAGTTAATACACTTATAGTACTATATACGGAACGTAGCCGGGAGGGTACTAGGGGGGCAGGGAATTAGCACTAATTAGTATTAGTAAAGAGCTCTACTAGTACGTTAGCTCTTAGAATAAGATATATTTACTCTTAAATTACTTAAATTGTTTAATATCTTTTAAAGAAATCTTATAGAAAGAAATCTTATAGTTAGTGAGAATCTCTAAGGTAAACACTATTAATTCTAAACTTACAGTTGTTATTATTATTGTTATTTAATAGAGAAAAGAAAAGGTTTTAAAAGGGAGGTCGTCTTTATATAAATAGACGTATACGATTCAGGCCTGATTCGGATATAATACGATATTATTTACTATTATTACTTAGCTATTACTATTATCTTCCACTTTTATATTATTAACTACTACTAGATAGAACATTAACCCCTTAACTCCTTAGAACCTTATATCAACTTAATAATAATATTATTTAATTCTCTACGAGTTTATACGTATTCTCTATGTTCTAAGATATAGTTTAGTTATAGATTATAATTTATTTATATCCTTATATAATAGGAGAAGTGCTTTCAGATAGTAACCGGAGATATTCCGGCTACTAATATACATAATTAAATATTCGTCACTTTGTTATATCTTTAGTTCCTATTATTATATCTATGTTCTCTCTTTTATTTCTTTTATAGTTATTAGAAACCTTTTGTTTCTAAAAGAAGTTTTACTAGTGTTAGTCTATAGACCTTTACTATAGAGATATAAAAGGAAATCAGGAGTATAGGTAATCCTAGTTAAGGGATAAACCCTTTTTAGATACGAACCGGGGATTATTCGAAAGGTAGTATATATTCTGACCTATAGATACTCTTTATAATATATACTTTTAAACACCTTTAAACTGAACCTTGGATTTTAACGTATATTAATATACACTTATTATTTGTTTACCGGTACAATACTAATAGTATATATAAGAAATACTAAAAAATAAATATCTAGCTAATACTAAGGAGAGACTTAAGAGGACTAGCGAATAGCTTAGTCTATTATACTAATATAATAAGAGACGCTAAGGAGAAAGTATTAGTTAGTAAGTAGTTATAGTGCCTAGGGAGTAAGTTGAAGTAAGTAGGCTAATTAAAGACTTAGACATAAGGAAAAGAAGTGAGGTAAGCTGATTATAATACTAATACTTGATATAAGTACTAAATACTAATACCTAGATAGTAATCTAAAGTAAATTAAAGTAAATAAGCTAATTAGAAGTAAGGAAAGAAGTAAATAAGCTAATTAAAGATAAAGAAAGAAAGTGAGGTTAAGCTGACTATAATATTAATACTTAAGAGGTCGAAGCCCTGAACTAGAATATTAATACTAGGGTACTAATCCGAAGTAAATTGAAGTAAATAAGCTAATAGGAGATAAGATAATATATAATATGATTTAACTAATACTAGAAAACTAAACTATAGATAAGAAACCGAAGTAAGTTAAAGTAAGTGAAATAGATATAAGGCGGTAGCTAGTATCTACTTTAATACCTGAACCTATGCGACTCTTATAAGTAACGACTTATTAAATAAAGAGTAATATAATATTACTTACTACAATTATCCTACCTTATAAAAGGATCAGCGGTAATATCTAGGCGTGTAGTTAAGAAATAATAGAGGCGTTTCTGGCTAAAAAAGCGTAAACGTATAAGCGTAGGAACGCCTACTTAGCTATAACTTTATTAATTAATAAGCTATAATTAAAAGGATAATATAAGGCGACTCTATATACTTTTCTTATCCTCAGATATTAATTCGTATTATATAAGAATATATAGTTAAGAAATCATAGAGGTGTTTTCAGCTGAAAAAAAGTAAGCGTAAAAGCATAGGAACGCTTACTTAGCTATAACTTTATTAATTAATAAGCTATAATTAAAAGGATAATATAAGGCGACTCTATATACTTTTCTTATCCTCAGATATTAATTCGTATTATATAAGAATATATAGTTAAGAAATCATAGAGGTGTTTTCAGCTGAAAAAAAGTAAGCGTAAAAGCATAGGAACGCTTACTTAGCTATAACTTTATTAATTAATAAGCTATAATTAAAAGGATAATATAAAGCGACTTTATATACTTTTCTTATCCTTAGATATTAATTTATATTATATAAGAATATATAGTTAAGAAATCACAGAGGTGTTTCTAGCTGAAAAAAGGTTAGGGTCTATATTAAGTAACGCCTACTTAGATATAACTTTATTAATTAATAAGCTATAATTAAAAGGATAATATAAAGCGACTTTATATACTTTTCTTATCCTTAGATATTAATTTATATTATATAAGAATATATAGTTAAGAAATCACAGAGGTGTTTCTAGCTGAAAAAAGGTTAGGGTCTATATTAAGTAACGCCTACTTAGATATAACTTTATTAATTAATAAGATATTATAAAAAGAATAATAGGAAGTAATCAGGTATATCTTTCTAATCCTTAGAAGATATTCAGGTTTATATATAGAGGTGTTATTAGAAAATACTAAGAAGGTTTCTAGTTAGACTATTCTGCTAAGTATAAGTAAGAAATTGATACCTTAGTCTTAGTATATATACTTCACTCTTAAGGAAATTAATATAAGTAAAAATAAATATTTCATTTAATAGATAAATAGATTACTTACTATCTATAATATACCTGAAGTTATTTAAATAGTTATATATTAAGTTATAGTAAAGTAACTAAAGAATTAAGGTCAGCTTAAAATTAATCTCTATATAAATCAGTATTATTTTCCCTTAGATGCTTTATAGTAAGAAAACCTACCTAGACTTACGCGTTACCTAATTAAGTAGTAGTATAGCGCTAAAGAGTAAGTTAAAGTAAATGAACTAATGAATAGTCTGTGCATAATAAGTAGAGGTAAATAGACTAATAGCGATAATAGGTCTATGCGCACCTAGGCGGGCGGTTTTCAAGTAAGAAATAACTATCTGAGATAATATATACGACGGAAGAGACCAGGTCTTCGTCCCTTCACCTATCTACCTCTGCAAATGTATCATGAGATAAAGCTCCCTTTCTGCCTCTGTTTATTCCCCAGTATCCTTACTTTCGTTCCAATTCTGGCTCGCCTGGGCTCTCCTTTCAGGTCGGCTTTTTGCAACCTCATGTCACGTGCTGAGATGCATCAGGAGAAGATATCTACCTATATATCCGGTAGTGTACCTATATTTGCTGCTGTCTTTCGGATTTGCTCCATATGAATACTAGGACTTCGACTCTGCCATGTCTTCGGTTCTAAATTGATCTCTTTGAGAACACCAGTTTGCTCATGCGGATTTGGCTTGTGGTTATGGCAGAACCACTAAGCATGAGAAGTACTATTTGGTGTGCAAATTAAGAATAGCATTATGTAGCTTCCCCACGCGAGTGGTGTGGTTTTGTTTATTTTTCTTTCATTTCATCATCATGTCTCATGTCCCATCGATCAACCCCCCATATACACACACATATCATCCCCCCCTTCAACACCCACCCCCTCACCCCCTCACCTACGGACTGGCACTCACAGTCGGCAAACAACTACACGCACTACTAACCCTCGAGATCAAATTCCCCGCACAAGGACCCTTAGCATACTCCTTAACCACACTAACATCCGCCACAAAAGTCTTCGTAAACTCGCCACAAAACGCCTGACTCTCCTCCAAGCGGCCCTTCACGCTCGTACTGCGCATCGCCCTCAGGCAGTTATCCGCGTTGCAGGACTTCGGCTTACAAGCTTCCTTCTTGGTCATCTTCATGAGGAAGCCGCCGCGCTCTTGGGTGTTGACGAAGATGAAGCCGGACTTGAAGTAGGCGTAGGAGCCCCAGGTGCCGAAGTAGTCGATTATGCCGCCGCCTTCCACCGCGTCGTCTTCGGGGTAGATGTCCATGAAGGCGATTTCGCAGACGGAGTTGCCGGTCGGGTCGGAGGGGATGGAGGAGACGTCGTAGACGCGGAAACCGGCGCCGTAGTTGGACTGGGGACTGGGTTAGCTTTGCAATCTTGGGCAGGAGGGAGGAGAAGTCGTACTTGGTAAGAAAGACCGTCAATCACGTATTGGTTGTGGTCGATTCCCTTGACGGCTGCCTTGTAGAGTCCAGTTTGCTTGGGGGCTTCGAGAGATCGGATGTCCCCTGGATTATGGTTGGTTCGACTCTCTGAATATAGGTGGACGAGACTTACAGATATAGGTCACTGGATATCCATCTGCAGCTGGGCCGGCAAACTCCTCCTCATCGAACTCATCGTCCATGATAAGCCACTCTTGCCATTTGGTGTCCAAAACCCATCCTTGATGAGTGTAAGAAGCTCCCTCGTATGAAGTTCTGGAGATGACCTTTGAGGCTTTCTTGTCTGTAACATCGTAGCTGGTCTTGTCAGCATGGTTCCAGAAAGGTAACTGTCTACTTACATGGTAAGAGTATCCTCGTTATAACCATAGCAGATATCACGTCCCTCGTACTTGGTATCTGGACCATGGTAGACAAGACATTGAGCCTTTCCAAATCAGCAACCATTCAAGTACAGGCACCAGCAAACTCACATCATGAACATATCCATCCTGGCCATCACAACCAAGCGTAACTGGGTTGCTGACATCCTTCAACGAGAAGAAGATCAAACCAGCCTTGCAAGGTCCCGTTCTGGGCTGCGCACCAACAGCAACACCATACTCCAGCTCCTCGTTGATAACAACATTGTGGATGCGACCGAGCGGGACATCAGCGAAGTGACCGGCGATACCCGATCCCACCACGTTGTCGAACATGACAGGGGCTTTGGCGTGGTCGACGTCGAGAAGCTTAATTTAAAATTAGCGAATGCAGGCAAAGTTAATTGATGACTGCTTGCTTACCTTCGACATATCGAAGATTTGGATACCGTGACCGGAAAGCTCACTGGCGATGAGGACGTAATGCTTGTAACCACGGACTTCACGCCACAAAGCATTGTTATCAAGCTTGGAGTATGATGGGCTGGGAATATCAGAATGAAGCTGTTTGGAGGGGCAGGGGAAACTTACAGCATTCCGAGGTAGACCATGCGGCCAATTGGGAGGATCTCAATCATTGAGGTTCCTTGGAAGAGTCCAGCAGCTTTGGAAGTCAGTGAGATAATCTGCACAGCTCGGAAGTTTACTCACCAATGATCTCTCCCCCAGACTCAGGGTCGGTCCACCCCCAGACCGAGCTACCAGTCTGGTTGTACTGCGTGTTGAAGAGAGGCGATCCGAGAGATGCATGGTTAATAAAGTCGTACAGGTCCATCTACAAAGGTCAATTGCTGCAAAACTCGGGTATTGAGATGTACGTACGTTCTTGCACTTAAAAGTGTGCAAGGGGTCGCCCGGGATAGCTGCAGCGTACCCATTCACACATTTCGTGTAGTTGAGTCTGGGGTAGATGGAGGTATCGTATGAACCAGCAGCTTGTTCAGCCTCGAAGAATGCCTGCAAAGAGGTGTCAGAACTGAGATGTGAGAGAGATGAGTCCACAGGAAGCTGTAGGACGCGATAAACTTACCAACTTAGCATTGAAAATCTTCTGGTGAACAAGACCGGAGTCATAGAGTTCTGCAAGAGATGTCAATTGAGTACCCATGTGCTTCCTCCAAATATGTAGACATACCAGCAGCTCGAGCAGCATCCTTCTCCAGCTCCTTTCCACATGCCGAGGCAGCGAGAGCAGCCAAAGCACCAACAACGGAAGAGAAACGCATGGTGACGGAACAAGGCTGTCAATCAGGTACGTGAGGCTGAGATGATCCAAGTACAGTACCGGCACCAATATGGGCTTCACTAGACTGGATTGACCTGACCTGAACGAAGCTTCAATGAGGCCTTTCGAGAAAGTTTCCAGAATAGCCTGGGCTGGGAAACCAAACTACTTATGCACCAGGGGGAAGCTTGAGATCTTTATAAACGATCGACGGTGCTGCTCTGGTCTCCCATCCCCTCCCCTCCCCTCCCCTCCCCTCCCCATGCTGCCCGACAATCCAATCTAGTGCAGGTCCTCTTTGTCTGCAGACTGCAAGACTACCTGCCTGCCTGCCATTTCTGTCATTCCCACTACCAAGCTCAACCCCAACCGCAATCCCCAACCCCAGCCAACAAGAAAGCGACAGACCCGGTGATGCGGTGCGGTACAACTACCCTGCATTCAGTGCCTGTTCCTGGCCAATCCCAGCTCCAGCTTATCTCTTCCTGTATCTTTCTTGGCTCTTGCCCTTGCCCTGTACGGAAGGACCGAAGCATCGTTCTCGAAGGCGAAGAAACCAGGCGAGCCAGGATATCTTCACTTCCCAGACTTCCAGCGCTTCAGCATATCCGACAGTACGTAGCCCGGTACAGTACCTCCCCACTAACACTAACCAAGCCCCCCTTTGCCTCCACAAATTCACACAATCTCAACCCCGCCAGCTGCAAAGGGAAGGAAACAAGCCGCTTGGCATTATTAGGACTTATGTCGGCGTATCTTTGGCCGTTCTGTCGGTGGCTGGTGGTGGTTGTGGCTGCAATGCAAGGAAATAGTGCCCAAAATGATAGGTACTGTACAGTAAGGTTGGTATTTCGATCGAATCAAGAAACGAACAATACTAAGTAAGCCTAGTACTAAGAAGTCAGGACTAACAATACAATGCGAAAGACACCTACTGTACAGTACTGGCTGCAGCATGCACTGATCATCATCATCATCATCATCATCACCAGCTACTCGTAGAGTAAATGGGCTGCTTTGCCCGCAAAGAGCCAAGAGAAATGCCACAATTCTAAATCAGGAAGGAGAAAAGCATTGCATTGCATTGCATCCAAGGAAAAGAATATTGGATATGCCAAGAGGGATCAGAGTTCTTGGGTTGGACTTGGCGAGCGATAAGCTTATCTTGATTCGTGACTCGTAACCTTCGTAAGCCTGGTCAGCGTCGGGGGAATGACGAGTCAATTATTGCGTTTTACGGTTTGCAATAATGGTAAGGATGTTGATTAGAGTTGGATGGAGGGGGGAACTGGTATTGTTTGTTGCACTTTGCTTGTATTGTGAGGATGTGGAATAGGAAGTATTTCTAGGGATTTCAAATGTTCAGCTATCAACAGAAGGCTTTGTTTACTCGCAGATTTAAAGAATGATCGGCTAACCTGCTTACCGTCCTCGCCGTCCCAGTGACCTCGAATCAGGTTTTTGACTGGCCGACCCGAGGTCATACAGGACAAGGAGTGAGGGGGACCCAGCACAGCGCCTCTTCTTGGCACATTCTAACCTCCAAACCCCACTATTCGTTATCTCACACTCCACACCAACTTACGAGGTTATGCCACTAAAACAAATCACGGGGAACGAACAACTTCTTAGGTCAAGCCTCCTGGCCTCTACTCTAATTATGGACATCCCTGATCAGCCTCCTCCTCCTCCTCCTCACTCATGCCGAATCTGTCAACGGCTGGTCATTGACTTTGGAGAGAAGGACGATGCCTGGGTCGAGAGAACTCTCGCTCGTCGATATGACCCTCATCCAAGTGAGAAGGCCCAGCGAGGCCGTGAGAAGTTTTGCGAGCTCATGAGTTTGAGGGACCCAGCTAAGGGGCATCCTCTACACATTCGGCACGATGAAATCATATTTGACTTCTCGTTGGGAGAGGCTCACGAAGCCGCGAGTGAGGGGTGTCTGTTTCTACAGCGCTTGGTAGAACTCTTAAACCGCAATCGTGAGGATGACGATTCGCTGCTGGCCTGCATTGATTCGCCCCTAGAACCATTGATCGCTTTCCAGGTCGTCCAAGGAATAGAACGCTTGAAAGAGACAGCCGAACCAATACATCCGTTTGAAGCGAGATTTCGTCCGATCTTTAAAGAATATAAGAGGTTCGATATCGTCGCGCATCCTGGTGATTTCAGGCCATTGCACATTGCAGTGATGCTGCTAATTGCGCGTTAGGTACCGAGAGCTCTCACGAGCTTTCAACGCGCCCCTTCAATATTACTCCATCATCAGAGAGTAGCATTTCGATGATGAGGGGATGGCTGGACGACTGTATGACGAAGCATCCCACATGCAGAAATCTTAGCGCAGCTCGCCTTCCGTCTCGACTCGTACGAGTTAATACTACCTCACTTGAACATGGCGATATCGTTCAACTATGGAACACAAAAGGCCATTCTCATGTGCAATACATGGCCTTGAGCTATTGTTGGGGTCGGCAGGGCCAGGTTATCACGACAGTCAGCAACATCCAGAGTCATCTGTTGGGACTCGCTGTCGCGTCCCTGCCGCAGACCGTGCAGGATGCGGTCCAAGTAGCGCGCCAGCTGGGAGTCCCAAATCTGTGGATTGACTCTCTTTGTATTATTCAAGACGACCCAATAGACAAGGCTGTCGAAATAGTTCTGATGCCAGTCATATACAGCCAGGCAACCTTGACCTTGAAGGCCTCCCGATCAAGTGATGTGCACGTTTCTTGGAGATAGGCAACGAGATGTCGTAAATGCTGCTGGACAGCAATTTCGACTGCTTTACCGGTGTCTAAATGGCTCGACTGAGAGGGTCGAAATTTTCCCCAGCTTCGATAGGACTTTAACGATAGAGCCTTTAGATGCGAGAGCATGGGCGCTGCAAGAGCGCTTCCTGTCTTCTCGGCTTCTCGACTTCGGAACATACCAGACAAAGTGGATTTGCCAGCTCAAAGGGGACCGAATTCTGACCGATGGATATCGAAGCTTCATGTCTGACGAAGAAGAGACACTGGACCGTCTCTCCCATTCTGCACTAACATTGCTGAAAGGGCAACCCCCAATCAAGCGAGTCACGGCTTATGGGATTCCCAATTTCTTCTCGTCGGACCCCTACAGAATGTGGCAGATGCTGGTGGATTTATACTCCAGTCGCCAACTGACTTTTCATTCCGACAGACTACCTGCGATTTCCGGTCTTGCAATCCGCTTTGCCGACTTACTGGGAGATGAGTACTTTGCTGGACTTTGGAAGTCTCGCTTACCCTATGAATTAGTATGGTATAACAGACGTCGTGCTATTGTGAACCTTGATAACTTCAAGAACACTGCAGTTCTGGGAATGAAAGGCCCGTCGTGGTCTTGGTCTAGTATCTCTTGTTCGATTACGTTTCCCGATAGTGCAATCAACGAGAATGCACCAGACGCGTCCCTGGATATCATTGACGTTCGGACTGAACTCGTCGATGGTGGAGGCCAGTATGGTGCCGTGAAGTCGGGGATTTTGACTGTTAAGGGCCAGGTCCGAGTTGCCACACTGTTTTCGATTGGTGCGCAGCACGACCCTTGGTCGTCAGCAAGCCTGAAGAAAACCAGTGATACTATTACTATCCACGAAGAGATCCCTGCCTATGTGTATATTGATCAACGACCTTCAATGGCGGATGGCCAGCTCGGAGTACCGGTCCTTCTGCTGAGAACCCTTTCTGGCAAAGATGAAACTCAAGGACTCATTCTCTGCCATAGGTCAGGATCAGAGTATTCTAGGATGGGGATATTCAAATGCAGCTGGCACGCTTTGTTCTTTCTATCACAGGGTGACTCGGACCATGACGATAGACGGGATAAATACAAGCCATTTGGTCGATGGTTCGACGAAGGGGAGGTAAAGAAGATCACAATTGTATAGATTATTCCCACATCCAAGCATCAAGCAAGGAGATTTTGCATCCCAGTCCTGATCCACACACTCTGATTTCCAAATATGTTGCTACTCCATTTCTGACTTGTGACGGAATGGCCGAAGTGTATAGTGCTAGTTCGTGGAGGATATGACTGTAGAAGATATGCTTAGGACAAAATAAAGATTCCGTAGTGGTGTTCGACCTCGGAACGTGTTGCGGTCAGGACTCTGACAGAGCGGACAGATCGCGTTACGATGGATGTCGGAATCGTTCGAGGGACTAAGAGGAATCATTGACATTTTATAGTTACCTGCGATGAGAGTGTCAGCCCTGGTTGCGACTGGTCAGGAGTAAAGGAAACATGGATAAGAGGCAGCGCACAAGGCGGGCGAATGTCCTTACCAGCTCCAGATCCTGGTCGCAGACAGTCAATAAGGTATGATACCTGACAGATTCAAAAGCCACTCCCGGTTCAACAAGCCGTCCACCTTTCCACCCCAATACACAGCTCTACTGCTTTGAGTCAACCCAACCTGATAGGATGTCGCGCAACAGCTGTGGAATCAATTGCACTGAATACCCTGGTCTTCAGGAACGCCATTGTAGACTTTGCTCACAGGAAATCGAGCATGGCAGCCAGCCGGAAGACCCACCCAAGACTCGGAGTAGTGTACAGCAAAGATATTGATTGGGGACGGGTCATCAACCTCTCAGAATGTCAGAGCAAGCTCAAGGTTTGGGTTCGGTGCGGGTGCGGGCTAGCCCGGCGCCAGTTACCAACCCACTGGACTTTTAGTCGCCAGTGAACAGCACTGTAATCTTAGGAGCACGAGCGCTTTAAATGGAGGTACTTCTCGTGAGCACAGCGCTGGAATGTCAGCATCTGATGGCACGTATAAACCGCAACATATTCTCAACCTAATTGTCTAGATGTCAAGAGACTCGAGGCGGCTGCCTGGCTTTAGTTGCTTCAATGCTCAAAAAATTTCCCGTACTAATAGTCGGTTCCCCTCTGTAAGTATGCGGGCACTCGCTTACAGTTAGTAAAAGCAAGTGTTACGAGAAATCAAGTGTCACGTAAAAATAATTAAACGAATTTTATAGCTTTTATAACAGATACTAATAATTAAAAGGAGAGAAATAAATTAAACTAATTAAGTACTATTATATGTTTAATTTTTAAATAGTATTATTACTATATAACACTTTTTTTGATATATTTATTACTTATAAAATTATTTAGTAAGGAAAGCTTTAATAATTTTCTATCCTATTAACCGCCATAGGCATATTTTAGCGTCTTAGTATTACAGGGGCTATTGCCCCCCGCGACGGCATCTAAATACCCCTCTCTGATAATCGTAAATATACTAAAATAAGTGTAATTCTCACTTAATTCACTATAGAAAAGATAGTGTAGTGGGGTAGTGTGGTTCCGGGTCGGAAGATAGTTAGCCCGTTCCGTAGGTCGTATAGGTAGGCGCGATAGCGCGTAACAAATATATTATCTTCTCTCTCTTACTCTTACTACTTGTTTAGTTAGTAGTCTTCTATATCCCTGCTTTCTATACACTTTGATAGCACTACCCTACTCCTATATAATAGCTAAAGAGGTGCAACTTAATCCTATTCTTAATAGAATAGTTCATCTAAAAGTAAAGCTAATTTAAGAGAGTTCTAAGCATTTTATCCCTTTCTATTACCTTAATTTCTAGCTTCAGATAAAGCTACCTCTCTTAATTAGTTCTACTAATCCTTTTACTATATTCTTACTATTTTTTATAGATAAAATACTCTAATAGTTTATTAATTTTACTAATTAAAATATTAAAGAGCCTAATACCTTTAAACCTTACTCTTATACAAATAGCTAGTATAATACTATACTTCCGGAGATTAAGGTTTACCTTAAAGTCTTAATTTATATAAGCTTATATATAGAGAATTAAATAGAGGAGTATTAGTCTATAAACGAATATAGATTATAATATACTATACGGAAATATATATCACGGAATCGCTTTAAAATACTACACCGGAGGTTCTGTTTTTATACCTCTATACCCCTAGGTACGAAATTATAGTCTTTTAGAAGAGTAGAACCACTTAATTCTTACGTTTAACAAGTATCCTTATAGCTTTAGATACCTAGCTAGAACCTTACTATAGATAAGTATATATAACGCTTTACCGGGAGAGCCTTTAAGACTATAACTATATCTTATAAGCTTATACTTATAGGTTATAAGGTATAGGTAGTAGCCTAATTAGGCTACTTTTTATAGTAGACCTAGCACTTTAAAGAAGCCTAGGGGCCAGAAGGTATTCGAGCTCCTATAGCACTTAAAGAACTAAAAACAAATAGAGGTACTAGCCTCTCTAGAAATCGAACTTAGGCTATAGTACTTTATCTTTTAAGTTATCTCTCGCAGGCTAATTATATAGTCTTCCTTAATAACCTCTTTATATTAAATAAGTTAATAAGTTACCTTCGGGAGCTTAGTTTTAGTACTATTAGTATAGTAAGAAGAGATACTAGTATCGTAGAAAGCTTCTTACTTTACAAGTAAATATAAAGAAACTAGGAATCCGAATACCTTATAATACGCTTTTTATAGCTTATAATACCGAGAATACTATAACTTAGGCTTTTTAGAATAATAACACGCTAACTCTTTTTATAATAAACTATATATCAGTAAAAAATTCTGGCGCCGGGTGCACGTGCTACTCGCTATTTTCGCTATTTTCGCCGAATAGTCGCTTTTTACGCTTAAGGCGCCTTAAAATATAAGAGGCCGTCGTACGTCGGCCTTAAATAATAAAAGGCCGCCTTATACGCCCTAGGCGCCTTTTAAAGGACTCACCTTTATATATAAGCTAGACTTAATTAGGAAAGATATAATATTTTTAATCAGAATTAAAAATTAAAAGTTAAGTTTATTTTTAGATTTTAAACTAACTAAAAACAGTTAGACTAGCGTAGATTTTAACTGAGAATTTAAAAAGACCTGCACTTTCTACGCACGTCCTTAAAACTAGTCTCACTAAGCCTTTAACGCTATAAATATCTACGCTAAAAAATCGCTAATAAGCTTATAATTTAATTCGGGTAAATTCTATACAGGGGTAAGCCGCCGCCTTGCTTAATCGGGCGATATAAGCCTAATAATACCCCCTATAAGATATCCTTATTAGTATCCTTAGTATCCTTAGTATCCTTAGTATTCTTAGTATCCTTAGTATTCTTAGTATTAAAGCTTTTAGTAAGCTTACTAATATACCTTATATAATATAAAAAAATCGGACTCACTTTTATTTTATATACTAGTTCTAATTAGACTTATAAGCACCTATAGCGCCTTAGTCGCCTTAGGCGCCTACGTCGTTAATTTAAATTAGTATATATCACTTTAAGAGTCGCTAGCTGTTAAATTAATCGATATGTAACTTAGGCTGAAATAGCGAAAATAGCGCCTACGGCGGCTAGCCGGCGGCTACCTGGAGCCAGATCTTTTTACTAATATAGTAATAGCTTTAGAATAGTTAGCACTCCACGTTATAAGCTAAGTGAAACTTCCTTAAACATACATCAGTAAAAAATTCTGGCGCCGGGTGCACGTGCCACCCGCTATTTTCGCTGTTTTCGCCGAATAGTTACTATTTACACTTAAGGCGCCTTAAAATATAAGAGGCCGTCGTACGTCGGCCTTAAATAATAAAAGGCCGCCTTATACGCCCTAGGCGCCTTTTATAAGACCTACTTTTATATATAAGCTAGATTAAATTAGGAAAGATATAATATTTTTAATTAGAATTAAAAATTAAAAGTTAAGTTTATTTTTAGATTTTAAACTAACTAAAAACAGTTAGACTAGCGTGGATTTTAACCGAGAATTTAAAAAGACCTGCACTTTCTACGTATATCCTTAAAACTAGTCTCGCTAAGCCTTTAACGCTATAAATATCCACGCTAAAAAATCGCTAATAAGCTTATAATTCGATTCGGGTGAATTCTATACAGGGGTAAGTCGCCGCCTTGCCTAATCGGGCGATATAAGCCTAATAATACCTCCTTATAAGGTATACCTTTATAAGTACCTTTAATATCCTTAGGATTAGTATTATTAAGCTTTCTAAGCTTACTAATATATCTTATATAATAAATAAAAAATCGGACCCACTTTTATTTTATACGCTAGTCCTAATTAGGCTTATAAGCACCTATAGCGCCTTAGTCGCCTTAGGCGCCTACGTCGTCAATTTAAATTAGTATATACCGCTTTAAGGGTCGCTAGCTGTCAAATTAATCGATATGCAACTTAGGCTAGAATAGCGAAAATAGCGCCTTTAGCGGCCAGCCGGCGGCTGCCTGGAGCTAGATTTTTTTACTGATGTAATAGTTATTAGAGTATAGTTTAGATAGTAAAACGTTAAGGATTTAGATAAGCCTTAGTTCGTGTAGCTTTATAACTAGTTTATAGGTGCTATAGATATAAGTGATCAACTGAAAGCTTATAATTCTAAGGATAGGCTAATTCGCTAGGAAGAGTAGTAAGCTCTTTAGAATTAGCTATTACAGATAGTTCTAATTAATTACTACCTTATATTAATATATACGAACATTAAAGACTACTAGCGTATTAAGGATAAGGATAAGTAGATAATATAAGTTAAATTCCGGAAAGAAATTATCCGAGTATTACTTTCTTCTGCTAGATCTCCTTTAAGTATAAGGAAAAGGCACTTTTCCTACGGAAATTTAGCGAATCTCTAGTTTTAGCTAAGTGCTATTAGAGATTACGAATAACCTAGTGAGAGAACTATTAAGCTTATTAAGGGGAAAGGTATAAAGAGCCTTAATAACGTGTACCTTTAAGGGAAATATTAGTAAATATTTAAGCTTTTATATAATAAAGTTACGTCTATTAGAGGTATAAATAATGTAATATTTATCTTTATAAAGATAGCCCTTGTTTTAATAGATATTATAGCGTTATAGAGTAGAGTAGAATTAACTGTATCTAACCTTTAAATATAGCTCTCTGATTGGTCAGAACCCTTATCAGGCTAAAATGTGCAAGCGACGGCGGTTGATAGGATAAGAAGCCCGCGAGAATTCTACGTGACACTTACTTTCCTATGACACTTGCTTTCGCCGACTGTAGGCGAGTGCCCGCAGACTTACAGAGGGGAACCGACTATTAAGCCTACCGCATTTCTAAACTACTCCCTTCTGCATACTAAAACATCTCCTATTCGCAGAACTCCTCGATGCTCGCGCTGTGGAACTGTAATGGAAAAGTTAAAATGAAGTGTGATGCTGATCAATTGAAATATATTTAGGACGAACAACCAAGTAACAGAAAAATATCCAAATCCCTGTATAAACTAGAAATTACAACGCGAATGTCCAACCGTAGAACCAATAACCCAGAAACCAGAGGGCTGTATCGATATTCAGATTCCCCGATCCAGTGAAGAGAAATCCAAACTCCCATAAAACACAACCTAGAAATCCATCTTTTGTTTCCTCACTGACTCCCGCTCAAAAGCATACCCTATCAAGACATCAACGTCAAAAACAAACCAAAGCTATCCTACTCGAAGAAAAGGCATCAAACACAACGCACAACATCATACAACTCAAATTGTCACCGCTCCACCACTCTGCGGCAAATCCCTCCACCCCTCCCAATCATTCTCCCAATCCGGCTCCGTGTATCTGTACCCCTCCCCCCTACACACCCGATCAACCTCCTCCCTAATCATCGGATACACATCCCTATACGCCTTCCTCCCCATCCAGCAATCCAGATGCCCATATCCCTGCACAACAACCCTACTATAATCCCTGGTACCAAACATATCCCTCATCGTACTGTAACTCTTGTCCGTGCTCTCAGGCGTGAGCACTTTATTGTCTGCGCCGGAGAAGAAGAGAATGGGGATGTTTTCGAGACGGTGGAGATTGTGAGGGGTGGTGAGAGGGGCAAAGAGTGGGCCGTTTGTGGTTACGTGGCCGTGGTAGCCCATGCGCATGAGAAGGTGGAGGAGAGTCATGTTGACGCCGCCGAAGAAGCGGTTGATTTGGCGGTGGGTGGCTTCGTTTAGGTTGCGGTGGTTCCAAAGGCTGGTAGACTGGTCAGTATGAAAGATGGAAGCAAAAGGAGAATGAGCAGAAGGGGATGTAACATACCGACCAAAAACCAACGAACACCGATGACACGAAACATTATTACAGATCTCTTCCCTCTCATCGGGATAAAACCTCAGTATCTGGTTAACCAACTGCTGGAAATAACTATCATCCGTCGTACTCGAGCACGAGAACCATTTCCCCCCAAGCAAGCCATACAATTTATCGAACGGGATTGGTCCAGCAAGCACTTTCGCCATATTGAGTGTCGACCAGATGGGGTTCATGAGGACCTGCGAAGTCGAGATACCTTTCACCCATGTCGTGGGGATCGTGCCATCGAGGAGACCACTGGAGTAAGCTACTGCACCCATGCAGTGCGAGATGGTGTAGATGGGTGCGTGGCCATGTTTCTTGCGGATCCACTCGAAGCAAGCGCGAATATCAAGCCTAGAGTCATACGTCGTCCAGTCGTTCTCCGCGACCATCAATTGGCAGATACGATGCACAGTGACGAAGACGCGGTAGCCTGCACGTGTGAAGTAATTAACGGCGTTGACTTCGATAGTGGGGAGGGAAAAGATCTTCTCGTCGACCGAGGCGCCCGGGATCATGAAGAGGTTGACTGTTTTGATTTTTGGATTGCGGGGTTCCCAGACGTGGAGGAGTGAGCGGACGCCATCCGAGGCGACGATCTGGATTGTATGGTCTGGTGAAGTGTCGTTGATGTAGCCGGTATATGTCACGGATGGGTATTGCTGCCATGTGAAAGGAGCGAGGAATAGACCCATTGATTGTCGAGCAAAGAATCCCATGAAGCTTGCTGAAGAGCGAAGCTTGGCAAGGAAGCTCTTTCCAGAAGCCTTCAATGTGAAGAGTTCGGAGAAGAAATCCGAAGGTTTGATTTGCATGATTCCACGGCCTAGGACTTGCTTCCTCCCATATGATTCCGAAATAGTGACATACAGCGTCGACGTTGCCTTCCAAAATCGCCATGGTCCGAGTGCAACCGATGAATCGACGATTTTCTGTCCATGGAAATGGAATGCTCGGCCATCTGTCGATGTCATGTCGAAGTCATAGGTGAGATTGCGAGTACCGGGTGCCTCTTGATCGACATTGAACAGGTGGAAGTTTCCTCGCTGAACCATAAATGGACTGCCAGGAAGACCAGCACATGTAAAAGTGCCGGTAAGCATAGCTTTGTGATCTGCTCGATTGACAACTGGACTTTGTTAGCATAACTACCATCGCAATCGTTCGGTGACTTACTCGTGTGCGTATCCCAAGCCTTCACGCTCAAGAAAAACCTCGCCTCCTCACAAAGACCCTTCGCAGTCTTTGCAGCAGTCTCATAATCCTCAATTTTATCACCTTCGATCCCTTCCCCAACATGGATGTATCCAGACATGACTTCAGAGAAACCAAATCCATTGGCCTTCGCCTCTCTCGTGGCTTTGACGAGACTGATAGCCTCTCTGATACCAGTTGTGTCTTTCCGCTGCAGCACCTTCTTTCCCTCGGCATACTGATGTGGCTCAGCAAACAGATCTAGCATGTCATTCTTCGTTTCGAAATCAATCTTGCGCTTGATCCGGAACTTGGCTGCATGCTCAACTGATCTTTCAGCCAGAGCTGTAATTGTAGCAAAGGGATTGACACCGAGAGCAGTTGGGATAACTGCACCATCTGTGACAACCAGACCATGATGCGTTTCTTTACCATCACCCGTGAAGACTTCACCCCAGTGATTGGTTACACCATGCTCGCCAAACTCGGTCTTACTCATACACGCTCCGCCGATTGGATGCACAGTGATTTCCTGCTGACCAAGTGCCGCGTAGAAAGGACTGTTGACATATGTCCCTCCAACGGCTTGAGTAGCTTGCCTGAGGACATCGTTCAGGTATTGGACATGATCGCTTCTTCCTACACCGAGGAACTCGAGTACAGGCTTGTCGTCCTTCAGTGTCAGGATTGCCTGATTCGAGTCGTGGCTCATGACCAAATAAACCTGCGTGCGCTCGATACTGCCTTTCGCGTAATACGGACCTAGGAAACGGCTGCCTTGTTGTGCGATAGAATGCTTCACTTTCTCGAGGAGAGTCTGACCGGTGGGTATTTGGTTGCCAGGCATCATCTCCAACATGGTCTGGAAAAGGGGTGCGAGAGCTTTGGGAATAGCACCTTCTTGGATGACGAAACCGTCAAGAGGATTTTCAACATCGTCTCTGCAGTCGATAATTCCACTGATCGTTGGTCCGACTGGTTTGTATGGGGATGGATATTGACGGCCGATGGCGTTGACTTCAGTGTCGGTGTTGTAGCCGAATGCTAGGATATCACCGTTTCCGCTCATGCCGGTACCGACTTTGTCGCTCATCGATAGGCCAAGTTTCTTACTTCTGAGCAGGATCTCCGTCGTGCCAATGCTTCCAGCTCCCAGGAATACACACTTTCTAGCATGAACCCACATCAGGTCTTCATATAGGCGTTCTTGAAAAGCTCCCCGGCAACTTCCATGCCAGGCAAAAAATACCAGATAGCCCTCTTCTTCCGGATCTGGGTGTTTCTTGATGTATCTCACCTCGCATTCGCAGAACATCTCAGCACCCCAGTTCCAGGCGTCAGCAAGGTAGTTGACAAGGGTACTTGACTTTGATCCATCATTGACTCCAGTAGAATCCATTCCCGTCAAGGCAGAAGGATACATTTCGACGCCAGTGCTATTGGGACCACCTTTGAAACGAGTCGTCTGCGGTACTCTCTTGAACTTGTCGCCCCAGCTGAGAGCCTTAGCTTGTCGCTCAAGCATGGTCAACTTGGGGAGCTCCGGCCAATCTTTCGGGTACTCCTCTGGCTCAAGGACATGTGCTGCTCGGTCGTAGTATTCTCTTAGCGAGTCTGGCTTGCGCAACTCTTTCGGCCAGCATGGCATTTTCATCGTCTTGGAATCAGTTTCCAGGAATACATTTGCGTTCAACAAACTCGTTCCGCCGAGTCCGTTGCCAACGAAAGCATTCTGACCTTTGCCGCAGATAAGATGGTAGAGACCTGTTGGATCCCCGCCTTCAACCATGGCACCTTTGAGGAATCCAGGAGCGAATTCACCCGAGACATGAAGGTTCTTAAACGCGTCTAGGAAGCCGCTAGGATATTCTCCAGGCCATCTTTCCTTCCCCCTCTCGAGCAAACAGACCGATTGCCCCGCTCTAGCCATTCGACTCGCAGCAACACCACCACCATATCCAGAGCCAATCACAATACAATCGTAGCTATTCCTCAGCAACTCGACTGGTCTTGATATTCTTGGGAATCGCTTGGTGTTCGGATCATCGGTGTATGATCTGATTTTTGCGTGGGCTTTGGATTGAGGTCCATTGGGCTCGCTTGTGTGTGGTCCTGGGACATTGATTGGGTGTGACTGTTCCAGCGCGGGCGGAAGCTCACCAATCAATGTATGACCATGGCGAAGTCCATTTGGGACAATCGGCTCGACGAAACCGCTGTCGATGCTTAAGTCTGATGGAAACCCTCGTTGAAGCGGTGGTCTATTCTCCTTATCGTCGATGATTTCGGGGTGCCTCTGGAATCGTACTTCTGATGTCTGCACTCCATTGACGCCATTCGTAGACTTCTTGCCATTCGTTGGTAGGGGAAGATTCTCGAATTCCCAGACATCAGGTTTGGGTGTTGGGAGGTCCTTAGGCATGAACCCCGAGACTCGGTTCAACACTTGGTTGAAGGATGTGATTGGTCCCAAGCTTATCACCGCCGGGTCTTGTGGCATATATATCGACATACAGATCGGGACAGACACGATGAGGAGAGAGGAGAAGCTATGGAATCCTGCTTCCATCTTAACTTCTGCAACGGATGCGGGAAGATTCCCTAGCCACTGGAGGAACAGATCTGATGAGAGGTCGCCAACATTAAAGTCGTCTTTGAGTCGGATCGCAAAAGCCATCCGTGGGACTTCGCCAGGTAGAGTTGATGATGAGTGGAGAAAAGACGGTGTTGGTGAGATGCCAGTGGTACCTGCCCTTTCCGGATGCTGAACTTCGAATGAGGGCTCGCTGTAGCCATTCTCACTACCTTTGTGAACGGCGAGACGGATACTGCGTGGATACTTGGAGTCCTCCTGTGTCAGTGGTATGTAAATGGGTGCCCTCTCATCTCCGTTTTGCTGTGTTATTCGACTTTGGGCTCGGCAGAATATGTTGTGGTACAAATTGCCTATTGAAAATGATGGTAGTTTGCTCAGTTCTCGGAGCTCCTTCGCTAAATCCTTGGTGAAGACATATGACTCAGTATCCTTTGCGTTTACATTGAATGTTCGAGCAGCAATGAGTTCAGTAACTCCATTACCTCGGATGCAGGTTTGAGTTACTGTGTGGGTAGTATCCAGGAGTATCAGAGCATCACTCTGGGCTTTCTCGAGGGCAATTTGGATGTCAGTCCACTCAACAGCGGATTTGTCACTTCTCCTCCCACTGGAATAGTCAGCTCTGAGACCTTTCAGGGGCCATGTAACATACCTATTCCACATCAATCTCTTGTTCTTTGACATCTGTGAAGCACCAGCATAATACACAATTTTCAGATGCTCCTCACTATCACCTCCAAGGCCCACAAACTCCGAGATTTTCTTTGTGACAGCAACATGGGGGTCCTCGCTTGGAATCCTGAACATCTGGACCTCAAAGTGAAAGACATCCTTGAAAACATTGAACACCTTCGATACTTCAATTGGCGCGGGTCTGTTCGAATCTTCCTCTGCCCAGTTAGCCAGCAGTACGTACACCTTGGCGTACCGTGACCTTGTCTCAACAGGGAAGACTGCTCTCGCTGCAGCGTTCAGTCCTTCGCCAAAGGCTTTGAGGCCGATATGTGCTTGCCAGCGATCGAAATCCTCGAAGCTGGGTGACATGCTGCTGGGACTTGAACTGGAGAAGTCATGCTCATCTTCATCGCTGATGATTCCGTCGCTCATCTTATCGGAGTTAGGTGGTGCATTAGCGTTGGCGGGATCTGCGTTCATATTGTGTGATGCGATGAACATTAGAACTTCATCCCAAGGAGGTGGGAATACCAGCCTTATCTGTGCAGAATGTCAGTAATGGAGACGATGCGATCAAAATGACTGTATGAAAAACTTACATCAAGACTGCCTGCAAGAAATTTTTAAAGCGGTGGTTTGTTGTTGGGGGCGGATGTAAGCTCGGCTCTTCTTACTCGGACCAAAGCAAAGTCAAGAACCCAAACTCTCCAGATCCTCCTCGGCTTCCAGCTATATAATACAAGAAATAAGAAAGGGTGCCTGGAGAAGACCTTTTTTACAGCCTCGTCGATTGATTAAAGAGCTCTGCGAATGAAGACACCGAGTTGGATGGTGGATGTGGAGGGTGTGGAGGGGCACAGGGTGGTGCGGGATAAATCTGAATCCAGCGCAGGGGATATTTTGGGAGCTGCACCCGAGGGATAGGGACCGAGGCGGATTGGGACTTACGTTACAAGCTATGACAGCCACAGGGAAACGGTGCAGATGTAATGAACGAATGGAAAGAATGAGAGGCCGTTGACGTGAAATAGAGAGCAGATCAGAGCCAGTGCTGACTACCATCTATCACATGGGATGACACATGCGATTCGAGCACTTCTTGTCCTGGAGCCATGGCTTTGGGCATGTTGACTTGATCAATCAATCAAACGTTCAGTCAATGATCCGCAGAAGACAGGATGATTATGCAGGTGAAGCCGTTAGGGCTGATGGATGAGAAGCTGAATACGCTGAAGTGGGGAGATACCGAGCGCCCAGCCACTCCCGAGTCCATCCTGACGTCCATCCTGACCACTGCTGGGCCCTGGGAGACCTCCCCAAATAGCGGATCGAGGCGGCAGAGACGGGCAGAACAAACGGCTGCCACACCAAAACTCGTGAATTGGCCAATGACAGAACTCAGATCACTGGTGCTGATATCCTTTTGGCCCCTCTTCTGCAGCGATGGAGAGTGGCCGGCGGCAACCTGCTGGCTGAGTTCTCGGCAGGATGATTGCTGACACAGACAATAACCCACTGAGGTGATGTACCAAGTCCTGGGATGCTGGAAATTTTCAGCCGCGATGCAAGCTAGAGGGGCAGCAGGATGAGGGCTTGCGGAGGGAACTTAGGAGAAGGACTCTCTGTACTGCTTCAGCACGGTATTGGAGGATGAGAGACTTCAGCAGCTTCATCCGTCACCGACCCGGGCATCCTGCCATGTGATGACGACAGCGATACTGATGGGGAGAAACAGGGCGAGTCGAGTCGAGTTTCCCGTGTCCTTGTGCTCATGTCTCTCCTCTCCTTTCCCTGTGCTCTCCAATATCACACCGAGACGACAGTAAAGTGCTTCTGCATTTGCTTCTGCGTCCAGTCGGGCGGGAACTAAACGGTAACTCGACGGCAACATGCAGGATTCATCCCCTCCCATTCGCACAGCCTTTCTGTCTGCATGGTTCGTTCTCTCCGTAGCCAGTCTAGAGCATGGCATACATGCGTATTGTAGTTGCTGCAAGCCATCTGAACAGGGACGTTTTGTTGATGATCTTTGAATGGACCATAGTTCGAACTGCGATATTCTATGCCAACGACCGCGAGACTCGAGACGCATCCTCAAGGCACAACACATCTCATCGTCGCCCAGATAGATAATGGCGTACTCGGCTGCGTCACTCCGCACGGGAACCCCATTGGGAAAGGATGAGATGACATGCAGGTGCAAATGCAGATTACTACCCGAGACCTTGCCCTGAGGCTGGGATCTTATCCAACCCATCATTTGAGTTCTCCTTCCTCCTCCTCTTCCTTCTCATGACTCAAAATTTGCGAAAGCAAAATCGAGGACTCGAAGGATCATTGAATGGATCGGCGGATGAAGTCATCGACGTAACAATAAGGATCTGACTGGCGATATACGAGCAACTGCGCCGCTCCTGCTGTTTCTTCGTCTTCAAATAATAGTCAGGTCCTTCTTTCTGCTGTCAGACTCAACCAGGCTGTACCCGGGGCAGCGGGAGTGTCTGAGACCATGTCTCGCCTTCCCACCCCGTCACTCTCTATCGCGGTCATCATATTTCCCGTTTGTTTTGCTGTCAGAACCCAATATTGACGGCACATGGTGTGGTTGTACGAGACTCGGAGAAGCACATGTACTTTCTGCGAGAGAGGTGCGCCATGTCATGTTCGGTACCTTGAGGGAAGGTATCTTTGCTTTGGGTCCGTTCACGTGACTAAATTTCAGTCCTAAATCCTAGGGGATCGAGAAGCGGTAAGACGGAATCAATTCACAACGACGTTTCGATGTTGAATGATAGGACGCAAGTCTGGATCTCGACTTATCGTGTTTCTGGAGACACTACTAGCGGCAGCTAGGCTGCTCCCGAGATCACGTGTGCACATTTCGCCTTGTTGACTTTCGCTTCTCTCCTCGAGTCGTGCACAGAGAACAAGTTGTGTCTTGGGGAGGGAACTGTAAAGAGCTAAATTCGAGATCTTAGTCTGAGACCGAACATATTGGATAGCCAAATCCCCTGTTTGCAATTCAGAATTAGGCTAGCCACAGGGCCTCATGCACTGTCTGTCTACTTGTTCATTTGTAATTTCTTGAATCCTTGGCTGTGTATCTCAGAGATGTTCATACAGAGTCCCTTTGCCAATTTTTCCCGTTGACATGACACACATCGCGTCATTCAATACCAAGACACCAACAATATCTTGCTTCTCTACAGTACTTCATTTTGGCCAATCACTAGTTCCTTTCCTTTCTGCAGAACATGTCCAACTGCTCATCTCACCTCAACACTCCAAGTTGAGGCTCATAACAGCTCGCTCTCCTCACTAAACAAAGGCTACGCCCTCTTGAGATCTGCCATCATCAAACTCAGCACTCGTGTCAAAAGTCGCCCTCTCATCGAAAGTCCACTGGCCCTATAAAATTGTCGAGAATGTATTTCTGCCTGTTGAGCAGGGGCAAAAGGCTCGGATCTCTGATATCTGAGGAGGAAATTTCCGTGAGATTTTCAGGTCTTTAGATCGGTGGATAAGAAGACTGAGACTGTTTCGCCCTTGACGGAATTTCGTGGACCACAGGTGAGTTCCTGCGTTCTGTACCCTGGATTTGAGATGGCGAGCTGGCCGAGGATGGGCAGAATGAGATTTGAGATATAGTGGATGTCAGCAAGTAGGGCAAACATATATCAGAACATACGAGTTGGATGCCAGCAAGGAAAGATATGAGGCCTCTCGCTCTAAATATTCCTTGTCAAGAGCAGTTGTCCTCCTCCACTGGAAATCCCTCATCTAACAATTGACCTTGAGTGGCAATGCGCGCACCGTAGATCTTAGGGCACATGTCGGTCAATTTTCACTTTGGTAGAGGATTGACGTTACCTCCCCAGAATGCTGAAGGACATCTGAAAGGACTTACTGTACTGTTCACTTGATTTTGTATCCTGACACTTCGCCTAAAATAAGGTTATGTCCTGCTTCGGTACCTTCGTTCGCTAAGTCTACTTACTGCTGCGCCCTGACGACAGACAAGCCATAGAAAATTCAGGTACCGATGCTGTCTTCCGTAGCGCATTGTCCTGGCTGATTAAATCATCCAATCCCGATGATCATTACCTCCCGCTGAAGCCCTAAATGGCACTTGTCAACGTGCCGCCCCACTACGGAGGAAACACCGCTGTTTTTACCCCGCAAACCCCGCAGCAGCCAATGTCGTCAGGGCTGTCAGGACGGAAAACAAAAAAGTACAAAAAGGTGAGTCTGGACAGGAAATAGGAAGAAAGTCCGAAGATCAATAGTATATCCTCGTTTTGCTCAGCTTCGCTGCTTCAATATTTGCTACAATGTCGGTTGTTAGTGTTGATCTACTGGCTCTCGCTAGAGACGCAACTTACTTCACAACCCTCTCGGCTACCAATATCACAACACCAGTTATCTCACTCTTGAGCTACCATCCAGACTTTCAGACCGTCCTAGGAGAAAATGCCACAGCTCGCAAAATCGCCGATCTTCCGTGGGAAGCATTCCATGAAGCTGGCATCTATAACAAGAAAGACAACTCACTCTACATAACTTCCAATTACCAGAGCTTGGAGGACAACATCAACATCACAATTGTCTCTCTTGACGACTATTCAATCACCAGCACTCAATTTCCCGATGTATGGGAAGCAAATGGGGGAACATCATATTACCCTCCCGGCGCAGACCAATCGCAAACACCTCCCCAGCAAGTCTACTGCGACGAAGGCGACTTCGAGCACTACTCGCAACTCGTCGCCGTCGACCCCAATACCAACACCTCCACAATTCTGCTCACCAGCTTCATGGGCCGTAATTTCTCCTCCATCAACGACGCGCGACAACATCCTGTGACAGGAGACCTCTGGTTCACCGACGCAGATTATGGATACTACCAAGATTTCCGGCCAGCGCCATCTCAGCCCAAGCAAGTCTACCGATTTGAGCCTCAGACGGGAATCATCCAAGTAGTTGCCGATGGATTCGTTGAGCCCAATGGACTGGAGTTCTCGCCAGATTTGAAGACTCTGTACGTGACCGATACAGGCGCCCAGCAATTTGCGTTCAACGGCACGAGACCAGCAACAATCTATGCGTTTGACATCGATTGTGAGAAGAGGCTCACCAATCGCCGGACCTTCGCATTCTCAGATATTGGGTTTCCGGATGGGATTCATTGCGACACGGAAGGCAATGTTTGGGCCGGTGCTGGGGATGGCGTGCATGTATGGAATCCGGAGGGAATCCTGCTTGGGAAAATATTCATTGGGGAGACGAGTAATAATTTTGCGTTTGCGCCGGGAAAAGTTTTTGTTTTCTCGAATTCGAGGCTTTGGGTTGTGGAGAATGTGAAGGCGCAGGGCAGGGAGGTGTGTAAGGATTTTGGGGTTGGGTGCGAGAAGTACAGATGGGAATGAAGCTAGAGGGAAAGGGCCATGAAGTGTGGTGGAGTGGGGAAAATTATCGCAATGTCAGAAATACAAAATCGGCAATGAGAGGCAGACTCGTAATCATGAATTATTCTTGTGGTAGGGGCCGATAATCCATTTGTGTTTCTCTTGCGGGGTGCTACTTGCGGAAGACCTGCAGAAAAATTTGGCTATTTGGTGTGGTTACTATAGACTTTGTATGGCAGAAAAGGCTGCGTCTTGAGCATTAAGATTGACAAAGGGAACCCTTGGCAAAGTCGTTTCCAACAAGGTCCGGCATTCCACACAATCATATAAACATGGAATCTAAATTGGCATTCTTTTGCATTCTCCATATAACAAACGCTAAACGGACTGCGAGAATTCGAGTATCCTATCAGTTTGATCTTGTTCCGACAAGTTTTGACGCTCCCTCTTACCTTAACCCTTTGAATCTTCACACAAGCAGAACTAGGTATATCTTCTATGTTTATGTACTTTTGTGCCAGATTTAATGTCTGATTTCATTTATTCTTTCCATGGAAATGGACACAGCTATCTGGCTTTCCCCTTAACGATGCCATCCATCTGTGCTACTCCTTCGGATGTGTTTTTCGCTTGATGTACGTTGCACATACTGGCATCGAAGAATCGTACGCTGACTTGGTTTACAATATTTAGACACTGTTACATCCCATGTTTCATATTTTCGTGATTCTTGAGAAGAGTGGTATAACTTTCGCATATGTTCGGGCTCCGGGAGAGTTACACCACATCTACGAGACCTATATATCATAGCACGATGCTCCTGGAAGCAGAGGCTCAATTCTTCTACAATTGACATTCGCGAAACCCGTTCTTGGACAATTACAAAAACTTGAAGACTAAAACCGCCAAATATTACCGCCACAATGCAGATCTCAGTCGCAGCGCTCTCACTCATGCTGGGCTCGGTCCTTGCTTTGCCTCGCGCGTTTCCATTTCATGGCATGACCAGCGAATGGCAAACTGGTCAGTTCTCCCGTGATCTTCTCTAACCAATGAAGGCTCTGAACTAATAGTTTCATCAGGAGCCTGTGGATGTCCACCAGGCACAGTGTGCATCCCCCTTCCACCACCGCTCTTTTACAAGTGCGCTCCCCAAAATATGGTCTCGATGATCTTGGAGCTTGATGAGTAATCTCAGACTTGAATACGGCAAGTCATCCAAAGATTGCTGCTATGCAGTTTAGTTTTGTTGTTCCTGAGCTTATCCCAAGTATAGGAAGCTGTGCGCTGCTCGCTTCATGTGCAGAGCATCATGCAATGCATGCGGTGTACAAGAAATCTTTTCCAGTACGGGGTACTTCTATTGTACTTCAACACTGTCATTACCAACTTTATGGGACTTTGGATTCTAGTAATTGCGAGAACAACACCTCAATTCAACATTGATCAATGTTTGCCTCATCATATTCAGTGACTGCAGTGACCACAAAACTACTCGATGGATCTTTTCATTCCAGATTTTATGTTGCCGAAGGTGCTGTGTCTCGGGTACCTATTAATGAGCCTCCTGGTCCTAGAGTATGTTCCAGCTATACAGCTCCGGTCTGTATTCAGTCTCGTCGTGTGTTCAGGAAGGCTGCCGATTCTAAGCAGCACCCCACTCCTACGGCACTACAGTAACCGTTGATTTGAAAATTAAAGAACTCAAAAACGACATTCAAGTAGCGCGTAAAATTAACTTCTAGCTTTTTCTCTCATGAAATATTGATGTTCTGCAATGACAACGGTGTCACAATGGGTGTTAATTGCGGTTTATCAATTGCGAGAAATAAGCTGCGTCCCGTCCAGCCAGTTTCACGGCCACAGGCTCATGATTCATCTGACAAATGTAGTACGAATGCGTAGCACCCAACTCTGCGAATAATTCATTTCAAGAGACATCTTATTGTCAATTCGCCGGACTTTTATTTTCCCATTTTAGTGATCTCAGTTCACCTCGATTCGTGATTGTAGCAACGAGGTTCAGCTGAGGACGGCGGTCAGCTGCAATGTCACGGGGAGCCCTACTGTAACACATCGCTTCCTCCCCACCTCGTCTTGGTGACCGTAGCAATACGTGAGATGGTTCTTCACGACCAGACGTCACATATACTCTTTTCTGTGCCTTTCAAATGGAATTCGGCAGTATATACCAGCCTCTCGACCCGACTCGGAATGAGATCAGGCTCCTCCATATTCTCCCAAAACATCTCTTCTCCAATCGACCACACGATATCTCCTGCACCATCAGGTCCATCAGTCTCAAGGACGCGGCCGGCAAATATGAGTCTCTATCATACGCTTGGGGAACAGAAGTTTCGCAATCTCCAATATACCTCTGCATCAACGGATCGGAGATTCCTGTGGCTGTTCAAGAGAACTTGTACCAAGCGCTGGTGCATCTTCGCGATAGGCACCAAGAAAGATCAGGTGGGGCTTTTGTGTTATGGGTTGATGCATTGTGCATTAATCAAAGCGATGAAGTTGAAAAATCACATCAAGTGAAGCACATGAGAACTGTCTACGAAAATGCTTCAGCTGTCTGCGTTTGGCTGGGCGTGGCTGCTGACGGCAGCGATCGATTGATCCGGACATTGAAAAGAGTCTGTGACATGGCGATGGAACTTGAGCGTGAAGTGCCAGGATCATGGGTCAATGTGATGCCAAAAATTGCTACCAGTATTGACGAAGAGGCGACATTTCCTCTCACCAACATGATCGCATTCCTTTCTCGGCCTTGGTGGTCCAGAATATGGGTTGTTCAGGAGATCGCGGCTGCAAAAACTGTCCATTTTTACTGTGGTCATCGGCGCACAACAGATCTCGAAATGTACATGTCTATCGCATGTTTTATTTCAATGCTAGATACATGCTCTACGAAACCGCATTCGACACGGACCGATTATGAGTGTCGAGCTGCCTCGATACAGGATTTCTCTATACGCACGTCGCTTGTCAACGAGCTACCTTTCAATAGAGACGGATCGGATTCAGAATTTCCACTCTTGATAGAACGTCTGAGACAGTGGTATATGACGGATCCTTCCAGGAGTATGGTTATGAAAGCTACCGATCCACGAGACTTTGTCTTCTCCCTCCTTGGAATATGTCAGGATGCGGAAGAGCTTGAGCTTCAACCAGATTACACAAAATTTCGCGAAGAGGTTTTTGTCGACACGGCAACAGCAATTTTGCTGTCTGGGGATATGGGGATTCTGTCCTTGGCACAAGGTTTCCAAAAAGTTCCGGTTTACCGTCATGGGTTCCCGACTGGGGCTCGTTTATTAATTATACTTTGCAGAACGGACCATGGTGTATAAGTGATGGTGTCTCGGATTTCTTCGACGACATAGGGAAGGATCTGAAACCTTACAATGCCTCGGCTGGAATGAAGCAGAACATCCAGGTCGCCCGCCTCTCGGATCAACAGCCGCACCTGAAGCTTGCAGTGATTGAACTGGACTATGTGGCTGAAGTTATTGGCTCGCCTCCACGGTCTACTTCAGCACGTGCGCATATCTTTCGATATTGGGACAGCATATTCTCCGTAGCTCAAGATAAGGGTAATACAAAGAAGATATACGAGGATCTTGAAGATACGGTCTTTCGTCTCTTAACCTTAGATCGAGAGCGAATTGATAGACAGGGACTGTGGACAATATGTAAGGCACGAGATGGGTCATCCAAAAATGCTAGGAAAGCATATACCTTATGGACTAAACAGTATTCTGGAGACATTTCAGAGATTTCTGAGGAGTTCTTGCAAAAGTTAATGACGGACGAGTTAGTCGATCTCTTTTACGTTACTTCGAGCACAGTCACTGCAGGAATGAAAGCGTTTGTGACGGAAAGAGGATGGATTGGGATGGGTCCAGAGAGAATGATGCCAGGAGATGTCGTAATTATCGTTGCAGGAGCAGACGTACCTCTCATTCTGAGGGTTGATGATCGAGAAACTCGTAGACTTGTTGGGGAAGCTTACGTTCAAGGGATTATGGATGGAGAAGCTGTCGAGATGGGACTTCCTGTTGTTGATGTTGATATTTACTGAGTTGGAGGACCAGAAAGCGACAATTCAGAACATATAACACGCCCATATGAGCGATGTGTTTTTCTCCATGGTATCTGTCAAGATCAACAAACAAAGCGATCCTCAGTATACGGTCAAATTATTCATTTCAAGGCTCGATATTTCATCGACTGTTTACATAAGAGCCTGTGGGCTCGGCTAAGTGTTCCTGCTCCCCCTTGAAAGCTTATCTCTTATCCGCTAGACTGCCGAGATTACAGTAAGTTGACGACCAAATCTGCTTGCTGACAGCCCTGCGGCGTGGCTTTCTACATAAAACCACCACATTATGGCCGCCCTCGACTTGGGCGCCTGGACTATCGCGAGCATTGTTGTTGGGTTTCTGGCTATACTTCCATCCATCATGGGTTTATTCGGCAAGAACAAGTTCGATGTCAATGGCAAGGTGCGGCGCAAACCTCTTCACTTCTCCACAGCCTCGCTGACTGTCAACAGACCGTCCTCCTTACCGGCGCCTCCGAGGGCATGGGCAGGAGTGCTGCCATTCAGCTTGCGCAGAAGGGGGCAAATGTTATTATTGTAGCACGGAATGTTGCCAAACTGGAGGAGGCACTCGCTCAGGTCAAGGTAGGGTTCTGGCCATTAATTCAAATGTCCGAAGCTCATCTCTTTCTCCCTCCCAGGCCGCTGCCTTAAACCCTTCCTCCCAACGATTCCAGTACATCAGCGCAGACGTAGCAGACGATTCAAGTGAACGGGTGATCTCAGAGGCAATCGCATGGAACAATGGCCAGGCACCAGACATCGTATGGTGTGTCGCCGGATCCTCCCACCCCAGCATTTTCCTCGAAACCTCAAGAGCGATCAAAAGGCAGCAGATGGATATCAACTACTGGTCCTGCGCGGACATGGCACAAGCAATATTGAGCAAATGGCTGGCACCAGGCGCTATGGGCAAGGGTGGGCCAAAACATCTGATCTTCACGAGCTCTGTTGCGGCGTTCTATCCCATTGCTGGCTACGCATCATATGCACCTGCGAAGGCTGCAATCAGATGTCTGGGTGACTCTTTGGCTCAGGAAATATTGCTGTACGGCGGCGACGTCAAGATCCATACCGTGTTCCCTGGCACGATCAACAGTCCGGGACTGATCAACGAGAATAAGACGAAGCCGGGCATCACATTCCAACTTGAGGAGGGGGATCCAGGTCTGACTCCTGATGACATGGCCGCAGGAGCTATCAAGGGCTTGGAAAGGGGAGAGCACGTGATCGTTGTTGGGATCCTAGGGCAGATAATGCGTGCTGCGTGCTGGGGTTGCTCGCCGAGGAACAATTGGCTTTGGGACACATTCTTGTCGTGGATCATTGCGATTGTTTGGTTCTTTGTGCCCATAGATATGGATGGAAAGGTTCGGGCGTATGGGAAGAAGCACGGTCATCCAAGTACGTATCCAAAGATGAACTAGAACGCAGGTGGTCGAAGATGAGAAAACGCTTAATGCTGTGGACAATACCCTAATACACAATCGTCACACAATAAATCATACTAGAATCATTTTTTTCTCTCACTCGAAGCCAGAGTGTACTGGTAGATTTTTCAGACATATTATTATTTATGTTTCTAGGTCTATTGATGGTCAATCACTCCAAACCAGCGAAGCACGAGCTGCCGCTGATAATACAATGGCCATCCACAGGCTTTGAAATGCCACATGCTTCATTTTCAGAACTCGCATGACGACCTCTGATCCGATCCAAGCATCTCCAGCTTCTGACTTCTCCCCCTCTCCCAAGTTCATAGCTCTCGGATCATTACCCCAAGAATCATCCAATAGCGTGAGAAGTGACCAAACTACAATCCCGGGCGACATGAGAAAGTACCAAACAAGTGAAGGTACAAGCCACATAACATCCGACAGGGTAGCCTGATCCTGGCTGACTTGCACTAGGTAGATAACCTGGAGCGCGATCGAGCAGAAGGTATCAAGCAGAATCATGCTGTTGAACTTGGGGATGACGCCTCCGAAACCAAGTGCGAAGGATGTGATGTACCAGAATGTAAGGAGTGGTACGATTCGAGCTTTGAGGATGCTGTAGACGTGCCAGGGGGACAGCTGGTTGATCATCCAGGGGTACCAAAGTGTTTCGATCATGGTTCCTCGGGACCATCGAACCTAAAGGTCACGGACGTCAGTTCCTACTCTACCGGAAGAATATCTGCCACAAGCGAAACAGAGCTGTGCCGACCCACCTGTTGCTTCACCCACCCGTCGAAGGTATTAGGTGTATCGGTATGCACAATAGCACCAGGAGCATAATGGACTGCGAAACCAGCCCACAAGATCCTAGTCGTCAAATGGCGATCCTCATTCACGACCTACACCTGTCAGTCTCTTTCACCCTGGTCCAAGCAGACTCACCTACCGTCCTATGCCCGAAAACCGTCTGACAAAACCACGGAACCAGAACCGATTTGAGTACCGAGACTCGAAAGCCAGCACAAGGACCTGGCTGGCATTCCGTCGCTCCAAATATAGCGCCTTGTGCTTTTGGAATCTCTTGCTCGAACCAGTAGTGCGAAGCTGTCATACGTGTGAGAAATGATGGTCGAGGGTGCGAAAATCGTAAGTGGCCGGATACACCGCCTGTATTGGGGTTACTGTCCAGGGAGTCGATAATTTTGGTGAGAGCATCGGGGACTATGATGGAGTCTGAATCCGTACTGAATATATATGGGATGTTTAGTTTTTCAGATATAACGGCAGCGAAGCTCAGGGATGTGAATAGGATATCCTTTTTGGATTGGTGGGGTTGGACGATACAGACGGCTTGGATATCTTTGATGGATTGTGGGAATATCGCTTCTTCAAGGTGACCATAAATGAAAGTGGATAAATGATCCATAATGAGATTGTTGTTTGCTTCATTCTCTATATCGCTTGAGTTTGTAGAGAGCATATATCGATCAAGTGATTTCGAGAGCTGCTCTTTGAGGCGGATCACGACACCGGTAGGGAACATCTATACGTGGAGAGTGTTTAGCGAAGTTGCTGTTGTCTTGGAGAAAGAAGGGTGGGAGTTGGGACTTACGTCTAGGAAAACATTGACCATTTCCTCGTCCTCTTTCGTGTCGCCATCTATTCCTGCCACTACTGGGCCGTATCGAGGGTCTGCCGCCAAGCTCTGAAGACATCTGCGATACAGGTCTTCATCTTCTCGCCATCCAACAACAACGGTTGTGATTTGTTGACTTTGTGTGAAACTCGATTGGACTAGACGATGTTCTGTGTTGTCGTCCACGCTAGATAACCGAGCGACATTCCCTTCTTCACTCTCCCAAGTCGCGAGCGCAGCTGTCTTCTCATCCTCACTCCCAGTTTCCGTGTGTGTTTTTGGCCTTCGGAATTTGGCGCGAATCTTGGTAAAGCCATGCGTATATGCAAAAGAAATCAGAAGCTTGACGATAAGATCGAGGGTCAAAGTGAGTTGGCCGAAATGCAGTGTCGCGAAAGTGGTGGCAAGAATCCCAAATGTGCCACCAATCGTCAGGAATGAACGAGAGGAGCGGACGACAGCTGGTCCCCAAAGCATATCTTCCACACTTATTCTTTGTTTGTTTATGCAAAGCAAGGAACGAGAAACGAATGTGTTGTGATGCAATAAGATGACTGCAAAGGTTCAATGAGATATATAGACGACATGGCATGGAATATACTCTGGTTGAGATGCTAGGTTTCCCGGAAATTGGACGAAGACGGTACCTCCCTTGTACCCCTATCCACTTCGCTTCTGGGTGGCTTCGACATATCACGGTGGTGATTCCCAGGGTCCTACTAGACGTCGAAGTGCGACGCAAGCTGAAAGGGTTGCGAAGCTTGTTTCCAACGCTACTTGTTCAACAGGGTTCGGATGAGACTTCTTGAACTGGGATTAGTTGATTCTATTGTGTGTCTCTAACTCACACCTCAATTTTCGAAATCTCAGCCATAGTTTCAACCAAGTTCGCGTCCGATCCGAATTGAGGTCAAGGTACCGGCAAATCGGACGGTGAAGCGAAGTGACAAGTGCGATTAAGTCCTGAGAGGTGACTCTCAAAGTTTTTACGAAGTTCTGCTGCTTTTCCGAAATTGAAATACGCCCCCGTATCACTCGATGCTGGAACGTAAAATAGTTTTACAGACCTGTGCTAGCACCGAACTAACAAAAGGACCGTATGAGAGGGGGGTTCTCTGGACACTGGGACCCTGGAACAGCTGAAAACAAAACCATAGATAGGTTCATTCCATATGCAAGCAGAAAACTATTCTACACAGAGCCATGTTACAGCGAGCGTTACCTCTTTGCCTCAAGCCAAACTGATGAATTGACGTTCCAACCAAATTTAGGGGTCCACATACAAGATATTCACTACCAGGACCAGGCTGTGCAGTAAGCTCCTGCTACTATGATACATTCAAGGGATTCCTTGTAACTGACCCCGAGTTCTAGATTTTTCCGGAGAGCTGTTCCGGAGATCGTTTTCCTGAATTGGTGCATAGTCGTCTAGGTTCCCCACCCTATCCATGGGGTATCTCATTATCGTTTGCCGCGATCTTCGAGCAATCGAGAGCGTTAAAAAGAAACTCTGGTACCGTTGGTCACTCCCCAATAGTCAGCCCATCCTCTTCGCGATATGTGATCTTGTATGGGCCATTGCAAATTGTCCAAGACTGAATTGTTTCTGGCACAGGTCCTGGGGAAGCGGGAGTGGGATTAAGCATGACATCGCAAGACAAAATGGGGGTTTAAGGTTGACCCCATTGTGGAGCTGCGACACGTCTGAAGAGATGCGCTAGAACCATCTATGAGATTGTCTTTCCCAGAACTTTGCCGTTATTGGCGACTTGATACCCAAGCTTGAACTTAAATTAAAGTTTCGAGGGTTTCGCGAAACGACGATTGCCAGAAGCAAAAGTAATGATTACAATTTCGCAAGAAATAAGAGCGTCTCACGGGTCCTTCCAGACATAAGGTTTTCCCTGATGTTTCAGTGCTACGAACGATCAATAAGATGCTGACAACAACCGTATCAGGGTTCGGGACTTCCGACACACCTCGCCCGCTCCCAACACAACGGACTTTTGTCGTTACTATCATTTATCAATTCCCTCAGCTTTCATCTGAAATCTCGTCAGGTCTCGAACCATTCCTCCGCAAGGACCAACAATCTCAATAAACTATTAGCACATTCCTTTCATCGAAATTATGCAGGTGATATACTTCTTTCTCTTCTCGTTGTCTGTCAACGGGCACACTCTTATGCAGCATCCGATTCCATTTCCCAGTCAACTTCTTGACAATGGGCCTATGGCAAAGGACGGGTCAAACTGGCCATGTAAAGGAGAGAAGGACTTCAACAATAATGGCATCATGAATGTCTGGGAACGCGGCTCCACACAGTATCTGCAGTAAGTGCGCAATTGTGAACTGAGACAACGGACAAAGATTGACATGGACTATCAAAGAGCAATGGGTGGAGCCAGTCACGGCGGAGGCTCCTGCCAGATTTCAGTGACACGAGATCTGAAGCCCACCGTGTTTAGTGAATGGAGAGTAATCCATTCCATCCAAGGTGGATGCCCCATTCGAAATCTGTCAGAAGTCAATTACGGAGACTCAGAAACAGCTGTCCTGCCTAGCATTTACAACTTCACGATACCTGATTGGCTCCCTGTAGGACAAGCCGTGATGGCTTGGACATGGTACGGTCGATGGAGTATACCAGAGATGTTCATGAACTGCGCACCGATCATGGTGCTCGGTGGAGCAACTGACAAGGACGTTACTGATGCGATGTGGAATGAGAAGTTCGAAAGCGCGCCGCTTATGTTTGAGGCGAACAATGGCAACGGATGCCTCACAGTGAAGGATAAAACTGGAAAATGCGTAGTTTTTCCAGAGCCAGGAGATTCCCTCGAAGTGAATCCGGACTGTCCGTTTGACACAGAAAATATGTTCACTGGAACTTGTGACCCATCGCACAGATTGGCATTGATGACTCCACGAACGGATTTTCGGAGTTGGTTGGGTGCTATGGGATGTGCTGCAATAGTTTTTGTGTTTTTGATATTTGTTTTGGTCAGAGCATTTCGGAACGCCCGGTCTAGTAGAAACAAGTATGAGAAAGTCCTAAGCGCATAGAGAGCAAATGAAGGTTACAAAAATACAGCATCTTTTTTCATGCAATAAAATTCTCGTCATCGTCAAGAAGACGATTTGTAGCCGCCTTTCATTTGTTGATAAGAGTTTGTGCAGGCTGTCTGGTTGTACTGTTGTTCGGGTTCGCTGAGCCTCAATGCAGCACTTCTCAAGCACGCGACTAGCAAATAAAGGCTGGATGCTATGAGCTGCTGCACTGTAGTCTGTTCATTAGAGCACTAGCTGATGTGTGGATCTCCGGGTAGCTCTCACCATGTTGTAGGATGCTGAAGAACGAGAGCCGTGGAGTTTGAGATCATCACAAGCATCTGTGCCCCACTGTTTGCTGATGAATCATCGATGTCCATTGGGTTATCGAAGCTCATGATGACAATCCTTCGATATCACATTCAATGAGAGCTTGTTCTATTTCTCCACGGAGCTGCTCTACATATGGTGGCTTGATGTCAGGAGAGCCCAGAGGGCCCTTTTTGATGGAAAGCGCACGCATCTGCTCCTTGTTGCTTAGGATGCAGGCCGCGGAACGATAGTAGAGTACTCGGAGAACTTCCTCTGTTTAATGGAGTAAAGAAAAGAAAGCACACGAGCCCCGGAGATAGTGGTTCAAGCTGAAACTTTCTCCCTGCCAGTCAGAGCGGCTCTAGCGTCCTGTGGCACCATCGAATATGGCTAGATTCGACATAACCGAGGACTTGTTTATTCGTCTGATGGAACTAGCGGGATAGGTGTACTGAAATATTGTGGACCCGAAGCCAAGGTGTATGGCGTATCTTGCATTCCTATTAATACATTCAGATTGGAAACACTAGATAAAACAAGTAGGGGGTATATTTAATTGATATTTAGAAGCAGAAACTGTTGTGTTTGTATGGGAGCTGACGTGAGATCTACAATGCCTCCGCATGTTTGTATTCTTATGCAGAGGCCTAGTACCTATTCAAGCACACATATACCCAAGCAGAGGAATGAACATGAACTTTTCATATTCATGTTCTAGAAACCCGGACAGAAATCGGATTTATCAATTGTGCGGGTTTAGATGCAAATAGAGGGGTAACTGCTGACTAATCACCGAATCTACTGCACCAGCTGCGCTCTTCTCGCGTCCACAATCATATCTCTCAGTGTCAACACAGTTGACACGCCGGGTTACCAAACTCCAATGTGCTCCAGCTTGCAAACTCCTTTGTGAAATACAGCGTATTAGTACGGGTTTCCGGCATTACAGGCACGGTCAGAGGCCTGCTTTCTCAAACGCCGATCACGACGCGTCGGACAACCGCTCCTTCGATTTCACACGAGAACACGATCGTTCTGGCATCCAGCGATGGGCATCTGGTCTATTGGAGCCCTAAGGATGGATGCTGATGAGTCTGCGCGGCCTAAGGGCGACCGTTGCGAAGCAGAACAACTGTCCACTGTCCATATCATATGCCTTTGCATCCCACGAGCCTGCCCCGCCATGTGGTTGCTAGTGCATCATCGCCACACATCGATTGTTTACGCAGGGCATACATCAGAGGTCTATATTGAGTCGAGGATGGTCACATTTGGTACAGTCAACACAAAACCCAGAGCGTTGGGCGAAGCCCTCAGAGGTCAACTTCGCAGTGAATAGCTGTCATCACCTGCGCCGTTCTCGCCGCTCTGGGATGCTATGAAATGGGTAGGCATGTACCACCTCCGGAGTTCGATGATGATTCACGAGTTGTGTTGCTGTGATGGAATTGTCACGCTTTGTTTTCTGCTGCGGGCAGCAGACTCTCGTGTGCCCTCTATTCTCCACCTCTGCATGCTTCTTTCTCTCTGGCTTTTAGCCCCTATCAATGAACGGATGCTCGACAATTGGCGTAAGATGGAGTCCTCATCATCGAGGGACCAGCTTCGATCAACGATTGGTTCTCACAGCTTCAGCCAAACCCTTATCTTCATGTTTACAACATCAGATGCAGCATCCTAATGGCAGCACAGTGGTTGAGTGGTGAAGTATCATCCGATGGCTGACATATGGTTATTAGCACGTCCAAATTGCGTTGCCTGTTTTAGACGTCAAAGATAAGTTTTTGCTTTTCCCCTCATTTTTCTTTTGTATGCTTATCTTTCCGGTTTCTAATCCTTGATTGGATCTTTGGAGGTGCAGCCGTCAGTTCCGAGGCTGCCGGGACGGCTCTTCCCAGAACCGTGGGGCCGGAATGGGAGGGAAAACTCGACTTGAGGCTTACCTGGACCAAAAATCCGCATGAATTCTTACTGCTTTTTGTTCACAAAGCCTGGACATCCTGCATGGGATGCCCTTGTTTCAAGGCAAGCCGCATGGTTTGTTCTCGAGTTGTTCCTCAAGCATGTCATCCAAAGAAATTCCCAAAGTGCATGAGAGTAAACACCCGATAGGCGCTGGCTTTTGGGCGTATCAAGACTCGTATGATTCCAAGGGACTTTGAATCATGAAGGACGCCAACCAACGCCACCACTTGCCTGCCTCGGGTGGATCCGCTGCTAGGTCTTATACTCTTCCACTGCACACCTCCAAGGATATCCATTCTGGCCGCATGGAAGACCCCCGCTCTTGTCGCGTGCCCGAAATACTTACGCGGACCGTACAGGGCGACTTCTGCGTGGTATGAGGTCAAGTAGCAGGCGCCAACTGCACGTGACTTGACCGCAAATAAGATTTCCCTCAGAGTTTAGATGAAGAAACACTGGGGTCTTCTTGTTTATGTGGAATTGATGCACATCCAATGAAATGCTACAGTGGGTCATCCATATTGTTTGTGCACTTCTGGGGAAAGTGCCTCACATTTCCTTTTTCGGCAATTTTCAGGTTACGCCTCTCTCGTCCGCTAGGTGGCCATGCCTCAATCAAACTCTGCTCGAGAAAATGGCCGAACAGGGACATGTGTCTATGGTGATTCGAAATGTGTATCTCCCAGATTTGCATTTTGGTGGGGGTTTCACGCCACCAGATCGCCGATAGATCTTATGGGAAGAAGTCCGTGAGAACTTTCTTGTTTTTTCTCATTTATAAGGAGTGGAAGCAGCTGTGACTTCCGGAAACAAAGGTTCCAAATCCAAGAGCCAATTTCTTAGTATCTACTTTCTGTCACTCTTTTCAAGATGTCGTACAGTCATGTTGGGGCACCTACGGTGTTCAATGGCACACTTCCAAATGGCGGCGACTCAAGTACGTATTCATCCCAGTCACTATGTGCATATGGTTACTGATACATTTAGCTACAACAAACCTGAATCAATGGTATCAAAGCGGAGACCAAGCTTATATCATCATGTGCTCGTGCATGGTCCTCGTGATGATTCCCGGCATCGGCTTCCTATACTCTGGTCTGGCCCGTCGGAAGTCTGCACTTTCCATGATCTGGGCTGCACTGGGATCGTTCTCTGTCGTGACTATCCAGTGGTATTTCTGGGGTTACTCGTTAGCATTCTCGACGAGTGGAACATCTGGATTTATTGGAGACTTGGGACACTTGGGACTGATGAAGACGCTCGGTAACCCATCACCTGGAAGTCCTCTGATCCCGGAGCTTCTCTATGCTTTCTATCAGGTATGTACAATGTCACATAATCATGTTGCCGACTTTCTGACGACTTGGGCAGATGATGTTCGCTGCCACTACGGGAGCCATCGTGACCGGAGCTATCGCTGAACGTGGTCGTCTCATTCCAATGATGGTGTTTATTTTCTGCTGGGCTACGCTCGTATACTGCCCTATTGCCTATTGGGTCTGGAATCCGAGTGGATGGGCGTTCAAATATGGGGTTATGGACTATGCTGGAGGTATGTTTGAGTAGCTTGTTTGACTTTCTTGACTTTACTAATCCTTGGTAGGCGGACCTGTCGAGATCTGTTCAGGAGCATCAGCCTTTGCGTACAGTATGATGCTAGGCAAAAGACAGCAGAAGATGATGCTGAACTTCCGCCCACATAACGTGTCGCTGGTTACACTAGGAACGATCCTGCTGTGGTTCGGCTGGCTTGGATTCAATGGAGGGAGTGCCTTCGGCGCAAATCTCAGGGCTGTCATGGCGTGCTGGAACTCTTGCTTAACTGCTATGATGGCTGCCATCACTTGGTGCGTGCTTGACTTCAGGCTGGCAAAGAAATGGTCGATGGTTGGTTGGGTGTTTCGTCCAGCACCTATTTCAAGAGCACGAGCTAACAAAACTTAGTGCTCAGGAGTTATATCCGGCCTCGTCGCTGCAACTCCAGCGTCGGGTTTCATCCCGCCATGGGCATCCATCATCCTCGGCATCACGGTCGGTATCGTGTCCAACTTCGCAACAAAGATAAAATACTGGTGCCACATTGACGACAGCATGGACAACCTTGCAGAGCATGGGATTGCTGGAATGGTTGGACTTCTATTCAATGGTATCTTCGCGACGGACTACATAATCGGTTTGGACGGCGTGTCGACAGGTCTCATCAACGGCGGAGGACTGAACAACAACTGGAAACAAGTCTACATTCAGCTCGCATACATCGTAGCCTGTACAACTTACTGCTTCGCGACGTCTGCTATGATCGCGCTCATCATCAATCTTGTGCCTGGTCTGCAGCTACGAGCCAGCGAAGAAGCAGAGTTACTCGGCATGGATGATGACCAGATGGGAGAATTCGCCTACGACTATGTCGAGGTTAGGAGAGACTATCTAGCATGGGCTCCGGCAAGCGAAGACTCGCGCGTGATTATCGGCATTGATGGAGACTCAAAGATGACTAACGACTCGTTGAGGCTGAGACAGGCTCCAAGCTTCCCTGCACCATATTTTTCGGGGCTAGGGACACCAATTCAAGAGAACGAGTCCGAAAAGGCGCGATGAGGATTCAATTATGCTGATAAATCTTATAAGATATGATAAATTTTGTTAGGAATTCTGGGCCGGGTAACAGCGTATATTTCCATAGTCAAGAGACTTGATTTTATATATGTTTCATAGTGAGGTGGATATCTAGAGTCGGGAGTGCTGATGAATTGAAGCTGTACAGCTTAGACGAGCATTGGTCATACTCAGTTGTTTCTGTATTTCGATTCGCCCACATATCGACACAATAGCTCTTGAAAATATCGTTTTGATTAATAAGTGAAACTTTATTCGAACCTGCAAGACTGCTTTCTGCGATGCTCAGGTTCTGCTGCTGTTGCTGCTGCCCCGCTGGAAGTTCGCACACCCTCGCTTCAGGAGCTCGCTTGGCGGTCTGTAAACAGTTGCTTGGAACCTCTTCTTCAACACAGACACAAGCATATTGGATATCCGATTGACTTCATCTTTCGTAAATGACAGAACTGCTGTATGTTCTGAGCAGCGTCGGAAATTAAAGCAGATACGACCACACAGCAAAGAAGCTGTCCCCAAAAGCTTTTGTTTGTGAACGGTTCGCATCTCGAACAACTTGTAATTTCGTTCGCATGATAATCCACTTCAATATACTGTGTAGTCATCTTCCCAGCTCGTAATACAAGTTCGGGGTTCGGAGAAGCTGACATCGGAATAATGCAACCACTGGGTTGTGTCCACCGTCATACAAGTGCGTGACCCGGAGGCTACTGTAAGACAGCGGGGCCGCAGAGTCACCGGCCGGGGCCTCGGTCCAATATCCCACTTTGTCATTGTCACTTTCAAGAATTTATTCAACAAAGGCTGTTTTCGTCATCGGCGCGTTCAATTATTTTTCTGGGTCGTATCTTTCTATAGTGGGAAATGGAAGAAACGAAGAATTGCGAGATTTGAATCGATCAGCCAGCTACCTAACTTACACGATAGTAGGCTTTGCAGCTCTCCAGGGATGATAGAGTACTTCGGCTACCAGCGATATCAACTACTCAATGATGCCATGTGAGTTTCATTCTTCATGATTCGCAAAGCGCATACCAGTTACTGGTATAGAATTTGGTGTAGCGATAGATATTGAATTGGCAGAAGTGGTCGCTGCCGGACAGAAACCGAACGCCTACGACTCTTCATCAACCATTGAAGGGTCTGTTGCTGCTCCCCATGACGAAACGATCCCAGCACAGACCATAAGGTGGGAGCATGGGGATCCTGAGAATCCCTACAACTGGTCTTTGGTTTGTGAACTTATTTGAAAGAGTTTTCAGGTCACACTTCTGACTTCAGAACAGACACGGAAGCTCGTCATCACAACGATTGGCATTCTTGTGACCATAAACAGCACACTCGGCTCGTCACTTCCCAGCAACGAGATTTCTTTCATTGCAGACACATTCAAAATCACAGACAAGAATGTCAAGATTCTCCCTATGTCCATCTATCTCGTTGGATATGTTTTCGGTCCAATCGTGTTTGCCCCACTAAGTGAGTTGTACGGCCGGCGCTGGATCACCATCAGTACATTCTCGTTGTTTACATTATCTACAATGGCAGCGGCACTAGCACCAAGCTGGAGTGCGCTCCTTATTTTTCGCTTGCTGGCTGGTATTGGTGCTTCTGCTCCTATTTCAGTGGTTGGGGGAATATATGCGGATATCTACGAGTCTCCTGTCGCAAGAGGGCGATCAGTAGCGGTGTTCTTCACGGTTTGGCTGACCTAGACATCTCGAGCGATGGCAAGAAACTGACATCCACAGACAATCGGGTTCGGACCTCTGATGTCCCCAATCATCGCAGGTTGTTCAGCGCCAATACTTGGATGGCGATGGAGTTTCTGGATAGCTCTCATCATTGCGGGCGTGAGTTTTGTAGGATTGATCTTTCTCCCCGAGACATACGGCCCAACACTTCTTGCGCGTCGCGCAAAGAGCATTCGAAAATCCGGCACCAATCCATATTTATTTGGGCCTCTGGAGACGAAAAGTCGAGGCTGGCGAGACCTGCTTCAACCGAAAACTCTCCTTCCGCTGCGCATGCTATTCACTGAACCGATCGTCACAGTCGTCTGCTTGTACCTCGCTATACTCTACGGAATATTCTACATGTATTTTGGAGCCTATCCAATTATTTTCGAGGGCATCTACGAGATGAGCCCTTGCCGATCAGGTGCCATGTTTCTCCCAATGGGAGCGGGAGATCTTGTGGCGATCGGACTTGGTGCATTGTACGACTGGTTCCTTGAGCGGTCCCAGGCTAGCAAACAGCCTTCAATTCGACGCGAAGAGATATTTAGGCTCCCTCCAGCCTGTATCGGAGGTCCTATCACCCTGATTTCGATATTCTGGTTGGGGTGGACAGCCAGGACGAGCGTTCCTTGGGCAGTGCCATTTGCGTCTGGCTTTGTCTATGGAGTTGGGACACAACTGATCTTCATCGGGCTTCTCAACTATTTAGCAGATGCGTACACGATCTATGCTGCAAGTGCGTTTGCAGCTTCGAGCTGTAGTCGAAGTATCTTTGGTGCGCTGCTGCCACTGGTTGTCACGAAGATGTATGATTCTCTCGGCGTGGCATGGGCAACATCGACACTAGGTTTTGCTGTTTTGGTCATGTCCATTATGCCTTTCGTGTTGATCAAATACGGGCCGTATCTTAGGGGTAGGAGTAGACTTTGTAGTGAGCTGAAGAAAGAGAGAGACGACAGAGATGCTGAAAGTCCAGTTGGATGATAGAATTGCATAGACCGGCGGAGGCATTGCATTGCGAAGCAGGGATTATCTCTCGGCAAATGTTGAGCGCATTACTATATAGAATCATCGAGGGAATATATGTTGGAATCTGAACAACCCAACAAAAGATAGTCGATAGTCACAGAAAGTAAACAATGAAGAAAAAGTTTATGCTGTGGAGGAATTGACCTTCGGCTAAGGCTCGCCTTTTTATTTCCGACCGCCTCGGCTTTATAACCGATACCAACGCGGTGTCTCCAAGACTTAGACATCATCACATCAGACCTACCACCTCCTTATAATTACAATTCCGATGAAAAGTATTTCAAAAACAATTCCTTCTCCCAGTTATTTAAAGCTCCTGAAAGATGAAGAGACATTTCCGGCTACCGAGGATAAAACTTTCTCCCTGCCCAAGTGTAAATCGGAGGACGTTCGTTTCTCAAGCACAGAGAAGAAGGGCAACAACTGCAGCTGAGGGTTTGGGATTAAGCTACCCGGTTGTTGATCATCATTATGAGTGAGTTCGTAAATCAAGTTTCAGTTCCTTCATTTCGTCAAAACTAACTTTGAGTCCAAGCGCAATCGTCGTTGGAGCAGGAGGCGCAGGCTTGAGAGCTGCTGTTGGACTCGCCGAATCAGGACTTGAGACTGCATGTATCAGCAAGCTAGTACGTATCATTCATTTTACTTCTCAGTTCGCAGAAGCGGAAGCTTGATGCTCCATTTTGTCCTATATTGGACGATCCAAGACCCAGACTTCCACTTCCACCTTCAAACACGTGATTGTCAACAAGCCTCCAGAATCTGATATTTCCAGTTTCCCACACGATCCCATACGGTAGCAGCTCAAGGAGGAATAAATGCTGCTCTGGGGAACATGACAGAAGGTAACTTCTATGCACCAAAGGCCCTTCTTGCAACGCCTCTTTTACCACATCATTTCTTTAACACTTCCCAGACGATTGGAAATGGCACATGTATGACACAGTCAAAGGCAGCGACTGGCTCGGTGATCAAGATGCAATTCACTACATGACAAAAGCTGCTCCAACGGCGGTATACGAGCTCGAAAACTACGGGATGCCATTTTCTCGCACGGAGGAAGGAAAAATCTACCAGCGTCCTCTGGGAGGCCAGTCCCTCAAGTACGGCAAAGGCGGACAGGCATATCGTACAGCTTGTGCAGCAGACCGAACAGGTCACGCCATGCTACATACGCTATATGGCCAATCGCTGAAAGCAGAAACGAACTTCTTCATTGAGTATTTCGCGCTCGATCTGCTTATGGTTGATGGAGCTTGTGTAGGCGTTGTATGCCTGAGCATGGAGGACGGTACGATCCACCGCATGTTTGCGCGGAATACCGTTCTTGCGACAGGTGGGTATGGAAGAGCGTATTTCAGCTGCACGAGTGCACACACGAGTACTGGCGATGGCAATGCGATGGTCGCACGAGCTGGACTGCCGAATCAAGATATGGAATTTGTGCAGTTCCATCCGTCTGGGATTTACGGCGCCGGGGTTCTAATCACCGAGGGTGCAAGAGGAGAAGGGGGGTTCTTGCTGAATGGTGAGGGGGAGAGGTTCATGGAGCGGTATGCACCTACGGCTAAGGATCTTGCCAGTCGGGACGTGGTGAGTCGGAGTATGAATATGGAGATTCGGGAGGGGAGAGGATGTGGTGCAGAGAAGGATCATATCTACTTGCAGTTGAGTCATTTACCGAAGGAGATGATTCATGAGAGGCTACCTGGCATTGCAGAAACTGCAAATATCTTTGCTGGGATTGACATCACGAGGGAACCGATTCCAGTTTTGCCCACGGTACATTATTGTATGGGAGGTGTGCCCACGAACTGGAAAGGTCAAGTCATCTCTATCGGTGAAGATGGGAGCGAGAAGGCTGTCGAGGGATTATATGCTGCCGGTGAAGCAGCTTGTGTTAGCGTCCATGGTGCGAACAGGTTGGGTGCCAACTCACTGCTTGATATTGTGGTGTTTGGGCGAGCTGCAGCATTGCACATCGCAGAGAACAACGAAAAGGGTATGCCGCATTTGAAAGCACCAGACGACATCGGGAGAGACTCACTCGCAGACATGGAGAAGATTCGTATGTCATCCGGTGACATGCCAAGTTCGAAGCTTCGAATGGATATGCAGAAAGCGATGCAAACAGACATTGCGGTCTTCCGTACCGAGGAGTCATTATCGACAGGACATTCGGCTGTGCAGAAGGTTGAAAAGGACTTTGCTGAGCGATTGAGTGTGTCAGACCGAAGTTTAATATGGAACAGTGATCTAATCGAGACATTGGAGATGAGGAATCTACTAACCTGTGCGAGCCAAACGGCAAAGAGTGCATTGATGAGGAAAGAAAGCAGGGGAAGTCATGCTAGAGAGGACTTTGGGGAGAGAGATGACAAGGAGTTCTTGAAGCATACTTTGAGTTGGCAAAGAGAAGGCGAAGATGTGAGGATCGGTTATCGGGACGTTGTTTTGAAGACTTTAGACGAGAAGGAGTGTCCAAGTGTTCCACCTAATAAGAGATCTTATTAGATATTATAGATGTAAGAATGATATTGCAAGCTATGATAACACAGTACTATTGGCAAAACAATTTTTGATTGGTCTCGTGATCGTTCCAAGAATGCTCCGAAACGCGCTACCCTGCGAACATTTACCACAACCTACCTCCTTCGCTCGCTGTAAAGTTGTCTCATTCCAACATCCTTACCCAGACATGGTGATCTTAAATAACAGGGAAGTGCACTGAGGCGCATCAGGCACTTTCTGGTCCGCACTCATCTGGGTAGAAAGGGGGTTGGAGAGGGGCATTCGCTCAATCACCTCCGGAACAAACACGAGCGAGTTCACAAGCCCCAAATTGATTCGAGAGATCGAAAATTCGATGTCTCAAATTTCTTCGCAGCCTTGTTAAGCCTAGTACTTACAACGAAACCCACCACCTTCCAAGATCTCGAATCCCCTTCTTGAGACCAATGTCCTCAACCACCAGTACCTTGATTCCCAAAACTTTCTTCCCACGTATGTACCGAGCCACACTTTTACGGCAAAGTACACCTGTAACTGGTCATTCTCTTGTAGAAAGGTGGGGTGACTCTGTGGAAATCATCATTCGTTCCACCCGCACCAGTCTTGTCAACTCTGGCGAAATAGCCCAAACAATCAGCGAACTCGTACATGTAGCACTGTTGGCCGACTCCCCACCAAACGGAAGAAGCTTGTCGAGCGAACTCTGCAGGCACATCCACGCAGTTACCGGCTTCGGAGGGGTCGACGATCAGACGAATGCCCTGGAAGTAGGGCTCGGAGTAGAAGACAGCCAGGAAGGGAGGGTATGGGACGTTGACCTGGGGTTGGCTGTTAGTAACAGATTCCATGAGAATGAATAGTGCACTGAGAAATGCGTGGGAATACGTACAGCCTCGGTGAAGGTCTGATATACAACTTTAGCATTGATTAAACATTGGGTACGGGTGGCAGTGGAGACTTACAGGTGCGGGGGCAGTGACAGTTGTAGCAGTCACTCCAAAACAGCTACAGGCGCTGGAGTATCTGACCGTCCCTGAGCAAGGACTAGCATAGGCAGGAACAGTGAAGGGTGCATCAAGTGCCTGGCGATTTTCGATTTGGTTTTCGACCTCTCGTTTGTGTGGGAACACTGGGGCTGCGGTGAAAGTAACAGTGACGGTTCTGCATAAGAAGTCAGTTATGCCACGAGATTGTACGGGAAGTATTTGGGAAGATGCACTTACGTTGCACTAGCAGTCGTAGTCGGTTGAAAGAAGCTTGAACAATCCCCCTTTCGGTCCACTCGAGTCTGGGTCTGGCCTGGTTGTGTACCAGTTACGGCCCGAAGACAGTTATCTGCATTACATTTTGCTCTTTGAAAGATGTTCTTGGAATCTGAAGAATCGTGTGGGACGGCAATCACGAGAGATGCCAGAGATAAGACGATCAATAAGGAGCGCATGTTTGCTATGAAAGACAGATGGAGTAAGGATGACAGAGGAAGTAGATTGGCTGTGAGGAAACAAGAATGTAGAGAACTTGTTGTCCTTTATATGATTTTTGTACTCTCTAGAAACTCTTTTGGAGTCGCATCCAAATCCGCATTTCCAGATGGACCCATGACTACTGCGCAGCACAAGGGTTGAGGTGGATCCTGTTGACAGCGGGATGGAAAGTGAACAGTAATACGAAGTAATTCAGACCACAAAGGGTTCAGCTTTTGGAATGATCGCTGTCAATTATTTGAAGCAGGGTCCTCTACGCATCAGTCTGAAGTGGTGGCGTGTAAATCTGTGCCTCGCGAAAGCACGAATAGTCATTCTCGACCCACTGTTGATTGTCCCGAGAAACAAATCTGCACGGATATTTAGGAAGTGTGAGATGGGCCTATTCCAGACTTCAAAGGATTAGTTGATTTGGTATCGTTTACAGTGGATCTCGAAGCTCTCATCACTAAGTTGTTGACGAATCGGTTGTTCCCCTCAAAATCCCAATCATTTGGAGCCTCCAACGCAAACCGATTCAGTGGCGTTAAACGGTGAACCATGCAAATAGGAAGTCATCTGTTGAAATATGTCTCAGAAGAGGAGCGACGGAGAAATTTCTCGAGCGAACGCGGGGGTTAAGCGATATCAATATTGCGGCTGGCATCCCCATTCAGCTTTGCGGCTGAACAGGAGGAGCTGAGAAGCTTGCCTGGACTGCGCCTTTCCTGCCCCTTTCATGTCAATTTTCCGGACCAACTTGATCAGGCGAACTGGCTGCTAGTTTTGGGAATATGCATATTCGTTGACTGCAGGAAATGCATTAGGCTGAGTATTGGAAAGAGTGTATGGAGAAGAAGTCGTGATGGTCGTGGACGGAGAAAATGCTCCGCGAAAAGTTAAATGAAGGCCGCAGTCAGATACTTCAGATCAACTCCAAATCATCAGGCAATAAGTGTTTCCTGAGGTTCAATCGATGAGGATAGATGTGGTTTCTGTGATATTCACCAAGTTTCAGCCACAGCGCCTTCGCTTTTCAAGTCATGACCGGATGTGCGGATGGCGCCGTCCACTTGACACTCGCGCAAGCCAACCGAACGCCACAGCATGCGACAGTACATCACCAATCATCACAGTGTTTGTACAAAATGGGATCAGAATCCCAAACCATCTCCCAAATCTCCACCACTACTGAATCCCAAAAGATCGTCCGCCCCAGCCCCCATAAGACCCTGCATCAAGTCTGCATGAGGATCTCCAAGTCCCAGATCCGTGCCATCTCCGAGACCATCGCCATGCAGCGCGTCAGCTGCAAGAGCGTCCATACCAACAGCTTCGATCGCGCTGTTGAGATCGCCAAGAGCATCGTGCTGTAGCATAGTCTGCTGCGGCATGTTTAATTGTGCTTCGACCTTTCGGTAGAGACGAACAATGGTCTCTGCATGGAAAGGATCAGTCTTGTGGAGCTTGGGAGCATTGTCTGCTTCCATTTTCAAAGCCTCGCGCAGAGTCATGCGACGTTCTTGAAGTGTGATGGTCGCGGCGCCCATGATATCTGTCTGAATACCAGAATTCCAGCTGCCAGCATCTGGCGCGCAGATGAGGGCACATGCTACATCAAGTGCAACACTTCCATTTCCTGCTGTTGTTTGTGCTTTCACCTCGTCGATGATCGCACCGAGAACTCGTTTCGCAGTCAACATCTTGATGGCAACGAGAATTTGTCGGTGTGTGTAGTTGGCAGGATTACTGTTGAGGGTTGGATTGAGACCCCATTGCACGAGATGGGTGATGGTCGACTTCACGGCGACAACTAGGCCGCCATTTGGTGTAGCTGTCCATGATTCTAGTTCTGTATGGCCCGCTGCACCTCTTCTTTCCCAACCCAAGTTACCACGTAGGGCTTTGAGAAGTGGTTCGATGTCTTGCCTTGATGGTTCTGCTCGTTGAAGCCAACGAAGACTATGTTCGAGATTCTTTGCGACGATATTCAGAATCGAGTTGAGCATTTGGGAAGCTTCAGTATTGTTTGATATTGATGTTGGGCTTGTGATGAGAGCAGATAATATCTGAAGCACAGCATTGCCATCGCCGCGAGATTCCCAGAGATGGCAAGCAAGCCAGGTAATACCAGGAACCAGTGATGGAAGCAGGAAAGTATCGACCAGGTACTCGAGACCCCCTTTCAAGGCATCTTCGGAGAGATTCTTGGTCGAGCATCCTAGGACGATCTCATGAAATAATGTTGGCACCAAAAGGTAAAAGTCTTGTGGTGGACATGAAGACATGAGTTCATCGCCAAGTCCACCACTCTCGTTATCGAACAGACCCTTGATCCAGCCATCGAGGTGAGTCTGCTCCTGTTCGGATAGCTGTTCCATCTTCTTGCTGAGATGGCCTTGGTTCAAAAGTTTCGCTACAAATGAGTCTGGATTCCGAATCCCAAGGTCGACTGGTGATAAATTATACCGATTGGCGTAGGATAATACTAGGAGGAGGATGGAACCGAACTCTTCATAAACTGGCTGGTACTCTCCTTGATCCTCATCGTAATGCCAATTGTCAAGTAAGTCACAAATAGGTTGGAGAAATGATGTTGGCTTGTCGAACAATAGCATCACATCAAGTGATGAAGGTATCTTGACGAGCTTACTGCATAAACCCTTCAGAGACATTGTCTCTTTGTTGCTACACAATCGCGCGATGACCTGTGATGGTTAGCTGGAAAGCGGCTGGATTGCGTTTCAAGCTTACCTCCGTAATGGCTTGACTGACTGCACCGCCATTGCCATTCATCTTCTGCAAATCATCGATCAGACGTTCAGCTTGCTCGGGATCTGACAAGCATTGCTGAACTAAGTCATCCTTGGAGTAACGTCCTTCGGCGGGTAAACTTTGTAGCGGATCTTCTCCAAGGACGTCTAGAATGTTTGCCTCCTCTACCAATCCATGGAGACAACAAGCGAAGCAGAAATCAGCACGGACGGAGTCCGGAAACATGTTACCGCTCGGGTCATCGAACATGTTTGATAATGTAGGGAAAAGATTGATGTCGACCTGCCTAAGAGCCTCGGTAATGCAGTATTCCGCTGTGAGAGGTGGGAACAGAGATGATGAGAGAGTCGACAGTAAAAGAGGTATCTTGTTGATGAGAAATGATACAAGAACAGTGGTTGATTGTGTGCGCTCATTCCGAGATTGAGCATTCGCAAGAATGTCAAATGCGGCAACTATGATGTCTACCATGGTTGAGCGAATGTCGCCCTAAGGCTGTCAGCAAAAGCCTTGAGGATTTCTTGGATAGAGTTACCTGGTATCTATTGTGTAAATATGCAAAAATGGTACTGTCGTCAATTAATGGTCTTGCAACGAGCTGGTAACAATCAGCATTTAGTCTAGAGTCAAGCGGATTGACTTGGCCCACCAAGGAATTGAAATAAACATATAATCCAGCCCTGGTATTCATCACTGGGAGTTCCTCCACAACCATGCTATCCACGCCCAATTGTAACCCATCCTCGAGAATCTCCTCAATCTCCTTGTCTGCTGCAGCCATCGGTTCCTTGGTCTCTATTGGTTCCAGGCTAACCAGGGTTTCTGTTCGGAACACCTCTAATCTCGCAGCACCTTGAGGACTACATTGTAATAGTAGTGGTACAAAGCCTTCCAGAGACTTCCCCAAGTGTTTCCTGGTTGTTTTCGGAACCGCTCTAGTACCCAAGGCATGAACGACTTTCGCATTTTCCACCACTGCAATCACTAAAGTGCCCAATGCCATGTGTTGAGCTGCCATCTCAGCTGTATGTGTTGGTGCTAGACTCAGCATTTCATGTCCTACACGGCTCGCAGATACCACAGTCTCCATCCATTGTATACAAACAGTAATCAATTCCACTGCCTCTTGTAGGTCTCGAGGAGCGGTTCCAGAGGATATATATTTCGTGATGCGATAAAAGAGCGTCTCCTCGGTGGTATATGAATTCTTCCACCTCTTCCCAGCTTTTTGCTTGCCCACTTCACCATTTCCACTCTCTTTTCCCTCTGCGTCGCCATCTATCTGGGTTCTGAAGCTGGAAACCCTCCATAGTCCCCTCAAAACAGTTGGCACGTTGACCTTTCTCGAGCTCAAGAGAACCTGAATGTACTGGATGACCAGAGGATCGAGGGCATAACTACCCTCTTCTCGTGGAGCAAGGAACAAGTCGACGATTCGAGGTGGAGGAAGGGGTTCTTGGGTGTCGAGGATTGTGAGGTAGGTTGTGAAGGGTTCGGGGTCGAGTCGCGACTCAATACAGCGAGCGAGGAAAGTTTGCCAGGCGGGCAAACTGGCAGACATTTTGAAGCTCGTCTACAATTGGAGTCATGAATCTTGCATGGCAAGAGGCTCGCAGTTGGGCGTACGAGCTCCAAGGAGGTTTGGAGCTTCATTAACTGAATGTGACGCGACGGGAACGCCAAGGCTCAGCCTGATGGCCACGTGATTCAGGCGAGCCGTACAGCAAAATGAAGGTAAACAATCAAATTGAAAAATACTCAGAATCACAAATCTTCCAATGCTACGTAATAGATAGTCTTGAAGTTCGTATTCAACGATCCGCCTATAATTTTTTCACCAATTTGCGAGGTCTCCGCACTTGGTACACTCCAGCGAGGTGCAGCCTCGCGCTAGTAAAATCTAAGCAACAAAACACCAAAAGAATTATATTTCCAGCTTAAAAATTATTTCAAAAAGTAAAGATCAGACAGATTTAACTGCCCATAGACGGAATCGAACCGGCAACCTCGTCATTACTAGTGACGCGCTCTACCACTGTTGAAGAATTAGTTAAATGCTCTTGGATTTTGAATTTGGAATAGGGGGAAGTACTTGAGCTATACGGGCTGAATCCCAGATGGCACGTTTCAATGTGCTGAGTGGCTGGAAAGTGGTTATTTGGTTAGTTATAGGAGGTAGGACTTTGCAGAGGAGTGTGGATTCTGAAGGTGGATTTATTTGTGGAGGGTATTATTCAAAGAATGCTCGCTTATGCGGGGCTTGTCAGGGATTAGATACGAAGTTTGAAGTAAACAGTGAAATGGTCTGGGACAGCCTACAAATACAGTACCGTCCCTCAGATATCTTCAGTTCCAAAAGAACTATCATTCCTTACCTGATGGTAAACTGTAGCTAGCATAAGGCACTATATCCTCTGCATTGTACAATCCACATTTCAATAGGTAGGCCGGAGCCGCAGTATCGATGTTTGGCTTCCTACAAAAAAATCCCCAAACCTGAAATAACAGATCTGCTTCAGAATCTCAGAAACTTAGCATTCTCCAAATGACTTGGACAGTTTCTTGCAGGCCTCCCATATTCATTTACCAAAATAAAACCTAGGGACGAACCAGACCGTAGTCCACCAGCTAGACACTAAGTCCAATGGACCAGCGAGCTAGACACCCGCATCAAACACTTCTCGAATAGACATTCTGAAGAAGTACGTTATAATCTCGTCACGTCTTGGTACTTCCTCGTTGAATTGGTACTTCCTCGTTGAAATAATCATTGTTCTCGTAAAAGAAGCTATCCTTCCGTGAATCACCCTCTTTGTGGCACCGATCTACCTGTTACCTTGAAGTAGGACTGTTATTCAGCAGAGGGAAAAAATATCCTCTTCGTAATGTACGCCATATAACTAAGATACAGATATGACACACTTGTCAAGTGGGCAGCGGTTCACTCAACCACTTGCTCAGAAGTTGTAACTCAAACTTCAAAGCAAGTCCAGCTGTTAAACCGACTAGTTCGATGTAGCTTGCCTAGCAAGTCTCCAACTTGACCACACCAACTCGACCACACCAACTCAAGAACGCTTCTCGCTCGTTGATTCCCCTCTCGATCACTACTAATCTTTCAATCATTTCCTTCTTCTTCTCGATCTTTAATTCCATACTCGTTTCACCGCCACAGTCATTTCCAACCCAATCATCATTTCCCCCTTTCAACACACTCCCGAGCTAAGAAGAGTTGATTGCGATTGTCAATGAGTAGATGAGCCAGAGCGAGAGATGTTGAATATGAATATGAAGATGAAATTCGGTATGGATATGAATGAGCGGGAAGGGGAGTCAAAGGTGTGGATAAGGAGGATTGGGAATCGTTGTTCAGCGGTCTTGATTCTCCCCAAGTTGAAGTGATGGAATAGAGCTACTTGAGGTTGAAGCTTCAGTCCTCCGACAGTGTGGCTAGATCCTTCCTTGTGCTTTGGGATCTGAGGTAGAAGAAGCACGTCGTTTGTACCTCATGCGTTGGGATCAAGGAGGTACTACTCGTAGCAATGCGACATTGCAGAATTTGAAAAGCAAAAAGAAACGAAACTGAAGAGAAGGTGATAGTCGTAACTACTCCTGTAGACTTTCGTGCCCACTGGGGTCTCCGCATTTTGGTCTCTATTGATCAGGGCTAATAAGACTTCGTAATCACTTCAACAATATAGAGAGTCATTTTTAAACTTTCTTCATTTTTCATCTGACATTATGCTGTAGCAGTTCATTTGCTGCAAGGTAGGAGGAGGTGTTCCTGACTGCGCCACGAGGCCGCCAGCCAGCCAGCCCTTTCTTTATCCCAAACCCAGCAAGGCAGCCAGCCAGCACCCGCTAAACCAGAAAAAAATGCAACAACAAAAATGCTAGAGGCGACTGAAAGGTATAGTGCGCCATCATTCTCTCCGTAGTGTGAGAGACGCAGTGGGAAAAAGTTTTTGTGTGTGTTTTTTACCAAAGCGAGAAAGCTTGGGTCCCCAGCATCTGATGTCCTGTGTTCGTGTACTTCTCTGATGAAGCGCCCGTCATCAACCAACAGAAGGGGGTGGTTACCGAATCCTCGAATCGATTGGATCGGAACCATGGGGGCTCGTGTGAGCGAGTGGGTATCTCGAAATATCGTACAAGCGGAAGGGGGGTTTTTCATCGACCTCAAGCTCCGACCATTCCTGGCCCGTAGCTGTTTTGTCGCATAGGACCTCCTTGAAAGCCATGAGCCTGAGAGTTCTTTGTTGCGTCAGCCTTGATCTCATTCAGGTATAGCATTCACCCCACCTTCTTTGGCCGTTTCCGCTTTCCACCATCTCCGTCACCAGTAGAGTAGCCTGGGTCTTGATTGTCATCATCAACATAGCCTTCGCCATAACCCTCAAAGCTCGAATCCCCATAAGTGCGCTTGATAGCTCTCTTCGGACGTTGAACATCTGCCTTCGAAGGAACCTTGGCGGGACGAGCGGCCGCAGGATTCTGGGGAATAGGTGTTCTGGCACCGTTCTGTATGCTCTTGGAAGCTTCAACTGGTGCTCTTGGGTTTCCACCCTCACCGAGAACAGAAGGATCAAACGCCTCCTTTGGAATTGGTCCCTTTGCCATTGTGAAGACTGTATTACCGGGAGGGAAGAGTGAGTCGGGTATTCCCTTCTCGATTTCTTTCCCCTGTGTCCACTCGGCATTCCACCCTTCTTCTTGGTACTTGACTTTCCACATCATCTCGTACAGCGTGCCAGGTGTGCCCTGCTCCCTCTTGACAGAATCAAATGCGCCAACCAATCCATGATCCTTGATGTGGTTCTTGTATGTCTTGCGAAGCTTGACACCCTTCGACCCATCGGGATTAGTTCTGGCGACTGTCGCTGCAATGCCGTACAGGTTATAGCGTTCGAAAAGATCTTCGCGGAGAGGCGCCTTTACAATTCCTTGATCGTTCTTAACTCCTTGGGCAGTGTGTGCTGCACATCAATTCCATGTTAACCAAGTACTTCATTAAATGAGGTGCAGGGAGTGTCTGGAATACAAAACCAGGGAAGTGGTAGGTCTTTGAGAATCGGGAGGTCTTACGGGTCTTGCAGAGGTAATATTTTTCGCCGACATCCAAATGGAGATCATTGAGCGTAAGACTGTATAGACTGTCGGGTTCCTCAACATGTACCTTCTTCTGTTCTTGATCTCCTTGATCATCGGTGTCGCGCTTACGCTTGAGGGAAGAATCATCATGAGCAGTAGCCTCAAACGAGGAGTCTGCGTTGATTGAGGACATACTGCCGTTAACGCTGCGAGCGGGCGTTGGCATGGAGTGATTGTCAATGGGTGAGGTGACGGGTTTGGTCGGGAAATCAGCAGCGCCGGGAGATGTTTGAGAAGGAGTTTCGGGAGTTCGAGGAAGATTAGAAGTCATTTCGTGTGGTGAAGTCCGAGTATGTCGAGGTTGGGAGATGTATGTTTTGAGCGTATGTATGTTGTTGTTATTGTATGGACAGAGCAATGACGATGTCGTGAGCCGTCGAAGGCGAAAGAGAGTGGGAGCCCGAGGAGCAGAGATTTGCCAGATGCGCCGGCACCCGTCGTTGTCGTCGAGCCGGCGACTCGGAAGGGAGAGAAGCTATTCGGAGTCGTCAATCGAAGCAGAAGGTCTGCTGGTCGGTTCTCGATGGGTCCAGAGGCTGAGCGCAGGGTTGGGGCAAAGATCGGGAGCGACCGTCGCAGGGCGCAACGCAACGAAGGCCACGCCTTGAATCTCCAGCTATGCCGTATCCTCCTTCATTCACGGTCCTCGTATCGACGGATGACAATATCTCGCGGTATACTCGGGGTCGTCGACGAGGCGTTCGTGGTGTCGTCGGTGGTGTTGACGTGGGTTGTCGTGGAGAGCAGACCCAGATCGGAGGCGCCGTCTTTGATGATCCAGCCGAGCCCAAACTGCGCTAGAAGCGCGAGGTGGGGCGGATGATGGTCACGTGCATTACTTTACAATGGAATACGAGAGTAAGAGCTTGCAGGAGCATTAGGACGTGAATCGCAAGAGATATTCTGTCCAAACATAAGTCAAGAGACCCATGAAAAAAAAATCTTCAATGCAATCGTAATTGCTTCTCTGGTGTGAGTCTTGCTGCACCCAGAGTCCTCATTTACCTAAGTCTGCTGGCAAAACACAGGCAAAAGCAAATAGCAACCTCACGGACTCGGGCTGCAACCTCCGCTCAGACTCCATTGTTCGCGAACGGGCACTGCACTGCACTCGCTCACAACTGGCTCACTGCTCACGGGCTCGACTGGACAGGCCCAGCCGAGCCAGCCTTGGCACCGGCCCTTCGAGTCAATTCCACGCTAGCACTCCAGCTAACCCTGAACGAGAATAGCTCGGATCCGATAAAACCAGAGCATCAAAAAAAGTTCAGATAGAGAAAAGTACCGAGAGCACTCATATCCCACCACCAAATACTTCCCCTGCACCGGAACAGAATGGGGAAACGTCAACGAAACCAAGAAGATGGGGACGAGGATATCGAAGCTGTACCTATCACTAGACAAGATCCCCCAACAAAAAAACCACGCAAAGAAACCAATGCTTCCGCACAGCGAACTCTGTTTGTGCGGTCTCTGCCCGCAATTGCAACAAGCGATGCCTTGACCGAACTGTTCTCCCAAAACTACCCCCTCAAGCACGCAACTGTTGTCCTGGATCCGGAAACCAAACAATCGAAAGGTTATGGATTTGTTACATTGGCAGACGCAGAGGATGCGCAGAGAGCTCTTGACGAGTTCAACGGGCAGACTTTCTTGGGCAGGAAGATGAAAATCGAGATTGCGCAGCCACGTTCAAGAGAGATGAGCAAGGGAGAAGGATTAAAGGGCAAGCGGAAGAGTACGATATCTGCAGAAGCTGCTGCGATCAAGAAGGCTCGATTGGACAAAATGGCAGAAGACAAGAAACCCCCAAAGTTGATTATTCGCAATCTGCCATGGAGTGTTAATACGCCAGAGAAGCTTGCTGCTCTTTTCCAAGGTTTTGGCAAGGTCAAATTCTCTGTGCTGCCGAAGAACAAGGATACACAGGCTGGTTTCGGATTCATTACAATGCGGGGCAAGAAGAATGCTGAGAAGGCCCTGGCTACGATTAATGGCACATTGATTGATGGGAGAATGGTGGCTGTGGATTGGGCTGTTGACAAGGACGTTTGGGAAACTCAAAATAAGTCCACTAAGGCGGAAGACACTGATGAAGAAGAGGGCGGGGTCAAATTGGCTGAGAAAAAGAAGAAGCCAGCCAAGAAAGCTGCAGAGAAGAAGTCAGCAGAGGAGTCAGATGGAGAGGATGACGTCGCAAATTTCTTCAAGAACTTTGGTGATCAATTGGAATCCGAGGATGAAGATGACGAGGATCCTAAAGAGGACGATGACGAAGACGCGGAGTCAGACGAGGAGGTAAAGGACGAGGACGAGGTCTGGGAAGATGATGCTGAAGAAGAGTCCGAGGAGGAAATCGAGGAAGAAAAGCCAAAGAAGGTTCTCATTACAGACAACTCCACCACACTCTTCATCCGGAACCTCCCCTTCACAACCCACGACAACGACCTGAAAGAGCATTTCTCCCAATTTGGCCCTGTCCGCTACGCCCGCGTAGTAATGGACCGCCAGACCGACCGTCCCAAAGGTGCAGGCTTCGTCTGCTTCTTCAACGTCCAAGACGCCGACTCTTGTTTCCGGGGCGCCCCAAAACACCAACTTACAGGCGCCAACGCCATCACCAAAGTCTCGCACTCTGTGCTCCAAAATGACGAAGCTGACACCAGCGGCATGTACACCATCGACGGGCGCACCTTGCAAGTGTCTAAAGCCGTCGAGAAAGAAACCGCTGTCAAGCTCACAGACGATGGCACAAACTATCGCACCGAGCGCGACAAAGACAAGCGCAAGCTTTACCTCCTCTCCGAAGGTACCGTCACGGCCGGCACACCTTTATACGAAGCGCTCGCGCCCTCCGAGATCAAAATGCGCGAAGACTCCGCCATGCAGCGCAAAAAGCTCATCCAGAACAACCCAACCCTGCATCTCTCCCTCACCCGTCTCTCCCTCCGCAACCTCCCCAAAAACATCAACTCGAAAGACCTGAAAGCCCTCGCGCGTGAGGCCGTCGTCGGTTTCGCTACAGATGTCAAATCCGGTCTACGTGCTCAACTCTCCAAAGAAGAAGAAGCCCGTGGCGGTGACGAAATGCGTGAAGCTGAGAAACAGCGCAAAGCAAAAGGAAAGGGTATAGTCCGCCAAGCCAAGATTGTATTTGAAGGTCGCGAGGGGGCGAAAGTCTCAGAGGAGTCCGGCGCAGGTAAATCTCGCGGGTACGGATTCGTGGAGTATAGTTCTCACCGCTGGGCTCTGATGGGTTTACGGTGGTTGAACGGCCATGCCGTAGAGAATACATCTACAGGCAAGAAACAGAGATTGATTGTTGAGTTTGCGATTGAGAATGCGCAGGTTGTTCAGCGAAGGAAAGAGAAAGAGGAGAAAGCTAGGCTGAGATCTAAGGAAGTCATGGAGTTGAGAGCGAAGGGCGAAGCTCCTGAGAAAGAGAAGAAGGTCCTCAAGAAGGACGAAGTCATGAAGAAGACGCGCGTGGGCATGAAAGGCAAGCTTGGACGTCCTGGTTTTGGCGGGAAGAAGGGCAAAAGAGGAGAGGATGATGGGAGGCCGCAGAAGAGTTTTGATAAAGTGGATGTCGGGGCCGCGAAGAGGAAGAGAGATGATGCGGAGGGGGCAGCGGGAAAGGGAAAGAAGGGGAAAGGCGAGCCGCAGGAGAAGAAGTTTAAGCCTGGGTTTCCGCCTGGTGAGGAGGGGAGGCTGCAGAGGAGGGAGCAGATTATTCAGAAGAAGAGGATGATGAGGAGGAAGAGAAAGGGTGGTGCTTGAGAGGTTTCTTTTGTTGTGGTGTGGTGGCTATGTACCTATGAGACTAGAAGATACCATTGCTGTAATCTGAGCAGTTCATTGACTTCTATACTCCCGTCCATACCTTCCAGCTATTGGAGTGACTCCTTTCATCCTTTATCATCCGACATCAGCGATTTCATTCTAAGCCATGCCAGATTTCTCTCACTGCTGTCCAATCACGCAGGATCTCACTCTAAATTGCACAAATCTCACCTTGGAAGCAATCTGCAATATACTACAACTACTCTCCTCACCCTCAAGCTAATCACGCTCGTATACTTACACCAGCCCAACGAACTCGAAACTACCTCCATAAAATACATACATCCCCGAATAGGAAATCAAATTTCCAACCTCTAAATTCCAACCTAACCTACAGACTCCAAAATCCACCAAGATACTTAAATTAGGTTAATCACATAGTAAAATATCCTCAAACAAACCAAAATGGACTCGCCAAACCCGTATACAATGCAACAGGAAGAAAGATGGACACCAGAAAGCGAATATCCCACGCCAGTCTCAGCGGATCAAGAACTTGAGTTTCAGAGGGTGGATCCGCTGGGTGGGCTTGGTGGTGGGGGTTGGAGTGAGGGGGTGGGTGGATATGAGGATGGTGGGGAGGATGATGATGATGATATGGAGGGGTAGAGGGAAGGGAGGTGTGGAGGGAGAGGAGGAGAGGTGGGGTGGGGTGAAGGTGGGAGAGATGGGAGGTACAAGATGGGAAGTTCTAGAGGTGGGTGGATGATGCTCATAATAGATGGTTGAGCTAGGTGTTGTATGAGGGAAAGAAGGGGACAATGGCTGGCGTAGAGTACCACGTCCATCCGCCAATGCTATGAACTCCTCTTTGAGGGTGTCCAGCATAGACGTCAAAGAAAGTAGGTACAAGCTCATGAGACATGACTGACTCACTATTTGAATGATATATGTGATCTGCACAGTCACTTGAATCAGCGTCTTGGAAACTTGTCTAGAATGCTAGAATTCATATTCGGTGACTGTAGCCAGCACGAAAATATGAGCAAATCACACTTGGATATTGAACACCGCCTCTTAAGCTGTATCTGATCTCCACATACTTTCTCAATAAGATAGATTTTCCAAGGAAGAAGTACAAAAAAGAATTTAGAGTCGAGCCCTTGTGCGAAGTTACCGACGTTCGAAATACGCGAATCGGGGTAAACAGCCGACAATCTTTCGAGGACTATTTACTGTATCATTCATTACAGTATGTTCGAATATATGCATAAATTCTACAAGTTAGAAGAACCCCTTTATATCTCCGATACCCGTGGATCAGAAAGATGAACACGCGGTCCAACGTGACTTAGACCGGTATCCATGAACCTCTCCCCCTCCTCGCTTAGCGAAAACAATATAGCCGAGACGACGCCTGAAGTTCATATTGCAATACGCCTGGGAGACTCCTTTCCCCCCTCCGTCTCCTCTATATCAGCCGCCACTCGAGTTGCCACTTTCAAAATTACTCCTGGACTATCGAGTTCCGCTCCCGATAGAGTACTCGAATCAAGATGTGTTCAGATCAGTTAAACCTTGCCCGTGCATATATATTCAGGATGATAGATTTTTCCGCTGAGCCTGGCGAAATCTGAGCTGCATCATTAGTTTTTCCTTCCTCTTCTTCCATTTTCTCTGTTCGAACCAGATGAACAAGGGTAGGAATGGAGAAATTGTACTTCCTGATAGCCTAGACAGATACTCCAATTGGCACGACGGGTGGCGGGCCGTTATATGGGAATGCTTTGTGGAAATGAGGGGGATCGTCCCGATCTTTGGGGGATCATGCTTGGGATATGGATTAATTGTTTGAATATCCAACCGGAAAGACCAGCATAGTATCAGCCTCAAGGGAGTATATGTCTTTCCTCTCCCCCTTGAAATATGACGCTGAACAGTTCGTTCAGTGCATCTAGCAGAAAGGAAGTAGTTCCTTCCCACCACCCACACTCCTTACCATGTTTCCCCTCCTCTCCCTCGCGCCTCTCTTCCTGAGTCTCACATCAGCCCTCACACCCGGCCCAAATCCAGAAGTCCACCCTAAACTCACAACTTGGAAATGCACCAAAGCCAACGGCTGCACTCCCCAAAACAGCGTCATTGTCCTCGACCAACTGGCCCACCCCGTCTACCAAGCCAACGACCCCAGCCTCAACTGCGGCACCTGGGGTAACGCCCCCAACAGCACCGTCTGTCCAGACGAAGCTACCTGCGCGAAAAATTGTATCGTCGACGGGATCAGCGACTACGAGAAATATGGGATTAAGACTGAGGGTGGGAGTCTGGTGATGAATCAGCTGAATGGAGATGGGAGTGTGGTGAGCCCGCGGGCGTACTTGTTGAATCAGGAGGGGGATAAGTATGAGATGTTGAAGCTGAGTGGAGGGGAGCTAAGCTTCGATGTTGATTCGAGTAAGTTGCCGTGTGGGATGAATGGGGCTTTGTATTTGTCTGAGATGGAGGAAGAGGGGGGAAAAAGTGAGTTGAATCCCACGGGGGCGAGTTATGGTGGGGGGTATTGCGATGTGCAGTGCTATACTTTGCCGTTTATCAATGGTGTTGTAAGTCCTGCCGCTCTTGGAAAATCAGTCGGTCACTAATCAGAAGTCTGAAGGCGAATCTCGACGCCAAAGGCTCATGCTGTAACGAGATGGATATCTGGGAAGCGAATGCCGTCGCTACCTCCCTCGCACCACACACCTGCAACCAGACCGGCTTGTACAAATGTACCCCAGACGAGTGTGCTTTCAACGGCGTCTGTGACAAGTGGGGATGTTCATACAACCCTTACGGGCAAGGGAACAAGGACTACTACGGTCGGGGCTCAACGGTTGACACCAACCGACCCTTCACAGTCGTGACTCAATTTCCAGAAGTCAACGGTACCATGACTGAGATTCGGCGACTATACGTGCAAGACGGAAAGGTTATCAAGAACGCAGCGGTTAACACCAGTGGTGTCCCAGGAATTAATTTCATGAACGATGCTGATTTCTGCGGTAAGCCTGGTGTTGCATCTCGATATATCGATCTTGGTGGAACAGCTGGTATGGGTGAAGCGCTCGGTAGAGGTATGGTTCTGGTTTTTTCGGTCTGGTGGGATGAGGGTGGATTCATGAACTGGCTGGACAGTGGGAATACTGGGCCGTGTAATGCCACTGAAGGTGATCCAAAGGTGGTGTTGAAGGTAGAGCCAAACCCAGCTGTGACATGGAGCAATGTCAAGTGGGGCGAGATTGGAAGCACTTACTCGGGGACTGCTTAGATGAACAAAGGGATTGTATGTAGGAGCGTAAAGAATATAAATGTCCGTACTTTGATCGGAGCTCTGTCCCCGCGGATGAACGAGTACCATACTGGAAGTTCTTGATCGTCCATAGGGTTCGGGGCGGCTTGGATGGTTCCTTTTTATGCCATTCTTTTATCGATGAGAGGATAATAAATCCTAGCTGACATGACGTGAAGTGTAAGAAGCTCGGGATTGGATGGCTAGTTTTTCTCGCTTGCCAGCCCCCCCTCGTGTGGGGAAAGGTAAACAGTTAGATGTCCGTGTGGCAAGGGGAAGGATGGCGGCTCAAATATCACGCTTGCATCAAAACATGACTGACACTAGTGGAAGATTGATCTGCTGTTTAAATCGTACTTGAGGCGGGGCTGGCAAAAGGACTTTTTGAGATTATAATTTAAGTTTTTCAACTTGTGAATAGACTCCAAGAAATGCCTGTTTCACTATTCTGGGAATATCTATTGAGAAAAAATTGAATCTATACTCTTCTTATTTTACCCCGTTGAATACTTAGTTTTGGACTACAAATGCATGCTTGCAGGTCATTGAGATCCGTGATTCAAAAGATTGACCAGATGCCAAAGAACGGTGTACTAACTTGAGAGACAACGAAGTCTAACCATCTCTCACATAAATATTTTACATTAAAGCACCTCATATTTGATAAGTTGAACATCACCACAAATTTCAACCCTATTTCGCAACAAAATTCAGCTTCGAGCTTCCGCACCAAGATGCCTAATCAACCTTCAACTAGCTCAGCTAGCACCCCAAACCCAGACATCGCAGCACTCGTACAAGCCCTGCTGAATCCTACCTCACCTCAAGCTCCTCAACTCTATCGCCTCCTAAACCTTACACTCTCTCGAACCTGGGCTAGTGGCCCAAGCCCCGACATATCACCACTTCTACAAGCTTTATTAAACCCCACCCCTGCCCAACTCTTTCGCCTCTTCAGCCTCACCCTGTCTCAGAATTTACTCCTACAAATCGCTCTACTGAGACTCATCTCATATCTGGCCCAACCTCCTGTGCAAAGAAGCATCCGCGAGTGGGTATTCAACAACATTCCCGCAGGGGCACAGCTGCAAGATCGTGAACTTGGACCAACAGTCTTGCTACTTGGAAAGACGATCACTAATGTTAAGAAAGCTGTGGAATATGGTATGAAGACTTTGAAGGAGGAACATCGAGAAGGCACAAAAGAGTTGACCTCTCCGGATCGAACTGCTGAGCAAGGGTTGGAGACGGCAGGGAAGATACTTGTTGGACTGGAAGAGCTGATGGAGAGTTTGAAAAAACGATATGAGACTGCGAGCGGACATCAAGCACCTAGAGAGCGGAAGTGAGATGTTAAAGTTCGAAGTGAAGGTAGGTTTGGTTTGTTCGTCGCGTGCCTGCATGGCCTACAGTATTGGGCCTCTATGAGACAGCGGTAGTTACAAAACGAAGTTTAAGTGGCAGATCACAATGAACGTATTTGAACTTAGGAATAGTTGAACTTTCCTTTCGGTCGGAGAATTTGAGTGACTTTTCCACATGCCCGTTGTACTCTCCCTGGCTCCGCGGAGAACTTTGCAGTCAATTCCAAAACCTGTAAGGTCGATACCAAGCTGCAAGCCAATTCTACGTTTGTATCATCATATGGAAGTATCTGAAATTTGCTTCGTGTACTGGTACGCCATTATTCCCATCTGCGACCCTCAAACGCCAGCTCAGTCAAGGAGATTATCGGATAAGTCCAAAAAATCCATTCAATTGCCTATTCAACCCCCAAGTGATTCACATCCACCACCCATTCGTGCCAGAAATAACAACATAAGTTTCATCAATCACATCTACTAATTTTAGAGGAGTGCACAAATAATTATGGAGGATTTTGGGGAAGTCGTGGTTCCCACAGGCTGCCCCGCTTAATTGACCGCGGTCCAGCGACCAGCACCACCGCTCCAAACTTGCTACAGCAACATTCCTCCCACTTACTAACTTCTCAAAACAGACCTCTATATCTCTAACTATCCTCTCTTGTGCCACATACGACCATAGACTGGTGAGACCTGGGCATCCCGTCCGCTCTGCCATACATAAGCACCAGATCGGTGGATTAGTAGTTGGGTGGGTGACCACCAGCGAATACCCACTGTTGTATGTTTTTTATTTTTTGATATTTTGTAATTTTGGGCCTCCTTGGTTCATGTCCAGAGCACTTCTTGGGTCGTGGCAGTTGGTAGCGTCATTTCGGTTGGATATAATTGGAAGTAAATAGATTACACAGCTAAGCGAGTGATTAGCTTCCCTCCTGCCTTGAGAACTCTTCTTGTCTTATCAGCGCTCAGCCGACAATTTCACCGGTTTCAATACCGAGGTGAAGATTCCTATAAGTCTACAGTCTTCCAAGACCACAAGCATGATGGGTACATGATCATCAAGTAATCACATCAGCCGACGGGAGATCTTGACTTTTAGAAACTATGCAAGGATTCTCATGGGACTCAATCCCACAGTATCAAATACTTCTCTGGCTAGAACGCAGAAGCACGTCAATTCTCTGTCACCTTAGCCACTAAGTTTACTAGAAATCGAAGGAACTCGTTGTTGTATTCATTTTCCTAGGATGGCCCAAATCTCAACTCCACAGTAACAACTTCTAAAGGCCAACAACAAGGCTAACCATTTCCAATGCCAAAGGTTACGCAGCTTGCTTACTACGGACATGAATCCAAAGAGAGTAATACCGATATTTGGATGGTCGCCTGACAGCTCGGCAACAAGGAGCTGAGCACTTGGCCGAGATTCGTGCCGTGCCGAGTTCCGTTTGCCAAGGATTCAAAGACAACGTCTGGGGATCGAAGTCAGACATTCGGGAATGGCGGCATCTTTTTTGAAGTGGAACGCTCTGATTATGTTCGTATTTGACAGAGGGATAATTTATGAGGTTCCCGGAAAAGGGCAGTCCTCGAAGCCATTGGCTGTAATGCAGATAGAATCCATCGCAACCCAAACCCCATGCTGTGACAATGAAAGAATCCCCAAACTCGGTTGAAAGAAAGACAGGCATTTATCCCGTTCCCTTTATTCACTAATCCTTTAGCAACAACATGTCAAGCAGTCCAAGCAGCAATCACATGTCTCCCCGCACATCCAACAACAACACAAGGTTGCCAAGCTGAGGCACATGTCAGCAATGGAATGTGAAACAAAGGGGGAAATTGATCTATTCACCATCCATAGAGACATCCACGGTCCTTTTCAGGAGGAGCTTGTTGTGGTGGTGGAGCTTGCTGGTACATCTATGAGCAGTCAGTATGTTATGTAAAAATGGAAAGTTGAAGTCATCAGCGGAAGTCTTACGGGCTGTTGTTGAGGAGGGTATCCGTAACCTTGTTGAGGTGGAGGTGCACCATAGGGCTGAGGTGGTCCGTACTGGTCATGGCCACCATATTGTTGAGGAGGATATCCAGACATGGTTGAAGTTGATGGATGTTGTTGAATTAAGGTAGACCGGAGGCTTGGAGTTGTGGCTTCGAGTATCGAAAGTACGTGAAATGGAGAAAGACTTTCCGAGAGGCGAGGTGGTGGCTTTGTAGTGTTACAGTTCTGATGCCAAGGTTGAAGCTCAGGGGTTGTGAAAGGAAGACTAGCGCGCGCCTTGGGAGTGGAGTCGGGATTGGGTGGCTGATGATTCGCCAAGGGATATCAACGTGGCGTCGCTAATAATATATCAAGATGGACAAAGAATCGTGGGGCTATGCGGCCGACTTTGTGAACGATAATCCCAGCTCAGCTGAATTATTTTCTTGGCGTTGTGGAAACATGTGCTCGTTTCATATCCACTTTGGTGGAAGTCGGCAACCCCAAGCTTAAGGAGGCTCAAACATTTACCGAAAGTAAATACTCCACACCCCGCCTCCTTGTCGTCGACTGAAAGCATGGTCTGCAAGATGCGAAGATTCAATTTCACAGTCTCCAGCATGCTCAGAGCCTTCTATATGTGATTGAATCACAATAGCGTCGTGATGAATTCACTTTTGGTAGTATCACAAAGAGTGATTGTCAAGAAAGGTGATACAGTTCCACTGCCAATCACGCGAAAGCGTTGGGCATCTATTTTCGCTCTATTCATTAATCACACGGCAAGAATTTTTTCTTTCAAATCCATTGATTACATTCCGTGTCACCCCTTCAGAAGCTTTTCACTCGTCGAAAAGGAGAAATGATAAAGCCCTCAAACAAACTTCATGTCTCAAGGCCAAGAGATCAATAATGAAGATGGACGGATTATCACGATCCCCCCTCTGGAGGGAGCCAGGACTGAAAACCCCCCGAAATGATCGAAATCTCAACGAGCTCGCTAGGCTGATATTTCTCAACCTCTGCAAAAACATGGAGTATTACATATCCATCTACGGTCAGAGTAAGGGACGCCATCTGGTTCTCGACCGCCTTCTCTCAGCAGGAGACTACGCCATACAACTCGGTAAGGTGTGCCAGATGAATCTTACACCAGTAGATGCTACATTATTCTTCCTAGGCTTGGACTACAGCGGCAAGTCCGAGGATTGGGGAGAAGGCTTCTCGTCTGCCGTTTTCAACATAGGAGATTCTCTGCCAGGACACCTTGATATTCTTCTGCGAAGAATTGAATGGGTTCATGATCGTGTGAGAGAGCTATCGCTACACATGCTGCATGATTCTGAGCCTGATCAGCTGCTGGATGAGATGCTGAAGAAACGACATCAAGAAGACATTGTGACTTGCGACATGATCCTGGAGAAGTTGAGCCTATTAAAGATGACTCTTCATCAGCGGTACGGATTGGGAGCAGCCTCTAACAGCTTCGAATTCTGAGTGACAGCACTTCTATAACTGACCAGAAGGCTGCACATTCATAGTCGATGGTGGAGTGGAGGTTATCATACAACGGTGGTTCTTGTAACTTGAGACTTGAGCTTCAGCCGCCTCTCTTTGGGCATCCACTCATGTAATATAATAATATCTCAGGCAGGTGTTTGCATTGAAGTGCCTCTTGAATGTATTCTGCTTCTATCATCTCCGAGTACTACTCTTGTGGCATAGCGCCAGTTTTGAAGAACGGGAGATTCCACTGAGCGAAATCGTGTACATGGACCTAGCTGTGCCTGTCTTTCTGACTGTTGTTGTATATCGGTGGCCGGAAATACCTTCCACACCCCTCAGTTATGATAATTGATGTAGAATGAAATGAATGAATGAACAAGGATATGAGTAGTAGCATGATTCACAGAAGTGCAATTCGTGGGAGGTGCAGAAATAGATTATTCCAAACCCTTTGTGTTTGCTGCTGCAATTAATTCTCCTTTCATCTTGCTATAAATCCTCATTATAAACATAAACTGCTGATCTTCTCTTAAGTCCTATTCCCAACAAACGTTCCAATATTCCTCGCCTTCCTCACAACATTTTGCACTCCGCCCAATACACTGTCTAGAAAGCAATTTAAGCAAATCAAACCTTATCTTCAACCATGACCCATAATGTTCACCAACTTGGAGGCAGTCCACACTACCGACAACCCACTTTTGAGGAGGTACAACAGCGTATGGAACGTGCTCAGAAGCTCATGCAAGAGCAGCAAGAGGCCCAAGAAAAAGCATGGTTCCAAGAAAACAAGGCGGAGCTCAAAGAGGCAGCCATCAAACAAGTCGAGGAAATGCAAAAAACACTTCCTCTTGTGGACCCTAATAGAGCCATTATCAACCACCTCGCCATTTTCTACCAGCTACTTGACGGAGTATACACCAGACCTCAACGAGGAAATTGGACGTCTCCCACCCGAGATCAGTTTCGAAGCCATGGCACACGATATCGGAGTATTGTCTTTCGCCGCAACTCTGCCAAAGGGGTCTGGAGACAAAGAGTTGAAGAAATGGGCACAGATTTCTTTCACCCTTCTCGGTGATGTAAAGAAGCCCGTCAACGAACGACTCTGTAACCTCATCTGGCTGGTTGCCAAAAAGATCGACCTTGCAATCACGACAATGCAGAAGCACGTTAAGGCTGTCCAAAAAGAAATTCTGAAGGGTTACGAGGAAAGGTTCAACGATCCAGTTGCAGCGGATATTATGAAACTGCGCCACGAGGATCATAGGAAGCGTGGTGATATATTGGCCGAGAAATATAGCGATCTACGGAAATTGCTGCGGGTTCGGTTTGGAGATGCGGAGGACAAATTCAAGGACAAGCATAAAGATGACCTCAAGCTCAAAGGAGAGATTCCAAAAGAAGAGATAGAACAGATGAAGGTTGCTACTCAGGCAGCAGAGGTTGAGGAGTTTCGCTTGGCCTCTCGTGATTCGTCAGCTTGAGCAATTTGTGTGCTATGACACGAGCCATGGTTTAGTCCCTTAACTCGACCCAATGGATGGCTTTTTGTTGTAGCATCTGTAAACATAGATAGTAGGCGCTTGATGTTGTGGTAACGACACATCGCAGCCATTACCGAATTCATTCATAGACTTCACAGCCACGTGACATAACGTTGACATTGAGAAGGCTTAACGAGCACTCTAATTCTGATACACAGCGGTAAGGATGATGTATGAAATAAATTCTGTTTTCTATGCGTCTACTTGATAGATTACTTAAGCTGAATACGCACATTCTGAGACAATCACAAACTGTAGACCTGTCAATGAACGAAAATTCTGGGATTGACTTTGGGATTCACTCTGGCATTGCCGTGATTCAAAAAAGAATCAAAATGTACGTCACCCACATAAGTATCTTCCTTCAAGATTCTGATCTTTGTTATAAAGGCTCTGATCCACGGTCAATAAGCTGTTCTCACCAAGCAACCTCACACCTACACATATTTGATACTGCCTGACACCATGGTGAAGCCTTCATTATCAGACAACATGGCAGCTTCAGAGAACACCACCTCAACCCAGACAGATGAATCGTACGTCACAGAATGTTCCTGGCAAGCTACACAAGACGGTCCTCAGACTTTCAAAGTCGTCGGCAGAACCCCTCCTGCAGGTTATGTGCTGCACCTCAGCATCGTCGATAATCAACTCACGGAGCGATTGACAAAACCGAACATCGCAAACAGCTTCTTTCTTCTCGAGGATGTTCGGAAGTTCGTCAACAGAATCGACGCACAAGAGATAGCATTCCCTGAGATCCCAGAAGGAAGTTTGGTCGAGACTTCGATCAACGCACCTGTCTCACCCTATCACATGCTGAAATACGCTTTGGATATTCAATTCCTGGAAATATATCTATACAGCGAGGAGTTCCGTCGCGAAGAAGAAGATGATGAAGATGGCCAGTCTGACGAATGGTTTATGTCAGATCGGTTTGATATGGGCAGGCGCTTTATCTATTCAGCAATGCAGCTGGATATGTTGATCAAAGGATATATGGATGCTATATTGGACGGAATGAAAGATTCAGGCAAAGACGGAATTGGAGAAGCCAGTGGAAGCAATGATGAAATCAAAGGCGAGGTACAAAACGCTCGTCACCTGCTACAGTCAGGGCAGGATCTACGGGATGATTTGGCTAAGCTGGAAGAAGAATTTATGGCCCATTTTGGGGTTTCTGGTGATATGCTTGATAGATTCAGGGCACTGACTGGTCAATTTTATGGAGATGCCATTGAATATGATGCAGAAGAGACAACTGGGGCATTTAGTGGTCTGCAAGTAAATGATGCAGAATGCGAGAGAGAAACATCCGCGGGGGAAAAAGAGCCCTCGGCAGGCAGCTTGTAAATTAATGGGTTGTGTTTATTGATATAATTGCATGATCTTGAAGAAAAAAGTGGCCACAGAATGTTCTCTAACATTGTTCATGTTGATATGTTGTCATAGTGTTCGCTGTCTTTGCATTTTCCCCTGCAGTGTGATAACGTTGCGGTCCGATGAGCACAAATCGTCAACAGCGGTTTGTGGTTAACACACGACCTGAAAGTTGATTTTTATCAGGTCATGACTGTTGACACACATCAACTCAAAAGTCCCAGATCCTCCATTTGGTTGTGAGATCCTAGCATCAAGCTTAGAATCAAGAAAGTAAACAGATCAGACCGAAGCCCCTAAGAGAAGCAAGAAGAAGGTTGGGGCTAGCAGCGACGATGCTAAAGAAACGCAAGAATCCCCGAGAGGTCCGTCTTGAAGTCCTAAAACTGCCTGAACATAATGATATAAGGACACAGTCTTGGTATAGGTACTATAGAACAAAGAAAATGTATCCACAGAAGCTACATTATGTAAAATCCCTGATACCGGCACGAGTGTAAACAAAGACCAGCCGGCACAAAGAGCCCGCACTATCCCCTACCCAGCTTCAAATTATTGCTTTCCACCCCAGCCACAAAATGAACTCCTGAGTCCGAACCTCTAATTATAAAACATATCCCACTCAGTTCACATCCCGAATAATCCCACACAAAAATGGCATCCCAAATCAGCACCCTCCTCACCAGCACAAACCTCCTGACCTCGCTCCCACTCACGGCCCCAACTTCTCTCTATAAAACCTTTCAATCACTCTTTATAATCAAATCTCCTTTTGGAGACGCAGCCACACAACAGAATATACAACTGAATGCTGCGTTTCTGGAATATTTGACGACTCAGCGAGTTGCGAGGGTTAAGGAGTTGTTGAGGATGTGGTGGGTGGAGAGCTTGAAGAGCGAGAAAGAGGAACGGGATGATGCGAGAGGGGAGGAAAAAGGAGGAGAGATCAGTGACATGGAAATCTTGGATGAGTTGCAAAAGTACATTGAAGACGGAGTCAAGACCCTGTGTGTGCAGTTTTATGGGCAGGAAGTTGAGGCGATGGTGAAAATGAAGGAAGTGAGGAGGAAAGTGGATGGGATTTTGCAGGAGGCGATTAGTATCTTTTGGCCTTATTTTATTTGTCAGACAATGGAGGTACTATGAAAAGTGGAGGTGCGTCGCCACATGAAAATAGAGGATTGGATTATTGTGGCCTGATTGAATACTTTTAGTTCAACAAGTGTTTCCTTTTCATGCTGTCATCTATTGACCTCCGAGTCCACTCATCGTATCTCACTCAAGTTCCATGTCGCACTCTCTTCAAACCATGTTCAACAACAAGTACCTAAACCCAGCATACGTCTCCACACCCGTCGGCAAGATCTGACTAGCAGGCAACACAAACCCATTGGTTCCAGTATCTCTCAACTCAATGGTGAAAGTATACTTCGCTTTTGTGACATCAGCGACGTAATCAACAGAACTTCCAGTAGCTTGGTAGATCGTGGAGCAGATGGGGCCGGACTGGTATGTGGTTCCGTAGACCGCTCTGATGGCGTTTGCGGCGCCCCGGGCGAGGGAGTTGAGCGTTACGCTGTTGGGAGCGACGGCTGTGCAGGAGTAGCCGTATGCTGGGGGATGTGTTAGTTTAGATTTGAGAGAGATGGCAGAGGAGGAGGAAGGAGAGGAAATGAGAGAGGTGGGACGAACGGGTCATGAAGAGCTGGCTGTAGGAGTGGACGTCGATGTAGAGTTGGAGACCTTGAGCTGCGGCGATTTTGTTGGTGTATGCAAGTAGGACTTTGTTCTCGGTTGCATCACCGGCTGCGAGACCTGAAGAAAGGAAACGTCAGCAGAGGTCTTCACTTCGTGGATGGTTGACATACCTTTGAATGTCTCGTCGCATGGGTTGGTGGAAGCACCACCTGGTACAGACCATCTGTAACTTGGATTAGCATTTTGAAACTTCTGTCATTGGAGATTGAACTTTCTGGGGCTGAACTTACTGGTAGGGCCAATTTCGATTGACATCGCGACCAACACAAGTGCTGGTAGAGACAGTCTGGCGATTCTTACGCCAAAGTCGGTTGGTTGTTTGAGTGTAGACGAAACCTGACAGAAGTCAGATTTAGATTTCAATTACTTGGGATTGGGAGGGAACCTACCATCTGGGTTCACAACAGGGAAAATGTAGAAATCGTACTTGTCAACAAATCCCTTGATCTCGGCACTGCTTCCATAGTTTTGCAAGAGGTAGTATGCGAGATACTCGGTTGTCTGAAAGAAACTCGGGTTACTTTATACACTTACATTACCAGTCATTCAGGTAATCAACTTACCATAGTTGTAATCCATTCTCTAGCATGAACAGTGCCATGAAGGATAATAGCAGGCTTGACACCCTTTCCGGAAGCACCCCAGAAGTGAATACCAGTGATGGCCCTTCCACCATTGGAATTTCCGGCAACCACGATCTCGGATCTTGTGCTGTTCTGGGCAACAAGGTCTCTCAAGAATGTGAGATGGTCTGCGTACGCATGGTATGCATTGAACCAGGAAAGATCGGCAGCAGCAACTTCAAGCACATTCGTCAGTCCGCGAATCTGGAGATATGATGTCGTACTTACTCGAGAACTCAGGTGCAGTGCCCTCAGCATCAATAGATGCACCAAGATCCTCATGCATAACTTCCGTCTTCATCGACTTTGTCAACTCGCTGAACTCTTTGACGCTCTTGGCCGGGACAACAAGATCGACATGCGAGTTTGGACTGGGGATGCCATTTGGGGCTCCTTTCCAGACTGACAGGTCAAGCTTTTGAATCACGTTCATCAAAGGGGTGACATCTTCGCCGACGGGGATGCGAAATGCTTTGGCGCCATTGTAGCTTACTTTAGCGGAAGAGGCGACACTGACGAGCGCCAGAAGAGTCACAGAGAGGAGCTTCATTATGGGAGATGATTTGAGCGATGGAGAAGAGGAGAAAACCCTGGAATTGGCGGATACTTAAATACTTACCACGAGCTTACAACCCCAGAAAGGTCATCTTAGTTCAGAAAGCTAAATGAGGGGATCAACATCGAAGCGAGCGCTTGCAAGATATGAAGCCACAAGGATACCTCGACTATTGAAGAAGGTCGAAGGTCACAAGTAGTTCCTTCGCTAATGCAAATCTGGCATACATGACGATTGGAGAAGGTCAAAAGTACTTGCAGGTGATGGGCTTTCATAAATGCACTTCTCGCCCATGCCACCTCGGCCTACCTTATCTTAGATCCTGCAAGGTCGACATAACGCATAGCAGAGTGCAATACAAACCTTCTGTAAACCTTCTTGGTTAGCGACGTGCGTATGCCGACAAGTACACTTGATTCTCGGCAGCCGAGGGCGGAATGTTTATTCCAGCTTCCGCTTTGAGCCAAGTATGCTTCTTGGCCAATCGGCAAATCGTGAGTTGTTATCTTGGCTCCTTCTACTTGGATGCTAGTGCATTTCAAATAGACATGCAAGTCATGGAGAGTCACAAGCCACGGATCCAAGAGGATATCAAATGGAGTGCCGATATGCAGTCGTGGGGAGAGCGGTGCTAACCGCTGGCCCTGCGCGGGGTATTAGTCCGGCTGATATAGCGAATCACACCATTGTTCATATCTGAGGAGGTGGTTGCAGATACACCAGCTTACTATGCAGGTAGAAGCACATGGCCAGTATGTACGGATTCGTTGAAAAGCTGGCTTGTCTTCAGATTCACACTTTCCTATCCCTACGGGGTTTTCATGCAGACAACGTTTGTAAAGTGTCTGCATTTTGTCTATATTCTTAGTAGTAGTAAAATACAAATAAAATTCAGACAATATCTGCTACAAGTGTATCTAAAAAGTGCAGATAATTTAGAGTTTATCAAGGGTATAAGAGTTTAAGTAACTCGGACTTTTCATATTTCAATTCAAAGTTAAATATAGACCTTCTACCCACTTTCGGAACACTCGGAAAGGAGACCTACCTTTGGAGGGGAGGGAGACCTACCTTTAGAGGGGAGGGAGACCTACCTTTGGAGGGAGACCTTTAAGGGAGACCTTAGAGAAGGGAGGAAGACCTTAGAGAAGGGAGGGAGACCTTAGAGAAGGGAGGAAGAGAGAGAGAGTAGGAAAAGGGAAGGGAAGGAAAGGGGAAGGGGAAATACTATCCCCCCCCAAGCTTGAATGTTAAATCTCATGAGAACTGGAACCGGTGTGGATAGCTGTCTAGGGTGTCTGTCTAATAAACAGAACTGCTTTGAGCCCTAGTAGGTCTCTAGAACCTTCTAAACCTGCCCTTGCTCTTGACATAGACCATATTTTAGCTCGTGCTTTTGAGCTGTCCAGGGTATTCAGCTAATCAGAAGACTTCAGTCAGACCTTCGCCCCATAAAACTAGCAGTTTAACATTCAAGCTTGAGGGGGGTGGGGGGGGGGGGGGGGGGGGAGGGATACAGTAGTAGGAGGAGGGAAATTAACTTTATTAGTCAGAAAACTCTTAAAATACAGATAATAGCTATATTTCCTTTAAATTACAGATAATATCTGTATTTTCACTTTAAATCCTTAAAAATCGATCAGAATCAGAGAATCTAACTAAGAAAAATACAGAGAATTAACTAAAATATAAACAGAAAATCTGTCTAAAATACCTGTTTACAGATAGTATCTGTAAGAAGTGCAGTCAGTGTCTGTAAAAAAACCCCCCATAGGGAACACAAGTTAGGCTTCGGTGTCTATTAGTTAATTTTGCAGTGACATGGCTACATTGTTTGCTGTGTCTCAATTTCAGGGATAGAGTTACCAAGGCAAGGCACCACAAATCATTCTTCAACCTTCCCCGCACATGATCAGTGAAGGTTCACTACAGTAAAATCATGTTTTCAGGTCCACACGGGGCAAGCGTGGGGTCACAGTAGTTTCGACCCCTCCTTTTTTTTTTAGCGAGCTTTCGAGGTGAACAAAATATTGACAACTCGCTCCGTGCCGCATCAGCCATCGCTTGGTTTCCATCAGTTAAGAAGTTGCTATTTCTTATGGTACAAAGTCCCAGAGTATATTTACTCGCTAATGAAACTGGATTCGGACGAATGTCAACCAACAATGCAGTCATGAGGCTCAGCTGCATGGAGGACCTGCAACTTAAGATGGTCCCTCCCACTTCTGACCAAACTATTTCGCCTCCTTTGTTAACATCTGTATTTGCATGTCGCAACTCCTGAACACAAGATCGGGTCACCAGCAACCTCCGATCGAACAAGCTCCTTAAGAAATACGATGGCCGTCAACCCTAACACGACCTCCTCAGATATTCCCAAGCGTCGCTACCACCCAAATCCTTTCCTCACCTCATCCCCTTCCTCACCAGTCCCTAATGCCCCTCAACCTCTAAAACGCGCCCTCCTCCCCAGCTATCTCCTCGCCTCCCTCACTCACATCCTCACCAACTGCCCACCCACTCTCCCCTGGCTTTCCCCCTTCCGGGCCGGAATCCCCTCCCAGACTTACAAAGGTCTCTTCTCAGGCCCAACATCCATCGCCTACCTCTTCTACAGCCTGTCACTCTCCACCACACCTACAACTCGCACTCTCCAGATACACAACAAAACCCTCCTCCAATGGAGTAAAGCGTACCTCTCTCTCGGTCAAGACACAGTGCCGCGAATGCTATCCCAAAATTGCGGAATCTCAAACGAGTACCTCGCTTTCCACACCCTCTCAGCATGCATCTACAGGGATGAAACTCACGCTATGAAAGTATTAAACGCGCTTGGGAATTTAAACAAAGACAAAGAGACGACCCCAGCGACGTATTGTGAGTTATTGAAAGGTCGCGCGGGGGGGTTATACATACTTCGACTACTCAAGCGGGGGATGCCCCACCTGACTGAAGAGATTGACATCCTGAGCGAAAAGCTTACCGATGAGATCCTAGGACAGTATCCCTGGACATGGGACGGGAGACGATACCTCGGTGCCGTGCACGGCGAGATTGGGATCCTGACGCAGATTGTGTTGAGTTCGCCTTCTCGATCTCGTGCTCGCGCTCAATCTGAATCTCATCCATTCTTGGAGAAGATACTCCTTGAGATACTGGATCTCCAAGGAGAAGATGGGAATTGGCCTGTTGTTCCGGGGAAGGATCTCGGGCTCGTGCAGTTCTGTCATGGTGCGGCGGGGGTGGTGATTTCGCTACTGGCGATGAAGAGGTCTTTTTTTTTTTGAAGGAGGGGGGGAGGAGGTGCAGAGGAGGATAGAGGAGGCGGTGGGGAGGGGGAGGGAGTGTGTTTGGGTGAGGGGGGTGTTGGTTAAGGAGCCGAATGTTTGTCATGGGGTGGTGGGGAATGCGCTTGTTTTTGAGGGGGGGAGGAGGGAGGCATTTTTGGGATTAGTGGGGGGTCCGGAAGGGGTGTGGGAGGGGAGGGAGGAGAGGGTTGGTGATGGGGATGGGGTTAAGAATGGGTTGAGGTGGGAGAGAGATGAGGATCCGTTTGGGTGTTTGTGGGGGGAGGCGGGGAGGGCTTGGGTTTGGGGGATGGAGATTGAAAGGACGAGTGAGATGGTGGCGGATGGGAGGTGTCCGTTGTATACAGATGTCTGATGAAGTCTTAGTCGTTGTCTCTTGCACTACTTGATTGGGGCTTTCAGTGTTGACACAGGTTCCGTTCCTCCATTTATTATACTTAATATCCTCCAGACGGCTTTTGTACAGATCACATTACAACATCATGACACTGCTGGCAAAGGAACGTGTATGTGTGTATGCCCGAAAGCAAAATCATCCAATTTGGATTCATCATATAAAGCTACCTAGCTACCAGAATCATTTCATCATCCCAGGCCAGAAAACGAGTGAATAGAACAGAAGATTTGTTACGATCGAAGCCAATTTAGACTCGAAAGAGTAGAAGCAGCAGCCTCCCAAGATAAAACAAAAGCAAAAGCAGACACGCGATACCAGTCAGGCGTGTACTCTGCTTAGCAGGAAAGCCAATGACAGTCCCAAGGAGAAAAAGGAACAAAGATCAACGATCCAGAAAGCCAGAAAGCCGACAGTTGAATGGAACTGTGATATGAGATGTGAAATGCGAAATCCATTCTCCAACATCATATCACGCAGAGGTGCAACGAACACTCATGCCTCACCGCGCGAGTGTTCTACCTCTACCAGGGATCTACTGACACGCGATTAAACGGCAGTATCAACAGGCACGATAGCCTGTCCCTTCCCACTCCAAATACCAAAATGTCGTTTAATCGCCTTCCAACTCTCCACGAAAGCGATATAGCACACCAACGCACCAAACACGACACCCCACTCCCAGCTGATACTCTTATGCTTGAACACAGTCTTGTTCACAACTGGGATGTAGATAACTGGGAACGTGATGACAAAACCGGCGACGACAGCCCAGAGCAGAAAGCGATTGTACACGAGCGCTTTGAAGATCGAGAAGGGCCCTTTGAAGCGGCGCGGGTCGAGGTTGAATAAGCTGCGGGAGAAATGCTTGACCTCCCACGCTGTGACCAAGAGCAAGAAACTCAAGACAGCGAAAACGGTAGCGCGTCCTTCGAAGACCACGTCACAAGTTTCGTTCCAATCCTCATTACAGTCAGTGCCAAGTTTGCCGTTTCCTTTACCGAAGACGACAATGATGAAGGATACGAGGCAGAGGATTCCGGCCCAGGTTCCGTAGAGCATTTTATCAGTGATGAGTTCCCAAGTGAAGACACCGACGCGGAGATCGCGTGGGGCGCGGATCATGATATCGGCTTGAGCTTCTTCCATTCCGAGGCCAAGGGCGAGGAAGGAGGACGTGACCATGTTGACCCAGAGGATTTCGAGGGGCGAGAGGGGGAAGACGGAATTTCCTTCGCTATCCTTGAAGGCGAGGGCGATGAGGAGAAGGATGACTTGGGAGATGTTCGAGATGAGGAGATGCATGAGGAACTGGTACTTGTTAGCGGAGAGTGTAAGAGAAAGTGGAAAGTCAAGCATACCTTCTGGATGTTATCAAACAGACGACGACCTTCCTCGACTGCTTTCACAATTGAGGCAAAGTTATCGTCTGTCAACACCATATCCGCTGCATCTTTCGCGACATCGGTACCATTGATACCCATGGCGATACCAACATGGGCACGCTTCAGGGCTGGTGCATCGTTGACACCGTCACCTGTCATTACACAGAAAGCTTTTCGACGACTCAATGCATCAACCATTCTGACTTTCGTCGTGGGGCTGCATCTGGCGAGTACAAGAGGAAGAGCAGAAAGTGCGTCGATCTCTTCGTCTGACAGCTTATCGAAGTCTTGAGCTCTCATGACTGAGTGCGAGGTTTGCGTTGAGGGGACGAGAATGCCAACTTTCTGGGCGATGGCTGTAGCGGTACTCAGATGGTCGCCGGTGAGCATGTGAACAACGATACCTGCTCCGTGACATTTCTTGACAGCATCAAGGGTTTCAACACGAGGTGGATCGTAAAGTCCGACAAGGCCTTGAAGCTTGAGACCCGATTCCATGAAAGTGCGGTTGTTGAGTGAGTCTTCCTGTTTCTCTGTTACAGTCTTGGTGGCGATGCAGAGGACTCGAAGTCCTTCACTAGCAAGCTGTTCGAGGATAGGATTGAGAGTTTCCTCTTCTTCTTTGGTGATATCGAGGACTGGGAGGATCGACTCGCTTGCGCCTTTAGCGAAGATATCAATGTCTCCAGTTCGTTCGTTTTTGAAAGCGACGGACATTCTTTTGAGACTAGAGTCAAATTGGTGTTCGATAGCGGCAACCATATTGCCGTCACGTAGTAGAGCTTCTTTTCCACGACCGAATCTCATAGCCAGGACCTGTAAGGCGATTTCGGTAGGGTCACCAATAGCTGTCCATTCTCCAGGGCTAAAATTGAATGACTTTTCGTCGATGGAATCGCCACTGGAAGAGTTGGATTTGAAGACAGTAGCGAAGTTGCAGAGAGCGACGGCATCAAGAACAGGACGTAGAAGTGCTACTTTCGACTGAGAAGTGAAATCCAGCTTGTCAAGTGGTTGATCATTGATCGCAAGCTTTCCATCATCAGGATCCAGGATATTCGTAGTATCTTTGACGCTGAGCATTCCCAATTCTGGGACCCAGACTTTGTGGGCAACCATTTTACCCTGGGTTAGGGTTCCGGTTTTGTCAGAGCAGATATTGGTGACACCTCCAATAGCTTCGAGTGCCGCCATGCGTCTAATGACAACATTACCTCGAGCCATTGCTTTGACTCCAACAGCGATAGTGATGGTCATGACAGCGATTAGAGATTCCGGAATGACGGCAACTGCAACGCAGATACCGTAAAGGACAACTTCATTGTGAAGCTTCCATTTGTTGGCCGAGAAGACGATGATGGCCAGGAGGATGGCAAGGCCGAAGAGCAGGATTGCAAACTTGGAAAGCTTGACTTGCATTGGGGTACCGACAAGTCCAAGAACACTTTTGAATCCACGAACGAATTTCTGGAAGAAGCGGCCAATGGCACTTGAACTTTTCGGTTTGGCGTCCTCGCCTCGAAGGAGCGAGGCCACACTTCCGACTTGGGTCTTCATTCCAGTAGCGACGACGATACCGGTGGCACGGCCTCGCGTGACAGTCGTTGCCGAGTAGACCATGTTGATCCGATCTCCGATAGAGGTATCACTACCTCCATTCAGGATGCTGTCAACATGTTTCGAAGCTGGTAGGGACTCTCCAGTGAGCAGAGCCTCATCGACTTCCAAGTTGGCGCTCTCCAGCAGGCGAAGATCAGCAGGGACGACAACACCGGTAGCGAGCTTAACAACGTCACCGACGACAAGCGTGTCGGCTTTGACGATTTCAATCTTGCCATTTCTGATGACTTGCGACGAGGGCGCAGCAAGACTGAGCAGCGATTGCATTGTCTTCTCTGCACGAAAGTCTTGGACGAATCTAGTTTGATGTTAGTCTAGACCATGACATGAGTCGGGAGGCGGGGTGGCGAACCCAAGAACAATGTTCAGAATGATGACAGCTGAAATGACAGCACCTTCGATGAAATCTAGGGTGCCGTATGAGAGAGCCATAGCGATGACTAGGACCTTGAGTTGATGATGAGAACAAGTGCATCCATATCATTGAGAGAAACTCACAATCGTCAAGCTGTTGGAGACCTGTCTGAGTAAGACTTCTCCGATGGATACTTTGCCAGAGCCATCGATTTTGTTAGGGCCATCCCGTTCAAGACGAGAGAGAGCCTCAGGAGAAGAAAGTCCATGTCTGTTCTGTTAGCTGGACACTAAATAACTCGAAAAGATATTAAGGTAATAATGAATATCAAAGTGGTGGATAAGCAAGGGCACATACTGTGGATTAACTCCTAGGTGGGCAGCAACAGCATTTCCATCAGACACATGTGCAGTGTCTGGATTTCCATCCCAGGACTCGAGGGTCCTGAAAGAGCCATCTTTGCTTCCGATATCAATAACACTGTTTGCAGCAGTATCGTCATCCTGAAGCACCGAGACGGGCAGCGGTTTTTCTCTTTGTGGTTGTTTTTCTAAGGTGGGGCTTGGCAGTCGTATAGGAGGCTCGTCAGGGTCCTGACCTTCCTGAGCTTCGATGGCGACAGGCTGGGCGTGGCTGTGGCCATCGATATGAGTCGTGAGAGTAATAACCATTCGTTTGGGTGAGCGATATCCGGGGTGTGGTAGATGCCTTTAGGCTTTGATAGGGGTGTAGGGTAAGGGTTGGAGGGGTTGATAGAGGGGGGGAAAGAGGGGAAAGCAAGAAGCTATGAAAGAAAGAAAGATCAAACAGCGTTCATCCCACGCCTCCAGCGGTGGGGTACTTGTATGCTTTTGCATTCTCCGCGTGTGAGGGGACAGGAGGGGTACGCTCGGTACGGTATGGGGGACAGTGGCAGGTGCGCGTCAGTCCCCGCTTTGCCATGGAGAGGGAGCAGCTTGATGGCTCCCTAGTGGAACACCAAGCGATGCTGGTCTTGCTGAGCCATGGCAGGCCATTGGCACCGAATGATGATGGTGATAACAGGGACGCTCGGATTATGTAACATGACCTGAATCTGCCACACGCAGGCAAAGCAGACTGGTTGAGAATGGGAGTGAGGGAGTGGTGAGGCGTCTGACTGGTTGGAATACCCGTCAAACAGGCGTGGGAGGGAATGCTGTCAGATCGTTGGTTTGTGATATGTGCCAAGCACACCAAGTGACTTGGCTGTCGGAGAGCGAGGCGCAGTTGCATATCACGTGTCTTGGTATTCCAACTTCCAGACATGTTGGGAATCGCTAGATGCTGAGACAGAGGCAAACAAAAGAAATAACTAGAGACAAATAAGGCACAGTTCTGTCCCCATCATAGGTTGAAAATAGCAAACTTGACGGGCTGCGAGGAAGTGGCGATTGTTGGACTCATTCCCATGTTACATGATCTGGACGACCGCACACAAACATTTAAAGCTTCTCAAAGCTTCGGGTAACGGAATTTCTCCAGAAGTTGGGGGGGGGGGACTATCCGGTGCCATGGAATGCCAGGATGGCGGAGAAATTGGCATTCTGATATCAAGGCAACTCGAGATGACAACATCAGTACATATATGACGGCAAGCCTACAATTGGTCTTGACCCCTCATCTTGGTGTGTTAGTGATCTTTAGACTGCATATCGGCGGGAACAATGAAATCTAACTGCGTGGAAAATTGATAGCGAGGAAAAACAAAGCACTTGTTGGGGGAAGTGGAGATGAAGTCAGAGCATATGATCAACTCAACTACATTGAGCTCACTCTGCCATCCTAGGACTCTAATCGGAAATTGTTCCAGAATTCTTTCCAAGTGATTGAGAATGACGTGGACGTGACTATCCGCTGTTTATTTGCTTTGTTGCGGAACATTAGATATTTACTGAGATAAGTTAGGAGGATCGTCGTGGACCGTCGTGGGAGATATCAATCTCTATACATTCCCTAATATCTCTCAGGAGAAAATGGGTAATACTTTCCAACATTTGTTGATCATGACCTTGGTGGATTTGATCTTGCAACATTTCGAAGCAAACTTGCGTTTTAGCGAGAAAGCCACACCGGAAGTCAACAACTGGATACCCCCTGAAGGCTTTGCTACAACAAGCAACCTCTTGCCAGTTGGCAAAACATAGAACATATGACGAGGTAGCATAAAAAGTATCTTCATTCTCCTTAAGCTCTCTACCTCAACCAAGCTTAATACTCTTAACAATGCCCGTCTTAATACCCGTCTTCTCGCCCCCATACCCACCCCTCTCCTCACCACCCTTATATACCGCCCTCGTACTCGCCAACTTCTTCTTCTTCTCCTCATACTTCTTCCTCTTCTTAACCCTCGGATTCCTAACATCCTTCTTCCGCTTGGGAGCCAACCCCTTATTCTTCTCAATCACATACCCAATCGCCCTCTTCCCGTCCTCATCAACCTCACCCTCCACAACACGGACAAGACCTCCCTCAGCTTTAGCCTGCTTGATAGCAGCCATCTTCGCCTCCTTGCCGAGCCTCTTGTCTTTCGACACCTTGGCCACCATATCGTAGTACTCGTCCTCATCACCGCGGACTTGTTCAGCGAGGTTGTCATCTCCACTATCGCTTTCGCCGCCGAGATCAGCGCCTGCTCCGGCGCCTCCGCGACCGTACTCGTCGAGTTTCTTGCCGCGCTTTTCGGCTTCGGCGTTGAGTCGAGCTTGACGATCACGTAGGCGTTCGCGGTGTGGTAAGTCGGCGTCACCGCCTGCGTCGCGGCCAGCTCCTGCGCGCTTGTTTGCTTTCTGGGTGATTTGGGATGTGTAGAAGCGGAGACTCTTCTTCTTGGCGGCTTTCTCTTCGGCGGATTTGGCGTCCATGGTTTCTTCTTCGCCGAAATCTGAGTCGTCTTCTGCGATGATAGGGGCCTTGGATTTCTTGCTGGATTTGCGGGATTTGGGGATGAGGGAGGACAGATCTGCCAGTTCGTCGGCGGCAGCTTCGAGGCGCTGGGCGCGGAGGGCGGAGGCTTCTGAGATGGCGGAGAGGCGGGCAAGTTCCTTTTTGCTCTTCTTCGAGGGGCGGTCTCCCTTGTGGCTTGAGGTTGGTGCTTCGATTTCTTCTGCGGAGTCCTCTTCTGAATTTTCCTCGACAGGCTCTGGAGCTTTCAAGGATTTAACCTTAGTCCATAACTCTCTGCACTGTAGTAAGCTGTCCATAACAGCATGGTCTCGTAGTTCCGCCGGGTCTAGAGACTTCCCCTCGGCACTACTGCCCTTAGCAGGTGATGTGAGAATCGCAAAGTACATAGTCAGAGCAGCTAAGTACGCCGCCAATGCCCTAGCTTTCACAACCGTTTGTGAGGTCTCTGATGTTGTCTTCGAGCTCTCCGCTTCCACCTGCTGCTGCAAATCCAGTAACACCGGTTGTAATTGCAAGAACTCGTTCGCAAGGAATTCGAATTCCGGGTATCTCGTCTGCAGAATCCTCAATCGTTCTTTTGATCCCATTTCCGGCGTAATTTCCACATCCTTCAGAACCTCTGTAACCACATCTCCTTCCCCATCCTCCTCTCCAGCATCCAACCATTCGCTCTCATCGAATCCGAAATCTGCTTCGCCCATCTTCTGCAATTTCTTCTGCTGCAGTCGTTTCGCCTCCGCCTCTTCCTCCAATGCCTCGGCCTCCGTTCGGATCTCGTCATTATTGTAGTAATCTTTTCTCGAAGTACCCCAGCCTTCCTCTTCCTCATCTTCGTCCTGCTGCTGTTCCTCGTCGTCTGATAGATCATCTTTCGCGGATTTGCGGCGTGATTTGGGCTCCTCGACTTCTTCCTCATCGTCGTCGCTTTCGGAGGAGTATCCTAGGACTTCTTCATCTGAAAGTTCAAGAAAAGCATCTGTACTGTATTAGCACACCCAATCGTACACTAACCGGACCTTGGTATGTGATCACCCTCTTGCTGCCATTTTCTCCTCCTCTTCGCATCCGGGCCTTCGTCTAGCAAGACTTTGTCGCGATTGATGTGGAATTCATCCTCCGAATCCGCGACATCTTCGTATGTGGTAATTGGACCCATCTTGCCGCCTTTGGCTTCGAATCCATTCTCCGCTTGGGCGCCTTCGAATCGACCAGACGCTTTCCTCTTTTTCGCCATAATGGTGGTGTTTGGCAAGCAGTCAACTGGATCTGCCTCTTTGCTAGGGACGTCCAGCGATATCGAAAAATTTCAGTTGCCTTATCTTAGCTCCGGGTCGGGATTACTTCGGGACAACTCATTCACTGGCACATCTGACATCTGACATCTTTCTTCCGATATCTCTTTGGCATCTTTTCTTCCACTTTCTCAAGGAAACTTTAAAACTCTTGTGCACGATATCTGACAAGTTTTCCGGCACAGGCTCAGACATCAGGACAATCATGAAGTATCAGCTGAGACCATCCTCAGATTCTTCACACAAACGACCCCGAGACTGAGCTGTACACAGTAAACATCTCAAACACCCAAATCCACTGTCAACATGTCGTGAATTAAGACCAATACAGAGGTTCGAAAAGGCCAAGATCGAGAAATCAATCCCTGTTTCTTCGCATTCCCATTCGGAAACTTCTCACTCGCACAAGCGAGATGCCATAAACATCAGCGCTAGCTTACAAGTCAGATCAGCAAAGCTACACATGTACGTAACGACACATGCCTAAAGATATCTCAAATCAAGGCGGAATTAAGTATAAGTATATTTCTCTCAGACTATTTTCACTTTCTTGATTTCATGATCTCATCATTCACCTTCAAACCCTAAGAGCCAACCGTTCCTCCCGGGGTCTCCTCACAGTCTCCTCACAATGCCGCCATTCACCGTCCTCCCGGGCACACCCTCCGACCTGGACGAGATGGTCACCATATGGGTTCAAGCCATGGATGCAGATCCATTCTGGAAGACATGGATGGGATCTATGACTGAATCTCAGATCTTCGAGTGGACGAGGGAGAATCTGAGGTATAGGATTGTGACGGGTGTTGAGTTGGGTGTGATGCAGACTTGGAAGGTAGTTGATGAGGAGAGTGGGTAAGAAAAATCCTCCTAAAATAACTATTCAGCTATATTTTAGTTGATCTGGTTGCTGAAATGTGATGTAGAAAAATAGCTGCTTGGACTGGGCTGTCGTTTCCCTGGCCAGAGAGCCTGACGGATGAGGAACGGGCTTCTTTGACTTCAGCTTGGTCACCACCTGAGGTATGTTACTTGTATTACGTCGCTTCAACACGTCTCCCAAGTGACATACTAACACCAATGATTGTAGGGAGGCAATTGGCCAATCCGAAACTGGTATATTGAAAATGTTGGTCCCATGGTCAAAGCCGCAGGCTACGATCAGTCCAAACACTTCCGTAAGTTCGTTCCCATCAACTCTTTCATCAATCCTACAGCCTCTCCTCGTCACACTCCAACCAGTACCCAACCCCACCCCACCTCGTCTCAACCGCAAAACCACACAACACCAAGCTAACACCTCCTCCCCTTCCCACCCACAGTCCGACAAGGCAGCATGGTCCTCCCATCTTACCAACGCCGTGGGCTAATGACGCTGCTCACCCAAAAATGCAACTCCATCTCCGACGCCCACGGCGCACCAACCTACGTGAACGCCCGACCTGGTGCAGCGAAAATGCTGTACAATCTGGGCTTTGAAGTTTGTTCGGTTAGGGATGCGGAGCTGGGCGAGTTTGATGAGAAGTTGAGAGGGAAGGGGGAGTTGGAGAATGGGGAGACGAGGTTTTGCGCGATGAGGAGGGAGGTGAGTGCGAGGGGGGAGAGGAGGGTGTTGAAGTGAGCGGTGTGAGGTGTAAGGTGTGAGCTGTGAGGTGTGAGGTGTGAGGTGTGAGGTGCGAGGGGCGAGGGGGATAAATTTCAGAGACGGTCCAGGGGATAAGATGGGAAGGTTGGTGAAGAGAGGTTGATGTATGGATTTGTTTCTATACTTATACAGTATGAAATTGCCATGTCCTTTTCCTTCGTCTATGCTTTAGATTATGCTCGCTTTCAGATAAATAGAATGGCTTTCATCGCCCATAGTACCATTCCCTTCTTTTGCCAGTCTCAGTATACCTCTGTCTCATTGCAGAGATGATAGCGAACGGTATCAGCTCCGCCGGCTGCATACCAGGTAATTCCGGGGCAACAGGCTCCATGTTATGGTACCCAACGTACTCGCGTACGCACATGGTCAAGCTTTTTCTCCCATAGCCAAACGCAGCAGTTCGCATGACCTCCTGAATATGAGGCTTTTTCGTCCACACATTCTTGGACGATTGTTTGCCGCCAATCGCATACTCGACTCTCATCTGCTCGGCATCGGCCATCTCGAAACCCCGGTAGGTGAGGACCCTGAGGAAGGGTTCGATGTCAGGATTGCTGAGGAAATCATACATGTCCATGATGACCATGTCCAGTTGGGGGATCTCCATATGAGGTTTGTCAGCTCGTGGGAGAGAGAAAGTGCCTTTGCTCAGGATTGTTTCGTTTGGGAATATGAATTTGGGGACTTTTCGAAGGTCTCCGTTGCTGTAGAGGCCCTTTGAGTAGTGTGCAAGCCAGGAGTTAACTTTGTCCGAGCCATTCAGGTGGAGAAATCGCCAGACTTCATTCTCTATATCAACGTCGACAGCGAAGACTTGCCCAGCCACCATCCCAGATAGACGGTTGTAGTATTGGAAGGTTGAATTTCTGCTTTCTGGTGTTGGCTTGAGGTGCGTCCCGAGGAACAGGCCAAGGTAGTTGTCATCTGGATTGGCATGAATATTCTCCAGAGCAAAAGCGGTGGCAGGAACTCCTGGTTCTAAGGACATGTTAGCAATATAGCCAAGAATGAACGATGCAACGAGTTCTTACTTCGATCCATAACAATTCTCGTGTCGAAGCCATTGCAGGAATCTTTCATCTGGTTGTACCAACCAATGCCTGGCCCTCTGGCGAATCTGAACACAGTCAGCATAGTCGCCAGACACGAAGCTCAATCTGGTCATGAACTTACCCGATGGCCGGAAGAAGGAGTACTAAACCGAAGAAAGCTGCCAACAGTATGCCACCAAAGAAGCGGACAAACGTCTTGTACATTAGTCGACGAGAAGCGGTCTTCAGGTTCAAGGCGGAGTCCAAGAACTCGGCTGTGACGCGGAATAGGGCAAGGAGAAAATATCCCATCAAAGGGGCATAAACGAACGTTAGACCAAGAAGCAGACCAAATGTCTCGTAAAGGTTGTTGAAGTTGGGGTAGGTGTATGGCATCGTGTGCCAGCGGATATGAAAATGAAGCAATGCACCAAGAAGACCATATACAATGGCCACAACTGTCCATCCCCAAGCCATTATCTTCAAAGTTCCCGACCTGCGCTCGTGGACTCTCTTGCAGAATCTGTCCCAAGCAGTTGGCGGTCTTGGAGGGGCGATCGGTCCTTGTGGACATTCATTAGTGCAAGGATACCTGCAAGGCCCTGGATGACACCGCTCCGCACAACGCTTTCTTGTATTATGCGCGCACGCTCCGGCTCTGGCGCACACGTTATCACAAGCATTTGGGCGACCAGCGGCACTAAGATGGTGCTCCTGTCTGCCGCACCAACAGCGTGGTCCTGGAATTGCTGTTTGTAGGGAGGAGCAAGTAGGACATTTCCAAGTTGGCACGCCGGACAATGAAAAGTGGCCACCGGAAATGTTCTGAGTCTCCCAAGCCTTGGCACAATGGTAATGGTACACGTTGTAGCATACTTTGCAGTGCCAGATATTGTAAGGGGTGTCATATCCGAAACCTACGGAATCTGTACAGATTGAACATGGCGCGCTATTGAAGGAGAATTGTCAGTCATTGATGATTATCAGTTTCGGTTTAGTAATGGATCGCTTACTTTCCCTCAGTGATGTCTGTGATTATCTGCTGGGAGCGAGCAGACTGGTTTGAGCCAGCATTGCGATCCTCGAGCTCCTGCCCATTACCCCCGTTCAGATTGAAACGAGAGGAGAGGTTCCTGGTGAAATACGAAAAGAGAGTCATGTTTATTTGCAAATGATACAATGCTTTCGCAATGCAAATGTCTGTAGCTTGCTGTACCCCCGGAGGTGAGGCGTCAAGAAGACTGTGGTCCAACAATGGTCGAAAATATTCGAGGACCGATTGTGGGAAGAAGTTTATTAGGCAAACCATAGACTTGATGCTAATAACGGGGTAGACGTAATGTGGGTGTAGGTCGACAACAGGTGTTCCATAGTTCTTCTAGTCGACCAAAAACTCGCATGATGATGATAAAATGGAGCACGCTGAGAACACGCTAGAAGTCTAGATCTTGGGAAGAATACCACGATGAACCATTTTTGTGACCTTGAAGTGCTTATCAGCTAGTCTTGTCCGCTTTCTTGTCGTGGGTAGAATGGAACGGATCGATCGAGCAGAACTAGCGTGTCGGCGGAGGTGTTTTTAGGGCTGGCCCGAACATGACTACACAAATCGGGCAATAAGTGAAGTAAGTACACCACCACACCCGAATAAATGTGGAGATTTCAAAATCGATGTTGTGGTCGAAAGAGGCCAAATCATGTTGGGCTCGGTTCCGGCATGGTAGTGGCACCACGTGTCTGCAGCTTCAATGGCTAAGATCTCGAGGTTACTCGCAACCGTTAAAACATATTTCGGGCTGACAGAAATCTCAAGACAAATGGTAAGCCTCCGACTGCTATGATCACACCATGCCGGCGGCATTGACATCAGCCAACCATGCCCAGTCATCATCCAGCTCAGAGCCAAACATATTAGTCCAGTCCATATCCATCATCGGTATGTCGGGGTTTAGCGCTGTATTGAAAGTCAAATCCGGCTGTAGCTCTGGCGCGGGTTCTCCCTGGTAGCCTGGTTCCTGGCTAGTGGGATGTGATAGAGAAAATGTAGGATGGGGGAAATTATCAGCTGAATCTGAGGACGAGCAGTCGTTCCTAGCCATAAGTTTGCCAGGCGATATCGTGATAACTCCAGAGCCTGGAACTGAGACCTTCAAGTATGGGATTGAATTCTCGCTTGGAGCAGTGCATATAGCACCCTTTTCTCGGGTCGTCGAATAGCGAACTAGCATTGCCAGGGTGTCCAGTCCTTGTACAGCTTGCGAAGCCATTGGGTTGTTCGAAACTAGAGAAGCTTTTCGGAGTATTCCTATTGTCAAACCCACAATCAGATAGTCGTTCGAAGTCTCAAGATTGAGAGAGGCTGGTGGTGAATGGCTATTTTCGTATCCAAGTAGGCCGAGAAGTAAGATCGACGAGCAGATGAACGCTTGATAGTCAATCAGTTTGACCATGCTAAACGCTGACATTGAATCCGATCTCATCACGTGGTATATTTTCAGTGTATCTCTACAGGCTGCCAAGCATGCGTCCCGATAATACAGCAGTTCGTGATCTTCGATTGACTGGATCATGAGAGGCTGGTGAAGTAGCACTTTGGCTTGGTAATACCAGAACTGCACGGCCAGGTGGCTCATATACGTCTCTTCATCGATGTTACCTGTCTGGAGAGCAGCAGACACGTCCCAGAATTCCACAGGCATTTCATGTGCAGATGAATCCATATCACACTCGATATTTCGAGCATCGGAAAGAGAAGTTTCCAACCCCATGGTATTTCGGTATGAGATCCGCGCAGACAGTCGTATCATCTGGTATTGAAAGAACTTTAATGTACCAGGTGCACTGCGGAGGCTGGGTATAATGGATTGCCAGTTCGCCGCATATGGGAGGCCAAGTAGCAAACTTGTGTACAGATCTCGCTCACAGATCGTGAACCAAGCTTCGTGTCGACTTTCCAAACGGGTGTCCGTTTCGGCTGATGTTGACCGTTGCGGGCGATGCATTCCAAGAAGCTGTGCGTGAGCGACAGCTCGATGGTGTAAAATCCACACGTTCTTCAAAAGGCCGAGGTTCATATATGTCTTAGCAGCAAGCATGATCAGCTCGACCCCAGGCTCGGTACTGGCATAGCCATCATGGTTGATAACCAAACGAGTGATTCGATCGAAATACTCTTGAAACAGTTTCCCAGGAGAGACAGAGAGCTGGCTTATGATAGTCTCATCTTTATGAGGATCCAGTTGCTGAAGGCAGATGGAAAAGCACAATATTCCCAAAGCAATAACTGCCGGGTCGCTGGAAGCCAAAGTCCAGTTTATAGTTTCTTGTAGAGTGTGAAGATTATTGTGCGACAGAGCATCATTCAACCAACCCCCAACTGCTCTCCTAATTACTTTTAGCTTTATTCGGTTGTGATAAAATGGCGAAAACCTCACCATGTACTCCACCATGAACATGTAGCACTTATGACTGCGGCCATGAGCCTGGGCGACGGAAGGTTCCTACAAAGCTCATCACAAACTTGGGATTCATTCAGCGTTGATCTTTTCCGAGCACTGATCCCATAGTCGTTTCGCCCAAGTACCGCATTGTCGATTCGCTCTCCTTTCCTAGACTTTTCCTTCCACTAGAGTGTAGAGCGGGTCAGTTGACTGGCCATTGCTGGGTGCGAATCAAAGAGGTTGCGTACGATTGAATTATTGAACAGCGATCCAACTGGCTGCAAGGTAGCAGGATCATCTGAAAGAGAATCGGTGTGTTCCCGGTGCCCTGGTGAGTCATGTTCTGGGATGTGGGCGGAGTTCTCTGTCTCCCTTTGGCGGACTTCCAAGCCGTTGTAGCTATTTGGAGTTCCATGGCTGGTCGTTGACTCTTGAGGAGTAGACTGCGGCCGCTTGCGATGACCCTGTGATTTGGCCAGTAGTTTTGGTTTGTGTCATGCACTTCGTCCCTCTGGCGATACAAGTCAGGCACTTATCAGTGTCGTCTTCAAAGATGCATTTGATCTTTCTCTTGCGGCCTAAAGCTGTCAGGATGGCATGTGAAGATTTCTGAGGCATTGTTACACTCAACACAGCTCTTGGTCCCCTTCCTCATCCCTTTCTCCACTCTCCCGGATGTCGGCATCGTGACATCAACCTAAATCGGAAATCAACGATTTGTAAGGGCGGACCGCGTTTTCTTTAAAATACAGATTGTTAGCATGATATCGAAATATGGTCCCGCGATGCCGATGTCCTTGATTGTCAACGATTGAAGTGGAGGTAAGATGATAGCTCGCTTGGTCAGCGGAAGTACCTACGCTAGCAAAGTATCGAAGTCATGCTATTAAATCGAGAAGAATTACGCATAAGTATATTGGGCAGTCTTGTACAGTTCTATCGATGATCATTCCGCGAATAGAAAGACTGGATGCGAGATTGCCATGGTAGTGTAGAATACGAAGTTACCTAAGAATGACATGGTCACGTGATCGGTATGCCTGTGAAATGGGCTAACTTTACTACCGTAGGCATGCATTTTACGAAAAGATTTGTTAAGGACTCGGCCATTTAGATAGAAATAGATGTCTCACTGGCTTCAGAAACGATTTGTTTTCTTGCGGATGTTGGATGGTCCCAGCGCCCACAAGTTCTGGCCTGTATCTAAGGTAGACGAAACTATGTGTCCGAGGAATCTCCCTGACACAAGCTCTGTGATCCAGATATGAAGCTACGAATGACTCTACTGATACGATTGGATGTGCGATATTCCAACCACTTCGTCTTACAGGAAAGGGGCGAGCATTGCTAAATCGCACAGCCACATCGACTCATTCTGAGTCTTGTGGATTGCGGGGCTCTGTACCCCACTATGTGGTCGGATGAGTGTCAACAACTGCCTGTTCAGGCTGTGAAGGCTTGATTTGTTGCTGATACCATTCTTTCAAGAAATATATAAAAGAGTCCAAGATCACTGTGGTGATTTCAGAAATCACAAAACAAGTCCTACACTCGAACCGGTACCCTCGCCGAGAATTTTTGCAGAAGCAGTTCCCCCGACTCACAACTTCATGCTCCCGAAGCTCAACACCACGACCTCACAAACTCAAACAATGGAATCTCCATCAACGCCATACCCAATGCCTCCGGGCTTACACGCTATCCCAACAGAACAATTAGATCTCCGTCCAGACTCAGAAATCGACCATGACATCCTGCACCCCAAACCCATCACCAGCTCCAAGAACATCTTCTTCTTCTGGCACACGGGCTACCCATCCATGCACCTCTACACTCAACGCACGGTCCGAGCCTGGCACCGCCGATTCTCAAAAGCTGGATGGAGTATCTACGTGATAGACAGACAGCCCGGCTCTCCACGCAACATCGACAGATTTCTTGATGTCCATGATGCCAAGCTATTCCCGCAAGCTTTCGCAGATGGGACGTTGACCGGCACGTACGCGGTTCAGCATACGAGCGATCTTGTTCGCTTGCCGCTGCTGTTGACTTATGGTGGTGTGTATACGGATGTCGGATTCATGCAAATTGGCGATTTGGATACCCTTTGGAACAAGACTGTCGGTGATTCGTCGTCACCCTATGAACTCCTTTCGTACCATGGCGGAAGTGCAGACGAGTACAGTCTTACGAATTACTTTCTATGTTGCGAGCGAGGCAACCCGCTTTTTGAACGTGCGCATCGATTGCTGTTGAAGCTGTGGGAGGGGAGGACGAGTACGGAGGGGATGCATGCGAGCCCACTATTGAAGGGAGTGCCGTTGATGGGTGGAAGTTTTTCGATTGATGATGAGCAGGGGAAACACGATGCGGAGGAGTCGAGTCGGATGTTGACGGATTATATCATCCAAGGCCAAGCCATTTCGATGGTAATGGGATTGGTGGATGAAGATGAAGGCTGGAACGGTCCTGAATATGTGAGGGATCATGTCTACGCCATCGAATTTATGGTAGGAGCGCAACTCATCAATGATCTGACCAAATGGGATGGGAGGAAAGCGTTTGATCTGATGAGCTTGAAGCTCCCAGAGGCTGGAGAGGAAGAAAGTGATGAGCAAGCGGTGGCTCGGGATATTGTAGAGCAGTGTTTGACGAGGAGCTACGGATTTAAGCTTGCGCATGGCATGATCCTTAGAGTTTACCAAGATACTTTGGGGAGTCTGTGGAGGAAGAATGACGGAAGTGATGTGGTGATCGGTACATATGCACACTGGTTGAGGTACGCCATGGTTTATTGGTGTCCAGATAAGCTGCCAGGGAGGGAACAGTTTACAGTTTCGAAGCCGATCAAGGTCGGACCACTTTTGAAAGGAGCTTAGACATGGGCTCGAAGAGTAGAATAGATGGATAGAATAAATTTAAACGCCAATGCATTCACTTTAAAAAGTTATTGTGAAGATTGATGGCAAACCTCTGGGATCACTTCTAGGTGCTTACATGCTGAGAATTCCGTGGCAAACATGCAGTTACTACTATTTACCGAGAAGCTGGCTGGAATAGCATTAATTCTCACTCCGGCTCCGCATATTTCAAAAGCAAGACCCAAGATTTATCTCCCGAAAGCTAATCCCAACAAATGGTTGAGTTAGAGGTCCACCGGCAACATCTATCGGGCCGAGGACCCATGCTGACAGGGCTTCATCCTTGGTGAAAGCCAAAAGCGTCTGACCCACAAATGAGGGCACAGGCTGACATCGCGATATCTGTCTACAAAAGTGCTCATAGACGCCTCATACTTTCTGGCTAATCAAGAGCAGCAAGATGGTTTCGTACTATCAGATAGCAACAATATTGCTCACTTATGCAATTGCACATGTGAGTTGCCTGGATTCTCGGACCATCAGCAACTGATTACCCATCTCAAACAGGTCATATTTGTATCGATTTATCGTCTGACTCTTCACCCATACGCCAAGTACCCAGGGCCATTACTTGCAAAGTTGACGAATTGGCATGCTGTATATCATGCATACAAAGGAGATGTGCATCTGAATGTCGAACAGTGTCACAAGAAATACGGTTGGTACGCCACCCCCACAAAGCCAGCCCAACCTAAATCAGCCACAGGGAAAATCGTTCGGATTCGTCCGAACGCCATATTGATCAACTCCCCCAATGGGTTTCATGGTACTGTACCTCTTCGTGGACTATTTTAAGAATTGCCAACTGAATTGAGACAGATATCTATGGCAATGGCAAGAAAGTCAAGAAGGCACAGGGGTACAAAATCCATGGCCCCACAAACTTGATCGGCATCCAGGACAAAGTCCTGTACGCGAAGTACAAGAAGATCTTCCAGCAAGGATTTTCAGATAAGATGAATCGGGATCACGAGCCGAAAGTCGCTCAAGTCATTGATACATTTATTGAGAAGCTTGCAGACAATGAGTCGCCAGGGGAGAATGCTGGCGAGTGGACTAATATCAAAGACATGAGCCAGTGGTGTACGTATCGAGACGCTTCTCTGATGAAAATCCATTCTCGTTCGAACTGAATGTTTACTGACAGGAATCCAGGCACCTGGCTCACCACAGACGTAGTCAGCAAAGTGATATTCACCACCTCCTGGGACCTCCTAACCTCAGCCGCAAACCGAGGCGTAACAAAATGCCTCAAGGACGCCGTCCGAATGACAGGCATCCTCCACTGCTGGCCCTTCCTACCCGGCCACGAAGTCACTGCCCTGCTCTGCATCCCCCACGTCGCATGGAGCATCCCTTTCCTCGAGCGGTACGCCGACTCAGTGATAAAGAGCAGCAGAGAAGCTCGGGTGAAGGACCCGTCTGTTAAAGACGTCTTCGCGATTTACGGAGACGCCAGGGATCCGGATACTGGTAAGCTGGCGTTGTCGAAGTCGACAGTGCAGATGAATACTATGACTTTCATCATCGCTGGCTCAGATACAACGGCCAGGTCGCTTGCAGCTACATTTTTCTACCTAGCCCGGAATCCAGAGGCCTACGCGAAAGTAGCACAGGAAGTGCGCTCCGCTTTTCCTTCTGCCTCGTCGATTTGTGCAGGGCCTGTGCTCAATAATTGTGTTTACTTGCGCGCTGCAATCACAGAGTCGATGCGAGTATCTCCCGTGGCTCCACAACCTCTGATGCGCGAAGCCGAAGCAGGATGTGTAGTTGACGGGGAGCACATACCCCAAGGTCTCAACGTCGGGTGCTCCATCTACACGCTGCAACTCAACGCCGCTGTCTTCCCCAATCCGTATAAATGGGATATGACGCGCTGGCTCGTCAACCCTTCGAAAGACGCTACGGAAGAGAACGAGCGAATTAAGGAGATTAGCAGGAGTTTTGCACCGTTTTCGGTTGGCCCCAGGCAGTGTATTGCGAGGAACTTTGCGACGATGGAAATGTATCTTACGATGGCGAATGTGTTTTGGAAGTTGGATTTTGAGAGTGCCGGGGATCTTGGGGAGGGGAAGGACGGGGGGTTTGTGATGACGAGTTATTTTACGGCGATGATGGAGGGGCCACAGGTGAGGTTCCGGAAGAGGAAAGGGGTTGAGTGGTAGGATTTGACAATTCTGCGCGCTCTAACTATTGAGTCCATGGTGGGATGAAATGAGAAAGCATCGGTGTTTGAGGGCTGAATAGCCAGTAGAAAAGGGCACTGCATAGCTAGAATGGGCAGGTTGTGCAAGAGACAGACATAACGCCAAGATTTGATCAAATAATTATACTCCGCATTGTATATGCAGGCTTTAACTAGACAGCTGGCCAGATCCGTTACTAGAGGGCGCTGACCTACACCTCCTGGGCTTGGCACTCCCGCTTTACTCACTTTTGGAGATGGCGGGGTAAGGAGGAGTAAACAAAATAAGCGAGAGAAAAATGGAAGGGAAGTAAAACACTTCAATGTAAAATCTAGGTAAGTCCTATCATCACATTCTCTTGTATTATCACAATACATCCTAATCCTCTCGTCTCCCTTCTAGTACTGGCTTACCACCCGCATCCCTCACAATCCTATCCATAGCACTCGCATCCTCCGGCAGCACCAAATTCAAAAACACGCCAATAACAGCCGCAACAATAAAAGGCGTCTCGACAATAAGGTTTAAACCCTGCTCAAACCCCTGCAAATGAACATTCCCCCCGCTGTAATCCAAAATTTGATTGAACCACGTCGGCTGCACGATATCAACGAACCCAATACCCAGCGAAGCCGTCAGAATGAATCGATTCCTCCTGGTCCATGAGATGAGACCAAGGACGCGAATGCCAGCGACTGCGATGGTGGAGTACAGGAACACTTGCATACCGCCGAGGACTGAGGGAGGCATGCTTCCGAAAACGGCGCCGAACTTGCCGAACATGCCCATGAGTATAAGGAATCCTGACGCGCACCATCCTGCACGACGGGATGCGCACCCGGTAAGAGAAATCACGCCGTTATTACCGGCCTGCGAAACCATGGGTAATCCCGTTCCAAAAGCACTGAACAAACTCCCCAGACCGTCACACAGAATGCCGCCTTGGATCCTGCTGTTGAATTGCGTGCCCTCAATATCCACGTTTGATATTTCAGCCGTGGCGAGGATATCAGGCATACAGGATACAGCTTCACAGATAAACATGATGAGAAGAGGTAGGATGAGCGCGCCATCAACGGAGAGCTTGAATTTGTGGACCCAGAGGAATGTTATGACAGGGGCTGCATCGATATTTTCCCGAGACCAGTAGCCTGTTGCGCCGGAGATGGCACAACCGACTGCGAGGCCGAGGATGATGGATGCAGATTTCATGATGGGGGAGCCGAATTGTTCGACGATGATGACGGTTACGAAAACGCTGAAGCCGAGGCCGATGAGTTTGGGGTCCCCCCTAACACTCAATGTCAATATTTTCTTTGAGCATCGAGCAAAACGCGATTGGGTACATACCATGGAAGAGGCTTGGGAGCAGCAACGTTCGGACATAAAGCATAGAACCCCTCTCCACCATTACAGTTACTGCTTCCTCCCCAATTCTGCATCCCGCTATTGATGAGATACACACCAACCAGCAACAACAAACTCCCGGTCACGATCTTAGGGAATATTTTGTTCAATTTCTTCGGCGGAACCATCGACATCACAATCTGGATCCACACCGTACAAAGCATACTTCCCAGAATAGCACCCCATGCATCTGGACAGGGTAATTGCGTTCCGTCCTCTGCAGTAGGACACGTTCCGTTCGCGTACCGCATGGATGTGTAATTGAATGCAATGGGCAGGATATCGAATGTTGGGCCTACGACGCTAAGAAGTCCGGTTCCGATGAAAAATGGTGTTTTGGCGATATGTACGCGGGTGACTTGCATGGCTGTCGCGATGCCTGTTGTGATAAACGCCGCAGAGACGAGATATTGGGTGATGGTTGGGTCGAAATTGAATGCGCCGCCAGCGATTGCTAAGGGAGGGGAGACAATGGAACCGATCATTGTAAGGGCGTGTTGGAGGCCGAGTAGGAGGGTGAGAAAGATAGGGATTTCATCGTTGAGGCCGTAGAATGGTGCTTCGTAGTGTTTGTATTTACGGTTTAGGGGCCAAATGTTGGGAGTGATGAGATACATGTAGTCCTGGTATTCGTGTTAGAAAAGATCGGAAGATGGTAAACGGGATTAGGTACATAATCGCCAACCCAACCTTCACGGCTGGTAAAATAGTGCTTCAAGTAGGTCCATGGATTTTTCTGGTGGTGATCAACCTCTCCACTGGATGAAGAAGTATAAACGACATCGTTGTCGTGGCCGAGTTTCTCGATCTTGCTTGAATCTTCCATGATCAGTGTAGTGACCGAATTTTTGGCCGACAAAGAGAAATGCCAATCAATCGTAGTTGTCGTCGCTGCTCAAATCCAAACTCGTATTTCAAGGTGGATATATCTTCCCTTTAGTACCTCATCCCACTCTCCTACCCATCCGTCCGTTTATCATAATCTTCAGACCCATCCAAGCTATCGAAGCTCAATATTCGGCTCGTGTTCAATCTAGATACAAACCTTCATTCCCAGATATTTCCTGTGGAGACCACCAGACCCTGCGGGTAGATAACCATGATAAGCCTTAGAGGAGATGTCCGCAGCCAGTCACAGGCGTGGGATATGTTGATGCTGCAACCTTATCATGTCGGAGTCACCCGAATGCAGGGTCCCTCTAGCCTGGAAATCTGGGGAATCGAGCCACCACGTGCCTTCAGGGGCTCGCTAAAGTGGGATGAGGAACAACATTCGGAGAGCTCATATCTTTGAGCTTCATTTCGCTATTTCGGGTGCTTCCTATCCTGTCATACATCTCTATCATTGATTACCCACTTTTGAATAGTGGAAAGTTCTTGGAAAAGTCCTTAATTTTTACTTAATTGAAAATTCTGAGTTGAATAAGTCATTTTCTGCGTCAAGCCCACCCTCGCCCTCTGCCAAGTTACCTTAGGCACATACAAATATTTCTCTGCAATTCCGTCTTCAATTTGGCTTCATTGAGTTCGCGTCAAATCTCAGTCCTCAATCAATTCTGCCTGAAATCCCTCTCAAAAGGGAAAATGGCAACTTCAGCTAGAACCATTTACACGGATGCGACAATCATCACTCTCAACTCATCACGCGACATCATTCTGAATGGCTTCATTCTCGTCGACAGGTCACGTATCGTCAACATTGGCCCCCAATCGAGCATACCAAGCTTTTTGCCCGATGACACAACCACTGTCTCGCTAGAAGGCCGGATCATCATCCCAGGCTTGATCAATACCCATGCACATCTCGCGCAGTCAATTCTACGAGGACTTGCAGAAGATCTTCCGCTACACAACTGGCTATGCAACTCAATATGGCCACTTGAGTCGTGCTATGAAGGGGATGATGGATATGTGGCTGCAAGATTGACTTGTGCTGAGATGTTGAAGAGTGGGACGACGTGCTTCCTGGAAGCTATGTGTACGCACCGTGCTGGATTTGAGGGAGTTGTGAAAGCGGTGGGAGAGAGTGGAATTCGAGGATGCATGGTAAGTTCTTTCATTAACAAGCGAAATATTGTCGAGGTTGCGATGACTGCTTTCCTGCTCCAATGCTACAATTTTTTCAACTTCCCAGTTGATGAGGTGGCTCGGAAATATCCTAACCGCGACGCAGGGCAAACTGGTCAAGTTCGAAGAAACAAATAAAGACCTCAACATTTCCGACCCCCGCGATAGAGATCTCTCCAGCATGTCGATTACTTCTATGCTTTCTGCCCATGAGAAGTTCAACGGAACCTACGACGATCGAATCCACGTCTGGGCAGCAGCCGGAACACCCCGTGGCTCGCCCCTCTCATCACACCACGAGATCGGCAAAACTTGCAAGAAACATTTCATAGGACTCACCATGCACTGCGCCGAAGCCCCCAAAGACCTCGAAATCTACCGTTCCCAGTACTCAATGACGCCCATGGAGTTCTGCCAGCGCGCTGAACTAACAGGGCCTAAAACCGTGCTCGCACACATGGTCCACCTGGACCTGGCGACTGATCTCCCCATTCTGAAAGAGACAGGAACAACAGTATCGCATAACCCGAACAGCAATCTCAAACTCGCAAGTGGCATTGCGAAGATTCCTGAGATGCTAGAGGCGGGGATTAATGTTAGTCTGGGAACGGATGGCGCGCCTTGTGGGAATACGTATGATATGTTTCGCGAGATGCATTTGGCATCTATTTTGCATAAAGGAGTCAAGTTGGATGCGAGTCTTATGACGGCGGAGAAAGTTCTTGAGATGGCTACGATTAATGGAGCGAGGGCCCTGGGCTTAGAGAAAGAGATTGGGAGTCTAGAAATTGGTAAGAAGGCAGACTTTGTGGTTGTTAATCCAAATGGTGTTGGGTCTGCGCCTTGGGATGTAGAGCAAGTTTTGGAGGGTGGGATTAGTCCTGTAACTGTTGTGATACATAGTTGTACAGGAAGAGATGTTGAAATGGTGGTTGTGGACGGGAAGGTTCTGGTAAAAGAATGTCAACTCGTTAGTGGTGACGAGGAGGAAATTTTGCATGCGGCAAAGAAGTCAGTGAGGGGCATCAGGGAGAGGAGTGATATCAAAGTCGGAGTAAGATCTGGGTGGATGTATCTGTAGCAATAGAAACATAGTTGAAAGTCTGATGGCCGTTTCCATGAAGTGCAAGATTTCCATAACACTATCTGGATGTTGAGGAATGTCAATAATGCATTACTATAATTAACATATCATGGCAACTAATACAAAGACCGTGTGTTCAGACTCGTCCCAGCTCGAAATAGAAAGCAGTTTATTCAAATCGCACTTGACAATTTCAGTCTCGCTACCTTACTCTTAACAATCTCCAACTTATCTTTCCCACCTAGCAATATATCACTGTGAAACCCTTCAAACATTGAACTTTTCCTACTCGCAAACAAAGGTCTCTTACTTACTTCCCACAGGAACTCATTGAATCCAGTCCTCATTTTTGTCCACTGCTTCGCATCTTCCATAGTCACAACTGTCACATTTTCCATCCTGCTCGCTGCTTCTACAACATCATCGACAAGACGATCGAACTGGTGGACCGCTCCAGCATACGACTTGAGCAGACTGCGATTCCCCAAATCACTCCCGATTTCTTTGACTGTTCTCGATGAGTTCATGACTGCTTCACCGCGGAGCATACCTTTCCATGCTTCTTGTAATCTCGTCATTGTGTCGAGATGATTGTTGCCTTCTGCCATGAGCTGATCGACGACCGACAATAGTGTTGTTGAGATATGCTGTATAGTCTCTATTGTTCTATTCTTGGGTGTTTGGCGTTGGTAATTGGGACTGTTAAATATCATCTCTTCCCAGGCTTTTTCTTCTGCTGTCTGGTCTCTAATGTAAAGAGTGCGCGAGGACGTCCACATGAAGGGATTGAACAGCCATGGTAGCCAAAAGGCGTCCTTGTCGACGACAGCTTCTCCAGTTAGATAGTTGAAAGGCAAAACGCTGGGGAGAGAATATATTCTTGACTTGGAATCTGCGAGGAATTTCGACAGCCACGAGAAATGCAAAACTGTTGAGAACCAATCGTTCCGGGTCTTGCCTTGATGCTTCCACGGGGACGATACTTTAAGATCTTGAACTGTATCAGCAATACAGTCTCCAAGTACTGTTTTAAACTTCGTACCAGGCTTTTTTTGGCTAGAAGAAGCATCATTTTGTATCTCTGGATGTGATGTAGACTCTGCCTCCGTGTTTTCAAGCCGTCTTATACCCTGCTTCAGGACTTCCGAGAAACTATTCGCAGTCATTGTAGTGTCTGTTTCGCAATAATCCTTGGTTTTCGTATGCGATTCTCTTGTTTTGGTGCTAACAGATTCTGCAGAAGGTACGCTACTACTTGCTTCAGATGTTGAGTCCGGACTCTTCTCCTCCACTGCTTTATTAGATCCTTCTGTTGAGGCTGCACTAGTCTCTGTCGGGGGACGCTTTGGAAAGCCAATCTTATCCATCGACTTCCAATACCATCTCGGGTTCATCATTGTTTCCTCATGGGATATTGACTTCTCCACTCTTTTATTGTCTTGTGCAGTCACTGGATCATGCTTGATTGTCAGTTGTTTGGTGTTGCCTTCAGATCTGGATTCTTTTGTTTTCGATATCTTCTTTTCGGATTGCTGTGCCAATGCTGTTGTTTCGCTCTTTTTCAATTGTTCAGTCTCGGATGTCTTCCCGATATTTTCATCAGTCGTTCTCTTACTCCCAGGTTCACGGTCTTTCGCGTATATCGTCTTTATTTGCCCGGCAGTATTCTCCTTCGATACTTGCTTACTGGGGAATCCATACTCTAAGCCAAATCTGTTAAGTTCTTGCCGGTATCTTTCATCCCATGAGAGCCTTTCTGCAGTCAGAGGTTTTCGCGCTTGTACCGTGGGTGAACTTTGCATGCGAAATGCAGACCAATATTTCTCAAAAGCTCCCTTTTTCGAGGTAGGGGTACTCTTTTGTATAGTCTTCGTGGCAGAGCTCTTAGTGTGACCGTCATTCTTTGGCTGTTTGGTGGAAGGATGAAGCTGCTCGCTTGCCTTTGAATGTACTTTCAATTCCTTCGTCTTCCCGGTTTGTGGCTTGACTTTCTCCTTGTGCGATGGAGTACCCTGGGAACCAGCCGTAGAAGTATCTCCATCTACCGTGTTTTTCTGTGCACTCTTGAGGAGCGATGAAGATAATGGGCACTTCAAGTCCTTGGAGACTATCTTGGTGTTTTTCACCACTTTAGATGCTTCCGTATTCTTGCTGACGGAGTGCGATGACTTCCCCTTTCCTGGGGAGACAGAGGGGGGACCTCCAGGTTTTAGAATGCCAGTTCGGCTCGAAACTTCACTCGATGAAGCAGTTGTGCGTTCTCTATAGAATTTTAGTCAACAGTTTCTTATACCGGAACTCAGACTTACTCTGCTTGCTGTCTCACATATGTTACCGTCAAGACTGTCGGCTGTGCTGGTTGATCCTGTTCAGTCGCGGTGAAATATCTCAGCACCCGATCCTTACACGAGTCATACGAGACAGACTCGCCAGCATTTGGAGCAGAATTGACATTTTCCCAGAACACATTAAAATGTTTACTAGTCTTATCTGCGCTACTTTTCTGCCAGAACTGCTGTTGTGAGATATAAGCCGGGGAATCAGAGATGCTTTCCCAGAATTGTCTGGCGAAAGGCGTTCCGTAGATCACCGCAGATACAAACGAGAAATATATCACTATCGCAACTGTGATGATGCCACACACTCTCTTCAGTGATCTTTTCTCCCGCTCTCTTTTCCCTAATTCCTCTACAATAATTTCTGCTGCCTCGTGATCTGGTTCCTGGTCGGCTGCGGGTTCGCCAATGGGTTGACCACTGCCAAGTTGTGCCCCATGACCTTCAGGTATTGGAGGATCTGCCATTATCGATGGTCGTATATTATTACTGTGGTATTTTTTCTGGTCAATTGAAAAGTTTGTATGGGTGGGTAGTCTGCTTCGTGGGCTACCTTCTTTGTTTTCCTTCCCTTCTTTGTTGGTTTGTTCTCGCCACTCGTTGCCATGATACGCCGAATCCGGCTCCATGCTACGATGACACAATGGAAGCAGCATCAAATTGGTATTGGTAAAAACTAACTAACGTCAATCCCTACGTTCCAGCGGAAAATATTGCAGCAGATACTGATATTTGAAGCATTGTAAGTCTTTACGGGCGATTTGTCCCTAGTGGTATCTCGTAAGCCTTGCTCCGTCGTCACTCGCAAGCTGTACCTATCTCTGTTCTAATCTGGATTTAGCCTTACAGCTACTGTCCATGACACGTGAAATCACTCAAGACCTCGTCACAGATCCGTTCCTTGGATCAAGACAAGCGACGAAGCTTGACGGGTGCAGAATAGAAACTTGCAAATCAAACTTAACTACAGGTCGCCAAATATTATGTCCCTACAATAATGCAAGGGTTGTGTATCGATAGTAAACAATAAGAACATAACCCAGTACTAGAAGCGCAGTGTTTAATAAGAAAAAAAAAACAAGTTTCACCACATACTATCCCCAAGTTCGCCGATAGCATGCCATCCATGTAGCGAAAAATCCTCGACCATACGAAAAGTGCAACTTGACATGATAGTGAACTCCGAAGCGAGTTTGGGAGTAACTAGATCACATAACACAGCAACCACCACTGTCTTCTGATCCCGGAATGCCATCTGCAAAATCCTGTTGATTAACCCAAGTACTTCTTGTATAACCACTTATCTTGTGTTGAACAACGCTAGCATCTATGGCATTGTGATTAACATAGCTCGACCACGGAAACAATCGCATTTTCTTTGAATAGGATAAACCTTACCTGATCTATACATTGACATCCGCACCTGTGCTCCACTATAACTGTATAGATCTGCTAAGCCGTCTTCTAGAGGAAGGTCCTTGCCATCACTCAAGTATGATATCTCTAAGTCTCCTGAAGAGTTTGCAACTTGTGTTCTTGATGTCACTGTCGTTATAAGCTCAATGGAAGTTCGCTCGTTCTTAGTGATACTTACACCAGTACTTCAAGGTCGTAGTATCAGTACCTTTGATCTTCAGGAGAACCCTGCGATTTTCGGCATCTTCGACAACCGTCAGTTTTCCGGATCCAATTGTGGCGCCATCAACGTCGCCAGAGGTAAAGTCCCTACAGCATCTTAGCTGAGCAATTCTAGGGAATTCAAAATCTGCCAATGATGGTAGAGGCACAACATACCAAGACTCTCCAGAATCAGACGAATCACTTTCGTCGCCATCGTTGGAATTGTCGTTGTCAGATTCCGAATCTGTGGCTGCTGGTGAATCTGGTGTTGTATATCGATAAACTGGCGAGACCGACGATTTAATCTCTGGTGAGACTGGTCTTGCGGGAGCTGGAGTGGATCTGTTTATTTGTTAGAATCACGACCAACGTTGTTGTTATTTTGTACCGACGACATTCTAAAAGCGCTCACATTGGACCAGTCGCTTCAGTGTACGGCGGTAGACCTTGCCCGTCTCTGAGAAGCGAGAGTATTTGTCGAAGCATTGCCTCCATACGCTGGCTACTTTGCCTGTGATTTTGAGAAACCGTTCGCAAGCGTATAGTGCAGTGACGTACCAGTGTATGCTCCCTTGAAGAGTATTGAGCATCTGAGCGTAGCTTCGCAATTGAACACAGTACTGATTTGTTTCCGAACTGCGGAGAACCCATTTGAGTCGAGTTCGGAGAAACATCTTACTCGTTCCAGTACGTATGCTTGATTCCAGTCTTCTAGATGCCGCATTTGCATTTATCAAGACGGTAGATGTAGTTTGAATCCATTCGGGTGGCAGGCTGTGACTCGGACGCTCTGCAGACAGTCGAAGAACTTCGATAACTGCTCGGAGGGATTCCACCTCGTTTGCAACATCCCGAGCTTCTTGGGGAGCTCTGCGAATGCTATCGATGAGAGATATGACTTTACTGAGGGTATCGAGTACGCCAGCAGCAGCAGCGACAAGTCCAAAGATTTCTGCCATTGTCAGATGTATGTGGGCGAGGTCCAAGACGAAAGCTCTGCGACAAGGCTGAGGGTTATGGGACCCTGGAGACAAGTGAGGCAGCCTGATTAGGCAATGTACCCGATAAAGTCGGTGGACTTGGTTATGGGTTTCAAGTACTTCTGAATGCGATAGTAGACCTGTAGATGTAACTGAATCATCATTTGGGAGATTCGGAGATCGAAAAAAGGGTTCTTCATGTTAGGCTCCCCAGCCTTTGGGAAGAAGCGTCGGGCTGCCCAGCCGGTGCGGCTGAAGATAAGTGTTGAGAGCATGCATGATCCTGATTCGTGGTGTTTCTCGGTTTACGTGGCTGTGAAAACATCCAGCGGATCTTCACGTGGTATGAGCTTAGTGGACTATAGAATACAGTTGCCGTGATACCAGTATGGTTTGCGTTCCAAAACATGCTTCTTTCTCAGCCACAAGGATGTCTAGATTAACCCTTTAACTCTGTCCGCATTGATTTACATCCAAAATCCTGTCACTCCAATACTTCAATAACTTAGGACCATGCTTATTCCTAACAGAAAATGCACGCTGGTCACTTGAATCAGATTTGGCTCGACAAGCCAAAGCCGGGGCAGACGACCAAAAGCAGGTTTGCGAACAATTTAAGAGAGAACCAGAACATCGGTAGCTATTGACAAAGAACATAATGATGATGACGAATCAATTGGAAATAAGCGAAAATTGAGTAATAAAGAGAAATCTGACATGTGAGCTATTGTGAGTACTCATGTACTTATGTACTCAAAATGCTTATCGGATTTCCGCGCACAGCGGTCTCTAGCACGCAGAGAACGACAGCGGTTCTCAGCATAGTTCCAGCATGCGGAGCTATATTTTGATCCCAATAGCAACTAACTGACGTCCCTCATACCTGACTCGGCCGCACCCGTAACTCCTTGTTCCCCACAACTCGGTTAGTAAATAAATAACCCGTTCTCGCTTACGCTACGGCTGCAAACGGCTGTACCCTTACTTGACATCACCAGTAAAGCAGAACAAAGAGCACAAATACCCATAGCAACATGATCATCTACAAATCATCCATCCATTCATCCATCTAAACTCTTAACCAGCCAACTCTACTGTCAAAACTCCACCTTGCACACAAAACACCAAATATACCATGCCCTCGTCACCCACTCTACCCACTTCACCCTCCTCACCCTCCTCATCATCCCCTATCACTCCCCCACCTCCATACTCATCCCCTTCTTCACCTCACTCCACCCACCCATCTCCCATCTCTCCCATTCCCTCCATCCTCTCCAGCCCCCAACGCCGTCGCCGCCGTCCCAGCGCACGCCAAATCTCATTCGCCGCCCTCGAACCAAAACCCAGGGAGGGGTTCTGGAAGGGCATCCTCCCTCGCAAACAGCGCCCACCAACCCCGCGCTGGCCCCCTGCTCCCTCATCTAACTCTAATTGGAAGCGGAACTTGAGTATCCTCGTTGTCTTTGTTGGGATTTTGGGCAGTTTGTGGTTGGATTATTGGATTGCGGGGGATGGGGAGGGGCAGGGGGTTAGGCCGGTTGTGTGTTTTATGGGTGGGGTTGCTGGTGATGGTAGTGTTTGTGGTGTGGAGAATTGGTTGGGGTTGGGGTTGAGGTTGAGGAAATGTGAAGTTGGGAGGGTGGAATCGAGTGGGAGTGGGCACGGGAGTGGGAATGGGACTGGTGGTGAGGACCCTAAGGGAGAAGGGGAGGATGAAGGGAAAGATGAGGATAAAGATGGGGATAAAGAATTTGAGGAGGCATTGAAAAAGCTGGAGATGAAGGACAAGAAAGGGAAAGATGATGGTGCCACTGAAGAGGAGGGAGGTTCTGAAGTTGAACGCGGTTTACGCTTCATGGAGGATATCGAGGGCATTGTGGACTTGACAAACTTGTTAGTCGCGCATTACAACTCGGATTCTGATCTTGATTTCAAAATGGAGCCCAAGAGCGATAGGGCAGAGTAGTAAGCTCAATCCTTTTTTCTAACCTCACGAACACTAATCCATCCCTCCATTCCTCCCTCAATCAGTCCCTCCCGTCCTCTTCAACATGAAGCCGAATCATTTCGCTAACATCAAACTCCTCACTCACAGCTGGACCACCAAGAAAAGAGCTTTCGTCTACGACACTCAATCTTTGCACCTCTCTCTCAAGCAAACTCTGTCACATCTCCTCACCCAAGAAACCGCCTTGATCGATGATTCTATCGATTGGCTTTCGGAGGTAAGTAGATCGGCTGGAGGAAAACTCACAACGACAACATCCACCTGCACCAGCAACAGCGAGAGCAGTAACGAGAACGCCAACAACGAAAACCAGAGTCCGAACCCGAATCTGGACCAGAATCCTCTCAATCCTGGCGAGTTCGAAACCCCAATCTGCTCAACTTCCACACATCCACAGCAAAATGCAACCCAACCCTCAAATCCCATCCAACCTCTCTCTTTTCCCCCCAACGACACAACCACCCTCATCAAAACAACAAATCGACTTCTCACTGTAATCAGACAGCTCAAGGAGTCTTACCACGATTTTGTATTTGCACAGCGGGATCTGGATAGCTACTCGGAAGAAGACCAAGAACACCACCCACAAGAAGAAAGTCGGCAAGAAGATAACACCTCAGAACAAAACTCCCCAGAAGAAAAGCCCCAAGAAAAAAGCCCTTCAGAAGAAAACCCTTCAGAAGAATACTCTTCAGTAGAAAGGCCCAAAGAAGAGAACCAACCAGAAGAAAGCCCACAAGAAGATCACCCTCCAGAAAAACACCTTCAAGAAGAAAGCCCTTCAGAAGAAAACCTTTTGGTACCAGAAGCAAATCCTCAAGAAGAGAACCAACCACAGGAAGAACACCACCCTTCCGAAGACCACCCAGGAAAAGGACACCCAGATGATCAAGACAGTCCAGAAAATAGGCACCGGGAAGAACAACCCTCTCTCGAAGAAAACCCCCAAGAAGCCTCATCATCATCCTCCTCCTCCCCCGCCTCCCCCTTCCCATCCCCATCCTCATCCCCTTTATCAGCCAACCCCGAAACATCAAAGAAGACATAGACATCGATCTCTTAGCGAATCAATTCAAAGGCTTGGTTAGAGCGGAGAGGGTCTTGCAGGTGTTGAGGGGGAAGGTGTTGAGGTTGATGTTGGGGGCTTGGATTGGTGAGTTTGAGGTGCGGCTTAGGAGGGTGGGGGTTAGGATGAGGGTGGGGAAGGAGAAGGAGGAGGGGATGGGGATGGGGATGGAGGTTAGGGGGGAGGGGAGGGGTTTTGGGAATGAGGAGGGAGGGGAGGGGGGAGAGAAGGGGGGAGAGGGCATGTTGGGTGGAGAGGGGGAGAGGATGGTTGATGGAGAGGGAGAAAAGGAGGGAGAGAAGGGGAAAAAGGAAGCAGGGGTTAAGAGAGAGGTGGGAGGGGAGGGGGGAGAAAAGGAGGGAGAGAAATGGGGAGGGGATGGATATGGGGAAGGGGAAGGGGATAAGGTTGAGAGAGAGGTAGTGGATAGAGGGGTAGAAGAGTTGGGGATGGCAATTGAGAAGTTGAAGGACGTGAAGGGGAGGGTGGAGGGGTTGAGGGAGGTGGTGGTGGTAGTTGAGAAGAGGGGATCTGAGGATGCTATGGATACGGGTCATATGGACACAGGGGAGGGGAACGAGTAGGAGTTGCTTGGGATGAGAGGGGATTTTGACAGGGGTTTGATCAAGCAACCAAACAAAGTAGAATGGGCACTCACATAGGTGAAAGTCAAGGAAAATTGGAAGGAAACTGTTTCAGGAAAACTTTGCTCTTTGTCGTCTATCGCGTTTTTGGTTGTCGATCTCCTTTATGTCCCATTACATTACTCAGACCAAAATAGAAGCTATTGATCTGTGACCATGCCTATTCATCATTTTCATCCTCGTCATCCTCAATATCTGAGTCTTCCAGTGAATCTGTATCAAGTCAGTATGATTCTGAGAGTGGTCAGATGCTCGTTTTACCTGAATGGTCCTCGCTACCATCATTTGACTCAACTTCTGAATCCTTATCAAGACCCTTAACAAATACAAGGGCCTGGAAATCTCTCAAGCCACTCTGTGTATCGTTTCCGGCCCAGTTTTTCGTAGGCTTTTCTGCGCCCTTTTCGAAAGTGACTTGCCGGACATGTTCGCGACTTGGTTGTGCTTGTGACAGGAACGACATATTGATGCCGTCGAGTTTGAGATCAAGCTTCGTTAGATCTTGGAAGAATTTGGCCCAGAGATTGATTCTCTGCTCTGCCGGTACATCTGCTTTGTGCACAAAAGTGACTTTGTGGAGGCTGATGGCTCTCAGAGTCGTTTGATGTTTGTGAATGATGGCAAGGATGACTTTTGGCTCGACGGTTATCATGCCGATATTGATTTCTCTTAGATGCTTCAACTCTACTGGGGGAGGCTCCGCAAATGGTGAACCCGCAGTAGCGGAGTTGAAAGTGTCTGTTGGAGAACATGAGAGCCAGGATACAATGGAGGTTGTGTCACGATAGAATCGAAAGTTCAGTCGAAGATGCTCTAGATTGACGGTGTGTGAGAGAAACTTCATCAGAAAGTAGCTGGGACAAGTAATAATGGTTTTGTCTTTCTCCACATGCATGTTGGGTGGTTCGGAATTTAAATCCAGGAATATTGTGCGGAGGTTGGCTAGAACCGGCACCATGGTCGGCTCTAGATACTTGGGGATGATAAAAGCTCGATCACCCAATGAACCAGTCCTCAGAATAACTTCGTAGTGTTTCAAGCTAGTCGATGCTTTTCCAGCACCAATTAGAATATCTCTGAAGACTCGATAGGCGAAATTGAAATGTGATGCCGAGTTGTCCACCATCCCTAAGTTGTATCTATTAGTATTAGATATAAAGCCCGGCATCCGCATTCCGGTTTCGAGTTGATATGTCCGCGTGCCATAACCTTGAGAGTCAGTCAAGCAGTCTTGATAAGAAAGAAAAGATGGTACTAGTAACATACTATTCCACGAAACATTTGGGGCATCACGAAAACGAGATTGTGAGTTGAAATCACGCATTCCAACTATGTCGAGATGGGGAAGAGCCGAGAAAGCTTCAGCAAGCAATTCCACATGACGTCCGGTGTCAAGGAAGGACGCATGCTGGAACCAGTCCGTGGTAAGTCGATTCCTCAGGGCCAGAGCCGAAATGCTCCATTGTTGAGGGTTTGGAGGCAATGGATTGGATCCTTGGGTTCCTGGTTGCTCCAAGCCGAAGATGACGTGTTTCAGGGACGATGCGAATCTAGATTTCGAGATGTCGACCAAAGCTTGTAGACTGAATTCCGTGAACATGAATTGTCGTTTGGAGAAGAACTCTTTGGCGAAAGCAATATGAAGCTGGTCCTCAATGTGCTTGCACGTGAGGCGGAGCTTGCCGTACTCAGGAGTAGTGAGGTGTTTGTTGATATTGAGGAGAACTTCCAGGGGAACTGAGGCCAGGGGAGACGATTGAGGAGAAATTGTACCTCCTAGTGAAGCAACTGTGTCGCCATTTGCTGAGCGGACTGGAATTGCGTCTACGTCCATGCTGTAAAGTGAGGGGGCCACGGCCTGTAGTAGGATGAAGATGGTACGAGCGTTTGAGTGAATTCGAATTGCCTAGCTAGAATGTGGCAAGTCTGAAATGAAGCACTATCTGGTTTTTTGCAGAATACGGATTGATTTGAGGATCAACGTTCAGGGAGGAGAAGAGAAAGAGGCCAGCCGAAGCTGACGATGAAGATCAAGACGAAGATGAAGTTGAGAGTCGCGTAACAGGCAGTCACGAGATTCTAGTCTCAAACAGGCAAACACGAAAACATGTGACCGCTGCCTGCTCTATTTTCGTCCACTGTTGGCAAAAAGTCAAGACGCTTGCTTCAGAAGCTGCAGAAGATCTTGCTCAGGAGACGCAATTGGGAAGGACTGGATGTTGGAGCTGCCAAGGGCAGGCAGCAAGGGGGAGGCTACGCTCGAAAGAGAAAGGCGCAGCCACTCACGTGAGCTGGTGCCTGAACGTGCTCTGCCGTGCCGTGTCGTGCCATCAACATCACGAAGTCAACAAAACCATCTCTCCTTTCCATCAAACTCATCTCCAGGTACTGCACCACTCTCTTCAAGACACGTCTAGGAGACTGCAACTCCATGCATTGTTCACACACATCACCTCGCCTTGAAATATCCTCATCCTGAACTCTTAGGCCATTTCAATGGCACCCACAAAGAAAGGTGGCCGCCCTGCAAAGGCCGCCAGTCCTCCATTGCAGGGATGCATCATCGCCCTCAGCGGTGCCTTTCCTGGCCGTACTCAGCCATCCGTCGACAATGAACTCATCACACCCCTCGGAGGCACTCTTGCAAAGTCCATCACCGCCGACACCACTCATCTCGTGACAACTGAAGGTGATTTTGCCAAGCCCTCAACCAAAGTCACCCAGGCAAAGTCGAAGGACGTCCTCATCGTTAATATGACGTGGTTGGAAGATTGCCTCGCTGAAAATGCTAGGATGGACGAGACCAAGTACTTCTTTGGTGGCTCGGCTGCTTCTCCTTCGGCAGCCCCGCCATCAACCAACAGCCAGATCAACGGTAAAGCCAAAGGAAAAGCAGCCAAGAAGCGCGCAGCTTCTGTTGTCGACGATGACGATGACGAGGAAGAGGACAAGCCTCAGCCAAAGAAACCCACCAAACCTGCTGGTGCCATTGCTGCCAACGGAACATCCTCTCAAGGTTCGAAGCCTACAATGGTACAAATTGACGAGTCGAAGCTAAAGTACACAGCCGCTGAGGGCCAAACCAATGTTGCAACATTATCTTCCCTCAAGATTCCCGTTGACGAGGTTTGTGGTCTCACTCACTACCAGGTTTACATTGATGATGACAAAGTCATCTACGATGCGTCGTTGAACCAAACCAATGCTGGCAATAATAACAACAAATTCTACCGCGTCCAGGTACGTGATGCAACTCCAACATTGATTCCACTAACCATGCCAGCTTCTTCATAATAATGGTCATTACCAAACATGGACTCGTTGGGGCAGAGTTGGAGACAGAGGTCAGAGTAAAATGCTAGGTGATGGCAGTCTGAACGATGCCCTTCGCGAGTTCGACAGCAAGTTCAAGTCCAAGAGTGGACTGGCTTGGGCCAATCGAGCCGACAAGCCAAAAAGTGGAAAGTATACTTTCATTGAGCGAAGTTACACTGAAGACACAGATGATGAAGAAGAAACCGAAGCCAAGGTCAAGACCGAATCCGAGGAGCAAGAAGAGGCACCAGAGTCGAAGTTGCCGGTCGCGGTTCAAGATCTCATGGAACTCATTTTCAACCAACAATACTTTGCTGCGACCATGGTGGACCTCAACTACGATGTCAACAAGATGCCCCTCGGAAAGTTGGCCAAGAGCACCATTGTCAAAGGCTATCAAGCATTGAAGGATCTCTCCGATCTAATGAATGACGTCTCGCTTGCCCAGTCAGAGTATGGCACTGACTACCAGTCCGCCATCGAGAATCTATCCAACTCCTTCTACTCCTACATCCCTCATGCCTTCGGACGAAATCGCCCTCCTATCATCAACAACCAAGACATGCTGAACCGGGAAGTTGAGTTACTTGATTCGCTGAGTGATATGAAGGATACCGCGAACCTCATGAAGAAGGAACCAAAGGATGTCGAGAAGATCAATGCACTTGACAGACAGTTTCGTGGCCTCGGAATGGAAGAAATGACCCCACTCAAGAAAGACAGTACCGAGTTCGCCGAGCTCAAGAGCTACCTTGTCGAGACAAGAGGTTCCACCCACAACGCTAATTATCATGTCGATCAGATCTTCCGTATCGAGCGTAACGGAGAGAAGGATAGATTCGACAAGAGCCCCTATGCAGGACCTCCACGTGACAGACGATTGCTCTGGCATGGATCTCGTACGACCAATTTCGGCGGAATCTTGAGTCAAGGTCTACGCATTGCTCCACCCGAAGCTCCAGTCTCTGGTTACATGTTTGGCAAGGGTATCTACTTGGCAGACATGTCTTCGAAGTCGGCCAACTACTGCTGCTCTCATATTTCCAATGGTCACGTTCTATTGCTTCTCTGTGAAGCTGAACTTGGTGATCCAAAGCAAGAACTCACTGATGCTTCTTACACCGCCGGTGAGGATGCCAAAGCCAAGGGAATGATATCAACGTAAGTTTGATGCCCCATCTCCTACTAGCTAATATTGACTCGGATCGAGTTGGGGAATGGGTATGACCGGACCAAAGGTTTGGAAGGATGCTGAAGCCATACACCCTTCTTTGAAAGGCATCAAGATCGTGAGTCCAAATCTGTCCTTGTATTGACACGCCTTTGATTTACACTTTTCTAGCCCGATGTCACAACTCCACCTGGCCCCACTGCTGTCCCTGACGCCTACCTGATGTACAACGAGTACATCACCTACGACGTCGCTCAAGTCCGCCTTCGGTACCTCTTCCGAGTGCGAATGTAGACGTGGACTTGTTGACCGTCCAGGTCTACGATTCGAGCCAACACAATTTCCTTCACACCTGTACCAACACATTTATTCTGCCGAACCAATACTACTGCTAGCTCCTACAGAGAGAACTGGGCGCTAGCTGTATGGCGTCAATCCGCGAATATTATTTTTTGAATCAAAAGCGCATCATCATCGAACGAATTCTATCACATCTCTCTGCATAGATGATGGAAACACATTTCTATTTGCTCATTAGCTAGAATTTAGCTAGACTTGAGAGGTAAATAGAGCATAAATAGCAGACTGACATATACTAACACTCTCTCGCGTCCACATCTAACAACCTGCAATCTACCGGTGAACATTCTACATCTCCTTCTAAAGCCCAATAATCTAATTCGTCGCCTTTTCTACCTTTCCCTTCTCCTCGCATCCTCGCCACTCCTCCCATGCCATCCATCACCCCACAACTCACCCTCTCCTCCACCTCTCCTCCACCTCTCCTCCACCTCACCTCCTCACCAAATCAAGCAATAACCTTCCTCATAAACACCCCCGCAAACCACCACTCCCTCCCCCTACTATCCCTCTCACACCACTTCTCCGCCACCGTCTTAAACACCACATAACCCCTCCTAGCATACCAATCCTGGTTCGAGATCTTCGGCGGCTCCCTCTGCAGCGCAACCCACATCTCATTTTCCGGGTCACTGGAATAGGAATTGGACCATGTGCTTAGCGCGAGGATGCGGGCGTTGAGTGGTGGCGCGGTGGCTATATGCTCGATTGCGTTCATGGAGGCGCGGCCGAGGCCGTGGGATTGGAGGGGTGGGGAGATCCAGAATGTGGCGATGAAGAGGAGTCTGGTTGGGGAAGGGGGGATGTTAGTTATTTGGGAACTTTAGGGGAATTTGGGGTGTGGAGAGGGGAGTTGAAGGGAGGATCGAGAAAGAGAGATTAGAAATAAGAAGGAAAGTAGAAGTACTCACCCCTCCTCAGGATCCACAAAACCTTCCTCCTCATACTCCGTATTCAGCGAAATATGTCCCACAGGCATGAATTCCCTTCCCGTGATTTCATCCTCAGGTCTTGGTTTGCCGCCTAGGGAAGTCGCTGTGTCGAGGAGAGGGGTGGATTGTTTGGGGTAGGCGGTTGTGTGTTTGGTGGTTTTGGAGGGGAGGGCGGGGTCAGTGGGGGAGAGGACCTGTGGTGTGGGAGGGGGAGGTTAGATTTATTGTTTTGCTTGGGGTTGAACTTGAAAGGGAAAAAAGTGGTATGGTTTGATAGTGTAGGATGGGAGGAGATGAAGGAATTGGCAGAAAGAGAGGAGAGGAGGAAGAAGGGTAAGGGAAAGCAGTGTCACGTGAACACAACACCAGGTTTGCCTCCTGATCAAGTCCCTTCAAGATATCTAGGGTACCACCAGATAAATTTTTACAGGGCCAGATCGAAGTGAAGGTCAATAATGCCAAAATGCAATCAAAACAAAACAAGAAGAAAGAAAATAAACTCACAACCCACTGCAACGTAAATTTCCCACTCCTCTGCAACTCCCTCCAACTCTCCACCTGCTCAGATTTCCACCCACAAGCAACCCGCTGCTCGTACATCCTGTCGATATGTGCTGGTGAGTCGGGATCCCATGGTATGAGGATGACGCTTGCTGCTGGTGTGGGCGTGTGAGTTGGTGCCGGGGAGGAGGTGTGGGCTGGTGCTGGTGCTGGGGAGGAGGTTGCCATTTTGGGGGGTTTAATTGAGATGAGATTCAAGACGGATATGGTGGGAGGGGACTTTGGTATAGGGGGAGAAATATAGATTGTCGTTGTCGTTTGTTTACAGGGTCAGAAGTAGGCGAGAGGATGTATCCTGGTTTTCTGGTATCTTGGTCGGTAAGTGGCCCTATGATTGTGAGCCCACGAACTCACGGACAAACGGTATATATCCAGTTCGTGGGAAAGAAAGGCTTGAAACGAGAGGTTTACAGTTAGCTTTGAAGATACCACTTCGGCTTCGAATCGATGTAATGATCAATCGTGGACAGAATGTGCCTTCAAGAATTAGAGGGTGGGAGATAGAAATGACTGAGTCATCATCCCTAGTGAGGGCATCCACTTGCGAAACCGAATCCGAATCCGAACCCCGAGCCCCTGAGAACAAGCGAGTTCCGGCACCACTTCAGTCAGGGGCACAGCAGCGAAAGAAAACAAAACAAAACAAAAGCACGCTTACCTACCTTATGAAGTAACAAAGCTTGTCGCGAAATAGCTTCTTCATCACTGTAAATGACATCAATTTCTGGGTGATTTCCAATGTGTCTGATTGGCTCTCCCACAGATCCATCTCGATGGAATGTGGGATACGGAAGGTGGGCCGTGGGGATGGAAAGGCTTGGCAGGAAATCCCCCAAGCAATCAATCTAGTTCGGGGAGGTACTACAAGAAATGTGTGTGTCAACGTGACCATGATCCAGAAGGGTATATAGATATGAATCCGTTCTCGACTTCGAAATCAAGCGTGATATTCTCGTCGTTCATTTCCTCGACTCAAAGTCCTCTGAGGTAGAGTTTGGAGCTTTGAACGCTCGCTTACCTTCTCCTAGGACGACAATAACCTCACAGGACTTCTCTACACCTTTCCATCACACCACCTCACACAAACACCACTTATATTCTCAATATCCAGCATGTCCACTCCCACTCCCACCAACCCACAACCCCCGTTCACCCCCGGAATCCACACCATCCCTCCCCCTCGCCCCCTCTCACCCACCACCTCCGGCATCCGCCTCAACCACCTCATGCTACGGATCCGCAACCCAGAAGCCTCCCTCCGCTTCTACAACGAGCTTCTCGGCCTGCACACAATCTTCATATTCAACACTGGAGCTTGGACGATCTATTATCTTGGTCCGAGGGATGTGTCGATTGAGGATTTGGGGACGGCAAAGGGATTGTTGGAGTTGTATTGTATCCCGGAGAAGGAACCCATTGAAGATGAAAAGAGGAAAAAGAGGGTAGAGTATCGAAACGGCAATGAAACAGATGGTTTAGGACAGGGATTCGGGCATTTAGGGTTTACGGTGCCGGATGTTGCGAAAGTGTTGGAGAGGGCGAGGGAGTTTGGAGTCGAGGTTATTAAACCGCTTGGGGAGAGTGAGGTTGGGCAGTATGGGGTTGAGGGGTTGGTGGAGGGGAGGGTTGAGGAGGGGAGGGATGTGGTGGAGGGGTATAAGTTTGTGTTTAGACAGTTGGCGTTTTTGAGGGATCCGGATGTGAGTGTTTTTCCTTTTCTTTGTGTTTTACCCCGGGGTTTAGCAAGTTAAGTGAAGTCATGGACGGGGGTTGTTTCGAAGATTGCGTGTGGATGGCCTGCTGACTTTGAGAATTTCAGGGATATTGGGTGGAGATTGTTCCTCAGAAGGTAGTGCCACCTCCAAAAAGCTGATGCTTGGGGTGGAAACTCTGTATGATTTACAGCGCAGTGGAAATTTAACGAAAAATGGGAGATAACAATTATCCATGTGAGTAATTGGCAGGTAAGAAGGTTATACGTGTCCTGTAGAACAGATTACAACATTCCCAAAGGAAATTCTTAAGTCTCATGATACCCACTATGGAAATGCATTGGCCTAAATTGACTACCAGAATTGTAGGGGAAGAGATCAGCAGCTCAACATGACCTCTTTCCTGCGAGAATTTCCTTGGTCTAACGCTAATATTAAGTAATAGAGATGTCCGCGAACTATACCAACGTAGCTGTAAGTACTGGTTGCTCTCTAAGAGAACAGGTATCATCCATGATCGACAAGAGCCCAACACGTCTGTACGTGTTCTGCTCCTCAGAGACTTTGTAAAGAACAAGTACATACTCGTATTGTGCACCCTCAGGATTCTGACCCACTGACCACGTGGAATCTTGAAAACCAACAAGCAAGCAATACAGAGGTGTATCATCCAGACTATCAAGATCATCATCACTACTGAAGTACTCCAAAGGAACAACTCTATGATCGCCATCTATTTTGATTACAAACTTCTTATTGCGTAGATGTCCGGAAACTGAGCGCTCAGTAAATATCCTTGTCAAAGAACAACGGCCTTTGACGCGAAGACTGCCATGTTCTACCCAGCTGAACGGGTTGTTGCCACTCCGCTTGACGTCCATAATCAAAACTTGGAAGGAGGCATCTTGGACAAAGCCACCTGCGAGTATGTGGCCATAGGATATCATCGATCCTCGCAGGTATACAGAAGCCCATGACCAGGACGGCACAGACGGCGAAGATGGCAGGGCGGTTGGAGCAGATTGCGAATTGTCCAGAGGTGAAGTAATAAACAACAATCCCCTCGCCATATCATGCTCCCAAATCCCAGCGACGTAATTCCCCAAACACTTATCCGAGAACTTCGAAGCCATTCCAGAAAGTGCAGGCAAACGATCCTTCTCATGAGTGAGACGCAGCGCTCCAAATTCCGATACGAGATCCAGCCAGACGTGGCCGAGCTCATCGACAGAGTGATTGGCATGGAGACTGCCAGTGACGAAGTTCTTGAGCCATCCTTCCATGCCAGTCTGTTCGAAGCTAAATGTACGGTCTAGACTTTGGCACTCGCACTGGACTGCGGATTTGCACTCCCAGATGAGTTCTTCGGCATGGAAATGTAGTGTGCGGGAGGGGAGGAGGCGTTCTTGGAATGCCCATGCTCTTGTGAGAAGTGGTGCGTCTTCAGTATGGTCCATGGCATTCTCCATGTTACAGAATCGGTTGTGTGCTAGGTGGAGTCGTGGTCGTACAAAAATTTCGTCCTTGTGATCGTTGGCCGATGTGGCAACGTGGTGAGCATCGACCGGGATCTTGATGCTATTATTGCCCCAGGAGCGTGTCCATCTGTCTGTAAACAAACCACGGTGGCTATCAGATGCTGAGGTTGCTGCAATTGTGATATACGAATTCGAGTATATATTCGCCATATTAGCAGACTCGAATTCCCAATCTTGAGTGTCATCTTGAACGATACAAACCGCATCGATCCATAGGTACTGGATTCCAAGTTTCCGGGTGAGTGTTATGGCATCTTGGAAAGTCTTCGGGAGTTGCTGCCAGGGAATCCCTTCAGTCCACCTGGCAAGTGAAGAGGACGTTGATTGAATCATCGTAGTTCCAGCTCCCCAGCAGTAGCTCAGTGCTAAATATTGAGCTGAAATACCATGACCTAGGACAAGTTTGATATCATCAAAGCTTTCCAGGACTCCAAAGTCTATTACTCGGGATGGCAGGATCGAGGCTTCCGGTAGACGGCAGTGGATATGTTTGGACTCGCAGTTTTGGATCCAGGCTGCAATCTTCGCGACCAAATCCGAGAGACAGAGTTTGCTAGAGATGCAATTCGGGGCCTTGAATACTGGAAACTCGGTTGATACTAGACTTATTTAGCACGTTGAATAGTAAAACAAGGTTGAATGGCATACTTCTCGGAGAAAAGAGGTCAAGGGTAACCTCAAGAGGGACACCATCATGTTGGTGGATTGCCAGAAGAGCGGAGAGGTGTCCTCCATCGTTCAAAATCGTGACGCCATCGACCTTCAATAAATTGCTGGTTTTAGATTCGCGATTACATATCGATGAGCAAAAACTTCTCGTTGCTTTTGAGATGAGAGAGCAGGTGGGGCATCCTCGTTCTCCAGCAGCGTGTAATTCCTCTTCGGAAGCGCGTGTGGATCCTAAGCCTGCGGACCCCGTCGTCGAAAGATCAGCGCAGACTTTGCAAGGCGCTGCCTCTGACTTGGGATATTCGACGAATGATAGATTCGACTGCGAGGATTGCTCGCTTCTGGGAGGATTTTCCAACTCAGTCACCATCACTTCGTGATGGCATTGATTCCGCTGGCCGTACACGTACCGTGGTTGAGCCGCGATGTCCTCTACCCCGCGCTGATCCAACTGGTCATCCATTTCACCCGGCGTTTCTTCATATATCTGCGATTTGCTCAGTTTAAAATGGACAAAGCAGGGCTATGTGAGCAACTTTACTGATCTCTGACGTCTTTGGGACGGCAAAACAGAACAGTGCTGCAGGCAACTTCCAAGCCTAAAAATAGACGCTGTGGCTGGCTGAGGTGCCTTGGGCTTCCCTTCGCTAAACTATGGAACAGAACACAATCACTGAACAGAACACTTCTTCATCTCCCCACTCTGCAAAAAGATCGTTGGGATCTGTGCTCGGGAAATATTCAACCTGCTTCCCACTCTCATCACGGATATCGAGGTGTGCTGCATCGTTGAATACTGTGCTTTTGAATGGCATTGTGTGAGATTTTGGGGGATGGGATGATCTGTCGGGATATTTGGCGCTACCGGTTATTTTGAGGGTTGCGTTTTGGAGATCTGAGTCGGAATCAGGGGGCTGGAGGGTTGGAGTTGGGGTGGGAGTGGGAGTGTGAGAGGGAAGCCTGCCGTGGAGGTAGATGAAGAAGATGCGCTGAGGGGAATAGGAAAGTAAAAAAACGGGTTTACATGGACTATGAAAGAGCGACCAACATGGATATCAAACGGCCTCACTGATGCCACCAAACTCGTACTAGAGTAAGAAAAGCCACATGAGGATAATTAAGTTGGGAGTGTTTGCTTGGCCGAAGTACAGTTCTCCAACCTGGCAGTTGGATTCCCATCATTGGCTCCTGCTTCTAAGAGGCTTGGATCCAAGGCAGCTATTCATAACAAACCCCAAACTCATTCTGACACCCCAAATCATGTCTACAATAATCCTGCGTTGCACCACAGTATCCATTCTTCGAGCAACAGTCTCCAAAGACGCTCTTATAGCAACTAGTCTTCGCCTCAGATCCACATCTACCATTCAAACTGATAGTTGCAGGATTAGCAACACACATGCCGAATGCTGGCTGGCAGCCATTGGCAGCTTCGCAGTGAGCTGGCGTTCCGCCACAGAAGCCGTTCTTGGAGCAGCATTTTTGATTTGGAAGGAGGTTCATGCATGTTGTTGACTTTCCAGCACCGCAAGTTGCATCTTGGGAATTTGTGATGGATGTACGACCACTGTGATGGTCAATAGGTTATTTGGGATGGAGGGAGGTTACGAACCTTCCCCATGTTGAGTACAAATCCACACCCCAGTAAGCAAGGCCTCCTAGACACAGACCATCGGCCCATTGCAATTTTCGATCTACTGTCAATGAAGCATCGAATACAATGTATTGATCGTCGTAAGTCATCTGCTCCATCATAACATCGGGTAGAAATTTTGAGCTTAAGTCTTTGTCTGCTCTCAGAAGCGCAATCTCCCAGAGAGATAGCAGACCCGGACTGTCTGTGCACATTCCTGGATTACCAGCCGCTTTATATGGGCATCCAAGTTCTGCGCAGTTGCGATCTTTCAGTGTATATGAACGTCCGTACATCGATATTCCAATGTTGATTTTGTTTGGTGAGACGTTGGCATACCAAAGAGGGAGCAAAGTGTTGCCGATATCAACGACAGAGCCGGGTGCTCTGAGAATGGCACCTATAGTGTTGACTTCCCAAGGTCCGTGGAGATCATAGGACATGAAGTTGAAGAAATCTATATATTGGGAGAGGGTGGCGACATCGAAGTGTTGGATGTACGTGTAATCGGAAGGTCTCTTGATATTAGCTGCGAACTGATTGATCTACACAGAACTCACAATGCAATACTGATGCCAAACTTCGTTCCAAAGGCGGCACGCATTTCCTGAATCAGGGCATTGAGATTCGCCGTGTCTATTGGACGTCCACCGCGATTCGATTCCACAGGCTGTCAATCAATTAGATGTGCTCTTGCAACCCATGAAGAGTAAATGCTGATTGCAACGAACGGGACTCACATATTCCCAGTCAATATCAACACCTTGAAAACCCCAACTTGTCATGAAATCTATTAGGGAGGCAATGAACTTCGCTCGTCTTGCAGGATCGGCGCATAATTCAGACCAAGTCGTGAAGGTATTCCCTGGGTCACTGAAACCGTAACCTCCAACTGAAAACCAAATTTGTGTGGATGGCGTTTTCAGGGCTGTGAATTGATAATAGAGCGCTCTATCTTGAGGATCGTTCTCTGGCTGCACTTCAAAACTGCTGGGATTGATGAAGACAAAAGCAAAAATCAGGTGTGTCAGGTCTCTTGGGATGATATCTGAGGGCGCAATTCGGTTGCATCGTCTGTACATCAGGTTTCTGAATCATGTTAGGACGTGCCCAATGAGTTGGGGAATAACATACCCTGCTTGATAGTATGCAACCTTTCGACCCCCCGACGCAGATGATCCTCCGGGGCACGATGGCACAACTGCAGTCTGACAGCTGCCATAACCCTGCTGACATGGCGCCATTCCATTTGAATTTCCGCAGTGAACTTCCGATGCCTTCGTCGAGTCAGTAAAGAGTCTAACGCCGGGATCTGAAGGACATACACCACAGTATCCAAAGTATGAGCAGCAAAGATTCAGCGGACATTTCTGGGCACTGTCTCGAGAGTTGACACCACACATAGCTCGAGAATCGCAATTTGATATGCACGCTGTTGTGGCCGTCGATCCGCAATTGTAGGGCGTGAATCCACATTTCCCCTCCTGTCAACAATCAGCCGTCTGCCTGCAAGTTGGTGGGTCTTGTCCCTCACAGAGTTGCAACAACTGCCATCGACACAAGGAGTACCAGGCCCGCATTGATCAGCCACCTCCTTTGTCTGGGTTGGAATCTTTTCGGCGGTGTTTATGCGGTGGTGGGTATTGCCAGTCATGGAATCGTTCCCTGCTTCTGTCGCATTGGCACCGATCTGGGAGAGGATGTGTTCAAGTCCGATCTCTAAAATGGGGAGTGGAGCAAAATTGCCAAAGTCTTGCTGTATGACATGATCGTGGAAGTTGTGTGTGGGAGTTTTTGATGAAGTGTTTGTTGACGTCGCTACAGTCAAGACTGGAAGGAGGACTGAAATGGATATTATGCATAGCGAAGAGATGTATATCATGGTGCAGAAGGGGCATTGGTATAAGAAAGGAAGAATAGGGACAAAAGAAGGAGGATTGGTGCATCGAAATAGAATTGACTGGAAAGATGAAAACAAATACGAGTCCAGCCCCTTTTGTGCTGACATGAGGAAGGAACAATCCTGGCTCTCTCATCCTCAATTGTCCGAACGCTCAACATCATTGTCCGAGAAGCGAGAACACCAGATATAATCAGACTCATGAGAAGTTTTCAACTTCTTGAACAGGACCAGGAATGACATGGACTCATGGACAACAAGATATGTTCTCTTGTGCAGACCAAAATGAGAACCGAGAACGAGACCCGAGAAAGGGACCCTCATTTTCCAACATTTTCAGGTTTCTGATGACAAGTGGGAGCTAGATTAAATTTGTTTAAATTCCAATTGCGAGTCCAAGACTATACAAGACTTGGATTGGGCATGATCAGCCTATTCGCTGTCTCGACTCTCAATCACTACATGATCATGATTTTCGCTAGTGCAATAGCATCGCCAGCGGATGCACCCCTTGATGACAAAGCAGTGCCATTGTTCTGCAGCGAGACGTGCTGATCTCAAAGTCTGAGCTGAGTAGCTCTCCATCGTATCACCTCGTCGCAATTGACGCCTGAGTAACATAGATGGTCTAGACCAAGCCCACACTCAGCCGCACTTCGACACAAGGCTTCAAGAAAGGTCGTTATCTGTCTTTCGTTGAAAATGGTTCGCAAAGAGGCATCGTTACTTACAATGTTCAGAAAAGGCCATAAATACCAGAGTACGCAGAAATGCATAAGTCAGCCCCCATCCGCTCCGAGAACAGATCGCCGTACTCGTCATTATCACCACACATGGGTTGATAATATCAAGTCCTGCCTAGCGGGTATCCCATCTGTCATTTTTGGACTTTCAAGGGTATCGACCTAGTTGCAGCTATCTCTAAGAACCGTGAGGTACAATTTGAAATACCACAAGCAATCAGTGGGCGTAGCAGATGGGGAACAGCAGGAGCCTGCACATTGCACATACTTCCAATTGGCGTGACCGCCCTCTTGATGTATCTCAATTTCTCGCAGATATACATGGAGTCTGCCGGATCGACCTACCTGCAATCTGTTGGAGCCAAGGATCAAAACGCCCGCCTCAATGCACTTCAGTTTGCTGCTAAATTACACGAAATATCCATAATTGCATCAATGTCCGCAATTATGCTTCATTGTGTACAACACAAACTTCTCCGTGGCGATGGGGTTCCTCTTGGCAGCTTGCTCGCAGGCTTTCAAGTGAGCAATCCAGCTTCTCTTTGGGGGCCGGGACTTTGGGCCAGTGCTTGCTCTGGAAGCAACAGAAGCCGACGGCTCTCGTTCGTTTCTCTATTCATAGTGCTGGTATTCCTGGCTGCTATCGTTGGCCCTGCATCAGCTATTTTGATGCTACCTTTACTTGGGTGGTGGCGGTAATACCCCTCATACATTGGTACAAGTTACTCCGATGCGACTACCTTCCGAGATCTGCAGTTCTTCATAGCGGCGAATGCGACAACACTTCGGCCAGACCATGTCGATAGTGCATCTTTTCCGCCAAATTGTGCGCCTACGAATGAAACGAATAACTTCTGTCCTGTCGGGGGAGCATCAGAGATCATCGACCTTGCTTCTCCAGGATGGATGAATTATCCCTTGAACTTCACACTCCCTTTCAATTATCAAGACCAAGTAATTTACAATCGCTACGTCGAAGTTGCAGAAAAATACTTCATTAACACAGATATAAGTTGGTTCTTGACGCAGACGACACCCTTGTTTGCTGACGAGTTTTTGTTGGCATTTGTTCAGGCATTTGAACTAGGATTGGAAGAAGCGTCAAGAATAGAGCTTTCTTTCTCGAACCATAATCTCGTCTCAGCTCCATCCACCTTTGCAATCTGCAATGATGAAAGATACAGGTGGAATGGTAACGTCTCGTTGATTGATGGGAATGGCACCGCTGTTACTCAGCTTTCTTTTCCCTTGCTCGACGGCAATGTATGGTTTGCACCTCTGTCTCCACTTTTGGATATCTGGAACAGCTCTACCAAGTCTGCGCTGCTCTGGAGCACACCACCAGACCTGGCTTTGAACAATACTCCGTCCATTGGAGTTTCGTTTATGCCATTGGCGAATCCGAACTTCGATTTGGACGATTTGAGTCTGGCGATATGCTCTTGTTCCCTATATGTTGGATGGGAGGCAAGTCAGATCTTCATTTTCTACTCGCCTGGCATCAATGCAGCACGCTCCATTCTTGACCCAAACTTTGTGGCCTCAAAAATGACCTCCCGAGTTCGAATAGATGCTGATTGGGCGAACTCTGTTCTCACATCAGACACCACTCTTGGAAAGCTAATCACAGCAATTCATGGAAACGATGACTTCAATAGCATCATAAGTTGGAGAAGTCCACTGGCACTCGCCATTACGATCCTTCTCACAGACGCTTTATCTAGGATATGAGCTTCTAGCGACTCGTTTGTGGTTTCCAATAATCGTATCTTTCCCCTGCATTACTTTCAACCGATACCAAGTTCAATCGAGTCTGGCATCAATTTCAATAACTCGGTGGAACTCGATGTTAGAGTTCTCCACTATGGATACAGCTACTCGACAAAAGGCGTCACCCGACGTCTAGCGATCGTGATTCTGCTGCTGCACGTCCTTATTGTACTAATATACATGGCAGTTGTTCTCTATTCGGGGTGGAATTGCCACGGCCTGCGGTCTCCTATTGAAGTTGTCGTCCTCGCAATTAACTCGCAACCAACCAGGATACTAGGCAACACAAGCGCGGACATTTCGAGATTCGATACTTACAAACATTGTGTAAAGATACAGTCGTACGACGGGAGCCGGCTAGGTTTTGTTTTGGAAGGCGATGAGAGTATAGAACGGATAGAAGATGAGGAAGTCTACAGTTGATCTGGCTGCTATATGCACAGCTAATGTCATTGAGCTGAGAAGAAAGGCGCTAGCTCGGTAGCACCAAGGAGGAGATCACGGTATTTGACAATATTTATACCTATTAAGGTACCTACTACTGTAACGGGCCAAACGAAACGATCCTGTGGATAGCTAGGCCCGAATTGTTACTAGAAGCTAGACAAGTCCAAGGGGATTCGTAAGTCTTTGTATGGTAAGCAAGACAACGCAAGTTCAACTGTTCAAAGTCACGGTAATTACTCCAGTGACCAACCCACAAAGCAACCAAATCAGGAATAACACTAAAACACCAATAACAATTCATATTGAATCACTTGTTTTTGCAACCTATGTGGCTCAAGTTGAATAATCCTCTCTTGACAGCTAGGACAGGCCATCGTACTGATTGTACAAGATCCACCGAAGCAAATAACATTCATGTCCAGGTACCCTAAGAAACCACCTCTTAGCTACTGGCCACGAGGTTTTCCGATTTACCTCATTAAAATCGATAGGCTATTGCAAGGTCGTATACATTTGAACTCACATTAAGTGGTTGATTGGCAAATGCTAAGGTAGATCATACGGATGCTCCTCGGAATAAAATCAAGCTGAGAATAGAAATAAAACAAGACACTCCACTCCTCTTTAAGAGAGACCTCCCCAAGGAAGACTATAAGGGGAGACTGCGAACTATAAATAGAGAATAAGAAGGGAGACTCCGAACTACGAGAGAGGACCGGGGCTGCGAGAGGGCAAGATGAGAGTATCAAAGGAAAAAGGAGAACAAAAGAAGTTGTAGTTATATATATATATCTCTTGAACTCGAAAAATTCCCTTACCTTTTCCCTTGTCTTTTCGTGCAATCAGGCCTCGAGTCTCCACACCCCCTTGATATAGCCTTATCTCCATTGTTCAAGCTTGAGTCAAGATATCTTTACAGCGTATAAGTAGTTCAAAATGCCCTGTAAATAGCAATAGCCTATAATTAGAAGGCTAAGAAAAACTTCGTAGCCACTGGCCCCGAGGTGGTTTCAAAGTGGTGTCAAAAGTATATATACGAACAGAATCTCTTCTGAGATATCAATTCTCCAACACCTTTACATTAAATCAAGAACAACACCAAACAGCCAAACCGACCTCTTATCACATAAGAATAGCAAGAATAGCAAAGACTGGAACGGAAAGTTCAGCGGTACCAGTTCTCTCGACTCCAATCCACCATAATAAGCAAAGTACGCAGTAAGCCGCCACAGCAAATAGTCTCACGCCTAAGAAACCAGAATGTGTACCTGGTATACCTATTACTGTAGCCCTTGTGGGGGAGGGGGTATGGGAGTCTCTCCTGTGGAACAGTGCCCCTTATTCGGCAACCAGAACCCATATCATTATCCATTCGCTTCTGCAACAAACGGAGGACTCCGACCTCACCCCACCAGGACATGTTGTGGACTTTGATGTTCTGGAAAGAACAGATACAACGAGGGAAAATGGGTGGGAGTTAGGAGATTTGCTGGCGGATACACTTTATTAACATGGGTTTTTTTCTAAGTAACGGTCTTTACTGTGGATGGCTTACAGGCGTGAGAGTTGGCGGGAGGAGATAGGGAAGTGAGACTGGAGAGCTGGACCTTCAAATATTCGGTAAACATTCTTTAAAATTAACAGTGGCATTGGGGAAAACTTGAACTGCTCTGTTGTACACCTCGAGTGCTCGAATGCTGTGAAATGTAAATTACTTTTATGCAAGTAGAAATCAATAGGTTAGTATAAAACTTGTAAAAAGAACATTTTGTGAAAAGTACTGTTAATATACCAAAAGTTCTACCCTTCCACCACTTTCTTCAATGAACATACGTATACACGACCACACGGTACAAATCCCATTCTACACACAATCTAGCCACTTACCACTCACTATAACCCGTCTCAGCCGTTCCCAGTCAAGTCAATCTGTAGATCAACTCAGATTCCCGGCTCTTCACCTAACATCGCCACTTTACATAGCAGAGAAGACTTTTACTAGGCTGTTATGAATACGTCAATTTCACCATCTCCACCCTTCTAATTCAGAGCCTCACATTTCAATACCAGACGGCCCATCAGATCCTAGAATTATCAATAACATCCTGAATTCAAGCCCACCCTGCGCCATCCTCCTTGACCTATGCACAAACAATCGAGACATGGCGCCAACTCCAAACTAATACTTCTCCCAGTTTCCCCACTCACTCAACCCCGCCAGATCAAGCAATCATGTCCCTAATCAAGCGATAGACGGCGTGCCAAAAACTTCATCAGTCTAGCATTAAGTTGGTTTTCGGCTAGCTTGATACTATCAGAGACGAAAGGGTTATATAAATTTAGAGAGAAACAATATATTAAAAGTCATACCTTCCATTTGTATCTCTCAATTTGACATGTGGGCACCGTAAGATACAGGTTCCAGGTCTCGGCTTTAAGAGCCTGGCTTTAAGCAGAAAGCAGGTTCCGCCCCACCGTGAGAGGGGCATGCACTTTACTTAAATAGTAATTATGTAACCGTTTAAAAATCTTTGTGACTGCTAATAAACAGTCAATTAATCATAATAAAAGTCTCTTGGCAAGATACATGTTCTGTTGACGCAGCCAAATAAAAATGGGCGCCAAGAGCGGAATCTAAAACGCTTCACAAGCGAGTCAACACTAAAAAACATACAGCAGTGGGTATTCGCTGGTGGTCACCCACCCAACTACTAATCCACCGATCTGGTGCTTATGTATGGCAGAGCGGACGGGATGCCCAGGTCTCACCAGTCTATGGCCGTATGTGACAGTTTGTGTAGTATCTGAATACATAATCCCTTTAATTATATGTAGTTTAGAGACTGCAATCTGCCTGAACGTTCCGGAGAGACGTCACGCGATAGAGCGACAACGAGCATATTGGGCCGGACAATCCAAGGAATCCAGAAAACGAAGACTTCGAATGGCGCGAGAGTACATCAGGAAACCCGGAGGTCAAGATCCCCACAAATCGTCGAACACCAAAGCCTGCGCGGAAAGTGAGGAGCTTATTGCGCAGAACTGAGAGTGTGCCAGCACCCAATCGAGTCCTCCTACCAGATCTCAGCCCCCGGATGTCATCGCCGATGAACAACGACCAAACCAGCCATGAATTTGGCATGAGTGTTATTGATCTTCGGCTAAGGAATTTGTCCTTGAAGGCATGTGTGGAGGAATGAGAAGACGGCCATGCAGAAGGTTGGTATGGAAAGAATACTGGCAAAGTTATATATGTGGAAGACATCCCCTGAACCAAACATGTCATTCTGTCTTGCTGTACCTTGATCAGATGGCTACAAAACACAGCCTTCTCACACACCCTGTTTTCCATCTCAAGCCCATTCCCAACCTGGCTCTTGTCCACCTGAGACCCTCCTCATTCTCCGGCGCTCCTTTTGACTCTCCCTAAAACTGACAAGCCATTAAGGCGGAGTGACGAAAGTCATTGGCTCTCAAAGCACATATCAGAATATTGTGATTATCAGGGGAGCTGGGATCTCAGTGAACGCCAGGAATATGATTGAGAAGCATTTCAGGTAATATGTGTAACGTCATCATAGTTCCCGATTTTGAGTCTGCGAAATTATTATCACGAGTTTCAGCCATACATTGTCAATCTCTAATAGAAATGCCAAAACTTAACTCCTTCACTAGTGATATCTATAACCACGTACTCACCTACTTTTCAGCCTTCTCAATGCTGATGAAATGTGGACTTTTATTACTCGCAGAACACATGCAGAGTTGAGATTCTCTCAATACAGTTCGAACATCTACCAAGTTCCATTTCCGAACAATATTTAGCTGGTTCTACGATCGAGATTGTCAGGCTAGGGGCCTTGATATATCTCAACTTGGTAAGTCGTTGCGTTTCTACACATAGGCTTGTGCAATCGGTAGAGTAATTTGACGACGCAGGAATGGTGATCGAGTCCAACAATCTAAGACTACTTTTGTGGGTTATTGTTGTGGGCGGTGCAATTGTTACAGATGCCTCGGTTGGAAGAACGCTAGAATTGTTTCTCTGGAAGTTAATGCGTCAGAAGGACGTTGAATCGTGGGTTCAGTGTCGTGTTGTTATGGAAGAAGTTGCTTTTCCCGAAAGGATTCGTGAAGCGTGCGAAACATTCTATAACCAAGACACTGTATCAAGTGGGATGACTTAAACTGACAAAATCGACCGTCATGAACTTTTCCTAATTTTCCCCAGATTTCACTATCTAGCGAATGAGTCCGCAGGGAGTCTTGTGTTCATATTTACAATATCATGAATATTGATCCACACTATCCACAATTTCAGTACTAATTTGGTCCTCTGACTGCTTGTATAGCTGCTACAGCCAGCGCTGTCGTAAGTCCTTGATGGCCCAGCTTGACTTTCGACTTGCCGTACTGACATAACCAGCCAATCTCGAATGACCCATCTGCCAGTTGCGTCTTTAGCAGCCGCTGCAGGTCGGCCTCGTCTCTCAATCCGACAAAGTGGCAAGCCAGTATCCTCATTGCTAGGCCCATGGAGTCGGCCTCGGTGTTGATGCGCTCCTTCAGACGCTCCCGAAGTAGTGAGGCGGTGTTGCGATGTATGTCAGAATGAGGGTTTTCCAGTAGTAGGCGTGCGAAGAAATACAAGAACACATCAGGCTGTTGATAATACCTTGTCCCACTACTGTATGCTCTGTAGAAGAGGACGTCTTGAATCCAATCTTTCGTAGCTTGAAGATCGCTATCCATACCGCGCCCATATTGGTAAAACATACGTACAACATTAATGCACACAGCTGGATCTGTCCGATCGCGATTCTTGTCAAAGTAGACCTAGAAGAGTTAGCGGGATGGACTGTTGTCATAAAAGTAGTGAAGAGATTACCTTGACAATCCCATCAGGGGTTTTCATCTCGGGTGAAACCATTTTGTCCATTATGGACTGAGCAGTCACGGAGCTCAAAGGCAGCAGCTTGAAAGCGCAGGACGTAGTGTCAACATCATCCGGGTAGACTTGATCCGTTCCAAAAGGAGATCCTGTGATCAATCAGTAGATATCCAAGACAGCAAACAAGAACTTGAAAATAATCACCAATAAAATAATTCCAACTTTGATCAGAATACTTCAGATTCATGAGGCTCCTGTCAGCATGTCAGCTGAGCCACATTTTCCATGCTAAGCGATTTATTCTTACATGTCTCTAGTAACTTCATATGTTAGCAACTGTCCAAAATTGTCCTGCACCATCACTCCTGTGCTGGTTTCCGAGTAGAGCTTTGTGGCATGCCCACACAGCCACTCTCTTCCCCTTGTGATAGGATCACCGAGCAGACTCAAAAGTTTTCTGCGCACGTTTTCGGCCGTGTCAAACACAATGGCTTCGTGAAACCCCACCGACTTTGCAGCAAGAATATTCTCAGCTTTGTCATCAACAAAAACAGTCTGGCATGCCGTGGCCTTTGTTTGGGCTAAGACGTGTCGATAGAATCTGAGCTCTGGTTTACACATACCAGCATCACAGGAAGTGAAAACGCGGTCAAAGATGTCCCAATCAAAAGCTTTGCTGTGCAAAATTTCCCAGTCCGGCTTTGAAATGTTGGACATGGCGTATATGCAGAGGTCTGGGTGAGACGCTTTCAGTTCCTTGATCGTGGCTACAACATTATTGTTCTGCTCTTGCGACTCTCTAGCCATGTCGAAAGCAGTGGTTATATCCTTGGCGGAAACTCCGTAGCGACAGGCCAAGCGCGAGTAGCATTCATCTTGTCCGATACAGCCACGGTTGTACTCGTGCCAGATAGTTGACGCGCGGAATTCTTTGAGAAGCTTGGGTTGGATGGCAAGATCTGCAGGCGGCGACCAGCTGCATATAACATCACCAATATCGAAGATGATTGACTTGACGCGTGATTGTATCATGGCTTTGAAGGGAGATAAACTGAGGGATCAATATGAACAGGGAGGAAGAAGGTTAATGAGTATGTTGAAAATGAATGCGTGAGAATGGGATCTTGTGGTATGTAGCTAGTCCTGTCATCAAACGGGAGAAGGAGTTAATACTAAGAAGGAAAGACATCGCGTGTGTGCCTATGAATCATGAACTTTATCTCCTGATGCTGTGGCTTAAATATGACGCTATCTGCTATCTGGTGACAAGTCTTGGCTTGAGGTACCTAATCACTGAGGTGGGGGCAAGTGAATGCTTTCCTTGCAGGCCTCCCTAGTAGTACGAGTCAGTATAACGATAGGTATAGCTGACTTGGAACGAAGTACAGTCTCCTAGAACTGTTTAGTTATTGCCTGTAGGTCTGTCTCGGACTTTCAAACATAGCCAGAATTTTGACACTGCCCGAACGAATTCCTTCTATCCGTCGATCACCTGAATGAGAGGGATTTCCTCGAGGCCGGAGGTTGGCAAGCCCAAGTTGTATTGATTGTTGCGGTCAAGACTTTTCCAATTGATTTGAGCCTAGTTTAAAAAGAGATTTTGAAACTTTGTAAGCACAGAATTTAAGTTCAAAATCACTATTTTCACGTCGAGCCGGATTAAGTTAAGATCTTGACTTGGCTTTAATTAAGGTTCAAACTCGTTTAAACATCTACTGATATCTGTTAGAGGATGAGCGACGAACCCTTGTTCTGTTACGTGGCAGTAATAGAGAGGTTTCGGCATGAATCAACTGAAAATAATAAACGAAGGCTAACCTTCACTCAGATGGACTCCGAAGACATGTGGCTGAAGCCTGTTCAACGCTACGAGTTGTTCAGTGAACAGGTGGGGTTCAGAATCGAAGGTAAACGACGATCCTTCAGTTGGGAAAAGAGGAAAGAAGAAACGTCCACTTAAATAACCTTTCTACCCGATCGGGGTAAAAGAGTTATCGAGTTGACACAACTCTAAGTAGAACTCTACTCTTCCGCTGGTTGTTACCGAAAGGCCTGGGCAAGGGTAGAAGAAGTTTTTTCCTAATATTCAGTACAGGGGGAACCGAAACCTCTCTAATGATCGTCCAAGAGCTAAAGGTTTAGCCCGTCGCTGCCGTGCGTGGAACAATCTGTGTGTTAAGTTTGAGATGGAACAAAGTCAAAATTAAGGTTAGGGGGGCTGGCGAGGTTGTTTCCTGCCTCCCAACAGACCAAAAAGTTGATTCCATTCAGCCGTCGGTAGACTCGGGACAATATTTAACCAAGATGATTCTACTTAAGTAAGCTTTCATGGGACCGGATTTTGTTCTGTCGCTTAGTTTTAGTAGCCTGGCATTTTTGTGAAGTCACTCTAGTCAGTTACAGAAAAAAAGGCAGCTTACTTACAGAATTCTTGATGCTCCCTTTATTCAGTGGTCTGGCACTGAGTCCTCTCCACTACTGGGGAAGGAGAATTAATCGGTTCATTAGATACCCATGGGGTGGAGAGGAGCCAGTGTCAGTCCATTGAACAGAGGGGGTATCATTGGAGATAAAGTTTATGTGGCCGAGAATCTTATGTGCCGCTTATCTTTGATAATACTGTAAGAAGGGAAGATACTTTCGGCCGGATGTCGGATTTCATCACAGCCTGGTCGATAAATTTTATGCATTTGTAACGTCAGAATACCCGACCTTTCCAAAAAGTCTGATATGTGGAAATAGGCGCCAGGTGTCACGGGGAATACAACCAACCGGATTAGCAGAATTCTGAGAGAATTGGGGCTTCAAGAGGAATTAAAAGCGAGTTCTAGCAGTGGCTCGAACGAGTTCAAGAATAGGACCATCTTTTCCGTAAATAAGACTTCTGGAATAACCGAGTAAATGCCAGTGCCTAAATCAAGGTGTTGAAACGACTCCCAAGTTCATCATGACCTGACACGACACACAGAACCACGATACTTTTGTCCTGCACCTCGGTAGATTAACTTCAAGAGCATCTGGAGATGATAAACTTCAAATGTAACCTAATGCCACGACGTTGACGCATGACTCGTCAGGTGCTGATGACGATGTCACAGCGTATGGGCGTTTGCAACCCTTGGAAACATAATCTAATTCAATCCTGATCAAACTGTGTTGTTGCAATTATTCTTTCGAACTTTTCATCTTTCAGTCATCCCTTCTACCACGAGAAACATCTAGCAAGTTACGAATGTCGAGCCCTTCATTGCAGCTGGGAAAGATAGCTTCGCCGGAAGATGTGGAAGATGTAGTACCTGTGGTTTTCTCCTGGAACTATCTTCCCCGCCTACCCTCATTTCTTGTTGCACAGGAATGGGATTTCAAGGTGCCTATCATCGCCGCTGCTAGCCCTCACTCCTTTCCGATCAACCCCAAAGCCGCCGGACTACCATATCACACGGGCCTCACATGTCTCCGCCACAACAGACACTGGCGGGCAGCACTCAAGTATGCAGCAGAGCTGTGTGAGCTGCTCGCCGCTGATCAGAGTTACAACAGTGCTACCTTATCTCGTGGTGGTAATCTCGCCAGTATCGCCCAGCGTGAACTTCGGGCTCCCGAGGGAGAGCGATTTGTCACTTTCGCTATAAACCTGTTCCCTCAAGCCGATGAAGAACGCATGAAGTTGATTGCTGTCGGAATCCTTTTTGTGGTCATCTTCGATGGTAATACTCACCCTTCAGCACAATTACGTGGATGAGATCAGGCATCAAGGCGAAATCAATTTGAAATTCATTGCTAACAATTGCCAGATTCTTGGGAGGAAGCTCCAGGAGAGGAGGTATGCAGGTTCCCAGCCGGCTATGTTACTTTCTAACCTTGTTTCCCAGCTCAAAGCTGTTCAGGATGACTTTGTCTCTCGTATGCGAGGACAAAAGCCTCCAGGGGCGAATACGGCAGGCTCGCCACTCCAAGCCCGCATCGATGAGATCGTGGCTACGTGCAAAGCATGTGATGAGAGAACTGGCACAGATGGGGGCAAAGATTTTATCGAGACAATGCTCGAGTGGGTCATGCACTCGCAACCGGAAAGCGAGAATTTCAAGACGCCTCGAGAGTATCTAGATTATCGATGGATGGACGCTGCCAACTGGTGGTTGGTGGCTTCATGCAAGTTCAGTACTGCATCAGCAATTTCGCTCAAGGATCCATTGATGGAGAAAATCATTCGACTGGTGGGCGATCACGTTTCCATCGTCAACGATCTGGGCTCATTCGAGAAGGAGCTTGCTGCATTCGAGTCTGGACGTACAGTCGTACATATCAATCTCGTAAAGACTATGAGGACCAGTTGCGGATTGTCAATCGACGATGCGAAAGCTGCCGCGTTTACTTTGCAGCTTCTCAACGAACAAGAGATCCTAGCAGAATGCTATCGTCTGGAGAAGGACCCTTCAGTAACGGTCGACCATTGGCGTTTTGTTGACACTTTGCTTCTCTTAATTGCTGGCAATACGTTTTACACTATGACCACATCTCGATATGGTGGACAAGGAGCAAGAATTCAGAAATAAGCAATGGACAATTCTAGGAAGGAAACCCCCAAACCACTCGGAATTGATCCACTCTTACCGGCTGCACAGGCACAAAGGTGTTTGTCTCAGCTTTCAGACCCCCAGCGAGTGGCTTTCTTAGTGGCTTAGTAAGTCTTGGTAGATTCTTAAGTAAATCCAACTCGCCGAAGGGTCTGAGATTATTCTGGCGCATTTTGGTGCTATCGTCGAATAACTTCGCGCAATACACATGAGAAAATGTCACGAATTGATCAGCTAAAAGGACTGGACCTTGAAGTAGCTATGACCACATCTCCCTTTCTCGTCTTATCCAAAGGTTTGCGGCATTCACCGCACAGTGGCGTGAGTGACAGCAAGACCAAGAGGTTTATATTGCCTTTTATGGGGGTACAGTGGGTCTCGGGTAATGACGACAGGAACAACGGCCACGATTTGATCTGACATCCAGGTGCAACTCTCAAGATCCATTTCCGGCAATCAGCCGAGTTTTGAACTGTCGAAACGTTCAAGACAAGACCGAGGGCTGGGAGCAGGACGGACATCCAACATTACTTCGACTTTGAGACGACATGAAGCCATCACAACGCAAAAGCTAATTTGGAAGTTAATGATGCTGTATGGGCCTAATGAACAACAATCCAATGTGTTCGGAATGGGTCAACTATACCTCATATCGACACGCGAGGGGTCAGGATTCTCAACCTTGTAGTCTTAAACGCGGTAACGCCAAGATGTGCCCACCTTCCAAGATAAATATACCTTGACACCCAAGACATTTCTATGCAGTGTTGTTGTGGTCACTTAATTCGTTGATGGATGGATGGAAGGTGGTGGTGGTTATTATGCGTGCGCCTTGCCTTTCTTCCCGCTGGCTGTCACCTCCATCGACTCGAACCAGAAGATCCAGTGGCCATCTTTCATGATGGCTGACAAGCTATACTTCCAAGGGGAGGACAGAAGTCCAATACTATTGGGATGTAAGTAGCAATGCGAAGACATCTTTCCGCCGTCCAATATCTGAAAATCCTCTTGAGAAACATTTCACAGAACGTTCTGGATATTGCCATGACTGACTCGTCTGCCTTTCTTAGGTACTATCCCATTCTGCATTCTTGCTGGTGTCTTAGTCGTATGGAGAATGGCCTTCAGGTTTTCTCGTAGAGCGATTACTGCCTCGGACTACTGTATCTGCGTTGCCATGGTATGTCCTCAAGCCCCAACTTGACTCCACCGACTTACAACAGAGAGCTGATTTCCTGGAGCTCTCTGCAACAGCCCAAGCTACTTTCAATCTAATAGGTAATAAAGTTTGAGATTCGTCGGATTCCAAGACTGATTGATCGACAGCGTACACTCAATATGGCTACGGTAGAAGGAAGGCAGATATCCCTCCAGAAATTTTCGCATCCAAAACTCCCGCTGTGGTGAGTGGGTGCTACTAAGTTGCTCAATCGATGCTAACATAGCCAGCTTTTTTGGTTCAATATGGTCCTCTTCAAGCTTTCTACGGGCGCAACAAAGCTTTCTCTCTGCTTCGTCTACGCCGGACTTTTCCAAAAGGCAGACACTCTTACCGTTCGGATCTCGCGAGTCATCAACTGGATTCTAGCCACTGTCGTTCTCATCTTTTATACTGCCACCTTCTTAGCAAGTGTATTTCAGTGCACTCCAATCAAGAAAGCATGGACGTCCAAGATCGAGGGTACATGTATCGACAAAACCCAGCTCCGATATGCAGGGCATGCAGTCAATCTCATTACCAGCGTTTGGGTCATAGCACTGCCTCTGCCAGTCTTGTTCAAGCTTTCAACCAGAGCAAGAGAAGTCACTCAGATTATATTTTTGGTCCTTCTTGGTGGCGTGTAAGTCAACGATGCTCCATCTGGCGCAAATTTGCTGACTTTTCTAGCCATACGGGGTGTGTTTTAGCACGACTAATCCTGCAATTCATCCCCAACAAGGATCCGGACAAGAGTGGACAGTGTAAGAGAACTCATCCCATCCGCAGCAGGAACTAACTAGGTCAGGGGCTAACACAGTTGGAAACTCAACATCCATGGTGGAACTATTTGTCGGTATTATTGCAGCTTGTCTCGTGGTTATGCGTCCTTGTTTCCAAGGCGTTACTCGCAAAGTCTTTGGTACCACTATCGACGGTACACGATCTAGGGCAAATAATTCGAATGCCCATGTCTTGACCTCAGTGCCGCGAACGAATTACAAAGAAGTGAAGATCACGAAGACGGTTGATGTGAAAATGACAAGCAGGTCAGGGTCGGAGGAAGATCTCTTTGATCATCGGGACCGATTCTGAACACGCAGCTATGGCAAGGAGAATGACAGAACCAAGCCCGCTACACAATTACAATTTATGATGAACGAAATCTGGGGCAGGAACAAGATAAATTACGCCCATTTGAGCTTCTTTCATAATCTTACGAATGGACGAGGCAGGAGTTGAAGTGGAACTTAAAGTGGAAAACATTACATCGATCGATGACTCTACTAAATTTGACCAAATGCTGCGTTGTGTTCATAATTGACAACTGTTCGAGCGTATTGAATAAATATTCTTCATAGTTTGTTTCCACATGTCCATCTAGTATCCAATCTTGCCATGAGATTGTTTCGAGTTTCGATTTCGAATCAATCAGGGTACGAACAGAGGCTACTGCAGGAACCTGGACACTGCGCCACTTCCAAGCAAAGATTGCAGAGGCCAAGATCCAATAGCCAATCTTGATCTGATTGAACCGAAGTGCCCAGAGGCCAGAGGGGCTCGATTTCGGACATTGATTCGATATAGGCTGTTTACGTCCTATGATATCTGGGTGAGTTCATCGCTCGAGGGTTCAGATCGCCTAGCCGTCCAGCCAGCGCTTTAGGTTCTCGAACCTTAGATTGAGTTCTCTTGGTACTGTGGTTTCTGATAGGCGGATCATATCTTGATAAGATACCCGTGGTGGAGCCTCCAAATCCGCTCCGTGCTCATCTGGCCAGATAGCGAGGTTACTTCGGTTACGCCGCATTCATACTGCGAACCAAGCTGCAAGAACAAGGGGATTTGACGGCGCGGAGATGAAGCCAATGTACGTCCTAAACCCATGTTTAGTTGGATCTTGGTCGCGATCCACCATCCCTGGACTCATTTATATGTCTGCTGCCGAACGGGTGGCGCACTTCTCTCCAGCACCGTTCCGATCACTCTTTCTCGCGGTCTCCTTGTTCTCGGATAATTGCAATGGCTCCTTTATTTAATCTTCTGGCAATTGCTGCTGCAGCACCACTGCTCATCTCCTCAGCCTTCGCCTCACCGGCTCAGACTTTCGAGGCAAAGTGCCTGGCGTTCCGGCCGGAGAACTACATCACCAACAGCTCCCGTACTGTGCTGGAATATGTGTCAAGCGGTACCACTCTGGCATTGACCGACAATGTTGCTTCCTGTGGACGTACTTCCCAAGCTGTCGCCACCAACTTGTGTCGTGTTGGCTTGTCCATTCCAACCTCTACCAAATCTAGCATCTCTTTCGAACTGTGGCTTCCTGAAACTTGGAGCGGAAGATTTCTGGGCACAGGAAATGGAGGTATAGATGGTTGCATACAATATGAGGGTGTGGCTTACGCAGCTCTCAATGGATTTGCTACGTTCGGTACCAACAGTACGTATTATTCTTCCCGACAATACCAGATTGACATCAGACATTGGGTCCTTGCCTATGTATCTCAATTTTTGATATTTGAGATATCGAAATCACCACAAACTAAACTTTCGTTCAGATGGCCACAACGGGACCACCGCCATCGACTTCATGAACAACGAGCAGGTTGCTATTGATTTCGCATGGAGATCGTAAGTCTCTCTGCTCTTCTTCACATCTCGGTCGTGGCTAACATATCACAGTCTCCATACTGGTACTGTTTCTGGCAAGAAACTGACCAAAATCTTCTACGGCAGGGAGCAGAAGAAATCCTACTTTCTTGGCTGTTCCCTCGGTGGTCGTATGGGTCTGAAAGCAGCCGAAAAGTTTCCGAAAGACTTTGATGGAATCGTTGCGGGGGCCCCAGCTGTTGACTTCAACAATTTAAACTCGTGGCGAGCATCGTTCTTCCCAATCACAGGTCCAATTGGGTCTCCCAATTTCATAACCGCTGCTATGTGGGGAGGCCTCATTCACAATGCTATCCTAGCACAGTGCGATCATCTCGATGGCGTCAGTGATGGCATCATTGAAGATGCATCAAAGTGCAACTTTGACCCTTACGCCATCCAATGTCAAGGGGATGCTGCCCCTCCTACCTGCCTCAACGCTGCTCAAATCTCCCAAGTCAAGAAGATATTTGCGCCTTACGTTGACGCTAAGAACAACATCATTTACCCAGGTATGCAGCCAGGGTCCGAAGCGTTGTCCGCCACAAGGCTCTATGCTGGTGTCCCATTTGCAAACTCAGATGAGTGGTTCAAGTATGTCGTGTACAATGACCCTTCCTGGAACGCATCCACCTACTCACTCTCCGACGCCGCCGAAGCCGAACGTCTCAACCCTGGAGATATCAAGACATACCCCCATTCGTTCAAGTCTTTCGCTGCCACTGGCGGAAAGATTCTCTCCTACCACGGACAACAAGACAACCAGATCACATCTTTCCAGAGCAATAGATTCTACGACCACCTTCTGAAGGAGACCCCACAGTCTCAGCTTGAAAAGTACTACCGTACATTCCGCATCAGTGGCATGAACCACTGTAACAGCGGACCTGGGGCTTGGGTATTTGGACAAGGTGGCGGGGCACCCAGTGTTGGCATTCCCTTTGAGAAGGAGAAGAACATTCTTGCTGCTATGGTAGCCTGGGTTGAGAAAGGGATTGCCCCCGAGACAATTGAGGGCACTAAGTTCATCGGCGATGCTGTCGCGAATGGTGTCAGTTTCACGAGACGTCACTGCCGATACCCCAAGAAGCAAGTTTTTACTGGAGGAGACCACACTCTAGCGGCGAACTGGCGCTGCGAATAGATAATTCTTAAACAATGCGAATGGATTTGTGCATTTAAAAGAAAGTAATTTTAGGATGCTGATAAACGCTCAAAGGTCTGTTAAGCAAAGCCTCCCATTCTGACCACTTGGATATCCATCCGTAGTCTTCACCTCCCACTTCTCACTTCCCACTGTCGTCCCAGCCCAGAACACACTCCACGGATCCCTCGTCCTCTTGATTTCTAGCAGCTTCTCATAGTGATCTTCATAGAAACTCCGCTGCCAATTGGGCTCACTTGGATCGCCCTCATTCAGGTAGTATTTGATGCTAGTGTTTTACACGTTATGTAGATAGCCCAGGTCTCACCAGTCTATGGCCGTATGTGTGAGGAATGTAGTTATCTGGCGATATAAAGGGGATGAAATTTTGCTGGAGAATTGACAATTGCTGTGCAGAACACTCCTTGTGCTGCTTTTCTGTGCTATAAACATAAGTGAAGAAGTGGAGGTTACCAAACTGCAGAGGTACTGGGCGAGTGTAGACAACATGGAACACCCGACATATCCAGACTGGAGCACCAGCAACACCAGCTGTGGAGGTGCTTACTAATCGCTTCTGCTGCTGCTGTTGTCCTGTTTCGGGCATTGCCGCAGTACACCGCTTTCATATCATCAACCTCCAGAAGAAGCAAACGGAGCTCGTCTTTTTTGCCATTATAATTTTCCATTATCTGACTTGAATTAAGTAGCAGAAGTCTAGCGCTTTTCAAAATGGCTCCAAAATCAAACACTTCTTCCGTGTGTGGCGACACGTATCTTGGTACTGCAAGTACAATCTAACCTAATCCTGCTCCATCATCAGCCCACTAACTCCAGCTAGATCGGACCAATGAAGTGCTACACGGTTACTCTCCGCGGCGGCCTCACAGACAAAGACAGCAACTGGCGCCTGTGGAACGCCGACATGAAAGTCTACCGTGACGGAGAAGGCAAGGGCGAAGATGAAGAGGAATGGGCATCCATTGACGACGAAATCATAAGCAAGATGGAGAGACGAAGGAAAGCTATCATATGGTTCTCGGTTTCGGAACCACTAAGAGAGAAATACCTCACTGATATGGGAGGGCGAGATAAGACGTCGGAAGATGTTATGAAGAGGTTGTTCGAGAATGTTGCGCCGGAGGGAACCAAATACGAGCCTCTCGAACCTCTGGTCGTTGAAGAGCATATGAGGGAATCTATACGGAAGGCGAGGGAGAAGAAGATATTGGAGAATTCTGCTAAAAGTAAGGAGAACGCATGATGGAACACCCCAGTGGTGCTGAAAAACAGGTCTCGGGTTGCGGGAAACTCCCAGCTATGAATTGGGCATTGCGTTTGGCACGGCTCGTTCTAGATCAATGGCCTTTCGCAGCCCCTTGCGTCCACCTTGTGGCACAATACCGTGGACTCACCACATATCAGTGGCATCTCCGGGTAGGTCTCGTGTCAACGTTACCGATTGGCATCCCGTGGGTTGGCCCTTTCTGCTCTCGGCCGCTTGAAAGGCGAACCCATGGAGAGCCAACTGGTACGTAAATCCTTGACAGACACGATGGCCAGCGCACTGTGAGCGACAAAGCGACTACCCTACAGCTATTTCACTGCGAACTCATATGTGTATATCTATGGATGCCAGCAATTCGCTATACGGCATTACGGATCTTGCTTCCGTGGGTGGTTTTTCTCCTTATTTTCGTACTCTCTGTGTATCAGAGTGAAAGTTATGGCCCTTCACAATTTTATCTATTGTTTCTTGGCCCAAATCGTCTCTTGAATGGATGATTTGTAGCCATTCAGCGGCTGGTGATAATGGTACAGAGAAAGAAGCAGGAGATGCATTAATCCATACGTCTCAATTGGCTTAGCATATTATTCCAGGCCCTGCAACCTGTCACCACCTGCCCAATAGAAAACTGATGCCATGTGCTCTGTGCAAGGGTCAGCACGCGAAGTATTCAGATATCGGGTTTACCCCAGGTGACATTCGCCTATCTGTAGATCTCGGCAGTTCTCCCGACATATCCAACCCGACATCCGCTCCGATGATGATCTCATAACACAAATACTCCCCAGGTAAGTGTAGATCCTATAACATGTCTAGAAGTCTATATATCAATGCAAGACTCTGCCAAGTGAATTATCTATCTCTAATTGAGCTTAATTGACTCAAGGGATTCTATGATCTGTTTGTTTAATCCATATTAGGTCTATCAACTATATCGCCGCCATGTCAGACCCGAACAACCCAAATATCAAAAGCAGAGATACGCCCCAGTGGGGACTCTATCAACGCGAGCTATTCTGGAAAGACAACAATGGAGAAGTCGCTCCATTCAGCACCGATCCAGGTGATCTAGAAGATCTCGCTAAGAGAAGTCTGACAATCGGAGGCTGGTAGGCCATCTTCCCCTCTTCAATCAAGCACATTCTAACATTCTCAGGTACTACGCCTCTTCCAATGCAGGACAATCCTACACTCATCTCGCCAACCGTCAAGCATTTTACAGACATCGTATAATCCCCAGGATGCTTGTGGACACCAATGAGCGGGACACAGCTACCACCATCTTTGGGCACAAAGTCAGTGCTCCGATAGGATTTGCACCCATCGGCATAAACAAGATCTACCATCCACTCGGCGAGCTCCCAGTTGCCAAAGTCGCCGCTGAACTGAACCTACCATACTGTCTCTCAACAGCAGGCTCAACAGCCATCGAAGATGTTGGAGAAGCGAACGGGAATGGACCGAGATTCTTCCAGCTGTATATGCCGCACGATGATGAGCTCACAATTTCTCTTCTTAAGAGAGCACATGACAGCGGCTTCACAGCGTGTATCCTAACCCTCGACACATGGCAACTCGGCTGGCGACACCACGATGCCGCCGAGTCCAACTACGCATTCTACCACGGCATCGGCGCCGACCTAGGCCTCTCGGACCCAGTCTTCCAAAAGCGACTCGAAGAAGCAGGCATCGATCCCGTGAAACAACCAAACGTAGCTGGCGCAATGTGGATCGACAATGTCTGGCACGGGCGAGCATGGAGCTGGGAGAAGATGCCGTGGTTGATGGAGAAGTGGAGGGAGATTAGTGGTGGGAAACCGTTTTGCTTGAAGGGGATACAGAGCGTGGAGGATGCGAGGAGGGCGGTGGAGTTGGGCGTTGATGGGATTGTGGTTAGTAATCATGCTGGGAGGCAGGTGGATGGGGCGGTTGCGAGTTTGGATGCTTTGGAGAAGATTGTTGCTGGTGAGTATCTGCTACTATGCCCCTCTACAATTTATAATCATTATCTGGTCAAGATAGCTGATGAGAAACAGCGGTCGGTGACAAAACATACATCATGTTCGACTCCGGTATTCGTTCAGCAGCAGATGTATTCAAGGCCCTTGCCCTCGGCGCGAAGTTCGTCTTTGTAGGCCGGCTCTGGGTCTGGGGACTGAGCATCAAAGGCGAATTGGGAGTCCGTCATGTCATGAAGAGTTTGCTTGCCGATTTTGACATCTTGATGAATGTTGCGGGCTTTCAGAACGTGGATCAGATCACGAGAGAAAGTCTGGATAGTTTGCCGAATTCGGCGGCGATGATTGCGGAGAAGAGTAGGTTGTAATTGTCAAGTCTGTTGGATTGTGATATATTTCTATGAATAGTGTTGTAATTTGATGTACAGTTCTGTAAATAACAGCCTTCTCCTAGTCGTGATCTTCTGATGGGGCCAGATCTTGTGAGTACCCAAAAACTAACGGGGGGCATTGTCGTGCAAATTCTTCTCTTTCAAGAGTGTGCAAAAGCTTAGCGATTAATCTGTTGGAGGAATAGAAAGAAGCCAAACTCGCAAGCATTCATAGAAGCCTGGTTTATCCTTGCAAAGATTGAGTAAAAGCATTCAAGTCTATTTATATTGTACCTTTTTGGGTATCAAAGAACTTCGCTTCACATAGGCGAACACGTGACTCTTTCATGTTAAGGAGAGTGTAAGATATTTTTGGATGGACTTCTGGGGATGAAAATTTGCCAACCTTCTCGCAAGAAGTAGTTTTGTGTAACTTCGGAGTGACTTGAAATATTTTAGGAATCAACCTCTTTCTATTCAGCTTAACTCATTGGATGATCAAGAGTTCTGAATCTATTTCACCGGGTTTATCATGATTCCCAAACCAGGGATCCCTCTTCAGGCTTTGGTCGTACAGGATCAAAAATACAGCAATTTAATATGCGATCAATTTTTTGTTCTCGTGAGTATTAAATGATTGGTAATTTATGCTATCTGGCTTCTATGCTTGTCCGTTGCAGCTGTCTACTACACTCAACGCATCTCAAAACTCTTTCTCATTTAAGTTGTTTCTGTCAAACTTCACTACTGTTAGACTGCATTTAAATTTCAACCATATCCACAAATCCGGTATACGTTGGCCAAGGACTAGTCTACTCCCTTCATCCTCTATTCAACTAGAATTCAAAGATGTGCAACTTCAGAAGACGACGACAAAAAATGGCAACTAGTTCTCGGAGACTCGGGCACGAACTGTACACAATTCTTATCACCCGGATCCAAAAGATCCGCCTATCATGCCAAACTCTGCGGATTCAACACAGCCTGAACCGCAGTGGAAATGCCAAAACAGGCGTCTAGATGACACGGCCTTTCCAGTAGCATCCCCTCCCATGTGCGGTAGCTGCACCAAGCAATATGGAGATCAGCAAAAGGCAAATGAAAAGCAAAGAAAGGGGCAGAACAAGAAGGATAAGGAGGGTAGAAAGAGACAAGAGAAGGCTGCTAAAGCTTCTCGGGGGCAGAAGGAGAAACTTGACAGGGAAGAGAGAGAAGCAGAGGAATAAGAGGTAAGGGCGCGGCGCAGATGTCATCTTGTGCCTGGCAGAGCCCTCTATTCTGTTTGGATACTAGGAGAGTGTTTGTAGTTTGTTTTGGTTTAGTTGTTTTCTTGCTTGGTTTACTTCGTTTTTCGTGCTGTGTATTGGTGGTTTTGCAGAAGGAGTTAGGGTTCTTACGTCACTGAGCTTCCTACATTTGTTGATTCTTTAATGTCGTTGGGTTTTGTACATCATATAATCTCAAGTGGTTTATTGAGTTCTATTCAAACCATTTTCCCTCATGCACAACGACCCAAAGTGGAACAGCTGAGAATCGTCCTGCCAGCATGCTCTTCAATGTTTCGTTACACACTGTGGTGAGCACAAGCAGATGGTCTTAGCTCCTGGCATAGGCCGATTACTCCTCTAGGTTGGAAACATCGTGACGGAAATAGGAGACCTGGTTTTGTTCCATGCTGTGAGATTTTGGAACTTAGAAGCTAGAATTACGACTTACACGGCATTTTTTGATTTGTTTACTTTCAGAGCCTTCTTTTGCACGTGAATCGCCACTTTCTTTGTGAGCAGACATCACAAGCCGCCATGACGCAAGAATTATCCTTGCCCCCTTTATTATAGATACTTCCATATCTATTCATAACGATTCAATACTTTCGGAACTCGAATCATCAGCTCTATTTATATAATAAACGGTTGAGGTATGAAAGAACTCTATATATGGCTTTAAGCGCGTTTGTGGGCAAACTTTGATTGGGCGTTTTTTTGGTTTTCACATTAATTCCGAGATACAGAAAAGTCGGATCTCAGCCCTTGGCAATGGTTCAGTAATTGATCGTTCTCGTGCATCAGTACCCTTGAATGAACTGTGAAGGAAGTTTTCCGGTAGGCAAGCATGCCAGTCTCTACTTCAAGTTCTTGAACGTCGATGTTATAAAGCTGTCAGATTCAAGCTCGGTAACCAGGATCTGGCTGAGGCAGCATATAGGGTTGTGCTGGGTACCGCCTTGATTTTTCAAGCGAGCTCGGCGCAAATTCTATGGTACATGTAATCTTTATCAGAAGGCACAGCATTCCAAACCTCAACTTCAATTGCGCAGATTAAACGTGAGATTAATCCAAGATCCAGAGACTAAGTGATCTTTTTCTGGGTGAGCACCTCCAGAGGGTGTGCGCCGAGGTTTCTCTGGATCGAGGTGATGTGACTCGAAGTGCTACAGAAAAGTGCGAAGAGTTAGGTAATGTGTCAGATGTATTCGAAGTGCGCCTGATGTCGGATACGGGTGACATTAAGATGAGGAAACACGCGAAGAGTGCTGGGAACTATGTTCTAAGAATTGAGTGTACTTGAATAAATGGAGGAAGTATCGGGAATAAGCATATCTTTGCTTGTCAATACAAACTTATACAGCTCTTCCTCGTCCAGGCCTTTATCTCTGTCAGCTTTACTGCATTAATTACAGCTCCCACATGGACTCCTTCCGTCCTTCTCTCCAATTCAGAGTTTACTCGCAATCCAGCTCTTAATCAACTTCGCCGTCTCCCCCTCATCCTTCTCCTTATACCCCAATTGCAAATCTATATTCGGCTGATCATGATACTCCCCCTTCACAATCATCATCTCCACCCTTCCCTTCCCCGCTTTCCCATTCCCACTCCCATTCCCACTCCCATTCCCACCCCAATTCCCATCCCCCTCCCCCCTCCCACCCTCAACCCCCCTCCTCAACTTCCCCTCAAACTCCACAATCCCATCCCTCAGTACCTCCTCACTCCCACACACAACAAAAACCTCATCCACACCCAACCCCCGCCACCACTCCTCCGGCGCCCTCAAAGCCTCATTATAAAAATCCTTCTTCCCCTCATGCGGCCAGAGACACTCCAGAAACGCACCACTCCACTTCTTGCCCCCCGGTTGGGAAACACAGTCTTTGAATTCATTCTCCTGAAACGAGGGCGCGGAAGTATCGAAACTGACCCACGGGGAGATCAACACGAGGCCTAAGAAGGGGGCAGGGAGGTCAACGCGCGGGATGGTAGGCGAGGGGTGAGGGTGGTTGATGTGAGAGAGGAGGGAGAGGGCGAGGTTGGCGCCGGCGGAGTCGCCTGTGAGGATTATGTTTTGGGGGGAGAGGTGGAGGGTTTGCGTGAGGTGGTTGGTGAGGAGGGAGGCCTGTTGGAGTTACCGGGGGTAGGGGGCGCCCGGGGAGAGGTCTGTGATTAGGGAGTTTAGTTTTTTGGAATTGTGAAGTGAGGGAAGAGAAAGAGAAAGATGGGAATGTGTAGTGTAGTTGAGGGGAGGGGAGGGAGGTACGTACCGTAGGCGAGGAAGAGGCAGGAGGCAGATTTGCCGGCTGAGGTGAGGGAGGTGATTACTTGGAACATGAACTCGATCATGAATTCTGAGGCGGGGAGGACGTAGCCGCCTCCTGGAGCATATATCGTTAGTACATCAACATATATTGCGAAAATGGGTGTGTTTGATAGGAAGGAAACGTACCGTGGAAGTTCAACACGATTTTCTCGGCATTGCTGTCACCGATCCAATGGGCTCGTGTTCCATCTGAGAGGATCTCGCTTTTGGGAGTCTGGCCTCTTCGCTTACAGACGAGCTCATAGGCGTCGTCTGTTGGTGGTGAGATGAGGCTATTTGACTTGTGTCAGTGTACAGACAGATATATGAATTCAATTCTTCAAAGTTTTCCAGCTGCAAGCTTCTCTCTCATGAACCATATCTCAATGAGACAAGTTGCCACCATGCAGGAAGAAAAGTATTCCATCTCTCCACTCTTCGCTCCATGCTTTCCGCCCCCGAGCAGCTCATTCCGCAGCAACAGGTTAGAACTTGAAAAACACAACAAAGAAGAGAAGCAAGACCTTGCTTTGACGGTTACGTCTAAATCAAAAGATTTGTGTGAAATGGAGAAACCTACTGCTGCTGTCTCGCCGACGTCCTCGCCACAACATTCCTCAACCCAGTAAGCGCCACAAAGCGGTAATAACTCTGCGGTCTCCTATCCTTCGCTTTCCAAACCCCCGTGAAGAGGGCGAGGACCGTGCTAGCCACTGTATGTTCAATCAGTCTCTAAGTTCATCAAACATCGCGGATGTAATGTAAACAATTAAGTCCCCGCCTCAGCCTATCATTTGGACTATTGGGACAGATTGTTTGATTGTCTTTTGACTAGGGAGAGGAGTGGAATAGAATGGGAAGCAAAGGAGAGGGAGATGGGAAATCAGACATACAAACCCCCACAATAGCAGGCAACAGATCCAATTTCTCCAATACAGAAAGATCGGCAACGGTGGCTTTCTGGCTGTGGTATGAAGAGCCTTTAGTCCCGCTCTTGGGGTCTACTGTTTTTTTGGTCGTCATGTTGCCTTTTTCTTCTCTTCCGTATGCTGTGGTTCCTGTCCGTTCCGTGTCGTTGAATCGCCAATTATCCTGGTTTGTAATTACAATATTACTCTGCTGTTCCTGGGGAAGTGTAATTTGACCTTTAAGCGTGAGGATGAAGCTGGATCGATAGATGTTTTTTTGTTCTTGATATTCCGCGCCGTTCCGAGCAACCTCTGACCTCCAAAATCTAATCTGAGCAATTCCGTGCCGTTCCAGAAAATCCAATTGTCGCCTTGATTGTCGCTCAATTATTCCAGGAAAGAACCAAGGGAGGTACGAAGTACATCAACCCGTACTTAAACAAATACACCTCTACTCTCAACGCTCAGCGCATGCATGTGTGAGAGGGGAGAGCTGGCTAGTCTCTCTACCTAGGCAGCTAGGTAGTCTGAGCACCTTACCTAGGTACCTCTCCCGCTCTCGTAGCAGTCAATAGTCCTGCGTGGTGTGGAGTTGTGCCGAGGTTGGAATTCTATTGGTGGTTGAGGTTGGTTGACGTTGGACTTGATTGAGATTGAGAAGCGAGGAGTGAGAATGAGGGAGAGGGAGAGTGTGGGAGAGGGAGTGGGATGGTGGGCTTGATCTTGACGGGGCAGGGGTTCCCCGCACCGCATCGCAGTGTGAGAGACGGACGCCGAGGTGTGATGAGGTGAGATGAGAGATGATGGATGAGAGATGATGAGAAGGGTGATGAGTGATAAAGTAGGTAGGATACGGTGATTATGATGCAAAAAGATACTTGATGAAAATCGATTTTTTTTGTTGGTGGTGTTGCACGTGTGAGCTGATGATGAAGAAGAAGAAGAAGAAGAAGAAGAAGAAGAAGAAGAAGAAGAAGAAGCATAGGTACCTTTCCTTTCCTTTCCTTTCCTTTCCTTTACCCCCCGCGCGAAACAAACGAATATCTCTTGCCTCAGCTTTCTCATCTGATCCTGCTCAACGCAGCTCCCGCAGGAAGTCAGCATGGCTTGCTTCCCTATCGCATCAATCGCATCGCATCGGATCGGAAACAGTACGAGCATAAGCTCAAATCACTCACTGGGCCGGCCCGAGTCCTTATCGATACCGAGTCCGACGTTCCTCCTGCCTTGCCATACCTCTTCAATTTCAGGTGAAGCCGTGCCGTGAGCGAACGAGGCCCGTGGCACCGACGCACCGAACATGCCAGCCTACCTACCTACCTTACCTCAACTTCCACCACTGATCTCAGGAAGGAAGACATGCCTGCTGGACGTGTACGCAGCTATATCAAACAATCAATTAACAACTTGAAATTCTCTTTATTCCAGCTTCTTTTCCTTCCAGCTTATAACACACGATCTTGAACTTCCTAGCTTACTCTCTCGCCACTGCAGTGCAGACATTCGTGATTGGTAAGTGGTTGGTTGATCCTCAAGCGGTCCTGATACTGTCACTGTCACTGGGTTTCCCTAACCGCGCGCTAAATCCCATCTTCCAACAAACCAACAAAAACCAGCGAACGGGGAATTTGTGACTGTGACAGCGGGAGGGGGAATATACATGAAACGCGTGGTTGAGACCATTCAGATTGGAGGGACGGATGACTGATGGGTGATGGGTGATGGGTGATGGGTGATGGGTGATGGGTGATGGGTGATGGGTGAGGATAAGCTATGACTGATGATAAGGAATAATAAGTGATAATGGGAAAGGCACAGTACTGTAATAATGTGTCTCGTATCGTGCTCTAAGAGGCTTCCCTCCACGTGAGATAGACTTCAGGACAGCCAGAACGACTTAATATACCTAGGTACCTTCACAGCCCAAACAAATATGCGGTGAACGATGCAGGAAGAGAGTCATGGAAAAGAATCATGGAAACGAATACATATGGCTGACCTATTGGATACCGTGGCCTGCTTGAGGAAATACTTCCAAAAGCGAGAGCAACGAGAGAAGCGAATCACAGCCTGCATGAATCTGCCAGTGAGATGTTTTCAGAAAATACCTACCTACCTAGGTACCTTAGTCGCAAACGAGTCGAAACGACAACTGGACATGATGCACTCACTACAGCAAACATTGCCTAAGGTTATCTGAGAAACCACAAGTAATTTTACAGTACAGTAAAAGAACTTCCAAGACTCAGGATACATTCCGCAGTTAAGGCCTGACCGATACTTCCCTCTCTCTCCTGATTTCAGGGCTGACTGAGGACTAATGTGAAGCTACTGCAGCACCAGTCACGGACTACCACCTGGGCAGGCACAGTTGGGATGGGATGATGAGTTGTAGGTAACTAACATGTAACCACTAGGGAGGGGAAAAAAAATCAGCCGATGGGTCGAATGAAGATGGAAAGAAGGGAAGGGAAGGGAAGGGAAGGGAAGGGAAGGGAAGGGAAGGGAAAGAGTAGAATTATTTAATGCGTGCGAGTGCGATTTTTTCTTGGGGCCTTTGCTTTGCCGCGATAGATAGAAAAATATCAGACGCCGATATGCATAGGATGACCGCATGTGAAAGCTGACCACCATGAGGAAAGTACACGACGAGTATTGTCTGTCTCTCTTTTGTTTTCAGTACTATCTAGCTCCCGTTCTAATGAATGAATTACTAAATTTTCAACGTCCGAAATAATCTGCATTCTCGTCCCATCTCTTAAATAAATGTACATACTCATCAAACAAGTACGAGTACCCTTACCCAACAAATCCCCCTCCAACCATCCATGAAAACCCCATCACCCAAAAACGTCGATGCTTGATTCCAAACCATGTCCAACCACAAGCCAGCCCCGCCCCGCCATACACATGCACATGCATGTATCGCATCGCATCAAACCATCCCAAGCCGCACCAGCCAATCCAGGGCAGCACGGCACAGCGGCGGTGATTGAATTAACGTCGGGTACGCTGGGCTGCGATTTTGGCCCCCCCGAGACGGCATAATTGCAGCGTCCTAAGGCTCTTCTTCAGGGGTCACTCACAACGCTGAGTGGTTGATCCAGGACCTTCCTGCATCGACCCCAACAAGCCAGAGCGCCTCTCCAGCAAAAGGACTGTACATTGCAGAGAGAGGACAACACAGGGCCGGCCTCAATCCGCCCAATGGAACCCGGTCCATCGATCAGGACCAGAGACCTGAACTAGACAGATCAGACCAAGAGCAGGACCCAAGATGAAATTTATTCCTTTCTTCTGCATGACACCAACCTGACTACCTACCTCCCTAACCTCCGTCAATCTTCCTAACCTCCTAACCTCCATTCTATCTTCCGGCAAGTCTTTTCCTCCCCCTTTATTTTCTCTCTCAAGTTTCTTTACCTGGAAATCTACCCTACTACTGCCCACCAACAAAAACAAAGCGCTCACATAGCCGCCGTATGCCCTGGTCTAATCACTTCTGACTGCCGATCCGGTGACGACAAGCTTGAAACTCACTGGAGAAAAGGCGGGACTGAACCTGACCTGACAGGGCAGCAGGGACGGGGACGCGGACGCGGACGCGGACGGCTGACACGACAAAGTACAGTACAGACGCAGCCGTAGCCGTAGCCGCCCAGACAAACGACAGACACACCCTCAACACGTCGTCCAACAACCACGACGAAATCCTCGACTTGACCTGACCAGACCTGACCTACCGACGACGACAATAGCTTCGAATACCTCACCGTTGTAGCAATCGTCAAGACGCAAGACATCCTCTCTACCCGGCATACGCTGACTGCTGCCGCACCGGTGGATTGGACAACGGTACCGCCGACCTGATGCAAGAGCAGAATCCCACACAGGAGAGTACCGGCTACGGAGGATCAGGGACAGGATCAGGAACAGGAACAGGACCAGACGGAGAAAATAGAGCTCTGCAAGGAGGTTCGGCAACCTCACTTGCACAATACGTATGTCTCGCACCATCTTTCATTCTTGATCCAGCCTGCCTGCCCCAAAGTACCCCTCATCTAGCTCTCCAGCTCCCCCATCTCCATCTCTAATTTCCAGCCTCAACTCCAGCTTAAGATTCAGCTACCTACATCTACGACAACAATGCTAACACGATCCACCCACCAGCCAACACACAACATAGATCCCTTCCCCCAACAACAACCCAAAATGTCCTCCCCAGCACCCCTCCTCCGCCCCCCAATCCCAGGCTCGCGCTCCAACGGCGGCGCCCGCACCCCCCGCCTCGGGCTCGCCATCCCCCCCTCCCCATCCGCCAAACCCGTCGACGGCGCCTCTGTTACTACCGTCGCAGCAGCAGGAGCAGCAGCAGGTGGTGGTGGAGGTGGTGGAGGTGGAGGTGGAGGACGACCATCCGGGCTCTCCCTCCAAATGCCCGGACAGCAGATGGCCCCTCGACCATCACTACCTCGCCTGCAACTAGCCACTCCGATGGGCAGCAACCAGACGCCGTACGAGCAGTCGGGACTGCAGAACGGGCGGCCGAGCGGCGTGCAGGTGGCTGCTACGGCGGGACAGTCTGCCAGCGGTGGGAGCGAGAGCAGTGCTGCGCATTCGAGGTCGGGGAGTTTTGGGCCGTTGGATGGGAGGGCGAGTGGGCCGACGAGTGCGGGCTCGCAGTATTCTGCTTTCTCCCTTGCGAGTCAGTATGGGTTGAGGCAGCCGCAGGGGACGCCGGATCCGTCGTCGGCGGTGGGGTCGCTGTATTCGGAGAGGAGTGAGGGTGGGGTGGGGATGGAGAGGGATGGGAGTATGAATGGGCTGGAGGGGTTTGATAAGTTGAGCCTGGAGAGGGGGAGGACACTTGATGTGGAGGATTTGGATGATGATGGGTGGCGTGTAGCGAGTATGGAGAAGCGGATTGAGGAATTGAGTAGTTTGGGAGAAGGAGCTGGAGGAGCAGTCACGAAATGTGTATTGAAGGGTGGAAAGACGATATTCGCTTTGAAGGTATGTCCTACCCTACCAAATCATCCCATCAGACCCCAAACTAACACCCCCAGATCATCACCACAAACCCCGACCCAGACGTCAAGAAGCAAATCGTCCGCGAACTGGGATTCAACAAAGACTGCGCCAGCGAGCACATCTGCCGCTACTACGGCGCGTTCGTCGAGCCCTCCACAGCCACCATATCCATCGCCATGGAGTTCTGCGAAGGCGGCTCCCTCGACAGCATCTACCGCGAAGTGAAGAAGCTCGGCGGCCGCACGGGCGAAAAGGTCCTCGGCAAGATCGCAGAGGGCGTCCTCAACGGGCTCACCTACCTCCACAGCAAGAAGATCATCCACCGGGACATCAAACCCAGTAATATCCTGCTGTGTCGCGATGGGCAGGTTAAGTTGTGTGATTTCGGTGTTAGTGGTGAGTTTGGGACTAAGGGCGATGCGAATACGTTTATCGGGACCTCGTACTATATGGCACCGGAACGAATTACCGGACAGTCATATACGATTACCTCTGATGTCTGGTCTACAGGCGTGACGTTACTGGAAGTCGCACAGCATCGATTCCCCTTCCCAGCCGACGGGACGGAAATGCAGCCTCGAGCTGGCCTGATCGACCTCCTAACGTATATTGTTCGGCAACCGATTCCAAAGTTGAAGGATGAGCCGGATGCGGGCATCAAGTGGACGGATAATTTCAAGTATTTCATTGAGTGCTGGTAAGTCTTCTTTCTCCCCAACAGAAGAAGAAGAAGAAGAAGAAGAAGTTATCGTAAACGAAGAAACATGAAACTAACATCTCTCCCTCACCACACAGTCTCGAAAAAGAACCTTCCCGCCGCGCCTCACCCTGGCGTATGCTTGAGCACCCTTGGATGATAGAGATGCGTGCCAAGCGAGTCAATATGGCGCATTTTTTGTCGACGGTTTGGGGGTGGGAGGAGAAATGACGGAAGCGGGGGGATGCTTCTGATGATGATGATGATGATGATGATGAGTCGAGGGTGGTGGGGAAGGGGAAGGGGAAGGGGGGAGGAGAGGGGAAAAGATAGGGAGAAAGATAGAGAGTGTGTTGGGATTGCGAGTTTTTCATCATGAGAGGGGTGGCGGCGGCGGCGGTGCTGGTGGTGCTGGTGGTGCTGCTGGTGCTGCTGGTGCTGGTGGTAGTGGTGGGGGACTGATGACTGTTATTGAGGAGTAACTCAGTATTATTCAGGAGTGAGAGGTAGCTCGCTAGAGGTAGTTCGCTATCTCCTGCGGTACCACATACCACATACCACAAACCACTTTGATCGGATCGGATCGAATCTGGATTCGAACGGTTTTCATCTTATCTTATCGACCACCTGCACCGAGCAGGAAATCTACAAGGACCATTCATTCATCCGAACCGACGGTTAGGAACTCGGAGAGAGAGAAAGAGAGAAAGAGAGAGTGTGTGGTTGGAGTGGAGTGGAGTGGAGTGGAATCGAGTGGGAACCCGAAAGGATATCTACCTACCCATCTGGGAGATTGCCGATAAAGCGAGGAAGAGCGCACCACATCACATCAGACACGGCTTCGATCGAACGAGCGATATTCTCTTTTTGCACCTATATCTACATTGCTATGCAAAGCAAAGCTATGCATGCCACATTGGGTGGTTCGGCGTTTTCAGGAGACTTAATGGCGTTGGTTGGATTTTGGACTGAAATTTTGGAGCTGGCATGGCATGGCATGGCATGGAAGGGGGAAGGAAGCTAGGAGGGATGGGAAGATGACTTGGAAGGATGATGGATGGATGCATATCAATCAATCAATGAATGAAATGGATTGAAAATGAATAGCAGGTTGACCTAGACTCAGAAACACGCGGCAAGTGCCTGCTGTGATTAAAATACCCCTTGTCGGCGTGGAGCTCGAATTGTATATCGGAGAAGCGAAATAAACTGCTGCGCTAGCAAATGTACTCGCGATCGGCCATAGTGCCTCCTTGGCTCGTTCGCACACCATGTTACCTTCTACTCTGATTTCGACTGTTTGACTTTTGGCGTCGTCTCAGAGGTTTCGTAGCTTCCTGTTGCTGAGCATCGACAACGAAAGGTGGAGCATTGAACGGGCTCTTTCCCTGCAATATGTCAATCATCAGAATCGATCTTCTGTACGCCACCATTCAGAAGCACTTCCACTTACATCAACTCTTCGGCTCATAAGCGCAAGATGTCCAGCATCTCCATTCTTCTGATTCAGAGATTCGGGGGCGGCCAGTGAAGTCAAGGACTGCATCATCGTGGTGAGCTTGCCATGGAGGTCGAATCTTAGTACATGTTAGCTACACAGACGACAAGCGTTGGAATGCAATGCTAGGTCAGCACCTCTTCCATTGTGATGTCTTGGTGTCATGGTGTCTCGCCATAGCATCATATGTGGAAGCGGTCATTTCTTGTCGTGAACCGTCTCGAAGCAGGTCGCCAGGTCGGGGATCGTATGGTTTACGTCCAGTGACGATATGGAGATTCATAAAATAGGCACCGGATTCGATTTCATCGAACTCAACCTTGGGCAATTCATCACAGAGCTAATCTGATTAATTCTGCATCCCCGTTTCTTAGTATCGGGGCTGCTTACCTTTGGAATGCAATTCTCAAGTTCGATTTGATAAAGGACAAATTCCTTTAGAATTTGACCAGATCTAGTGTTACCTCCAACGGGGATAGGCAGAACGATCTGCTTAACATCCCAGAAACTATTCTTCACGTCAGAGTTGCAAGCGAATAGGAAGACTTGACTAGCTCACCCAGCTCCCTGTAACCAAGACTTCAAGCAAGCAGCTGCAACTCCATCTTGAGGTCTCATATTTGCCTTCAATCGCTCAGATACTCTTCCAGACCACCCAGGAACTGTAGTTGCCAGCTCTTCGTCAAGAGGATTCTTGAATCGATCCGCGATATCATCAGTCCAATCCGTTTGAGCAGTACTTTTGTGCTTGTCGACTTCCTTTTTCGATTTGGAGATACCTGAAAATACGCGTGGGCGGGGGTCAATCTCGAGGAACTCAACAACACCATCTGGCTTTAACATCCTGTATGCAATTAGCTGATGAGTAGTTTCTCCCAAATAGGGAAGACTCACGATCTAACATCGTCGAGGAAGGTCTTGTAGCTCTCTACCCTATCAAAGATCTCTCGAGCACGAATGAACTCGTAGAGATTATGTGGGATTGGCGTTTGATGTGCCAAGAGGCAGTTAATATTGCGCATGGTAAACTCTGGAGCTTCTTGACTTGTATGAACGATTCCAAAGTAGTCATCATAGTCCGCCTGAGCATGAGGTGACATGAAATCCCTAGAAGAATTGTCAGACTGGACGACGTACTGACGGGATCAAATCCCGACTTACTTGATATCGACATCTCTTGGGATGCAAGACCAGTGGTTTGTATCGTCAATGCCCTCAACAATCCAATCAGGCTGCTCTTTCTTGAAAATGAAACACCAACCACCATCACTGCAGCCAATTTCCAAAACTCGAGGCGGGCCATGGTATACAGCAACAGAATGGGTTTCGGTCGGTGACTCCTCGTTGTCTTTCAATACTTTGGGAGAACGAGGACCTCTGAAGTCCCAAGAAGATAGTCGGTCTCTCCAGATGCCATCATCAACGAGAACAGAAGCTTTACCATCAGCGCGTGGGGTAATGATCTTGCCAACCTTGTCACGGAGCTACAACTGTTAGTATGTGTCATTCTCAGTCTATTTGTTGTAGCATGAAGACTATTCGAAACTGTTTGTGCCTACCTCGTGATGATAAGCTTTCTTGATGACTCTCAACAACTGCTTGACACTCAGCTCATCACTCTTTGGCCGAACATTCATATCCTTCTCCTCGACCAACTCGCCATACTCGTTGTAGACCATCTTGACAGTGACGAAAGACATGACATCTTTGACTGAACTTCGGCGTCTCGTAGGCTTCTTGCTGATGGGCTGTGCAGCTGGATCCATCAGGTTGGGGTTAGCTGCAGTCTTCTCACCCTGAGCATCATACCTCTTAGGCAGGTCGTCGGGATCCACAATCTCGATAAGTGGATTCGTGTTGCCACATGATGTGCGGCGCTTGGATGTTGGGGTTGAGGTATTCGTCTTGGGAGTGGCTGGAGCAGAGGGGTCGTGAATGTCGGAGGTGCTGTCGAGATCGGGGATCGTGAGATTTTGGCCGGTAAGGGAGCGGATGGGGAGAGAGGTGCCGTGGATACCTGAGGGATAGTCAGATTCGGAGATGCTGTTGTGACGCTTGCAGGCTAATGGGATCTCCAGTGAGAAGACCTCGCCGGTATGCGTGGTGAAGAGGTCGGGCATTGTGGAAGCTTTGTACATGTGTTGTCGACGCGAAGAAGGTGTTCCAATGAGATGAGCTTCTAGAGGAAGAGGAAGCACGAAGACAACAAACTAAATAGTGCGGGCAGGAAGAAAGTCGGCAATCACGCCTCGTTAATGTTTTTGGAAGGAGCGCATGTCAACAAACGACGTCATTGCGGCAGCTTTAATGTCACAAACTCGCATTTGACGGTCACGGCAAGAATAGGACAAGGACGGTACTCCGTTCTCAACTCGAGAGCCGGTTCTTGATGATGACTTCGGAAAGGATGCAAGCAGTAATAATACATTGCCACGACCATGCAAATATCCTTCGCTGAATCCATATACTCTACAAGCGAGAAGAAAAGCCTCCAGCGTCTTTCAGAAATTTCAGCTACCAACAAATCAGCTTCAATCAAAATTGTAAATCAGTATCCAGTCTTAGATAAAGATTTGGGCTCCTCCTGCAAAGACTCGATTCCAAAGACAGAGCAATGTGTAAATTGAACAGACTTACCTGCATCGGTGCACCAACCAAATCTTCACCCTGCAACTTCTTCTGGAACGCCTGAAATGTCTCTGACGAGCTATGAGCACCTAGTGCTGCTTTATCTTTGTAGCTATTCGAACCATCAGTTATTTATTTCCATCTCACCCACACAAGCCATTATTTCCAACGAAGCCGCCTCATCCGAACTTTCCAACCTTGGCGCCCAAGCTTCATCCCCCGCAGAGGCAATTCAAGGAACAAGCTAAGATTAAGAGGAGGAACTTGACGGAACTTCTAAAAATAGTTGAAATACCTCTCAATCATAATAACCTCATCCTTCGCCCTCGTAATCTGATATTTCAGCGTCCCAGGTTCTTTCGCCTTGACATATTGCGAGACTTCTGAAAGCAATTCAACAATCTAACGAATCGAATCAGTGCTCGGTCCAACAATCTTCTATCCCCTCTCTGAATCCTCTCCTTGAACAGAACAGGCAAGAGGATATCATTCAAAGACGAACAAGAAAGTTGGTGGGTGATGGAAACATACCCGATCCGCCTTCCCCGGCTTCGGGGGTAATGATAGCCACTATATCAATCTGGGAAGACATATTTGCGAAATTTGTTTGATCTCAACTTGGGGTCCTGGTTCGATTGTAGCGTAGTTCAAGTAAGGTTTCAATGGTCGTTGTTCTGTTTTTGAGTTTGGATGCTGTGGTCCTGGAGCATCTCACTAATCAGAAGAGGGGATCCTGAGCTCGGCTAGGTTGGACCTCGGCTGGATTTTGGCGAGGGCGAGTCAGGGGGCTTGCTGGGGTTGTTGACATTGATGTTCGGTTGTTATTGTTTGTGGGGATTTTGGAGTGCAGAATTTTATAGCTTTGGGGAACAGGTGTACTCGCATTGCTCGTTTGTCTTTTGTAATAGATTGTTTATGACGAGGTCAGTATTCGTTGCAAAGATGAGACATGAATGTGAGCAATGCTGGAGGGAAGGAAAACATCCAAATTCTAGGATGTGCAGAAGTGAAGATATAAATATATACAGAATATAATGGTGTTTGAAATGGCTATCCTGTAACCGCGTCCCCAATTCCAGGCCAAGAAGTCCAATGCACGGAGAAGACCACTTGGTAGTGGTCATCATCGAAATCCTACCAGGCAGTGCCTGCACGTCTTTCCAACACACTTCTCGCACCTCTCCTCTTGTTTCCACCACACTGCGCAGGATACTTCCTGTCCGTAACCGGATTCGAATCACTCCCCTCTCAATCCCATTCAAGAATCCCCACCCCCCAGGACCCTTCGCACTCCATAAAAAGTACCCGCTAGAACTACTTTCAAAAACATCCAATTGCGCCTCCACATATCTCCTCACTGTTTCCACCATCCCCTCATTCCAGTCCTCCATTGGTGCAGATTGGCATTGACAGCCATCAACTGAGCACGAAGTACCAGCAGTGGTTGATCCATCGGGATTGACGCAGATATTCGTTGCTGCTGACCATTCGCCTACATACGTAGGCATGACTGCGTTTGCAGCAGCGAGGTTTTGAGTCCATCCACATGCAGCGACGATATGCTCCTCTTGAGTAAGAGTATTATCCGCGTCCGTGAAAAGTTGGTAAAGATGCGTATCAACAACAAACGTCTTCAAACCATCACCATTCAACTTTTGAGCAACATCCGTCCAAGCGCCAGGTCCTTCAAACGCATCGTGCATGACGATGACGAGGTTTTCGTTCTCGACTTGAGATTTGACTGCCGCGTAGCCGTCTTCTGCCCATGATTGAGTCACGCTGAATTTGTTGTTGCCCCAGGAGATGGGCTCGTTGACGAGCTCGATGCCGACGACCACGGAGGCGTATATGGCTTGGCCGTATTTGGCGGCCATGGCTTTAAGGACGGAGATGGAGCGGGCGAGGTTGGAGGGTTGTTGCCAGTTGACTGGGCCAGCTTGACCACTGTTGTCGAAGCCTGGGTGACCAGTCAGTATTTCGACTTCCGGGTGTACTGGAAGTTGACGGGAGAAAAGGAACAGACATACCATTTTGACTTCCTGGACTGCCATGTAAATCAACCCAAACATACATCCCAGCGTCCCTAGCCCATTCAATCGCCTTTTCCAGATAAGCATCTGCACCCTTATGATAAGGCGTATCATCATTATCGTAAGCCCAGAAGCCAATTGGGATACGAAGTGCATTCAGACCAGTTGCTGCAAGAGCTTGAATATCTGACTCAGTGAAGAAAGTGGACCAGTGAGTTTTGAGTGCTGAAGCGGAGCCAGAGATCGAGTCGAATGTGTACTGGTCTATGGCGGATGAGAATTTACCAGTGAAGGTATCTGGGTTCATCCATTTTTCGAGGACCAGCCATCCTCCTAGGTTTACACCACGGAGGAAGGGGATGGTGTTATTTGTTGAAGAGGCGGACAGTGAAGTTGGCGACGGTGATGGTGCTTGAGACGAAAGACTCGATGAGAGGAGTTTGCTGTACTCCGCTGCCGGTGTAGCAGCAAAAGTGACAAATGTACTCGCAGGGGTGGGCTGATTGGCTGAAGACAGAATGGAGCTTAGTTCTGCAGCTGGTGTTGCTGAGAAGGTAACAAAAGTACTCGCAGGAACGAGCTGAATGCTTGAAGAGGGAAAAGGGCTCAATTCCGCAGCTGGTGTCGCTGGGAAGGTAACAAATGTAATCGCAGGGAGGATTTGGTTGACTGAGGATAGGTTAGGTGCAGGAGTAGATTCCGGATCGTTGAGAGTGAAGAAAGGAATGCTAGTTGACGTTGAACTAATCAAGGGAGATGCGATAGGCTGCTGGTCGGTGCCATTGGAAGTGCCATTGGAAGTGCCATTGGAAGTGCCATTGTTCCCTACGAAGCCGGTTGGTTGGGGAAAACTCGATCCAGTACCAGTCCCTGTTCCGCTCCCATATCCAGTGTAGAAAATACCTGCTGGAATGCCCGTGCCTGTTGGAAAGCTTGGAAACGAACTACCCGAAGGCGTCTGTATGCCAGATGGCAAAGGATCAAGAGAGAATGAACTTGATATAATGGCAGGTGCTGCCTCTGTGGGCATTGGTATCGCAGTGAAAGTGATAGAGACAGAAGCAGGTGTCTCTTCAGCCAGCATAGGCACTGGAGTGAAGGTTTCGGAAAACACAGCAGGGGTTGCCGAAACAGGTAATGGGATTGCTGTGAATGTGGTGAGAACGACAGCTGGTGTCGCCGAAGCGGGAAGTGGGATTGCTGTGAAGGTAGTGAGAATTACGGCCGGCGTTGGAGAGACAGGTACTAGAAATACGGTATATGTCGAGTAGACTATGACAGGAGGAATCGCAGCATCTCTTCCCTGCAGTGCTGCCGATGATCGTCTCTGTCGCCGAGCTGATGCTGAGTCAGAAATGAGGATGAGTGCCAATAATGCCGATGGTAATGATGTCCACATTTTGAATAGACAGGCTGGTTCGCGTAATTTGACTCGTGGTTGCTGAGAAAAAGTGTCAAAGCAGAGACGCAGCACTTTTGATAATGATCGTCCTTATGATATGAAAGAATGTCGAAGATGTAGTTTAGCGGTGATACCGAGTGTAAAAAGGCCCTGCCTTTGGTATTGAAGAGTAAGTGTGGTTTGGAAGTCCTATCTGGACTAGCGCAGGTCTATCGACGCCACGTCCACGTTCGGACAATACAGCCTCAACTTTGACGGTTGTTGATAAAAGGCGGGGAAGAGTTGGTAATGGATATAAGATGAGATCCTGTAAGAGGCTAAAATGATATTTGAGGTGGTGAGAGACTGATAGTGAGGCTCAGAATGGATATCGCACAATGCAAGTTTTTGATGTCGTGGTGACGAACCGGGAATAAATGCCTCAAACGAAATGCTTATTTCTTAAACGAAGGATTGAGATGCGCAATGATCAAAATGCTGTGCTAAAAGAAGGGAAAGTATGTGGACGAAGTCCCAGAAAGGAATGTATGGGAAAATTGGACTTGATAGCAAGAACTTCAAAAAGAGAGAGGGCAGGAGAAGAGAACACAGTTAGGGGCAAACATCACAAGCTATATGAGATCAGATGGCATTTGCCAATACTGCCACACTTGCTTTCTCCGATAATCGTGAAACTGAGACACATATTCGTGGGATTGCCAATTATCCTGTTCTAGGATCTGATTGGTCCCTCGTTTGTTTCGTTTGCTCAGATGGCTTCGGAAGCGATGAAACACGCTTTCAGCCGCTCGTGCCAATGTGCCAGTGGAAGATCGTAACTTGAGGCAACGAATGGGATGAACAGGTGGAATTTGCTTGGGCTGGTCGAGAACTTCTGCCGGGCGAAGGAGTTGAGCCATGACGTTGGTTTTGCCCCTGAGCCAGCACTCTGATGGTTCACTGTAACCTTAAAGCATCGATAATTGAAGGTGCAACTGGAAACCCAGATATCGCAAATTGACTCAGCCATGAAGATAAATGCCCTGGCGTGACTCCCATGTTGATTGGTACTTCACAAGATACGCATGAGTGGCACGCTTCGAGAATTTTGGTTACTGATGCGAAAGATCGTGAGGTTGGGGAAACATAGCTACCCCTTTTTTCCAGAACAATCTTCCGAGTCACGTGGACCCAAGGACCATCTAGGTACATTAATATGCTTCTCACCTGCGTGTCGAAAACTCTGCAGATAAGTAAAACTTTGTCCTCGAACTCGCGAGCTCAGAGAACGGCAAAGAGAAGTGATGTGAAAAGAGATCGGGGCCAAGGTGAAGAGAAGGCAAACCTCACCAGCTTCATCTCCGATTGAAGGCTGGCGTCTTCGGGGTACAAGAGCCTGGCATCAATGGCTCTGCCTTTTCAAGATTGGATGCAGTACGGGATGTCGTGCGGCCAGTATCCTTACAGTAATTACATTACCCCTTAACTTTCTTAGATAGCGCATCTTTCCTTCTGAATAGTTTCGTCTTTTTCTCTTCTTGTTTTTGCTCCTCTCTTATATTTATACTCAGCTTCGTATCCTCTTCTACTTTCTATAAACGGCGCACGACCTAATTCTCGCGAGATGTGCAATAAAGGCAAGTATGAATACGTAACATTCCTTGCCCTCATCAGATATCCAAGAATTTGAGGATTCTACTGACCGCCTGCTCATCACCTTCCATAGTTTCCATCAACCCCGCATCAACCCATCCACCGGTATAGCTACCCCCAAAATCAATCACCCAAGCATCATCCGTTTCCCTATGAATGAGCACATTATGCGGCTTTCCATCACCCCATACGACCCCAATTTCATGAAGCTGATCAATCGTCTCTCGAACCTGAGCCCCCCACTTCTTCCTCCTATCCGTCGAAGCCTCCACATCCTCATTCTTCAGCGCCCTTAAATCAGACAGCACTCCCGTAGGAATGTGTTCTTCGAGAATGCCAATGAACAACCCCGTCTCCGCCGACGTGACTAAACCAAGCAATCGAGGTACTCGAATCGAATCAGCGAGGTGTGATCTCGCTACTTTCCGGAGACAGTTGAATTCCCGTTCCATGGTTCGCCAGGAAGCATCATCACCGCTCTTGCAACACATTTTCTTTCCTTCAACTGAGACTTGGGCAATGTAGCTGTGCCCGAAGATAGTTTCCAGTACACGGATATCTTTGGATGAGTATTGAGGTAGTTCCATATCGTTGACAATTTTCATGCCAAAGCGAACGTCATAGGGCGCGCGCTCCATTTCGTGTGGAATCAGTTCCGCTTTCCCATTATTGGTTACAAAGCGGAAGTAAAAGGTCTCTGGGTAGAGAAGAGAGTGTAAATCTGAGGGCTCTGGTCCATCAGGAAGTGGAGGAGCTAGTTGAGTCCAGATTGACCGCCCAGCTTCGTAAACGATGTCTTGGATTTCTTCCTGGAAAGCTTCAATCGCCTCTTCGGCTTCACCTTCATCATCCATGGACTCATATTTTGAGATAATAGGTCCCTCGATTGTGTTTGGGGAGGTGGTTGGAAGTAAGGATACGTGAAAACGCTTGCCGTGGTACCTGATGGTGATGAAGAGGCCGTCCCCGCCTCCACCATCCCACTGCACGGCTTGCCAGCCATTTGAGGACATCCCCGTCTCGATGGGAATGTCGAGAATCAAACCGATAGAGTACGGGAGATGTTTCTGAAAGAGATATAGGAGCTTTGAAAAGTCCTAAGGGCATTTGATGTACATGTGGAGGTTCGCGTGAGTGCGAGAGATTACTTGTTGGACCTGACGCGAGCTTGTGATAGGCAGCAGCAGGCAAGGGGGAAGAAACGAAAATCGAGGAAAGACGGTTACAGCAATATTAATAGCCAATCGCACAGGGCCCAGCCTCCCAATTCTTCTTGGCATTCTCGCCAAACCGAAAAGTACTTTTTTGTAATGAAGTCGTAGGGAATTCGTAGTCCAATGGTTCCAGGATAAACTCGCTTAAGCCATCCCTCTCTATTTACTTGCACCTCACCAAGACAAATAAGATTTCCAGAAGTACACATCTCCGAAGCTCCGCAACGGCAGCATTTTCAGCAAGACTTGTCCCCTCATACCGACTTCTCCAGCTCATTTCCTACCATCAACTCAACTCCTCCCTCTCCCCCTTTCCCCTCATTGTCTTATCCCGTCCGTCCCTCATCTTCTCCAGATTCCCCGATCGTCGTGGTCGGCCCCTTCACCGTCATCTTCCTAACCGTCTCCACCACCCCCTCAATCCTCCCATCCTCCGCCAACTCAATCCACATATACGTCTCCCCCAACACCACACTCCCATCCTCCATCGTGACCGGATCCCCAGAATGCCTCTCCGCAATCTGATTCCCATCGCGCATGTAATGCGTAACCTTGACATTGACGCTTCCGGGCGGCAGGATCTCGCGGAGCCACTTGATGTGTTTGACAAAAGCGGGGAAATCCCGCGAGCCTGAGGGGGCGTTGCTGTCGTCGCATTGGGTGAAGGTTGGGGTGAAGAATTTGGAGAGGTCGGATTCGGTGGTTTCTGGGGGGCCGGAGAAGAAGCTGTTGATGGCGGTGGCGAGGCCGGAGGGCGTGTCGGCGAAGGTTGTTCGCGTGGGTGGTGGAGGTTGAGTCGACATTGTTGGTGATAATGGTCTGGATGCCGAGTAAGGAAATGCAATAATTCATTGTAGATTACTCTTACAGCAGTGGTGGCTATTCGAGAATTCCCGATCAGAGGTATTTTTTATGTGAGTTGTTCGATATAGAACTTGTGTTCCCAAAGCGTGCATTTATATTTCAAGTCAATGTAGTTGCCTAAGACATGACGACGGTTCTATTTTCCACGATCGCGAATTGCTACTGCCTGGGCTTTAACATCTAAATTTCGGCCCGTATTGCCGAGCCGTCTTTTCCTTCCCTCTTCGACGTTTCGCAACATCCTAAATTTAAGAGTTCAAATATCGACGATGGCAAAGGCTCCAAGGCAACAGAGCTGCAGTTACGAGATATAGTGTACTGCTCCTTCATGAGCGAGGAGTTGTTGCCTGGACCAAAGAGAAGCCCCTGGATCAGAAAGCGACGGAATGAAGAGGAGACAGAAGCTCGCAATAATGCAGGCTTACAGTTCAACCGAGGAGAATCAATGACATCTGAATCTTACTGATCGTACTGTCGTTGTCAATAAAACTTGGGCCGTTTCCGAATTTCGGCTGGCGTTAGCGAGAAGTAAATATGGGTGCCTTTGAACTCGCTTCGTCACATCACTTTCAGCAACATTTCTACCTCTGTGACTGGAGGTATACCTGTTACACTAACATACAACTCTTCCACCCCATTCATCTATGCTAACCTCCCATCTAACCATCCACATCACCACCAAAGCCAACCGGCCTCCTCTTCCCCCCACTCTCCGGCACAATAGCCATAGCCTTATAAACCTTCCCCATCCCACTTCCCCCTCTATCAACCAATCTTTTCCAAGCCCCTTCAATCCTCCCCGCCACCTCTTCTCCCCCCCTCGCCTCCCCCTTAGCAATAGCCTTCCCCTTCACACTCCTAACCAACGCTCCAGCCCTCTCCTCAATCCCCATCGCTCTCAGAAAACTCCCTTGTTCAACAGGTCCATAGACTTCAACTCCTTCACTCGCTCCAAGCGCTGCTTCAGCAAGAGCTAGGAAATCAACGTCGGCTGATAAGTCGACAAGGCCTGGCTCACTGAGTGGTGAGACGCGTTGATGCGCTTTAATCCCCCGCAAGGAGTTGGTAGGAATGGAGTCTGCGGGTCCGTAATCCAGTATGATCGCCGCACCTGACGGATTTGGTTTTGGAGAAGTCGAAGAGCCGCCTATACGGCGCGCAAACTCTTGAGCGTAGAAATGTGATTCGGGTGAGATTTCGATGAGGGAGTCTGGGATGGGTTTGAGAGCTTTGTAGCGTGGTGATATTTCAGGGAGGTAGAGGGAGTGAGGCGTGGATGTTTTGGAAAGGGTGAGTTGGAATTCTGGGGGTTCGTTGGAAAGTTGTTGAGATTTGGGGGTGGAAAGGGTGGTGTGTGTTGAGTTTGGCGGCGAGGGGGAGATGACCATTTCGCGCCATTGGGGACCTTTCTTCTGGTTCCTGGTAGTGTTTTGGGCTGAGGGTGAGAGCTGATGAGTTCCTGTTGGTGTTTGGATGGTTTCGGGGTCCTTTTCCTGAAGAGAGTCTGAAGGGGCGATAGATTGGAAGGCGTGGATGGGAAGAGCATCGAAGAATTCGTGGGCGACAATGAAGGGTGTTTTGTCGGGATCTGACATATATAAGTATTATGCTAGTAAAGGGCTGGGAAGACTCACTTGATGGAACGAAGCGGATATTTTCCGTCCATATTATAGGAATACCAGCATATTTACTGACACACCGATGTCCAATATCCGTCTCAGTCATAGGAGAATCTCCACATAGAAGTTTTCTCTGTGCTTCCCTTAACGAAGGACTAGCTTCAACCAAATACACAGCTTCGATGCTCGATGCCAGGGGTTTGAAATTCCTCATTGTCTATATAAAGTATCAGCACATATCCCCTATCACAAAAACAGACAGAGAAGTAGATATCAAGATCCAATCCCAAGCATACCCTCAACATATCGTCCATCAACGTCCCCCTCCCTGGTCCAATCTCAATCAACTCAACGCCCTTCTCCTTCCTCCCTTGTCCAATCCATTCCGCCACAAACCAAATAGCTATAAGTTCTCCAAAGACCTGCGATATCTCAGGCGAAGTAATGAAATCTCCTTTCTGGCCAAATTGGTCCCGTCCTTCGGCGCTGGACATATAGTATCCGCCCATCTCGGATGTCAAGCACATGCGCATGAATGATGCCAAGGGGATTGGTCCGGTGGTCTGTATTAGATGATTAGCATATAGATGAAAAATGTGGATATATTGGAGAATATACGGTAATAGCTTCGTAAAGCTGCTTTGCGAGAGGAGTACTCCATTGTCTTGCAGGAGCCTCACTCGATGACCACCTCATTGCAGCAGGAGTGGCACATTTCAAGTATCCTGCTCTGCGCTGCGCGAGACGCAGGCAGTTACGCGCTTGTAAGGAAACAATTGACCTCATCTCGGTCTTCTCAATTACTCCCTTTGTAATCTTCTCTCAGGGAATTAAGGTTATTGTCCAAATCGCCAAAGTCGCGAAATCAAGCTCCAACTTTTTTCCCTCGGCCGCGCGATCAGATGACGACGAAACTCCCTGCAACCTCTCCAAAACTTTCAGCCTCGCGACGCCTCAGCACAACCCAAGATATACGCTCCCACAACTCCAATGAGCAGCAAAATGAAATCCCGCTGGGCAGACGACGAAGAAGACGCAGCAGCGGAGATACAGAGGAAGAAAGAGAAAGAAGAGAAGAAACGAGCCAAAGCTGAGAAACAACGAAAAGCAGACGAAGAAGCTGCCGCGCGATTGCTCAAGCAACAACAAGCCGACGAAGCTGCTTCTGCCGCGAAAGAAGCCCACGAACAAGGACAAGAAGGAGGACTCCAAAGCGATCTCTCATCACGGCCTGCGAAACGGCGAAAATTATCACCAGAGCAGGATGGCGAGGCTGAGTCCCAACCCACCCCTCAAGAAGCGAAAGGGAAAGACGAGCCCGCCAAACTCCTCCGCTTCTCAGCCCCGACTTGGAAGAAATGCAGGAGTGTAGAAGATTATGAGAAATTGAATGATATCGAGGAGGGTGCCTATGGGTGGGTGTCTCGCGCGAAGGATACGCGGACGGGGGAGGTGGTTGCGCTGAAGAGGCTGAAGATGGATAATGCGCAGGATGGGATTCCTGTTACTGGGTTGCGGGAGATACAGACGTTGAGGGATTGTTCGCATCCGAATATCGTGGGGTTGAGGGAGGTGGTTGTGGGTGAGGATACGAGGAAGATTGAGAAGTATGTGTTTATTCCCTTTCCCTTGCCACTCTTTCTACTCACATTACACAAACGAATAAATGACTGACTAGAGTACGAAATAACAGCATCTTCCTCGTCCTCGACTTCCTCGAACACGACCTCAAAACCCTCCTCGAAGAAATGCCCGAGCCCTTCCTAACCTCCGAGATCAAAACCCTCCTCCTACAACTCACGCGAGGCGTATCCTACCTCCACAACACCTGGATCCTCCACCGCGATCTCAAAACCTCCAACCTCCTCCTCAACAACCGCGGACAGCTCAAAATCGCCGATTTCGGAATGGCGCGGTACTTCGGCGCCCCCAGTCCAAAACTCACACAATTAGTCGTCACACTATGGTACCGCGCCCCGGAACTCCTTCTCGGTACAGAGAGGTATGGAACAGCGGTAGATATGTGGAGCGTAGGATGTATATTCGGCGAACTCTTGACCAAAGAACCCCTCCTACAAGGAAAAAACGAAGTCGACGAACTCAGCAGAATCTTCGAACTGTGCGGCATTCCCACGGACGAGACCTGGCCAGGCTTCAAACGCCTCCCGAACGCACGCTCCTTGAAACTCCCTAAAAACCCCATCTCGCAAGGCGCAGTAATAAGAGCCAAATTCCCATTCCTGACTGCTGCGGGAGCAGATCTTCTGACTAGATTGCTGAGTCTGAATCCGGAGGGGAGACCGACTGCGGATCAGGTGCTGGGGGATGTGTTTTTTAGGGAGGATCCCAAGCCGAAGAGGGAGGAGATGTTTCCTACTTTTCCGAGTAAGGCGGGGCAGGAGAAGAGGAGGAGGAGGGCGACGCCGAATGCGCCTGTTAGGGGGGGAGCTGGGGGTGCGGGGAAGGGATTTGGGGGGGTGGTTGATTTTAGTGGAATTTTTGAGGGGAGGGAGATGGAGGAGAAGGGTGGAGGGTTTGCGTTGAAGTTGATATGAGAGGGCTTGAAGGGGTCTGGGGATAAAGCATGGGATGCGATGAGGAGTTGGGGGCGAGTTGAGTTGAGGTGAGGTGTTGGTGTAGGTCGGCTCGCTAAGCCGTTTTGTTGTTTGAAGGGAGCTCGCTTCGGCTGTGAGGACCTCTGATCATACCATATTGGATCACAAACCAGCGCTTTCTCCTCTATCTCTCCAAGTAAAATATAGACGGTATAGTATGCACTGCATATAGGTATAGAAGCATAGACGGACAACGGGCGATATACCGTAAAATATCATTTCCTGTCTCAGTAGGCTACTTAGTACTCTAGAAATCTCAAATCTCACAAACCAACCCTCCCACTACAAAAACTCCGAAACAAAATGCAGCAACTGTCCAAATCAGAATTCATACCTAAATCCAAATCCATACCTTCTGTAAACAGTCAAACATATATATCTATATACTTATCTTCCTCTTGTCCTCGTCTCTTCTACTTATATACTTATACAAAAATTCTACCCTGCTCTCATAATGCGATACTATAATCGCTGTTCAACTGTTTATATTTGCTTTAATTTACCTGCTTCCCTAACTACATCACTTTTCTATCCTTATACTTCCCCTCCTCTCCTGTCCCCTCTCCCCTTCTCTCACTTCTTCTTTCTGTCCCGTCTTTAATACAGTAAGTAAGTCTTTCATTTACATTTCCACATTTCCATTTCCATTTACATATAAATATACACCTCTCTTCGTATTTAAATCTCTATCTCCACTTACCTAGACCCGCAAATCCTCTATTATCTTTAATCCTAATCCTAATCTCAATCTCAATCCCAATCTTAATTTTAATCTTAATCTTAATCCTAATACTAAGCCTAAACCCAAACCAAATATCCAACTCTCCTTAAACTGTCTACTCCCAATCCATAATACCCAGTTCAAATATCCCTATCCGTCTCCCCAGATAGTCCAATCCTGTCTAGTCAAATCCAGTCCAATCCATAATACCTAATCCAAATATCCCTATCCAATCCCAATCTAATCCAGGCCTTTCCAATCCACTTCATTCTAATCCAATCCCCTCCCTCCCCACTCCCATCCCATCTAGTCCAGAAACCAGAAACCAGAACCCATCAAAACAACCCTCTGAAAATAGATATAGCAAAACCAAAGAAATCTTCCCTTTTTCTCTCCTTCTCCCCTTCTCCCCTTCTCCCCTTCTTCTTCCTTATCCCTCTAGCTAGTAGGTCCCTGAGAATTCTAAATATCTCGTAGACAGTTACTGTACTGCACTATACTCTCTTCTCCTCTCCTATATTATATTATACTATCCTTCTAAAATAGATTACACCTATAAATCGCACTAGAATACATAGAATTAGAATAAACCAACTAGACTGAACCGGACAACAAAAATCCATCTCCAGATTTCAGATTTTTGTTTATTGTGATTTGATTTTGAATTTTGATTACTACCTTAGTCCAAGCCATTACATATTCGTAGTTTGACTATATCCTATCCTATCCTATCCTGTCAATGTACCCCCTCCGCTATCTATGCAAATCAACCCTCACACTTCATAATACAATACAATCAATCGAATCAAACAAATCAAACAAACAAAACAAAACAAAACAAACAAAATTCATCATGATGATCAAAATTGCATAAAAAACCTGAACCATAAAACACCGATAGTTTTTCCAAATATCCGATATCCGATATCCGATATCCAACCACCCTAGTATCGACCCGAAAAGGAGTGTGTTTCTTTCTTTCTTTCTTTCTTTCTTTTTTGTGCATGATTCAGACCCCTCCTCTCCCCTCCAGTCCCGGTATTCAGTATTCAGTATCCTCCATTCGACGATCTAGACATCCATCCAAAACCTCAAACTTCACTCCACGTCCACACCCTCAATCATCCAGAGTTTTATGTACCATCTCCGAGTCTCCTACCAAATAACCCCCGCCCCACCAACAAACCACGTAAAGCTCAACAAAGTCAACACCCCCATCCCGAGCATCATCCCCAGCGCCCTACGTTCCATATCCCCCAACGCCCCACTACAAGTCGCACACACGAAGTCCGCCAGCGGTGTATACGCCTGCGGGACATACATGCCAAACTGGTAGCTATTAAACGTCGCGAGATACCCCGCCGCAGCGGCCGCGCTAACGCTCGAATCGGCATCATAGATGATCAAGGTATACGTCTGTGTGAGCAAAGGGTTCTGCACAGCTGTAGCCTGATACGCGCCCGTATCCCAGGTCAGGGCCCCCGTGGCGTTGGTGATGGTCTGGTTCATGGCGAGGGTGTAGGTCTGGGAGTTTGCGGAGCAGGAGGCGAGGATGTTGATGGCGGTGGGCGTGGCGGAGAGGGAGGTGTAGTTCCAGGCGAAGGTGACGTGGTCGCCGATCTTGTAGTAGGATGTGGTTTGTGCGTTGGGGGTGATGAGGGAGATGCCTCCGGCGGGTAGGCGGGCGTCGTAGGAGGTTTTGCGGGTTGCGGAGGAGGTTTTCTTGCTTGAGCCGGTGCTGGGTTTGCCTGTTATGGTGCCGGTTTTGGAGCCAGTCTGAGAACCGGTTTGGGAACCTGTTGGGGTGGTGTCTGCATTGCTGTTGGAGCCCGTTTCCTTGGGAGAGTTGGTGGATTGTGTTTGTGTTGGTTTGGCGGATGATGAATCTGTAATTGAAGATATATTAGCACCATGCCTTCCTTAACCATAAAATCCCTCATCCCACAATTCCTTCGGAGCCTCTCATCAAGCAATCAGGATGCACATACTCTCATTATTATCCTGCCTCACCACCAAAGAATCCAACTCAGGTAACCATTTCGGCCAAGGCCAAGCCGCCGAAAACGTCGAAAACAAACACAGCAGCAGCACCGAATAAATCTGCATATGTTGCGTAGCCCTCATCCTGAATTTCCCGTGCAAAATCCGTCTACCTCGTCGTATTATACTGTTGTTTACCCCCTTTTTCACGTACCCGAGATCGAAATCCTCCAATCCAAAAATCAACAACCCGGGAATAAAAAAATGCCGGGATATTAGGAGTTGGGAAATAGCGAGTGTATTTATTGTTTCGTGAGAGGTAGATTAAGAGAAGTCGTATCGTGTCGTGTCGTGAATGAGAGATGTTCAAAGGATGCTTTGCTTTGGTGTTGAAGCTGTGGCCCCTGTTCGTTCGTCCCAATCCCAATCAGCACAATGCACAGTGCACACACCGCAAAAAGTCGACCAGACAACGCCACCACTCACTCACCTTTAAATCCTTCTTCCTTTAAATCCCATACACGAAATCCCGGCCGAACGAGTGAGGCCCTGATTAAGATAAAGGAGAAGAAGAAGAAGTTTTAACGATAGTCGCGTCGAAGTTCGAGGCGTGGAGTGCGAGGAATGTTCGATGGATGTGGTGTTGAAGAAAGGAGTAGAGGCAGATCGGGAGGGAGGAGATTAGGAATGAATGCCCCGTGAGGAGACCGGGAACAAGGTTTCGGGCTAGAGACAGGGGTAGGCCTTGTTTGGTCTGGCGAGTCTGGCGAGTCTGGCGAGTGTGGTGAGTCTGGTGGGAACTACTTTCTCGTGTTGAGTGGCTCGAGTGGGCACAGCTGGGCGAAGGATGAATAGAGTGCAAGTGCCAAGGCGCATGAACCGAGAGTCCTATTTTTGGCTTTTTGGCTTTGAGCTTTTTCTTCCGAGGGGTGGTGGCTTTGTATTCGATATTCTTCAGTATCAATCAACGCACCTTCTATGAACACAGTGTAGTTCTTTGCTACGTTTATTTAATAACCCCCTGCTAATTTCTTTTGCAAAACATCTTCCATATTGTACTAATCTGCTAATCATCAATTTCCTCTTTTCCCCCAAACCCCACCTCTCCCGATCTCCCAATACCTCAGCACCTCAACACATGAAAATCGTATCCTGTTCCATATCCTGCCCTGCGTTCTCGCCACCCGCACCCACTTCCAGGTTCCAACATCCTGTACAGTACAGTAGTACGAGGGCCACCACCATCAGTAAATTTACTTATGAGATCCGATCAGATCAGACCCGATCTCATCAGCCTCAGTCAGCCTCAGCCACTACTGTGGCATGGAGAAGGGGTAGATACCTACCTACCTAGGCTAACCTTATCGAAGTCGATATTAAGTTAAGTGACCGATTTTGGCGAGGGCACCTTAAACAACAGTCTGATAAAAACAATAAGAGAAAAAGCGTGACGGATAATAAGAAACTATTTTTTTTCTCTAAGTTATTGTAAAGACTGATAAATAGGTACTCTCAGTTGTCGTATGTTTGTGTCATTGTTCACCTCGAGACGTCGACTCTGGCGTTCTGCACGTGCCTTGATCGGCCACTTGGTATCGACATCGATACCTAGGTAGGTACGTTCAATGCATTGCTGAGCCATTGCTTAACTTCTCCTTTCCTCTCTCACAAAAGGCAGCCTTCACATCTAATTTGTGGTCAACTTGAAGTGATAGGTAGTATGAACCATTCAAATTCACTTGCTCTGCAACGAACCCTCACTGAGAGTAGACTTTTTCAATATTTGTTCCCTCCTCCCCCTCTCCCTGGGACCTGTCCCTATCTCAATCTAAAGAGCGAATACACTTCCTCTCCTCCCCTTCCCCTCGTGAAGAACGATCGGATGAATAAATCCATGCCATGCCATGCCATGCCATGCTACGCTCAAAGTACCCTTGCCTAATGATCGAATCCCAGACTCCATCCAGCCATTCCGTGTTGCAAGTAGCAATATGTATTGCCAGCTTGTATCAAAATCAAACCCAAACTCCAGTGCGCTCAAGACCATCCATCCCATTCCATTGCGCCAAAGCCATGTCCATCCATCCGTCGTAAAGTCATCACGCCAGTCCAGTCCAAAGTCCATCGCTCGATCGATCGATCGCTCGCTCGTTATTTTCGATTTTCTGCCAGTCGATTGTAATATCACATCGTCGCCGTCGCCCTATCGTACCCACTTCCACCTTCCCCTCCCGCTGTCACTCCCATCTCCTCACTTCGACTTCAACTTCGCTGTCTTTCCATCCTCGATTTCAGTAGGCGGATTATCAACCGGCATCTCACCAGAGCTATCCGCACTGCCAACTCTCTCTTTCCCAGCTCCCGCTCTCCACGCTGCCGCCTCGCCGACCTCCACTATGTAGGAGTCAGCCTCTGTCAGTATCCAGAGAAAAGACATATATACAATTATATTTCCATCCATATATATTCAATCATATCGACAACGACACAAGCTCGAGCTCGGAGCCCCAGAGCCAGAGTAACCAAGCGTTATAGACCTAGAATCAAAAATAGACCATCCAGGTTTCCGGGTTTGGTAGCATTCGAGAAAGTACCCTGGCTACCCTTGCTCCAGAGCTCTTCACTGTCGCTGTACATGTAGTCGTCGTCGTCGGCGCCAGAATTATCGGAGTTGTTATTAGACGTACTCTCATGTAGCTTCATCATCTTGTCAATTTTAGGCCTGGAATCACCGTTTCTAAGTAGCTCGTGGCCAGATACGGCTTCGAATTCGCCGTCCTCGTCTTCTTCGCCCTCGCTGGATTCGTTGCCACTGATTGAATTGCTCTCCCGGGATTCTTGAGACTCACGTCGGCCCTTGAAACCTTTTCTAACCACCGATGGACTTGTGGGTCGAGAGTCAGGCGAGATGGAGGTACCGTCACTCGCACCTGAGTCGACCTTTCGAAGAATGCGACTGCTGTCGAGCATGAAAGGTTTGAGGGTTGGGTCGAATTGTGCTGGGAGTCCTAGAGCTGCTGCTACGGCGTGGGCTTCTACATCGGGAGTATTGGTTACTTCGAAAATGCTGTTCTTAGAACCGCTCTCCGTCTCGTGAACATCCAATCCACTCTCTTTCAGAATTCTGGCATAGTCTTGTCTCGATGGGTCGGCGTCTCGTTTCTTCTTCTTCTTGGTTCGCTTCTCGGTAGGCCGAACGACAACAACAGGAATCGGAGAGTATTGCAGACACCATTTCGAGAACGAGTTCGAAATAGTCATGAGACCCTGGAATCCTCCCAGACTGCGTCCTCGTGTGCCAACAATGAGCATAGCCGGTTCGTAGAGTTGAATCTAGATTTGTTTAGCAGTATTCAGTTGATCCAGCTTCAGGGACGCTTACCATCTTCTGAAATACTGAATGGACCTTTCCAACTGCAAACTCCAATACAATACTAATAGCCCGGTTCTCGTCATTCCGCGATACAATCCTCTCCATCAGCTTCTTCGCCTCCTCCTGGTACTGCTTCTTGTCCACACTCCGATCATTGACAACCTTCGCATCCTTGTCCACCACTCTCAGGCAAATGACTTCGTCACCATCATCGACCAATTCCTCTAGCATCCATGACAGTGCAATATCCGAGTAATCGTTCTCATCCACGCCGACCATAAATGTCCGTGATCTCCGCTTGCGCTGGTATCCTCTGTGCTTGACGTTCAACGTGAAAGAAATGCTGTTCTTCGCCGTGCCCTCTCCTCCAGCGAAGTTGTCGAAAGAGACATGATGTTGAAATCGGCTAGTGGAAGCATCTTCTGTCAGTGCCATATTCGCGACAATATAGATTGAAGAGAGATAGATTGAATAAAGGAAGAGGCAGGAGAGACTAAGAGGAGAAGCACCACAACACTGCCCCTACTAGACCAAACCCCAAGACACCCACTTGCGCGAATTGATTGAGGTCTAGCAGAGAGCGGAAGGTGGGGTAAGGGTCACCCGCGCAGTGCGCACAGCCAATTCCAACCCTTCAACCGACCAAGCGAAACCGAACGGTCGTTCCAAGGCTGAATCAGTGACCGTTTCTCTTCCCCCATAGCGCGGGATGTGAGCAGACTCAGCCTGGTACATAAAGAGCCAGATGCCCAGATCGGCCTTCCCTGCCTCTGCTCTTCCCTTCCTCCCCTGATTTATTTCTGCTGCCAGCTTGTGAAGACTTCGTTGATTCTCAATTGGAGAGACGATGAAGTGAAATGGGATGAAGTAATTGGTATTTATGGAGGCAGACTTACGGAGCAGCTGGGGGCGACACCTCTCTCACCACCGACCGCCTCTTGGGCTTCACCTCGCTGGCCGCCGTGGGGTGCTGCAGCCCAGTGGTCTTGAAGGATATGCTGGACACTGAACCAACCCGCGAGCGACTCTGCAGCTGGATATGTTCGGCTTTGACGTTTTCGATGATCGGGTCGAGGCGTGGGGACGAGACGGCGTTGATATAATCGCTCTCGTTGCTGTTGCTGGTCTGTAAGGCTAGAGGCGAAATGGATGGCGTGGCTAAGGGAGATTCAACTGCGACGGTGTCGGGGACTTGCGTGGGCGAAACCTCTGTTGAGGACATGGCAGGTAGGTGGTATTTGGGTCTTGACGTTAGTTGGCAGATCTGCTGAGCTTCAGTTGGATCTGCTTTTGTTTTGGTTGTGGTGTTATCGAGAGCTTGAAAGGCAGGGCGAGGCAGGACAGCTGGAGGACAGGGCAGGGCAGCACCCAAAATTATTTAGCCGTGCTCAAGACAGTCAGCCCTCTGTATGGGTAGGAACGCTGGGTTGTGCTGGCATCTGTCACACCTCGATTAGAAAGCAACGAGAATTAAATTTGAGTAGATAAGAGCACATGTCAAGAGAGTCAAGCACGACAGACAGTTGACTCGTTCCGAGAGCGCGGATCCTGGAAAGTCGGTGAGTTATTCATTGATAGCTAGCTACTACTACTGCTGTACCTCAGCTACACACAAGATTTGGAAGCTCTGTTCCGGGGAACTTGGCGCAGCCTCAGCCGTGCGGGTGCAGCCTCGTCTTTTTGCTAAACCGGGAACTCGCTAGTCATGGGCGCTCTGATTATCGTTCACAAATGGGATGCCAAGTTGCGTTCCATACTTCCACACGCTCTAGTTCTATGCATTGCCAATCGGAGTCCTACATTCAATCATGTATCCCGATCATCTTCTCGTCAGCTGTCAACGCCTCGTCCCTTGGTACAGACCAAAAGAGGAGATCAGAGAAAGAGAGACCACCAATCCAGTTACTTTTCCCCAACGCCATCCATGCAAATTCCCCGAAACCAAATACGAAACATGGAAGAGCAAGGTAAATCGAGTCAGTTAGACACTGATCTATGGGGTGTATGTGCGGGCAAGATTGCGGAGGTACCAGTCAACCAGCTTGCGGCCAACCTTGGCTTCTGAAATGTGGATAAGATCCTGGAGAAAGTATTAGCTAAAGATGCAACAATCGGGATGTTGCGGGGCAACTCACTCCTTGCATAGCATAGTCGAGGTCATTCGAGAAACCAACCTCTCCATCCAGGAGTCCATTCTCTGTCCATCTGATCTGTCTCGTTCTCTGCTTGTTGACCAACAACCAGCCTCTCAACTTCTCGGGCTCAACCTCGAGGAACCCGGCCAACTTTGTCAAGTCCATAGTCGTATACAGACGGAGGTATGACTTGACCGTTGGGTTCCACATGTTTGTCTTGACCTCATCCATGAAGATGGACAGGTGGTGCTCCAGAGGATCGACGTTGAGCTCTGGGTTGTCGAAGTCGGGAGGAGTGGGCGAGATGAACTTGGGGCAGGCAGAGCGGAACAGCTCCTCGTAGATGGGGAGAGAGTCTGGACCACCGCGTTGCAGCTTCAAGAGCTGATCGCCGTACTTCTCACGGAGAGCAGTGTGGATAGTCTCATCGAGACGGGTGGGGTGGAAGGCCACGCAGATGGCGATAAGAGCATACATCTGATCATTCTTCTTGGTATCGTACGAAGCGTTCTTCTGGAAATTCTTGGTGCGGGAGACGTAGATGAGGATGTGGCTGAACATGCGCATGGCATCTGCGTAACGGCGCATCATCATGTAGGAGAATCCAACATAGTAGTAGGTCGTGAAGTGAGCGGCCATGACACGAGCGAACATAGCCTTCTTGTTCAACTCAATATCATCGAGAGTCTTCAACGCCAGACTGAAATCTCCCAACAAGCAGTGGACCCGCAAGAGACCAATGATGGAGAAGTATCCCAGCATGCGGTAGAGCGACTTTGATCCATAGTCTCCTGCCACAGCCATGGGCTCCTCATTGCGCTTCATCGCTGCCAGCTGCTCGTTGATTTGTGATCTCTGGATGAGAGAGTAGAGGACGTTGAGGACGCTGTAGCAGCCCCAGGTGTTGGGTGCCTCTCGGAGGATGGTGATTTCTTCTTCATTATTTGCTTGACGCGCGACGCGGTTTCGGTACGAGCAGAAAGAGTTGAATTGGTAGATGAACTCATCGATAACATCCCACGCCCAGTAGTACTACAATCGCACAGTCAGTAACTGTCCACCAAGAAAATCTGCCAGAAAACAGAAGCACACGCACCGAAGGTGGTTCCAAATCGACTGGCCCGTCCGAGTTCAAAATGAAGTGGAACAAGCTGCAGTAGTTGTCGTAGCTTGCGAACTTGACCTCGAGCGGCGCTGAAAAGTCCAGCGGTTGCGCAGCAGCGGCAAGTCTCGACTGGATGTCGTCGGTCTGCTGTGCCATGCTCATCGAATTGACCTGCTCCAATTCCTCCATGCCCTCGTACTGGACCTGCTCTCTGTAGTCTGCGGCGAGAGCCTCCTCCTCGACGTCGGAGTCATCGTCGATAATTCGTGCCGGGGCACCGCCGTTCTGGAAGGCGCTCATGTTGGGCTGGTGATGGTGTTGAAGAGGGTGGGAGGGACTTCTAGGTTTGCAATTTGGAGGGGTTGTCAATAGCCTCAAAAATTTCGGTTATCTATTTTAGCCCTAATCTTTATTTTCGAATGCCAATGACTCTAATGGCTTTTGCGTATGAAGTATGGGGTGCTAAAAGATTGTCTCGTGCCACTGAAATGATTTAAGTATTGTTTGGTGGCCCCGTTATGGCAGGTTTCTAGCATTTCAGTGTGTGAATTTTAACCTCAAAGTGGGTCACGTGCAGCCGCTCACCACTTCAACAAACATGGTATTTCCGTGCGAACTCACTCTTTCTCTGCAGGCTCTTTTCATAGGACTAGGTAATATTTCTAAAGTACTGTCATGGTATATTATTCAACTGAGTGCAATCTTACTGTCGTCCTCATTCTAGATTGGTCGGTCGTAGGTGCGCGTAGGATGCCCTTAATGCCGAAGAATACTTCTAATTTTTTTTATCATTTTTTCTAGGAAGTGCACAGATAATAAACTTCAAGATATTGTGCATCCATCCCATATAACCGGCCTGGCACCTTATTCCGAGAACGCCAGCTGAGAAGGGAAACGACAAGCAGTTCACATCAACCTCTATAGAAGCTTTCGGCAACAACCGTCGACTCTTGAGACATAGGTCTCTCCCCAGGATTGAAGCCTCGTTGCATTTGACCAGCCTGTCCCGCCATCCTGGTACTGCTATCGTTGTCTCTAAGTCTGAAGCCACCTTGGCCCACGTCGCCATTAGGATTTCTGCTCCTCAGGAAAGCCATGACAACGACAGCCATCCAGATGCACCACATGACGCCCGCTACAACGCCATATGCGATCTCCCCGCTCTTCGTATTGGCTGATAGTTTTAGACCAAGACCACCGTTGATGATACCGAGAGTAACGACAGCCCGACCCCACCAGATGTGAGGATAGGTTGCAGCATTGGGGCGACCAACTCGTTTGTAGAGTAAGTGGTGAGTCAAGCCCGTGATAGGTTGGATCAGTAAGCTGCCGACGACGACGAGGCCGATAATGGAGTGAGTTGCGTCAAGTTGCCTTGAGACAACGGCAATCCATACCCCCATTCCCATGCTAGCTAGGACGATAAGGTAGGTGAACATCATCCAACCAGCGTGCATGTACACGAGGTTCTTGAGGCTCAGGGCACGAATACCGATAGCCCCAACAGGATAGAAGATGACGAAAGCGATAGGTGCCAAAATAGCATGAGCCATGCGCACATTCTTGTAGGTTTCGGTCGGTCCATAGCCACTTGAGGACCCCGATGACCCCGATGACCCCGATGAAGTTCCTGGCGTCGTTGCAGCGACCGTTGTCGCGAATGGATTGGCACTATTTCCACCAGCTGCTTGTTGGAGGTTGAAGGATGTGCTTCCATAATTGGAGTGTTCACGCAACGTGACGGAAAGACTGTCAGAAGATACTGCAGCGCCAGTTCTGTATGCCCAAATCCAATTTGAACTTGAATCAGTCAAACTCATGGAGCCTCCCGACCAGCTGTTACAGTTGCTACCTATTGAAGTCAATTTCAAGATCTAAGATTGATGGACATGCATGCCTTACATCTGATGTTTGCAATTATTTGCCCATTGGAAATTCCTGAACCGGAGAGCAAGGTTATTTGGGAAGTGCTTCCAGATGTGGTCGGCTCTCTATCGCCCACACCAAGTCTTGGTGACACTGTGACATTATTTCCAGCTGCGTTTGCGTAGATCATGAAGATGTTCGATCCAGACATGGAAGTGCCCTGGCCGAGGCCTATCCATGACATCGTAGATGGGCCACTAATCTGAAAGAAGATATCTCCGGATCCGCTGGCTGCGGTTGTCTCTGGGACGTTGACAGCATAGCATACATTGCCAGACGGACAGTATGTGACATTTTGTGCAAGTGTACTTGATGCTAGTTGATTTAGCAAGGGGTGAGTACACGCAGTTCGATGAACATACCAAGAGCCAAACCGGCCAGTACTTTGAAAGAACGCATTTTGATACCAGAAAAGGCGTGGAAAGTCCAATGGATGATCGTTTTGTGCTGCACAAGTAGCTCACGCACTTTGAAGGCGTCGAACGAATATATAATTGAGAAATGAAGACTAACAGATGCCCAGAGAAAGATAGCCAAGCGCCAGAGTATGTCGACGTCTAAGGGAAGAGCGACAAGAGTCCGGTACTTAGATAGGGGGCTTAGCGCGAACTGATTTCGACAGCAGTGTGGTCATCGAAGGCCCCGGCAAATTCAATCCGCACTCTCAAACGACGTTGAAATCGCCCCAATATCTGCCAGACCAAGGATCCTAAACCATAATATAAAGTGCATGACTTGGTTCCTGCAACTCCCGATATTGAGGCACAAGGAGCTCCAGGGACAAAGGCTGGACGTAACAACATCTGAAAGCAAATGTGAAGCAAAAGGCAGGCTGCCGCGCGTCATATAAACACCCCAGTGAAGCATGAAAGGACTGCCAAGTAAGGACGTCGCTGCCAGAAGCAAGCCAGCTTCGTGGACATCCCTTGGACTTCACGGCTGTGCTCCTCTTGACCTCGGGAATGAGAAATTTGGCTTTGTGAGGTGATGAGGTGATCCACATGGTCAAACATTATCGATCCTCCATCGAGCCAATGGCAGCGGCTGTATTTCGACGGACACTTGTTCCGCAAGCATTTGTAGCTTTTCTCAATTGCAGTAGCATCAACAGCCGGCCATTATTTCAGCAGGAGCAGCCGCTTAGTCTGTTATACTCTAGGGTGAGGGCGTTCCGCATTGCGAATGGAGGAATGCGAAGCACGGGTGAAAATGCGTGGTGATTTCAAGCGATCGATCCAGATCATCCTCTTCTCTGCCCCCACCAGTGCCACTAACAGTCTAGGATACCCGGATTTGGCCCTTACCAATCCGGGTAACTTATCACGGTTGCCAAGTGACATTCCTTGCAATTGTACCTTAAATCTCCAGAGTAAATGGCCCAATAGCAGTCTGCAGATATGTCAGTCTTTGAATTGTTGATGATGCTACGACTTTACGGAGGTTTCTGTCACTGTCAGCTCTTTTTTGATAGATGTCATCAGAAACGATTGGTTGTGGATCGTGCATGTTTTGAAGATGAAACGTCTGTTGCATCTCTAGCAGTCTTGGGCAAACTCTTCGCATCAATTGTGGCTTTCGCCGCGCCTCGACGGTGACGACTCACCAAGTGAACCTTTGGTGGTGGTGTTGCTTGGCCACCGCTTAACCCAAAAAATATTTCCAGGAACCAAAAACATTTCGTCATGGTGTCGTTTATCGTCTGATCAAGATAGTCTAGTCTTGGAAGTTGGGAGTCCGAAGTAGTCGTAAGCGATGACTGTTGGAAGGCTAAATTCTATTGAGTCTGCGTTCCTGAGATAAGGAAAGCCACCAAGACAATCGCTGGCAGGAATTTAATACTCAGCCACCAGCCTCCCAGAGAACGTTTCGGCAATTGAGCGATACTTTTCCTCTGTTGTGTCGCTCGACAAAAACTACCCTCCGTAGGTATAGTTTCTGCACTCAAATTACTTTTCACATGTCACATCCACACTTATTCAAACCTGAATCTCTCTGTCGCTTTTTATCGGCCAAGATGAGAGGTGGTAGGGTCTAGTACTAGGAGATGTGCCAGATCAACAAAAATCATCGAGCAATCTGGTAAGAGGATTGTAGTTCTTGGAGGGTTTATCGCGATCCGAGATAATCAAAAATCGCACCAGAGTCGCACAACGCGGGGTCTTGTTGATCGTCAGCTTTAGCTAGACATTAAGCACACAAGTACTCGTACATCCCTCCCACAGTAAATCATGACACCATCCCGTCCTCCTTTAGGGCGTCGGGGGATAAGCCTCGGCGGGGTTTTTCCCAGGTAACCCAGATGTTGTGGATATCTTCTTCCCGGCAGAGATTGTCTACTACTGTACAGCAGGGGGATCGTGAGTTACCGGGTAACTTTAACGATGGAACTGAGGAGGTCTCTTCCGACATCTGAAATACGAGAATGTAGTCGTGGGAGGTTGAGTTCAACCTTCGCTCTTATGAGGAACTGATATGGCTGTGTCGGGTGACTTGTTACTCTAAACACTGGTCTTAGAGGACAAAGATGCTTGACATGCAGGTACCGCTGTAAGACGGTGGTACTTCGGAAAGCTCAAACCTGGTCGGGGCTGTGGCTCTTGGAGCTCTGTAATGTATAAAGTATGTAGCAACAGTATCGAATCGAGGTAAATGTCCAAAACAGGTCGATGTTCCTTGTGTCTTGTTGTTTAGATGGGGCGGTACCTTTGGTGCAAGTTACTTGGGGGTTTCTGAGTGCTGGATGACTAATCTGGCGAGGACGTCCAACAGGTCCGAGCTCAATTTAAGGTTGCAGGTAGGCGGGACTAGTGCTCCTTTAGCGCCCAACTTTCGACCCTCGAAACTGGGCAAGACCACAAATTTCCACAACACCGTTGCATTGCAGTGCTTGAATGTACCAGCATTGTGTATCTCTTCAATATGGCCAACACCAAGGTGTCCGTTGAGAAAGCGTATCTCGACACTCTGCTGCGAAAGTAAGCCATTCTATACCCCCTGTTCCTATCTAACGCTAGATCTATAATCACCTTTCAAAGCCATGCCTGTTGATAAATGACATACTAACTTTTTACCCCACAACAGGGCTCAATTTGTATGTGCCAAGCTTCAGCGGATACCTTGGATTGATATTGAGGTACTGACGCGTCCAGCATACCGATGGCGTTGACTATTGTGTTCCTGTTCATGTACCAACAGTGACGATCACCAAGCTTGAGCATGACAGCCTCGTAAGTGCCAGTCGCTGGTGGCAGATAGGAAAAATGCTGATTACCTACAGCTGAAAGCTTCTCGTGAATATGGTAAGGACACAGGGATCAAACTTCGAATTTAAGGTACCTGGAGTCTAATTGTGATAGCCAATCTCCAACGAAACTTGTTCAGAGGCGGTGTTGCAGCAGAAACTCTTGCCGTTAGCTCCCCAATCTACCAAATCGCGAGCCACTTCTAACTTGATATCAGGTCCTGGTAAATGACGACGCGGGCTCCGAGCAAAATGGCGGTACAACAGCATACTCGGCACTTGAAGATCCTACCGATAGCGATGCCTTCTTCCCACAATCTCTCGAGTCTGCGGCCCACGCTTCGAATGAAAACGGACAAGACTACACCTACGGACGAAATGCTAATTACACCCCTCGAGGTGGAAATGGACAGGTAAACCGTCCCAATGGGAAGAATGGCACCAATAGCTACAGCAATGGCTTCGAGCACTCACCTCACGACGACTATGGCTCTTCACCAGATGGTGTAGATGGCTTTTATGATGGCAGCCCAAACGACGATTCTCAAGCTCCTGGTCAACGCCAGCAATACGCCAAGTTTGCTAAGCGCACTATCCTCCTTTCGAATCTTCCTGAAGGCACAACACACTCGGAAATCACCAATGTTGTCCGTGGAGGCATGCTGCTAGATATCTACGTGCGAAATAACGATCGTAATGCAAGTGTTTCCTTCTTGGAGGAGTTGGCGGCACAGGAGTTCTTCCGACATGTTAAGCGGTATGATCTGTATATTCGAGGAAAGAGAGTATGTTGTCAAACCTAGGCATTCAGTTACAGATGCTGACTTTCACCAGGTAGATATACGCTGGAACGAGCGACAGTTCATTCTTCCTGGACATGTTGCAAACAAAATCTCCATTGGTGCGACTCGAAATCTGGTAATCCTGAACTACAACCCCAAGCATACGGAGCAGGTTATTCGAGACGATCTTGAGCATATTCACAACCTCATCGTGGTTAAGGTTGATTACAGAGGCCCACATTGCTATATCTCCACCAACTCTGTCCACAACTCCATGTTTGCCCGTACTTGCATGATGAGCCGCGCGTAAGTTGCATGTCCTTGTAAAATTATAGGATTTTGCTAACAAAGGCAGTACTTACAAAGGAGCAAAGATTGAATGGGATATCGATGAGTGTGCTGCTCCACTCGAGAAACCTTTGTCAGCCCGCGAAACTCTTCCCGTCAACAGAAAGAAGGACAGCGCTCCACTCAAGAATCGGTTTGAACTTCTCAACCTGGACAATGGGGGCGAGCCAGATTCCGACGAAGATGAAGAAGATTTCGACCATAGCGGTATCTCTCTGCCCAGTGAGGTTTTTGTTAGCCCCAGCCGATTGCGTCGATAGGTGTTTTACACTTGATTTTCTTCTCACTTGTTTTCCACGTGCTTATCCAGGCGCTTTGGCTGTTTCATTGCGCCCAGGGAGTGTTAATCAAGATGTTGTTTCCTAGGTTTAAGGAAAGGTTCATCGATGGCGTTACGCGGGCGTTCCTATCACCGGGTCCTGGTGGTAGCTATCTGCAGATACCCCTGTTTATCTTTGTCGTTGTTGCTTTCAATACCCAAAATCGGAGTGTGTGGTTTGGTTCGAATGGCTGGTATGTTCCAGAGATGGTCTAGAAAGTCAGGTAGTCATTGTGAATGCGTACAATATATCGCTGGGGGTTGAGAGCAAGAGCATGTTCATAGCAAAGCGTGGAGAGAATGGGCTTGAGTCCCGATACATTATGCCGTGCTATATAAACTGGCCTTGGGCCTATTGATTCTCTTTCAGATTCCATGCTCTCGGTTATATTTTGTACTATCCCACCTTGAGCGATGATACCCTGCCGCACTGTGCTAGCTGCCGATCCCTAACCCCGTCTTGGCCCCCGCTAACGCTAAGATAACGACGAACGGAGTCGAGATTGTGCCTGAAACAGAGCCTAAGCAACGCAAGCTATTCCCTTCAGCCAGCCTCAACAGCCACCTCTCGGAATCCGATCCTCTCCCTTTCAACGTCAACCTCCTCAACACTCGCTCCCCTTCTTCCTCGAAGATCCACGTCCCATAACAACAAGACAACAATGTGATCGCGGTCATCGAGCTGGCCTTATGACAAGCTTCAATGTTACCTTCCGATAAGTGCGACGACGCTGCGTGCTTCGCACCAGGTCACCAAGCACGCTCAATCGGCACTCAGTCCTTCACAGCCCTCGCCTTCTCCTCCCTCCCATTCGTTATCACATTCCTAGCCGTGAGCTTCGCAGTCCTCTATAAACTATTCCCGCTGGTCTCGAGTCTGCACAAGGATGGAGAGCAGGAAGAACACTACCTACCTAGCGATGCACCCCCTAGCTTGCGACAGAAACACGCGGAGCACAGCGCGAAATCATTGAGGCGGCGGGTTGTCGCTGTTACGTTCTCTGCGACTATTTCGCTGGCTGCTGTGCTTGCGGAGTTGATACTGTGCGAGATCTCGAATTCGTTGAACCCCGCTGCGAGAACACTTGCGCTCAAAGCTGTTGTTCCCACACTGCTCTTCTTTCTGGTTGTCCTCATACCGTTCTTGGAATTACAGTCGATAGTGTCTGGATCGGGATGGACGTTCAAGAGGAGAAGTAATGGGAGATTGCCGAAGACATCATGGGCTCTGCAAATGGTTGGGTTTACAGCATGGCTGGCTGGGTTTTGGTGGCTGGGGAAAGGCGTTCCAGGCATTGAGCCAGGGAAAGGATTGATGGAACAATGTTTGGACCGAGTGGGTATAGTCGGGATATCCCTCATGGCTCTGCTTTCTGGATTTGCTGCGGTGTCAGCACCATGGCAGACATTTGGAGCCAAGACGAGGCCAGTCACTGATGCAGATGTGGCTCGAAAGCAAGCAGGTCTAGATGCCACGAACGACATGTTAGCACTCAAACGGAGCCGTTTGCGTGCTCTGCAACGAAAGATCCAAGATTCTCCGTCCGAAGGATTCATGACGAAAGTCATTGGAAGCATTAGAGGTAATGCAGACACACAAGAAGTGAAAGCCTTGGAGCTCGAGATCTCCGGTCTCAACTCCATGAATCTAAGCCTCTCAAGCTCTCTGGCCGTGCTCCAGAATCGCCTCGCGTACAGCCAACAGGCTTCCTCTCCCCTTGGAAAACTCCTCCTCAAACCCGCCTCCTACGCCTTCGCAGTCTACTGCATCTACCGGATCGCTTCAACGACCCTGACCAGCATCCGACGCCTCTTCTTCCCACCCCTCGATCCCTCTATCTACACATCCTCCACCTCGGATCCCATAAACCGAATCCTCTCCCTCCTAGCCAAACACGTCGACCCCTCCCTCGACCAGCTCGCCTGGTCCCGACAAATCTCCTTCCTCCTCTCCGGCATCATCCTCCTCGCGTCCTTCAACTCCGTCCTCCAAACGTTCCACATGATCACCAAGCTCGTGCCCTCCCTCCTCTACCAAGCACAAGCCAACCTCGCCTTACTCATCGCGCAGATCTCTGCCACGTACGTGATTTCCAGCGCCTTGCTGCTGAGGAGTAATCTGCCAAACGAGATGAAGAGCGTGGTTAGTGATGCGTTGGGGAGTCCGCTGGAGCCTGGGTTGGTGGAGAGGTGGTTCGACGGCTGGTTTTTGGTCGCGAGTTTGGGTACTGCGGTGGGGATTTGGGTGGGGAGGAAGGTTGGGGGGAGGGGTGATTGGGATGATTGGGATTTGGAGGGGGATATTGAGTTGGGTCAGAAGATGTCTTGAGATCCTTCTCCAGAGTCCGCGTTTGTACTTGTATTAGAATGAGATCACGGAATATGACTATGATAGACGAAGCGTTGCTGTGTTGTGGATGCTTGTTTGTGTGCGTCTGGAAGTTCTACAGCATGGAAATGAGCTGCTTAGCTGCTTCATAACAATATGTGGCATTTGGCATAAAGAAAAGAATATTATCATTATCAAGTACACTTTTTCTTTCCTATTCTTCGAAATCCGATTCCTATACTGATCATGATTTACGAAAGAAATGTAACAAAAGCCCAAAGAGCCAGAAGAGTACAGCCGATTCAACCTTCGACCTTAAATCCCCAACCATTGTAGGTGCAAGTACGTTAGGTGCAAATGATGGAAATCCCTAAGTACTTGAAGAGGACAAGTAACTCGCGGCCTCTAACACAAATTGCGAGACGAGAACCCCCGACATCACTTTATCGAAAATCTCAAGCGCAGAGGGAAAGGCAACATCCAATGCTCTAAGCTCTCATATCAAGCACTCACACGCTCTTCCATGACACAAATCCACTTCCGTCCCTCACGCCCAACACCCATCCTCCTCGGCACCATCCAGACAATCACTCATCACCCCCCAGACTCCTCTCTCTAACCTCCCAGCTCGGAAAAATCTTTCTATTTCCTGTATAAATCACCTCTATGTAGAAACTTTAAGTTCTCATTTAAAAATGGCTCCCAATTTGTGATGAGGAGGAACCATGGTGAGTACCTATTCTTATCTTGTGTTTTCGGGAAGACGGGCTTAAGCGAATATTACAACATCGGTGTTCTGGTCAGCTATTACTAGTGATCTGGATCATACTGAGGCTTTTGGTAGGCCAGAAATAATGGAGATGATCACTTGGGTTAAATATAGGCAACTGTTCCCTGTTGAGTTGCAGTTGTTTATGGTCATGTGACCTGCTTGATAAATTAAACAAGTACCTAGGTAGATGGATGCAGATTTAGCGGTACGGATAGCTTCAAAGTTCTCAGTCTGCCACTGTCGATAAGTGAATTTGGTAATGATGAAAGATAAATAGTGACGCCTACTGTAACGACGCCATTCCGGCCCATACTTAGAGGCAACCAGAGCACAACCCGTCCACTCCTGTGGTAGCATTGTTACAAGATTGAATTCACGTAGGACTGATCCATATCTCCAATATAAAAGCAGGTCGTCTACACAGAATAACCACTTTGACATCCTTTAGTTGACCTTGAATCAATATACGACCTCTCGCGGAGTAATTCACATGCCTTGTCTCGGGTGATGCGCCGCACTTGTTTACATTCGGCAAGGATTTCCTCCCCACCATAATTTTACAGACGACATCTCACAAACGATCTTATTCTCTTCACCCAACAAATCTGAATCTCATATCTCCTTCGCCATAACAAAACCCAAGAGACGATCTCATACATCATGGCGGTTCCACCAGAAATGACCCTCAGAACCTTGAATGGGAAGTTCACCATTGTAAGCATCCATTTTGCTCATCTTGTGACCTCATCCCTTGGTAGGAAGTGCATACATGAGGATCTGACATCGAATACAGAACAAAACATATTCAGACTCAGTCGACAAGATGATGGCTCTCGTAAGTTTCTTTGTCCACTCACCTTATCTCTTTGCTCTCCCTACCCCACCACCTCGTACACGGCTCACACACCACAGCAAGGCTTCCCATACCTCATGCGCATGGCTGCCCGTACAGCTACCATTGAACTCACATTCACTTCAATCCCCGTCCCTGAGGCTCAATCTCCCACTGGCCCATCAAAACTCAAGATCGCTACCTTACTTTCGGCTGTTGGTATGTCCCTCGGCAAAGAAAAAGTCGATGAGCGGCATATCGACGGAGTTGCATGGGAGGAAGATGACGGGGCTCTGGGACTAGTTGTAGGAAGAGCTTGGTGGTGTCCATTGGGCGAGTTATCGCTGGACTTTGAAGGAGGGAAAGATGAGGGGAAGAGTGAAGGGTTGGAATTTTTGAAGGGTTTCGATGGGGTTGTTAAGGAGGGTAGGGATTTGGGGGAGTCGAAGTGGCGTCTTAAAGCAGGTGATGGAGAGGGAATTGAGAAAGTGGTTGATGGTGGAGATGAGGTTATCAGACTTCAGGTTGAGGCGAAGAAGTCGGGTGCGTTGGCGGATCATGTGTGGGGTTTTGAGACGGGATTTGGAGAGGGAGAGGAGAAGGAGAAGAGGAGATATACGAGGCGGATGTTGGCGAGGAAAGGGGATAAGGTTGAGATGGCAAAGTTGGTGTATGATTACCTTGGGCCGAGTTGAAGAGTGAGAATCGAGGCTTGGAGTTTTCATGCTCAACTCGGAAGCCAAGACAGACTTTAGAGATAATTCTCTTAGTTTTCGGTTCTAGAATGGGTCACAATTTTTTTTTATTAGATGCTTTTACTCGACCCTGCAGTATTCCTCGACTTCAATTCTGTGGCCGTGCATTAAGTACTCTGACCATTCTTATCCGTGAAGTCTCAGTCTCCCTTTTGTTCTTCTTTCTCTCGTCTGTGGTGCACATACAACAAATCATCAGACCGTCTACTATAAGAAACAATGCTGCCCCACCAACAAGCCCTACAGTGAGGATCAAATGGTTATCCCTTTGAGCGGATTTCTTTTCGCGGGAAGATGTATCATCATACTCTCCATCGGGGATTTTGTCGCCAGGAACCCAGGTCGGTAGAGTCGTTCCATTAGTCAAATCGGGCAGATTTGGCGACAAGGTCGACCGATCCGATGCAGCCCAAGTTAACATCCATGCCTCGTGTACCATTATGGTCGTGGTGATATCTGCTGACGTGATACTGTTCTGCGACCTTGAGCCTTTCGTGGTGGTCGTTGGCTCTTCTGGACTGGTACGTACACATTGATTCGGAGTACGAGCATTCTTTACGGCGTGGAAGTTGTCATCGAATGAACTGTCCCAGAGGTCGAACCCGCTGTGCCACGTTATCAGCAATCTTGTTCCTCCCGAAAGTCTGCAATAACAATTGAGGGAAACAGTAGTTATCAACCCCTCACAACACTTAGCTGTGGTAGCTAGTGATGAGCTAAAGTACTCTCCCATCTGATGATAGATCATTCCGCTGGGACACTTCAGAAGCTCAGCACTTTTCGTTGCCAGGATTGAGGACACGCCATTGCTGTAGAGCGAGCGCGTCGACTCATACTTACAACAGCTGGACTGAAATTTAGACGACTTTCTGGAATAGATTTATCCCAGTCGGAGGGATAACATGACGAAACAGTCTGCGAGACCAGAACCGGCACATCCGAGCGTGGTGCATAATGTGTGTTTGTTGAAGACAAACCTGCGAGAGACCAATGAGTATCACATCCTAACGGCGGTATAAATGGTGTCGTGAGCGCGAGCAATGTAGTAGTAGTTGCAGGAGAAGAAGTGGTGCTGATACCAAGTGACATGGTGGAAAAGCCTGATGTGAGGGGTCTGGGAGAAGAGGCCAGCATTGAAACGGGACGAGGTTGCCCCTTAAGCACGAGATTGGAAATAGAACCAACAAAAGGATCGTTCTTACGATGTTCCATCAACAAGGATCACTTTGGATAAATGCTTACAATTGAGACGACCAGGCAGAGCTCGTCTTGGCTGTTGGTTTTGCTAAGCGAGAAATGAGAGCCGCTGTTACTGAACGTATGTTGTGTACCGGGATTATCTGAGGAAATTCATATATAGAGATTCATACAACAGATCAAGACATGACACTGGGAATACGCGACTCTGAAGGGATGGGCCAGAAACAAGTAGACTGCCGAGGCAGTAGAGTGGAGGGGATTACTTGCCAACCCTCGCGCCTCAGCACTCTGTTCATACCAACCTGCTCATCCAAGGAAATTTGGCATATTTATACAGTAAGGCAAGATCGAGGTACCCATATGAACTTCCAGTGATGTATGTGCTTTCTGATGTTTGCATGGCAGCAAGGGGGTCACCTGGACTTGCTTCTTGGGAGTGTAGACACATATTGGAACGTGAAGCATATCAGAGCGTAAGGAGTGGAAGAATGGGCAAGGTCTATCGCCAAAACAGACAAAGATGACCATTGTTTGAAGGGAAGAGACAAGACAACATGTATACGACGCACACTAGCACAAGAGGGAAATAACAAAACGTTGACTCGGTCAGATGGATTGACAGCGCGCACATGTGCTGGAGAAAGTAGGCTCTCTGCGCCCCTTTCTCAGACAGCCAGTCGGTCCAGCAAAACACAAAATGCAGAACGCAATAATCACGGCAAACGACATGTTTCAGCTCCTTGAGCTGCAGTCGAATACCTTGGGGCCACAGAAGTCAAGCACGGCAGCAGGCGACATGCTGTTGAAAAGCTTCTCTCTTTGGCGAGACTTTGAGCAACTCGGACTTTGACTTTTGTTGTAAATTTATGATGTAAAGACTGTTACACAACCGCCTGATAAAAAGTAGATTGGAAGGTTGACACATCGCCTGCTTGAATTTCGTGGCCGGAAAGTTACATCGGAAAATCATTGTCCGTCGCCGACGCCATGCTGCATCCACATCTCATCCCTCGCCTGACCAGACACCCTTTTCTCATGTAAAATTTGCCTTGACTGTACCCTTCGGACCGGCGCTACCGTTACACACACACAGTTCACGATGTATGCTTCCACAGTCTCGAAGCACGCCGAGAAGTCTGGGGCCCTTATCGTTCTTATCTGATCGTCGTCCAATAATCTCAAACGTGCGAACGGGGAATCGGGACCGGATGACCGCCGGACGGGAGCTACGGCCGTGTTTGATCGTCTCGAATTCTAAATAGAAAACTCTATCAATACCGATCGACTACCGGTCATCCCTGGCTGGAACCACACTGTGAATTGCCCGATCCTGGATGAAAGAAAGTTCTCGTTATATGAAGTTGACAGAGTTCGAAGATGCTCGCTTTCGGTGTTCTGCTGTTTTCCGGCGGTCTGACATGTGCAAGTGTCGTTCTCCTGAAGCTGATTCAGGTTGGGGATTCAACGGCCGCTGAACCTCCACGGACAAATAAGGAAAATCTCCTGTGCCTTCTAAGCCACCCGCTGGGCCACGTCGTCTTCAGATTCCCAAGTCTTTGGACGTTGCACGCCATGAAACAAAACATCCCATTGGTCTAGCTGGCGAGACGTGGGTGCTGACGAAGCCCCTCTCCACAGACCATGTCTCGAAACCCTCACATCGTTATCCTGCAACGCCGCAATGCTGATTTGTATAGCCAATCATTAAGCTTTCAGCACACGGTTTAAAGAGGGTCTGAGGTGTTTTTGCAAGAGTGGAGTTTGCGAACATGCCGAGCATGCCTGTCATGGATTTCGGCGTCTTGAGCATGATGCACCCTGCTCCCTCCATTCAATAATGGAATGACAATGGATCCTATCCACCACCAGTATGAGCTCTCCTGGTTCGTCAGAATCCCCTGAAGTGGATTGAACCCTTTTCTAGTCCCCTGGACATAGGGAGGAACATGGGCGATGAACGGCGCAGAAAACCAACGGCATCCAGCAGTTGTTGCAGAAGTGTCGTCATTACTCCAACCCAAGAGATCTATCGTCTCAGGAGCTGTGTGCCAACCCCGAGATTGTAACACCTTTCCAGATGGCATTTTTTAAGAGTTATTGCCGTCTGCGAGTGGTGACTTCTTTGCTTGTCCTTACTCGTACTTGTAAACTCTGTTCTTTTCGTTTTAGTTCTGCTGCCACCTCCTTTTCATCTGGTCTGACCAGAGTTCAATGATTACCCAGATAAAATTCTGTCACTGTTCGGCCCTTTGGAAGTCCGGGCACCTTCACAGCTTTACTGCGCCGTAAAATATCTGATTAAAGCAAACGAGGTCTCATATTCGATCATAGATTTACGTACATGGTATCGGCGTTTGACCTTCATATACCAGAATATACGAGTATGTAGAAATCTCGTATCCTTCCCCAACAAGCCTAGAACGTTCCGAGAAAGACTGAAGTATCCACAGTCAATCCACACTCAGCCCACTGAATAACATTGCATATCCCTTGGAGGTAAATTACTTGTCTTCTCTCAAGAACCACGCCTGCTTTTTTGCATCTTCCTTTCGAGATTGATGTCCCATTGTTCAAATCGGTTCGGTTCCTTGGGGATTCTCCTCTCATGATCTACGAGCCCGATTTGTATCAGGATATTTCAGGGTTCTCCCCGGGGGGATCCCCGCTGTGGAGCATCCACGCAGCCAGCCGCGAGTCGAAGCTTTGCGCATTGGAGTCTCGGATTGTCACCCAATCCCATATATAGGGCTTTGTACGTCTAGATTCTCTATTTCTCTTTCCTAAAAGCTTCAAACAACTCGATATTCTTGTACTCGACTTGACTCCAGGGCTAACATGGGCGCTATACAGCTTGGAAAGATGTCGAACAGCAATGTTCGGCCGCTGAGGACATCATTTATGTTGGCTATGGTGGTATTTTATCTGATATGGTCGTTGTTTGCTCTGGATATGCCTAGTTTCTCTTCACAGGTAGGCGATCCTAGCTTCAACTAATCCCGGGGGCTAGCCTATTAACATCTCTTAGATTTCAAAGGATGGAGTTCAACAAGTGATCACAGAAGCACAGAATAACGCAGCTAAAGCAGATGTTGGTTCGACGACAGGAACTTCCTCTGGCGAGAACACAGGTGTTCTTACTACCATTCCATCAGCCAAGGGGGAATCAAGCAAAAGCAAAGCTCACGACCGTCCACTCATTCTATACACCTATGCCGACTCCAAGGACGGCAGTGCGCTCGAAAATCTCAAATTCTTCGTTGCTCATGGTCTTCACGCTGCAGCTGATTTCGTTTTTATCTTGAATGGAAAGACGAAAGCCGAGGATATCGTCCCAGACAGGGAAAATGTCCGCATAGTTCAGCGACCAAATGAGTGCTACGATCTGGGAGCTTTTTCTGAGGTTTTGCAGAAGGATGATCTGTACAAGAGATACAAGCGCTTCATTACCATGAATGCAAGTATACGCGGGCCTTTCGTCCCATACTGGTCCGAAGACTGCTGGACAGACATGTTCCTCAGCAAGATCACCGACGAAGTCAAGGTAAATACCACAATCTTCTCCTGAATTAATGAAAGATCCTAATTTAACATTCTCTAGCTCGTTGGAATGACCGCAAACTGCTGGCCCACCTTCCACATCCAATCCATGATCTGGGCCACCGATCTCATCGGCATCGAAACTCTCCTCTTCCCACCCCAAAAAGCCCTCGACTACCTCTCCACCCACCCAATCACCCTCCCCCCAGCCAAAATAAAGACGGAGAACCCCGCCGCCAGCAGCAGCACCAACAGCAGCTCCCCGGAAGCCACACCCGTACCCCAAGCACCTGGCATCAACGGCTGTTTTGCAGATTGGGACGCCGCCGTCGCAGCGGAGGTCTCCTCTACGAGCCTGATCCGCGCGGCGGGGTACAAGGTCGAGGCGATGATGAGCGCGTACCATGGGAATGCGGAGTATGAGGAGGGGAAGTCATGCAGCGAAAACAGGGATGTGTTGTGGGAGGGGGGGTATTTTGGGATTAGTGTGCATCCGTTTGAGACGGTGTTTATTAAGGCGAATAGGGATTTGAGCCAGTTGGTGTTGAAGAGGTATACGCAGTGGGTGGATCAGATGAAGTATAGTAGTTATGATTATTGTCGGGTGTAGGATGTATTTGACAGGACAGGGAGAGAGGGGAGTTTCTTTTGTTGTTTGGCTTTTATTTTCATGGAGAGGAGAGTTTAGTGAGCATTTTCTGGGAGCGTGGCGTTTGGGGTGTCGCATGGGACGATTGGCTGTACACAAGTACTATATCTCTTTTGTCGGTTGGTGTGAAATGAGGACGGATGGGCATACATATGGTTGGGATCGGAAGACATGGATCTGGCAGGATAAGATACCAAAACTACAGGCAGGTATAGACCGCATTTGTATCACGTTTGTATGATAGACCGCATTAGAGATTTTGAAGATTAGAGAAACATATGCTCGCTCTGGTCTATGCTCTACCTGATTTCGTCTGTGACTTTTGTAAGTCTTTGTCTTCTCACTTTAGGCAGAATATTGCTCGCTTAATGAACCGCCTCCAATGTTACACATAACGTAGGCACATTTCATTTAAGAAGACACAAATTCGGTTCATGTTAAAACATGGGTATCCATTTATAAATTCTTCAAAGATTAAACCTCGTCCTCTGCTTCTCCATATGCGCTTTCCACTGCCACTGCACCGCATCGTCGCCGTCACTGCTCGCCCTCCCGATACCTTTATCTACTCTCCTCAACTTCAACGTAAACCTCGGGCCCAGCTCCTGTAATCCGGCTCTGATACCCTCTACTCCCTCCACCACCTTGCCATCTGGCCCAACAACACTCTTCTCCGTCTCCTTCTTCTCGCGGAAGACGTACCTATGTCTCCGTAGGAAAATGTAATCACGCTGATTGTGTAGCGTCACGACTTGACGGCCTTGAAGCTCTGGCTGTGGCGGGAAGAGGGTGAGGAACAGACGTGCGGTGAGCAGACCGAGTGGTGTGCGGAAGTTGTTGAGGATAAGTTCGGGGTAGTGGTTTGTGGCGTTGCCGTGGCCGGGGAGTTTCTTGCCGTCAACCCAGTTGGCGATGCTGAAGTGGCAGGTTGGCCCGTCTGGTAAATGGACGATTGTCAGCCCTGTGGGTTTCTTGGAATCTTCCTTTAAGAGTATGACGGAGGTATAGTTGCGATTTGTAGCGAACTTGGAGATTTCGCGAAGGGAGAACTTGTGGCCGTAGCGGTGGGAGGAGCGTGGGATGTAGGTGCTGTTTGGGAAGAGGGTGCAGAGGAGGTCGGCTTCGTGGTGGAGAGTTGAGTTTATGGAGGTTGTGAGGAGGATCTTTGGGGCGGGTGGTGGTGTGTCGGAGAAGAGAGTTGGGAATTTGATACTTAGTGAGGAGGGTGTTAGGTCGAGGTTTGTGCTGGTTGTCGAAGCTGCCGTAGAGGATGCTCGAGGCCGTTGCTTTGGTTCGGTTTTCTCTCCATCCGAGTCCGAGTCCAACATGCTGTCTGCATCGTCGTCATCCTCTATTGCTTCCTCCACAGGCTCTTGCTCTGCTGCTTCGGCCTCTTCGATGCGCCGCCTCTTCAATTGCTCAACATCTACGCTGACGTTCAATCCGTCGCCGTCAACATCGTCCCAGACACGTTTCTTATCAATCGTAATGGGTACGTTCTTGGCCAATCGTGCTTCTCTCATTTCAGGGTTTTTGTCCTCCTCTCTTTTCCTCTTGAACCGCTCATCTCGGCGCAAACTATCGCGGGCTTTCTTTTGCTTGACATGAAGATCTTGTCGTCTGACTTTGTTGCCTGTCTTGAATGGCAGACTCGCCTTCGCAGACGGTGGTTTATGACTTGATCCCATGGCGAATTGTGTATTGTTGTAGTGTTGTATCGCGGGGTTGTGATAATGGTCAAGCAAGCTCGGATTGATCAAAAAGTTTTGGCCCAGCTGGAAAATAATTAAAGCGGGGCCGGCGGCCGCCCCTCCACAAGGCTCTGAATTCTGGCCATGGCCCTCATTAGTCCTCGCCTTGCTGTTTGTTCTCCAAACGAAAGAGTCACAGCAACTCGAAACCACAACCCTCTTCCGCTCCACGATACCCTTTGATATTGAGTGACTCAGACCTCAATTGGATGGGTCTTGAGTGAATGCGCTCCCTCTGCAGCTTCGTACAAACTGCTGGTCAACTACGAAATACATTCGCACGAAAGAATACCTTTATTTCCCTCCGAGCATTTACTGCATCTGCACACTTCTACAAGTACCAAGCTCCAAAATTCCAGGGACAGAAACAGCAGGACGCAACCATGGCGACTACTACTCTCAAGGGTCAGCCCTTCGATAGGCAGACTATGGATTCTATGCTCAGGCGGCGCATGTTTTACACCCCCTCCTTCGAGATCTATGGTGGTGTCGCTGGTCTGGTGAGTTGATTTCGTCTTGGATTTCGAAGATCGTCGAGGACAGGGGGAGCGGCAAATTCAGATGCCAATGCCATAATTCTCTTAGGACTTGAAAAGCTTCTGGCTGGATTAAAGACTGATGTATTCGGATAGTACGATTATGGGCCACCCGGTTGCGCACTCCTCACAAACATTATGGATATATGGCGCAAGCATTTCGTTTTGGAAGAGGATATGTTGGAGGTGGATTGCCCAGCTTTGACCCCAGAGCAGGTCCTCAAGACCAGTGGCCATGTTGAGAAATTCGCCGATTGGATGTGCAAGGACCCAAAGAACGGCGATATTATCAGAGCGGATCACTTTGTGGAGGAAATCTTGGAGTCGCGGTTGAAGGGTGACAAGGAGGCCAGAGGTGTCAAGGTTGTAGAGAAGGAGGACGACCCCAAAAAGAAGAAGAAGAAGGTCAAGGGCGCGATTGAGGCTGTTAAGCTTGATGATGCCATTGTGAAGGAATACGAGGAGATTCTGGCAAAGGTATGTGATAGTTCAGCAAGAACTGAAGTTTTAGGACTGATTATCGTAGATCGACAACTACAATGGGGAGGAGTTGGGTGCTTTGATCAAGAAGTACGAGATGAAGAACCCCGCTACTGGCGTTGAACCCTCCCCACCTGTGGCCTTCAACCTCATGTTCCAAACTGCTATCGGTCCCAGCGGTAATCTCCAAGGTTACCTCAGACCAGAAACCGCCCAAGGTCAATTTCTCAACTTCGCCAAACTCTTGGACTTCAACCAACAACAAATGCCATTTGCCTCGGCCTCAGTCGGCAAGTCTTACAGAAATGAGATCTCGCCTCGCGCCGGTCTACTGCGTGTCCGTGAATTTCTGATGGCCGAAATCGAGCACTACGTCGACCCAGATGGTGGCAAGAAGCACGCTCGTTTTGATGAGGTCAAGGATGTTGAGCTTGTTCTGTTGAATAAGGAAACACAACTGGCCGGCAAGACGGATGTCGCAAAAGTCTCCATTGGGAAGGCTGTTGCTGATGGTACCGTCGACAACGAGACCTTGGGTTACTTCTTGGCCCGAATTCACTTGTTCTTGGAAAAGCTCGGTGTTGATCAGTCCAAGATCAGATTTAGACAACATATGGCGAACGAGATGGCTCATTACGCTGCTGACTGCTGGGATGCCGAGCTTCAGACGAGTTATGGCTGGATTGAGTGCGTTGGTTGTGCTGATAGAAGCGCGTACGATCTCACAGTCCACGCAAAGAAGACTGGTGCTCCATTGATGGTTCGCGAGAGACTGGAAACCCCGATCACCATTGAAGAATGGCAAATCGACCTTGATAAGAAGAAGTTTGGCCCGTTCTTCAAGAAGGATGGTAAGACTGTCGAGGCTGCTATCGAGGCTTTGCCACAAGAAAAGAGGGAAGCTCTCGCCCAGGATCTTGCCACAGATGGCAAGATCACAATCGAAGTTGAGGGTGTTGGCAATGGCAAGGTAGAGGTTAGCAAGGATTTGATCGTGATCGAGCGCCGAACCCGAACAGAGAACACAAGAGAGTTCACGCCTAACGTTATCGAACCATCATTCGGTATTGGCCGCATTCTTTATTCTTTGATCGAGCACAACTACTGGACCCGAGGTGGCAGCGAGGGTGGTGATGAAGCACGTGGTGTAAGTAATATAGCGAAAACTGGGAATATCAAACTGACAAGTACAGGTCCTCTCCTTCCCTCCACCAGTAGCACCCACAAAGGTTCTTCTCGTGCCGCTCTCTAGCCACGAATCCTTCAAGCCTCTCCTAAAGTACATGTCTCTCAAACTCCGCGCCCTCGGTGTCTCCAGCCGTGTCGACGATTCCTCTGCATCTATCGGTAAGCGCTACAGCCGTAACGATGAGCTGGGCACACCTCTCGGCATCACTATCGATTTCCAGAGTGTAAAGGACAAGACATACACGCTACGTGACCGTGACTCGACGAAGCAGGTTCGAGCCGATGAGGAAACTATCCTGAAAGCTATCAAGGCGCTGGTTGAGGGTGAGAAGAAGTGGGCGGATGTAGAGAAGGAGTTGCCTGCTTTCGAAGGCCAGGAAGCCGAACTACCAGTCAGAGAGGAGAAGTAGATGGTTATCTCAGTGTATCTGATGATTGTATGGCTGATGATTCTTGTAGAATTGATTAGTTGAAGTATAGAGACAAAAGCTATTCTGAAGTACAGCCATTTGCATCATTTCAATATTTCTATGCACTGCTATATGGTTTGGTCTCATGGCCATAGGCTTACAGTCGATCTCAAAAGATGCCTTGGCAAGGTGGCAAATTCCACCTCCTTAGAAGGATCAAGTTTGGGTGTCGATTTGATCCAGCCATCCTGGACAGCAGTGTCTCTTATTTGAACGGAGCTTACAAGTTCCCTTCCAACGACTCCTATAATTTATGCCCCAGATGAAATTACCCTTCTTACGAACTTCTCGGCTGCCGGTTCGAAGTGAATCCTAGAACGACTAGGTACAATAGCCGGAAATCAATCCACGCCAATTATATTCAAGTCTACAACGAAAGCCACGACACAGTTTGAGATTTAGGAGAACGGTGCCACTCTCCGTGCCACTGTGTCACATGCACTGGCTTGGCTGTCATCATTGGCCCTGTTTAAAATGACTTGGAGTGCAGATCAGAAGCTCAAGCTTACGTGAGTCTACTCCCCACTTCTACGCTCAGATATATACATATATCTCACCTTTCTACAACCTCCTGTTGACCAGCGACAGGGACGCATGAGCATATTCCTTACATAAATTCATATTTCTCGGTCCTTGGCTGATCACTCTTTTATTTTCCTAACTAACCACTCAACATGGACACCCAACGCCCCTCCGTCCAACAGACAACCCTCCCAACCATCTACAACATGTCCTCATCCCAAGCCCGCAACTGTCTCTGGGCCCTCGAAGAACTATCCGCCTCACACTCCATAAAATACGAAGTCAAGAACCTCCCCCGCCGCGACCCCAACACCGCGAAGACCCTCAGCTCTATCTTCCCCCACGGCAAATCCCCCATCATGACCCTCTCACCTATCGACTCATCCCCCGAATCGCAAGCCGCAGCCTCAACGACCTACCAGATCCTCCCTGGCGTTCTTACGGAGAGTAGACTTATTCTACAGTTCATCGCGGACCATTACAGTGCAGGAGAATGGACCTCTTCGTCCATCGAGGATAAACGCCGGGACGAATTCTTCACTGAATTCGGACACAGTAGTCTTGCGTTGAAGATCAACTACGCCATTGTCTTTGAGATGCTGACCTCGTTCTTGCCGTTTGGGATCCGACATCTGCTTTTCCTGCTGATTGGGCCCCTTGTTAAGTTCTTTGTTAAGGACCAAGAATTGATGTATGGTGTTATGGAGGCGGCGCTGAGTGAGGAGAAGCCGTGGTTTGGTGGGGAGAAGATTGGACTGGCGGATTTCAATATGAGTTTTCCGATGGATGTGGCGGTTCAGAGGGGGTATTTTGATGGGGGGAAGTTTCCGAAGTGTAAGGAGTGGCATGAGAGGATTGTGAAGAGGGATGCGTATCAGAGGGCGTTAGCGGTGGGTGGAGTGTATGATTTGAAGATGTTTACCTAGGGGTTGATGAGCCGAGGGGAGGGGGAGGTGCTTGTAGAAGGATGGACTGGACTTGTAGGATGTAGCATGAGGTGAGTTGATAATGTCCATTCCGGGTTGCAAATGGCTATACGATGTATATATGTGGAACAAAAGCATTTCAAGAATATACAAATTTCGTTCCATCCGGTATCAAACACAATCTACCTTGTCGAGACTACTCACAGATCCACCTATGTACAGTGCATTTTCTCCCTTATCAGCCAATCTCTCAGCAGCTGTTCACGTCAAAGTCGCATTCGAAACATAGCACTTATCCTTAGACGGAATTTTCTCTCCTTGATCCCACTACCATCTTACATTAGTATCACCAGTTATTCATTCATCCACACCGCAGAAAAACTCACATGTTCATGCACACACCCTCCAACCCAACGCCAGCGATCAGTGGTCGAGTACTGCGCATACGACATATTCGTGCTCGCATCAAAACAGTGGGCGGTATTCTTCTCAGTTCCGATCTTGTTCCCACTACAAAAGAGACTCCAGATGGCTTGAGGGCCGGACGCATATCCTGGATGGTGTTGCTGTCACATTTCATATCAGTCATTATCCTGCACAATCCAATCCGTCAAGTCTCGCATCATCCCTCTCGCTTATGCTCGAAACCTCTGATCCGTTCTGTTCAGGGGAATCTGATGGAGAGTTGAGATGTGACATACTTGATACACATTATCAATCAACGAAAACATCGTCCTGGGATCTCCATCCACAATGAATGCGCGGTAGAACTGATATGCTCGCTTGGCTGTCTCGGCGACCGTGACGGAGGAGTTGGGCTGGCAGATGACAGGTGGAGATTTCAAGTTGCATAGATTCTCACGTTTGTTGAGAGAGTCATAGTATGCATCTGAATTCGTATCGGGTGCAGGATAGGCGAGAATTGAGAGAGCTGCGGAGAGCACGAGGAGGAGACGCATGTTCTTGTTTGGTTTCGGCTCTTTAAGGGAACTAGGAACGCTATTGGCGTTCCTCTCTGTTTCGCTATGTTCTAGGACCAAGTGTGTATCTTATGTCGGAGTGGAATTCGCAGTTACATATATGGCACGTTCCGGGTCATAGAGATTGTATATTAGCCATAGCACTTTCTTGGTACCCCGCACCCTGCTGTCGCCTCTTTCCGCTGGTAAAATTTAATTGATGAGATTCGCTTGGGTTTTGATTAAGCCACGTATGATCGTGAGCTGGGCTTAATATGAGAAAGCTCGGTGGAGGCCGGCAGCTGGTGGCAGCAATTGGGCCGAAGTCATAGGGAAAGGGATGGTTGGGGGGTCGGCTCGCTTATTTACGGAAGTTGTTTACACAATAACCTCTCTTCGAGGTTACACCAGCATTTTGTGGTCTTGAGCCTGACCCTAATTCAGATACACAATGAGTGGTAGTACCGATATCCTCATAAAGCGACTTTAAAAGTAAAAAGAAGATAGTCATCAACTAATGGTGAAGCGGAAACCCTGATGAGATTTATATGAATATTTAACGAAACTTCGGTACCATTCAGTGGCAAGAGTGGCAAACATTCTGAACGAGCGACTGGACGCAAAAAGAGAACTTGAACGACAACCAAATTAGACTGCAACGAAATCCCATAGTCATAACAGTATGAACGAAAGTACAGGCTTCCTAGTATCCGTCGTGATGCGGCACATTTTGAAAAGGACGAGAGCTGAACTAATTAAGCCAACCAGAATTTTTACTGTTCGTTCGGATCAAATCCAATCTCGATCCCGGATCCCTTAGAACCGATCTTCAAAGTTGCACCATGAGTTTCGTCGTCTTCCTCGACGCATAAAGTCTGGCTCACAAGTGAAAGGGCTTTGCTACACATACTGTCGGTGAGCTTTGGAGGTTGTGACCCAAAAGTCTTCCATCGAAAGTTAATCACTGCAAGGGCACCGTCGTTGTTGGCGATGTGGGATACCTGATATACCTTCCAAGCAGCGTTGATAAAAGTTGCTCCTGGCACCTCTTTCAAGAACGCACTGCATGCATCGGCGATGTGTGCACTGACTTTGCTGCCTTCGATTTTCATTCCACTGCCAATGCAGGCCACCTGGGTGGCGAGATCTGCGATTTGTCCGGCTGACTTGAAAGGCCCCCATCGACGACTTTTTGTTCCAACAGGAGTCCAGTATGTGTCGAGTTCTGAACTATCATCATCGTCCTCGGGAAGTTGGACGCATCGACCATTCTCGTATTCTTTCCATGCCAAATTTTTGTTGCTGTCCAAGTACTGAACCACGCCGCTGACATCTCCAGGGCCCAAAGCAGGGTAAGGACTAGGAACTGCGAAAGCGCCTGCCAAAAAAATGGCAAGTAAAGTCTTTCTTGTGACTATGTGCAACGAAAAGCTGGTCAGTAAAGAATTTGGGATGATAACTGAGGTGCAACGAACAAGTCATGATGATCTGGCTCTTTTTGTGCTGATTGAAAATGGATTTGAGGTAGGTCAAGATGGTTTTGTTATAGCAAGAGTACGGGCCGATCGAAATAGATGAGTGAAGTTTTCTTTGGAGTAGAATTGAAGCGGCCGAATCTTGTTGAGTGATGTGGAAGAAAAAAGACCAGAAGAGGGGTTGTAGGGCTTATATGTTCCATGGTCACCTCCCTGACAGATCTCAACAAGTCAACGGCAATATGTACACTTTCCTCTTATTCTATCACACCATTCTCTTACTACTAAGGATGAGAGTCCAAAAAGCTATTTCTGTATGTGACGAGAAGACTGACGACAATCCAGAGCTATGTGATCAGGTAAGTCCACCATCTTCGTAACGTCGTGGTAGCTTGTTTCATGTCATAGCTGCCAACAATAGTTTCTTTCCAACTAATTTATTTGACAGGAGACAGCGCAGTCACTAGGATGCGTTCCTGCTGTGCTGCTGTCCTGAACGAGCTCACTCCATCCATGCTGGCCAACTCCTCCCGGACCTGGGGATCCACAAAAATACCAAGAATGTATTCTGAGCACAAATCGGGCTATATTCGATCAGGGAGGATCAACCTGCCAAGCTGTCTATATGAGATTCGACTTTCTCGCGCTTGACTCGCTACTTTGCTCACTTGTTTTCTCAAATTTCTTGCTAAGCGAGGGCGGACTTGGGCTTCGTTTCGTGCACGCCAATTATCCCAAACATTCCCTCGTACATTTGATACCATGCATTGGCAGATTGAACTCTGAATACTCCAAAATTCGATGGATCACGGACAATCTAGGTACAAAGTAAAATACTTTACTGATACGTATGGGAGTGGCTTGCTCCTGATTGGTCACTTGGGCCAATCCAGCTGATGCGGCAGGCCACATTTCCTAGGACTCATCGTCACAAGGCGGTTTGTTCCAACAGCGTCTACAGGATTTGCTACTATATATGGACGTTTTTGGCTACCTGACTGACCGTAGCTGTTGCCATCTGGTACGGTGGTACATTTCCACTACGGACCTGTGAAGTGAAGGATTCATTCACCACGTTGCTTAGCAGCCGAACGTTTCGGATCAGTCACCAGACTATGTGAAAGAGACCAAAATTCTTGGTTTTCAAACAAGATTTTGGTCATATCTGACCAAGTTTGGGCCCAGCCAACAATATCTTGCTGCGTCGTATAGGCCTTCTGAAACGGAGGATTGTGAATTTCGAAATAGATATAACTTTGTTGGATGTTGGCTGAATTGCGCACCGCTCCACATAAATGACTTGCCGTAAGAAACTCATGAAAACTAGACACTGTATCATTTGATGATTATATTCTCTACCGATAATATACTGCAATGTGCTTCCCATCAAGGAAGTTCACTTGTGCTGTTCCATTGCCCCACGACAGCAATCTTTCAGCTGCCTATCATGTTCACACAATTTGCGAAGCTCAATCGGAGCAATGCGAACACTTTTCGCGCAACCAATCTTTCCCAATACTCCGAGGGACAATGGTTAAGTTTTCCTCGAAAGCACGTCAACGAACACAGACCTTGGTCAGTTCTACGACGGCGCAAGTCGTTCGGGAAGGGTCAGTCGCCTAGAGGAACGATCCAAACGCTGATGATATGTCTTACCACAATAATTGGAATTTCCGTTTTTGTGTTTCTGCTGTATGTTAATCCAAGTGTCCTGCTTTGGAGTAAATATCCTGACTTTTGGCCAGATTTTGGGTCTCATTTGCAACTCTTCTTGTCAGCCGCCTCTCCCCCCCGCCGCGGCGTAACGGCATCGAAAATATTTTAGCGAGCTGGGAACAGTCAAACACAACAATGTGGAAAGAGGGTTTTACTCGAGATGTTCAACCCGTCCAATGCCACTCCCACAACGACTATTGGAGACGAATTCCTCTCTATGACGCTCTGGCTGTAGGTTGTGCTAGTGTCGAGGCCGATGTTTGGCTGCGGGGAGACGATTTGCTCATAGGACACAAAGCACATGAACTCAAACGCACCAAAAGTCTTCAAAGCTTGTACTTGGACCCTCTCAGCAACATTCTGGCGCATCAAAATGCAGACAATCTGCTTACGGAGGGATCCCGACCGGTGGGTGTATTTGATGTCGACCCGGATAAATCTTTGATTCTCCTTCTGGACGTAAAAACAGGTGGAGACAAGACATGGCAGCTTATCTTGAAGCAACTAGAGTCGCTTCATACGAGAGGTTGGCTGACAGTGTTCAACGGAACCACGGTCATTCCTGGCCCGGTCACGGTCGTCGGGACAGGGAATACGCCAGCCGATTACTTTCTGTCGTCTACCTCTTCCAACCGATATACTTTTCTAGATGCTCCTATTACACGACTAGATGCCGAATACACCAGTCATAATTCATATTTCGCAAGCGCTTCCCTCAAAGACGCCATCGGAAACATACGGTGGGGAGGAATGGACGTCAAGCAAGAAATAGTCATCAAAAGCCAGATTGAGAATGCATCTGTGAGAGGACTTGTACCCCGATATTGGGATACCCCAAGCTGGCCTGCAAGTACGCGAATCCGTGTTTGGGAGCAGCTCGTGTCCCTCGGGACTGGAATTCTCAACGTAGACGACATTGTGTCTGCTGCAAAGTGGAATTGGGATTGGTGTATAGTTTTGGGAATCAGCTTGTGCTTTTGAAACTTATGGAATGAAATCATAAAGTTCCGAGCCCTTTCTAAGATAGATAATGGACAGTGACAAGTCCATAGGACCAAGTGCTTAGTCTGTGTTTCACGTGATGTTCCACTTCACTTCAAAAGAACGATTTCGTCGAGAATGATTTTGGTGGGCTTATCCGGTTTTATTGATGGTGCAAATCACAACTATGAGCTGTATGACTTTGATGGCATGAGCGGACTAGGGCTGTCGGCTGGCCTTTTGATGGAAAATGGCTTCCAGCTCTCCGCTCAACGTCCAAAGTTAGGACTCACGATCCGCATTTCATCGGATAGACGATTGCCAGCCCATTCATTTCTATCTTGAAACAAGTGAGACCAAGCTCAGAGGTCATGTTATTCTTTAACGGAGGCTGAGCTGCAGACTCTTGCCCATTCTTCATGTTGGTTACATCTATTAATACCTGAAGTCCTGAATCAACCTTGACAGGGGATGAGATGGCTCAAAAGCAACTTTGAAGGATCAACAAGAAAGATCCGGCAGGATTCAAAACTATTCGTGCGTTGCCAAAGCAATTGTTTGTGGGCCAGTCCTTTGGACGGACATTGTGGCCAACATTTTAGTCCTGGGCATCGACCAACGGCTTACTGATCAGACACCATGTGAATATGTGTCCTTTCCCATGCGTTCTCATGTGTACTCCCGAAACTGTCCAATCAAAAATAAGGTGATATGGACTGTGTTCAGTTCTTTGTTGGTCTCGTACTGACAAGACTCAGCCCGATAGGATCGTATCACCAACTTTGGCGCCAGCACTTGAACACCTGAAACTCACAACAACACCGAAAGAAGAGGAACATGCTGTTATTATACTCTGTAGGTTATTTGCACAATTGGAGTTCTGAAATGTGGTTGTTTCTGAGAAATATGGCTCATCTCCTCACTTATAAGTTGCCGTTGCCCATTGAGCTTCATTTATAAAACCAGCAATTTTCACTGACCTCCATTCGAGTCAATCTTATTACAAGTTAGCTCCATTTCGGCATACCTCGAAAAAAAACACTTTTAGAATATCAATCCAGCCGCAAACATGAAGTCACACACCATCATTGGTCTCATTTGCTTCTTGCAAGCTATTCATATTTGCGACTCCCGCTGGACCAACCGTGTAGCCACCCGGGAACTCTCCACACGTGCACCATCATACACACCACTATGGATCAAGTGCCAGGCGCGTGGTCGAAAAGTTTACGATATCTTGCAAGCTGCTAGAACGGATCCTGGTCGCACCACGGTAGCCACAGATAAACAGGGTGGAGATGGACTCATGGCTGCTTATGATATCGTCACCTCTCCAGATACATTAACTGTCCCGGTCTCCCTGATGGACGAATTTGATGCAATCGGCTATTCTCCTTTCAACTATAGGAAGGTACAGGTGAAGATCAAGAACTCCCGCCAAGATCCAATGTTCGACAACCTGTTCAACGCTCGGGAAGGGGTCATATTCGCAATTGATAATCAAGGTTGGAGGGGAGGCGACCAAAGACAATTGAAATGGTCGGAAGCAGCATTCCAAAGCTATAGTCAAATGGCGAGGGATCAAGGCATGCCTCTAGATCGATTAGGACGGATTTACCGATACAACGTTGCGAACGACGAGGCTGTTCCCATTGTTGAAGAAGCATATGACATAAGAGGATCAAACTTGTATGGGGGATACTGGGAGAAATGGACATATGCAGAGAATCCAGAAGCTTTCCTTGCACTGTTGGGAACTGAAAACGGTGCAGGAGTTGGGTATCTTCTCAGTGATCATGCTGCTGCCTTCGGCAAGATGAACGTGGAAGCGATATATACCATGTACAAGGGTGAGTGGCTTCAGATATACTTCAAAGTCTTCTGAACTCCACTAATTCCAATTGATATGGGCAAGCTGTCATTGAAAACTGTTGTTCCTAATTTACATTTTCTCTCCTTGGTTATGTAACAGACGCTTCGAACTGTTTAGTTCAAAGAAACGATGGAAGCATCAAAATTCAGGTTCTTCTCATTGACTTGACACCCTCGGACTGGCACTAAGAATAATTTAAGCCTTCCAGAGTACTAACCAAGCTCTTTGGTACTAGACACCTATCTCATCTCAATATACACAAACATGCGGCGGGTCATTCGGCTTCAGCCTGCGAGCCGTCTGAGTTTCACTCTCCGATTGATGATACATCCCAAGCACGACTTCCATGGCCTTTTCCAGACTCAGACGAGCTATTCCTCTCCCATCGCCTACCGCTCCAAATCCAATTTTCTCAGCCTCGGACCCAATCGGCCATTTCCTCAACCCCTCAGCATCACCTGTCCGCACCAGCAGCACACCTTCATTTTTCCAATCTGGTTTGTCCACGATAATAAAGACACTGCGGAACGCCAACCCGAGCTCATAAAACTTATGGTACCTCTTGAATCGCTCAGTCTCCTCCTTATCAATCTCATCCAATACACCCTGCCTCTTCTCAACCTGCCTACACAGTCTCTCATGCACCTCCAAAATGGCCTCAACCTCGTTCGGACTCTCCTCGTACCAACACGCGATGAAGTGCGCAAAGAATGTCCCAAACTCAATATCGACTCCATTGTTTGGGATAAACCACTTATCATAGACACCCCTCCAGAATCCGCTCATCCCAATGTGGATTTTAGGGATACAGTAGATGGCGCAGGCTTTGTTGCATGATCGATGGATTTTGGCGAGTGACAGTCGAGAATCGAGTGTGTTACTCTGCAAAACCAATGGTTGGTACCACTGCGATTCTTGGATACGACGGTGCCCTGATTCTTCCTCAGGACGGTAGAGAGCTGCGAGAACAGGACCAAGCGGGTTGAAAAGTCCACCACCCATTGTTACTCAAACTAAGACCGAATAACTGGTGTAGTGACCTGTTTTCTTATTGTGCAAGTGGAATTCTGCTAGATTTGACAATGGAAAATAGAGAATTGTCTTTGCGACGAAGCATAGATGGAGATGTGAGCTCTTTAAAGTATCAGATTCTGTCGCTGTAAGCCTTTTCTGCGACCCTCTCGGTTGTACGCCTTGCTTCGAAAAACGAGGCTGACGAGGCAGAAAACCAACAGATCGACCCAGAAATATCCCCTTCCAGTGCCTGGAAATAGGCTGATCGGTATCCTCACAACGATATTGCTTTCGGAGAAAAATCAAATGTACGAGCTAGTGGGCTAACGTAGACCTCCCCCCGCATTTTTCAACAACGCGGGAGTTTGCGTTCACGACGACTCCTCGCTAAGCGTCCCTGGTAAACAGTGAAGCGAATTTTGGCTTACTTCGTTATCTGATTGATAGAGATTAGGGGTTTCCAGCTGTTCTGTGTGTTACATCTCTGGCATATATCTGCTGAAAATTAGTCAGCATTGATTATCCCAACACAATTTTCAGGGTACAGCGCTGAGTGAGGCGCTAAGGCTCCCTGGAGAACAACGCAGCATTCAGATTTCAGCGCTCTTCCCTTACGAAGTTAATTACAGGATCTCGCTACAGGCTTTGCACTACCCTACCTACTACTGCAATTAGGTTTCAAGGATTGCGTTTATAATCACGTGTCGTAGCTTCAGCAAGATGAAAGTCTAGCCTGGTGGTATATCTAAAGCACTGATAGGTCTCTCCTGAGCTAAGTATCGTGGAAACTCCGTCTTGTATATCTGAAAATCTACTCATACGCTTTCCGGAGATCTTCTCCGCCATCATTTTTCAAGTCTGAGGGTTGAATCCCCTCTCCTTGAAGAAAGTTTCGAGTTCCTTATTGAACTGATCCTGATGATCAAGGAAAATATGATGGTCGCCATCAATGACAACTAGCTTCCCGTCTTTGAGACCGCTTTGCATACTCTCCACCATTGGAAGAGGCGAGCAGCCATCACTCGTCGCTGCAACCATGAGTGCTGGAACAAGAACATCGGTTTCATCCTCGGGAATATCTGCATTCAATAGTCAGCAAAGCAATTCACACCTTCGTCATCCAGATGTCCAAGTCCCTTTCTCAGCTTCTTCATTGTACCCCTCGGCGAAGCAGTGGTAATACTGCAGCGCGGCTTCCCAATCATTGGCGAGGAAGTCTTGTCGATCCTATCGAAGTCAGCTACTGGGTCACCTCGCTGGCATCGGAAATGCGCATACTATCTCCTCAATAGAAGATTTCACTTCACATCGGCCGTCCGAGACCAGCCACTCCCGAAGCTTTCCTCTCGAGGTCAAATGTTTCTGATCTTGTCAGCCCTCCTGTCTAGTTCACCCATCCGTCATTTCAGCACTTACTACCCAAGCCGCAGTATCCTTGGCAAAGAACATCTCATAGAAAGACTCAATCTAAGACTCAATCAGCTCGTACTCTCTCACGCTAATACATACGTTACCGAAATCAACTTACGTGCTGAGTCAACAACTCCGGTTCATTCAGGAACACCTCCCAATACCCAAAGCAAGCAGCACCAAAAGCCTGCTCCGTCATGTCGTTGATAGCCTTCAAATCGAACGGACCCGGCTTGAAGTATGGCACACACACCATGACCAATGCAAGCACTCTCGAGGGATAGGCAACTGCCGTCCCCGACGCGATTGAGCTTCCCCAATCATGACCGACAATTATCGCCTTCTCGACACCCTCTGCATCAAGAATGTCAATCATCGACCTAGAGGCGACCGGACACTTTGTCAAAGTTAGCGCGAAACTGAACGAAAATGAAACGGCATTTAGAGAACTGGCACATACCGAATATTCAGCGGGATCCTTCGGCTTGCTCGTTTTGCCATGCCCCAAAATATCAGGTGCGATGCATCCGTATCCTAGCTTCTCAAAATGAGAAATTTGATCACGCCAGATCTTTGACGAGTAGGGGAAGCCATGGATGAAAAGGATCGTGGTTTTAGACTTTGGAGATGCTGATGAATACTGAAGGTAGGAATCTGATCAGCTTTCTCCATCATTTGTTTCTTCTGACAATCACAACCAATATATCTGTTGATAAGACTTCATCGCACTCACATAATTGTAAGTGTGCTTGCTGCTAGTGAGCACCTGCTTGTAACGTGCTGTAGAACCGTCCATATTCGTCGCCGATGTAATTTTTCAGAGTGGCAGTAAACGATTATCTCCTGCTGATGAATCCGCCACCAGTTGAGAGAAATAAAGAGTTGTGAATTGAACTACGAAGAACGTGCAATTTATCTTCCTAGATGAGTCCCACCAAATCCATGCTGTTCCTAAAGAGGCAAAACTGCATCTTGGACAAGACGGTGCCCGTGGTGACAGCCACTCATGTTATCAAAGTTCCAAGCTCAACTTCTATCTTGACTCAGAGTGGTAAGATTTAGTTGCTTTTTAGATCCGGACAAGAACTGCCCCACTCTTTACCCCTCCCTTGGCTCGACCGGCTGCCTTGTGTTTATTATGAGAAGCCGGTTTGACCACGACTGGTGGAACCATTTAATCGGGGACGAGATCTGGACATAAGCAGTTTGAACATTCATCCGGCCTGTCATAATAATCATCAAATTTATGTCGCAAGTAGATGGCCAAAACGGTTTTGTATGATGTCAGGTGATGTTGACAGGAAAAAGGGCCTAAGCGAGGACGGGACGACCCATCTGCCTGGCTGTACATGGCATTCATTGAAAGCTATTGGAAATTTTTTAAGCTGGTCAAATTCAACTACTGAGTACTTTATAACACTATCCAGTAATTGTCACCACCTACACACATCACATTACAATTCATCCCTCTTCCTCTTTCCCCCACCACCAGCATACCTCAACCTATACATCTTCACCCCATGCGCCTCCACCCTCGCACTGATCATCCCCCCAGCCTGCACAGTCATGGTCACATTCCCCAGCAACAACTCATCCTGATCCGCCAAACCCTGCGTATAACTCTTCGCCGTAGCATTATACCTACTTTCACCCCCAAACGTCGTAGCATTCCACCCCGTCGTCGCATTACCCGTCGCATTCGACGCAGAAATTATACCCATAGCCGTATCATTACTCATTCTATTGGCCCATAAATCGCGCACTTCCCAGCTCATCTGAATCTGAGGCGCTTTGCCGTTCGGTCCGCTGTCGGCGAAGATATCGGCGAGTGAGGCGTTCATAGTTGTTGTCTCGTCGAGACCGTTGATCATGAGAACAAGCATGTCGTTATGGTCACCTCCGGTCGTAGATTTGAGACCTCCAGACCAGAGCTGAAGTGCTGGGCCCGAATAGGGGTCTCGGCTGCCTGGGACGCGCATCCAGCGGCGTGAGGCGGATGAGCCAAGCGGGTCTTGGTTTACTGCTATGACTGCTGCGTTGGACAGGATTGATAGATCTGAGGGTGCGATGGTCCGGATATCGTTTCCCATGATGAGAGGACTCTTGACAGCAGACCCTGATCATTCTCTGTTAGCTTACTCGGCAATGGAACAAGACACTTGGAGTAAATAACATACACATGCTGAAATGGGCCACATATTCAGTATCTGTCATGGCTCCATTTCCAACTTCCAACATATCAAGATCGTTCCATCCGCCTGGCTGGGACTTTGATACTACGAACGCTGCTTTATTCATGATATTAGTGATGGAGCAATGGAAGCCGGGAAGGCTGCAATCCCATGAATCGGCTCCCTCGCTATTTGAATTAACGGATAGTAATAATACGGGTATCAGGTGCCATTACCAAGGACATCTCGCGTCATAAGTATCCCAATAATCGAAGACATCTCCCGTGATTCTCCAACTATTGGCAATGGTAGATCCCCAATTCCAAGGATAATCTTCTCCCCAGTTGCACAAAGAGTACAAAATCGGTCGACCAGTCGCATTCAAAGCCCTCGCCATAGTCGCATATCTACATTCGTCAGCTTTCCGGTCATGTATTGGAAATTCTCTGCGACATAACTGACCTCGCTTCCGAAATCTTCTGATCCCCAGCCTGGCCCTCATTATAGCAATTGTCATACTTCAGATAATCCACACCCCACTCCGCCCACGTCTTCGCATCAACCTCCTCATAGCCAAGACTTCCAGCATACCCTCCACAGGTATACAATCCCGCCGAAGAATACATGCCGAAACCTAGGCCAAGCTGATGGATGTCATCAGCTACTGCCGCCATACCGCGAGGGAATTTCTCAGGATCCGCAATGAGACTGTTGTTGTTGGAGGCGTTGCGGCCGACGCTCCAGCAGTCATCCAGGACGACGTAGTGATAGCCTAGGTCTTTGAGGCCGTAATCTACGATTAAGTTTGCTGTTTCGACGAGCAGGTCTTCGGAAACATCGCAACCGAGGGCGTTCCAGTTATCCCCTTAAAGGATTATTAGCTTCCGTCCATTGGTCTCGTGATAAGTCGCATGGCAAACTCACAGCCCATTTGTGGCGTAATAGCAAGTCCATTCCTAACAGCTCCAACACATCCAGCAAGAAGTGTTGTAGTAGCGACACCAAGCAACAAACTCTTAACAGCCATTCTGAACATTTCGCTTTGGTGCCTATCTTTGTGAACAGAATGTCACCCGAAATACGGACGACAGCCATCTTTTATACAAGTCCGGTCAAACTCAAGCCGAAGATCGACGACCCCTCTTCCCGACCTTGACACAACATCTCCTAAGGTATGACTTCACCAGCCCAGGAACACGACATCTGCAAGCAAGAGAAGCTTTTTACTAACATAGCGGGGTGAGTACCTTAGGTTCCCGCTAGAATCTGCGCGCGTTCTGCCTGACCGGGCAGTTCGGACGATCCTGGCCCTAGGACTAATCGCAGCTTCCTGAGATCGTGCTTAGCTAGAGACGTGAGGATACCTAGATACCTCATTTAACGACTTGCGAAAATCAAAACTAATTTCGTACTTCAAATATGTTGTCTACTTTCACCAGATCAAGCAATGTTTCCTAAATGGCAGCGCAATAAACTACAGACCTAACCATTCACCAAGTATTGAAGTCCACACGGCACATAGAGGCTATTCAAAAAATCGGCAAGACAAGCAAGCTTTCACACGAACCCTCGCGGGGTTCAGTAGATCTTACCTGCAATTAGACCAAGATGAGGTTCCTACTCCTACCTATCCGCCCGTCAGAGCCCGGCTTTCTACCTCATGGCCAGTTGCGGGGTTTCCCCACCCCCACCATCGCAACCCTTCTCCTTTGCGCCTTTTCAAGCGGAAAACTGGCGGAGAACATGGGAGGATGGGATTGGGGCGCTAGAAGCACTTTCGGACCGTTTACCTATTACGCACCTTGCTCTCAACGTTGACTGTCAATCATTTCTTGACCAGATAGTTCCCTTCTATTTGTATTCTTCCAACAGAAAATTGCGAAGTGAGAACTACTTTTGTCTTGGACATATGAGGATCAAGCAAGAATCCGCAAGCAAATAAGTACGATTTCATTTCATCCAGGTATAAAAGCGCCCACGTACTCATTTGCTGTCTGACAGTTTGATTGGACCCTTTGGCTAGTTGATGTCCAAAACCCCGTTACTATGTTGGACATATTTCTGTCATACGTATCGAGATTCTGGATACTTATTCGTTTAGAATATTCTTACTTCCCAAATAAGCTGATTTGTTATCTCTCGATTTCATCAATCTCATGATCTTCCTTTCCATCGACTTCAAATTCACGCGCATCCGACTGGCTTGGTTTAGCACGGTAGTAGCACACTAGAGCATGTATATCGAGACTTATGACGCTCTCCTTCCTCCCACATAACCTGCAGTTTTATTCTCAATCTTAGGCATTGATTCACGTCGGTGCCAAATCGCCTTCCTCAGTCAAACACAGAAACCCGAAAAATAACCTCATTGTAGAAACACAACCCCCCCCCCCTCCCTCAACGCTATTCCCACCCTCTCAAACACCAGGGCAATTCTACCAAGATCCGCCCAACCAAACACCATGTCTTTCGAAACCACCTTTAACTCCTTCCAACTCATCAATCTACTAAACCACACCATGTGCTCCGCAACAAAGTAGCACCACCACCAGCAGATAGACAATCCCAATCCCAATCCCAATCCCAATCACAATCCCAGCCCATTACCCTCTTCCTAAGTCCCATATCTCAACTACCTTACGCTCCAAACCACCACACCAGTGGCCTCCACTCCACCTCCTGCTCCTCATCAGCCACAGCACCATCTTAATACTTCACTAACACTTCCCTTTTACTAATAAGCACCGTTCTCTCTCCATCTCGTCACAACATGCACTGAAAAACGCAAAGGAGGCGCGAAGCTTGGCCAGGTAAGTTAAGTTACTTGCGTTTAAGTTACTTGCGGATATAAATATAAGGTTAGACGAGCCTTGGTGTAGTAAGATTACCTAGGGGGGGAGATGAGAAGATTATTACTTCTAGGCTAAGCTGGGATTGTGGAGGTTTGGTTGGGAGGAGTGCGTGCGTGGTGAGGTAAGGATGGGGTTGATAAGGTAGGGGAGATATTGCTGAGTCTGGTGATAGGTTTCTAGGTGTATCGAGTGGGGTAGAGGGGGGCTTGCCGCTTGTCTCTGCCATGGCCTCGGAGGAGAGCGCCGTAGTGGATCGGTGCTAGGTCCGCAGAGAAATGTTGTGGATGTTATGTGAGGATGGATTATAGAGTATGTACACGTCCCAGCAATCATCGCATCTTCACCTAAGGTCACCATTATCACTTTAATTCCACCCTACAGTTCTTATGTACCGCTATACCGTCAGTACTTTACCCCTCTCCTCCTACATGGGCACGAACCACTACAAGAAGTAGACATACGAGCCTTGAAACCATCAAGAATGATATCTGCATCTCAAATATTGAAATGAAGCATAAGTAAGAATACAGATACGAGCATCTCTCAAACACTCACGCACACGCCAAGCTAGATCCAACATCACATCTCAATACATACATGCATGCTTACATATATGTACCAGGGATCAATCTTCAAGTTTCTTTTCATTGATGATAGGCGATGCGATTTCGATACCAACACCCATATCAATAACAAAATCAAACGCATCGTCGAGTCGATGATCTGTAGGCTTTGATTTACTTTACTTTATATTCCTTCAATATGATGACTTAGGTAGGTAAGGTAGCGTTCTATAGAGAGCGAGCATTGCATCTCACATTCGCGCCTCAATACCCCACACCCAACAACCCGCCCCGCCGCGCCGCCTCCCTCTCGACGGGATGGATGGATTCATATTCACATTCCCTCTCTGCTCGATCCTACTTTACACGACCCCATTTCCAACTCCATCCCCCTCTCAACCCTTCCCCTCTACCCCCTAACAGCACCGCCCACCACCCCAGCAAGCTCACTAAACAGCACCCCCTTCAAAACACTCTCCCCCATCTCCTCCGCCCAATGCCCCGCCTCGCTCAACCTTCTCTTCCAACCCTCCTTCTGCTCCCGCGGCAACTCCTCCCACGTCTTAGCCTCGTGCTTGCCGTGCTTCTCCTCGTCGTGGACGTGCATCTCGACAGCGGCCTCGTCGCTTTCCCCCTCTCCTTCGCGGAGGACCACGACGTAGTCTGAGAAGGCTTTTTGTTGCAGTTTTAGGTCTTGGAAGAATTCTGGGAGGGGGGTAGGCGTGGTGGAAGCGGGTCCGGATCCGTCTGTTGATTCTGGGTCAGTGTCTGAGTCGAGAGGGACGCCAATATGGTGGTGGTTTATACCTGTAGGGTGGACGTTGATTTTGGAAACTGCAGTATCGCTACCGAGACTTGACGGAACGGGTTTATACCCCTCAGGGAACTCATACGGCCTTCCTAACTTCTCCTGCAACACAATAGGAAGACGATTCCTCGCGTTCAGGTAAACGGGTACACCGCCACGGATCTCGAGAATGCCTTGGATGATGATAGATGCTAGTGCGATGCCGATGATGGAGACTAGGATTCCCATTCCGAAGACGGCGGCTGAGGATGGTAGAGCGACGACGTAGCGTGGTGTTTTGGACTGGCCTCGCTTGACGGATAGGGGGACGGGGAAGAGTGGGAGGGTGTGCACTACTACCGTGTTGCTTACTCCTACACTTGCGAGTTTGAGATGCTGTGGAGGAGTTTGGGCCGTGACGGGGTGAGTTGGAGGTGTGAAGTTGGAGAATGATAGGCCGGTTATTTGGAGTGGGTGGACGTTTTTGAAGGTGCGGAAGGGTTTGATTTTGGATACTAGGGAGACGGTTCCTTCGACTTGGAGGTCGACTTTGAAAAGGGAAATCGAGATATCGTGGCCAGCAACAGCGATGACAAATTGCGTGTATCCTTGTGGTGAGGTAGGTGAGACTGGAGGAGTGAGGTTCGATACTGCAAGGCCGGTGGCTTTGGTTATTCTCGAGGGGAGGCGTATTGATTGTGAGAGTCGGCATTGGCCTTTCCCGCTGGGTGGTATACGGAAGATCTGTAGGACGACCCCGCTATTACTCGCGATGTTCGTGAGCATGATAATGAAATCCTTCGACAGAAACCTCAATGCCCGAAACTTTGGAGTTGTCGGCCTTTGGGCGTCCCTTGTCGCAGGCGTAATGTAAACACATTCTGGCTCCTCAGCATCCGTCTCTGCAGATATCTTTTTCAGATAGATATCATGCTCATCGCAGTAAGCAAAGAAGTACTCGTCTTTCCCCGTCTGAATGAAATCCACATCCACAGCCTCCTTATTACTCTGCACCCCGCCCCTCGACTTCGGCGGACTCGTAGACGTCGTATCGAACAGCACAATTTCCGCGGCCTTGGACAACCCCGTCGCAACAGCGCCCAGCTGAGGCTGTCCCTGAAACGGCTTCGATAACCTCGTAATCCTCTGATACAGCTCCTTCTCTGTCCCTTGGAATAATGTAGACCTCGAGATCTCGGTGATCTTATCCGCAGCCGCCTTCTTCGCAACAGCTTTGCCTTTCGCAGTCGCAGAGGCATCCGTCCTGAAGACGCGGAAATGAAGATTCTTGCCCTTCTCCATATCTGCCGGGCTGGAATTCACACCCGCGAAGACAAGGGGCGATCCATCCTGATCTACTCCGACTGCTAGACTCGTCACATTGTCTTCGTCTTTGCTGAGCTCGATGTCGCGCAGTTCTTGGAGCTCGTTGGGATTTGATGTATCAAGGAGTGTCTGGACATTGAATTAGTATGTGATATGTAGTACTTGGTGTATATCTCCAGCTTTACTTACGATTTTATTCCCAACGCCTGTTCTCCCCGCGCCGCCTCCGCCTCCTACAAGCAATCGCGTTGAATCGAGGGGGTCGAAATCTACTGCATAGAGAGGATAGGACAAGGTGGCCTTTGCGGAAGGAATTAAAGGTGCCATAACTATTCTGCGATGAGCACTTGTAGTCGCAGATGCGAATTATCTGCTCTTGTGAAGTTGAAGCTGGAAATCAGAAAGGTGTTATGACGAAGCTCTCTAGGCGGGTGTCCAGATTTCAAGGTTGGAGCTAGGATAAAAGCATGGGAGGTTGGTCTGGCCAATGAAAGGTGGGGTGCCCCGAATCAAACAAAACGCCCCGCTTGCCGAGACTAGTCCATCTGAACCCTTGTATTGTCTGGGGACAAATGCCCAGGAGAGGAGAGGTTTCTTGCAGATGTGGATATCATGCAGGAAGGAAAGCTGCATGCAGATTTTCTTGAACCAAGCTACGGATATTTTCATGCAGCAGAGACTTTACGATGAGGTCAATAATTAGATTATAGTCACTTCGTTCCGGGGTATCGGGCACAAGACAGTAAGTCATTACTTAAATTCTTTTTGTTCCATGCATTCCTATCATGCGCCGTATCCTTTCTCTCTTTCTTTCTTCTTTCCGAAGCTCGACTCTGAAACCCATGTCTCGATTTGCAGCACCCAAAGCATGGTGTGAAGTCTACCATATCCGGGCGACAAATAACGAAGAAGAGGTGGGAAAAGAACGGGAAGAAAGTAAACAAAGTATATCCCAGTTTGTCCTTTATGATTTTTCAAACAACACCCCCCTGCAAAACATCCCCGAGAACAATGTAAGACCGCTTTATAGTGCTGACCTGACCGGGCTGGCGCTGCTATGCAGAAGAATCCAGGAGCACAGTCAAAAGGCCGCCCGTAACGCCGGTATTCGTGCCGAATAGTGTGTGAGATCCAGCACGAACAAATGCATATCAACCCGCGGAGCTGGAAATGTAACAATATCGGACCGCCAATCTGCTTCAATACAAACATATCATGTCGTAAACGTGATCATTATCTTTCATGGAATAAGTTGCGCATTCTACTTGGCGTGCTTGCGGAAAGCCAAAAGATCAGCCAGACTGCCCAATGCACAGCCGTGCTTCAAGAAGTCGTGTTGAAGAAGCTCAAGAGCAGACGCTCTGCTTCGGATGTCAACACAGAGACATACAGACAGGAATGCCTTCAGCTCCTTGCTCAATTTCTCGGGCTTCTTGAGGCGTGGAGTACCGTTGGTAGCGATGAGATAAAGAGCCTTGAGTGGTTCCTCGTTCAGGTATGGGGGTTCGGACTCGATCATCTCAATAGCCATGATACCAAGAGACCAGATATCGACCTTGGGACCGTATTCCTTCTGCTTAACAACTTCAGGAGCCATCCAGTAAGGTGTACCGACCATGGTGGCACGCTTAGACTTTGACTCGGTGAGCTTGGCGCAGAATCCAAAATCGGCTACATTGAGTTAGCACGTTAATCTTCACGATATGATTCACTGTACTCACTGATTTTGACATTCCCACGAGCATCAAGAAGAACGTTATCGGACTTGATATCTCTGTGAATGATAGATTGGTTGTGCAAATGCTCCAACCCACGGCATGTCTACGATGTGTTAATACTGATTTTATCCTTTGAAGAGTGATTCTTACCTCAAGACAGATAGTTGAAATTTGATCCTCGGTTATGCTTGGGTTGTTGTCAATGACATCAGTCAAAGCACCTCCCTCCATATACTCCATAACAACCCACAGCTCAGTGAAGTTGTTGCGCAAGAAAGCGTCCAGGAAATTGACAATATTTCGGTGCTTGCTGTCCTTCATGACCATAATCTCATTAACAATTAACTCCTTCCTTGGTTGGTGTGCCAAATCCATTTGCTTGATAGCCACTTGAGCCTTGCTGCCCTGTTGGCGGATAACTTCACGAGCGACAGGAGATGCTGGGTTCTCCTTAACCTTAGCAACGTAAACTGAACCAGATGCTCCTTGGCCGATCTTCTTTTGCTTGGAGTACGACAAATTGGGATCATCCTTGGACACAGCCTCTTTCAGCTTGGCCATTACTTCGTTCTCGGACATGGTGGACATGCGAACATCTTGTTTCCGTTCGGTCGCGGTTGGCTTGGAAGTCAAAGCAGCTTCAGCCGCCTTGACAGCGTCATTCTGTTGAATGCCATTGGCCCCAGTGGGCTGCTTAGCAGCAACATTGAGAGGCTTGACTTGCTGTACTGGTGCTGGAAGGCGGGATGGTGGTTGCTGACCATTGGTCGGGGCACGTGTTGCTGGCTGGGAGCCGTTTTGATATCGAGGATCCTGTGGGCGTTGGTTCTCAGCTCTAGCAGGCGAACGAGAGCCTCCATTTTGGCTTTGGTTGACGGATGACGAGCTTTGCTGCGTATTCACAGGTGGACGACTGCCATTGCTTGGGGTTGGTGCTGATGGAGCTTGTCTCTGAGTTCTGAGGGGTTGTGGTTGACCTTGCTGTCCTTGTTGAGGTCGTGGGGCGGGTGGTGCAGCTCTGGATGGATTATACCTATCCGTGTTACCGCCGCCAAATCCACCAACCTCTTGCTGGGCAATCGTTGGGCGCGTTTTTGGAAGTGATGCATTGTAAGCCTCCATATCCCGACGGTTCTGCTCCTCGATCTCCTTGTCTCGCTGCTCCTTATCCCGCTGGCGTTGAGCCTCAAGTTGCTTCTGCCTTTGGTCTTCACGAGATTGAGGATCGACATAGTTGGAAGCCATCTGTTGCATTTGCTGTCGTTGCTGCTGTTGCTCGGGAGGTGTTGGTCGGCGAGGTGCAGGGGTGCTAGATTGAGGTGTACCATAGCTGTTATTCCTCTGGTTGTTCTGAATTGGACGAGGAGGCGCAACACTAGCACCGCTCATACCATAACCTAGTTGCTTGTTCTGGTTCAAGATAGTCGGAGGAGTTGGTGTGAGACTAGGGTACTGGCTAGGGTTCTGAGCTCGCTTCGTGATATCTGAGTAGAATTCCAAAACTTCAAAGACGGCCTGTGGGTTACGCTCATAGTCCTCCTTGGTGATGGCTGACGAGTTGAGCAGCTTGGACCACTCGGGAGGTAGACCAACGAATTCACCAGTCTGGGGGTCGAATCCAACGTGAACGGAATGGCTAAAATTAGTGGGGTTGCTAACACCACCCATACCCGGGCAGCGCGCATATATGAAGTCAATCCACTCGTACAAGTCATCATCGCCCTTCACTCTGATCTGCAGCGTCTTGGAAATCCCGTCGTCCTCGCCTGGGTTGGTTGATGATCCATTTAGAGCCCGCTTAATTTCAAAAATGGTACCAGCAGCCTCGACTCGGGAAACGCCAAGTACATCCTTTAGAACGATCTGGTACGAAATTTTGCCGCCTTCGGTCTTGTGAAAATCCAGAGCCTCTTTTCGTAGGATGAGCCATTTTTGTTTCCAGGGACTGATGAAGTTTTTGCCCTCCTTGACGGAAGCCCAACCCTCTTTGATGATCGCAACTCCACCCATACCATCCATATTGGTGTTTGAGCGAGCCAGCGGTAGGGATACAGTTGATCCGGTGTATGTGGAGGTGGCAGTCCGGGTGATGGGAGAATTTATGCTCATTTGAGACATATTGCCAGGGAGATTTTGGGTAGAGGGAGTGAGATTAAGTCGAGGTCGGTCAGTAGGAGGTCGAGGAGCTGGGCCTGGGTTCATGAATTGACCCGGCGTGTAAATACTGTAAGAAGGAGCATAGTCAGCCATCATATTGGCAACAATAGTGATTCGACTCCTCGGGGAATAACGATAAAAGAGAGCAGGATGTTGAAGTAAGAGATCTTGAAGACGGTGAATGACTCCAGCCACCTTGACAGCCCGCAACTTAGTGATCCACCTTTTTCGAAGCTCCGTGTTTCCAAGGAATGTCACATTCCTGGATCTGTGCGACAAAAGACAACTATAACGCACCTGTTTTGTGACGCCATTTTCACGAAAGATGTACAATGATGGCCGAAAAGGCTGTCGGTTCTTGAAACTCTTGAGAAGCAGTCCAAGAGGCTGCGGGGTATCGTAGAAAGAAATCGTAGATCGTTCTATTTTCGAAAGAAAGGATTAGCAGATGGCCATGAATCACTGGCAGACGCATGAATAGTGGCAACACACATGTTGTGCTCGAATTCGTTATTGATCTATCGGACACAGTCGCTCCTCCGCGGTCAGATAGGAGACGCTCAGGAGTCCCAGGCACTCGAAATGGCCGAGTCTTCTGGCTGCACTCGAAGTCGGCTAGCGACAGGAAGGGCTGAACAGTCTCTTGTCGACAGCAGCCTTTGGAACTGCGTCGATTGAAGAAGGCGGTAATGTCGCCGTCTGTCGGTCGGTGTCTGTCTGTCGCGTCGTCGATGGTTGCTTGACCAGGTCCAGCTGTGAAGGAGGGTTGAAAGGTGAGGATGCGCTCGAAGGGGACGCTAACGCTAGCCGGCCTAGGCGCTCCCACTCCCAGTCGCTCCCAGTCGCTCCCAGTCGCTCCCAGTCGCTCCCAGTCGCTCCCAGTCCCTCACAGTCCCCTCCCAGCACCACCAAACACCTCGAATCCTTGCCCAATCCAGGAGCTGACTCGGGCCCAAGGCCAATCAAGCAGAACTACGGCAGACGCGATGGATCTAGTGGAGTAGAGGGGCACTTTGGGAATTTGGTATTCAAACTCAAAATCGAATGTTGTGTAGATTTACAAGAGACACAGATCTGAGAGCTATGAGATGAGATCTTGTTGTTTGTTGGCTCGTTTGTTTTGTTTTGTTGACTTGTTGACGACGAAAACCTCTCGGGGCTTCTTAAGACGACTCTATTGAAGGATACCTACAATATTGTAATGTGTCCCAAGCGAGGGGCGGAATAAAGTACAAATCAACTGTAGTTCCCGAGTAATGCTTCTGCCAGCCTTACCTGCCTACCTACCTAGGGACCAATCCACAGCAATTTTACATTATGTGATATTACGAAGTGCTTGCTCCTCTATAAAAACCACAGTGGCAACGTTACCAACCCCAACCAGCAACTAGACAAGGCAAGGACAGGTGAAATGAGGGAATTCTTTGGCCTCATTGACCAACAGCCGACAATAATCCAACACCACCACCACCACCCATCCAGGATTGCCCGATTGAATTTACACACTGTTCAGGGGTGGCTTATCTATTTCCCCAATAATGGAGACAAAAGCCGTCGAGCTTTCTTGCCTCTCTCCCTCGCCTCTTTTCAATGCCCTGTCCTTTGTCCTCTAACGATTCTCACCGTATTATCGTAATCTGTAATAATAATAATAAGGCAAGCTCGGAACCAGGCCGATCTCATTTATGTGACGCTCTCATGGTGGTGGTCTTGTCGCAGCCGGCGGGAGCTTGTTCATGCCCTGGCCTCAGACTCCGGTTTCAGCGGACTGCCTTGCCTTGCCTTGCCTTGCCTCGCCTTGCCTCGCCTTGCCTTCCCGCCCGCTGCTAGCCCTGGCCCTCTCCGTCTATCTATCGACAACCATCCATCCGCCCTAGCCTCCAACCTGACGGAGGTTCTCCTACCCCTAATTCCAGCTCGCTTCTCAGTCTCTTGTCTCTTGTCTCTTGTCTCCTTCACATCCCCTCATCAACCTCATCATTCTCAATCCATCCCCGGTGAACAACACTGCATTCCATTTCGGAGCATCATTGTCTTCTCACTCATTCCACGCACATAATATTTCCACCTCACAAAGGACCCCAATATTAAATCTGGAATGTCTGGGCGGGCCGCCACCAGGACCACCAGATAGATCTCCGGGCGGCAAGAGGCCTGCTAGCCGTATCATACTCCTGGACAGCAAGGGGAGGGCCAGCCACTTGAAACCATCGGCAGCGCAGAAGCCAGCCGCTTTGGAAAGGGATCCCGTTTCTGATGGGCGGAGACACGTCGCAGGTCCTGAACAGGCACGGACCAGAGATGTTTCCTTCTGTGATGCCTCGCATGTAACATTTATCTTGGATTCCTCTTATTCCTGTCCATGACCTGCGTGGCTTCTTTTTAATCCCATGCGGTTTTTCTCAAGGCCGGGGGGTGCTTTTGCCTTTTTTATCCATGCAAGTTTCCTTTTTTGTCCATATTCTGGAAGTTTTCCATATTCTGGAAGTTTTCCATGAGCTTTGTCTCCAAGATATGCCAAGGGTGATCCTTGCGAGAATGGCCACGTGACGGGGTTGCAATCTGTGTGGCTCTGTTGCGACATGGGCACGGTATGCAGTTGATTTCATATAAATTCACATCGCGCGAGTGGCTCGGTTAACATGATCTCCAAAATGGAGTGATGCTTCCTTCAAGCATAGACAAACAGTTGTCGAGATCCATCACTCATCAGGCCACTTGGAGAAGAATGCATTGATACTTTCAAAGTCTTTGATAAGCTTAAATCCACCATTTGTATTTGTTTGTATTCAACTTTGGCTACTATTTTGTCTTTGCAAGGCCGGTCAAGCGACTACCAGCACATCGAGTTCCATCTCTCCCTTGGGGAAGTTTCAATCACGCGGATCTCCATCCTCGCTTCCATAGACCCTTCAAGTGAAAACAGAGAATATACACTTCTCTCCACCATGGCACAACAACCTGTGACAACCCTCAAGAACAGTTGATGTTTCGAGACATTGCCAAACATTTGTTCTATATTCATCCTAAGGTGGTGGGTTATGCCGTCCAAGGTCACATTGTTGTAGGGTGCTGCACATATTTTATGCTATTTCTGAAGATCAAACTGATATCTCATCATCACTATTCGAACGACAAATGTTCCAACTATCCGCTGTGTACAGTCTGTGTTCTTGTAGTCAAGGACGAGGAAGTCATCTGACTATGCGGCTTCAGTGTTAGTGCCAGGAGATGCTAGAGCGCTGGCTTGCGCAAGCTTGCAACATTTATGAAGGAGCTCAAGAAAGGATAGAGAAAGATGGTTGTGTTCAGCTTGGTGGATCGAGCACCGCAAGACGTATTTATTCTTCTAGTCTATATATCTGGATTGACAAACGATCTCACGAAGCTCGACCATTCCGCCCAAGACCACTTAACATCTCCAAGAGGTAATGATATTGTCGTAATCACCACTATATCCATCGCTAGCAACGGCCAAGTCATACTCGTACGACATTGTCACACCGCGATCATCACCCCTGTTGTCGCAGCCACGATATCTTTTGACACAACAGACTCAGATCAGCAAGTGTTCTTCTCGACAACTAGCTTAACATCTCCAAGAGGTGATCTGATCCTCGTATTCAGGAATACGGGGGTCTTCTTCAGTAGCGACGGCAAGGTTGTAGTTATAGTTGACAGTGAGACCCCTATCGTCTCCCTTGTTGTCGCAGCCCAAGTACCTTCGACACAATCAGTACTTCACTTGAAAATACCCATCGAGTCTTATCATTTTTGCTTGGAGAGCTTCGCAAGCGATATACAATATGGAATTTTGTTCACTTACTTGTAGAACTGACAGTACCCACCGGTATTGGTGGAGATGGAGCTGACAGCATTATTATACGTATTCGAAACCGACGTATCATTCACCGGCTGGAAGTTGAAATAAGACACTACAATCATCACACACTCATCAGCATTCTTCACCAAAACGAAAGGGAGAAAAAGAAACATGACAAGAGGGCGCGGGGCGTCATCATACCGCACTTCCCAGGCGGCGCTCCAAACACCAAGCAAGGCTCTCTGAACCCAGCAAGAACACACTGCAGCACAAAAACCAGCCCATCCTGCAAAGTGATGGGACGATCTGGATCCGGCTCGTCATCTCGATGCGAGATAACGTCTTTGAAGACCAGCGTCGGCACATTTGGATCGATGAACTTCGCGACTGATGGCTTGTCGAGGATGGAGTCGTCGAGGGGTGGGACGAAATTGGGGTCCATGACGGTCACTTTGGACAGGACAGCAGGCGCTGTGGCGGATAGAATGGCAATGAGTGTAGAGAGCTTCATGGTGATGGCTGGAAATGTTGTTGTTGGTGTCTGTCTTGTGAGGTGTGAACTGAGGGCTTGGTGCTGGAGTGTACAGAGGGAGAGGAGGGAGCTCTTTATATGAGTACCAGCTTCGGCGACATACAGTCTCCCCCCTCAAGCCTCTTTGGTAGGAAACTGCAATCAACTGTTCTCATCACCGTCGAACCACATCGGACACTTCGGATGAACAGACTTCAATACTCGAGGCTCATTCCTGGTTCCTGCATGTGTCAATGGCGGGGTAAAACCCTATTTGGCATCTCTCCTCATGGTCAATTCTTCGATTTTTGTTGAGAAGCTGGGATTGGGGTTGTTAGTATCTCTGGGTAATTTTGCTCTATGGGGTGATGATTCGGTCCTTCTCATCATGCAGTAAGCATTCTAGATATTGGTGTATCGGTAGCCACGCAGCCACGTAGTCGGCAGTTCAATGTTTGAGAACTGCATGTATCGTACGTTGTACGGTTCTGCAGTTTGGGTTCAGTTTTTCATCCCATCTATGCATACGATTATATCAGCGAGGTTTGTTTTGCTTTATTTGTTTCCTGATGTCAAATATAGATTGCTTCCTTAAAACCAATCATACATTTTTTTTTTATCAAGCGTCTTCCACTCGTGTTAACAGATACGATAACTGACGACCAAGGAGCGGAACCCCTCCATCGATCAGAAGAGTTCCCGCACCGCTCAAAATCCCCCCTCTCATAGATTTCCCATCACGAAAATGTAAAAATAAGTCCATTCACGACATTTAACTTCGGTACCTGAGGGGGTTCGCGTCGGTACTTGACGGACTCAATCAACAAAAGCAGTAACAAAAGCGAGCGCGGCACCGGCACCGGCACTCATAAACGCAAACTATAAGCGAGATTTGAAAAAAGCCTTGTTTACATATCTCTCTTTATAAGCCTGACACCGCTCTTCCTTGCTTTAACTTTCAAATCTAGCTTTCGGACTTTTCGGATCCTGATAAATACTGCATATTATTGATTTCTTACTGTACCAAATAAGGTGCAGTTTCCGGAACTGCCGCGACTCTTTTTAGGTCGCGGTGGTAGGGCGACATTTTTGATTATTATTGAGCTGTAGCTGTCATACAGTAGGAATTTGTCGGGTTTTGGGGTTTGGGTTTTCACTTCCCCGGACACCACGCCCGTGCGAATCCTTCAACGATTAGATTGGTGCACGTGGATCTGCAATTACTGGGGGTGGAATTTCTCTCATGCAGAGGTGGGATATAGTGTGAAGTATGCTTTTGTGATAGAGAAGAGGATGTATGACGCTTTGATAAAGGAAAGGGGAAAAGCCTCAAGAAAGCCTCCCTATCAGCTGCAGAAAAAGGTGACTGATTTGATGAGGTGCCTAGTTGTTTGAATGCTGTGTTTTTCTCAACGAAACTCTTATAAAATATGACTCGAAAATCACTAGAATATCAAGGTACTATTTCAAAAGTGTTTCTAAGAACCGAGTTTTATTTTTATCACTATATGTTCCAAAGTAGCCTTTTTCTCCTTTGACTTTGATGTTCTGCTGTGCCTGAATCGGCCACATTTTTCTGCAGCCGATAGCCTCCCTCAAACTAAGCGACCTTCGGAAATACTCCTCCATGCTGGAGGAAAGCCAGCTTTTCCAATGAAAGCTGCAGGTCCTGTCCAATATTTTCCGGTCGACCTGGTCTAGAAGGGTGGTCCTCTACCCAATCATACGATGTAAATACATCGGCATTGAAGTAATGCCTTCCTTCTCCAAGTCTCATCCTGCTGCTAATGTCTTGACTAGCTGTCCATGTTTTTGAGCCAGCTCTGGTCAAGTCTCATATGTGTCGAACAGAAAGCGCTGTATCACTGCAAGAACTTCGAGTGATAATTATTTCCCACAATCTGGGGCAGAATACTGTGATTTCCTGCCATGGTATCTCTTATAAGAGTCAAAACTGGCTTTCGCTAAGAAGTTATGAGCCCTGGAGGTCATATCCATGCCCCTTTCCCTGCTCCTTAGAGCCACCCAGTCCCCCTCCTATAATTTTCTCAGTTGTTACTGTTCTGCCTCGACCTCTTCCCCATCCCCTTCCTCTTCCTTCCATCGACCGTATCTCCGATTCCGCACCAGGCATCCTCTTAAACCCAACCACCTTCCCATCTTCTCTTGTGATTGTGTACCCCTTATTCCTGACCCGATCTTCAAGTCCCAGCCCCGCGTCATCCTTTGCATTGATATCTGCTCCCCGATTAATCAACTCCATCACATACTGGTAACGCTATTCCCTGCCATAATCTGCGGGCCTCAGGACGGGCGTCCGCCCTTGTATATCTCTAGATTCCAAGTCGAGACCCCGGTCTAGCAGTAGTCGTAATGTATTGATAGATTCAAGGTTAATGCGCTGCGTGTCAACAGCGAGATGTAGCAATGAATCCCCGACCTGTCCTACTACTCGTGCTTCTTGTAAAACCATCGAAGCAGGGTCCTTAGAGACTGCGTACGAATCGTCTACTCTGCCCTCGTTGTATATCGCAGTAATATCCGCACCGTTATCTAAGAGATATGATATGAAGAGAATCGAGTCGTAGTGATTCCTCGCGATTGCTAGTTGGAGGACTGTCCGGCCATCTTTGGTAATTGCGTTGATGTCAGCGCCATTTGCAAGCAGGACAACTGCTATATCAACTTTCCAATGCAAAAAAGGATCGATGGCGCAATGGAGAGCTGTCCAGCCTTCCGGCGTCTTGCAGGAAATCAAATCTTGATTTTGGGCAAGGAGGAGCTCAAGTGCGTCGACATTTCCTTGGCTTGAAGCTTCATGTAATGCAGTCCTTCCATTCGAGTTTGTTGCACAGGTGGATAGGCCATGGTGGAGAAGCAGCTGCATGATGGTCGAGCATGCTGATGTATGGTTAGATGTCGCGGCGTGTAAAAGTGTGTTCCCAGATTTGTCGATATGTGTTACACGTGCGCCTTTTTCAAGTAACCGTTCGACAAAATAGATGTCATCAACTAAAACAGCTTCAAATAGAGGCGTCTGTCCATCTTCGTACTTTGTTCCTTTGTGATTAACAGAATTGACATCGACATTTCTATCTAAGAGTAGACCAAAGATCTCTCTTGATTACCCTCTCGCACAACTCGATGAAGCGGTTTGATATCCGTCCCAGGTTCAACATCGGCTCCCGCTTCCAGTAGCAGCTTCACAACTTCATCACTTTTCTTTCGGGCTTCTCCACTTGGGCCCTCACTTACGCAATTCCTCCTGAGCCAGTCGTCTTGAAGAGTCAATGTCTTCATCAAGGCACAATCCACAGACTTCTGATCAACATTTCCATCGGTGATCAGGAACTCAACAATGTCTTCTCTCCATCCTCCTGCGGCTATTCTCAAGGCACATGCAACAGCAGTACTTATCGCAACGCCGTCATCAAACTCATTGCGCTTGTTTACTGCCAGCCAAGCGAACAACTCCTCGACACATTCTAGTCGCCCACAATCGACCGCAGAATACAGCACAATGGAAGTCACAAGCCCTCCCTTTTCAATTAACAATCTCAGGATATCTAGATGCCCAAGAGCAGCCGCCTCACAAACAGAAGTTGCGTTATTGAGGAAATTTTGTTCGGACCAAGGGAGCCACAGCTCGGGATCTGCACCATAGTCCAGGAGAAGTCTAACTGACTCAATGTCGTTCTGTATTACAGCTATCTCAAGGGCTGTATTCGGAGCATCCTCAAGGCAGTAATTATAGTCACGTTGATTGAAGTTATCGTACTTATCACGTCGATTGACCATCTCTGTCGGATATCTTCAGCAGTCGTTCAAGCTCGGTGTGATCCCCACCCGATGCCGCTGCGTAAAGGGGTAAGGGCGGCTCTGGGTCATACGCCTCCTCATCCTCGTATCTCGGATAGTTGTTGTCTGTCCCGGCTTCGGAAATGGTCTTTGATGTGAGACTAGTGTCGAGTTCAATGGAGTCAATTTCACGAACTTTTCGACGTGGCAGCGAGAAATTTCTGAGGGCTGCGTTTGGGGTCTTTCGGATGCACCGTACTCGCCAACCTCCCCTCATAAAATTATCATCTGCTCCAGACAGTAATTCCTCTACCCAATTACACTGCTGATTAACCAATCAAGGCTAAACCTGATAACTATCTCTATTCTCTACATCCTCCTTATCCAACAGACCGTATCCGAACTAACCTACCCAGATTTGCAAGCAATTATCATGCTTAGTTCAGCTCGCTTAATCTTCAGAGGTACAGAAATAAACAAACTCGTCTTAGACTTGTATAATACCTTGCACAGAAGTGCTGATAGACTGACTGACGCGACATTGCTTTCTTCCCTTCTCTCAAAATTCGTTAATATCAACAGGTCTGACCACGTCTGGTAACCAACGACAAATTAATACCTCACTTAGCACTGATTCGATTCCCTAACGCAACGAAAGCCCCCTGTGCATATTCGACTTGCGGACCTCAGAATCGGAGGTCTATCCCCTCAACTACCGTATCAAAACACACATTATTGTTTTACAGGGAGTGCATACCAAGCTTGTACTGTAGCGAGACCCTATAATTAAGCGACGAACGCTGGAATCTGAATGCTAAACGTTGGAAACTAGGCAGGCAGCTTCCGCGCCTACGATTAGACAAGTGTGTTTTTCGGCAGTTGAGGGGATAGCATTCACGAGTCTGCCCATTTTACCTTTAAATCTAGCTCTAAATCTACCTTAACAATGACAGGTATCATCACCACTTTCAAATGTACCGAATCTATATAACTCACAATACGAAAAAGACATTGCACTTCATGTTTATCTCACCTCATCTCACAAATAGACTTAGAAATCAGATATCAGTTTTCGATTGGCGACTCACTCAATGTCCTGGACATTTACATTTCTCCACTTTGAATTGCTTCAATTTGCTGTACTTGATCAGATATCACTACTCGATCTAGGCAGCCAGAAAGGCGACATCTACATCTACATCTACATCTGCATTTACCTTTCCCACCATACCATACCATACCCATCCTCCCCCTCAATCCCCTTCTACACACCACACTCTGTACAATCTACTTACCTCCCATCACCACCTCCCAATCTCACCCTCCCAGCCAGCAGGCAATGACTGCCTAATGTTGCACATTACACATTACACCAATAACTCTCTATGTTCACACCTATCTATCTATCTACAAGCGCGTCTGCAAAAAAGGAAGTCTGATATCTCACTTTCTCCTTTCTCTGTCGAGATGTATGCATGCATACATATGGGTATATCAACCAGCCAACCAACCAACATAACCAGACACCCGCGCCGCCCGCGAACACCCAACAAATACCACCCACCATCCCATCCCTCCCATCTCTTCTCTCCTTGTCCGACATGCAAGGAAATTCATGACCAGACAAAGTTACAAACAAAAATCAAAACTTCATCTCGGGCCGAGCCTACGCATATAGTACCATGCATTGCAAGTAGGTAGGTAGGTCTTAGATATCCTTCTCCCTGTCTCTCTTCTTTTCTTTTCTTTTCTTTCCCCTTCTTGCTACGCTGCTCTTCCGTTTTCCCATAATGCATAGAACTAACCCGGTGCATAAACGTGATAACGCAACAGATAACCACATACACATACACACAAACATCAACATGTACATGTACCCCTCCACCTACACCTTCAACCCCTTCACACCCTTCAGTTTCTTTACCAAAGCCTCAAGTCGTTCGGTAAGGCCCGTTTGAGGAGAATAACCCTCCTCATCAGCAGCGATCATGTCCACAGTCTTATGATGACCAATGAACTCCTCAATAGAAGCGACGATAGGACGGAGGGTCTTCCTCGGCTGGTGGGCTTGGATGCGTTCTGCTAGTTGAGGCAAGAGGGAGAGGTAACCTAGAAGAACAGAGAGATACCCGAATGCGACGTTCTTTTGAGATTCTTGGACTGAATCCGCCTACCGGAGTACGTTAGTGCCGCCGAAGAAAAAGCAGGATGGGGGAGTTCTTACCTGAGATGTACGCTCCAGACTATCCGCGAACGCAGAGACCATTCCATCGAGTGGGTCACTGGTATCGCCCTGTAGTGTCTGGAGACTTTCTCGACATGCCGGACTCCATTCCGCAAAGTTGATCATGACTCCTAGGACGAGAATGAGGTGGTCAACCGCTACTGACAGATCCTCCTCGAGCATGAAGCGAGAAATCTGGTTGAACCGCGTGACCACTACTTGGCCCATTGCTGACACCAACGATGCTCGTGCAAAGACGTCCGAAGCTCTTGGATTGTTGTTCGTTACATTGAGTGTCAAGCGCAGAAGCAGGATTTGTAACACCCCAATCTCCTCAAGAGGCCGCGTTAATGCAATTTGAAGAGTATCCCCGATGATGGGAAGATACTCGTTGATCCATATTGTCTCATCTTGAACAGTCCTTGCCGTAATCGAATGAGATTCCAAGGCGGACAGGGCTAGGTAGAAATCAATAGCAGATTTCTCCTTCGGTAAAGCCCATGACCGAGCATCGGTGGCTGACTTGACAATTGCAAAGAGGCTTGTAGTGAGTTCTTTGCTGAAGATGTCCGCTGCGTTCCCCGCTTCTCTTGTTTGACGGACCATGAGTTCAAGACACTTCAAGGCGATCGTTCTCGGGGAAATAGATTGAGGCTTGAGGTCCTCCCAGACTGGCAATTGAAGGAGGTAGTCTTGGTACTCTGAAATGAGGGACTGAGCAACTTTGGACATGTTGCTCTTCCGATCTTTGGCCACAAGATTGATGCCGGAATGACTTTCGAGAAGGCGAATCAGAAGTCTGGTGATACCTTGCCGTCGTAACTGTGAAACAATATGTGGCATGTTTCCTTCCATCAGGAGCGACACAAGAATAGTGACCATTAAGAAGCCAGACACTATCTCTGTTTCCAGACCAAGGTGTAGGAATAGCTTCTGCTCCATACCATTTGCGCGGAATTGGCGAGCAAAATTCTTGTCTTGCATCTTGTGTGCAAGATCAAGGAGGCCAGAACGTCTCATCGAGGGTGTAGTCTTGCCGGGACTACCAATGCGATCTAGGAAGTCTTGCACTTCGTCGAGGAAGCGGTTATTGGCACCCGCTTGCCTCAGCTCGTGGACACTCCTAATGGCAGCTACCGAATCGTCTTCATCATCTACCTCCTCATGAAAGTTCGGAAGAGGCTTCAAGGTAGGAATTGATGCTCGTCGCCCTCTTCTTCCTTGTGCATTCTGTGGTGGTACAGTTGGCAATTCCATCGCCAACTGAGACATTAGGTCATCCTCGTTCAACATAGACCTCTGCTTGGCATATGTGAATTTGGGACCTGTCACTTGAGAACTCTGACTCTCCGGGACCAGAGCAGGTTGCAAAGTCTGACTGGCAGGAGCATCCTCCATGACGATATCCAGATCGGCAGAGTGGCTTGATTCCGAGTTGTCTACTTCTTCTTCATCGTCCGACTCTTCGTCAGAAGAATCAGCTGCCTGCTCAACCAGTGAATCGATGAGTCTCCGCCTTGGAAGGGTCCTAGTCGTCTTCTGGGCAGGTTTCGATATCCCGGCCGGTCGTGCCAAAGGACTTCGTACTTTCGGTGCAGCTGTTAGGACTTTCCTTTGAACTGCGTTCGCCTCCACCACTTCACTCTCACTTCCGGCACTGCTGCTACCTATACTCTTCTCTTCTGGCTCCAGTAGCGCCTGCCACATTTCTTTCCCCTTCGGCGAGATATGTTGTCCGGTTGGGTCAACATCCATCATATCCACATCACTGAGATTGATTGAAGGTGTACTTATTTCCGGTTCTGGCGAAACACTCAGTTTGTCCGGGGTTCGTGGTGGCCCAGGTTGCTTCTTGGGAGATTCCTGTATCTTTGGCCTGGCTACCATCCTCGGAAATTGACCAGCCTTTGGTGAAGTGTTCCGAGCTTTTGGAGGCTTTGCGCTCAACTTTGGCACAAGTCGGGCATTATTCCCCAGCAGTCGCTTCAGAGCGGGCTCATCTGGGGACAGCTTCAACTTCTTCCTGCTTGCCATATCCTCCGCATCGCTTGTAGGTGGCTTGTGAGTGACCTGTGAGACACCATTTACAACGGCTTTCTTCACCAACTTTTGTACCGGCCTGGGAGTAGGAAGCACTTCATCATCGCTGCTTGGGACATCAAACATATCTTTTTTCGGCATTGCGGCAGGTGAAGAAGTGATCGATAATGGCCTCTGCAGCGCCTTTACCTGTTTTGCTGGTGATGTCCTGGCTACCTTCCTAACCGGCGCATCATCTTCACTTGGAATATCATATATATCTTTCACTGGAGATGGCGGAGCAGGTGTCCTGGATATGGATCTTCGCAGAGCAGGCTTGACTTTGGCAGATTCGGGTGCTGGCTTTCGGATCGGCTTTTGAGTTACATTCTTGGGGGCAGGCGCATCGTTGTCAGAATCAGGCACGTCGAAGATGCTCGCAGGAGGTCTGGATATAGGTTCTCTTGAGACAAGTGTTGGCCGAGCCTTTTTTGGTCTGGGAGTCGTTGCCTTTTTCTGTATGGATTTCGGTATTGGAACCTCGTCATCGCTCACAGGGACGTCGAAGATATTCCCAGACTTCGCAGAAGGTGTTGTTGACACCGATCTCTCGCGGACGGATTTGAGCTTTAACGGTGTAGTAGGACGACTTGAAGGAGCCGCTGGGGCTATACTGGTAAGGACTGGCGCACTGATCTTGATCTGGGGATCAGGCGTCTGTGACTTCCGCGCCATCGAAGCAAAGCCATGGTATTCCGGTATTCTCCTCCTTGCAGCCTTTCCATATGTCGTGATCTTCTTCCTGGGAATACCTCCTTCTTGGAAGGTCGCCATGGTTGTTGTGGGACGTACGAGTTCGCAGATTGAAAGCCGGCGGTTGCTATGAAATCATAAGTGAGTGTGAGCTAATTCGCGGTCGCGAAGTGAATTATGCTTGATGCGGGGAGATCGAGTGGATAGATGCGCATCTTCAAGGGGCGGTCATGGTGTATTTATCGGGGAGGTGAAAGAGGCGCCGGATCCGTTGGGAACTGAGGTTATGGTGTTCCGTTAATAGGCGGTTAAGGGTTCAGATGTAAATAAAGGAAGCCATAAAGTTACGAGGTCGCGACTGACGCACGGCAAGCGGGCGGGCGAGGACAGGCCACCGCGCTAGTTGTGCCAAGCCAAGCAGCAATGAGTGAGGATGCTCAAACAAAGTAACATTTTCACCCTGAGATCATGGTTTACTTTATCTATGAGACCTGTCATTAGAAAGAAATCACCAGTGTTTTTACGAATGTTTGCTCCCAGTATTAAAGTTAGTGACTGTTTGTGAAGTCTTGTGCAGTATTGTGCAGGCGCTTCACCCTTTTCTTGGTCTTGTTCAGTTACTCTAGCCCGCGCCGCTTCCGGCAAGCACCCTCACCCTTGTCTGCCCTTGCCCATTACGGGAAGCCAAATGAATCACTTGTGCGGAACGTCCAACCCCCGATTTTGACCTAATTATTCTACCACTTTCTAGTGGTATAATAACACTGTTGAATGATAGAAATAATATCTAAAATAGGATCGATTTTTTGATATATTTAATATTAATATCAAAGGCGGTTTCGTAGTAAAACAAGGGGGTTGAAAATACGACGTTTATAAAAGGAAGCAGGGTCACTTCAAGTACCTAAGCTAGCTTATCTTTACTACTTACTAACTCAACTTATCCTTTTTGTTTCAACTCTGTTAGGTATGATATTATTATAGAAAAATCTAATTAATTAGTGATATATTCTTTCATACATGTAATAAATAATCAAAGTAAAAGCTGAGGCAGAATTAATTATTAGACATTTGCAAGTATGAAATTGAACGTTCCGCACAAGTGATTCATTTGGCTTCCCGTAGCCCATGCCCATGCCCATGGCTGCGCTACCAAAACCAAGTGGCGGCTGTTCTTAGTCACAACTCTCACTACTGACCTGCCCTTCTTATCGGCCTCTTAATTTGAGCAACCTGATCCGACCCCTCCTTCTCTTGTACTGTACCCCGCTCACGCGACAGCTATCCAGTCTAGTCCAGTCCAAGAGAGCAATTGGATCTTTTGCAGACCTGGACCTGGACCTGACTGGCCTGAATCAGGGCAAGGCGGAGGTGACCGCTGCCGCTAGTTGAAGGTCAACCTTCTTCTGACTTTGTTTTTATATATCTCAACTACATGTTCATTTTGTGTTTGCTGGGTGAATTTCATTCCTCAAGAAAACTTCAAGCTAGCAGGTACATACTTCAACTTCAACTTCAACACCTACCTCTAAGACATCTCAGCTGCACCTCAACCTGAACTCAGTTACAACACAGCCCACCCTTGACAAGAGCATGTGCAAAGCTTGATTGCAGTTCCACACTATACTACACATCAAGCGGCATTCTCTCACTGGGGACGTCAAGCAAACACTTTACTTCATTACCAATTGAGTACTTAGTCACTCAAATCAGATAGCCATCTGCACACTCAATCCCACCATGTCGTCCGCACCCAAAGACACGCCGCAGCAGAGCGTAGGTCCAGAATACCGACCAGAGAAACAAAAGCCCGTCGCCACAGTCTCAAAAGCTGTCCCATTTGAGAATGTGCACACCCTATCACAAACACCGCAGCTCATTGCTCTCTTGACGTGAGTACCCAACGGCAAGCAGCATTATGCCCACCACCCTGGTTGAGTTCATCTCAGAGATCCGATTTTGACATCTTAGTATCACGAGATTCTGAAAAACAATAACTAACCCGCCCCCTCCCTCCAGAATGATCCGCTCCAAAACCACCGACCGCGCCGACTTCATCTTCTACTCCAACCGGATCATCCGCCTCCTGGTGGAAGAAGGCCTCAACCACCTCCCGGTAGTAGAGCACACCATCACCACGCCCGTCGGCCGCACCTACGCGGGTGTTCAATTCCAAGGCAAGATCTGTGGCGTGTCGATCATGCGTGCGGGCGAGGCGATGGAGGAGGGGCTGAGGAATTGCTGCCGCTCTGTACGGATTGGGAAGATCCTGATTCAGAGGGACGAGGAGACGTGTAAGCCGAAGCTGTTTTATGATAAGTTGCCGGAGGATATTAGCGATAGGTGGGTGTTGTTGTTGGATCCTATGTTTGCTACTGGTGAGTTTCCCCTCTCTTGCCTAAATTGCCTCGTCAAAACCCAACTACGACAAAGATATAAAGTCTAGATCTAACATCCACCCTTACAGGTGGTTCTGCAACTATGGCCGTGGACGTACTCATCTCCCGCGGCGTCCCAGAAGAGCGAATCCTCTTTTTGAACTTAATCGCCAGCCCGGAAGGAATCGAGATCTTCGCTAAGAAGTTCCCTAAACTGAGAGTGATTACGGCGTTCATTGATCAGGGATTGGATGAGAAGAAGTATGTATTTCCCTTCAGGTAATAAGTGGAAAGTAGTGCTGATAACTATCTAGCTATATCGTGCCTGGACTTGGTGATTTTGGTGATAGATTCTACACTATGTAGAGATCTGGGTCGGGATGGAGAGGGACTATGAAGTATGAAATATGAAATATAGGCATAGCCTCTCTTGTAAGGCGCTTGATAGTAGTATAGCTACGTACGGCAAGAAAACGACGAAATCATTAAGAAGCACATTCCTGAACTTGATGACATCTTGAATTCCGAGAAGTTCTTTCGCCATTGTATTTCCCATTTTACTCAAACCTAACGCCCCTCCCTCCCTATGAGTGAGTCCCATACTCGCCAGCCCGGTCCTAAATAAAATCGGAAATCATCGAATACACTTTCCACCCCCCTCCCTCTCCCTCCCTCCTTCCAAATCTAACCACCCATCCCTCCAGCTCTAATCACTCTCCTCTCTCCCTCCCCTCCCCCTCCCACACTCTATCTAATACTCATCATCTGCCACCACCCCCTCCCCACCATACCCCCCCATCCCATCCTCATCCTCATCCGCATCCGCATCATCAATAATATCATCATCATCATCATCATCCTCATCCCTCGCCGCCCTCCCCCTCTGTCTGCCTGCCGCCCCACCACCACCGCCACCTCCAGAGACAGGAACACGCGCCTGCGCTCTACTGTCTTCGTCGAGCTCCTCGCCGTCTCCCTTCGCTACCGCGTCGCAGGCGTCCACCCAGTCGGCGTAGACGTCGACTGCTGCTGAGAGGTCTGTATTTTCACACATCATTAGAATTGTTTCCAGTCAAGTACGTAATTGTGGTTCCAATTTTGGAGTTGGGGGTTGAGGCATATAGGGATATGAAGGAAGGGAGAGGAGGAGGAGCAAAAGAATGGAGAGGAAGGGAAGAACGTACAGTTTATCGCACACTGAAAGTGCTGACTGCAGACCTTACACGACAGCGCGCCAACACCTGCTTTCTTATCCAGCTTGACGATGACGCTTCCTTCGTGGTTGCAGAAGAGGCAGTCGAATGTGGAGGGGAGAGGCGCATTCTATGGAGGGAAGGGTATCGTCAGTCTTTCTCTTCTCTTCTCTTGTCTTCAGGCATAATATCCTGCCCTCCCTCCAAGCTAGGAAGCGCTCATCGCGTATTGTATGATTGAGTCCCTCTCCTTACTCTCTGCCTCCATCTTGGGCTGCAGATTTCCTCCTGCCTAGCCTGCTGTCTGGGGTACAACGCTGGAGGACTGTGTCGCGACTCAACTCACCTTCTTCGGGCCCTGAGGCTTCTTGGCAGCCTTCTTGCGTTTTCCCTATCATCGAAACCAATCAGCACGCGATCCTCTCCCTCTTGGGTAATTAGCCCTGCATACCATTGTGACGTCTGTCTCTTTTCCCGTGTTGCGACCTGCTTCGTTGGGAATTGTGCAGTGCAGTTTGCTCTAGTTGAAAGGAAGCTCGAAAAGGCCCGGCGAGAGAGCGCGCGCGTCAAAATGTTCGATGGATTGTCGCCGCCTCCCGATAGCGACAGGGGGTGTTGTATGCGGCTAGTATCTGGTTTGCGGGGCAGATAAGGCGGCGATAAGAGCTGGTGAGGGGTGAGAGGGTGAGCTTGACGGAGCTGAGAGAGGCAGAGAGGGAGTGCTGGGAGCTTCCAAGAAGAGGTAAGTGAGTTTGGAGAGAAGTGTCACATTGTCTAACGGTACTTTGGGACATTCCCATTCTGAAACTCCTATATCGGATCAAGCAATCAAGTCAAGTCAAGTCAAGTCAAGTCAAGTCAAGTCAAGTCAAGTCAAGCCAGGTACAATCTGTTTGTACATTCTATTCGTCAACCCATTCATTGCTGAGACAACTACCCTCATCTCATCTCATCTCACCGTCTTTCTCCTACCTACGAGTCCTTAGGTTCCTTCTGATCCCCAAACCGGCACCGGCTGTTGTGGCATACATTCCGGCACCCCTCGTGCAGCTCAAACAACCCAGCAAACCAACCAAAGCAGACCAAATCAGAGCGGTATCCAGGTCCACGAGGTCCCTGCGTCCCATCACATCCATTCATATCGGCATCTCCTCCGGTCCCCTGGCACCAGTGTCACTGCTACCAACCACTTACTCCATACGACCTAAGTGACCAGCTACCTTACCTCCGCCAAGCCCAAACTCGTCCTGCTCTATCTCGCTTCCCGACTATTTGAAGTCAACGTCTCCCAGCTCATCCCACTCCTCTTTCCTCTCCTTCTTCTTTCTTCTTCTTTCTCCTCCAGCCAAAAGCACTTAGAAGACACAGAATCTACCCCGAGCGGACATCTCAGGGATAAGCAGACTATCAATACAATTAATTCCATACAAACTCACTCAGACAAAGAGACACAGATTCAGACCGCCAAACAAGAAACACTCCGTCATCATGGCATCCCCACCATCCGACCAAACCGAGCTCCTAAAAGAGGTGCTGGAAGCCGTGAAAGCCCTAACACTCAACCACACCCTTCTCTCCTCCCACGTTGACGCCATCTCCGGACGCGTCAACGTGCTGGCTGGCATGAAGGAGGTGCGCGACGTTGCAGAGACACAGAAAGAGACCAGCCCCTCATCTTCTTCCTCTTCTACAACTGCAGCAGCAGCTTCTACTCCTCCTGTAAAAAAAAGTGAATTGCTTTCAGCCGTTGACAATGATTCCGATGATGTTGTACCGCAATCCCCATCTCTGCCCGCTACTCAGCTTGAGGGGGCGGGCCCGTCGTCACCGTCGTCTGCTCTGTCGCATGCGAGGAAGCCGAGTGTTACTTCGAGAATTATCCTCACGTGAGTTGTTTGTTTGGTTGTACTATGAGGCTCGTCATGTGTAGAGTATGCCGTTGGCGTACTGTGCGTGTGGTGGCTCCTCCGTACCCATTATGTGCTTAGAGGCGTTTACTGACATGTGTGGTGGTTTGTAGGACTTATCCCGGTCAATCCGGTATCAATCCACTTCCTATGGACTGGGGTCACAAGGATCCTCAAGAGAGAGGTCCTGTTGTGGTTTCGAGAAGTCAAACTACGATTCGGAGACGTAATGGTAAGTATCCTAATTCCCCTTGTGAAAATACCGCTAACTTGGAATGCAGCTATTGGAGGTAAGTCGGGTTGATGCAAGCACAACTGTCAATACTAACATGTAGAAGCTCATGGTGGATCCTATTCTATCTACTACGCTCTTGCAGTTGCTAGTAATGAGATCAAGGTTGACCATAGGTATGTGCATTGTTGTGAAGAAAGGAGATTCTTACTCACTCCCGTAGACCCGATTTCACCAACACCGAACCAGCTGCGAATATCGGTCCTTTTCCACAATGGGCTGATAAGAAGAAGATCGTCTCGATGGATCCCTTAGGTCATTTGGCCCCATGGTTATTCAAGGACATTATGCAAAAGGAGAATGGTATGCTATGTGCTCGGATTGGAATTGACAAGGCTAACAAGAAATAGTTGATATTAGACCGACGATCGGTAAGAGCCGCTGTTCTGGGCTGCTGAAGAATGAATAGCTGACGTGAAAAAGCTATCACTAGAGCTCACATGAAGGTCGGAAACGCCTTCACTGCTCATCTTTCATTGCTGACCCCTTTCAGTTACCCGAATTGGAGCAAAGTGTGAAGGAGGGTCGTCTGTATGTACACACATCAACTTGCTATGACCATACCTAAGCAAATACAGGGTTCCAGATGGCAAAGTCTGCCTTAACGAGTCCGGTGAGCTAGCAGTAACCAAGTTCGCCGTCGAGCCAGTAGGTAGTATCAAAATGATTCCCTACCCTCCCTGACAAAAAACAGGTTTGGTATCTTCCCGGTGTAGCAGAGAGATTTGGAATCGGTAAGTTTTTGCCCTCTTTTACTCCCCCTCTTGTGCTCCATATCTTTGTCACACGTACTAACGATCAACAGACGAAGGATCACTCAGGCGATCCCTATTCGAACATACCGGTGGATCATATCCCGAGCTGATCACCAGAGGCGACATCAAGCTTTTCCTACCTCCAATCGGTACGACCTCCCCTCTTTCACTACAATATCACAAATCACATCTGTCCAACAATCCATGTCCAAAGCTAATAGCTTGCAGGTGGTCTTACAGTGTACTGCTTTGGAGATCCAGCAAAGATGTCAGACGAGAAAGTTCGCCTTGCTTTACGGGTTCACGATGAGGTCAGTCTTTTGTCCTCCTTTTCCTATCCTGGGTTTTCATCCCGAGATCTCGGGACACGACTTGCATTGGATATCATATGCAGGTATGGTAACCACGCCCTCGCACACCATCTGACAAGAGAACAACAGTGTAACGGTAGTGACGTGTTCGGATCTGACATCTGCACGTGCCGTCCCTATCTCATCTACGGTATTGAGGAAGCTGTCAAGGAAGCTCAGAAGGTGAGATGCATCCCCTAAATCTCCCGATCCAATCGTTCGTGTATGCAAGTAGAAGCTGACCAGAAGTAGGGTGGGAGTGGAGTAGTCATTTACTTCCGCAAGGAAGGTCGTGCTTTGGGCGAAGTTACAAAGGTCAGTCAGATTTGTGACCTTCATGCGTATGCATTCTATCAGATGTTCGGATAGATGATGGGGATGAGTTGAAGTAACCACTCATATTGCGCAACTCATCTCTCTCCCGAACACTGCTCTATGCAGCCAGTATCCCGCCCAACATCAACCCCAACCCTACCTCATTCAACTCCTCCCCATCGCTCTATATTCCACAACATACCCCACACCCGAGACCATACGTCCGCAATTTCGCAACTGCTGTCGTTCAACCTGTGGTGCTGCGCTCTCTCTCATCATCCCTTCCCAATCCATCATTTCGACCTATATGCTACACAAAACCCTCTACCTAGTCTACACTCCTACCACCATTCAACAGTTTTCAAACTAATCATCCTTTCCTCTACAGTACCTCGTCTACAATGCACGAAAACGCGGCGCCGATCGCGCATCTGAGTACTTTAAGCGAACCGAAAATATCGCCGGTGTGAAGGATATGCGTTTCCAAGCCTTGATGCCGGATATCCTGCATTGGTTGGGCATTAAGAAGATTGATCGCATGTTGAGTATGAGCAAGTGAGTATTACCCCTCCTCCCTAGTGATTCGCTTGATCTCCGGACGTTGTGTGGGAGGGAAAAGCTCTGTATTTTCGGCGAGTTTTCAACATGAGAACTTGGAGCAGGTGGGAAGAGGAGAGAAATATTTGAGAAATGATTGGTGTTTTGATGATGAAGTAGCTAATATTTCGACAGCATGAAACACGACGCTATTGTTGGTCAAGGGTATGTCTTCCCTCCCTGGTCCGCATGTTATGTTTGCTTTTGAATTCTGCCTTGCCTTCTTTGTAAAGGCAAAACCCCCACACCTCACAACTCACTAACAGTCCTTCTTCAGAATCCCTATCCACGAACGTGTCGAACTCCCCGAGTCCTGGATCCCAGCCGATTCCAGGGTTGAAATTGACGCTAAAATCACTGCCGGTAAGTCCTATTTCCTTATTTCTTTTTGCGGGAATGCCTGATTGAGGTAAACCCCTGTTGTATATTGCTTTTGATGGAGGATTCGACAAGGTTGTGCAGGGAATGGTGTGGAGTGAAGAGGAGCTGGATATGGATATGATTTCACCCCACTTCGTCCCTCCCTCCCGCTCAACCATCACCCCCACCCATCGAAAACCATGTCTTCAAACGCATGGCCAGCAAGGGGTGCTATGATAGGGCTGACTCCCATTCTACCATATCCATACGTGGAGCTGGTATCAACCTACCCAGCACACCTGCCAGCAGGACTTCCAAATCAGATGCGTGGCTCACTTCGCTGGAAACTTCATGATAGAATGCAAGCTGACACCCACGCTCTTCAAATAGGCTATTTCACCACCGGCCACCGCATGACCGAAGAAGAACTCGCCGCTGTCAAGGGACGCAGTTGGGAAGAGTACGTATCTCCTTTCCTTATTTGCACCTACCAATGCTATCTCTCCGAGATGAACTCCATCACTTCACCATCCATCCCATGTTCTACATTCATACGTACATACCTTGCACCCAATCCGACATCACACGCTCACTCTCACTCTCAATCTCGAATCTCACCCTCCTTCTCTTCATCTATCCTCTCCAATCCGAAAAATACCGCATTCTGAAAAATACCGCACTGCAATACTCTTTCCTTCCCTTCGGCATATCTCACCTCGCCCGACCCACCCCCCTTAACCAAAAAAAAAACATACAGTTACAGTATTTGTACTAACAACCAATTTACCTCCAGTATCGACCACTAAGCAAGCCACCACCCTGAATTTCTCACAAAGGTATCATATGCCTGCCCGGCAAACTGATCGGTCGTGGTTGATTCACTTGTGGAACTTGGTAGTTGGATCCCGTACTTGGGACTTGGTCATAGGCATTGGTCTTAGGCTCAGGCTGCGAAAATCGTTCCTGCATCCGCGCCCAACCTGGTTGATACCCGCACATCACACCACATCACATTACAACAAACTTTGATAGGGCGCAGATATTTGATTTGATTTGATGGATAGTTTAGATCAGTATATTGGATTAGAGTTTTCATAATTAACAAATGAAGAGAAGAAAAAAAAAAAAATTCAAGAAACTTACTTCTGTGTCCACATTCTAGTCCTGACCGACAGTAAATCCACTATATTCTAGAATCTCCAATAAACAGTACTAAGGTACTTACTTGTATTTCTATTGAATCATGATTCATGAATCGTGATCCCAAGTCCTCACTTATTACAGTATACCTTACCTTACCTTACCGAATCGTACCTTACCGAATCGTACCTTACCGAATCGTACCCAGACCAGACCAGAGCAGAGCAGACCGCTTCTTCCTTCTTCCCCTTCTCAGCCAATCAGAACCGCGGATTCGGGTCTTTCTTTCAAAAAAAAAAAATACTCTTTTCGCTGGGTTAGTTAGTTAGTCACTGGAGGAAGGGGATGTGTTGTCGTGTGTTGTCGTGTCGTGTCGTGTCGTGTCATGGCATGGCACAGTTGAGATGTACTAAAGTCCCGGTCCCGATATTGTATAATACCGCGGTAAGCACTTCTCATCTCTCATCTCTCATCTCTCATCGCTCGTGGGAAGGCTGGATAAGGTAGGTGTAAGGAAGGCTGGAGCGGTCCAGTCCAGTCCGGTCCGGTACGGAGCGGATCGGATCGGTACGTGGGGGGGGGGGGGGGGGGGGGGGGGACAGGTAGGGTTGGGGTTCGTTTACGAAAATTTCTCCAGATTTTTTTTTTATTTTTTTTTTATTTTTTTTTTTTATTTTTTTTATTTTTTTTTTTTTTTTTATGAGGGTAGGTGGGCGGGTTGTGTTGGGTTAGGTTAGGTTGGGTTGGGTTGGGAATGGGAAATGGGTATGGGTATGGGGATGGGAAATGGGTATGGGGATGGGAAATGGGTATGGGGATGGAGATGAGTATGGAGATGGGTACAGGAATAGGAGATGGAGATGGGTACAGGAAAGAAAGATATGGATGGTTGGATAGATGGTTGAATGGAGGGAGGCATGGGTGGAGGGATAGACGCAGGGATTCGGAACATATCTTCGGGTTATTTTGGGGAGGTGAAGGATGTAGGGAGAGGAGGTAGTGAGGGAGGTAGGTGAGGTAGGTAAGGTGATCATGTGGCTTCCAAAAGGTCAGGTTATCGGTATGTATATACGATACGAATGGGTATGATTCAGAAAATGTATAAATAATACATGAATTATAAATACGTAAATACTTGACCTGACTTGATGGACATATCAAATCCACGAAGGTACAAGGCGGGACCCAGCACGCCATGTTTACGCACGTATGCGTATGCGTATTATATCTGTAATTGTGCGTGCCACAAGACAGCGATGGGATGGTGTCAAGCTGTCAAAAATGCAGTGCAACCAACCTACCTCAAATATGTACGTGTATGTCGTCTCACCCCAAAAATCAAGGCTACGAAGCCAGCCAGGAAATACCTAGGTAAAATCCCATCACACAACCGCATGCTTATCTTCCCTTCCCTCCCTTGAGGTACAGTAGCGCCCCAAATACCCGGTGGGTGTTGGGTGGGCATGCGAATGTCGAATCGCGCTTGAGGGAGGTGTAAGGCGAACGGGGAAACGCGATAAGGCAAATAGATGAGGGATGGTGGATGCAGGCACGACATGATATGATATGATATGACGGGATTTGTGTTCCTATGGCTTCGGCTTCACGATGCAGCTCCCAGAGAGAATGAATCGGCAGGTGGTGGGAGGGCTGCAGCTATGCATAACCTCCATGATCGGAGAGGGAAATAGAGATGGAACAGAGAAAGGAGGAGAGCAGAGCAGAAAAGCAGCTTCTCATTCCATCAAACACACTGAGCTCAGACGCAGTTGTATCTCACTGTACCTCCACTAGACCTGATCTCTCTCCAAGCCCTCTCTTTCACCTCACCTATCCATCCTCTCATCCACCACCTGGACAATGGATAGAATCTAAGGCTGCGGGTATGCTAGGTGGGTATTAGCAGTAAACAGCCAAACCAAGTCAGTCAGTCAGTCAGTCAGTCAGTCAGTCAGGTTCAGGCAAAAGAGGGGTGCAGTGCAGACTGCAGACGACTGAAGCACTCGCCGACCGATGTTGTATTGTGTGGTATTATCTGGTATTGAGTTGAGTTGTGTTGTGTAATAAATAAGCCTACCCACACACGACACGGCACCGCACCGCACCTGCATGACAGGACAGGAGAGGACAGTACTGTAACAGTGACGACTGAGCAGCTTCCACATATGTATCCAGGATAGCTACCTACTTTAGCTAGGCTAGCTTTGGAGTGAGTGAGTGTACCGTATGCCGCGTCTGCATCTGGTATGCATCGCTCATCGCGTGAGAAGAACGCGAGCTAGCGAGCGCGCGAGCGAGTGGGGAGTGAGGAAGTAAGTGAATGAGCGGGAAAAGACACGGTATTGGGAGGGTGAGTGAGTGAGCCAGCCAGACGAAAGAGAGCGCGATAGGATGAGGGTAAGGGTAAGCAAGAGTGTTGGATTGGGTTGGAGGGGAGGAACCCGGGCTCGGAGTGGGAGTGCCCCCCCTTCCCCCCGGTGGAGGAGAGGAGAGGCGAATGAAGTGGGGAGGAGAGGAAGAGGCTTATGCGATGACATGTGGCGGATTGAACGCCCAGAGCAGGGAAAGAAAATTGTTCTGCAGACCACTGACTGACTGACTGACTGACTGACTAGTTAACAAGCAAGTAATTAATCAGGGAATCAGGCAAGCAAGCAAGCAAGCAAGCAAGCAAGCAAGCAAATGAAAAGTAGGCGGATGACAGCGGCAAATGGAAAATATCAGTTGGTAGGTAGATAGGTAGGTAGATAGGTAGACAATGACAATGGAAGCCAGGCAAGAATGGGGTATCCAAACCAAAGCCCATATGCAGTTACCTCCCAGCTACTCTCCAACCTGCATATTCTAGGCCATCGGTCGCTCCAGCAATGTCTACGGAGGTAGGTAGAAAGAGCAGAAAATAGAAGCATGACGATGGGGAAGGATATCCGGTACCTATGAAGAAGGAAAACGATGATCGATACCTGCATGCATGCAGGCATGCATCGAGGTGTGTTGATACTGTACAGTAATTGTTCTTGGCGCGGGCAAACCCTCAAAACTCAGAAGGGCTGGACCGTTGCAGTGGGTCTGGGTCTGAACATCCCTACAGCACACGAGCGAGCCTGGCAGGGCAGGGCAGGGCTCCGGGATGGATGCCGGGGGTTAGTCTGGCGGGTGTCTGTGTCTGGGCTGGTGTGGTGTGGTGTGGTGTGGGCTGGGCTGGAGTAGTTTAGGTACGGACGGGGAAGGGAGGGAGGAGGGAGGGAGGGTAAGAGGGCAGGGTGGCAGGGGGGATTAAGGTCTCGGTTTTGGTGATGGATGGATGGATTGGTGGTGAGTCGTGAGTGGTGGTGGTGGTGGTGATGAGGTGGTGGTAAGTTACAGTAGGGGATTAGTGGAGTGGAGCTTATGTGCGTGCGTGTGTGTGCTTGACATTCGGTGGTGCTGTTGTGTGCTGTGCTGTGCTGTGCTGTGCTGTGCTGTAAATATTGCATTTACCTTAGTCAACCTTCTTCGGAAAACTAGGAGCGAGCCAGGGAGGGGAGGGGAGGGGAGGGTAGGGGAGGGGAGGGTAGGGGAGGGGAGAGGGTCCACTGTGCTGTCTGGGCCATCTGTGTTGTCTGGTTGTCTGGCCTGCTCTGCTTATATCTGCAGTCGCCTTACCAACCTTTCCTACCTTACATTACTCCCCCCCTCTCCCTCTTCCCTTCTATTTTGAAAAAGACTTTCGTTTGAGCTTGAGCTTGAATCATTTAATGCTTCTACAATCTTCTAGGGATATCCATCCTTCGCTGGAACGTTTCGGATTTAAGCCTGGCTGAGAAAAAAAGTAAACTTCTTACTTCTGCGGAACTCTCTCATACCTACCACACACACACATCAGACAAAGGTCCCATCCATCCAATACGAGCGCGGCGAAATCTGAGTTTTGCTTGCACACACACTGTCTCACAAACCACCACCTCCTTCGAATTGCATACTTCTCAACCACCATATAAACAAGTCGTCCCGATTCGATCTTGGTTCTTTTTGGTATTGTTGTTGGAAAGATACTGGAACACTTATACACACCCTGGTCCTGACTCGCTGAATTGATCGCCCAACCGATCGACACCCTCCGATCCCCAACGTTGAATTGAAATATATTCGCCGAACTTACCTACATACGCCATACGAGTATACAACTGCGGGAAAAGCAATTACATATTTCTCGTCGCCGTTCTTCATTTACGAAGAAAAAGTTGTTATTTGGATTGATTCCGACTCAATTCGCCACACGGTCACCATGCCTTCCAAATCCCAGTCACGCAACCCATCACCCAAATCCCCTTCAGGAAGAAGGCCCAAACTCATGCGCGCCAGTGCGACCGCACCCTCACTGGCAACTTCGAACGCCTCACGCAATGATCTCGCGAGTCTGCAGTCAGCAAGAGCAACGACGTTATTGGAGAGAGTGGCGAGCTACTCTACAGCACAGCAAAATTATGAAAGGGAGCAGCATCGTCAGTCCATTGGGAGTGTATGTTCAAGTGGGCAGGGGAGTCCTGGGAGTGTAAATGGGGAGAGGAAGGAACCATTTGAGATTGTGATTCAGCAGTGTGAGTTTCTTTACTTGAGAAAGAGAAGCAACGAACTGTACTAATGAGTTGAGTAGCTGGCAATTATTACAGCTTTCCTAGCTTTGAGGATTTCCAGGAGTATCATCACCAGAGTGAGAGACATGAGCATGGTGTTCCTTGAGCCAGAGCTTCGTTCAGAGTGATGACGGAATGAAGAGACGTGAGGACATGGGTGGTTTACCCAGAGACCCAAACAAACAACACGAAATGCAGGACACGAAAACAAATCCCCGAGACAGGCGGGCGGGAAGGACAGCACACTGGTCTGGTCTAGGCGTTCAGGTTCTGGCGCCATGGACACGGCGTTGGAAGCGGCGGACTGGATAGGATGGAAAGGAGAACACAGCACCAACTCAATAAGCGGTGCATGGCAAGACAAGGAATGAAAACAGGATGCGGGACTCTAGCACGCAGCCGGAACCAAGCTGTTGTTCCAATTGTACGTTGCGAAGCATTTAATGGGGCTTCGCATCCGGAAGACATCCGGAGAGAGGACGGTGCGCTGCAGCCCATCGCGATGGCTCTGCTCTCCTCTAGTGAGATGCACGAGGTCACTCACCGCTGTCGTCAAACCTTCTTATGTATTTACTTAATGGATACCCGTATGTATGCACAGAGCACAAACTATTGTCTATACATGCCTTGTCATTGTGATCCACTGTGAGGAATTGATGAACAACCTGTTTGACGTTCTCTTGGATGACTTGGTGAACTATGATGGCTGGTAACATCCGGAGTGCCGGTAGCCAACTGTGGCCCGTGAGTGTGACGATGTTGCATCGAGGTACTCGTGTCGAATTGACTTCGGGATTGAAATTAAGTATTGAGGAAAATAAAGTTGGACTCTCTTGTAGCTACGAGTATGTAGCCATCTGACGTGAAATCACGTCGAAAGATCGGTGGGCAGTGAGTGGTCCTTGATGCGTGTTAACTGGCTAGGCGACAAGAAAACCACAGTCGTTTCTTTTGAAGTCCTCAATAAATGTTAAATTTTCATAGCAACAACTTCCAAGAATCTGGCGTAACAGAAGATATACTTTTTTGATGAAGAATTGAATCTGGTTAAAATTTTGTTGTTCATTGTGCTGAGGTTTCCGGAACGTGAGCTCAACTTTGGTCGGAAAATCAACGCGCCAAGCCCTCGCTAAGGATTCCACACTAGTGGCCGGCCGCACACATCCATTTTGACATGTTCAAGATTTTGTCCTCAATCCAAAGAACGTCGACAACCCACCTTCACAACAACAGCCCCGCGACTAGGTAACCTATCGCAATCATGGCTGTCGGAAAGTGAGTATTCATCCTTGATACTCTCTTGATTTCGAATGGACGATTGAAGCAGGATGCGCGATGGCAGGAGGGGCAACAAATTCGAGATGCAGAGTCTGACAGGAAGATAGGAACAAGCGCCTTTCGAAGGGAAAGAAGGGTCTCAAGAAGAAGACCTTGGATCCTTTCACCCGCAAGGATTGGTACCAAGTCAAGGTATGCGCGTTAATTCTGGATTCGAGGGCCTATACAGTAGCTAATAATATTCCAGGCCCCCTCATCTTTCCAAATCAGAGAGTACGATAACCTGCATCGAATCCCCACAGACAAACAATTCTAATAATTTCGCAGTGTCGGAAAGACCCTTGTCAACCGAACCACCGGTCTTAAGAACGCAAACGATGCATTGAAGGGCAGAATCTTCGAGGTTTCTTTGGCCGATCTACAGAAGGATGAGGACCACGCATTCCGCAAGGTCAAGCTAAGAGTCGATGAGGTTCAAGGAAAGAACTGCTTGACCAACTTCCACGGTCTCGACTTCACATCCGACAAGCTCCGCTCCCTCGTCCGCAAGTGGCAATCTTTGATTGAGGCCAACGTCACAGTCAAGACCACCGACGACTACCTCCTCCGCCTCTTCGCTATCGCCTTCACCAAGCGCCGCCCAAACCAGATCAAGAAGACCACCTATGCCGCCTCCTCGCAGATCAGAGCTATCCGAAAGAAGATGACTGAGATTATCGTCCGCGAAGCCTCCAGCTGCACCCTCACACAACTCACAGCCAAGCTCATCCCCGAGGTCATCGGACGTGAGATCGAGAAGGCCACCCAAGGCATCTACCCATTACAAAATGTGCGTCTAAAAATCACGGTATCTATCAAAAATAAGCAACCCACTAACATCCCAAATAGGTCCACATCCGCAAAGTCAAGCTCTTGAAGGCACCCAAGTTCGACCTTGGCGCTCTTCTCAACCTCCACGGCGAATCAAACACAGACGAGTCGGGCCAGAAGGTCGAGCGGGAGTTCAAGGAGAAGGTTTTGGACGAGGTGTAAAGGGCTAGCTGGTCAATGAAATTCGTTCTGGGTTTTTTCTCTACTGGTCATTTGCATTGGTCATGGTCTTGCTTTGTGGGGCATAAGGCGTGACTTGTATGCGCGTCTGGCATACATTAAGGCTAGCAAAATGAATTCCAAAATATCAAAAATTACCTGGATATCTGTTTATGAAGAGTGAAGTTCTGCTTTTTGGGCATGTGAGTGGTTTTAGTACTTAGGGTCAGGAGGTGAAGGCTTAGCTTTTGGTGGCGCTTGGACAAGGTGACACTGACGTCGTGATTCAGAACTTGGCTGTAGGTATCTTTTCCCTCGAGGGCGTTGCTGCCAAACTCCCTCACAACACCACGACTTCCAAAACAACCATATCGAAATGGCATCCGACGAGTCCCTCCCCACTCTCAAGATCTTAATGATCGGGCCCTCTGGAGCAGGCAAATCAGCTTGTGAGTACTACTGCAACATGCATCAAGAACCCCGCCATATTCCGGCCTGTTGATCTGTCTGCTAATAATGTCTGTTTAATCAGTACTCATACGGTATTGCGACGACCAGTTCGATAATGAATCCTCCACTGCCACGATAGGGGTAGATTTCAAAGTACGCGTCCCTCCCTTCTCCTTCGCGGTCTCCTTCTTCTCATTGTCCACCGCACCACTTCTAAACAAACCACATAATTACCCACCTCTACCTACACAACGAGATCTCTTGACAGCCCAACTAACCTTCCTCCTTCCTCCAACAGATGAAAAAGCTCTCCGTACACAACACCCCCTACCGCCTCAACCTCCTCGACACCGCCGGCCAAGAGCGCTTCCGCACCCTCTCCAACTCCTACTACCGCGGCGCCCACGGCGTAATCCTCGTGTACGACATCTCCAACCGTGCCAGCTTCCAGTCCATGGACCGGTGGTTCGACGAAGTCGAGACGAACGCGCAGCCCGGCGCGGTGACGTACCTGGTTGGCGCGAAGCTGGATAGAGAGAGTAGTAGGACGGTGAGTAGGGAGGAGGGCGCGAAGTTGGCGGAAGAGAGGGGCGCGGTGGGCTGGTGCGAGGTGAGTGCGAAGACGAGGGAGAATGTGAGGAGGCCGTTTGTGGAGTGTGTTGGGGAGATTGTGAAGCGGCCGGAGTTGATGAAGAATAAGGGGAGGGTTGGGGGTGCTGGGACGGTGAGTGTTGGGGGTGGTGGGCAGGCGGAGGGAGGTGGGTGTGCATGTTAGGAGAGAGGGTAGGGAATTGAAGAGCGCGGTAATCGGTGGATAGTGGATGGCAACAAGTGAGGACACACTTGGAGGATTGGATATCATATTGGATTATGGGTATGCATAGTTACGCAGACATGAAGTTTGGGGTTTGCAGATGAGGCATGGGCTTTGCACAGAGCATTGTATGGCATGGCATGATACCCTTTATACTATTACACTAGAATGTACAATTTTCTCTTCTATTCCTTCGGCGTCAGGAATTCCACAACAGCTACAATTACACATAGATCAGCTTCGACTCCAGACAAAATTTGACTATGCATGGGCAAAAAAACCAGACAAAGAAAGAGAAGGACATAAACATACCTTGTCTGAATTCCTCTGGCTTCTCCGAAATCACCCAATGCCCACAATCCACATCCGCCAGTCTAAACCTAGGGAAGAACTCCCCTATAGCAGGTAACGACTCGTCAGGCACGTATTTACTCTGTGTACCTCTTACAAACAGCGCCTGTCCCTCAAACCGCACTTCTCCTGGATTCTTGAACGGGAAGTCTCCTAGATTCCCTAATGCTGAACCGAGGATGCGGAGAGGGATACGGAATCTCTTGGTGCGTGTCTCTGGTGGCTGGTACATGTTTGTGAGGAGGAATTGCCGGATTGGGAGGGACTGAGAATGATGTTAGCTGAGGATCAGCGAATTGGGAGAGAAACTGGAAGGGGAAGGGCAATATACCTTTTCATAGTCGCTCAATATCTGGTCCGCATCCGCCTGTTTCGTGACCTCTGCCTCCTCAATCTTCTTCATGCCCTGTATGTACTGTGCGAAGCTGCTCATGAGAGCTACATCCACAGGGGCATTGTCCACGGATATTATGTCGTGTATGAGTTCCGGGGAACGGAGGGCCAGTGTCATGGCTGTTTTGGCGCCCCTGAAGTCCATCAATGTATGTTCCGGGCGTGCTAGGTGATTGGTGGAACTGACATTGAGTGCCCTATCAGTGTAGGTTCTTTCAATCCGTGCTCTTCCATGAATCCTTGGACATCGTTCGCCATGGAGAGGTAATCATGGTTGGGATCGTGCGGTGAATCGCCATGGTTTCTTAGATCCTGCCTCCCTATCAGTTCAATCCTCCCTCCAGATATCATGAAACATACCACAGCATAAATCGGTCTCCCTAAATCCCTGGCAAGAGCTCTGCAAGTAATGTTAACACACCATCTAACCAGTTCTTACATACAGTGTGCTAAAGCCTAGGAATCTGAGGGGGGAGGCTCACTTACTAATGCTCCTGTTGTTCTTTTTGGACCCAAACAGTCCATGCATAAAAATAATAGCCCGTGGAGCAGAGGATGAGGGTTTTGCTGGGGAGTGCAAGTCATAAGCCAATTTTAGAGGGGTGCTCGTTTTGGAGCTGTAGGTTCGGCGGGAGATGAATTTGAGGGTTCGGGGGCTGGAAAGAAGAAATATGCGGGGTGGCATATTGGATGGAGAATACTGCGGTTGGTAGTACAAGGACTTCTGATTATTGAAGCTTGGAAGCTTTGATTCACTTCAAGGTCTTGCTGGGCATCTTCACTTGAGAAAATTATTGCAGCCTTGATCGCAAGGCTCGAGGCATGAGATATGGGCACGTGTAACAGTGGGGCAGTCAACTCCACCTGGGCATGACTTGGTCTCTTCTTGACTCCTCTCTCGTCTAGATTCAAGACTGAAACAGTAAGTCCTTCCTATTTTCTTTTCAAGGTTCATGATTCCTATCGTCGCAACTCAGCCCCGGGCTCACTTGCTCGAACAGCACAGCAAATCATTCTTCTCTGACTGACAGCCGAGCAGGCACTGGCTCCTGTACAGGCTGTACTTCATCCCACTTCTATCCACTGAAATCAGTGGCGGGGATGCCCGTGTATCTTTCCGATAGGATTTATATGATGCCGTTTCTCTTATCTTAGATCTGTGGGCTTTCGGGTCTCGCCTTTTCCCTTATCTGACATTCGGCCGAGATCTGGCAGTCGAGATAATCCTATGTCAACTTCAGTGTTTCACAATTATACGGTGCATTATGGTTGTTATGAACGTTTTTTTGTATAAAGTTATCAAACTTGGCTTAGCTGTTGGTCAACTCCTGACTGTCATTCTTGAAATTATATCGTTCTTCATCGTTCTTCGGGCCAACTCTATCTTGCCTGTTTCCAATCTCTTACCTCTAAGAGTAACATCAAAATGTCTCCTTCAAGGGTCCTTGAAAGCAAGATGATAGTGACGCCAATCAAGCATGGTTTAGACAAGAAATGCACCATGGGAGCAACAGTGACAGGAGTTGACTTGAATGACATCTCCAACGAAGACTTGGCTGCACTCAGAGAGGCAACTCACAAGTATCAGCTTGTTATGATCAAGGGTCAACACGATCTAAATCCAGTAAAACACTGGGAGCTAGTCACAAGACTGGACCCCGAAGCACCAAACGTTCATGGTCATGGAACAGTACAACAATTCAAGAAAGTGGGAGGTTTGTTGTCGGTAAGACCTTCCAGACATCGTAAAGTACCGAGAATATTTATTGACAACCGCAAAGAATAGAGAAGTTCCAGGCATCCCAAGTGCTCCCAATGTCAGACTTATTGGTAAAGGATATCAGGGCGATGATCACTACGGAGTCAAAGGGTTTACAGCTTATGGACCAAGTAACGACTATCACCGATACCCACCATCGGCAGAATCATTTGCTGCAGGCAACACCCAATTCCAGAGATGGCATATCGACGCACCTCTATATGAGCGTGAACCGCCACATTTCACAGCACTTCGCGCAATCAAATGTCCTGAGCAAGAAGACATCCAAGTAAATTGGGATGATGGAAGTGGTTTGAGCATGAAAGTCAAGCCTGGACAGACAGCTTTCTTCAGCACGATTCAGCTCTATGATTTATTGAGCGACGAGGAGAAAATGCTCGCAGATAACAGCTGGGTTGAGTATGCCCCCTTCCCATATATGTGGATTGAGAAGTGTAAGGGTCGGCCGAACGGTCTTGGTTTGGAAAATGAAGGGTTGGAGCATAAGATTGAAGAGATGCCTGAATGGGATCCCGCAAAGATCAAAACTGTGAGTGGTACTTGAATGCCGGACCACGGCTTTTTTGACCAAGATTCCAGTATCCGATGGTCTGGGTCAATCCCCTTGGCCAAAAAGCTTTCCAAGTTCATGGCATTGCCGTTCGAAAGATGTTCTTGAAACCTACACCTACCAGCGAAGTCGAAGTGGTTGAGGATGTCACTAGGATCAGGAAGTTTATTCTCAGCTGGCAAGAGCGCATTCTTCGCCCTGAGTACATTATGATGACTCCCGTGGAGAACGGTGATGTGCAAATGTGGGACAACTGGAGTGTCTTCCACAGCGCAGTGGACTACCCCGACAAGTATGGTATTAGAAGTAAGTGCAACGATGGTAATAGTTGAAAGTTTAGCCTTGCTCATCCGCTCGTAGCTATGCACCAAGCCAACTTGGGAGCCTCGGATAGCCCTGTGTAAGTGATCTATGGACCAGCCCTCAATCTTCTCCCCGTCCCTAGGATTTCCAATCCAGAATCTGACTGTTCTCTCATCTAGGGGGCCCGTTCCAATCCCAGTTTCTGTATCTTAAATATATCCTCTACCATATTTCAGATAACCTAGTTCATGCAAAACAATTTCCCCTACTTTAGGTCGTGAGCTATTTCATTCAAACTGTGCACCTCATGTGAATCTTCTTTTCAATCTGTGGGCTTCTGGGGGATTCTGCAAATGGTCACACTGCCATGTCGCTGCCCGTTCTGCATCACTTTGTCCTACAATTCCTCGCCCTTCCATCCTAGATTCGGTGTCTCTGCGGTTCACTCCCAAGGCGATTTCATCATCGTCCCCCTCATCATCCGGATTTTGCTCCGCAACAACCTCGTGCTCATCGACAGAGCCACTTCCAACGAGCCGTTCATGTGCTTGATCACTTGGACAACCTGGTTTTAAGTCCTGTAGATGTACAGCCACTTGTTTGATTGCTCGTAGTGATCTCTCATGCTCTGTGTAAGATTCAGTATGTGCCGTTGTCTTCAGATTGGGGCTTTTCTTACTTATAGTATTGCTGATTGCTTCAAAGAAAAAGGGAGCCCAGAGCAATACTGCTGTGGATTGACCATATCCCCATTCGTTTTCCTGGACGGTTTGGCTGACACTTACCGAGAGCATGATACAGCCTGCGAAAAGGTAAGAAAGAAAGAGAAAAATGAGCGCACTGAGTCCCAGCTTGATCTTCTTCCAGTGGAGCCGGCGCATGGCAGGCTCCGGCAATCTTTTCCAATGTGTCGGAATCAGGTACATGACTAGCCATATTCCTGGAAGAGCAATCAGCAACGCAGTCATACCAGTCTCCCCTCTCGAGAAATAGAAGATGTCAGTTTTAAATCCATAGAAAGGACCTCCATTCCCATCTATGTCATCACAGGCATCTGACAATTGGAAATAATACATCGAATCCTCATCTACCATCACGGGGAATCCTTGCTCCAGTGCGACACACGTCAAGCCTTGAGACAGAATGATCACTACGGAATATAGTACCCATTCAAATGGAATACTGAATTCTTTCAAACGCCATTCCAGAACCAACCCACAAAGTAAGAACGACATGGTCGCTAATTGGAGTTTCAGCAACCGGCCTAGGATTACGTATTCTGAAATCGACGGGCTTTGGCAATGGCGGAAAATTGCTGCAATGAAGAGCGAGGAAGAGTAGAATAAACTAGTCTGGACCACAGATAGAAGTAGTTTTTCCAAAAGAGCAACTCGTCGCAGAACCGGCTGGAATGATCGCTTCTTGGAAATCCAAATGAGGAACGGCAGAAGTGGCCCGAACAGGACGGATAACGCAATTTGGAGGTAGTAGGATATCATCATCTGCAGACATGCTTTAGCTCGTGGCTTCCAGTGAGAATAATTTATCGAAGTGATACGTACACCCGGGCCCGCCATATCCTATTAGAATCAGTCAATGATTTCAGCTCCAGTGCTCGAAGGAAGAACATACAGGATTTCCTGATCCCAAGACAACATTACAAACGCTGCGACATGCAGCAGCAAGCACCACAACATCGAGATTATCTTCCTTGATATGTTTGAGTACATCATCAGCTCTTTCTGTGGTACAGGCTAGCGAAGAGTTGGCTGCAAGAGTCTGATTTACCAGCAAGGCTGCAGCATCACTTGCAAATGACAGCAGGAGTGATAGGATTATAACAATACCAAACATATTTCATGAATCAAAATCGTTCCTTGATTGACGCCTTGCTTGGGACAATTGAAATAATAGGTGTAGCTTCTAAAGATGTATCTGGCATCGAGAGGCGAAGTTGATTAAGGCTGGGCTGCAAAATAATTCTCTGGACCAAGGTTACACTGCAGGCAACAATTTCGCTATTGTTAGAATCGGTCAGCCCAACGATCAGCCCCGCAAGGCTTACTTTTGGAGCTTGGCTGAAGCTGCAATTGGGATTCGGCCACGCAAAGTGACGAGTTGGGAGAATGACATGAGTTAACAGCTCGCAGAACGTGGTAACACAAAAGGCACTCCAATCTTCCTGCTGCACCTCGCCCTTGTCATCCTGTTCAATTTCTATGCTGCTGATTGAGTAGAAAGCAATCGTGAAGACTTATGGTGTGATATGTACAAAACTTTAGTGCGATCTAGATAGAAACCCAGGTGAAAGTGATGTTGTTCTAATTATGTATTAGAAACAGAAGACGTGAGATGAAGCTGATGAGTTGACAGTGTCTGATTTCAATAACAGTCCATGGCTTTTGGTTTGATAACATGCTCCTAGACGAACTCCAGTCCGGTGGCAAAGGTTTAATGTTGTTGTTTTGCTGTGATAGCTTCTTTGATAAGCGAGCAGCCTTACCGCACTAACTATCCCCTCGCCTTCCAGATTTCCAGCCTAGAGAATCAAACCTGCTAAGTGTATACAAATTACAAAATGATAGTCCTCACAATAAGGAATTTGAAAGTTTGTGAGGCTCGGCAATACCATGCTGTTGTCGTTTCTCAAGCTAGGCTGGAAGTAGAGAATTATGTTTGTGTTATGCACCAGACTACTACTTTATTGGCTTCAGAGCAGAGGTGGGTGTTTTGATTTCTGTATAAAAAGAAGTGGGTCATTCCGAATTGTGATGACATCCTGCGGGACTTTAAATTCACCCGCATCCATCCGTCCAGCCAGCTTGGCTTAGCTTAGCAAAGCAGCGTACCACCGTAGTGCCTATATATATTGGTATGTTATGACGCTCCTCTCAGATACCTTCCGTTTTTATTCTTACGTTATTAAAAAGTCACGTCGGCGCTGAACCACCTTTGTCAGTGAAACACGGAACCCCCCCCCCCCCCCCCCCCCCCCCAAAAAAAACATCACAGAGACACATTTCGCTCCCTTGGCCTATTTCATGCTCCAATACCTGGCAGTTGTGTCAATATCCGCCCAACACCATGTCTTTCGGAACCACCTTTAACTCGACCCAGGCTGTCGAGCTACTGAGCCACGCCATATGCTCCGCTACAAAATACCACCAGATGGATGATCCCAGTCCAGTACCCTCTGAATGCCGCCCATATCTTGACTACGCTCGCAACCATATCAGTGGAATCTATTTCCTGCTCTTCTTCGGCAATGCTTTTATACTCGGCATTACGTGTACAATTATCTCTGTTGCGTCACATTATGCGCTAAAAAACGCAAAGCGCGAAGTTTACCAAGTATTGCATTTACTCGCAGATACGGAGCCTCAATATAGAGAGGAGGAGTTAGGAAGATTATGCAATAATTACAATGTTCAGTCAGGATTACGAGATAAGGAGAGCTTTGATCGGGAAAATACTAGCAAATTCGAAGAAAGCTTCCAGGTCCATCAAGCAGAGGAAGGTCTGTCGTGCTATAGCCTCAAAAGCTATCGCGACAGTAGACTAGAACCAGGTCTACAAAACTGTGATTAGTCGCAAGGATCGTTGCGGATATAGAGATGGATTACACTGCATGTACACATATCAATAACTATTGCATCTTCACCAGTTTTGTTCCTATAGTCCTTGTGTAGTGCTATGTTCTGTACTTTGATTATCTCGCTCTGATATTGTAACAAATCTCTACGTGAAGTAAACATACGAGCCCTTGAAGAATCAAGAATCATGATTGTCATGTCAAATATTGAAAATACTTAAAATAGCACAGGAAAGAATACAGACCTCAAACGCCGCCGCCCAGTTCCAATATCCCAATATATACAAGAGATCAATCTATTGATAGGCGATATCAAACGCTTCGTCAATCCTTGGGCTTTGCTTCAATATGACGATTTAGCGTTCATCAGGCGCGGGCATGTCGCATTTTGCGGAAGAGGCCAAGGCTGAACAATACCAACCGACAGGGTGGTAGGAGGGGGATTGGCTGGCCCAAGAAGTTCTTAGCGAAAGCCAATGTTGACTCTAGTAGAATATACCACAGCAGGAAAACAAAATAGTCTGCCCCCATATTGTAAGAAATAATAATCACTTGAAACCTCTGTAGTAATACGGCACTTTCCGTTCGGTACGCATAAAGCTCGACTAGATCTGGCTCCATGCGGGACGCTTCATGTACATATGGACTATTTCCGAATGGCTTTTGCAGTCACACATGTCAGTTTTCTTGAAATTCTGTCTGCACACAAGTAGCTCAACTCCATATAGATAGGACTATTGGCTTGGGGGCCTAAAAATAATACTCAAGAATGGGATTCCATAGCCATGTGACAAATGCACAATCGAAATCTCGTGGACTTGGCGCCTATTTTGCTGACAAAAAGAGAAGGTCGCCAGACGCACATGGCGAAATTCTCCGATATGCACCTGTCATGCAATGCGATTATTCACACCGTCTGTAGTGGAGATTATTCAGTTCAGCTTCCCCCTCTCACTTGCAGCAAAACAGATTGACAGCCCTATCGGAATAATGGAAGGGCCGAAATGTCCTCCGTGGCTGTGCTCACATTTTCTATTTTTCTGCCCCCAAGTGGCTGCAATGGTTGCGCCGCGCATATCGACACGTCAAAATTACCTCAGCTTCTTTGATTTCGGAGACACCTCCAGGCCAGATCCCAGACATTTGGAACCGATTTACATGGGGGCTAGAAATTCCACAAGTTAGAAGTGATGGAGTGGAGAATGTTGTACGGGCCTTACCGAGCGATAGGCGAGGTTCCATACTTTTTTGAGGACTCTTTTTCATCATCGCATGTTGGACAGTCAGCCCACTCTGAGAGTATGGCGACTATACCGTCTTTTATATTATGACTCGAAGCTGACTTTGAGTTGTTTCATCTGATCGTCAATTTGTCTCCCCATCGCCCCTCACCATGCGCCTGTCGTTTTTGTTGGCCAGTTTGGCTTGTTTACTTTCCCTTTCTGTCGCTCAGTCTATCGGTGCTTTTTACACAGGTGGAGGTCCTACGGTCATCAAACTCAATGGAAATTCCGGAAACTTCTCCTACAATGTCTACAAGGCAACTGGATTCAGTGACGAATGGTCATCATTTGCTCCAACATTCCCACCTGTGAATGGAACACCAATGGCAGTAACCGGATTTAGCAGCCCTTCAGCCGTTTATGTAAATATCACTGTCAAATCATACGAAAACCTACTTACTTCGAACAGGGATCAGTCTTTTATCAGACTCGAAATAACAGTCTGTCTCAGCAACTTTTCAAGTGCTGGTATTCCTCAGGTGACTGCCTTAACTATGGAGGGTTCATAATATCCTCCAAGGTTACAGTACCTGTGAAACAAGGAACAGGGTTATCGGTAGCCTTGCTGTCTACGAACTTTGGATATCGTGTGACTTACGAGGATATACATGGCTCTATTCGACAATTGAGTTACTCGAACACTACTGAAGGGGTTGTCACCTATGTATGTACTCAGTGGAAAATTCCGGCACACTTGTCAGTTGTCACTTCAACGACTAACTTTTTACTTGTGCAGTGGAATGATGGGGCTCTCGTCAAAAATGGTACAACAAGAAACTCGTCTGCCTTGGCAACGACATACCTTCCAAGTGTCAATGACACGATCCCGGCAGAGCAAACAATATACCAAGTCAGCGATGATCAAATTCTGTCTGTAACCAACAAGAATACAACGTTTATCAACCAGACGTCATCTTGGAGCCAAGGTAAGCTCTGGATTTTTCCAATAAGGGAACAAACTCACCAGTATTAGGTACTACTCTTCCTGCCATGCCGAATTGGAGTCCTGAGAGTGGAAAATTCTCGACAATACTATACAACTCATGGAACATGCTTTTCTACATTGACACAAACAGACAGCTGCAATGGGTTTGGTCTAACGATGGTGCTCAGACATGGCATGCTCAGCCCCTCATGGAGACATCAACCTGGCCACTGGCAGACACACCCAACGCTCCTGTGGCTGCTACCACATCCGTCAATGCGTCTGATAATTCTGCTTCCGTCTTCTACATCTCGAATGGGAAGATGATCCAATCTGTCATGACGAACTGGTCATGGGCTCCATATTCGATCGTCCAGGCACCGCTTCCCTCAAATATCACAGAGATTATTAGCCGACCTAACAATTCCCGGACAATCACGATCGGCGCATCAACGGGAGTGAGCGTAGGATTTCTAATCGTCGTTGCCGTGGCTGCCTGGTACATCAAACGTCGAAAGCAAGCCCTTCAACGCGCAGCTCTTGAATATTCAAACTCTGAGAGTAGAGACAGCTGGAAAGAAAACGAGTTTGCATATCAAGGAGGCAAAGCGGAGTTAAGCGGACTTCCCTCGCCGAGATCTGAACTCGATCATGACCCAGATTGTAAGCTTCTTCATCAACTGCAGGTGCAGCGAATGTATGAAGCGACAGGCATTGTGCCGGCGGAGTTGCAGAACTGTGAAACGAAGGCACTGGAGTTGGATCACACACATTGCAAGTATGAACTAGATGCTTCGCTTGTGTGTGAATTGCCTGCAGGGCGGGACGATGAGAAGCGAGACAGTGAGATAAATAGCTCGGAAACGCAAAAGAGGGAAGGCTCTGAGAGCCATGTTTCGGTGAAAGAAGGGAAAGAATTGCCGCATTGGAGTTGGGACATATTGAGGCGAGAGAGAAAGAAACAAGATAGTGGAACGGAAAGTCTGGATTTGGAAAGAGGGTGAGCAAGATAAGGTCAAGGCAGAAGGACAGGGATAAATGACTACAGGGCATACAGTACTAAGAATTAGATCTCAACACTTTCAAGACCTTTTCTTGAGAGCAAGAAAGAAAACTGCAAGGATTTGAAGTGAACCCCCTTTTGTGAAAAAGCTGCTAAAATCTTCTTGCATATTATATTCCCCATCTTACATCCCCTTAAGCTTCGCTATGCCTTGACTTCCATAGGTGCCTTGGTATCGAGACCTTTCTCTGCACGGCTGCTGTCTCCATCTGTGCTCTCGGTGCCAGTGACGACTCCTTCAACAACGTTTGTATAGCCCTCGATTGTAGCTGGAATCAAAGTCTCTTTGTCAGGAAATATAACATTGAGAACATAGTAAATCAAGCATGAAGCAACGAATCCATAGAGCCAGTTGATGGAGAAGAGATTAGATAGCTCCTTGGGAATATGCACACTGTCAGGTGTGACTTTGTGGGCCAGACCTGGAAGCATGGGAACAATGACCAAAAGCATGATGACTAAGGATCGCCAATTCTGTAAAAATATCAGCATTTAAATTCTGCATGTAAGAAATAGGAAACATACACATTTTCCGTATATTCCTTCTGGGTCGTAAAGAGCCGGGACGTCAATTTTCCGTTTCTTGATAAACCAATAATCTGTGAGCATTATGCCAGCGATGGGAGCCATGAATACGGCATAGGCGGACATGAAATTCAAGAATGTTTTCGCGTTCGACAGGATAATCCAAGGGACCATTGCCCAGCCCCCTACAAGCATAGCGAAGATGACTCCGCGGCGGATATTGAAGTACTTGGGAAAGAGGGATGTAATATCTGATCAAGTCCCAGGTCAGTTGCGAAGATGCTGTGGGGCAGACTCCATTGCTTACCATTGCCAAACGAAACCGAATTTGCTGAGATGTTGACGCAGATTTGAGCTAGACACCACAATGTTGCACAGAAAAATGCAGCAGCTCGACCGCCAGGAGTACCTTGCCATTGCGCCAAGATGTCAAGAGGACTCCAAAGAGTCTTCCCATAAAGTGGCTTGGAAGCACTCGCACCAACAACACCAAATATGCTGACCACAATCTTGAAGATTGGGATGAACGGTAGCTGCCACCACTGAGACCCTTTTTTCCTCGCAAATCGGGAGAAATCCGGGATGTTGACGGCAAGTGTAGAGAAGCCTCCTGTGATTGAAGTCATACTTGAGAGCCACAGCCAAGCACGAGTAGAGCCAGTCATCTCGGACTTCTGGTTCCAGAAATCTGGTGCATCTTTTGCTGCTACTGCGAGGTAGATGACCATGGAGAGAGCCATGGGAGGGACTAGGATTGTCTTGGCCAGGAACATCCACTTCAGCTTCTCGGTCCGGATGAAAAGGAATGGCGTCTGGACAACATGGTAGAGAAAGTATGAGATCAATCCCTTGCTTGTGATACCTGCTGAAGCCGGAAGATTGTTATGAAGGTGAGCATAGGATGGCCAGATGGCTGTGATCATTTGCGTGATTGCTGTGGCTCCTCCGGCGGATTGGACTCCAAACCAGAACAGCGCGAGGATTCCTCTTGACACGACACAGAAGTGGCTTAACCAATATCCATAACTGGCTCGGACTGCAATTGGGAAAGGCTACTAGAAGTCAGGAGCTGTATCATAGATACCTGCGAGATGAACGACTTACAATATGTAAGTCTGATCCAATCGCTCCATTCATCACTGTCGGAATGGCATTGCACATGGCAGCTACGAACACAATCCAAATCGCGTCACTAGGCGAGAGGCCAAGAGCAACAACTGCCGCTCCATTTGCCCAAGTTGAATATGTTACAAGATCTGAAAACCAATACATCACAAATGTGAAGCCCGACCATGTTCGCCTGACCTATGTCAACAGATATCTTGGCAACATGAAAAATTGGGCCTACTTTTCAATGGGAACAGGGTCCTGATCTATTCGAGTCAACAGCAATCCAAAAAACAGTGACTATACTAAATGTCACAAGCATACCTGAATTACTCCACACATATTCTGGAGCGAGTGACGAGCTCTGTTTAGGAAGCTTCCAGCTGAAGGTTTGCACCGAGTTCCTGGCTCGTTCAAACATGTTTGTGATGTTAAAAGCGAAACAACACGAGTATAACTTCAAAATCACAGAAGCTATGTTCAACCTGGATGGAATGGGGTCAATCCACTTCCATATATGATCGACAAAGAGTCATATCTCGATGGCAGCTCACCATCGCCCCCGTCACGATAGGCAGTCGTCTCCCATTGATGCTGGGAGACAATCTAAAGCGGACTATTGCCGGCATGCGGAGCTGGACTATCTTGATAACAAATGCATGCCAAGAGATACGAGTTGATATCCAGTGGCGTTGTATGGTTGATCGAAGGATGTGAGGTGGGAAGAGAGGTTGGGGAAGCGGGTCCATTTCGGGTTTCGGGTCCGAGGTTTTCTCCGTAGAGAATGTTCAGATAAGAAGCAGCAAGAGCAACGTTAACAGTGCCACGGATGGTGCTTACCAGCTTTGTTTTTCTACCCCGCTTTATGTATTACCTTACTATCGGCGAGATTTATACTTAAGGATCTTTAAGAAACAGACTTGGCTATAGTCTCGCGCTTACCCCGCGTTGTTCCACGGCTCCGACGATGAACTGATCTTCCTCGGCCGTGAAACGGCAACCGGATCACGATGTCACGAAAGCCTCAAACTTGTACGGACTGCGCAAGGAGGAAGATACGATGCAACAAAGTTATACCTTGCGAGAATTGTCACAAAAGGTATGTGGTGTCACGTGTGGAATCTGCTCCTCCCTCCTATCCAGCTTGAGTAGTATGACTTGATCCGAATGTGCATTCACTGAATGGGTATGCAGGGGAACTGCTCACTTATGCCGACGAGCAGATGTAACACATACGGTTGAGAGACGTCATCCGTCTGTCTCTCTTTCGCCTAGAACTCCAAATCAAATGATCGTTCCGGCTCGCAGAGAGCCATCAGCCGAAGCCTCAATCAATGAGCGAATTCTCAGTCTAGTGACAAGTCTCTCAGATAGAGTCAAACATCTCGAGTCAAAATTTGATAGGGATGCTACACTAAAGAGGTATGTAGCTGATGGACCTGTTGAGTCTTTCGAGGAGCATGGCTCGTCTTCCACGCCACTGGAGCGAGCAGCTAAGCGAGCTCGCATCCACGATTCAGATGAGAGACAATCCATTCAAAGGATCCATGAAGAAATTTCTCTTACCGAGAATGATTCTACTTCTGGTCAAAATGGGTCTGACGCTGAGGTCGAAGATGCCGCAACAGTTTTGGAGTTCCTGGCTTGGGGAAGGCTGAAGGAGAGTAATCTCACGAGCGGGATCAGGAACCCGTCCATTGTCCATGATCAAGGAAATCACCAAGAGCAAGATATGCTACAAAATGTCCAAGCATGGGGAAAGTCTCCATCGTCGGTATCTGGAGGAATCGTTCCGATAGAAACAATGCAGGTTTCACAGATTCAGGCGTTGCTCCCAACGAAGATGCAAGTGTTTCTTCTTTTCGAGTATCACGCCGACTGGTTACTGTTCATGCATTGTTCATTCCATGTTCCTACTTTCAGAAAAGAGCTTGATCAGTTCTACGACGAGGACCAAGGAGTCATCAGTATCACGAGTGCCGGGCTTCAGTGGGCAGCGTTGCTTTTCGCAATCATTTGTGGAAGTATGACTTCCGTGCAGCCTGCCGAAGTCTTGAAATGGGGGTTCCAGCAAGGTAGTCACAATAGAACTTCAATGAAACCGAGTCGTTGACCTGTGAGTAGAAGAGCAAAGCAATTTGGCGAAGTGTTGGTACCAAGCATCAATTGAATGCCTCAACGCAGCTCGGTATCAGCAATACCACAGCTTGTATAGCGTCCAAGCTATTGCATCGTCGACAATATCTGCTCATATACTTGGGTACTTATGTCCTTCCTTCCCGCAATTCATGGCCAATTCTGACAGGGACGCAGATTCTCCAACTCTCAATCAGTACTTCTCGCATCAGCTGTTCGAATAGCCCAGTCACTCGGACTTCACAGATTGGGGAAGTATAGAAGAACAGCTAGAGAGTCCCAAATAGACGATGTGACTGAGAAGGTCCAGAAAGAGCTAGGCAAAAGATTGTGGCAGCAACTGGCTACACAGGACTGGTTTTCTGTTCCATTTTCTGAGACCTACTGTGAGTCAATGCCGCGCGACCTCCAGCAGTATTTCCCAAGCTGATTTGATTGAAGGTATCAATCCATTGCACTTCACTTCCAAAGCTCCACGTCACTGCGATGAAGATACGATGGAAGCTATCCCGGTATCCCACCCGGCTATCACCACTTACGGGAACTTCTTGTTCAGAGTAGCAGCACTGATGCCTGCCCTCCAAGACCGGTCGTCTGAAGCTCACAGTATGGACGTAAAATATGAACATGTTCTAAGATTTGATAAGATGATGAGAGACCTGGTTATTGCACAGCTTCCACCATGCCTCAATAGTCAGACTCAGGTTGATCCAATGTGGCCGCACTGGGTAGCTGTTGCTCGCCGATGTCTCACGATTACATCTGCTCATAAAATCATTGTATGTTTTCGCTTGAGTAATTTCTCTGGATTGCGCTGAATGGTTTTTAGATGATTCATCGGAGATTTCTGGGGATGAGTTTTCATGATAAGAAATTTGCGTTCACTCGCAGGAGTAAGTACCTTACCTGACAACCATGAAAGCCATCTGCAGAGCAAATCTAATATGGTACAGCTTGTTTGGCTGCAGCCAAAACAATCATCAATGAAATAAAACAGGAGGTTCCCGATGAAAGTCCAATCCTATGGACAACTCAGGCTTTTAGTGTAGCTGCCGCGGTTAGCATGTCTCCCTTAATTGTCGTGCACACCACTAACCACCAAAGATAATCTTGGCATTGGACAACTTCAGCCATCACCAATCGGCACGAGAATCCGAAGAACATCGACAATTAATTACCGAAACAATATCGATACTTTCAAAGAGCGTCTCGATAAGCTTGATAGCCGCTCGTGGCACACGCCTCTTGACCGACCTACAAGCCGAGGAGCGCAGACATGCTCAGTGCAACGGCGGTTCGTCGTTACCAAATGACAAGGGGAAAGCTAGCGAGAACCTTTCTCTATCGAATCAGTCCGAGAAGAGCTTAGATGTTGCAGCATTCGTGAAGAAGTTCTGTCAAAGCGATCACCCTCCATCTGGAAATTCGCCGCTCGCGACCTCACACATGCCACTCTGGCTGCAGCAAGAAAGCTCTTCTCAAACATATACAGAAAGTCAACGTGGGCGTAGCCACGTCTCTTACCCATCTTTCCATCCCAGAGCACCTCGGCCATCTTCATCATACGAAATTCCTGAACCAGGTTATCGCTTCTCTCCAGCAATCAGACGACAGCACGAAAGTTTTACCGACCCTTTCACACAAAATATTTCCGATTCTTTCGATATCCGAACGGTCAACGTAATTTCTCCACAAGCCTTTTGATTTCTTCAGGCAAGAATACTGATATGTCAACAGTGGTTCGATGATCTCTTGGGTCTGGCTCCTTCGAATTCTATATGAGACTTCCCATGAAACACTTAATCAAACTCTTGCAGCGCTAGCAGTATGAAGTGTACAGATCACCACTGTGCAAATACTTATTCATTGATTTTGATCATCATAATAGAGCCAAAACAGATTCCATCGCCTTCACAACCCCCGCAGTGTCTTCCAGCACCTGCTGGTGACCCGAGTGTACCACTTCAATAGTAACCTTCTCATTTCCTCCTCCAATCAAGCCTCTCAACTCCTCAGATCTCGAAGGCGGCGAGATGTTATCCTGATCTCCTGCTATCAGAACTGTTGGGCATGTAATCGCGGAGTAATCTGGATCGATATGACTCTTCGCGCATACAGCTTCACACGTGGCAGCGTATCCCTCAGCTGTCTGTGAACTGATCATCTGTCTAACGACCGTTCGGGAGAGATCTGATGAACTCGGTGCCACATTGTTGTCGATGGTGGAATCTCTGATACCGTGAATGCCTTCTCTAGCTTTTGCTCCGAGACCAGTCATGCGCTCCACGACGGCCGGGATGTGCGAAGCCGATCTCCCAGGACCGATAAGAACCAGACCACGGACTTTTGGATGCTGAGATGCGTAGTGCATGGCGACGATGCTCCCAAGAGAGTGGCCAACGAGTATCGGTGGCTCTTTGGTATCTCGTGATTGGAGAATGGAAGCGAGGTCGTCAACAAATTGAGGTATTGACAACGGAGACTCGAAACTGCTGAATCCGGATCCTGGGAAGTCGAAGCGAAGCATAGTGAACCGAGAAGCAAAATGTCTGATGAGAGGCTGGAAGGTATTCGTTGTTCCTCCAAGTCCGTGCATCAGGACCATCAATGGTCCTGTGCCGTATTCTTCGACGAATATCTGTGAGCCATTTGAGGTGGCGTGGAAGTAGGCTTTGGCTGGGGGTGACATGATTATGCGTTTGATTGATTGATTGATTGATTAGAAAGAGTCAGACTTTTTCTATTTCAATCATTAAAGGACAAAAGCCAACAAGAATTGCGTTTTCAGTTACAATTCATGGCCTATTCTCAATCTTCGGCCGAATCCGCGATGGTGTACATTTCCCGAGTCTCGGCCGGGCTCCTCGTCCGTTATCAGCAAGAGTGGGATTCTGTATCATTCAAGCCACATATCTACAAAGCCCATTTTCGGCCTCAAGATCTTATCTCACGCGCGGCCGAGCCTCTCATCGCGGCCGTGTTCCAACGATTCCGTAGGACATAGACTTACGTCGACAGCTTCAACATGTCGTGGTGGTCTCCCGGGCTCCCGGATTAAAGGTCTCATTCGTGGCAAGACACCATTATTATTGAAGCAGCCATACCCAAGTTTGAGAATTAGCAAGTATCAACCACCAAGCTGCAACCATGCCATCTGCTATCAGAGATACCAAAGTGACGCCCATCGACCATGGCCTCAAAAGCAATGTTGACTTCGGAGCCACAGTGCATGGCATTGACCTCAACAATTTGACTGATTCAGACTTCGACATAATCCATGATGCTCTCCACAAACATAAACTTCTTGTGTTCAAAGAGCAGCCGGAAATGCTGCTTCCAACCAAGCAGTACGAGCTCACAAGGAGATTCGACCCGGACGAGACAACAGGAGGTTTTGCGCACGGCGTCGATCCCTTCCTCACTTCCCACAACGGCGTCGACATATTCGGTCTCCCCAATCGTCCTGCGATCCCTGTTCAGCCTCAAGTCCATATCCTAGGTCGTGGAGAAGTGCCCGAAAACCATTACCAGTTTCCGCCTGGATTTAAAGTCAAAGGTATTGACCACAGATACTTCCACCTCCCACCCCATCTCACAGACGAGGAGCGCGAAGGAGGCAAGTCCCGCTTCTATCAATGGCACTTCGACGCAGCATTGTACGACATTCCCCCTCCACGAGTTGGATGTCTCCTTGCAGTCAGGACACCCAAGGGCCCAGATGTGAAAGTTGAATGGGGCGACGGAACCGGGACTGAGATGTCGATTGCGCCAGGAGCAACAGCTATGGTAGCTGGCTCACGAGCACTTGAGCTCCTGTCTCCGGAGCTGAAAGACATTGTGTACAACAGCAAGATTGAGTATGCGCCGCACTGCTTTGAGTGGATGTCTACAGCGCACAGTACTCGCTTGGGACACACCATTGAGACAGAAGGGTTGGAGAAACCACTTGATCAGCTGAAGCCGTGGCGTCAGGATAAAGTCTGCACTTACCCGATGGTTTGGGAGAATCCCGTGACGGGTGAGCACAGTCTGCAGGTACATGGGCAAGGTGCTTTCAAGTTATTCTTGAAGAGTAGTCCTGATGGTGAGGAGACTGTTGTAAGTGATCTTGGTGAGGTCAGGGCATTTTTGCACAAGTGAGTCTCCATTCCTCATAGAGAATGACCAGCCGCTGATAATCTCAAGACTCATGCGACCCGCAATTGACCCGAGCAATATCTATGCTCATAGGCATGAAGAGCAAGACGTCATTCTATGGTACAATCGCGCTCTATGGCATTCAATCGTAAGAAATCTTCACCTGCAAGTCTAACCTATCCCACTAACCGAAATTCAGACCGAGTTTCCTGAATCATATGGTCCGAGAATCATGCATCAGTGCAATGTTGCAGCTTCAGATCACCCGGTCGCTGCCACTAGGAAGATCATGTAGATGGTTTGAACCGTTGAATATAATACTACTCATGTTGTTTTCTTCTGTAGTTTCACCAATAGCGTTACCGCCTACTGTGTAAAGCATCTCCATTACCGCACATTTCCGACTTTCTCACTGCATATCTATCGTCAACATTTTTCCTGCGTGAGACTCGAAGAAGATCGCCCCATTTCCAATATTATTCATAAACTCCTTAATTCTGTTACATTCCTCGGTCAATTGCATGCTGTCTCCTGTTGTTACTTCTGTGGCTTTCGAATGGCACTCAATAAGGTTCGCCGCTTCGGATTGAGCATTTCCCACGTATTCAAGGGTAGTAAGCTAAATCAGTTTCTTCACGACTAGTAGTGGCTTGGAGGATCACTTGAGAGAGCCACGGCCATGGAGCTTCTTAGCCTGGCGGGGTAAAGAGATGCTCGGGACAGGCCTTGGCAGGGACTAGTTTGCTGAAGCCGCTTCTGTGTAAAATATAAAGCCAGCTCAACATACCCGCTGAGCTGTTACTACGCAAAGACGTCCCTGCTCTTATTTACAGACAACAAATAATATTCTCATCTTCTCAAATCTTCGTTAACTCAGCAAACCAAAAAGCCCATCCACAGCCAAAACATGGCAACCGCAAAGAAAGGCACCATCAACCGCGCAGTCCAATACGCCGACCCACCCAGCATCAAAACCATCGTCGCAGAACTCCCTATCGAAACCCCAGGTCCGGGAGAAGTCCTCGTGAGGATGTACGTTTCCCTTTCCCTTTCCCTTGTTCCTCCTTTTTTTCGGTTCCTTTCTGTCTTCATCCCGTAGCCGACGTCAACAATGAAAACTCCGTGACGGGGATCCGACTGCCATGGAGTACCGAGGCAGTCTCGCTTAAAAAACGCGGGGTAGAAAAAGGGGGCTGAAGGGGCTGAAGCGAGGCGGGGTGGCAGGTGGATACGATCCTTGTTTTTGTCGGTTAACGTTTTGTTGACAAGGCGAGAAAGGCTGACAGGGGTGGATGATGCGGATAGGTTGTATTCGGGAGTTTGCCATACGGATTATGGATTTTGCACGAATTCGTTTGGGTTGCCTGTGCCGGCTCCAAAGGGTGAGTTTTCCTTCTTTTTTAGCAGAAGAGTTTGCTGATGTGAGATTGGATTATAGGCCAAGTTGGTGGTCATGAAGGTATGAACAAGTTATTATTTCCCTGTAGAACCAATGACAGGAAATTGGATATTAACAGAAAGAACAGGTATCGGGGAAGTCATTGAGCAAGGTCCAGGAGTTACAAGTCCTGAGATTGGTGCGAAGGTTGGGATTAAGTATGCTGCTGATGCATGTTTGAATTGTGGTATGAAGTCTCCATGTTTACATTCATCACGATGAAAAGCTGGAACTGACTTCTGGTAGATAATTGTCTCGTAGGCGGAGAGACAAGTTGTGCCCAGACCAAAATCTCGGGCTATTTCACCCCAGGAACATTCCAGCAATATGTCATCAGTTCCGCCAAATATGTCACACCAATTCCTGATGGTATTGACCTTGCAGCTGCTGCACCATTGGTAAGTGTTCCCCGTCGCACTCTCACCCAGCCTTGCCATGCTGCCAGAAAATACTAACAAATGTCACAGATGTGTGGCGGCGTAACAGTCTACGCAGCCCTCAAACGCTCCAACACCAAACACGGCGACTGGGTCCTCATCACCGGCGCCGGCGGCGGCCTCGGCCACCTCGCCATCCAATTCGCAAAAGCTATCGGCGCTCTCGTAATCGCACTCGACCACGGCTCCAAAGAGTCCTTCTGCAAAGGCTTCGGCGCGGACGCGTTCGTCGATTTCACGAAATTTTCCAGCGATGAGGATATCACTGCTGAGGTGAAAAGGATAGCGCCGAAGGGAGTCAAAACTGTGATTGCGTGCGCGACGCCGACGAGGTCGTATGATCAGTGTATTGGGTTTTTGGGGTTCAGGGGAACATTGGTTTGTTTGGGCGTGCCGGAGAATGATAGGAAGCCGATTAAGGGGGCGGAGGCGTTTACGTTGTTGAATAATGAATTGTCTATTATGTGTAAGGTAGCCGGACTTTGCTTACCTGTCTGTGTCAGGATATTGGAGAAGCTGATAAGTTCTAGCACTCAAGGCAGGGAATAGGTTGGAGGCGAAAGAGTGTTTGGAACTCGTTGCTAGAGGGCTGGTCAAGACACATTATGAGTTGAGACCTATGGATAGTATCTCGGATGTGAGTTTTGTTTTCAAGAGATAGCGAACCTGTACTAACTCTGGCCAGATCTTCAAAGAGATGGAAACGGGTAGTATCAACGGCAGAATTGTCATCGATTTGAGATGAAGCGGGGATTGATTTCCAGTCCGAGGGAGGACAAGTCTGAGCGTTGTTGGGTCATCAATTACAGAGAAAAGCTTGCAGCGGAAGGCGATACCCAGATACAGCGAGATGAGAAGAGCAAGTCGCGAAGACGTCTCGCGACTTGCTTACCAAAGATGTTTTCGTTTCCCATTTGGAAGTTATCGTCTTTTTCCTAAATCAAGAATAAAGGTATCAGTTACCAGGCTGGTAGTTATTCTGTTCTGCCCTGACTTAGTATCGATGGAAAGTAGAAGAATGCCGTTGTACACAGCAAGTGCGGGACTTAAAGCTGCATGTGCTACATGAATTTCCAAGGATGAGATATTTGGAGTGTGTGCCTGCCGATGGTCGGAAACAGCCAATGCCGAGTCACAAGCCATCGTGTGATGGCAGATACCTAGACAACAACAAGCCATACACATGATGCAAGCTTCGGAGCCATATATTCGGAAGGACTAAACCGTTAAAGAATCGGCAGACAATCCATAACTGCCATCAAAAGTCAAATCGTAGATACTCACACGAGGCAAAACTTGAGACTGGAATGATCCATTGGACCAAGAGAAGAGCCTCACCCGAATCCAGCGCCTGCGCCGCCCGAGTACATATTGTTCTCCTGAGCAAAATCCTTGGTGAACGCCCAACGCGAGGGGGGATGCTTGACGACATGACTGTACGACGAGCAAGATCCTGCACGATCTGAAAGCAACGAATGGTATTCATTTTGTCTAACTCATCTCCATCATACAGCTCATCAAATTCGTCAATCGTCTTCAATCCAACTATCTCACCAGTGCTCGCCCATCATTCAAGCAACTTTAGATCGGCTTCGGATTCCCAGATACTCTTTACGGAAAGGATTGGCGTCAACTTCAGGTCCGCGATTCAGTGGTGTCCATTTTGGCTCTTCCTTGAATAAACGCATAGCCATAATATACTTCTGCCTGTTAGAAGATGATAGCCTCGAAATTCTATTCAGCAACATACATTATTGGAGTCCGTCGTAAATCGGTGATAGATCCCAGCGGGAAGAATCTAGCTGCAGTCAGCATATAGCCATGTCATCCGGGCGGCCCCAACGGCGAATAGACATACAATCAGATCGTCCTTCTCCAGCTGTATACGGACCCAATCGTCGCCCTCGCTCCGAACATCAAAGAACCCGGCACCATCTCTGATGTATCTGATTTCTTCATCCTCGTGCAAATGCTCGTTGAAGAACGACTTGACTTTCTCCTCGTAGATATCGCCCATCTTCTCTGGCGAAACAGTGATCAGGTCCCTGTTCTTGTAGCTTCTCTCTGCTGCTAGCTTGTCGACATCTTGTTCGCTTGGAAAGTTATAATAGAGGACGCCGAGTTTCGAGAGGTATTCTGCGGTTACTTCCTTGCCGGAGTCGTGAGGCTCGCGCTGGTCGCCCTGGTGTCTGTCAGCTCCAAAGCCCGGCAACGGCGCAGTTTCGTCTTGGTTGTCCATACCTCCGCGTTGTCGTACCAGTATGCTCTCATCTTGCTTAGCTGTGGCGATTGATTTGACAGGTGTTTGATTTCGGTTCAATGTTATGGACTTGGGTGTAGGCGAAAGCTTGGGGGGAAGGTGTTGAAGGCTGTCAGAATTACTGTATCGCGGCTATTAGAACAAGCTTGTTGGGAGGAAATCTGGGTATGCATGCAGCCGTAGTTCGTGGGATGTATGCTGAGGTGAGGGCAGTATCAGGATTTCCGTACTTACGGTGAGATTATAGAGAAAGCTAACACAATGTGGTGATACTGTTTGCTGTCAATGGGTGAATGGAATTAAAAATTGCCCCTCAATGACGGAATTGCAGGTGACTGACTAAGCGCAACGGCGGACATTTTGAGCCCAAGGATCTCAGGGATGTTTAGGCCTAAGCGAGCGGGATTCAGGGGGTCAACAACCCCGCAGGGCAACGGGATTGAGTGCAATACCCTGGAGATCTCGACTTCCAAGCATCATCCTCAAGCTTCTACTGAGAAGACTATGATACGGCAGAACGCGCGTGTTTGGCTCAAGCTACGAGCTGGTTTATCAAGCTAGTTGCACTGTCAATAGTCGTATGATCCCACCATGCTTCATAATGGCAGCGGTGAGCACAAAGCGCACCGCAACGACAGCTCACGACTAGACAACAACCATCGCCACATGTACATTTCAATCTTCAACCACAAAGCCAGCTCTCCACAACTGGCCGTGGCTATGACCACGCTCTGGCCCGACCGATGGCCCATAGAGAGAAAAGACAAGCATGTGTTGTCGGGATTGAAGACATCAGTCAGCCTCCATTCGGCTCTCCCGGCAGCAACGATTTCATTCGCTGCCATAAGGTCAGCCTCTGCGCCTCATGCATGGCTTGATATGCACATCAACGCAAGCCCCAATACTACCCTTTCGACCCTTTGGGTCTTCAATGCGCCTCCATTTCCCAGCAAACATGTGAGCGTTGGAGGCAAGCGCCCAGAAGCCATGGGGGCTGAGACGATCTGCCGCAGAGAGCTGGATATTTGAGGTGCGTGGTGGTGCAGACCAGTCGTTACGATCGCTTTTTGCTTTCATATCGTTTCAAATGCAAATGCCAACAGTGACTGGCAACGGATGTACCGTAAGATTATGAAACCTATCCGCTTGACGCCGTCTGGTGATACGCTGATGCCGAACCTCCTCAAATTCATATACTTGTTGGAAAAAGGTTCAGCCTATTCTAAGTGTCCAAGCGGATCATTGGACACACTTCGTGCTGTGCAGATGTACAGGAATAGAGATGCATAGAATGTCAGATGGACAAGCTCATTAAAAAGGCAGAGCGTTCTCTTCTGTCACTTCGATCATCTTCTTCAGTCAGACATTAGCTCCTTACGTCAATATCAAGACCAACATTCCCTCCAATAGTCGTCCACATCTATAAAGACTTCACACTCTTCACATCTGCAGCAGACTTGAACTTCCTTCCACAACAGTCAATTTTCTAAACACACCTCACCAAACTTCACAATGTCTCAAACCATCAACGACACCACCGCCCTCCTCAATTCCAACCACCGCTACACAAGGTCAGGCATTGGCGGCGCAGGAAACATTCGCAAGAACACTTCAACCCCCGCCGTTTCCTCCACACCCCGCATCATACCCACTCCATCCAAAGGGACATTCCTCACAGGCATCGGCGGCGCAGGCAACTCACGCTCTTACGAAGAGCGGGCCAGCATCTCTTTCGAAGAAGCCCTCGCTCGGGACAATTTCCGCAAGCTCTCTGTAGCAGGCAGTTACCACCACGGCATAGGCGGTATGGGAAACAGATCATCCGTCGTCGACTGCTCGGCTTCGAGTTCAGTTGAGTCGAATAGCTTCCTGAGCTCGGCGATGGCGATGCAGAGTGGTGCGGATAGAGTTAAGGGTCGGGTGGTGAGCTTCTTTGGAGGCTCGAGTAGTAAGAGGAGTTCGATGGTTGATGAGAAGGATGATGTTTCGACTGATGGAAGGAGTAGCTGGGCGAAAGAGAACTAGACTAGATGTTTCTTGGGATAGACTTGTTGTTGGGTTATGGCTGGGTTGGGGTGGGTTCTTTCCTTTGGTTTGGATGGAAAAACAATACCCTTTTGACACTTGGCGAGTGAATTTGGAAGTTTTCTCGGCGAGCGTTTATGAATTTCTTGATAGTTTCTCTTATTTCATGTTTGCCCTGATAGCACTGCAGCACTGTAAATATATCTCATTCGATCTGCCTTTCAACGACACACCTTCTTCATTACCTCTGCGTACTATCAGCTCCACCAAAAATCCATCATACTTCAAAGCAACAAGTCTCACAAACGCGCTGATCCAAGAAGGTTCAACAACGCATTCCTCCCATCCCTGAATAGCCCCTCCCTCTAGCCATCCAAACAAAACTCGCAACTCTTTTCTTACTTGGCCCCAAACAATCTTCAACCAATGATTTATTCCTCATCTTCTCCCACACACAAAGGCACATCAATCTTCCTCCCCTCCCCAGATCTCCATTCCAGAACGCCCATTGCAGAGAAACTCCCAGCCAGCAGTGCGGTAGACGCAATCCCAACTAAACAAGCTCAAAGCTCGGCTCGGTACTCCATTCACTCAGCCAGCCACAAGCGAGAAAACTAGTGCCGGTGGTACATCGCCACGACTCAGAACCAAATCCGCACGTGGACTTTGAAAGCCAGTCGCTACCAAGGTACAACTTCGACGAGTACCGATTGGACAGATATCTCACCGCAACGTAGATTGACCTGTAATTTTTATCGATCGACAGTCAATTCTTGTGAAGTCGTTTGGCCTCACCTCACTACTAGAGGACTCGTGAGAAAGAGAAATTCCAAAACACGTGTTGCTTTTAGCAAGTGCTTTTCTTTTTTCCTCATTTCAATAGGTACCCAAAGCCCTGTCGAAGGAAGAACTCCTAAGATCAGACCACTAGACAACACCAAGAAATTTCAATTGGTGTAGGCCCGTAAGTCATCCAATCACGATATCTCGTCTTGAATTTTGGCTGCGCTGGCTGTCGGTGGTCTAGGCTGGGATATGAGACATCTTCCCGCAACTCGATGTCTTTCTCTTTGCAAGCATATTTCTCGATTGGTAGGTAGGTAAATTAGGTATATGCGGCCCGTGGATAGTATGTGTGGGACTCTCCCTCGGTCTCTTTGTAATTATTTGATACACTGTGTACTGGTGAGACTCGCTCATCTGTGCATGATGTGTATGTCTAGTTTGTTTACATCGTTCCTGAGCTTTCATCAAGTAAATAATCAGAACCCAAGACAAAGAATGGGTGCAATTTAGACTGGCCACTGACCTTGGGTTTGTGTTGGCCTGCACTTAGACGGTCGTGTTGGGGGAAATGGAGGAGGGGCATGGAATGAGACATTATCATGCTAGATGGCGTGCTCTGCATGCAACATGGCTTTCCACAACATCTGGAGTGTTTCGATTTTGGATGAGACTTTGGGATTTTGTTCCTGTATGGCGCTAGATTGTGGTTACTGGCGAGGATGTTCTGAGGTCTGAAGTCTGGACTGGGATGGACTGGACTGAACACGCTGTCGACTGATTGGCGCGATGGGCCGAAGGAATGGGAGCCGGATCCGTGTGTGTAATTTTCGTGAATCTTTACTCTGTTTCGATCCCACGTATATGATGGTCCCCATGTACATGATAATGTCTTGCCTGCACTCATGCAAACACAGTAGGTAAAATGCTACTGGAGGCAGCGGGTCCAAGTTGATCTGATCTGATTAGTGGAGAATCTACCATTTCTAGCATTAAGAAAAAAGAAATCTGAGGATTTAGAAGTGAATACAGAAATCCAGATACCTATATGGATTATTCCCGCTCCTCCTACCCCATGTTTTCTATCCTCAAACGTCAATATCAAAGCTTGATCTCCAAAAAGGAGGAGCTCGCTCGCTTACCAACAGTAAACAAGCCCGATATCGGCGATATTTCCGCACAGAGAAACCCCACACAGGCATCCTAAGTACGTGAGCTGAGCACAACTCAACGCAACAGCCAAAAGGGAAAAAAGTCAAAAATATAGTGAGGTTGCAACCGCCGTGAATCGAACACGAACCTCCACCTTGCTTGACGTTATGTCTGGAAGGGTGGAATCCTTGAGGGCTGTTAGTGGATGTTCAAGTATTGTTGGTTAATTGTGACTAACCTAACCATTGGACCACGGAAGCAGTTTCTGACGTCAATTGTCTTATTTCGTTACAGATACACAACATCAAAATGACTGCAATGTGGGATTAAAACTTAGCCGACTCTCAAGTCCCCAACACCCGTTGAGGGCCGGATTCTTGTGGCATAAATCTTGCAGAGCCAACAACTGGAGAGGACAATAAATACACAAGACCTCTTGTTTCAACTAGATACTGGCGCAGGAGGAAGTTTGCACGTAAGCTAGAAATTGTAACAAAGTACTTGCTTTAGCACACGTGAATCTATAACCAATTCTCGAGGCAAATCAAGGTCCAATAGCCAGTCACATCCTCAAAAGTAATTGGACGCATTCAGAGGTTGCGGAGAGTTGTTCTTCTTATGCAGTTAGAGGCAGTGGTGCATTTATATATGGCTAATAATCTTGTGCAGTTTTGCTGCTCCTTGGCTGCGTTTCCTCTATTTGAGCTGCCTCTCTAAGATTGTTTCGAAGTCTTTCAGTCCTTTATTGGACTTCCGAAAGCGTGGCATTAGCAAGCTGCTTCGGCTGCTCAATGGCTAGCTCTGGAGCCATCTTCCTCCATGTCTTGGAACGCATCTCTTTGCCTGTTTGGCTTCAACATGTTTCCTCAGTCCCATTCCTCATCGTCACTATCAGCTTTCTTCTGTGCCTTCACTCCCCACTTCACGCTTGCTTCTCCCACGGCCTTCGCTCTTTGCAATACGCCAGCTCCAAGTAACCTTGTCTCCAGATCCTTGGTTGTGAATGTATCCTGTGTATAGCCCAATCCCTCAAATCCAACAATCCTATCAACACTGACTCCATTGGCAAACGCCAACACGCAAGGCAGTACCTGTACCTTGAGTTTGACAACCAAGAATGGTGCATTATCGACATTCATCTTCAAAAATCGTGTATCTGTATGCTTTGCCGCAAGAGCCTGCCATGATCAGCCCAATTCAAATCCCTGGAAGAGGGGTCCTACCTCTAAATGCCCATCCATAACCCCGCATCGCGCGAAATCGTCCTTCGCAAAGTGTACTACGGCAAACTTGACCGAAGCTGTCAGTTCCATCAATGCCTTCTCCTCCTTGATTTCTGTATAGTTCCCAAAGCCATCGCTCTTCTGCGCCTTTGCGCGAGAGAATTCGGAATGTAGCTGCTGGATTCTCTGTTCGCGGAATGCATCGAGAGCTGGAGAGTCTTCAAGCGATGCAATGAGGGCATCTTCATCGTCGGAAGTGCTACCCGCATCAAGAATGGCTGCTACTTGAGAATCTAGTTTTGCCATCTTGTGGATTTGTGAAGTTCTTATGGCTGGACGGGACGCGCTGAAAGCCAATCTAGAGTTTCGCGATGCGATGGATCTACGCGTGGCCCTAGGCTTGATTGAGAGGGCACGTTGATTTTGATGGTTAAGTACAGGGGCAGGACACTCTGCATCACTGGAAGCACCGGGATTATTCCTTCGTAAATCTATCTGAATCGAAACTTCATTATCCTATCCTTACGAACCCTTACCAATTTGGACCCCTTTTTGAGAGATTGCCACGACGGCTCCAGAATTAAATTCGCCTTGCGCACAATCCCTGCCTCCCGTCTAAATTTAACGACCGCTAAGGCTTTTGGAAGGGAGAGGCCAGGTACTTTGTTGAATTCTCCTTGACAATCTTCAACTCTTCAGCCAAGGACGTCGACCAGCTGTTCAGGCATTCCCATCAGTCGCAGATATCTCGTCGATGCTGCGATAACAACGAATTGTACTAGAGCTATTCCCTCAGTGTTCAACCGACAGGCCAGCTTCCCCCTTTCGTCAGCGCGAAGACGCCCCTTCAGCTTCTCTATCCAACACCACCTGAATTACCGCAGCCATGGATAACAAGAAGAACGAAGACTATGCCATCAACATGCCCGACAACAACTTCAATGGGCGGAATTCTCCTTCTGCGAGGGATCCCTTCATCATCCCGACCAGATCCCCAAGGAACTCTCCTGCAGCTCCCCTTTCCAACATCACGAACAGCCCGCCCCTCTCTATTCTGGCATACTGTCTAGCTTCGATATCGATGACAGTGACAAATAAGTACTGTGTGTCAGGAGCCAACTGGAATTTGAACTTCTTCTACCTTGCGATCCAGGTACGTCCCTCGGCACAAACTCTCGAGGCCATGGCTAATGAACACAGTCTCTGGTTTGCATCACTGCTATCATACTCTGCAAGCAAGCCGGCTTGATCACGACCCTTGCGCCTTTCGATTCGAAGAAGGCGAAGACATGTAAGATAAACATTGTCAATGGTTGTTGGACGAATGCTAATGTACACAGGGTTTCCCATCTCCCTTCTCCTCGTCGGCATGATCTACACCAGTACCAAAGCACTCCAGTTCCTTTCAGTCCCCGTATACACGATTTTCAAGAACTTGGCCATCATTGTTACCGCATATGGAGAGGTTTTATGGTTTGGAGGAAGCGTCACAGCCTCTGCCCTTTTCGCATTCGGGCTTATGGTACTCAGCTCCGTAGTTGCTGCTTGGGCTGATATCCAAAATGCGCTCTATGGTAGCGCCGAGATCCAGAGTGCGGAAGCTGCATTGGCTATTTCGACCTTGAACGCCGGTTATGCGTGGATGGGAATGAACGTTTTCTGCACTTCGGCTTACGTTCTGTCCATGCGCAAGGTCATCAAGAAGATGAACTTCAAGGATTGGGACAGTGAGTTATGGTTCTGCCCTACTTCTGAATTATGCTAATTCTTGCCAAGCAATGTTCTACAACAACCTCCTCACCATCCCAGTCCTCTTCCTCTGCTCATTTCTTTTCGAGAACTGGTCCAGCACGAACATCGAGAAGAACTTCCCTATCGAATCCCGAAGGAGCCTTATGGTCGGAATGGTCTACTCCGGTCTTGCAACCATCTTCATCTCGTACTGCTCAGCCTGGTGCATCCGTGTTACCTCCTCCACTACATACTCTATGGTTGGAGCTCTCAACAAGCTACCAATCGCAGTCAGCGGTCTGATCTTCTTCGCCGCACCAGTCACCTTCGGAAGTGTTTCAGCTATCATTATTGGATTCGTTAGCGGAATAGTCTATACCTGGGCCAAGGTCAGACAAACTCAGATGAGCAAGATGTCGCTCCCATCCTCCAACCAGCAAGTCATGAGTGCCAGCTCGCAAAGCGACCGAGACGCCTCGAAGTAGATTATCTTCGAAAAGCCTCTTGAATCTTCTCAATATTCGTCTCCAGGTTAGTTTGAGGCTCCAGACCAATCATCACGTCAGGCCTTCAGTTCGTCGGCTGTTGAACGAAGTTTTTTATTTTGTATTATAGCTCTCTTCAGCTTATGTTGTTCTAGACTGGGTGGCAATGGATCATACAGATGGTTCGTGTAGGACGTGAGTTCGGTACTTGGGTGCATTTCATCCAATGAGACGACGTCCATGTTCTTCTTTGTCCTCTTTTGGGTTTCGTTGAAGTTTCGAATGTGGCGTAAGATAGTGTAGGGATTACAGAAAATATACAATACGAATAATGGAATTTAGACACTACTTTCTCTTGTTTCCCTTGGTGTAGGCATAGTATTCAATATCTGGAATGAGCTAATCATTGTCACTGGTATTTGGATGTATGAAATTGTCGGGAATATGTTTGATACTTGGCTTAGTAGAAAGATCCCTTGGAACGTAATGGGAAAAGGGGCTTAGTAGTCTTGATAATCTGCTGTGAAAAACATGTGATGTTATTAAAGATGAGGTGCAGAATCCATCGAGATACGCAATAAGCTTATAATAATGCTTTATTCCGGAATGTATATTCAGAATGTTGTTTACTGATGCATCTTGGGATCTGCACACAAGGCTAGCCTCGTCAAATGACGTCCTTCAGCCGCGTCAGTTTTTCGAAAAATATTCGCGACAACTCCAAGTACAAACCACACCCAACAATTGAGCTGGTCTCAATCCTCACTTGTACCAGATAGCCGTATCTCGTAATAGCGAGATCACATTGAAGTCACAAGAATGCCTATTGAGGCCCCCAGAATCGAATCCTCGTACGTGTTCCCCTCTTCAGCAATAGCAATACTAACCCCTCCAGCCTCTCCTTCACACAAGGTCTCCTCCTCGGCCAACTCTCCGTCGTAATTCTCCTTGGAGCCTTTATTAAATTCTTCATATTCGGCGACCCTCCCTCCCCCGACATAACGGCCGCCCTACGCGCAACAGAGCGACGTTCTCGAACCCTCGCACACAAACGCTCGCTCCTCTCTCTCCGCACATCATCTCGTCCCTCCGCACCCTCCACACACCACCAAACGCTCAACAAGAAGCGATCAAGCGTGCTACGCAATCCGCCGCCTCTCACGACAAACACTATTCTCAGCAAGACATATTATAATGTTGATTCGCACCAGCCGGAGAGTTTGGATTGGTTCAACGTGCTGATCGCCCAGACGATAGCGCAGTTCAGAAGCGATGCGCAGCATGACGATGCGATATTGACTTCTCTTACGAAAGCTTTGAACGGGACGTCACGGCCGGATTTCTTGGACGAGATCAAAGTTACAGAATTGAGTCTTGGCGAGGACTTCCCCATTTTCAGCAATTGTCGGGTGATACCAGTCGACGAGGACGGTTTGAGCTTGGGCGCTCCTACGAGGGGAGAGGCAGCGGGCAGAGAACATGGAAGGTTACAAGCGCGAATGGATGTTGACCTGAGTGATTTCATCACATTGGCCGTGGAGACGAAATTACTGCTGAATTACCCCAAGCCGCTTGTTGCGGTGCTACCTGTCGCACTGGCGGTAAGTGTGGTGCGGTTTAGCGGCACTTTATCTATCTCATTCATTCCGGGGAGTGCGAATAATGCTACTATGCTGGCTTTCAGTTTCCTCGATGACTACAGACTGGATTTCTCCGTCAGGAGTCTAGTGGGGAGCCGAAGTCGTCTACAGGATGTGCCGAAGATTGCATCGCTGGTAGAGGCGAGATTGCATACTTGGTTTGATGAGAGGGCTGTTGAGCCACGGTTCCAGCAAATAGAGTTACCGAGTATGTGGCCTAGGAAGAAGAATACGAGGGGTGGTGAGGATGTGGGTAGTGGGAGCGGACTGGGCAGTGAACCAGCGAGTATGAGTCGTGCGAAGGGGAAAGAGATTGAGAGGGACTTGAGGGAAGAAGCTCGGAGGGAGGTTGAAGCTGAAGCAAGGGCAAGAGGAGAGGCTGAGGCTAATGAGCAGGATGGATTGAGGTGGAGGAGGAGAGCTAGGGGTGAAGGGGAATATGCTATGCCTGGGAGTATGCCGGGTTTGAATATGGCTTAAAGCTTCTGCTCAGAAACCTTGGCAGGTGCTTTTTTAATTTCTCGCGTGGTGTCTGCCTTGTTTGATATCGCGAGGACGCTTGCAACGGCATGAATCAAAGATCAAGATCTGGAAAGGATTACCTACAAACATAGGTACAGAAATCACGTGGTGTTGGTTTTGGTCAGGGGTTACGGGTCAGCTTATCAAGCAGAACTCCCAATCACCTACAGGATATAACAACGATCACTTCGCCCTGTTCTGTACATTACAGAGTATAGAAAGCTAAGTATGGTGGAAGACATAGCCGAGAAGAGGAAGAGGCTGAATCGCGACCGCCAGAAGGCTTGGCGTAAGTACCAGTTCTGCCTCTTTGGGTCTATGGCGCTTGTGTGGATGACTTCATGATGCCAACAGTTGAAATGTTCTCCGACCTTTTCGAATTGTGTACTCATGATATGACAGGTGACAGAAAGAGGATGGCTCGTAGAGCAGAGATAGGGGCGGCTCACACCGAACCAGTCTGGCATGGCCATGGCATATTGATTGCGCCTCCTAGCCATCATGAGTCTACGATACCAGAAACCAGCGGTTCGGCAGCACAGTTACTCGGCAATCGGTGCGGAAATACTTCCAGGCTTCAAATCAGTGAAGTGACCAAATCCGATTTTCCCATACTGGTGGCGGGCAACGCAAGGTTAAAGAAGAGTAGTCTCATTCCACCACTATTAACGTACACGACAGACGCAAGTCTTGAGCTACGTATAACTACGATTATGTTCCCACTTTCTCCAGACCACCAGCTCATCACATTAGTCCAGTATAACGTTGTCCGGGCCTTAATACTCAACATGTCAATGCTATCACTTCTGTACTGCCTGCCTGACAAATGCAGTCGTGCATTCGGCATCTCTAGCACTGGTCCATCCCCACCAGAAAAAATCTCCAAAGACCTCCAACCCACTCCTATACAACAATCTATCCCTCACCCGTTCTGGATCAGCGCTATCCCATTCCCGGCTTTGAGGGATAACCTGATCCTCATGGCTGGGATGTATGACCGTGACGACTTGTGTTATGATCTGGGCCAGGCTTTGTACGAAGGTTTCGATGATGTGGAAAGGCGTGGGTTTTTGGTTTGGAGAGATCCGTGGCAGATGGACGGGTGGGAGGTTACGGAAGGGTTTGTGAAGAAGTGGGGGTTTTTACTAGAGGGTTGCTCTGAGGTGGTGGAATCGGCAAATCGTTGGAGAGATGTGCGGGGGGAGGAGAGGCTGGTTGTAGAAACTTGAGATATTGGGGAGTCAAGAGAAGTACCAGCCTTGGGTGACATTAGCTGGATGTACGCGGGTTTCTAGAGTGGAATAGAGCGTCCAGTATCTGCTTTCTCTCTTCAATTTTTGAATCGTCGACCTTCTAGTAAGTCAAGTACACACACTTTCCTTCCCACCCACCCTGACAGATGACCTTCTCAAAAATCCAAGTCCCAACATCTTTGCGACTAACAGTATATCCAATCTCAGGACCAGGCTCATTAGGACGTTTCTCGGCCCCTTCCACGCCCCATTCCCAACTCACTCTAAGCCCACCATCACCTCTTGCAATGCCGTCCGTCAAGAACAACGGCCGCATAATCACAAAATCTCGCACATGGGCTCCCTTATCCTTGAATGCTAGCTCCTCCATACGCTTCTTGTCTGCCAGCGGACCTCCGAGTAGGTAATAATACTGCGGATACACGGGCAATGGCACGCCTCGGTTTCTCCCACAGCCTGCAGTGCTGACTAGAATCAGGAGAGGCTTCTGGCCAGTGCTGTTGGTCACAATAGGAGGTCGAGACGTTGATGCCAGATCTGAGAGTGCGCTGTAGATGGCGCCAATTGCAGTTTCACAGATGTTGGGATCTGTGAGTGGGAAGGGTCGCTTGATGCTCCATTGGAAAGTTGGGTAGGCACCAACTCCGCTGACAATGATGTCCACAAGGAGTGTGTGATCGATCGGGTTAATGAGTACGGAGCGGACATCAGTCGGGCTTTTGACGTTGCCCTGGTGAACATTGAGATATCTGGTGATCGTTTCTAGGGGTATTCCGTGTTCATTGATGAGGAGATTGTGAAGCTCGTCAGGTGTTCGAGCAACTGTGATCGGGAATCATGAGCCCTGTTATTGCAGATAGGCTGGGTGACAAAGACGTACGAGCTGTGCAATTATATCCTGATTTTAATGCACATGCCAGACTTGTGGCTACACATCCACCTGTGGCCCCAAAACAAGCGATGGTTGGCTTGGAAGAAGACATGATTTTTTGTGTCGAACAGGCTATGAGACACTGGTGATTTTCGGCTCCGAGATGCTTGAAAGGATGTATTTTTTTTCATCGTTACAGAGTTCCCTCGGAGTCTTTATAGACCCGCGTGTCCCTCGAACCGCTCGCAACAATGTGATTCCTTCATACAAGGTGTCAGGGGGGCTCTCGCTTGGAGCGTTACGCTCTAACCGTATTCGGTCGTGGTATACACTTGGCTAGAACTTCCTCCTTGACGCTGACAGGGAACTTCAGTCACGGCATCATAGTTGTACCGGTCGGGATAATTATAGATGGTGAGTAACTGAATCGCCGGTATGACGTAAAAAGGTGGATACGAAAAGCATGAGATTGTCCGTTCCATGTGATAGCCGCGCCAGGGTAGCTACTGCTCGAAGCTCAGCTGAGATATCTTTTTGAAGACAACATGTCGCTTTGATACAGTAAGATACCATAATCCAGAAGCTTAAAGCATCATAAAGTAGTGACAGAATCAACTAATTCTCGAGGAATGCGGCGTTGCGAAGTAATTGAAGATATACCAGAAGAGGTTTGCTCGCTTCGGTAAGCGAGGACTTGGCTGTCAAACAAACAGATGAAGCCATCTGATCTTCCCTCACAGCCTCGATCATACTTGTTAATTCGAGACTGCTTGAAACGTTCTCCTCTTAAGCTTGAATCCTTTTATGCAGACGTAACACGATAATGAAACTAACACGACAGAACTTAAGCTTTGTTGCAATCAAGGGTATAATTACATTCTATAGTAACCAGGCAGAAATCTTGGATTGTTGAGGATGCCTAATAGTGATTGCAATGAGTCTCTTACTTCCTGAATGGTAACTTGAAATTTTGGGTGGTTCTATGTGGTGTGGGGATGGCTCGCACGGAAAACAAGCTGAGGTGAACGATGAGTTAATGAAATATTCTGCTGATGAGCAATTGAGAAGGTCCATGTGGGATTACAATCTTGGAGCAGTATATGTATGAAGCTCTGAGTATGCTGTAGAATGGAAAACTAGCATGAGCCCATTCGCTTACGCTTGTTTACGTCCCCATCCATCAGCAATTTCTGCCCCACCCACCTGGAGATAGGACCGCTGACTTTGCTCGTTCTTTCGCATAAACGATATTAAACGGTTCTAAATTTCTAGATAATGTACGGTTTTGTCCTTATTGTTGTTGCAATTCACTGCCTCAAAACGGTCATGGTGCAGCATCAGGGATACTCGGAAGTCCTTATCCCCCTCACAGGAACATACGGGTTCCGTAACATGGCATCGACACGGTGGAAAATCCTAACACGGTGTCTGAGGTTGAAGCCATCCCCCATGTTTGCACAAAGTTCTTCAGTGGTGGGGTTGCGGATGGTTCGTGGAGGGACGCCGAAGAGATCTGGGACGGGGAAATCGTCTGAGGAGGAGCCGGCCGAAGGCGAAAGATGGGTGTAGAGACTACACTCGTCATAAATTTATGAGAAGAGTGGTTTCCTGGGTAAGCGGGTGAATAAAATATGGACGGCGGCCAAAGCTACCCTGCAAAAGCCGGGCAAAGTTCACAAACAGTGAATTCCAACCCCTTTTTAAGCGAGAGGTGTATTGATGACAACATTATCAACAGTAAAGATCTATGAATGAACAATGCCCACAGAAAATTCACTTACTTAATAATCATACCTTCTTTATCCGGAGCGTGTTTCCGAGACCAAAACACAAATTCCTCTCCATACGTGACTATTCGGCACGGAACAATAGGTTCCCTCCAGTCAGCGCAAGTATTTCTCGCGAGTACTAAGATACCTCGCTTACTTCTAAACATGGTAGACGACACCCGAGCCGCACATGCAGGTACCCCACAAAATATATCAATCTCAAAGACCAGATGGAAGCTTTTAAAAGCTGTGCCTCCACGGTACTTCTTTGCGCTAGTATGCGAATGCGAAATTTTGTTCAGGCTAAATGGTTTGTGAGGCGTCATGTTGCTGAGATGTACGTTCTCGCCTGGGGTGGGGAAGCCATAGTCTTGCGAGATGTTGACGGTATGTTAAAGAGATAAAGGAAGCCATGCTCTCAGAACTGTGCGAACTTGGCTCAGGAGCTTGATTGAAGGACTGGACAATTTGGTTTCAAGATGATTCGAGAGGTTCTTGCTTTCCTGGCGCTTGTTGGCCTAGTCGTCTCTACTCCTAGCACGAGTCAAATCGGATCGGATGTCACGATACTGACAGACAATGATCTATACGGTAAATCCAAGTCCTGATCTTGTTTACTCCTTTTGTACCAACTTCAAATGGCGGACTAACTCAGAGCGTCTTCAGATAATCTCACGACACGAACAGGCTCGGCTCTCCTCTTGTCTAGCCTTCAAACATACAAATCGGCTATCAAATCCTGCACTTTGCTCGGAGAAGATCTCTGGTTCTCGGAACTTCCTGGACAAGCATTCGAGTTAGGCTTGAACAACTCTCTTAGCTACCAGCAGTACATCGGAACATTTTGCTCATCTCAGAAACTCTGGATTGCTAGTCCTGCTTCTACAGATTTTAGCTCAAAAAAGTCATCGTGCCCAGCAATCGACGTTCGAGGTAGCACCTCGCTTCAAAAATGTAACACCAAACTCCCCGTCCTCTGTACCCAGAAGGCTCCTATGTCAACAGTAGCTGCTTTGAACATATCTGCTCCATACCAGATTACGGTACAAGCCGGCAAGCAAACCCTCACAGGATTCCGTGACAAGCATGCCTTTACATTTCTCGGCATACGCTTCGCACCTCAGCCTCCACGTCTCGGCTACTCCCAGCTATTCACTGGCTCCGAGTCCACAACAGCTCTACAACCAGGTCCAATATGCGTGCAAGCGCCAAGCAAAGGCAGCGAAGACTGTCACTTCCTCAACGTCTGGACGCCATATCTCCCATCTAGTCGATACAAACCCGCCAAGAAACAGCTCAAAGCAGTGATGGTCTGGATATTCGGGGGCGGTTTCGTCGGCGGGTATGGTTACGATCCAAGCACGTCTGGTGTGTACCTCGCTTCTCGAGGCGATGTCGTTGTCGTGACGCTGAACCATCGAGTTGGGGTTCTGGGATTTCTTGCCTTGAAAGATGGGACAGCAAACGGGAACTATGGAATTGGCGATATTGTGACGGCTTTGAAGTGGGTGAAAGCAAATATCGAAGCTTTCGGAGGCGATCCGGATCGAGTGACGCTTTTTGGACAGAGTTCTGGAGCGGCAGCGATCAGGGCATTAATTGCGTCACCTGAGGCGAAAGGACTGGTTCATGCCGCAATTATGCAAAGTGCACCGGTGGGATTCAGTGATTTTGATGCGTATACTCATTATGGGAAGATCGAGGATCTGTACAAGAGTGTTACGACGCCGGTGCTTAGTGCGGTGGGCTGTCTGAATGTGACGGATCAGCTTGCTTGCTTGAAAAGAAAGGATTTTTATGAGCTTACTGATGTACCTGTACTCGTCAAGTAAGTCTTTGCTTTCCTAAAATGAGAGGAGACGTGAGCTAATAGAACCAGTACACCTACAATCGATGGCAAATACATCGTCTCACCAAGGCTGTCCCTAACCGGGAAAGAGTATGCAGCTCGGATCCCCATCTTGACAGGTACAAATCGAGATGAGAGTGGTATCACAGCTCCATATCCAGCTCCAGCATCACTAGACGAAGCTCTCGACCAGATTGCTGGATTGCTTCGACTCAACCTCTCGTACATTCCCTCCACAGGAGCATTTACAGTTCCAGCAGGTCCAGATCCAACCGTCAATAACTTCAAAGTAACCTCGCGAATCATCACGGACGGTGGACTACATTGTCTGAACCAAGCCACTGCATTCTCAGGTGTCAAGCATAAAGTGTTCCCAGCTGTCTACTCCTACGTCTTCAATCGCACTTACCAGCCACCTACATTCACAAACGACGCCTGCAACGCTCCCATCACACCCTCTCATCCATTTGGAGACCCCAATTTGGAGTATTCCAAGTGCCATGCGGGAGACGTGATCTGGACGTTTGGATTATTATCGAGACTGCTTCCAGTGAGAGACGATATCGACCTTCCGTTCTCGCAGCTTATCCTCGATTACTGGACTTCGTTTGCTAGGACACATGACCCGAATCCGGATATGGGTTACTTGAAAGCCAGAGGATACTGGGGTACTGTCGCGCAGTTGAAGGTAGTGGGGGGATGGGATGAAGTTAAAGGGAGTAAGCCGACTGCGAGGTGGCTGCATTGGAATGGCAAGCAGGTTCCGTTTGACGAGAAGGAGCAGTGTGATGCTCTTGGACTTCCTTTGGATTATTATGAGTCGTTATGATAGGAGAAGAAAATGGCTTACTGCTGGATATTGTTGTATCGATAGAGGTTGTTGCTTTTGACTTTCTAGAACGGCACATGTTTTTGACTTGCACCTCTGCAACATGAGTCCATATACATGAAAGCGTATCGACGGACCAGTCTAGAGGTTAGGGTTCATGTAATATCATTCGGCCGGGGTTTCCAAGAACCTGAATTAGCGCTGTCATATAGGTCACGCTACTACCTTGACAGAGACACTGTCTTAATCTGAAGACAGTTTGTTTGCTAGATTGACAGGATCACTCGGATCGGATGACTGTACCTTATTTACTAGATGATGTGATTATCAAAGGGCATAGGGCGAGATACAGTCGAAGACTCCACTAATGCTTTGGAGTGAGATGCATATAAAAAGAGCTACTGGCAGGAGCAGGGACTGGATATTCCAACCGCCCACTAGGCCATATAGACTATCTAATATAATACACTATTTATACACATCAGATACATATAATATACACTCACCCCTTTCCCTTGTCATTGCCGTCCAATCTCTCGCTAACTTACACCCTTACAGCCCTACCGCCTCCCTAACAAGCACCATAGTCTCCTCCGCACTCTCCCTCGCCCTCTTCGCCCCCCTCATCGCAACCTCCTCCACATATCCCTCCTCCCTCATGACCTCCTCAAACCTCCCCCTCACCCCACTCAACCCCTCACCCACCGCCTCTCCCACCATCTTCTTGAACACACCCAAACCCATCCCCTCTTTCTCAAACTTCTCTCCAAGTTCCTGCGGACTTCGTCCATGCTCGTCAAAAGACGAGAGGAGCGTGAGGAGGTTGGAGACGCCGGGGCGGGAGACGGGGTCCCAGGTTACGAGGTTTTGGGAGTCGGTTAAAGCGGAGGAGATCTTTTGGGAGATAGTGGTGGGGGTGTCGGTTATGAGGATGCGGGAGAGGGGGGAGGGGGCGGATTTGGACATTTTGGTGGTGGGGGAGGTGAGGGACATTATGCGTTTTGTTGGGGCTGCGAGGGGTGTTAGTAGTTTATTTTATTGGAGAATTGAGGGAGCACATCAAGAAGGAGGCGGCGGAAGGGACATACAGAGAATAGTTTGTGGAGTGACTAGATGAGAACAGCCGTATGTATGGTTGAAATTCGTGACGCATTCGCGAGCGAATTCTAAATGTTGGCTCTGGTCTTCCCCAACTGGTACGTGTGTTGCTCTATTGAGACATTCTTTTAGCTCATGCCTCTTTATCAAACTTATAACACTTCATTCGTCGCCAGTATACAAGGCCTAAATGCTCATTTTCAGATGGGCGACAAAAATAGAAGGACATACCTATGCACCAAAATATCCGCGGCCTGCAACACAGGATACGAGAACAAGCCCAACTTAAGTTTCGACTTGCTACTCTCATCCAACGGTGACGTGTTATCCGATAGCGATAACTTGCTCTATGATATTATAAGCATATTTATTCATGACAATTGAGCAAGAAAGGAAACATACCTTCCACTGTGTCATCCGTGAGAGGTATCCCATGCTAGCTGTACAGCTGAGAATCCACATTAGCTCGGAGTGAGCTGCTACCTACAGAGAGAAATGATTAGTGCTTGATATGCTAGTGACAAAGTTTCCCATCTTGACAGTCGCAGCTTCACTACCCGGTACATCTGAATTGCAAAACTAGCGAGCAGCCCAAACACAAATCAACAACAGCATTCCCAAGCTCAGTCTCTCAAAGCCTTCTCAGCCAAATCATAAAAAGAAACAAACACCCTGACTATTCTCCACAAATCCTAATCAAAAAAACAAAATAGAGGAATCCACACATACCTGCCCCTGCCAAAAGACCGTACACCTCTCCTCCCTAACCCCACACGCCAACAGACTCGCCAGCGCCTCGCGCCTCCACCTCCTCAGATCCTCTGGTCTCTGAAACAACGTAATAGCATGGAGGTCGACGACGGAGAAAAAGAGGTTGGTGCTTGCAGCGGAGGTGTCTTGGAGGGAGACCCAGGTCCGTAGCGCGCCGAGGTAGTTGCCTAGGTGGGGGATGCCGGTGGGTTGGATGCCGGAGAAGATTGTTTGGGGGGTGGAGGGGGGCGAGGGAGGAGAGGATGATTGGGAGGAGGAAGGTGAGGATGAGAAGCGTGAGGTTTGAATGTGTGATTGTGAGGTTGCTTTACAAGACATGACAGCAGAGCGTACTGGGTGCTGTAGTATACGAGTGTGTCGTGTTGGAGCGAACATGATTGATGACATTAAGTTATGCCCGCAATTGAATGAGTGAGTTTGAGGTTTGGATGAACTGGAGTGAGACGGGATGGGACGATTTTTCCAGGTTCGCGATACAGACGCGAGGACACGTGATGGATTTTGACCTTTTGGTGTCCTGGCGGCTTTAACAAGAGCTTCTAACTATCATCTGGCGTTGTCTGAGGCTTTCAAGGGAACAGAGTTGTGTTTTGTACTCTGAATTTGGTTGATATTTTCTGTACAAGACATTTTCTGCTATGGGTACATTTCTGCTCCTCACCTATCCATGCATGGTATTTTCTACATCGAGCACTCCAAAGATCATACACTCTTTCCTTTCTTCTATCAATCAAGGAATCCTCTTAAGCATAGGTGCATTTCCACCCGTCGCAGCTCTGAAGTTCTCCCGGTTAATAACCTCTATAGCCTTCTTGCCTGTCTCTCCATTCTTCCTGAACGCAAAGTCTCCAAGCGTAGACTCGAGCTCCCCTCTCATCTTCTCCATTTGAGCGTCCATATCCTTGCCGACGTCTGTTGTAAACGTTAGCCAATGTCCCAATGGTATATCCACTGCTCATGCTCCAGCCCAAGCCATGCCCATGTAAAACACTCCCCCCAAAACTCCCAATTGTACTTCCAAGGACAAGGCAAAACGTACCAATACTCGAAAACTCCCACACATTCGCCTTCATACCCACCCCATAATAAGCATGTTTCCTCAAAAACGCCAACCACAACTCCTGCGCCTCCGCCTCCCCATCCCGAATCTGAATCAATCTCCTCAACGTCCTCCTCTCAAAATTCTCCTGGCTCTTCTTATGAATGAAACTGCCTCTCGGCACAGTCCAGCGCTCTACAATGCGAGGGAGAGGGACGGGGCCGTGGGCGGGAAGTCCGAGGTAGTAGGCTGCACGGAGGGCGAAGTCGGCGAAGAACTCGAGGTTGCGGACGCTGTAGGAGCGTAGTTGGAGATCGCAGGTTGGGACGCCGTACGTGGGTGTTCGGCGGAGGGGGCGGAGGTAGGCGGCTTGGACGGCGCGGGGGAGGCGGATTTCTGGTTCGGTGAGGTCTTCTTCGGGGGGTCTGTTGGGGAGGGAGGGAAGTTAGAAGTTGTGCTGTGGAGGTGAGGGAGGTGATGGGGGTGGATGGGAGAGGAGGGGGGAGAATGTACGGTTCGAGCTTTGATGCTTCGGCGCCGATGCTGCCGTCTACGAATTTCTGTCTTTCTGCTTGTGATGAACTGGTGTTGGTGAAAATGTCGGATGATGCGTGGCGTCTAGAGGATGGGAGGAGAGTTGCTATGCATGGCGTTCTAAGGACGCCGGTTGATTGTTTGCTCTGCGCGCCAATTGTATTAGCTTTTTTATATCTCAAAAGCATTGAGTTGAGATTGCTTACTGCTGAGTTCGCAATTGCCCGCCATGGTATGCGGAGAGGTGCTGATGTCGCCATTGCAGCTTGAGGTGTGTTGTGTTGCAGCGGGCTGAGTTGGAGTTGTGAAGCTTTCCCAAAATATTTCTCGGCAGCCTCGCCTCGCAAGCGGCTCTGTCAACGTTCAAGCACCACAAGCAAAGCAATGGCACAGTTCACAATCAAGGAGTAGAGTCCAGCTGTTTAGTTCACTACCAGCGAACTAAGAATGTTTTTGCTTTTCAATTTCGTTTCCTACATCTTACTGTGGAATTGAAGGGCGGCTTGATGAGCAAACATGGCTTGGAACTATCACATTGGAAATAGTCAAATTTGTCACATTGGGATTATTGGAATTCAAGCGCAGATGCGAGACAAATTGTTTCCATTGCTGTATCTAGACTTAATTGTGTAGCTACAGCATAAAATGCAGTCGTGTGGAAATGTCATCGCTGCTGCAACCTATATTTGGGTTGTGCATCCAGGTCTTCACAGCTTCTCCTGGCACTTACATTTAAGTCCATGCTTACTAGGGCGCCCATTATCGCCATTGGAGGACTTGGTGAAGCGGGCAAAATGGCCTACTATGCCCTGTGAGATTAGACCACATTCAATTTGCGGTATTGCCCATCTCAATAGAATTCGTGGTCCAGACCTCGACAAGGCTCAAGCTGGAATCTTACCAAATCGGAAGGCATCTTTTGACTCTCCATACAAAGAAGCAACCCGAATGGTTGAGATGCCAAGAGATCAGAGGGATGACTGGAAGTCTGTGAGTGACGTATCGGGGCCTGACATCAACCTCTGTGTATCCGTTAGAAACGGTGCCAACCAGCATGATGTTGATCAAGCTTTAAAACTGCCGCCACGATGGTAGCCCCTTGGCAGCAGTGTCGATATGATGCATAATTAAACAGCACAGGTAGGGCGTGTTGGGTTCCAATAAGGAGTGGTATGGGTTTGGGAAAAGCGGCGTGCCCTTCCATCAGCGCTTCAGGACTCCCTTCTTCCTGGCGTCTCTCAACTTCTTGTAATGCGCCTTCTTCCCACTTGTCTTTGCGTCCTGGATTTCATTGTATTTCGACTTGAATCGGCCACTAGCCTTCTCACCAGCCAGAACTTCTTCAACCAAAGTCTTCTTGCGATCCTTGTTCATCAGTCTGGCACTGAAGTATTCAGTTGGCCCTTCGATGATAGTGCCGACTTGCGAGAACTCCGGAACCTGTTGCTTCTTGTTGTCCTTCTTGTAATGTCGCTTTGGATCCAAAACATCCCGCATGCGAAGTAACTGCAGATCGCGCTTGAGCTCGGGAGTCAAGTTTGTCTTTGGCATATTGTACCAGTCTGAGCCGGCGGTAGCTTTCTTCTCCTGTTATTTGATTAGCTGTATTCATGACAGTAGTCAAATAACATATTGTTGGTTGTGTATCTTCTCAGTGTAACTATGAATATAAGAAATCATGGGGTGCAGGGTGGTACCCAAGACGGGACCAAATTCTGCGTCATGGTCTATTTGGGATATTTTCCTCATGGAAGAATTGGGGACAAAAATTCGAGATACTTGCTTACCTCTTCAGCGCGCTTCTTGATGGTGATGGGGTCTTCTACCACGCGAATGCCATTTGCCAACTTGCGCTCCTTGTCCGTTACGAGGTGAGATCGGTCGACTTGAGGGCCGGTCTTAGTTGACTTGATGTATGAAACAATGGGGTTGTCCATCGTGATCTTGGGTAGGCTGAAAGGTACCTTAAAGTCAGCATGAGCTGTATGGATTAGGAAGGCATGGGCATGTACCTCGACTCCAGCGAAGAAGCAGAAGATACTTGGATCTGCTGCTTGCCTTTGTTCCTCAAGCGCTCCTCGGCATCCTTGAGCAATTGCCTGAGCTGCTCATCGGATAGGTCCTCTTCTGCCATGTTGGTGGAAGATTAGATGTTGTTTGAGGATGAACAGTTGCAAAGAAATGTTTCGCGAAGCTTTGGAGAAAAATGTCAAAGTTGCTCGGCTAAGAAGTCAAAAGCTACTTAACTGCGATAGGACTAGCACCATCTCAGAAGTCGGTCAAGTCAAACTCCGACAGCTGTCTTGCCAACACAACCTCGACAACCCGAGAATTTCAAAACAAGACAGAGCAGCACATCTACCATTTCCTCACGTTCCGCTCCAGTGAAAATGCCGTGGTAAATGTTGAGGATACATTGATCTCCTGCAGTCAAAGGACATGATTTGACGAGTCCTGCACATTTATCTGCGATTTTCCGATATTCAGTTTAGCTTTTCCAGTCTGATCGCATTGCCTGTCGCTTGGGCAGCAAGTCGAGAACAGCACATGGTAGAAATCGGGGCGAGAGAAACGGTCTTCTTACGGGCCTCTGTGTTCATCATACAGATGCAGATACAGATATGGGAACATGGCCTCGGGACGCCCTAAGACTCAGCCTTGCTGGCTGTATCTCTTTGGACCTAGTTTCAGATATAAATGGCGTGCATGGGGAGGCGGTGGGATGAAGATGACGATGATGTGAAGATGCAGCAGATGGACAACGCACACTTCAAGCCAACATCCATGGCTAAGCACCATCCCACATCCCACATCCCCCCAAAAACGCCTGCATTAGGATATCTGCCCAATGTGAATAGAAAGACAGCTGTGGACACTGCACATATATATGACCCGTGGCGCCGTATTCCCATTGATCTGCCCTCGTCCTGTCCATACAAATTCAACTGCTCCAAGAACCCCACCTCGTGCAGTACGAAAGAAGCATCGTACATTGATTGACTGACAGGAACACAGAACTTGCATCAGGTACGTACCTTTGATGGGATCTCACCTCCATGAGCTCCCTCCGTACTGGTCCATGAGCATGTCTCATCTGCGCAGGGCGGATATTCCCATCCTATCAAGATTCAAGAAGCACATCGCCGTCGCAGCTCAGCATTTGACTCGCCCTCGCCCCTCGTGCCTTGCCCTGCCCACTCGCCAAACTTCGAGCCAACCACCAGATCCGAAGCCAACCCCTCCGTCGAAACCGACCCATTCATCAAGCTCCCGACCGACAACAACATCACAGCTTTGCGCGACCAATCACAACGTCCATTTGACAGAGCTGTCAACAAGCTCAAGAGAGCTTCATCAACAATCGAGTCCAGCTTCCATTACACTGCACAAAGCAAGGCGCATTCTGTAGTGTTACAGCTTGAGACAGCGCACCCGACCATCCGGATCCCGTCAAGTCAGCTGCACCGCGCCGTCCTCTGCCATTCGTACCAAAAACAACCCCACCGCAAAACAATCGCGACGAACAAACTCGCGAAGCGCATTGCATCTACGATTGAACACGAGTCCAGCTGCCATTGATTGATAGTCGCCTACGGAGCAAGGACAAATCCAGGCCCTGAAGCGCGTACGCAGAGCAGGCAGTCAACAGTCGCAATCATGGATCAGAACCCACCAAGTTCGTCGCATGGCCAGCAAGGCCAGCGCGGATCAGCTCCTACATATGATACCAGCCATGGAGGTCATTATGGTATGTTGGAAAGCTCTCTTATCCCCTTAGTCGGTCGGATTGGACTCGAGAGACGTTAGCAGATTAATAGCAAACGCTGCTTGGATCGCAGGAGAATCATTGGCTAACGATGCGTTTGCTTGCTAGGTGCCAGTGCTGCGGTAAGAAACGAACACTTGTGGAATCAAATCAAGGAAGGGCAGAGATACTGATGGAATTTAGCTTGCGTCACAAGGCTTTGCGCCAGTCGCAGAATTCTACACTGGTGCTTGGGCAAATGTACGTCTACCCCATCTAGTTCTGCCATACTTAGCTCTCGATGCTCTAGAAATCTACGCAACTTATAGGGACATTCATTGATTCTCCAACAGGTCAATCAAGGCCTTCACGGCAACTATAAAGACATCCTGACCACGTACTGGCAGCATGTCATCAATCACCTCGAATCCGAAACCCACGACTACAAGCTCCACCAACTACCCCTCGCACGTATCAAGAAGGTCATGAAGGCCGACCCAGATGTCAAGATGATTTCCGCCGAAGCACCAATTCTCTTTGCTAAGGGTTGCGATATCTTTATCACAGAACTTACAATGCGCGCATGGATTCACGCAGAGGAGAACAAGCGCCGCACACTTCAGCGATCAGACATCGCATCTGCTCTAGCCAAATCCGACATGTTTGACTTCCTGATTGATATTGTGCCCCGTGAAGAGGCAGCCAGCCATGCGAAGAGAGCTACTGGTGCTACACAACCTTCCGTACCACCTCCAGGAGGCTCGCAACTCCCACCACAGAGCATCCCACAGAATCCAGGCGCACATGGCCATATGCCACCGCCAGACTACATTGGCCTTGGTCATCAGGAGCCTGATTACAGACAGAACATGTATACACCACAAGTTCAGCCTGGACCCGCTGCTCCATATGGCGGAGCACCTCAGCAGCAGATGTACAGTGATATCGAGGGCATATATGGCGGATATCCACCTATGCAAGCGCAACAGGTATGTTTGTCTTCATTTCTTCAGCCCCCAACTTTTATTTTTCTGCCAACCCACACTAACATCAACAGCAAATGTACCAAATGCCCCAGCACCGCCCTCAAGATCCATCTGTCGGCCAAGACCCTGGGCACAACTACCCCCGCCATGACGGAGGTGAAGGCGATGCTGATGCAGAGGGCGAACGTGACTACGAGGTCTAGATCGGTTAAATTCTTGGGACAACCGTCCAAGACAGTGGACGAGCCATATGAGCAAAGAACGACAGCAAAGAACGACAGCAAACCATAAAAAAACAGCGACAGAATGGCTGGGCCTTGAAAGTGGAAGAAGGGGGGGGGGGATGATAGACTGATTTGATAACTTTTTGATGTGTTGGACAGGTTTCCGCTTGGCTTGGCTTGGCTTAGGATGGAGTTCGAAGGTTGAGCTTAAGGTTTCTTGGTACCCAGTACAGCACAGCACAGCACAGCACAGCAAAGCACCCGCAGGATTGCTTTTTCTACATCCGCACGTTTTTATTTCTCCTTGTTCTATTCTGGCGCTGGATATTTTGGCAAGGCAGGTACGGTGGTAGGTAGGCTGGCTGGTGGCTTGCTTATCAATAACAAAATTTGAGTTCTTTTTTTTAACCCTTTGCAAAAAAACTAGATGGTTGATTGATTGATTGATCTTCGTGTCCATCCATCTGTGATATCCAACCCTCCGAGAGAATCCCGAGCTTATCGTCATTCTTGTGTTTACTGTTGTTTATTTTACATGCTTCCTTACATACTAATACGTATGGTGAACAGATCGGCTCCACTTCACCGCGTCTAAAGCTTTCAGGCCAATGACCCACAAAGGCCATCTCCCCATTCTTGCTCGATGTCGTGATATCCCTCGTTACGTTGTGTTCCCTGTTTTCTGCTCTGATCTGCTCTCATCCCTTTCTCACCTCATGCCGAATCTAGATGAGAAGTTCTGAAGGCGGTCTGTTCGTGTGGGGCTGGCCATCACGGTGTATGTGAGTCTGTTGATATAGTAAGTCAGCTTGAATTTCTCACAGAACAATCCCAAGGCCCTCCCTCTCCCTTCCCCACCAAAAGCCAAATCCGAAAACAACACATAAACGAACAGCCCAAAAAGGAAAAAGATAAAAGGAAAAATAGATCTGATACAATAGAATAAACATACTTCTCCAAAATCCTCGGTCCATTCAGCGCATCCACGCGTCCAAACTTCTTATTCCGCATGCCCACATCGTAGAACTCGTCTGGATTCTCCGTCTGCATGAGGAGGACTGTTTGCTGGAGCTCGTCGAGGTTCTCTTTTAGGATGGGGGCGTTGTCGAGGGTGTCGACGAAGTCGGAGAGGTAGGTTACGTCTTTGGCGAGGGCGGCGACGCCGTTGGGGTTTATTTTTTTGACGGCGGGGGAGAGGGGGAGGGCCTATGGGGGTGTTAGGTGGGGAGTGGTGATTAAGGGGAAGGGATTTGAGAGGATGGGTGGGAATGGCAATGGAAGAGAGAGGAGGACGTACGAGGATCATGTTTGCAGCGTGGGAGAGGGCGTCGAAGTAGATGAGTTCTTTGATTTCTCGTGGGAGGCCGAGGAGAGTTGAGTTCATGATATTGGAGAGGTAGCGGGTTAGTGTTTGCATGTAGTTACTTGGCTCGCTTTCGAGTGTGTTTGCCATCCTGATCTCATATTAGCCACCATTCTCTCAATCCGCTCAGAAGTGTTCACATACCAGTCGTACTCAGCCGTTTCAACAAGATCATCGATCTTGGAATTGACGAGTTCGAAGATGCGCTTCTCGGCAGTCTTCTTGTTACTGCGGAATTCTTCGGTGGCGTCTAGTACGATGGGTCCACCTGCTGAGGTGGAAGAGCGTGCTGCTATGAGGAGCTGCTCGAGTTCTCGGCAGGCGGTTTCGAAATGTTCGAGGTTGATGAGGATTTGGACGATTTGGCCGAGGTATTGGGAGCTTAGTCGTTCCACAAGAGAACGGCAGACTTTCTCGAGGAGGAGCTGATCTAATGACTGTCGAGCGGTCAGTGCCTCGGTTCAGGAGTTCGGGGAGGAATTCTTGCCTTCTTTAATGCCTCGTCAATGACATTGGGATGTTGGAAATGGTCATCCGAGAAAAAGTAAAATTGGTTGAGAAAATTCCTGATGTCGATGCAGCATAATGGATACATCTGAGAGAATGGTAGCACACATGGGAATCTGGATGTAGGTTAGCAACGCTCAAGAATCAGACAAGGAGTACGAACGAGAGTTCTTCTCTTGGCTTATCTGGTGTAAACCAGCAGACATTGACAACCTTGTCATATTCGTCAACATTGGTGACAGGCATAGGCATGTAATCATCGCTTGCAACGATCTGGATGGGATGTTAGCAGACTCATGCGAAAAGGCAGAAGTGGCATTACTTCTTGGAAATCATCACTGAATCTCTTCTTCAGAAGCTCGGCATATTTGTCAAATAGGGTAAGCAAGAAGCTGTCTAGTGTTGCCACGGAGTATCCCCAAGTCTGGACTTATTAGCTGGGATGGACTTCACGGGAATCAAGGAATACTGACATCCATTGTCTGAATGAATAGAGCAATTACTCCCTTGATCTTTAGCAGAATTTCGGCATTATCGACCTTGTCCAATGCTTTGGAAATCAAGGCAATCGCTGTTTGGCACATGGAGTCCCATAATTCATCGACCTGCACATGATTAGATTTAGATCAAGGTGCCTCTGCGGGAAATCTTACATCAACGGGAGATCTGAGATTATGAGCTCTCCTCATCGTCGCCCTCTCAATAATGGCAAATCCAGCAATACCCTCCAGTAAACTGCTCAGACTCTGCTCATCCTCCTCCATCAAATCCACGAAACTTGGAAGTAACAATTCTTTCTGCCTCCTCCGCGTTGCAGCATATTCGGCTCTGAATTTGTCACTTTGGCCCAGTGCCTCGTGGATATGTAGACATTCAAACAGGGGTTGGAAATCCACATGCAGCTCTTCATTGTCCAGCACGTCGAACTCCTCACTTTCATCGAATACCAGCTCGATCGCAGAGTTGAGTTTGAAATTCCGTAGATACTCATTTGACTCCATTCGCTCTTTCTGCCTCGTCCTCCTCAATTCCGTATGGTAAAAAGCAACCTCTCCCAAGAACTGTGACGTCTCTCTGATCCTGTAAAGCCATGTATTCAGATCCGTCATTACAGCTTCCGAAATAGCCTTCTGTGAAGATGGTATCGATTTTTGTATTATCTCCGCCAGCTTGTGTTGAGTCGCATACTTGTTCTGAATCGTGGGTATCAAATGCTCGTTCTGTAGATCATCCAGCGCCTTCAACGCCGCATAGTAGCTCTTCTTCCTGATCAAGTCATGCGCCTGATTGACCGCATGTAATATCTTCAGCGACTCCTTCAGCGCTTCTGACGCCTCTGCAATGTTCTGGCGGATCGACTTCGTGTCCACCAAAGCTTCCTTCTGCGCTGCTAGCTTCTCGGTGCTTTGTTGTATGGACTGATTGAGCTGTAGGATTTCTGCCGTCAGGGAGACAGTTCCTTCGCGTACTTTCTGGAGCTGGTTGACGGACTGGAGGAACTCGTCGTGTTTGGTGAGACCGATTCGCTCGATGTCAGCCTCGCGCTCTTCCGCGTACGCGGACAGACTCTGCATAAGCCCGGGGGTTCTATTCGAGATCGTGGCATCTTTAAGGGCGGGGATCAATTGGTCGAGGTAGTCGGTATCGGAGGAGGAGAGGATGATCTGGAGCTTGGGTTAGGAGGGGTCATCGAGCTCTGGGAAGGGGAGCCTTACCTGCTGGACAGCAACCCTGTAATCATCGTATTGGGGCGCCTTCCGAGGCATGGCGGGCGGTGGAAGCTTCAGTCAGATTCGGGGAGTGGAGAGGTCATGATAATGGAACTTGTTTCCCATGTAAATTATCTGTGATCCGAGTCTGGGTTTACTCGTAGATGAGGTGCTTGTTATACCTTGGTAGATGCGGCTCCCTAGCTGTGGAGACGGGCTATTTAAGCAGCCGAGCCCTCTGGAAGCTAATTGCAACGACAACAGATCCACATCCAACAGTCAGCATGGATCTTGAAGGGGCCTTCTGGAGCACTTGAACGTAGGTAAGGAGGGATATGGTGCTGCAGCAAAACGTGACAATTGTTTGGAATTGTTCATGTGATGTGAAAACTTATGGACTTGAAGAAGAGCCAGACAATGAGAAGTGAACCATCTTTCAAAACACTTGAATCCCACTGACGTTCTCTAGGCAAAGATTCATTCTGCTGGTCTCCTGGCCACAGCTAGCGGACTTTATGACGTTGAGAATGGTATACTTCGCTGCTAGGATATCCCAAAGCTGGGCATGCTCCAAGCAATCTCTGTATATAGGAAAGAAGTTTTCCATATCCTTTCAGCCCAGAGATGAACTGGGCTTGTTGTAACTTCACTTTCTTCCCTTCCCAAAGGAGATGTTCTGTGTCCAGTAGACCGTCAACCATCTTCAAGTAAGAAACAAGGGTAGTGAAAAGTGTTTTCTTGATCCATGAGACTCTGGAAGAACATCGATAAGAGACACTCATGTGCATTCTGCAATGATAGGGTTCAAGGGAGCATTTCCTGATCCCGTCTCCATCTCTCCTGCCAGGCTGAAGTAACCAAGTATCTTGTCCTTGGTCCCAGCACTCCCTGGTGCAAGTGTCGAGATACATATGGAGAATGACTTTCGTGCCAGCCCGCTCTAGGGTCCGAAATCTCGAAATCTTTACGAACAGGAAAGTAGCTCCAGTCTCTGGAGATGTTTCTCCTTCTATCTCAGGCAGCTATTCAGCAGCAAATTCCTTGACATAGAAGTCTTGTAGTACACTCGAGACATCCGAGAGCTACCTTAGCTCTACTTTGTATGGACGACTTGCTCTCAATGTATTGCTGCCCGGTGCTGGATATGCTGCTTGGAGAAAGATGCTCCGGCTCTTATCTCTGCTGTTGAGACTTGGTTCGCTTGGGTCATATAGATATTACCCAATACCCATCCTGCCCAATATCTTTCCTGAGCCCTTGTCTGATGTGTTCTTGTCCTTGTGTATACATCGTGCTTTCTTGAGCGTTCATCTCGGGGAGGAGTGGGAGGAGAAGGAGCTTTCAGGTGTCTGTTGATCTGAGGACGGCACTAAGATTCTGTTTCACAGGTACAGTCAGCGCCTGCGACCAAAAGAAAGAAAAGAGGTTCAGCTCTGTGCCCTTTGTAGCCTGCTCAGACTCTGTCTATCAATATGAGGTAGATAGAGGCACGACAAACAGATTGCTTCCAATCTCTCTGCATGTGTCTCGGCTCCTGCCAGAACCCGTCAAAGACTCAACCCAACCACTGATGGCCCTCTCTATCCCCTCAAGCTCGAATGCCGCTCCTTTGGCGTCGCCGCTGATGGGCTAAAGACTGGAAGTGTGCTTTATGCGCGGATTTTGAGCTGTAATCCTGCTTTCTGGGAGTTATCCGGCGTCTTGTAGAAGTCCAGACTTCCACACACGCTATGTCCGTAGTCTCCACCCCAAACTCCAATCTCCAACTTCCAAGCTTTTCATTTGTATTCTGTATGTATGTCCGTTATCCGTGCGCAATGATAGGTTGGGCTGGCGTCGTATACTCCTAGGACTGTGGCAAATTGTATCTTCGGGTTTGAAGGTCGTAATTGAGAGAGTTTGTAGACGATTACCTGTGACGCCAGCGTGTCAGTGATGTCCTCTTCAGTCTGATCAAGAAGACTATGGTCCTTGTTAGCTCTGTACCTAGGCTGTAGATTCTCGTCCCTGCCTCGTGGTGGGTTGTAAACCCTGAAGGGACTTCCAGCTGCTGGCTCATCTCTCTGGAGTCGAAAGACAACTGCAATGGGCAGAACGACATCTAGCACGCTTGTTTGATCGGTAGATCTGTCGTCACTTCCGTAACAGAGCTTGACGGTGGTGTCGATATATTGTATGGAGGCTTGTCTGGTCTTCTGACTTTCTTCGGGCAGAAAACTTGACATGAGATTGTCGGCACGCCATGGTCGGTCACTCACTTCGAAGAAAAGTAAGCAATCAGCTACCATGAGGCACAACAAAGAGATGATTGAGAGCAAACACTACGATAATCAAGATCCAATCTGGCATTTTGGTGTTTGTGACATCGGCTGCCAGGTTTTTTCTTTGTAGCGGTTTCTGGGCTCCAATCTTCGAAGTATTAGGGGACACCATCCACAACAAGCGTTTGCATTTCTTCAGTTTTCTCTAGACAGCACCCTGACCCGCTTATAGACCAATGCCAGCTCAAAGGTCGCCTCAAGGTCTTGTCCGATTTTCAAAACAGAGTCCTTCTGCAAAGATCTCTCAATACAAAGTCTTTGGTGCAGGAGGGCTTCAATTAACCGGTCTCAGCCCCAGTGGAAGCCTCATAAGATATGGAAATAAGGCAAAGTACATATCTAGAGCTTTTTCTTCGCACACTTTCGAGCTCCACGATTGAGAGAATTCTTCTATTGGTGTTCTTTCTACCTACGTTATGGAGCACCACAAACAAGGAAGCCATGATCACGCAACATGCTCAAGTACAGAGCTCATTAGTGACCGAGTAGGGCAACAAACGCTCTCTATGCAACTTTATCTCAACAATACATCTATTTACTTCCCCAAGATGTCCTGATCTCCTACTAGTCCCCTCTGTGAATCCCGGAGATTGAATAAAGCCTTATTGCAACGAATAGGAGGCCACCGGAGAGCTTGAATTTCCAATAGAGGCTTCAAAGGGATAAAGCTCTTTCCTTTTCGGAGCTGCACCTCCTTGCCATGTGGCAGTCGCACTAGTCAGTTCCCGAGCCCACGATAAAACTCTCCTCTTCCCCTCCTCAACTGCGTCTTCCTCTTCTTCTAAAAACACCATCACCGAACTCCCATCATCTTCGTCTTCTCTCCTTCCACCCAAGCTTCTTTGGTCTGCGCCTTTTGTTCGTCCATTGCCGTATTCAGGAAACCATACAACACCCATCATCAACTCCATTGGTACCGCCTGCTACCATTTTGTCGCCTTCCTTGGGACACAGCATTGCCGTGACCTGTTGGTCCTTCGTGAGTACACCGTTCTTTCTTCTACCTTGCTCAGAGGAAGTACTGTGGTCCATGCTGCCCTCCATGCCTGCCTTCAATCCTTCAATTGACCCTCGTCGCCATTGTTTACTGTCTGCCCAAGTTTTCTCCATGTTGGCTTTGCTTCACACTGGGGCTCGCTCTTACCTCAATGCCTTTGCCACTAAATCTTTACGCTGAGACTCACTCTACTCCTTTTTACTGCCTTCGTTGCGTGTACAAAAACAGATTGCTGACTTCTTCAAGATACTGCGCAGACTCTGGTTAGTACCGCCCCCATCACATCTGCATCTTCTACATCTCCTCAGCCGCGAAAATTCTTTCTACTTCTATGGTCGCTTCTTGGAAATGCAGACTCAGTCCGGGCTGCCCTGCTGCTGCCGTGGCGGATATACAATCTTCAAGGTCTGAAGTTTCAGTCTGCTCCAATTCATACCATAAGTATCTTTGTCATGTTGCAAACACACCCCATTCGTATGCTATTGACGAGTGTCAACGACTTTCTCTGTTCTTCGTTCCTACATACTTCGTACACATCCCCCTACTCTGCGTTCCACCGTATCCAAAGTCTGCTATTATTTGGTCGTGGAGCTAGCTCCTTGTATTTTTGAGTTCCTTCCATCTTGACGATATCATAGGAGTTATCTCGTTTTTTATCAGTCACTGCTTGGTTTACTTTTCATAACATTGCGAGGCCTTCATACACTCAGATACCTGCTACATGCTACCCATACTCGCGTTATTCAAATGTCATTTGCGTTGCATGGAAGCACAAGCTCCTTCCATCCCACTAAATCCTTGTCCTCTGGAGCAGCAACTTATACCTATACCTCTGACCCCACATATCCACAGCCATGGTTTCCTGTGTTATCCCTATGGGCTGATGGCGAAGTAAGTTGCGATCGGCCAGAAAATCAATTCATATCTTCATGAACACTTCGATAAGCAAGAAGTTCCTTGTCTATCTTGCTCAATACTTTGTTGCTCTACGGCGGATTGATGGGCTTCCAGCGTTTCTACCACTGCACAAACATTCAATTTGAGAAGCGTAAGGCAATGTTGTTACACAGATCAGTCGAGCTCCTTGTTTTCAGTCATTCTTGAAGACTTGAACGAACGCATTCACACTGTTCGATATTGTTGTCGTCTTCATGTCATGGTTCAAGCAGCATTGAGGTACTTCGCGTATTCGCCACCAGGATATGTCAACATCGCTTCGACAAGCGAGCTATCTCAACCGTTCTCAATTAGCAAGTCTTTGATTTTGATGTTGCCTTATAGCACAGATGTCGCTTTCTACTCATCTTCATCCCCACACTTACAGAGTTCCTCGCCTCATTTCTGACTTCTCCTTCCATTTATTCATATCATAGCCATCACTTCATCTGATCAATTCACTGTCTTTGGCATGGTTGCTCCTTCATCAATTATTTACGACGTGGTGGTTGCGTCTCCCTTTTGGCAAGACCTATATACTCCCAATCATCTCACAACTTTCAATCTTATGCATTAGAATAAACTAACCATGGTTGTTCAGATTACTACCCAGATTTTCTCCTCCTTGAGTCCTCTCACCCCGATCATGACAATGTCTCGCTATACCAACTCCCCCAATTCCTCTTTGCGAGATGAGTCGGTTCAGAACACTCCCTACACGGCCTTGACGGCATTCTCTCCGGAGGATGTTCGCATCCAACAGGCCTCTGCCAGTCGCTCTAGTATGCCACCACCGGGTGCACACAATGACCCCTTCGTCACTTCAACAAAGGCAGCCAAGGCTGATCAGAAGCTCTCCGCAACTGCCTCGGCATTCAAGCCTTTTGGATTGAGAACATCATCAATGGGTTCTACTCCCTCTACTTCCAGCATCTCCGGACCAGTTCCTGGTACTACTCAGTACCTTGACGCTGTCATTGAGAAGGAGAACAGTCCATCTCGAAGATCGAATGACTCTGATATGAGCTTTGGTGTCTTCACCACTAGTACCATGATGTCCCGAAACATCAAAGTCTCTAGCATCATGAAGAACGACGTCATGCCGATGATTGAGGCTACGTGGAAGGCGAGTCACTGTCTCATCCACTGTCCCTGTTCTCACATATTCGTTCCGCTGCCCCCTTTACTTCACTGGTATCTCCAAGCCTGCGTTCTGACATCTCCCTTCATAGAAGTTGCATCAAACTGGGAACCCTGTTCGAGGCAGTCACACGTTCCGAGATCTTGGTGATGTTGTCATCATCAAATTGGGAAACATCACCGATGCTCCGACGGTCTACAACGCGCTAAGCAAAGATCACGATGATATCGCCGTTGAATATGTGTCAATCAATGTATACAACAAGGTAGGTTCATAAATCCAATTGAACAAAGACTCTTAGATTGCTGACCGGGCAAAGACTGCCTCTCCTCAAACAGATACTGTCTCCGTCCATCAAGGTCAAGTGGCTCTTCGAGTCAAGTATCCCTCTGGACGTGGATCGAACAAGGTACAGTTTGAGAAGAATATTCGAGACCTTTTGGCTGTTGAGGGCTCAATTGTTGCTTGGCAAAAGATGGCAGCCACTGAGGCGGGGGTGTTTCACCTCATTGCCGAGTTCAATGATGCATGCCATGCGGTTCGAGCCATGCAACGTCTCAACAATATGAACCTCACCGTAAGTTACCATCCGTAATGTGACTTGGAATCCTGGTTGCTCAAGAAATATAGGATGCTGTCGACCCTTGCATGATTTCCATCACTCTCCACGAGCCGGACAAGGTATCCACGGCACCAATTCCACGGTCTGCTCCTACTTTCACGCCAACCCGCCGATCTGGACCTTCAGGAGACCAGAGTAGCATCATTGGATCCATGGGTAGTATTTCCATCAACAGCTCTCAGACAGCTCCAACGCAGAACGCTGCTGCATATACTGGTAACGCTGGCAACGCTGCGACTCCTAGCCCTATGGGTTATGGTCTTAACAATGCCGGCTTTGGTGTGCCTCCTGGCATGTTGCCGCTTGCAATGAACAGTGTCTACTCTCCAGCTACTTTGGGTGCACCAGTCCAACAGTACGGTGTGGACGGATACGGCCAATATCAACCCGCTGGACCACCACCATTTTTCCAGCAAGGATATACCTCCAACAGCATGGTATCGTATGCTCCGCGCGCCAATGGCTATGGACCGCAGTTTCCCTCTGCCGGTCCACGCTTCCTTGAGAACAACTTCCGTTCTGGCCCCAGACAGAACAACTACTACCACCCTCGTGGTGATGGACGGTGGGATGGCCGCTACGATATGATTCGGTACGGTGGTAACCGACACATTGGTCCTCGTAGCCCCAGACCGAACCAAGCCGGTGGGCAGCATAACCATGTCGACATTGAGAGAATCCGTGCAGGTATCGATGTTCGCACTACAGCAAGTTCTCCCCATTTTCGTTTGATCTTTGGCCTACTAACACTGGTCAGGTCATGCTTCGCAATATTCCGAACAAGGTTGATCAAGCTATGCTAAAGGAGATTGTTGACGAGTCAAGCTATGGTAAATACGACTTCATGTATCTTCGTATCGACTTTAGCAACAACTGCAAGTATGTACAGCAATCCTCATTTCAAGAAATTCCACTGACCGTAGCATAGCGTTGGATATGCTTTCATTAACTTCCACGACGTGAGTTCTTTCCACCCAGTATTGAGACTGAGCTAACTTTTACAGCCTCTGGACATCATTACGGCATGTGCATTCTTCATCAAGGAACAATGACAGAGCTAACTTCAGATTCAGTTCGTTGAGACCAGATCAAACCAAAAATGGTAAGTACTTACCTTTCGATGTGAAGATGGGTTGCTGACTGCTGTGTCCAGGCAGCGCTTCCGCTCCGACAAGGTTGCTGAAGTCTCCTATGCCAGTGAGTTCTAGAACTCCTTCAAGTTTGCGATCCCCTCTAACAAATTTGCAGCAATCCAGGGCAGAGATTGTCTTATCCAGAAGTTCCGCAATTCTTCGGTTATGTTGGAGCCTGAACACTATCGTCCAAAGGTACATGGAGCTTAGCTACTGTAATTACATCTCTAACAAGTTTTAGCTATTCTTCATCCTCCAGGATGGTGAGGAGCTTGCTGGCAAGGAAGAGCCATTCCCACCTTCCGACAACGCCTCGAAGTTGAAGAGATCGTGTGAGAATGCTGAGCATGTTGGTAAGTCCTTCTCTATATCTGCGTGAAATTATGGGCACTGATTTTTGCCCAGGTCTCTTCGCTCCTAGTGCTGGACAGCACTTCCGTGATGAGCAGCGCCGTCGTCGCAGCCAATACGACCGTGGTACTAGTCTCGCTGAGCGCGATGAGTACTACGATGAAGGCCTTTACTTGGGCTATCCCAACTGTCAGTGACTCAGTCATACCTTGATCAGTAAATGTTGACCGGCTAACACGTCTGTAGACTAATGTCTTGCATAGAACAAGTCATTGTTCTGCTGGGTTCTTGGACTCGGGACTTGGGCCATCTTAGGCACATTTCTTGTGACGGACATCTAGGCAGGATGGTCAATTTGGTGGACTGACCTTAACATCTTGCACGACCGGTTTGGCAAGATTTTTTTTTGACAATTGAGTGATCTGGTTTGGCTTTTGTTCCAGATCACCAACATCAAACATAATATTTGCTTGGCTCAAGGAACACTACATATCTCGTTGCTTTTTCACCATACCAGACCCCATCATACTGATTAGGGCATTTTTCATAGCTGAGAATTGGTGGCTAATGGTTGCCTGATAGATAGTCAATACATCTTCTTGACTTTCTATCTCCCTACATTTGTCTAATCGCGTGAGACCCTGTTAGCTAACATCAAATACCTGTTTGGTCACTGTAGATGTTCAAAAGTATTATTCCGTGGGTCACGAGATTCATTATGCAGTAGACTATTAACAGAAGTAGTGTGATGAAAGTTGGTTTAATGCTTGATGCCGAGCAGACCAACGTGAAAATAAGCGAGTTTTGCGTATTGACATTTTTGATTTCAAGAACACACAGATGAAGATAATATCAAACGTAGACTTATGATATTGGTAATTTGGTCGAACGATGCATGTATGCATAATGATGATAAGTGGATCACGCATTTGTATCATAATGATCGGTCGGTGACTTGCATGATGAGCACCTAAGCATGACTGTAAATATGATGATGTGATGATGTGATCGAGGAGGGTTGAGAGCGTAGATGTAGATGTAGAAACTACAGGGAGGGGGAGAGGTACTGTGTCAATGAGACATTTGGATGGATGGCTGGAGTGGTAGGGGGTCGAGGGGGAGGGGGCAGGTGCGGGGGGATCATTAGCAAGACTTGTGATGAGGATGAAGAAGGAGGGTGCAGGTACCGATACGTTTAAAGATGACAAAGATATAGATGGAGACATACGGAGAGAGAGAGAGACTAATGCAGGCAAGCGTAAGCGTGAGCTTACCTACATCTTGGTTCTCCTCAGCTGCATTAGAAAGCTAATTTGCATTGCACATTTGTATATTATCTCTCTTCCTTGTGTGCGAATACATATGTACGAATACACATGTACGGATACACATGTTCACCGTACCGTCCCCTCCCCTGCTGCAAATCATTCCTTCCTCTCCTCGTTCCAAAAAATCATTTATCTCATCTCCTTGTGCCAAGATTCGATATTCCAACCAAAAAAGGCAAATGCAATGCGGTATCCAAACTAGTTGCGGCAAAGCCAAACCAATTCAGAAGAAAAGTAAACAAAAGCAGTCGCCTCCAACAGAACGCCTCGCTCGCTGCTTATGCTTCAAAAGAACGCCAAATTTCCAAACTGTCAAAATGCCCATGCTGCGTATTTGCGTATGTGTGTATGTTCATCCGTTCCGCTTATCTGTCGATCCGTTGTTCGTTCGTTCGTTCGTATGCTGTACGTTTGTGTATGTACTGTAATGTACTGCGCTGTGCTGTATCGTGTGTGTGTGTATCGTGTATCTATCATATGTGCATAGGCACCCATCCGTCTGATTCCACCCCATCCCAGATTTCCGATGGGATATTAAGTAGAACACAGTTCAAGCACCAGGAGGTAAAGCCGGTAATGGTTTCCTCGCTATACTAAAACTTTGCCTGCGTTCGTGAGTAGGACTTGATGGCGCCTGTGGCGAGAAAGGAGGAGATATTGCTGGCTCTGTACCCGATGCTGTTTCATGTGGCTGTGGTTGTTGTCTCCCCATCTGTTCATCCACCGACGATTGTCCCCTCGAGAGAGCATACTCCGGCGGCGGAGAAGGCAGATGTGACGACGTCTCCTGCATCATTGAGTTCTCACCACTATCTTGATCGCCATCAAGCGAATCGCTCACTTCTCTCGTTGTGACGCGCACTCCTGCCTTCTCACCTTTCTCGGGCGTGGGAGATGGTGAAGGTGAGGGTGAGATTGATCGCTGTCTCCTGAGTGGCGTTGCGTCTTGGACTGATATTACCGGTGGACTCATTCCGTTCATGCTCAGGGTTGGAATATGGTTCTCGTGCGGACTACCGAATACCTCGTCTTCGACTGACGCAGATCTCTGACGTACGAAACCCTTTCTCTTCTTCGGGGTGCGAGTCTTCGGTGTCGTAGGCTCGAGATGCGTACTCTGAGGAGAAGAATAGGTAGTATTCGGCGGTACGCGTTTCACTGGCGTGATGTTGCGTGATGAAGGTGCTGATTCGAATTCTTCCTGGTTCCCTGTAAAAGGGAGCAAGTCCTCCGTACTCCTAGCATTCAAATCATCCGCTCCAGACGGCGGTGTGAATTCCAGTTCCTCGTAACCTGACACAGGAGTTGGCGACGCTGACGCATCATCTTCATCAGACTGTAGTCTCTGCTGCCCAGACTCCATCCACGGGCTGCCATTCGTCCTCCGGTACTCCGGACTCGCGCCTGGACTCTCGAGTGGGCTTTCAATAGGGAAGCTGGAGAAGAGTCTAGATCTGCTGTGGAGAGTAGGGAAATCAATATTCGCCCCGCCTGAGACGCGTGAGAATATGACGAGTGCGAGACAGAGGAGTAAGAGCACGGATTGTACGATGGACATGCGTTTTTGGAAGACTACTTCATCGGCCAGGATGTTGAGGCGGGAGCTGATGGCTAGGATCTCGCGCCGTGATTCGTCGCGTTGGCTTTCGAGGGAGATGACAGTGCTCTGCCAAATCTCGTCGTATTGCTGTCTGAATTGACGGAGTTCGTCCAGGACTGTGCTGTTTAGTGTATCGAGGAAAGTGGTTGTTTTCTGGAGCTGCTTCTTCTCGACTTTGGTGAATGCTTCTCGGAGGATGCGAGATTGCTCTTCGATGTACTTGAGGGAGAGTGTGGAGTTTGTCTCCAGGAAGTTGAGACGGCGGGACACGGCCTTGAAGAAAGATTCTTGGATTGTGGGGAGTGAGGAGGAGGCGGATGTTGTTGATGTTGTTTTGTTTTTAGGGTGTGTGGCATTATGTACTTTGTTGGTTGTTGATGCCGTTGGAGGTGGGGAGATGGATGTGTCGGCTGTGGACATAGTGCTGTTTGTGGTTACAGGTATGGACGAGTCTTTGAATGTAGAGACATGCGATGTGATAGAGTGAGTGGTATGAGTTGAAGTGGACTTGATGATTGTTGCAGGGGCATCTGAAGCAGGAAGGGAGCTTTGACTTGATGGTTGGACGGCTTGCGTAGAGTTCTGTTCTGTGCGAGCTGTAACATTCTGAATGATCTCCTGGATAGGAGCTTCAGAGAGCACACACAAACCCTCTGGTATTGTGCTAGGAAGGTTGAAGACAATGGCTCCAGATCGCTCCCATGGTGTCGTCTCAGCAGAGGTGTTCGCAGTCGATTTGGCCCCTTGAATTGAACCTTGCACTGGTTCTGCAGGTTCAGAAGTTTCCACAGTCCTAGCCATCTCATCACTAGCAGCCTTCAACCTCTCCGCAATCTGCACCACCTCAGCCACAGCATCAGGAACGAATTGCTCCTCTGGTCCAGCATCGATCTCCTCAGGCTCATCATCTTCCCCAATTGCTTCGGATTCTTTCCAACTCTCCAGCATCCGAGTTCCATGAACTCTAACGAGGGAGAGAGGACAGTAGTACTCTTTTCCATAGTGGCTCAGGAACTCGATACGGATGTATCGTGTCCAGATCTGAGGATTTGTGATGAGGAAAGCTTGAATCTCTCGCGAGTTCCGAGCTTCGTATGTCCCGATGTCTTTCCATTTGTCAATCTTGACTGGATATCGGTCGCTGACACTGACTCTGAATGTCCGAATCATGCTGGAGAAGAACTCGTAGTTGGCGAGAACCACAGTATCGATCCAGATATCTTCCTACAAGAGTATTAGCCAAGAAAATATACTTCTGAGAGGGGTACTAACCGAAAGCTCAATGATAACAAACTTGTTCTCAACAGTACACTCAGAAAGCATATACGTATCCTTATTCTCAATGAGAATCGCCTTATTATTCTTCGCACCAGAATGCGTCCTCAACACCGTAGCCCCCACATCAAACGATGCATAATTCGCCCTCTCCTTACACGTCTTCCCAGCATCCTTACTCCGATACTGCTCTTTCCTCCCTCCCCCCTCCCCCTCCTGCAAATCCTTCCTCTCATCCTGCCTCTCCTCCTCCCCACCATTACCCTTCCCCTCTTCCTCCTTCCCCCCACCACTCCTAAACGCCGCAAAGTCCAAATCAATCTCTCCCTCCTCACCCAGCGATTCAAGATTGTTCTGAAAGCTCTCTGAATCGCCCCTCTTCTTGCTGCCCTCGCCGGACTTCTTGCCCCCGATGTTCGCGTTCGCCTGGCCGGCTTTCTCGAGCGTCTGCTTCTTCCATTCTTCGAAGGAGAGGAACGAGGATTCGCTCAGTTCGCCCGTCTCGAGATCCGTGGCTGCTGCGCCTGCTGCTTGGGAGGCGGGACTTGCCAAATCTACTACCACTGTACTCGTGCCATTCCCACTGCTTTGTGCTTCTCCCGAAAGTGTAGTCGTTGCCTCTCCGCCCTCTACGGCCCTCACGGCCGTTCCGTTTGCGCTACTCCATGAGCTCTTTAGACATTGCTGGGGCAGCGTATCGGTGATGTAGTTGATAGTCCTGACCTCGCAGGTGCCTGTTGCAGCGGCGCTGGAGATCGTCGGCGCTGTCGGTTTCGGTGCTGTCGTTATCGTGCTGGCATTTGCAGCTGTGATTGTGCTCAGGAGCAGCAGTGGGATAGTCGCTGCGATGCGGAAGTGCTGGCCGGACAGATGCATGCTTGCTCCGTCATTTTCTGCTCTTCTGTACTCCGGGGGATGGGTGAGAGGGAGGCCAGCTGGAGATTTTATGTAGCTAGAGAGTTGAGGGAGGGTAAATGTTGGCTGGGCTTGCTCGAGAATTACTGGGCCGGAAGTTGGAACGGGATGTAAGAAAGAAAAGAAGGAGGAACTATTTTCTGCACTTCACATTGGTCAATGCAACGGGACAGTACAGAAATTCAATCGACTTGATGATGCGCACAGCATGCAAGAGCTGCAGATGCAAGATTTTGAGGTTAAAGAGACAAGCAGGCTATTGTTATGATAGGAGGGAATCGGTGGTACAATATTGTATGCAGCCACTTGTGGCTATTTCCCTGCTTTTTGCTCCGTTGAAATCTTGAGGTTCTGGAAGCTCCAGGGATCATTGCCGCTGTTGCATGTGGTGGGGTGGGGTTTGGGTCGCAGGGTGTACGATGGGATGGAATTGATAATTGTTCAGTTATTGAAATACCAAGACAATCGATGTTTACTCAAAAATACATTCGTATAACTTGACTTGTGAGTTATTTTTCAGGACAATCCGCGTTTTATATATACATTCAATAAAGTGCCAAACTGTACATCTCCATACTGTCACTGTCCGTACTCCACCCCAAGCCTAGCACGAGGCTTCAGCCGCGCTTGGGACTGGACAGTCCATGATGTCAACGGGCACTAAGACAACATCTTACTTTCATGTCATTTCCAACCTCATTCAATCGCATTTTTGAATAAATCCCACTTCATCTCAAATCTCCTCCATCCCAAAAATACCCAAGCCTCCAACCGTCTATTTCCAATCTCAATCCCAAATCCCATCCCATCACCCCTCATCTCAACTCATCTCAACTCAACCCCTCACTCATCTCAAAAAATGGCCACCCTCCTCCTCCGCCCCCTCATGCGACCCCAAACCCTCGGCCTGGGTCTTGGCCTCTCATTCCTAACCCACCAAACCATGTATCAGCGATCGTACCGGATGGACTCTGCACCTGGTGGATCTATTTTGTCCCAGGACTCGTATGCGCGGAATGCGAAGGTGCCGGTTGTGAGGGAGGGGAGGCTGAATGAGAGGGCTGTGAGGCAGATTAGTAGCGGGAGTATTATTGGTGAGTTTACCCAATTGAGACTTAGGGAAACTTTTGAGGCGGAAGGGGACTAGGAGAAGATTTTGGTTTGAGGTGGATGTGGATGTGCTGACTAGGAGGGAGGGGTGCTTGAGAGGAGGGAGGATGAGGGGAGAAGAAAGAATGAGGTAAGAGGAAAAAATGGCTAATTGGATTTCACAGGACTATGTGCTGGGTTGGCAGTTAGTACTTTCTCAAGGAGTCTGGCACTGATATTAGGATTATTGGTCGTTGGTGTACAAGTACGGCCCCTTCCAGTCCCCCTTCCCATCATCAGAGAAGGACCAGTATTAACGCGAAAGAAAAGTACGCCTCAAATCACGGCATCAACATCATCCCATACAACCGCCTCCAGAAATACGTCACCAGCATCGATCTCCGCTCAGCAGTTCAAGACAACGTAGCTTTCAAGATCTCATTCGGGACCACGTTCGCGCTAGCTGCTTTCATGCAATTCTAGTACGTAGGTAGGTAGGTAGTGGAGGGAGAGGAAGAAGGCTGAGAAGCCAGTCATGTAAATTAGATATCAAAAGGGTCAGACAGAAAGACGCTTGCTAGCTTTCTTGCTTCCATCCTCATCGCAATATGCTGAGGTTACAATCCTTCTCTTGAACGGAGGAGAGAAAAAAAAGATTACTGATTACAATGGTTGAGTCTCCCGCTCCAACCACTTCATAGCCAGAGAATCCGGCTCGAAGAACTCCTTGGTCTTGGCATGGATATCGGCGTGGTATTCATTCAGCCAATGCTTCTCTCTCCTGGTAAGGAGACTCTCGTCAATGAGTTTGCGGCAATAGGGAACCATAGTGACATGCTCAAAGCCGAGATATGGCTTATCGCCGAACTTGTGTTTGGTCTCGGCTTCTTTCACCATGACGATGTTCTCGATGCGGATACCGAAACTGCCATCTTCGTAGTATCCTGGTTCGTTAGATATCACGTTTCCTGGTGCTAATGGGACTTCCGAGTATTGGATTCTGGTCCCGATTCCGATTGGTCCTTCGTGTACGTTTAGGTAAGAGCCAACACCGTGACCTGTGCCATGGCGGTAGTCCAGTCCCTGTTCCTGTTTCAAAGTTAGTATATTTTATGAAAGGCGAGATAATATTGCTTACCCAAAGAAATTGTCTCGCCAAAGTGTCGAGCGCAAATCCTGTGGTTCCTTTTGGGAATATGGCAACGTCCAGAGCAATATTGCCCTTGAGCACCAACGTGTACGCCTTTCTCTCCATCTCGGTAGGTTCTCCAAAGTGAAGAGTTCGAGTTGTATCCGTTGTACCATCAAAGTACTGAGCACCAGAATCGCATAGATAGATAGCACTCGGGTCGATGGTGGAGCAGTTCCCGCGCTCGGGCGAGTAGTGGATCACAGCAGCATTCGCTCCGGTAGATGAGATTGTATCGAAAGACAACCCAACAAAGTGCTTCTTCGTTGAACGGAGTTCCTCCAGCTTGTCAGCTGCTTCGACCTCATCAATTGGTGTCTTATCAACAGTAAGTCTATGCTCTAGCCAAGCGAAGTATTCTGTTAGAGCAGCTCCGTCACGGATATGGCAAGCTCGCATGCCCCCAAGCTCCGTTTCGTTTTTCACAGCTTTAGCATCACCAACTGGACTTCTGATCTCCTCGACCTTGGATTCTCCTCCCAAAGCTCGTTTCAGAGCCCAAGAAGTCTTAGTCGACACCAAGAACTTCTTGATCTTGGCCTCGGATTGACCTTCAGCATCTGGAGATGGTAACGATTCGCCCAGCATCTGACTGTCATCAAAAATCTTCTCGTATGGTCGAACAGACACGCCATTCTCCGACAAATATGTCTGGCATTCGCTGCTCAACTTGGACGAGTTGACGTACAAGGTTGCCGAGGTCGGTGTAACAGACGCATAGGAGAAAAACACTGGGTTGTATGGGATGTCGCTTCCTCGTAGATTGAAGAGCCACGCGACCTCGTCCAGCATAGACACTATGAATCCAGAGCTCTTTTTCTTCTCTAATTCCTTGCGGAGCTCTTCCAGTTTTGTCTTCACGCTCTTTCCCGCAAAGTTTTGTGCAAGAAGCTTGACTGGCTCGGCGGGTAGAGCTGGACGATCGCCTCCCCAGATGAGGTCCACGAGGTTCTCCTCTATCGCCATCAGGTCTTTTCCACCCCGCTTCTTGATCTTCTCAGACAGCTTCCGGGCCTCGGGGGCAGATATGACCCTTGGATCAACGCCCACCACCTTGCCGCCTTCAGATTGTTCTGCAGACCATTCTTGCCAAGTTGGGACATCTTGTAATCCTTGTTTGAGCAGCAACCAGTTTTCATCCAGCTGTTTCGAAGCTTGATTGAAATATCGACCGTCCGTTGCTAAAGCCGCCTTCTCATGGGTGATTACTGCACATCCTGCAGACCCTGTAAAGCCCGTAATGTATTCCCTTCTGGCGTCACACGGGGCAATGTATTCCGAGGAGTGGCTGTCTTCAGAGGGTACGACTAGAACGCGGGGTAAGTGACTGTTGAATAGCAGGAACTCGACCACTCACATACTGTAGATGTCCACCTTGTGTTTCTTCATCAGTTCCCTCAGACCGGCCAGGCGCTCTGTTGTAACGACCTTCTCCATTTCGATCTTTGGTCTAACGAACTTTCCTAGGTGTATCGACTTGTTCTTGGTGGGGGTTATGTTGGCGCTTGTCAGAGAGGAACTGTGACGAATGCAGATGTGTATGTTCTGGCTTCGAAACTCTTTGTGGATGAAAGGTTGCGTTCTAATGAAGGCTTTTTCAAGAGCTCGAAAGTATCGCATTGATTCTTCAGAAATGCCCCCACGAAACAAAATTGGCTGCAAAGGTGGAGTGAAGAAGGCCGGGCCGAAACTCTAGAGCATCTCTGATTTCTCTGAGTGATAGGTAGTCCCCAAAGAAGTATTAACCTGGGCACAATACCCAACAAGGTCGTATACTAGAGGTGTTGAAAGTATACTTACCCAATGGCTCATCAATGAGTGGCTTGCTGCAAGGGAAAGGAAGTGTAGAGTCAACAGCTGCGAGGGGCACTGGGCTACGGGACATTCTTGCCTTAAGATCGAGGCATCCATGGCCTGATGCCTTACACAAAATATTTCGTCGAGATGTTTGTTGCATGATTCATAAATCACAAACATGAAATTCGAGATAGCTCATTTCGTTGAAGTTCTGATCAGTATTGGATGATGATAATTCACTTGGACCTCTGTAACCTTAAGAGGTTTTCGCTCATCTTTCAGTTCGTCCAGAGCACATAAATATTTCGCTTCGTTTGCCTCCATCTCCGAACAAGCAAGCCGCGGCGTCCGAAATGGAAAATGGTCATTTGCCCACTTCCCTGAGGGAGGTAGAGTCGGTATGCTATGCTTGCTCATTTGGTCTCCTTCGATATATTCTTCCTTCACAACAGCGTTTTATATCGGTCCTAGCTTCTGGAGGGTGACTTCGTGGGGCACGCCGGCGCGCGCTGTGATTTGGGCCCATGTAGATCTAGAAACTATTTGCTAACATTTTTCCCAGCTCATTACTCAACTGTATAGTCCTGGTGCCCCGGAAAGGGTAGCCAATATCCAGGAGACCTTACAAAGACTCCAACGCTCTCCAGAGGGCTGGCAGCTGGCAACGAGTCTCCTCGGTCACGGGGACGAACAAGTGAGATTCTTCGCAGCTTTGACTTTCACTGTCAAACTCAACACCGATGCGTATGTGTTGTCTTCTTATTTCATGGTGAGTGGCTGGATCTAACAAGTCCCAGGAAATCACTCAGTGACGAGGACGCCCAGGCGCTCCTGCAAACTCTCATTGGCTGGCTGATACGTTGCTTGAACGGGTCTGAGAGTGCCCTTGTTGTCAGGAAGTTATGCTCTACACTAGTAGCATACTTCCTTCAGTTTTCTTCGTCATGGGAACGCTGTATAAAGCATTTGATGCTTTGCTTATGTTCCAACGAAGCTCTTCCATATGCGGCCCTGGAGAGTTCTCAGGAAACAGTGGCGGCTATGGTTGACAATGTCTCCAATTCCAAAACCGGCAGTCCTGTCCCGAAGCCTGTAGCTCTTTTCTGGTTCGCTGCAACGCTTGTTGAAGAAGTTGGGAAGACAGATTCCAATTCTATGAAGCAGTTGAGTCAGGCCCCTGGGATCCCAAACACAGCCTTGCTGATGATAGACAGGCATAAATTCCACCTCAGTGTGGTACCCAATGTTGATGACATTGTCCCCTTGATATCAAAGTACATTACTGACGGTTCCGCGGACATGAAAATTCGACAGGAAGCTATGAGATGTTTTCAGGTATGTTAATCGCTGCACCCACGTCATTCCACTTCCGAGCAACTATTGACCAATCTAAGTCTTGGGTTTCTTATTCCCATCGCGCTTTTGTCGACGCTGGCATCATGCTTGATCCCTTACAATCTCTCACACAGCCTTCTATTATGTGCCTCGGACAAGATGACCTTTACGAAATTACGATTGAACTGCTCTCTGATGTCCTCACGAACTACTCAAAGTTCCTCCGCAAGGAGGACTTCACGATCCTACAATCCCTATTCAACAGTCAATGGGCCCAAGAGCGATATGAACGACTGGTCAAAGGTGACTTTGATTTCGATTCGCTTCAATTTGGCATGTTTATGATTGCATTTGGTGATGCAACAGTTCAAGATCTTGCTCGGAATTGTGCTACTGATCCCCAATCACATCAATACTTATCTGCTCTTTGTGACCTGCTTGGCGCAGAAGGCTATGCCGTCTCCGAGGACAAAATCTATGTTCCTGCTCTGGAGTTCTGGAACACATTCGTCGAGACGATGGTGGACGATGTGTATAGCTGCTCAGAAGGAGAGGAGAAGCCTTCATGGTTTCTGGCAGCTCAAGAACATGTCAAAAAGGTCATTGAAAGATGCTGGATCAAAAGTCAATTTCCTCCAGCAGAGGAGTACAACTCCTGGGACTCTGTGGACCGGACAGGATTCAAAGACGCTCGCAGAGACTTCTCCGACCTATTGCAGCAATTCTACCTCACCACTGGCATTCCTCTGCTTCAATTTTTTATAGACCTACTGCAAAATTCAACTGTCACTAGAAACTGGGCGGAATCAGAGGCATCAATGTACTGCCTGATGTGGTTCGCTGACTGTGTCTATGATACACCACAGCGTGATGACTATCTAGATAAGCTGTTCACACCTTCCCTTCTCACATTAATTGGAGATTCAGAGCAGCAAGTCCCGACCAGGGCCATGAAAAGTTTTCTAGATCTGGTCATCGCATATCCCGATTACTTCAAGCACCATCCTACCAATCTACCAGCAGTCCTAAATATCGTCTTTTCAGCAACTAGTTCAACTGCATTGGCGAAGACGGCATCAAGGTCAATCATGAAGCTTTGTTCAGATTGCCGGACTATACTTATACCCGAGCTTGGTGCGTTCCTACAGCATTATGGGAACATTGCGTCGAACTATTCGCTAGACGGAACAGTCAAAGAGGCAGTAATGGAGGGAATTGCTTCTATCATCCAGGGCCTCGATAGCGAGGAGGCTAAGCTTGCACCACTTGAGCAATTACTTGACTACGTGCAGTCCGACGTCGAGAAGTGTCTACAGATTGCCAATGGAAGCAACGGCGGTGAACTTACAGCTCTGGATCTTGGCATCATAGCACTGAAGTGTCTTGCAGGAATGTCCAAGGGCATACAGGCTCCAGAGGACAAGCCCGTTGATCTAGAAAAGATAGCCGAACCCGCATCGCCGTTCTGGATAACTGGCAAAGGCAGTCACGTCCAGCACAGAATATACCTGATGATGCACAGCATATTCGATGTACTAGGAAACCAAGGTGATATCGTAGAAGAGCTATGTTTGATCTTACGACATGGTTTCAGAGAGGAAGAGCCAGGACCTTTTGTGCTGCCTTCCAGAATGGCAGCTCAGTTCCTGATGAAGGCGAATTCGCAAACACCACGATTAGGACGCTTAATCAACACTGCGGCTTTCCTAATCACAACTCAGAAGTTGTCTCCTGACATTCAGGAGATCTTAGAAACTATGCTAAATTGGGTATCACAGATACTTCAGAACCTTGGAGGTACGTTTCTGGAGCCTGCTCCCGCGTCTCATACTGACACATCTAGAACCTGGCAATGATCCAGAGATCGCACAAGCCAGTATAGAATTCCTCCAGCGGCTTCTATCCAAGTTCTCAGGGGTTCTACTCGACCACCAACCTCCATCTTCTCTAGAATTCATGTTCATGTTCGCCCTGAAAGCCCTCGCAGGCACGGAGCCACTTCCAAAAGCATCCTCAGCCGATTTCTGGGTACATTCCACCTCTTCCACCTGCCTTTCTCTCTTCCTCCCCTTGCTCTATAAGTTATACTGACTAACTTTTCCAGGCAACATTCATCGCCCTCCCAACACAACCTTCACCCCTCCAACCCTCAATCGAAAACGCCGTCTCACATCTCGGCCCCCTCCTTGCCCAAGCCCTCATCTACAACATCGGCGGCCACGCAGCACGCAGCGAGCTAGAGAAACTTTCTGATCCAATCAAGAAGCTTGTTGTACGACAGGTGCATGCGAAGGCTTGGTTCGAAGCTGCCTTGTTTGATGCGAATTTTCCGAGCGAGAAGGTTACGGCCAAGGATAAGAATATGTTTTTGGCGAAGATTGTGAAGTGAGTCCTTCATAGTACATCAAGGGCGACTGGAGCTAACGAATACAGTCTCCGTGGTGCAAAGGGAACGAATCAAGTTGTCCGTGATTTCTGGCTTCTATGCAGAGGATCGAACTTTGCTTATGCTTCCTGAGCGAGAAATAAAAGATTACCGAATCAATTTGCTAGATATGAACTTCTAGATTTATACTCTTGATTCGGTTGGTTGTTTTGTCGATGTACAATACTCTATTCCATTTGGTTCTTCCTGGAAGCTCGGACAACGAGAGGAGAGGGGATAGCGGCAAATCAATCTGATGTTTCTTACTTCCACTCCTCTGTGGTAAACACTTAAATGAGACTTTCTCCCAGGTGCCTATGATCTGTATAACTTGAGTGTGACTTGTTGTGCTGAACTGGTCTGATGCACAGGTTTCGTGCCCGGCTAGTACTCTTCTGGCTCTAGATTCCCCGTGCCTCTCGTAGATTGACACCGTGAGTTCCCATGCTGCTTCACCGCTTCTTCCAATATTCAATCTAGGACTCATAAATTCATTATTGAATCGGTCACCCAATTCTTCATACCCAGAGGATTCACCACAACCTCCGCCTGCGCCTTCCTCTCAAAAGTATAAAACATACTCCTCCACACTTGCAGATACTTTCGAATCAACAGTCACCACAGTATCTTAACAGACACAGAACTGCCTGGGTGGGGTGGCATTGTGAGGCGGGGAGGGTGGAATTGGGCTGGGACTATATATAGACTCTGGAATGGTTTGAGGGGTGGTGGAGGGGCTCGTGAAAGCAGGGAATGTTGGGTAGAGTGAGGAAGTGGAGCTGGTAGTCTCTGTGTCGAGTACGCCGTCGCATCTAAGTCAAGAGTCGACTGGAGATAGAATGAGTGGCGACAATGACAATGACAGCTTTTTTGCTGTCAAACTTCAAGCAGTGAACAGTCATCATATTGTCGCGGTTGTCATAAAGGCTCGTACAGCCGATGAACTTTTTGATGCCGTCCGCATCCGTCTTATAGACAGAATCTCCATCTCTCCCACCGAAACCGGCGTTCTAGTCTTCAAATCACCCAAAATTCAATCTGCTCCGGCCCGTTGAATGGCGCGTACTGGATGCTTCTGTTACCTGCGAAAACTGACGCCCACCAGAGATTATAATGCTTATATATAAGATGCACAAGTCTAAGAGCTAAGTCTGTTCTCGTAGTATTCAAACAAGTCTATCATCTGACACATAAATTCACATGTCCTTCGTAAATGGCAAGTGTTGTGGGTGGAAATTCACCCAGTCAGCACTCGTTGCTGTGCCTGTTCTCTTTTCGTAAGAAAGTTGCATACTAGTGGAAGTAGTGAGGCGTTGCGTCTCGGTATTTTATTGTAGTCCGCGACATAAATTCTTTGCCAGGTCTGTGGATCTTTCGACGTAATGTTGTGGTAGGAAGGAAGAAGTTAGGCGAGGATGGCCACAACGATACAGGCTGTGTTGGGATCATAACCGCATTTTTCTTCTTATTGTTCTTGGCTGCAATTGGGACGTTGATTAAATTTAAAAATACTTGTGAGGACGGATCTCATACGAGGGTCTTCCTCTGAGGCGGCCTTCTCGAGGGACATCTCCCATAGAATTACCTCCTGAAGATTTTGATACATGGATTCGGCAACGTGAGCAGCGCCACCCTAATATCAAGAAGTCATTCGGAGGGATTTGAACAGCTGTCCCAGAACAAGGATTGTGGACTGGAAACTGGTTAAATGCGTTTCGATATTTTCTATACCATGACCCAACCACTGTATGCACAGAACCATCCACCAAATACACGACTTTTGGTATCTCCATAACGCCAGCTCACCCATCCCACCTATGCCACCAAACTGCTTGTCCAATCTAAGCCCACGACTCCCAGCCCTTCAGCACGCATCCCTCTCCATCTCTCTTCACAAGATGACCAATGGTATATACCTTCTCACCAGCAGCTTGCAACTCCTTAACGACAGCATCCGCGTTCTCCTTGGACACCACGACAACCATACCAATACCAGTATTGAACGTCCGGCCCAGCTCAGCCGCTGAGACGTTGCCTTCTTTCTTCAACCATTTGAAGACAGCTGGTAGTTCCCACTTCGAGACATCGACTTCGGCAGCGAGGTGATTGGGAAGCATACGTGGGATGTTCTCTGTCAAACCACCGCCTGTGATATGCGAGAGGCCCTTAGGGAGCCGCTTCTTGATGACTTCCAGTAATGGAAGAACGTAGATGCGTGTTGGGGTGAGGAGACTGAGTCCTGCGGAGGTGGAGGGATCCCAAGGTGCGGGGGCGTTGTACGAAAGGTTTGCTCTGCTGACAATTTTGCGAACGAGAGAGAAGCCGTTGGAGTGGACACCGTTGGAAGCCAGACCGAGGAGAATATCGCCCTCGATCATATCCTGCTTCAGTGGCAGGGCAAGTTCCTTCCGCATGGTTCCGATAGCAGCACCAGCCGCGTCATAGTCCTCCTCCTTGTACATACCCGGCATCTCAGCAGTCTCTCCGCCGACAAGAGCACAATTTGATTGCCTGCAGCCTTCTGCAACACCTTCGACGAAAGCAGCGGCGTGCTCGGCGTTGAGCTTGCTGCAGCCGTAGTAGTCGAGGAACATCAGAGGCTCGGCACCTTGGACTACGAGATCGTTGACATTCATGGCGACAAGATCGATACCGACTGTGTCGTGCTTGTGCATGGCTTGGGCGATCATAAGCTTGGTTCCCACTCCATCGATAGCTCCAACTAAAATCGGAGCACCAGCGTATCCGGCTTTGTCCAAGTCAACTTCACCACCGAAACCTCCAATCTCAGCATCTGCTCCTGGTCTCTTGGTAGATGCAACGGCCTTGGAAGATGTCAGATTGGTGGAGACTGGCTCAGTAAAAGTAGACTTACAGCCTTGATTCGCTCCACGAACTGGTTCCCATCTTCAATACTGACACCGGCGGAAGCATATGTTAGAGCCTCCTTGGTGGCAGTTGTTGGCTTAAAAGCTCTGTGGGCAATGTCCTTTCGGTAAAACATTTTATCAAATTTGATAGATTCAACGCCTGTAAAAGTCAGCTTTCAATGTCCCACGTCATTTCGGACATTCAGTAACAATTCAATGTCAAACAGCTGAAACCACAAGTCAATCTCATGTATGACTTACCAATGTAAGCATTTTGAACGGCTTGCTCCAAGCTCTCGGCAACAGCTTGAGCAGCGATAACTCTTCCGCCAGAGCTCTGAAGCTGGCCATCCTTGATGGTTGTACCGGCGTGGAAAATGTTAGTATTGGCAGCTGTATCACTAACAGTCATCGGTGTGCCTTTTGCGTATGATCCTGGATATCCACCAGCGGCTACCACAACTGTGGCACTGAACTTGTTGTCCACCTTCACATCTACTGCATCCAAGTCTCCGTCCACACAGGCGATCATAATTTCTGCAAGGTCGGTGTCTTTGCTGATTAAAGGTAACAGAGTTTGCGTCTCAGGATCTCCAAATCGAACGTTATACTCCAATACCTTTGGTCCGTCCTTGGTGATCATGAGTCCAGTAAACAGTGTTCCAACAAACTTGAATCGTTCTTTTCGCATACCGTCAATCGTGGGTTGTAAAATGGTTCTCTCGACTTCCGCAATTAACTCCTTTGATGCAATTTTTGTTGGAGCGTAACATCCCATTCCACCGGTATTTGGCCCTTGATCTCCATCAAATATTCTTTTATGGTCCTGGGCGGGAGGAAGTGACCGAATAGTGTGACCATCACTGAAACTCAAAATACTGAGCTCATCCCCCTCCAAAAACTCCTCAATGACTACCTCGTCACCAGCAGACCCAAATTCCTTGTCCAGCATAATCTCCTTCAATGCTGCTTGTGCCTCCTCCTTCGTTGTCGGAATAATGACACCCTTTCCAGCGGCCAAACCGCTTGCCTTCAGTACCACATTATGGTTGATGCTGTCAAGATATTTCTTCGCGGATTCGTAGTCGGAGAAGTTCTCGTACGCAGCCGTGGCAATGTTGTGTCTCTTCATGAAATCTTTAGAGAATGTCTTGCTTCCCTCCATTCGCGCTGCAAGTTTCGAGGGACCATAGCATCGGATGCCAGCATCACGGAAGTATCCTTCGATTCCATCTACCAGTGGGGCTTCAGGTCCTGGCACAACGAGATTGATGCCATTCTTCTGCGCGAAAGAGACGAGACCTGGATAATCATCTGCCTTGACACTGGTCTCGTTGGTCGTCTTTGGGCAAGTCGCAGTGCCTCCATTTCCAGGAACCTGTACCCCATCAATAATTGTCTCGAGGCTTAAATATGACTTTGACTTGCAGCAATTATGGACTCGACGCGTGCCGATTGACTCAACTTCCAAGCAAGAGCATGTTCACGCCCCCCATTTCCCACCAGCAAAATTCGGATGGGATCCATGACCAATTTTCTCGTCAATGTAGATTTCGCGGAGGCAGATTGAGGAGGATAAATGTGACTTTCCCCTCCAGAAAATAATTTTTTGGCACGACCAAACGCGGGGCATTTGGAGGGGTCACTTTGGGCGAGACGACCTAGCCGCATTGAGTAAGGACTAAAGTGGAGTTAGTCTCGGAGAGAGCACAACTCTCCTCCTTAACCTCCATCCAGCTCAACTTGTTCCAAAAGTAGTTTGCAGCGAACTCTCGTCTGCTCTCACCCATCAAATAATGTCATTTTCTGCTTTTGAATGTTGCCAAATGTATCTCAATCATGGGCTGGGTGACAAGATAAGTTTCACTCCGAGCTGTAGTTCTGATAGGCCATCTGTCAGGTCGGCGTCGGTGACCAGAGCTGGACAGCCTCCTGCCTCACAGCCCCACTGTCATAAATAGATATAGCGGCCCAAGTTGTTTGCTGAAGTCCTCCTTGACATTTCACCGTTATATTCATCTGTTATACTTGGAACAATTTAATTTTCTAGTCAGCTTCATTTTAGAGGAATGTTGAGAAGGCTGCCCCTATGGATTACATCTCAAACCTCTCCCGCTTCTTTGCTTCAAGGCCAGAATCTTCCACTCAGACGTCATCCACGCAGCCTCCTGCTCCTGCTTCTGAACTATTGTGCTCGGAATACTCTTCTGTGGATATCCTAGCGGCCTTTCGTAGTCAAGTCCGTCACAACTCCCTTAATGGAGACGTCGTGGTGAATTTCTCGCGCTGTGCACGAGATTTACGAGCCTCGACCTGTCCTTTATGCCAGCTCTTCGGGTCCGTTTCTTGGCCACCTGGATCAAGTTTTGCGACAGTTGAGGCGAGACTCATACCCATCGATCTCTTGTTCACAGGACTGACTTTGCCCTCATTGTTTGAGACCAATGCCATCGGCGTTCATGGTTATGAACCCATGCGTCATAGATATCACAGTCTAGGGCTCGTGGATACAAGACAGCCTTCCTGTCCAGTAGGATTCAACTATGGAGTCCGAGTACTCAATCGAGAAAGCTTTGATGTTGAAATCGTACGTCACTGGATCGGATTCTGTGGGATCAATCACCATGGTGATTGTGTGCCAACATATTTCACTGGTATATCCTCATTTCGGGTGATAGACTGCGTGACGAAAACTGTTGTCAAGGCTCCATCCTCCTGCCGATATGTTGCGCTGTCCTATGTCTGGGGACCGAGCCATTTGCACCATTGTAGCCCGGAAATCGGTGATCCTTCTCTCCAGAACGCCCCAAAGGTGGTCACCGATAGTATGAAAGTCGTCAGGCTACTAGGGTTTCGCTATTTATGGATTGACAGGTATTGTATCCACCAATTCGATTCAGCTGAGAAGCATGATCAGATTTCTCGTATGGATTCGATATATGCCAGTGCTCAACTTACCATTATTGCGGCCGCCGGCATTGGTCCAGACATTGGCCTTCCGGGGGTTAATGGAACACTTCGAAGACCCCAGCCATCATATCAATTTGGAGATTACAAAGTAGTATCGTCCCTTGTAACTGCTACTGTTTCATTGTCTGAAACAGCATGGACCTCGCGCGGATGGACATATCAGGAAGGGCTACTATCGAGAAGACGTTTGATTTTCACATACGACCAGGTATACTTCGAATGCAATGGTATGCACTACGCTGAAGTTCTACACTTACCGCTTCAAGAAATGCTTGACACAGACACGGGGAAAGCTAGGGTAGAAGTTCCTCCAGGTGCTTTTACAACGAAATCAATTGGAGATTACCCATGGAGAATTATGCAATCTGTATCAGACTTCTCGGCAAGACAGCTCACTTACCAATCCGACGCTCTAAACGCCATTCAAGGCATCTTTCGAGCTTTCGAAAAGAGTCCCTACCCTACGTATCAACTGATGGGAGTTCCAATAATGTCATCGTATATCATATCTGGTACTTCTGACCCAGTTGTGTCCACAATCTCACGGTATCCCGACGAAGGATTTATGATTGGACTGTTGTGGTTTCATCGACACTCTCGCCCGGAGGCTGACTTGCGCAGGCAATGCTTTCCATCTTGGTCCTGGGCAGGATGGAACGGACAACCAGAGCAATACCTCGAGTTCAATCATCGTTCTCAGTTATCCGATCTTGGAGTTCAAGTCTCCGTAGAAGATTCCGACGGTTCTCTGCTACCCTTCCCCATGAATGATCCTTCAATTCCGCTATTTCTCGATCGTCTTCACGACGCAAGATTCATCCACGTCACAGCGAGGACATCTAAGTGTAAGATCATTCACAAAAGTTTCTTCACAGTCCCAGTCGAAGCTGGGTCTAGGTCTTCATACATGGCACTCCTTGCGGGTGAAAGCCGAGCTGTCTGTTTGGAATTTGAGCCCGCATACAAGAACGAAGCAGATTTATCCAAAAGTTCTCTGTCAGGCAAAAACCTTACAGCCATCATCTTTGCGCCGGATACAGAGGTTGATGACATTGACCGGCAGGTGTCAGTTCTTGTAGTCGAGGAGAAAGGGGACTTGACTGAAAGAGTAGGAATATGTCTTAGGCCCGATGTGTATGATTTTCGAGGTGTCAAATCGGAACCACGACTAATCTCTAATTTCCTGGATATCTCGTTTTCAGACCATCGGCATCCTTATACTGCGAAAGATAAGGATGAGAATAGACAAGCGTTCAAGGAATGGTTGGACGAGCTAACGACTCGTACGATTCGAATAGGATGAGAACATGGGTTCTCGATAGATATCTGTCTGTTGTCTGTATGAGATAGACAAACTTGGATAGCCGTAATGCAATTAATGACTTCTTACTTGCCATTGCGTGAAATTTGTACTGCGTATACTAAGGTGTTTCCTAGCCATCTTACAACATTGACCTACTCTCACAAAGCCACTCCATACCAATGCGCAGTGTATCAATCCGAGCCCCCTTAAACGCCATATACCAACAGCAAACAAGGAACTTCAACCCTTGTAAACCCCGACTCGATTGTAGCAAAATCTCAACTCAGCCCATTACCAACTCAACCCAACCCACCCCAAGCACCACGAATTCTCCTCGCAAGTTGTATATCCTTTTGCATAATCGTAACCCTCTTAGCGTGAATCGCACTATTCGCACGTCAGTCCCATCCATCAATCATATATACTCCCCCACTTCGCGCAAAACCTCCACCAACAGCACCTCCCCCCTCCACAACTCTCCAAAATCGAAGGAAAATCGAAGGAAAAACGCGAAAAATACCATAAATTAGTGTCTTCAAATAAATGAACGAGGAAAGCCTCGCTCGCTTCTTGCAGCGCCTGTATAGCTTGCGATTGCCAGCGCATACCGAATCCAGCTGGTCGGAGACCGAGAGCGATTTCGCGGACCTATTTTTTTGCGCGCACCACATCAGCTTTCCTATTTCCTAGCCAGGCCGAATACACGCGCGCAGACTTACAAGACGAGAGAACGGTAGTTTCTGCATCAAGAGATCTGTGGACTTTTGGTATTTTCGTATTTCGAGGAGGGCTTTCGTGCCGGGCTTGTATCTGCGTTTCTTGCGGAGGGGGAGAGGATCGCCTGCTAAAGAATGCGACGGTGAAAATCAGCTTTCCGGTTGCGCTTTTTTGGATATGGGGGTAAAGAGGTATATCGTACGCTCTACGCCCGAACTGACGCGCTTTCCAGCTCTTTTTGGCCCCATGCTGGGTGTTGTCTTTCCTGCGCCGGCACCTGTACCTGATGGTCTTCCTCTTTTGCGCGCTGAACCTGGTGTTGATGCGTCGGCTGCTCCGAGGCGCATGCGCTGCTTGGTTGACATTTTTTGATCGCGGAGAGATGCGGTATGAGGGAGTGCGAGGGTGTGTGTTTGAATGCGGGTTCTGGAATGTCGAGGGTAGGTAGGTGGTGTGGGGAAATGAGGTGGTTGGGGATGAATGGACGGGTTCGGGACGGCTGGCTACATGCGCGTCGACGCGCTTGTCTTTGTTGGAGATTTTCTATTGTTCTGCGCGTTGGATGATGGGTGGTAAATGTGCTGTATAGGAAGGGTGGATTTGATATGATCTAGTGATCAATGAAGACGAAATGTGGAATACGAAATTGTAAAGGGCGCAAAATGTTGGAATTGTGCAGGTTTCACAATGTTGGGTTTGTTTACTCGCGCTTTGGTTGTACAAGGAACAGGCGGATGTGGCTAGTGAGTCGGATCTGTGGCGGTGCACAAAGCGGAATGACCATGGTACGAAACGGCATGATGCAAAGTGCCTATCCTAGGCCACAATTATTATCTGAAGAATCTTTGAGTATTTAAAATGTTCTCTACTTCCAGAGTATACTGTTTCCCTTCAAAGTACCAAAAGGTCTTCCCCCTGCGCTCTTCTCAATTGGTGTCAATTCTCAAGACTCATTTCCTCCTTACCGAGTTCAGACTCTCTAAAAATTCTCATCATGTCAGGAGGGTCTACGGCTGCTCTTATGGCACTATTGAGACAAAATCACATAGACGAAGAATCCAATGAGGTCCCACCCAAGAAGAAGATAAGACGAGAGCCAAAGGCTCCTAATTTCGAGTAAGGCTTGACTTTCAAGTGTTCACTTGTGATGACGACTGACAACTATTATAGCAATCCAACAGAAATTGTCACATTTTTGATTGGGGAAGAAGGTGAAGAGGAGAAGTTTCTTGTTCACAAAGGTTTCTCCCCAAATTCCTCAATTCTCACGACCAACATCTTACCACGTACACAGAATTTGCATGCGCATATTCTCCAGTTCTTAAAGCGGCATTTAACAGCGCCTTCATAGAAAGCCAGACTCAAACCTTCCGCATGAGAGATGTTCCAACCAAAATATTCCGTATGCTTCTCAAATGGTTCTATACACAAAGGATCGAGAAACTTGACCTTGCCGATATTGACGACTCGACTCGTGGAGAACTTGCCGAGGAGCATAACCTGAATTTGGTACACTTATGGGTTATAGCTGACGAGCTACTCATCCACAGACTACAAAACATGGTCATCACGGCTATTGAAGACTTTAGGAAGAGTAACAGCAGCCTTAAGACCACCAAATGGTTTCCGTTTGTGTACCAAAATACACTCGACAACAGCCCATTGAGGCACCTTGTCGTTGATACGTGCTTGTACGAGTACAATTTTCAAAACGATGAAGGTCCGCATCTTGTGGAACAGCGACCTGATGACTTCCCACAGCAGTTGCTTCTTGATGTATTCAAGGAGACTACTAAAGCAGTGAAGGTGGCAAGAGTTCACAATAATTGGTACAATTATCCTCCTCCAAATCCAGATGCACGACCATGGTATATCTGCGACAGGAATTGGAGAGATCATATGGTTGAGGAAAACCCTCAATAGATCTCTTTCAAAAATGATTCCTGGAAAGTCGAAAGGACGACCTCAGGAACTTGGTTGCTGATGTCAAGATTGGCCATATGTCTCTACACTTCTTTCCTGACCACCGAATATTTTCGGCAACGACTTCCTGTCTTCGTAAACACACCGTGCCACCCTCGATCTTCGTCTTCCACACCCCCTACAACAACAGAAATTCTTCTAAGATCCGCAAAAGTGGCAGCTCCAAGATTGGGAGAGATGGGAAATAGAGGAAAGAGAAGTACTGGAGGCTGGTGCTCAGATGGGATGATCCGCGATTTGATTATGATGGAAACTCAGTTGATCTAATACTCATGGGCAGGAAAGCAATGATCAGGGCATTCTTCAAGACCCAGGAGACTCAGGAGGAGATGATACGGGTGAGATGAAGACAAAAGATGCAATTTTTTAAGATGCAGAGCGTGCAATGCCCATCACCAAAACTATCTCCATCGTACACACCAGAGAAACGAGAAGATATTGGTAACAGAATAGTTCAGCTTTGCTACAGCCTGGCTTATCAGACGTACAATATGAAAGCGATTCTGAGTCCTTAATGGAACGTCAGAGCAAAAAAATGTTAAGCTCCTTTGGAAGTGCACAGGAGTTCGATGGGCAGTTCTTGCTCGTCCCTTCCGTAATTCCCACTTGAGATTCTTTGAACTTCTGAACAATTTGACGTTAGAGATGCAATAATTAAACCACTTACCCACTTTGACACATTCAACGGATTTCAAGTAGTACGATGAGAGTGAAGCAGTGATTGACATCATGTGCCCTACGAGGACCTCGCATCAACGCAAAGCTGAATCAACCTTATCTCAAGACAGGATCAGCAAATCGGCACGACAAGACAGGTACTAGAGGTACCAACCAGGATCTGGATACAACCACAGGAATTGAATCGAATCGAAACGGATTTCGGAGGCTACAATCCCTGTATGCATTTCAACCTTGCTAATTCCAAGAAATCCAAACCTAGAGTCCATGTGGTGACCGTTCAGGAAGATTGCTTAGATTGGTGTAAGATTATGTGGGCATATCGAATTTCAAGCTTTAAAAAGGGTTTGGATTGTTGAAGGAGCAGAGATACCACATTGATTGCCAAGTTGCTCATTCATTCTCATTACTATCCTAATCGTTCATGGAAAACCCCTTCCCCTCGTCCCCTCCGCGCTTAAATCTTAAGTCATTATCATAACACTCTTCTCATGCCAGAACACTATCCAACTCTATCACTTCACTTCCAAGTCTTGGGCCCAAACGTCCCATTAGCGACTTTCTGCACACCCGCATTCCAATCCCAATTATTCTGGAACCCACCTCCCCATCCACCCCACCACTGCGGACTCGTAACCTTATTCGGCAACTGCAGCGCAAAGAAAATCAACAGCAGACAAATAATCGTGCCGCTGTCCAACGCCGCGGAAGTAACGAAGTTGTACTCCGTCCACCAAGCACGATGACGGCCCTTGATGAACTTGTTGAAGACAGTACCGGTGATACCCCAGGTTGCGTAGGTCATGGGTGTGGCGGGAGGAATATATGCTGTTCCACCGAAGATGATGGGCATGTTGATATAGCGGAGGTTGCTCTTGGGCCACTTGCGGGCTGCGAGATAGACTAGGATGGGGGCGATGAGACCGACGAGGAAGAACCAGGAGAGCGAGCTGTAGACACCTTCGGAGCCGAAAATACGTTTTGGTCCAATGACTCCCCAGATGATTGATGCGGTGAAGAAAACACCGGCGTTGGGACAGGTGTAGTTGTCAGCTTGCTCGGGTTTGCAGACATTGTTGATGGCGCCGAGGGCCCAGTTGTAGACTGCGATTTGGACGATGCAGGACCAGAGGGTGGCGACGAATTGGGCCCAGAATGTGACGCGCTGAGGGACTTTCATGTAATGAGCTAGCTTGATGTCTTGGGTGAAGTAGAGGCCTTGGTATGCTGTGATGTAGCCGTACATCTTGAACATCATCATGGCGAGAGGTCGTCCTGGTTGCATATAGCCTATGATGAACTCGGTGATAACGTTGAGACCGATTTGGACGTTGGTCGTGGCTTGGATGATGCCGATTGGGAGGTAGAAGAAGAGGGAGATCAGGAGAGCAACGATAAATGCCCACCAGGTCAAATGTGTGTCCCAAACCAGACAAGTTACAAGACCAAGTGCGAACATTGTTAAGAAAGAGACGCCGTACCTAAGTTTCACATCAGCAGGTGTTTCTTTGGTAGATAGAAAACAGACTTACCACCACCAAGGGGCTTCCTTGTATTTCATCATCATGCGTTGATGAATATCAGCTCCTTCTCCTCGAGCAGCCTTCCACTTTGCCCAGATCTCTTGTCCGTCGTAGAGTGCTGTGTGCACAACGACGGCGATGATTGTTGCGAATGAAAGACCGTAAGCGAGTGCAAAGGTTGTTGACAAGAAAATTGGCGAGTATTCTTGATACAGTTTAGGATCCTGAGAGGTCATCAATATGCAATTTTCGTGGCGCTCGGGAGAGGAGTAGTTCATACCAAGGTATATTCTGGTGTGAGAATCTTAGAGACATTGTATCTGGACCCAGTGTTGTCAAAGTTTCCACCTGTTGACATTGGCAGATATTCGGAATAGAATGCTCCGGTGTAGTGGACACCAAGCGAAGTGATGATTGTGAAGATAAGAACACCGATCATGGTATTAGCGATCGCGTGGAAGGGGAAGATCAGGGGACTGGTCAAGAAAGCTGTGACGATGGTCCAGTCAAACGTGATTGGAATTAAAGCAAGTCCAGTTTGGCCACCGAAGAGTTGGTTCACGACGACGTTTTTGGGAGCAGCCCAGCACACGAATGTGAATGCGCCCAGGAAAGGAGCAATCCAGAGTGGGAACCATTCCCAAACGAAGATACCGACAAGTACAATGAGGAAATACTTGTAACGTCCAATCGTCCAAGAGCCGGACCTGAGTGCATCGGGAGTCTTTCGGGTGTGAATAGTCTCGAACATCGTCGTGATGATAAGGTTGGAAGGCCAGATCATGGCAGCTGGTTCGACGAGCCACTTCCTAGTGAGACCCGCCAGACCGAGGCCGAGCATTTGACAAGTAATCGTCAGGAGGAGTTGGTAACCCCACCCAAATTTCTGACCGTAAAAGACCTCTTGTGCAAGGAGCACATCAGTGGAGTAGGCAGTTGTGCCCCCGAATGATGCGTTAGCCATGATGACTATGATAGTGTGCTCTTTGACGTTAAATGGGCCAGAGTTCAGCGACCAAGTCCTGCCAAAGGTCGTGAATTTCTTCGTCGGCATGACTAAATCAAAGATTAGATACCAGCTCTATTCAAGCCGATTGACTAATCACTTACTATACGTCCACGCAACACCAAATGGATACGATAGCAGCAATGTTACTACCGGAGTGAGGTAGATGGAAGGATTACGGAGAGAGAAGAGCATGTTGACGCCACTTCCAATCGTGCACCAGATCATACCAATAACCCACGCTCGGACAGTATTCGCTGGCATATCTTCATCGTAATTTCTGACTGCGGCACGAACCTCGGGATATGGCGAGTCTTCCTCGAGCAGAGTATGCTCAAGGACAGCCTTTTTCTCGAGATCTCCGGTCTGATAGGCTTGGTCGATAGCGTCGACCGCCTCTCGAGGCAAGTTGGGATCCCATTTGGCAGAGACTTTTAAAGCTTTGATATCTCGCTGGATGATATCTGCGTCGATGTTGCTACAAAGTGGCGTCAATAATGGTAAATGTTAACACAGGGAGATGATCGTACCCTTCTGCACCAGGAGAGCCCGGCTCCACGGCAGAGGACATACCCGTGTCCTTCTCTTTTCCCCAAAAACGAACCATTGTGGGAGTTTCTCAATCGATCTAGAAGAATCACTCCTGAATTTGAGGACGTAGCTCTTAGAGCAAAGGAGCCGAACGCAAATTGGGTTTCACGACGGTACTTATATTTGCTGCGGGGCACGCCTTATGTTCAACCGTTGACAAGTGATCCTTGGTCTCGGTCGCCGATAGATCGCCAGGTTAGTCGGTTGCTACGACCTTCCCAATTGAGATGGCAAGGAGAACCAACACTCCCTTGGGGACGAGCTGATCGGTGTGGGAGCTTTGGCGTAGGGCAGGTGTGACACCCCAAACTCAGTTGTGCTGCGCTATCTTGCATTGGAGTGGATATTTTGAAGACCATAGGAGAGGACTTACTTGTGGGATACGAAGCACTAGCTCGGCCAAATGTAACCAATACATCCTTCCAGAACGATGTTTGATTCTCTTCCGACGTATTGCAGTTGTCAACCCAGCAGATAATGGGAAATGGGTTGCCGCCCCGTCCGCCATCTACCAAGTCTTGTTACGGACACGAAGATGATTGACGGAGATGATCAACACTTTTGTCTTGTACCGTCTATCCTTTACTGTAGTTGTCTTAGAATGTACTGGTAGTGGAGCACATCAACTAGGGGGCCTTGCAATGGAAGCGAGGCTTGGAACTCGCAGTCAAGCTTTCCAAGCTTTCGTGCCGAGGAGTCTTGCAGGGTTACCCGCATCGATGTCCCCAGGGTATCACATGGCTGTACGACAGGATAGATGACCTCAATGAGATCTCGAACAGCCGAGTGAAATAAAAGCTTATCAGATAACAAATATCGAGACGTTGGTAGGATGTGTTTGCGGAGATTTCAATCCAGATGCTTTCAGATAATTTCGAATTTTGAAGAGATGGTGGACCCTCGCTGAATGCTTTCTGTCTGGAACGTTCAAATGCTGTCCAGTCTCCGAGAGATCAAGAACCCCTTGACCCAGAGGTTGCATTGCCAATATTAGATTGTTAATCGCAGCCGGGTAGTAGTTCATGATAAACTGATTGGATGCACGTCGCCAGTAATAAATGATTGGATCGAGCTGGTGACCAAATGCGGTAATGATTGCTGGAAACCAACAGCCCAACAGGGAGGAGGACATGGCGAGCCTCAAATGGTACCCCTGCTCTTGGAGGTCTGAATATTTGTGATGATCTCGACGAAGCTTTGAAAGTCGGCGATCTTGGAGTGACCATGGACGTCTATGACAGGCTGCGCCAAAATGGTGGCTGCGGCATGTGAGTTTAGCTGTAAGAGGGAGGCAAGTATTTCGACCAGCATCCGGCTCTGATCCACACGCCTGGTCAAAAGACCATACCCCGCTGAGTGTTCTAGCTTGATTCCAAAAGGCTCCGTCGAGATGCTTTCGCTGCTCAGTAATGCGGCCGCGGGTAAATTTACCAGCATCATTCGTACTGTACAGTAGCGGACTGGACAAGCGCAAAGCTTCACTAGCCCAATTAAGAATGTGCTTGAGTAGCGGATTCCACCAAGGTCCGCCATCAACCGCCACCTCCGCATCTCTGAGCATGGATCCAATCCGTCCTTGAACCAGGTTCTCCAGCTTCCCAGAAGACTCTGAATGGATAGCGTCCGATAGCATCATGCCATGGCTTGGTAATTTACAAAGACAGTCTGTCCGGCGATATGGAACGAACAGTCTGGACGAGTGATGATGTCCATCAATCAAGGGCTATTATCCCCGTCTTCTGTTGTGGTGCACACAGGGATGCAAAAACCAAAACGTCTCCTTCTCCGCTAAGCTTTTCCGATGTAACAAATAACTTAAGCTTTCGAATCCGACGCCACTGGAAATACCGAGGACCGCCAAGCAAATTCCAGAAAGATAAGCTTCAGCCTATGATTTCAGAATCGCAAGCATTGCAGCCAACTACGCAAGGCTATCAAGTGTGCCGGCGCGGGAGAGTTCATCGCTAGACCTCCTTCCCGATGAGGCAGCTGGCAAAGCTACGGTACGGATGGAGACATCCCCATATTCCCCTCCTTTGCAAGGGCCATCCTCTGTGGCAATTTATCCTCGAAGCCGCAATAATGGCTCCATCAGAACAACCATTCGTGATGACAGTGAACTCAAGGGGCCGAGTATAGCCGGCCAGCTTGATCAAATATTGCGGCCCGACATCTTGCAGAGCAGCGCGGCTGAAGCAGGAGAGTACTGGAACAGCAGGAAGGAGATGAAAGACATATCCCGTTTACAACACAAAAACGGCATGCGATATTGGAGAATGAAGACTACTCGCTTCTCACATGGTACCGTTGTCAAAGGGCAACAACGCAAAAAGCAGCAATAATTTGCTTGAGCGACACTCAGAGAGCAGACAGCAGACAACAGAAAGCAGCAGACAGACGAAACAGGGACTCTAAAGACAACTTCAAGGATGGAAAGACATGAAAACAAATCTCCAGGAGCAAAGAGACTCTTCAATAAGATGTACCTACAGATAGCAGGCCGGCGTGAGTCAATCATCTGTAAATCCACGCCTTAACAAGCGAAATTCGCAAGCTTACTCATACATGAGCAGGCTCCAGTTTTCCCTCCGTGTAACCAACCTTAGATGCAGTCAGCAAATTACGCGAATCGGAATTTGGATTTTGCCGTCTGACCATGCTCAAGCTGATGCTGGAGGAAATACAGAATAAAGGCAGGTGATTATCATGTGACTTTCTCACACAGTGGTTCGTTTCTGACTTCCACTCGTCAACAGATACTTCTGGGGTGTTTGAACTTTAGCTTGAGCGTGCAGTAAGTTTGCAACTGGAACAATATTCTCCGAAAGCATAACCTACTGTAAAAGTATAAAATTTTGAAACATGTCAGGGTCCGACCTCCTTAGAGTTGACGTTTGCGGTACTTGAGGGAGGATGTCCGCATGCGGCTACTTCAACTTCATGCTTCTCAACCACCAACAAAGAGAATGGAAGATTACTTTCGCACACTGTTTCCCTCTTGATCCGATTCTCTAAGAGGCATGCGCTATTCAAGCAATCAGAAAAGATGAGTATCGTTCAAGATTTATGCTTTGGAGATCAGCACATCAGAAGAGGCGTGCAAGGTTCACATAAAATTCATGGTAGCCGATTGATCGCAAGTACCAAACTATGTATCGACAAACATTGGGTTGAGGTAAGCATTTCTTTGCGATCCAAGCAACTTTCCTCAGACTTATCAAGCTGCTTGCAGAGTAGCAGTAATCAATGGCCCCCATTGACCGAATCGCACCTGAACTTCCTCATCCAGCGCTTCGGACTGTGCTCCCCTTTACAGGAAAGAATAACCCACTTTTCAATCGACGCCATCTTACAAGCAACCACAATCTACCTCGACAAAACGGGATGGACCAACAGGCATGAAGACAGGCTTTGGGAGAAACTCAACCTGAAGATCGGTTACCTACATGCTGGATTAACAGGGCAGCGAGACCAAGCTATGGTAGACCACTATTGCAAGGCAAGGCTGTACTCTCATACGATGCATAAGAAGAATCTGCCGACTCTGTCATTGTACCGGAATGAGAACTTGCAGATGTCGCCATACCGTCAACAGCTACCTCATGCATCGAGTCCAACTTTTCAGCCTACTGGATATACCGGGCGCACCGAGTCCCAGTACAGACCTGAGGTGAAGTCACAGCCTGTCAGGCACGCCATGGAACTTTGGATGTCGCTGAGTGCAAACGAGCAAGCGGACCTTCTCCGCTCACAACTTCGCGCCGCAAAGAACTTTAACACCCTGGCTATGGTTGTGAATCAGCAATGCAAGACTTATCAAGCTTCAAGAGCAAGGCGAAGCAGTCACGGGTCTCCGACCAAGACCTGCCACCCACTGGATATAAACATTCCGAATTCTAAAACGAATACACATACAAATGCGCTGAGCATAAGAACGGACATATCTCCATCCTCAACGATGACACCAAAAGCCAAAGAATCAGCCAGCTCCAGTGGAATTTCAAAATCACCAGGGATTGTATTCGATGGTCTCCCATCGCCGACTGCGACGCCCCTGGAAGAACCATGGAGCGCAACACCATTTTCTCCCAGCCATAGCGATAAAGTCACCAGCCCTCTGCACAGTATAGATGACGACATTCAGGAGATAAATGAGATTGATTTCACGGAAAATGCCCCGGAGTCAAAGCAGGCACCTCTGACTGGCAAGTCCCTGGACGTCAAGTCAACAATTGACCAATGCATCCGAGAGCTGGAGCTGAAGAGGAAGAGAGAGAAAGATACTGTTCAGGAAGAAAAGGAGAAGAGTGACGAGGCAAAGGAGGATGCGGAGCTAAGGCAGGAGGACGAAGGAAATATGATACAGAGTGTTGAGGATGAAGAATCGGAAGAAAGAAAGAAGAGATGCAAACTACAAGTAGAAATCTGATAAATCAAGATGCGGATTGGTCATTTTACTCAACTTTGTACTTGTGTTCTGGCATGTAAAGATACAATTTACGATTGATGTGCGGTGGTTCCTGATATTTTCTGTAGATCCCGAAATGTCCAGCATAAGACGAGGAAGTCCAAAAGTAGACGTAAACCCGGCTTTTAAGACTCAGAAGGGACGCAATCCCTGGACGTGCAGCGCGTCCACAATATCTCGTGACTTGGCGTTCCGAATAAAGAAATCTCGGTGGGCGCGTTTGAGCATCTGCAGCTTGCCGCCCCATTGCCCTACGTTTTCTCAAAGGTATGTTAAAACCTCTTCTTTCTGTTCTCAACTGCTATATTTCAAACTCTTCTCGCTTTAGCCGTGATTGTGCTGAAGAATTAAATCATGAGCCCACCCGCGGATCCTCGTGACTGGCATCTTGATTTCAGCTCCTATCGCGAGCAGGTCAACTCGTATAAGTGCCCAGTACCTGGCTGTAGTCAGTCGTTTGCAGCTCTGGAGTTTTTACAGTTTGTCATTCGAGCTTTCGGAAAGATCATTTACTAAGTACTGACTCAGATATCACATAAGCCAGAGCCACACATTCAAGCAGAACCCAGACAGAGTAAGCTATGCCACCTCAACGCCCCTGATGATCGGCAATGTGAATCAGACTGGAGAAACGAAACCACCAGTCATTCCTATACCCACTGTACAGAGAGTTTCGCAGGCGCCTCAGAGAGTTACACAATTTCCACCACCAAGCACTATCCAGACAATGTCGCAGCCTCTACATGTCCGACCATCCCCACGAGACATACCAGCTCCGCCATCCTATGGGCAGATGCTACCGCCAACGCATGCGTCGCTAGTAATAACAGATATGGGGACTGACACTCACACCCAACACATGAGTTGGGGAAAGGTAATCAACCAGGCGGCAGGTTTTCGACCATACTGACGTTCGCCCATTTAGACCATCCCCTGGCCTGAAGGAGCCGAAGTCTTGCTCAAACGGCTTGCCCACATACACGCGCTTTATGCAAATCCTACACGACCAGATGAATATAAGAAACTCTGCTTCATCTTTGACGAATTCTACGCAAAGGCCGAGTTCAGTACATGGAAACCACCGAAAGAAGACGAGAGGCTGTGGCAGTTATTTAGAGGGAAGCTTGATCAGATACAACAGGAAATGCTGGAGCGAGGGGAAGTGGTCAAAGGCAGCGATGGAATTCTCAAACGCGGTTTCTTGCCGATCTTGCCGCCAACTAAGGTCTTGATGAACAACCCTCCGCCTGAATCGCTAGCAACTCCACCAGACACGCCTGTGCTAGGAAATGACAAACAATCCGAAGGAATAGAATTGTGGAATGGACTTGATGTCGATAGTCAGACTGAACTGTTCAGGCAACAACTTCGAAATGCGAAGAATCGCAAGGGACTCATGTTGGAGTGGAATGAATACTGCGGTGAAGTAAGGGAAAAGAGACAAATCGCCAAAGCCCGCGATCCTAAATCGACGACACCCTCCGCGCGGTCGCCTGGCTCGAAAACCCCACCTGCACCGCCTGCACTACCTGCTCCTGAACCACTCGCAACGATCGATGTCAAGCAAATTATCGCCAATAAGATACAAGAACTCGCGTTGAAAAGAGACAGGGACAGGCAGCAAGCCGCTGAAGAACGAGCAGCAAAGAGGCTAAGAGAGGATCCTGCTTGATAAGCAGTCCCAATTCACACGAATAGCTTCCGACCGGACCTTGGTCTTCAGTACAGCTCCGAACCCCGAAGTGACATGAATGTGTGATGCGAGATTCGCATTCGGACAATCGCACTTTCTAAACCTATCACCAGCTTTGGTGTCAGCTTATTGTCTGGTGCTTGGCGATTGTTATGATTTGCTGAAGACTGCCACTAGGCAATGCCAATCGAGCCGTCTTCAGCACTTACTTGACTGAACAGTCTGTACTGATCGGTGGACAAACAAGAGTGTGGAAAAGTGCAATGTATCGATGATGGATATCAGCACGATCCTACGAGCATGTCAGGCCTAGGGACTGTGCAATATGTTACCTGGAGGATAAATAGCCATCATGGACGCTGACGATTTCAGCAACGATCCTTGTTACAACTGCCAACATCATCTCGCGGCATTCATACCTGGCCCTGGTGATTCTAAGAGATGTCCTCCAACACAGCTTCAACCTTCAAGCCACGCCATGTCCATTTCGTAGGAAGTGTCCCCCTTCCCGCAACCGAAGACGTGTTCCAATGTCTGACCACAACATTTCCAAACCAGCTCCAAAGGATTCCAGATGGCGAAACAGGAAAACGCCAAGGATTCATTTTGTGGCAGACTGGAATTCTCGAAGGCTCAAATATCCGCATCATGACCTTCACAGCCGCAGACAGGGAACCACAGATCCCATCCACCCGATCTCCTGCGGCGAATATAGCACCAAGCTACGATGACTTCGCCCTGGACTCGTACAAAACCTTCTGCCACTTGCGAGATCAAGGCGTTATACCGCACGGCATCCGTTTCCAAGTCTCCCTCCCCACTCCCGCAAATGTAATCTGTTGCATCGTCCACCCCGAAGACCAAGTTCGCGCCGAACCCCTCTACGAAGCCGCTCTTCTATCATGTCTCCGTCGCATCCAAAATTCGATCCCAGCTCACGATCTAGCCATCCAATGGGACCTAGCAGCTGAATTCGCCCTCCTCGAATTTTCACAGCTAGATCCACAACCAAATTGGAAACCTCGGTTTATTTCAAGCCCGTGGTTCTCGCCGCTGAAGGAAGGCTTGATCGAGCGGATTGTGAGGTTGGCGGGTCATGTTGATTCTGGCGTGGAGATGGGCTTTCATCTCTGCTATGGTGATGCACGACATCAGCATTTCATCCAGCCGAAAGACACGGCTCTGCTTGTTGAGATGGCGAATCTGATTTCATCTGCTGTGAAAAGAGATATTAGCTGGGTGCATATGCCTGTGCCTATTGATCGGAAGGATGAGGCGTATTTTACTCCATTGAAAGAGTTGAAATTGAAGCCTGAGACGGAGTTGTTCTTGGGGTTGGTGCATGCTGATGGGAAAGAGAAGACGGAGGAGAGGATAGCAGTTGCCGGGAAGTTTGTGAATAGGGAGTTTGGGGTCACGACAGAGTGCGGGATGGGGAGGACGGGGAGTGAGGAGTTTGAGAAGGTGATGGATGTTATGGCTGCTGTTACTGGAGCGTCTTAGCCTACGATCTCACAAATTCCTACACCAGGACATAGTCTCTCTTTCGCATGCTGGTAGCTTTTCACAAACAGCATAATTGCCGTCGTGCTTCATCGTCTAGCATGTTTTTGTCTCAGATACCAGGGGTGTTTGCTGAAGTTGTAGGTAATATATTCACTGTTCATCAGGACTGGATAAATATTCGTGTGGCAGAGATTGGCTCGGATTGTTTTGTTCGCTTGAGAATGCCGAGCCCATTCGAGAATGGATGCCAAGACATCCATCATAGCCTGGACGGTTCCCTTCCAAAATAATCTGCTGCACAAAAATAAGTCAGGTCGAATACTATCCTAGGAAATGACATCCGATTTGAAGTTATCTGAAAGTGATCTTTCCGTTAGAACATGCGGTACAGTAACGTTCTACCAGACCCCGCCTACCTGTTTTGTCCCCTTTCTCTCCCCAGCATCCCAAGGAGCAAGTAAGTACCGACCACACCGCAACTTCGTCTCACTCACTCATTACAGCCAGGCGGGACATCACCAAGCACGGCACAATCTATAAACAGATCTCCCCATGAACCACGCCCCCCTCACTCGCAATAATTCTCGCTGAAACAGCACTGACCGTAACTTTCGCCCAGCTGCGCTTGTGACGTCATTTCAGGAAGCTACCCCTCTATGCAGCGCAGTTAGAGCAGCAACAGCAAGTGCAATGCATCTCTTCCTCAAAAGGAGTGTTTGGTTGGGAAAGCTGTGCTACGATGCACTACCATACGATACTGTACCTAGAGAGCTAGCTTCCTAGCTCATCTTCCTGCCCCCTTTTCTTCTCCCTCATAAAAGCCTGCTCGTTTTTAAGGGTATGAGATGTCGTGAGGTTTCTTCGAGATATTTGAGGATTTCCAACTTGAAATCATTGAGGAATTGTCTGCAGTTTTGTTCTGTTCAAGGGAATACCGGGACAAGTCTCATTCCAAGTTTAGCGTTGAGAGTGAAAGTGACGGCACGAATTGGAGGAGCAAGGAGCTACAGCAGCTCGAATTTCGACAATATGAAGGACTACCTCTTTCCCAGCAAGCCGTTGGCGAATCCTAAATCTATTGTTCAAGGTATGTCAATTCGAATCTCAGAGTAGAGCTCGTGAAGCTGGTGATGGCTTCGATTTTTGGCATCAATCTCAACATCACATGTTATCCTCAACAACATCATACTTCGTGTCACGTTCTTCAAAACAATAAACGAAAACATATCTAACACCACCCCAGGATCCAACTACCGCTTCACAATCCTCACCGACCGGCTCTTCCGGTACGAATGGGCAGAAGACGGCATCTTCGAGGACCGCGCATCAACCTTCGCCATCAACCGCGAACTACCCGTCCCCAAATTTCGGACTGTCGACCAAGAAGATGAGCTGGAAATCATCACCGAGCACTTCCACCTCAGCTATGACAAGAAGCGCTTCAGCTCCAGCGGTCTCATGGCCAGTTTCAGCGCCAAGATCACGCTCTGGGGCGCGCAATGGCGCTTCGGAAGTGGAAGGCAGAGAGAGAACCTGGGTGGTACGGCGAGGACGCTGGATGAGGTTGATGGGCGGTGCGATATGGGCGAGGGTGTGATTTCTAGATTTGGGTATGCGGAGATTGATGACAGTAAGTCGATGTTATTTGATGGGCAGGGGTTTGTGGCTGGACGGCCGGCGGGGGATAGGGTCGATGGGTATGTTTTTGCTTATGGGCATGATTATCGCGGGGCAGTACAGGCGCTGTATCAGGTGAGTGGGCAGCAGCCTGCTGTGCCGAGGTATGCGTTGGGGAATTGGTGGAGTAGGTATTATGCGTATTCTCAGGAGGAGTATGTCGCTTTGATGGATAAATTCAAGAAGATGGATGTTCCGCTTTCGGTTGCTGTCGTGGATATGGATTGGCATATGGTGGGGGATGATGCCGTTCCTCATGCTGGATGGACGGGATATACCTGGGATCAGAAGCTCTTCCCTGACCCGAAGAAATTTGGGAAGGATCTCCATGATCGAAAGCTCAAGATTACCTTGAACGATCACCCCCATGCAGGAATCCACTACCACGAAGATGGGTACGAGGAGATGGCAGCTTTTCTCCGTCACGATACAACGCACAAGAACCCCATTTTATTCGACCCTACCAATCCCAAGTTCATGGAAGGCTACCTCCGAATTCTGCACCGCAACATTGAGGATGTGGCATGTGACTTCTGGTGGATCGACTGGCAGCAAGGCGAGCATTCAAAAGTACCTGGTCTCGACCCCCTCTGGATGTTGAACCACTTCCACTTCGTGGACGCCGAAAAGAAAGGCGAACCCCTCATCTTCTCACGGTACGCCGGACCAGGAAGCCACCGATACCCCGTCGGATTCTCAGGCGACACCATCACAACCTGGGCATCTCTTGAATTCCAACCCGAATTCACAGCCACAGCCTCCAACATCGGCTACGGCTGGTGGAGCCACGACATAGGCGGACACATGATGGGCAGCCGCGACGACGAGCTCGTCACCCGCTGGATCCAATTCGGGGTCTTCTCACCCATCATGCGCCTCCACTCTGCCAACAACCGCTGGTCCTCAAAAGAACCCTGGCTCTACCGCAAAGAATCTGAAATAGTAATCTCAGACTTCATGCGCTACCGCCACCGTCTGGTGCCGTATATCCACTCCGCTGCTGAGCCGCTCATCCAGGCTATGTATTGGGATTTCCCCGATCGGGATATCGCATATAGCGTGCCGAACCAGTATTTCTTCTCGGAGCTGATCGTGGCGCCGATTGTGAAGCCGCGCAGTAAACGCACCAATCTCGCGAAAGTGAAAGCTTGGTTGCCGTACCGCTGTGTTGATATCTTCACTGGGACGGTCTACGATGCGGGCGAAGTCGAGATGTATCGCACGCTAGGCGAGATTCCGGTTTTGGCGAGAGAAGGGTCTATCGTACCGCTGGATGTCAATCCTTCGAATGGGTGCTTGAGGCCGGATGAGTTTGAAGTGCTGGTTGTGGTTGGGAAGGATGGCAAGTTTGAACTTGTTGAGGATGAGAGGACGTATATTGTTACGTTTGACCAGAAGACTGGAATTCTGAAGTCAGATATCGACCGCCCTTGCACGTTCCGCTTCCTTGCACTCACAGCCTCACCACCCTCTCTCAGTACCTCGCCGACTAACTCCAAAATCTCATTCGAATCCTACCCCTCTGTTCCCAGTATGTTGATTTCTATCCCTGGACCAGGACCAATTGAAATTAAACTCGGACCTGATCCACAGCTCGGCAAAATCGATCAGAAGGATCGGATCGAGAAGATGTTACTGGATTATCAGATTGAGTTTGATATTAAAGAGAAGATCTGGAATGCGGTTGAGGAGGAGGGTTTGGGCATTAATGTTAGGGTTAGGAGGTTGCTGGGTACCGCTGACGAGGAGTTGGTTGGGCCGGTGGTGGAGTTGGTTCTTGCTGATGGGAGGGTGTGAGGGGAGATGAAGGACCGACTTAAATTGAAGATGCGGGGAGAGGGGAGAAGGGAGATGGGTGATGTGCTACTGGAAGGTGTGGGAGGAATGCAGTGCAGCGATCTGGTGGTGACGATAGATGGAAAGGTTGTTGACCTCGTTCGCTTAGGATGTCGTCTCAATTTGTTCCGAGAGCAGAGCGTTCGGCACATGTCGAGAGTGATGAGCTGTCAGACTTCCACGCTTCATGGATTACCAACCGTTATCATTACTCTCCTGACTCTTACTCCCAAAACGTCAGATGGAATCCAAGCGAAAACTCAAACTCAAAGGCCTGAATTAAATGCATAGATAGTCATACGAGAATTAGACAAAAGTATTTTTTTTCTGCCTTCAAAACGAACTTCCCTTGTCGCGATGATATCCTGGTATCCTGGTATGTTTATTTTTCGCTAAACTGGAGGAGCTCAATCAAAGAAGGGTGGGGGGGGGGGGGGGGGGGGGGGTCGGTTATGGTACCTAAGCGAGCGAGCGAGCGAACGAGTTTTGAGGATGTGGATTTTGGATGGGAAATGGGGAATGTTGGGTTGGATTGGATTGGATTTGGTTGGTTATTATTTACATAGGAGTTTTGTACATCTAGATAGGTACTGATTATGGTCAGTGTTCGACGTGTCTATGTGACCGATCCTTGATCCTCCACAAGTACCTATCCGATGCCAAGGTGAAGGAGCCAGTACTCTCTTTATCTGAGCACATTTCTCATATGCATAGCCAATTCCATTCAGTTGCTCGCTCCACCCACCCAGTCTCTCGCCTTCACATCTACTCACTCGCCTGCCTTCCCAAGAACCCCCTCACAAAAACCTCCTCGGATCCAACGCCTCTACCCTCGCACTCTTCGCCCCGCCCTCGAACAAAAACTCACTCATCAACTTCCCCGTCGCACAACTATTCTGTATGCCCCAACACGTATGCCCCGTCGCCATATACAACCCCCTAATCCCCGTCTCGCCTATCAGTGGACCGCTGGTTCCTGGGCCGGTTACAGACGGGAGGTAGCATGCTTGCTCGGCGAGGATCTTGCCGTGGCGGAGAGCGGGGGAGATGGATGATATGTAGGAGATGAGGGAGGTTATGTGGGAGGGGGAGCACTGCACGAGGGCGGTGGAGGGGGGGAGGGGTGCGAGTGTGTCGGCTTCGCCTAGGGGAAAACGAAGGTTAGTATTTGCATATATGTATTTCCTTTTAGTAGAGATGGCGTAGGAAGGGGGAGAAAGAGAGAAATCGGACATACCACAAGCATAAACCGTGCCATCAGGTCTAGCATACATCTCTGGCGACACCACACTCCCATGTCTCTTCTTCCCTTCCGCATCCGCATCACCTCCAAATGTCTTCGGCAAACTAATCTCACTAAACACCGCATAGGGACTCACATCCGCCTCCACAACCACACTATGCGCCCTCACAGCCTCAATCGGCGCCTCAGGAAAAACCTGACTCGTCCACGGTCCCGCCGCCAATACAACATCCGTAGCAGGTAACGTGTGTATATCCTTCGTCTCTTTGTCTTCATACGTTACGGATTTCACGCCTGAAGGACCAGCGTAGTCGATTGAGGTTGCCGAACCGAGGATTATTTTCGCGCCGGAGGAGACGGCGAGGGAGGCCATGGAGGTGGTGAATTGGTAGGGGTGGACTTGGGCTGTTGTGGAGGGGGTGCCCATCTCGGAGTAGGCTTTTATACAGTCTGGGTCGAACCAGTCGAGGGAGGAGGGGACGCCGTTCTTGGAAACCCCCTTGTTGTTTGTTTTGGGGAGTTTTTGCCATTCTTCTGCAGCTCCTGGTCCATCTTTGTTTCCAGCTGTGTTTGTGTTTGTGTTGCTGTTGGTCTCGCCACTGTAATCCTTTCCCTTCGCACTCAACGACCCGCAGTGTAGAGTCCTATATCCCCATCTCTTCGCGCCGTCGTGTTCCTTTGCCAGTTCGGCATGGAGTTTGTAGGATAGAGGGACGATGCTGGAGGGGTATGCCCAGAGTGCTAGCAGACCGCCTGCTTGTCCTGAGGCGCCAGAGGCGATGGATTGGGCTTCGAGAATGGTGATGGTGTATTTGGTGGGGTTGAAGGAGGGGTGGCGCGTGAGAAAGTAGGCGGTTGTGCAGCCGATTATGCCTCCTCCTGCGGGTTTGTTAATTTGCCTTCTTTTAAAATGATGGGAAGAGGAAGAGGGGAGAAGTCAAGGAGTACGTACCTACGATTACGATGTTTCTCTCTAATGATTCGGTGGCCATGATGGAATGGATGGACCGTGATATCTTTCGTGGAATGCAATGTATGAAAGTCTATTTCTGGAGTAGGTCAAGGTACCTTTCGTACAAATAAAGTCTACATACCTCGCGCCACCACGCGAACAGAGAACAAAGAACGAAACATGCGACACATCGTCGTCATAATTGCTGGGGTGAATTGGGTGACAGCCCAGACAGCCTTTTGAAGCCAATCACATAGTTGTAATTGGAGCTCTTATCGATAAGAGCTTCTCCATTCACATGTCATTGGCCGAAGCTTCCTCACTCTCTCGCAATCCGAAGAAACGGAAACCGAATCTCCGTTGTATCATCCCTGTCCCCCTCTGTCCCCCTCTGTCCCCCTCTGTCCCCCAGCCCCCTCTCTCTTTGCCCTGCTAACAATCCCACCTGCCTCCCCGCCGGGACGACGTCGTGCCGAGGCAGCGTCACAGATCTAGAACTAGAACTGCCTGCTTCATCATCACCATGAACCATTTACAAACCCAGTCCCAGCAGTCCTCACGGCAACAGCCCATCCAACAACATTCCACTACCATCACTATTTAAAGACCTCGATGCGCGTTCAATCCGTGTTTTTGCGAACGACGACACTATCCAAGCCATTAACGACGTCAACACGACTCGCTCCCGCCGCTAGAACTGCATTTTTTGCTTCTCCCCCGGCTCTTAAGACTCGAGCTTCAACCACACCGACAATCAACAACAGTAAACAGCAGAGAACAATTGGAAGGCAATCGCTCTTCCATACACAAACAAGAAATATGGCTTCCGCTACTAGCTTCTATGATTTCAAGCCTCTTGATAGTAAGTCCTTCTGTCTTGATTGTTATGATGTGGAGGAGAAACCTACCCCGCCATTCCGTGGCATCGCATCATACGATTCAAATCCACCTCAACATCCATGGAATCCATTACTCCCACCTCAATACACTCTCTACATACCTCCACCAAGCCAAACACAACAAGCTAACCACCCTCCCCTCCCCAACAGAAAAAGGCAGTCCCGTCCCCCTCTCCACCTACTCCAACAAAGTCGTCCTAATCGTCAACACGGCCTCCAAATGCGGCTTCACACCACAGTACGAAGGTCTCGAAAAGATCTACAAATCCATCAACGCCACACACCCCGACTCATTCATCATCCTCGGCTTCCCCTGCAACCAATTCGGCTCGCAAGAGCCCGGATCCGACGACACGATCCAAGAGTTCTGCCAGCTGAACTACGGCGTCTCGTTCCCCATCATGGGCAAGACGGACGTCAATGGCGATAAGGCGAACCCGCTGTTTGAGTGGTTGAAGGAGGAGAAGCCCGGGTTGTTGGGTATGAAGAGGGTCAAGTGGAATTTCGAGAAGTGGCTTGTGGGCAAGGATGGGAAGGTTAAGGGGAGGTGGGCGAGTACCACGAAGCCGGAGTCGTTGGAGAAGGCGATTTTGGAGGAGATTGCGAAGGGTGGGGAGGCGAAGGCTGGGTTGTAAGTACCTTAGAGAGGGGGATGGGGAAATGGGAAGAGGTGGATGATACCTTGCTTTAGGGCAGTTTTGTGAGATGTTCTCTTTCTGTTCAGTCTTTGGACTTTCGTATGGTCGTCAAGTTTGATAGCTTGAGCTCTCCTCTCATTACTTGTTAGGAAGTAGCATGGAATAATGATATCAAAAGTCGACAAAAACAAAACTTCATTATTTATCCAGTCAACCCCCTAAACCTCCTAAACCAATTTCCAAACCCCATCCTTCTCCTCAATCCCGACCTCCCGTCCCTCATCCAACGCCCTCCTCCCCGCCTCCAAAATCGCCGTCGTCGCCACCGTATTCCTCAAAGTCGGCAACCCCCTCCTATCCAACTCCTCCACGGCCCCCACCCCATCCCTATTAACCTTCACACACCCATCGACAAACTTCTCAAAACTCACATACCCATACCCCCCTTGTCCCGCAAAGTTCCCCTCCTCATCAGGCGCATACCGCATATAGAACGGATTATACCACATCAGCTGTCCCACTTTATCATCCGCAACATCATACCCGCGCTTGGCCTGATCAATACGAATCTCCCCATTCGCACCCATATAGTGGAAATACTGATTCGAATGCACCCCCGCCTTCTGCGGCGCCGTCCAGCTAGCCGTATACACAGCCGTCGCGCGCTTACCAGGATCAGATCTCAGCACCCAATGCACCAGCAGCGAAATCGTATCTTCCGTCGCGGGATCACAGCCAAGTCCTGTAGCTACACCCTTTGAGGCCGAGGCGGAGACCTTGATGGGCGTGTACCCCCGCTGCTGAACCATCGACTCGCAGATGTCGATGTGGTGGCTGTTGAGGTAGTACGAGATATCTGAATCGACGCCCGCCCAGGCTTTGAAGGTCTCGAGTTGGGATTTCGGCTGGCTCATGTACGAGTAGAAATAGTTGAAGTCGCCTAGACTCTGGGCCTTGAAGCGCGCGTCCGCGTACGCGGGGTCGTACCGCTTGTGGTGCTCGATGTAGACGAAGACGCCGTGTTTCTTCGCGGCGGCGAGGAGCGCTTGGTGGTGCTCGAGGGTTTTGACGGCGGGTTTGGTGATCAGTACGTGGATCTTGCGCTCGATGGCGTAGAGTGCGATGGGGTAGTGGGTTGTGTCCGGGGTGAAGATCGTGATTGCGGAGCCGGGGGAGAGGGCGTCGATGGCGGTTTTGTAGGCGAGGGGGTCGGTTTGGTCGTTGGCTGGGTAGGAGTCGAAGGAGGTGTCGAGGCCGTTGTAGAAGTTGGTGATGTTTTTGGTGAGGTGTTCGCCTGGTGGGTACAGTTAGTATTAGGTTCTACTCTTTCTGTTTTTCGTTCTCTTTGAATTGTACTTGTAATTGATGTATGTCCTCTTCCAGTCAAGAAGGGAATTTGGGGAGTTGAATCAAGGGGAACAGACGAATAGCGGGGTATTTCCCCCCAGATGTCCCAACCATCGACAATTTCCCTACTTTCCCTCTACGTCTCAAATCAAACATTGTTAGGCCCACAACACCGACTTTCTTGTCTGAGCCAGACGCACCACCGCCTACAAAGCCGGTCGTGTATTCGCCTGTTCCGACCATTAGGACGTCCAGCGGCTTGGTCTCTGGAGCTGCCATGGTGTTTGGTGGGGTGAGCTGGAAGCTCTGCTCAATTGAATGGTGTGGTGGAATTGGTTTGTTTGGCTTGGTTTTGCTGCTTCAATGATGAGCAATTGGGAGAAGGGAAAGATTGGTGTGTGGTTTAGAGAAGAGATAGGGAAAGTAATCAAGTGGGCATCCCGTCTATTCATATGATGTGATGAAATACCTATGTTGAGAAGCCGCCGGCCTCTGACGGGGAAATAGAGGGGTCGCATCGTCGTAGCACTGCTGCAATCTTCCGGCGCCAAGTATTATACCAACAGTACTGTATGGGGGCTGGGCCAGTTGATTCTGGGGCTGCTGGGAACTTGGGAAGGCTTGGGAGCTAGAGGTGGGGTGTTTGCTGGTGCTTTAAGTTACCCTTCTGTTTTGACTGCACAGAACTGCCTCCGTTTCTTCGGGCTATTACTTCATCTGGCACCTCCAGGTCCAATGTCCAATTGACCCTAAGATCATCTTGTAATTCAATTCACTTTAATTTCGAGATGCTCTTCGAATCGTTACTGGAAAGCAGCTCCTTCAGGCTGTTCTAGTTTGCTCTTCAACCACCGCGGGGCATGAACCCCACCAGAAGCGAGGCGGAGGAACTACATTCGCTGTCCTATTGGTGGAAAATCTGAAGCCCATTTCCTTGGGATGGACTTGTGAACCGAATAAACAGTTCTTGGGTTCTTTGGTGAAAGACGATATGAATGGGAGTGAACGTGACGACTTTCAGATAAACGTATTGAATGTCCTTTGCCTAGCTGGTCGAGTTCAAAAAGAATTTGGGAAAAGCTGTTGAATGAGGTGCTTTGCCAGTGAGGAAGGTGACCTCCTGATTTCGAGTTCTTCCTCTCTGTTCTTCAGATGCGATCTCGGGGAAGCATGTGGCGAGATGTCTACAAATCGGATGCGAAGTCGCTCAGCCAAGCTCTTCGCTGTGTGATCACAATTCTGGTCCCCTCTCCTCGCTGTTCTGAACCATCTACATGGAAGTTTATGATGTCCCCTGAGCAATCTCAAGTTGTGTTATCACAATTTACCTACTGCTTCAGGGCATTTTTGGGCGTGGAGGAGGAGGACTTTTCCCCAGAAAGGGGGCTCTGAAGAATATGAATACTCGTTCCTTTGGTTCTTAGCGAGATGTTACTTTTGATGAACAGCACATCAGCGCTTTTCTGACATTTCAGCCGTGTATGTTCCGCGTAGTATTGGAACCTGAGATAAACATATTATATATTTGTATGATGTCAGCTTTCCCTGATTCCAAAGCCTCTCATTATCATTTTTGTCAGTACTCAATTTCATCACATATATTGAACCGAGCCCATTTATTTCCAGAAGTAACATCATTTTACTATTTTAAACTTCATCCTCTCTCAAACCCTCCAACTTCCCTCTCTCAAAACACCAACCAACCTCTCTAACCCCTGGATCAAAGCCTCCTTCCCAACCGTAAAAGTAAGCCTAAACCAACCCACCTTCTCACTAAAGAAATTACTTCCATACCCCACAAACAACCCCTTCTCCTCACACCTCTTCACAAATCCCATTTCCATCGCTCGCTTCTCCTTCTCATCCACACCTCTTTCATGTCCGTCGCTTTTGGGAGAGAAGTACTCTCTAAGATCAATCCAAATGAATACACCAGCATTCGATCCACGGAAATACTCAATATTGTGAGAAGAGAGGAATGATCTAGCGAGGCCGTGGTTTTCGGCGAGACGATGCTGGTTGGTTGAGATGAACCAGTTCAAGTACTCTGTGTCCTCGAGGAGTGAAGCCCAGAGGTCTTGCAGGATGTAAGGTGACCAAGAAAATACTCTATATCATCCTATCAGCATCAACTTCCACTTTACAGTACCGTGACGAGTTTAAGATAAGAGATGACAGTCGAAGATCAAAGCGAGGAATAGGAACAAGAACAGGAATAGGAATACGAATACTCACGCCAAACTCGCCACCGCCCCAAGCACCCCCTCATTCCTCGACCACAAAGCCCCCAACCTCAACCCATTCGCACAAAAGTCTTTCGAAGGCCCATACATAACATGGACCATCTCCTCCGCAATCAAACCCTCCAAATCCACAGCCAGAATAGACGTGAACTTCTCCTTCTCAATTTCCGGATCCTCCTCATTCTCAAATACAGACAATGCATAGATCTCGTCGCAAATCAAATGTAGTCCTTGTTTCCCGCAGAATGCCGCAATAGCTTTCAAAGTAGCTGCTGGGTAGCATTTCCCAAGGGGATTATGTGGATTGGTGATGAGAACGGCGCAGACTTTAGTACCTGATCTTTCACATTCTTTCCAAGCGCGCTCGAAAGCCAGTTCGTTGATTTCAGGATCAAAAACATCATCCAACCCTCCACATCCCCCTCCCTCTGCCTTCCCATCTCCTCCAACCCTTCCAAGCCCAGCAAACGAAACAGGCACAATAACACCCCTACTCCTCTGCGGGATATCCACGCGGAATCCCGTATACAGCGGTCTAGGAATCAGTATCCCTTCCCCTTCGTTACAGAGACTCCATGTTAGAGCGTCGGTTAGGGCGGAGATGCTGGAGTAAGGGAGGATTTGGGTGGGTGGGATGGGGGTGGGGGAGAGGGAGTGGAAGTGGGTGGTTAGGAGGGAGGAGAGGGCGGTGCGGAGGCGGAGGGAGCCGTGGGGGCCGAGGCCGTAGGTTAGGTGCTTGGAGGGAAGGACTTGGAACTGGTGAGATTATACTATGAGCAAATGTCTGAAGATGGTAGTTTATGAGTTTGGAAGACGGTAGGGGAATACGTTTTTCTCGAGGTAGGCACCCATTTCGGAGTGCATGAGTGAGTTTTCTGCGAGGCCGAGATTGATACTGCGTCGACAGATTGTTGTCAGACTTCTTGATCTTGATGCAGATGATCTGACTGTGTTGACTTACATCCCATTGGGATTCTTCTCTTTATCCCATACATTCGCCAAAGCCCTCTCAATTGGAGCCCAATGATTCCCCGCCGTGAAGTTCTCCGCTCCACGCTGAGAGAGATGATATTTTGCTGCTTCGGGGATGACGTCTGTCATGATTGCTCACGGTTGGATGTAGATGTTCGCTTTAGACAAGGTCGAAAGTTGGTTTCCAAAATGCTTGACTCAAATTTGTTAGGATGTGTTGATGATATTTAATCCAAACAGGAAGTTATGGATCAGACAGGTCGATCGTCAACGACCTGACGTATTTAGTGCGATGTTTCGCGCGCCCTCCCGGCTACACTCGCTTATCTATCAGAGCATGATTCAGGGGCTCTACGCGAAAGTAAACAATGGGCTCACTTTTTGGATCTGATGTACCTTGTGAACCCTGTCCTGGACTTGAATAATGATTTGACATAGAATTGTGAAATCTGAGCGCTGAAATAACACTTCATCCTCGTTCAAGGTGAGCGGTTCATCGTTACACCCATCTCCGCTAAGCGAGCATCCTTTGCAGGGGCAGCAAGCCACGAGCAAGGTTGTCCGCTTGATTAGGCAGACGCGGGGAATCCTTCTATTCGCATCGCAAGAGCTGAAAAATGAGCAGTATCTCATGCCTCAATGTAGTGTAAGATATCCTTTCCGCATTTTGGAATTCATTAAACTCCTTTCCACACCGCCAACAAGATCTTCCGGGGTCGTCTTCAAACTCGGAAATCCGGAAATTCACAACCCATGCAGTATGGACTCAACTCTATGCTCTCGCTGTAGTGCCATCCCCGTGAGGCTCTTCCAGCTTGGGCAATACGCTCATGACATCTCAACTCCAGATGGCGTTCTCACAGCACTGAAAAGTACTGCATCTCAAGGCTGCAGAATATGTGTACTCCTAGTGGATGCGATTGAAGGGGAAAGTCCCATGCCCAGCACTTTAAATGGAAATATCATGAAGCTACAAGCTCTTTGCAAGCGAAAAGGTGACATCGAATATCACGCTCTCGACTCAGATCCAGACCATACGAAAGTGATTGGTGTCTGGATCGGCAGCACGAAAGTCTCTCATCTGAGATTTGAACTGGGAAACAGCGAGATCGCAAAGTCTGGGAAAGACGTCGTCACTAAACGAGAACTGCAGCGAGCAGCTGATGATGCGTCAAACTTTGAACTGATCAGTCAATGGTTGGATGTTTGTACTAAACAACATAACGACTGCACCATGAATCTGGTGTCTGATCTCACCCTTCCTGCAAGGCTCATTGATGTACGACCTGAAGAGGAAGGTGTCGATATCAAGCTTGTCGTGACGGCAAATCAAAACCAACAACTTCGACCTGGGTATGCCGTGTTAAGCCACTGTTGGGGGCCGAATACTGGTGGTATGCTGAAAGCTACGAAGGCGAATCTGGGGGAGTTGCAACGAGGTATCAAGTGGGAAAGTCTGTCAAAGACTTTTCAAGATGCTATTGAGATCACGAGAAAGTTGAACATCCGAGGGAAGGGCATTAGACACCTCTGGATCGACTCATTATGCATTTTGCAAGACGATCCCAAGGATTTCGAGCGTGAAGGAACAGCCATGAACAAAACATACTCCATGGCAACCTGCACAATCGCCGCATCCTCCTCATCATCCGGCGAAGGCGGTTGCATCATCCCACGAGACAGCACCTCACAGCAACTCCAACCCTGCCACCTCACCCTCAACAAACAAACCATCACGATCCACCCCTGGTCCACGGAATGGAGCAATTCCCACCGCGGCCCCCTCAGCACCCGCGGCTGGTGTTTCCAAGAACGCGAACTCTCCCGCCGCACCCTCCACTTCACCAAACACCGCATCTTCTGGGAATGCCGCACAGCCATCGCATCAGAAGACCACCCCTCCATGATCAACGTCCAAGCCCTCCACTCATCTCGTCGGCCCCACGGCGCAGATCCAGACCGCTTCTTGGTACTAATGGAGCTCGGTGTACGGTCCTTCATGCCACTCAGCCATACTCGTCCTTTGGCAACGAAATTATGGTGTCGTGCAGTGCAGGAGTATACGAGGCGGAATCTGACGTTTAGGAAAGATAGGTTGCCGGCTATTTATGGTATTGCGAGGATTATTTCGGCGATTATTAGGGATGAGTATGTGGCTGGGATATGGCTGTGTGATTTTGCGAGGGGTGCGTCGTGGGTGAGGGATAGGTCGCTGCCGAATCCGAATGCGGTTGCGGGTGGGCAGTGGCCTGTTCCGAGAGCAGATCCGTCACTGCCTACTTGGTCTTGGGCGGCCATTGATGGACCGGTTATGTATCCTGGGGTGGAGAGTTTTGATGTAGGCGGGTATCGCGATGGGAGTGGTGGCCCTGTCAATATGCATCAGATGGGTGTGTTCAGCTTTGCGGAGTATGATAGGAATGGGATGCTGAAGCATAAAACTCCTTTGGCGGCCCAGTCTGCTTTGTATCAGAAGGGGCTGTTGAGGAATTATGCGCTTGAAGTTTTGGGACTGAGTGGCGAAGAGGGGAACTTTGGGGCGGTGGTGAATTCGGAGTTGAGTGTCAGAGGTGTGGCGGTTGATATTACGATCTCGGAAAGTGATTGTTTTCCTCCATATTCAACAGCGAGCAATCCTCTGGAACCGAAATGCTACGCCATGTTTGGACGGTCTATTTTCCGTCTTGGAGGGTCTTCGAAGCCAAATATCGAGAAAGGCGTCGTGTATTTCGATGACGATCCAAGACAACTAATGAAACAGCCTTTCGTATGCTTTCGCTTAGGTGAGAGAGGAGAAGCAGGTGTGGAAGGTGGGAAGGTGTATACAGGCTTGGTGCTGCAGTCCGTGGTGAAGGTTGATGGGTTTGCTAGGGAGCAATTTTTCCGGAGGGCGGGAACTTGGATGGTTGGGACCACAAATAAGTTTTACAATAAGCATGCTAGATTGGGAGAGTTTGTTCTTGTATAGTTGGTCTGGATTAGGTCTTGGTAATGTTGGGGTCTTGATGGTGATATCATGTGGACTAGGTAGTGTCATTTTAGAACAATATCTCTCCATGATATTGGGCTCGCTAATAGTGTTTTAAGTACCGTCAACCAAAACCTCAAACATTTCGCAAATACTGGTGACGATAAACATGACCCGGAACATGTCCGTTCTTGGATCGAACAGGCCTCGCAAGATATCGCGGCAGATCGAAGAACACGACAAGCTGCAGTGACGAAGAACAGGAAAGCAGAACTTGCAAAGACGCGAATTGGGGATCATGGACGAGACCTTTTGGAAAGAGGACAAGGCAACGAAGGACAAGAGCCAGCAGTTAAAGACAGAAGGTGGCAAAGCGTGTAAAGAAGTTGCCCATCAGTCTGAAATATGAGCGCTTTGGCGCTGCGTTGTTTGAAGAAAATGTTGGGAGAGAAATATCCAAAGGATTGCCCATGAGTGGTGAAGCAACATTAATCGAGGTCTAGGAAGGGTGGGTCGACAGTCCTCCCTTCAATCCTGTCAGCCAGCCAAGGTTAGACCTTGGTGAAACTTCGAGATGGGTTGGCCTGGACAATGGACTGCGGAATTTGGTCGTGCTGTTCCTGCTGGACTTCGTTTCTAGAACGCAAAGGATGGTTCACAGTTGACAGAACTGGGCGGTCCACGCCGGATAGTTGGAGGTTAGCATGTACCATCTTGGGAAGATGTTGTGAGAAGTAGTTAGAACTATAAACTGAATCGATAAGACGTTTTTTTAGGATTGGTCACCAATATTCTTTCAACTAGTGACACAGTGTTCGTAGCCAAATAGCAAGTGGTAGGCAATTCCTTGTCCAAATATGCATGCCAACTATTGTTGCATTGTGCGCCATGAAAAACAAATGATTCAAATCCATACAGTTGTTTCCAAGCCGTACCTAACCAGTTTGCAGATTCAAATATCTAATAGTGATTAATACTCAGACAGCTAGTAAGCACTTCCATCAAAATCAATAATAGCTTACTTTACCTGCGTACTTTTTGATGTCCTTATTATCACGCAGGACGAGCACATCGGATTTGAGCTGATCCAGCAGAAACACGTCCACCTACTCAGACTATCATGAAAGTGCAAATTCAGATGAAAGTATCGTTTCTAGGCTTGGTGACAAGCCACGAAGGAATTCTAGGCTGATGTAGTGCTGGAAGCTGGATCTGAGCTTTTAACGTATGAAAGTAGGTTGCTTAGCAGCCTTTGGTGGCTTAGTGATCGGGAAACCCCCAAACACATTTTTATATGTCAATATCGGGAAAAGATATTGGATAGCCATAAACTCGGAAGGGATGGATCTTTATCCAGGGGGTCTGAACCATCCAGATGGATCTCGCTTCACGGAACGAGGGAGCTACTGGAATGAACAACAAAACTGCCAAGATCACGAAGTCTCGATTTGGCGTGGTCCATGGAGCTATGTCCGACTGAGGCTTCGGCCGAAAACATGATCGACTTGGCAATTGAACCCAGCCTGTTACATCCATTTAAAAAGAGGCCTCGAACAATCGTAGCTTCATACTGTCTTTAGGGATAAATTCTGACCCGGACTGCCTGCGTTCAGTGTCTTGGTATCTCTCACTGGAGCTCGAAGGGCAATACCTTACTCCGCGCCTCCACAACCCCGCACGATGTATCCCATCAGAGCTACTACATGAAACTCAAAAGTGTCAGTACCCCGGATTAGAATCTTTCCGCCATCGTTCCAGATTCTCACTTGTACTCCAAGTTTTTCGGTCATTCCTGATCATAACTTAAGAGGTGATCTTGTGAGTCCAGCCACCATAATCTGGGCGCCAAGCTCCTGCTCCATATATACTTCGATATCCTTCAAACATTTTTCAGTCTTCATCTCAAGCATCTCTGAGCTTCAATTATCTACCCAAATACATTCTTTGAAATCAGAAATCATGGGGATCTTTTCAGCAAACGATAGCTCTGCCTTCAAGGCACCGGCAGCGGTCTACAACTGGAGAGTGTATGCGCTCGCATTATCTGCATCAATGGGATCCAGTATGTTTGGTTATGATTCGGCCTTCATCGTAAGTAGACTTCTCCCATCGAAGTATGAAATGATGAGTCTGACTGTTATTCAGGGTGGAGCCATGGCCCTTCCTTCATTTAAAGCAAGATTTGGTTTGGCAGAAGCATCAGGAGATACCCTTGCATCCCTTCGTGCCAACATCGTCAGTACATTTCAAGCTGGGTGCTTCTTTGGAGCCATTTTGTGTTACTGGATGTCTGGGAGACTCGGTCGACGCATTCCTCTGATGATTTGCGGTTGCGTGTTCAATATTGGTGTTATATTGCAAATGGCCTCAAGCGGACACATTGGCATGATCTATGCCGGTCGCGCTTTCACTGGTATACATTTACCACACATGCTATATTTGCTAAATGGACTTGACTAATTTACTTTGTAGGCCTTGGTGTTGGAGCTTCTTCCTTGATCATCCCACAATATATTTCTGAGTGTTCCCCTCCAGCGATCCGCGGACGTTTGATCGGAGTTTTCGAAATCGTGTTACAATTCTCCCTGGTCGTAGGATTTTGGGTCAACTACGGAGTCAACCAGAATGTTTCACCCACATCAGATTCGCAGTGGCATATCCCCTTCGCCATCCAATTCGTACCAGGCACGCTCCTTGTCATTGCCATGTTCTTCCAACCAGAGTCTCCTCGATGGCTGTTAAAGAATGGACGTGACGAGCAGGCTATCAAGAACTTGACTTATATTCGCCAGCTTCCTGAGGACGATGCCTACCTCCAATGGGAAATTGACACCGTCAAGGAGCAAGTACAATTGGAATTTGATGCTGGCGTCAACGAATCGTTTCTCAAGAAGCTACGAGCTGTCTTCTCCCCAGGAGTTCGCAACCGTGTTGCTATCGGCATGTCCCTGATGATGCTGCAAAACCTTTCCGGAATCAATGCCTTGAACTATTACTCGCCTATTATCTTTGGATCGATTGGCTTCAAGGGTACAAGTGTAGGACTTTTGGCAACTGGAGTTTTCGGTTTGGTCAAGGCTTTCGCAACCCTTGGATTCATGATCTTCGGCATTGACAAACTTGGTCGCCGGAAGTCCCTCCTTATTGGTTCTGTTGGTGCGATGTTTGCCATGTTCTACCTTGCTGGATTCAGCAAGATCTCTGGCTCTTTCGACGGAAACGCAAAGCAAGATGCTGGCGCGTACGTTGCAATCGTTATGATTTACCTCTTCGCCATCTTCTACGCCATGTCATGGAACGGAATCCCATGGATTTTCTGCGCTGAGGTTTTCCCAACCGGCACTCGCAGTGTCTGCCTCGTGTTCACCACTTGCACGCAATGGCTCGGACAGTTTATCATTGTGTACTCGACACCATATATGATGAACAACATCAAGTACGGAACATTCATTTTCTTCGGCGCTCCGCTTGTGGTGGGAATGACCTTTGTCATCCTCTTCATGCCCGAAACCAGAGGTCTTTCTCTCGAGAACATGGATATCATGTTCAACATGTCTGGATTGGCTCATGGAAAGAGAGCTAAGACCGATGCCATTATCAATGAGAGACGGATTGCGGATGACATGGATCGATCGGGCGTCAAGAATGATAGAGAAGTGGTTGAGCAAGTTGAGAAGATTGTTTGACCGACCATGCATGGTCGGGCAGTAGAGCCCTGAGTCTCAGTAAAATGCTAGATATTTGCCACAATAATATGTTACAGTAGCAGCGTGTAATCTATAGAGCGAATACCAAATCGGCATCAAAAATCATCTACAAAGTCTCAATCCTACTCAGCGACGTGATATTGCACAGCAAATCTTCGGACCCAAATTGTCACAGATCTTCAGGTCATTGTGACATTCAAAATATCTATCCCACTCGTGCCCTTTCCTCACACCAATTTCTCCATGATTATCCTCATAACGATCAACACCCCTAACCTTTAACCACTCACCATTCTTCACTTCAAAATCCAGCAAAGCCAGCCGAGCCCTCTACCACTCACATGCACAGATGGGTGGCACCGCCTCTCGCAAAAGAAATCAAGCTCAAACCCGACCGATCAGCAATCCAATCAACCCCAGGCGCCGAGACCCCTCACGCGGAAGCCACATCCACCCATCCACAGGGGAGGGGCTCAAACTTCCTAAACCGCCGCCAATCTTGCCCAGGAATTTGGTCTCGGATAATGATTTTGCCATCGTAATGCACCAAGCAATGAAACGGATGTGCCTTGTGCCATGTATATTGGTTTTGCCGCCTTGGATGGTATGCATAATTAGGATTCTGGGAAAGATAGAGTTTGGAGAATTGAGAGGTTGTTGTTACGGGCATGGGGCTCTAGCTTTTCGGGAATAATATGGAAGGAAGTTATGATTGATGCAGATAACCAGGCTTCATCAGCATATCTTCTCAATATTATATTTAATCTGTCGTTAAAATAGCATTTGGTATTACTCTGTAACCTGTTCGCTTAGCTACCGCATTATCATCATGCATTACCATCAACTCCCTCGTATTCTCACAGGTCCATAAGTCAATCATCATTCATCCTTCCCACCATCCCTCAGCCTCCCCTCCCGACTCTTACTCACAGTTCTAACAGCTTGCTCTCTCAAACTCCCAGGAATATAAATCCCCGCAATCGCCCTCTGCGTAACCTCCGTTGAAGCAATAATCGCATCCTGCGGATTCTGCGACGCCAGATTCTGGAACTTTGACAGACTCTGTGCAAAAAGACCGTTTCTCGCGGCTTTTGGGACTCGTGCAGAAGTTGATGTAGGTGTAGAATCGACGGCGACGGTGCCGGAGACCATTGGGGAGTAAGTACGTGTTGGGTTTCGTCGAAGAGGTGAGTTTTCTCGTGAGATTGAGTGTGGTAAAGATTTAAGAGATGGATTTGGTTGTCGTGGTGGAGAGAGAGATCGTGATCTCCGTTTTGTGCTCTTTAGGTTGCTTGGATTAACTCGGAAAGGCGATTTCGGAGATGGGATTGGTGACCGTTCGAGTTGGAGGAATTTGTTGACGAGTCTGATCGGGGAGAGGGATCGTGATCTCCGTTTCGCGGCGTGTTCGCGGCGGATATGCTGGCGAGGAGGCGGTAGTGTCTTCGTTCTTCGATGCATGGGAATCCTTGGGATGGAGGACATATCGACAGGGTTCCGGCGAAGTGGTGATTCCCCTATGCCGATTTGCGTATTCTTGATCTTGTCGCTTGGCGACTTGGAAGATATGATCGGCTGGGACTTCTGGACTGTGGAATTGATCCGAGCCTCTGTTGTTGGCAATGACTTGCGATTTTCCTGGTTCTGTGATTTTATCGAGAGACGAGCTTCGATGATGTCTGAAGTCCGTATCATTGACCTTCCACGATACTCACGGTCATTGTTTTCTGCTTCTTCGACCCCTTCTCCGTCTCGGGCAGCAGTAGAAAATCTCTCACCATCCAAAAGCAGAGAGCGACTGGATGATTTCTGCTGCTGCTTCGATTCCTGCGCCTTTTCCAACATTATTGGTATTTCTGACTCGACGTCTTTCGTGGCAATTGCAAGCTCTGCTTCGACCTGAGCCAAAACAGGATTGCGTCGAAGAGGCGAAAGGGCAGCTTCTCTCAACTCTTTTGATGATGGCCGAGACGACTGATCAGATACTGTTATCTCAGTTGTCACTGATTTCAGTATCGGAGGGAAAGGTTCCCTTGATTGGGCACCTTGTGGTAATTTTGGCGGGAAACGGTTGCTTCCTTCGCCTCTGTTGAAGTTCACTTGCCGTGGTGGAGAAACGGTCTTCTGTCTAGGTGGAAGCATTTTCCGTAGCGGCCGAATGCTTCCTAGAGAGGGACGTCTTCGTGGTGGAGGGGAAGGTATCTTTTCTGACTCCGGCGTGGGCGGAATGTAATTCTTTAGGAATTCTGGTTGATTGGGTGTGACATAGTTGGTATCTTGAAATGAGGGTTTAGTGGGTGTCAGTTCCGGAGCTTGGAGTCTTTGTTCCATCCTAGAAGACGGTTTTTCCACGAATGCTGTTTGCAGTTGGAGGATTGAGGGATTAGCAGCGGGTTCTGGTTCAGAAATTGTGGTCTTGACAGGCTCGTCTTCATACTGATACTGGGCCAATGTATTCATTCTTGGTTTCGATTCCTCTATTTGGGGTGTTTCAGGTTTCGTGAAAATCTGAGCATCGGAGAATCTATATTTGTCCCAAGACGGGTCGATATAGGTGGTCGCTGGATCATTGAACGGATTGCCAGCTTCTTCAGCTATCTGCGCGGTAGAATTTGTGGACAATCTGAAGTTATATGCCTGCGCATCTGGAATTGAGTAGAGGCTCGATACGTCCTCAAAAGGGTCATCAAGCTCTTCTCTCTTAGACTCACGAGGATCTGAGAATGGATTGAGCGAACCGTGTTCCTCACTAGGTTCTCCACCCGATCTGTAGCCTCTTTTCCCCAATCGATCGGGCGCTGCTAGTGCTCCCGAGGCCTCCGGAGCTGGTAGATCGAAAGAACCTGACTCATTCCCGGGTTTTGATGAGGATGGTACGGGCCATTCTGTAGCAGCTACAGGAGGTTGCTGTTGATTCCATACGGTAATATTTGTACTTGAACTAGAGTTTCTGGCGGGTGGGCCCTGAAATTGGAGAGGCGAAATCTGAGGCACCGGTGGACTTCCCACCGAGCTCCTCGCATCATTTCGCAGTGCTGATTTGGTGGGAGGAGGAACATCTGATGATTTTGGAGGGTTGAACTTGAGCGTCATTGTATTCCCAGTACGTGGTGCGGAGCTTGAACGTGAATGCACTTCCTTCGGACTCCTTGCATCATATTTCTCGTCCATGTAGCTGTCATGCTTCCTTCTCTTCAGACGTACTATTGCGAAGTATGCTGCCAGACTTAGTAGTACTGAAGCTGCAACGGCACCGACGATAATACCGGCTATCTGGCCAGGTGTAAGAGAGATGTTTGTTGGTACTGGGAATGAAGGTAAAGGTTGAACTGTCTGTCCCTAGGCGCTGTCAGTCGAATGCGGGCGTCAAGGGCTTTCAAGCGAACTTACTGCTCCAACGACCGTCTGAGTCGCAGTGGGAGATAGTCTTGCATTTGCGGAAGCGAGAAGAGAAGATGCCTGTGCAGCTGCTGACCCTGTTGCGGAAGCGATTGCTGCTTGGGCAGCAGCAATCGCAGCAGACGCAGAAGCCTATTTACATGAGCCTCACGAAACACATGAGATGATTTCGTTTGTGTATATACCTGCATTGAACTCAAACTGGCTTGTAGCTGACCCAAGCTTGAGCTTAAAATAGCAACATCGCTACTAGAAGACAGACTGACATCTGCCAACGCCGACGTAGCACTGACGACTTGTCGATTGGCAATGGTGAGCATAAACGAAGCAGATGAAGTTGCTATGTCGGCGCTTGAGACGACAACTCCAATGGATGACGAAGCTGAATCCTGTGCAGATTTGATTCCATTTGAAGCAGATATCGATGCTTGCTGAAGTTGCTGTGAGAATGTGGCGTTTAACGCGATTATTGTTCTCGAGATCTCAACAGTTGCTCGATCCACAGATGCAATAATCAGGTTCTGACAATCTTGGGCATTATTTTGTCGAAGTTCCAACAGACTTGGTGGTCTTGTGATGAGTGCATCCTCGGATTTAATCGTCCGCGAAATCGGTGAACCGGACGTCGATGATGATTGAGCATGTTGATCAGAATTATCGATTGTATTTTCGGAAGGAAGGAAAATCGAATCAAACAAAATATGAACTTCTTCCAGAGATTGTTCAAAAGGACCAGCCATGAAGAGCGTTGACGGTGACCAGCCTCATGAGTTATGAATATGTGAAAGTATTATCCGCAAAAATGTATCGTAACTCGCAAGAGGCATTTTGGATTTCAAGGTTGCTTGCGGATGAACGCACCTTTGTGAGCAGAAAGTCCAGAATGATCCACATGATTTGCGTTGCATGAATTAAGATTCGCGAGTATCGCTTGCTTCAATACATATGCATAACGCGGGGGTTACCGACCGTTTCATTGTGGTCCGTGACGCCTTGTTAGATTGAAACAGTATCGGATTGTGTACATCATCCATAAGTAGCTATATCAGCGAAATCAAGAACCTATAAGAGGGATTGAATGTGCAGTAGATGCTGTAGATCATGTAGCATATGTGATGACGAATGGGTATCCCTTCCACCCCCAAATGGCACACTTTTTAGCGTACTTGAGAGTGGACCTGAGTAACCAGAAGAAGCCTCAGAAGTGGACCAGATCTTCGGCATTTATGAAAGCTGGCTATCAGATTTGCTAGCTAAGGCTCGCTTCTATTTTATACTCCACTGTCACTCCACTTTTTGAGTGCATCAACAAAATGTGCCATTTGGGGGTGGAAGGGATAGCAAGTCTGACTGGACAGTTGGAATCTTGCATAATTTTCCGAGGTGCCAGGGGGAAGAGGAATCGAGAAAAAACAAAAATATCGAGGGGAAAGATACTGGTGCTAGAAATTGCATGCTACAGTAGGAACGGAACCACGGCAGATCTCTTTGACAGGAGGAAGATGGTTTAGGTTCCGTTTGCATTAATGGGCCCGTGCCTCGCCTTCCCTGGCGACATGGTGTTGTCACAGTAAGCGAGGAGTCAGCGGAAGCGAGGCGAGCCTCCGAAGTGAAGACTGTAATTTCGGCATCCGGCATTGCCCCTACTAATTCGTGACAGACGGACGGGAGGAGGCTCAAGTGTGACTAACGACCCGGGGAATGTACAACTATTCCGACGTCGCACTTCTTATGGCTTAGTGCTACAGATGAAAAGCTTCTAAGCGATAACTGCTGTACAGTAGTATGTCAATAAATGTCATGGTAATTGTTGCGCCATCAGTGCCACGAGCTCGGAACTCACCAATTCAGGCTTCCAATGGCTTCTTTGTGAGACATTGGTGTTCACTGGTTGCTGCACCTCTACAGAATATCTCGAGTTCAAGTGTATGGTCCTTGAATTGAGACAACCAGGCCGGGTGCCTGCTTTACATCTGTCTCTTTGATAGAAACGAGGTCATAGCTGGCTTAGTGATGGCGCTTGCATATGTCGGGCATTCTCAGCGTGGAATGATGTTCGTCGCATGTACTTCATGTGTGTGGCAATATGAGATCCAAACTCTTCATCTGATTGTCCAGGAGCGGTCGTCTTCGAGCCAGGAATGCCACGGGCGATGCGCTAATTTTGTTTTCTCCTCCATGCGAAGAAATGTCTTCTAAGCGATATGTAGTCGGCTCGTCATCTTCCACATCGTCGACGTCGTCAGGAGGTACCAGTTCATTGTCCCGGAAGTCAACCGAAGTAGCACCACTCCTGTGTTTGTCAAGACAGCCCGATTCCTCTTTGAGGTCAAAAAGATCCAGCTTGAAATCCGGTTTCTGTGCACTCGAGCGTCGCTCAATAGCGGGAGGAAGTGGCTGTCGCAAAAGTGCTTTTGTGATTGGGAATAGGGCCTGCTCGGCCTCTTTTCTTTCCATACCCTTGTCCACTAAATCGTTCTCCAGTCGCTGCAACATCTCTCCTACATTCAACTGCTCGCTGTCTCCGCTCAAGTGAACGCCTGACCTCTTCTCAAACATTTTCACAACTTCCCTCTGCGCTTTCTCATACTCGACGTCCCTCGCCCTAACTTTCTCCTGCTCCTCCACAATCCCTTCCAATTTCACGATCGACTCCCTCCTCTCTCTTGGTGACTGGCTATCAATAAGTTCCTGCATTGCAGAAATACTGGCACGATGAGCAGGTAGCTTCTCTCGGAAGCCATCAAGTTTGGCCTTGTACAAGACCAGATATCGGACTTGGTCTACAACATGAATGCTTGGTTTGCGAGTCCCAGAACACGCATGAAGTGCTTCTTTAAGATCTGAGAGATCACGATGTAAGGGTTCTAAAGACTTCTTGATGACTGGTGCTCTAGAATCCCTTATCAGCTACTATTTCTCCCTAGACGAGCCGTACTCCGGTAATCATCAATGAGGAGGCTTTGAATTCCAGGGAGACTTACATATCCGGCCTCGCTTTTGCAAAAACCTTCTCGTCTCCAATCTGCTCTTCCAGGCACTTCAGATGAGCACGCACCTGCTTCATCTCAGTAACGATCGTATGCGCCCCTTCATGTTCTTCGTGGATGGCTCGGCTGCAGAGATCAACAGCGCTCTTGCATAGAGTGAACGCGTCGCCGACTCCCATCCGTAGGGCCATGCTTACACCGAAGAGAATACAAGCAGTGACAGCTGTTCGGCCGAAGGATTGTGATGGGTTGATTGATATATCTTGCTCGAGTCGCCCGCATGACATTCTGGAGGGGTCGTTATTGCCCCGCGCTCGAATGCTGATTGGCAGGCGCAGTTGAGCATGTGATCTCAAGGTTAGAACGTCACCTTCCATTGTTCATAATCAAATACCGGGCAGTTATCAAGAATATAAGGAGTGGGTGATTGCAAAAACTGCTTAAGTCCTCGCCGAAATTTACCTGTTGGCAAAGCTTTGAATCGTTCCCGTCCAGATCAACAATAGAGTGAGATCACGTGATTGACCGACTTTTCAATTCCTTCGTCCTACAGGCCTTAAGTTCTCTACTACGCATAGAAATCTATCGCCAGTACCAAGGAACTTATCCTACCAGAAGCCTTAAGGTGAACTTCTAACCAAGTATACCTGAAGGTTGCCCTTTTTGCGCTTGTAATCATTTCCCAGGCATGAGACAATGTTCGGCATGCGAGACTATGAATAGAGACGTCAAATTCAATATAACTATAACTTCCTTGATCCTATAATTTCAGCTCATCACTACTTGCCGAACTTTGGATGTAAAGCATCTCGCTAGATTGTCAACAAATGAGGGAGAGTATTGATGTTGATTGCCTAGATAGGACTAGCTCCTCTATTCGAGCTTCGCCTGGAGAGCTTGCAGCACCCCTGCATAGCCCACCTGTTCCTACTTTGCAAATAGGAACTGCAAAGTAACTCTGCCTCATACTAGGTAGAATCACCCGCTGTGGCATGAGAAATCACTGTTTTGCTCGGATCACATATCCAACGACGCGGCGAGTATCGAAGGTAAGCACGACGGCTCAAAGACGTCATCCGAGAATGCAGATCCGTGTGCGAACGCGAGCTGATTTCGGCTCCGCTCCACAAAGAGAAGTATATCCCACTCTTCTACTCTACAAATATCTCCGCGCACTAAGTATGATATATTTTCTTCTTCTATCTTCATGACACATATTTCGCAGCTATAGCGCCTGCGATCATAATGGCAATACACAATGATAGCTCGAGCTCTGCGCGCGCAGCTGACGAAGAGACGCCCCTCCTTCGCGACGATGACAATTCGAAGCTCCCAAATGGCAATGTTGATAATGCCCAGCAAGGCAGCTCAGAGCAGGTCGTGCTACCTCAGGAGCTGTCCCCGAGGCGGCTATACATAACACTCGCGAGCATCTACGTGGGCGTGTTTCTAGGAGCGCTGGATAGCACGATTATCGCGACCCTCTCTGCCCCCATCTCGACAAGCTTCAACTCGCTATCCCTTCTCTCGTGGCTAGCATCTGCCTACCTCATCGCAAACGCAGCATGTCAACCGCTGTCTGGCCGCCTTACCGATATCTTCAGTCGTAGGACGGGTCTGCTGGTGTCAAACATACTCTTCGCCGTGGGGAATCTGATGTGTGGTTTGGCAACCTCGGAATGGAGCATGATTGCCGGACGTGTGGTGGCAGGTATGGGAGGTGGCGGACTGATGGCGATCAGCACATTCGTTGCGTCCGACTTGGTGCCATTGAGGAAAAGAGGGCTTATACAAGGCTTGGGCAATGTCTGCTTCGGAACAGGAGCAGGATTGGGTGGTATATTCGGTGGATGGGTGAACGATATCTGGGGTTGGAGACTGGCTTTCCTCGCTCAGGTGCCATTTTGCGTGCTGTCTGGGGGTCTGGTATGGTGGTTTGTCAATGTGCCGCCTAAGAAATCTGACAAGCCAAAGCTCTCGCGAGTTGACTTCCTCGGAGCCTTCACATTACTTGTCACTCTAGTCCTACTGCTGCTGGGTCTCAATTCGGGAGGCAATGTGGTGCCTTGGACTCATCCCCTGATTTTGGTCTCACTTCCACTATCAGCTGTGTCTCTTTGTGCCTTTGTATATGTTGAGCTCTACATCGCCTCCGAGCCAGTCATTCCTGTCCGACTCCTTCTCAACCGCACTGTGGCAGCGGCCTGCCTCTGCAACTGGTTCACAACAATGGTCACATTCATGATCCTTTTCTACATCCCTATATTCTTCCAAGTCAAAGGCGTCTCCACAACAGCTTCCGGTATGCGACTCATCCCACAATCAGTGGGTGCATCCATTGGTTCTCTCGGCTGCGGTCTCATCATGAACCAAACTGGAAAATACAAAGCGCTCTCCATCGCAGTCCTCACCAGTTTCTGTCTCGGAACCGGCCTTCTATCTACCCTCAGCCTTTACACTCCTGACTGGCCAGGCTACATCTACCAATTCCTCATCGGTCTTGGGTATGGAGGAATGCTCACCACCACTCTCCTCGCCGTCATCTCAGCAGTCGACCATGAGCACCAAGCCGTCATCACATCTGCCACCTACGCTTTCCGCTCTACAGGCTCCTCCATTGGCGTCACAATCGCATCAGCCGTGTATCAGAACTTACTCGTCTCTTCGCTCCACGACAAGTTTGATGGTTTACCAGGTGCGGAGAAGGAGATTCGTAAAATCAGAGACAATTTCGATGAGTTGAAACACCTCCCTAAGGGATGGGAACATGGCGTGAAGGACAGTTTTGCGCTTGCTTTGAGGGGCGTTTTCTTGACGGCGTTGGGGATTGCGGTTCTTGGTGCGGTATGTGGCTCGTTTATGAGGCAGCATACTTTGCATAAGACTTTGGCGAGGAGGCAGTCAGATGCCACTGCGTAGTGGGTGAGAGTCTGGAGGTGAGGTTCGAAAACCATATAGAAGGAGTGGATCTTTCAGATATATTGTACATATATGTGGAATAGAAAGTTCTTGAGTTTAAACCCAAGCCCGAAAACTACTTTGATATTCACGGTTGGGAATTAGCAGGGTTCAAATATAAATTCAGAAGCCCAACGATCACTGTCAATACCCAACCCAACGAAAATGCCATTCACTAGCTGAATTTAATAATATTCGAACAAGGGATTCGTACCTCTGCCGTTTCTGCGGGACAATATACCCTAGACTCCTACGTCAGTGAGTGGGAGTCAAGAGGAATACCTATCACTAATATATTCTAGTCGAAGGGTATGACCATACCCATCCATCCTTGGGTCTAGACCAAGCTAATTCAACTCTCGAATCATAACCCTTAAGCCTATATGTTGAGCATGTGAATAGAACTAGCCACTGAAAGTGGACAGCTAAATACTGAATGGCAGCACAATGCGGCTCAAATATAACAGCTAATTCCACCGGAAAGCCTCAACCAACCGTGTACAGATGTCAGAACAGCATGGTAGAAGCACAGGCATATCTCACAGCAGGTGCTGTTGTTCAGCTATGCGAAGGGACTGAGAAGAAAAGCATGAGACCTTCGTCTTCGAAGCAAACTATTGCTTTGTATTTGGTTAGGTGAATTACTTAGTCTTTAAGTAGATCTTAAGAAATCACACTCCGAGTTTGATGAAAAGCATGACCGAAGGTCCAGTGCTGGACTTTTCACTAGTGGAAAGTGAATATTGCTGACAGGTGTTCCTCGCAGATGATTCACTTCTTTGAAGAATAAGCATTCTTCGTAACAGACATATAAGAAAGGTGCCTCTAACCCGTCTCTAGGAAATCTATAAAGGTATTGGCTCCAGCTATTCGCAATGCTATACACGCCAGCAATATCATACTGAACTTTCCCAGAAGAGAAAGGGGGCATACTTTAGATATCACTGCAGTAGCACAAGCTATCCATAGGATTGTTGTTGGCAAATATCTGTATGTTATTGCTGCCTCACAGTTTGATTTAGTACTTGCAGTTTCCCCAATTATGATGATTGGTAACACCAGTATATTGAATGACAGCAGCGTCGACCATGACAACAAACGTACTATCACAAATAAATCGCGAGTCTTTGTAAACTCCTTCCTCAAAACCAACTGAAAATCCCAAGCTGATAATATTTTGATTTTAAACGCGCCAGTCCTATCCTTCCAAACTTCCTTGTGTCTGTATTCTGTTTGACGGTTCGACCCAGGCAGTCATAAAATTGCATTGCGAAATTCTGGGGTTTAACTTTGCGGTATTGGTAACAAGGAGCCGACAGTCTTATAAACCTCAAGAGACGGTCCGTCCATAATTTTACTAGTCCATTCCATGGCTGGACGCTTTTATTCAGTGAGGCTTTGTTACATTGTGAATCTAGCTGGAAGGGAAGCAACGAATCCAAAGGCATTGTGTTTTATTTAAGCGTCATAAAACGAGTCAGAAAGGCTCAAACGAGAACACAACTGCAGAAATGTCCTAGGATCGGCAAAGATACCTCTAAATCGTCGTCCTTGAAATAATGTATCATGCGAGACGCATGTTTTCGGTTGAATACAGCTCAGCTTGCTGACACCCTGTAGATAGTCCTTGTGTTCAGGTGTGCATCGATATTACCGTAGCTTCACCATTGCCATTCAAAACTCTTACTGTCAAGACGCTGTCCACTTTCACTCATGAAAGTACCATCTACAAGCTACTATCCCATTGTACAGCCTGACTCCAGCATCATGTCTTGTTGCTTGATTGCTTTCGCTCAATGGAATGAAAATTTAGACTGATTGGGTTTCACTAGCAGAAGAGAATAGCCAGTCCGCCCAGTAATGTGCTCCACACACATGACCAATGCGACTAGTCGGTCAAAGACTGTCAAATTTCCTTGGTTTTATACCGGAAACTTGAGGTTGAAGGATTATTGGTAAGTCTAAGCCGCAAATGCTTTTGACTTCCAGTCACTAAATCATTGCCTCACTGCAAGGTGCTGGAGTTAGACTGGCGAGATGATCCTACTTGTTTTGTCTTTATCAATGCCATCAATGATCAAATATATCACAAACAACGTATCAAAACGGATGACATTTTGGCTGTCTCTATTCTCATGATATGACTATAACGAAATTACGGTACAGAAACCCGCGTTGCAAATTTCCCACTCACTTCACTCCCAAGGATCCGCCACGAGGCGAACTCCACTTAGCCCTTTCAACATCTTGTCCAGTGCATCATTAATACCGTGCAAGCCGCCAGCGATCTTCTCGACTGGAAGTGGAGTGATGGCTCCTTTTGAAATTCCCTGTGGGACATAAGTTTCCAATACCCACGTCAGCAACTCGCGCTTGTCTTCTTCGTAAAGAAAATCGGGCCATTTCTCAAACACTCTCGTCACGCCATCGGGTAACGTTTCGGATTCGAATGCGGGCTGCATGGCATACAACTTCCCTCCACCCTGTGCTGCGAGTACCTGTGCAGTGATTGCAATGGTTTTTGGCAGAGAAACTGCGTCCACTACAATATCGTAAGGTCCATCGGCCACGAGCCTTTCCTTGAGTGCATCTGAGTCGATTGTGTGATCAATGATATTGGCATCGCCCAGCTTGGAAACGAAGTCGCGATGCTTCGGCGAAGATGTGGTGGTAACTTTGTACCCTGCTTGAGAGAGGTATTGAACAGACAGACCACCAAAATTGGACGAGCCACCATATATCAAAACCTTCACGTCTGTCTTGGCGGGGGTAGAACCATCCAGACTTGGCTTATCCAGTCCAATCTTCCCACCAAACATACCAACCACCGAAGTCAAGTTCATCATCAGACTGGCCGGAACGGCAAGGTCCATCCCCTCGGGGAGTTTGCTGACCATGAGATCACCCACTACGACGTATTTCTGATATGCGCCATACTGATTTCCGTTGGCAAAATCTTTTTTTGAAGCAACAACTCTGTCCCCGACTTTGAATTTCGTGACTGACGAGCCGACTGATTCGATCGTGCCCCCAAATGCGGATCCAAGGATAGCGGGGTATTCGATTGGGATGACACCGAGCTTGGAGATCTTGGATTCCACAAGATTGAATGCGATGACCTCGTTTTTGACGAGAATTTCGTTTGGACCGGGAGTGTAGAGTTCAACTTCGCGGACTTCGAGGGGAGCTTTCGGGGCTGTGATGATTGCGGCCAGATTGGCCATGTTGACAGAATTTTAGGCGTGTCTAAAAGTCTGAAATTTGCAGAACGGATTGAATAGATATGTCCTCGTGCAATGGAGATGCAAATATTGCAGTTGCACTCCCTGCAAGGGGTATCACCTTTATATCAGATATCAGACAAAGGGATGAGTTAAGCGAGTTCTCGAAAACAATGATGTCAGACTTGTTGGACGAGGACCATAGGTTCGCTAAAGTTGCTTCTCGGCCTTTCGGCATTGGAGATACAGGCCGATACGCGAAAGAAGCAAATTCAATGTGTTGGATTAATGATACAGAAGTAGACCGACGGTGTTCTGTAACTCGATTGCTTGCTTACATAATCAACCGAAACTAAAATGAACTCCTGGCCCTCCTGGGTGAGATTTCTGAGTGGAGGAGGTCTTGGCATCTTGTGATGCAATACAACCTCGCGTAAAGTGCGACAACCAAAACATCAACAAACCCTCGCATATACTACAAAAATGGCAAGAACAACCCCAAATATCGCCCCAACATCCATTGACCACAGTCAAGACAAAACCCCTCAACGGGAAGTCAATAAGATAAGCTTCACCAACAGAGAAAACAAAAAATGCAAAACTTAACTGGAAGCTCACACTCGGATGCGTGTGAGGTTCCAGTTTACAAACGTAACTTAATACGTTTTCTGATTCGATCCGCCGATAGTTGGTTTTCGTATGCGACCGCTTTGACTTGAACCACGTCGCCGTGGCCGCTAACGGTTATGGGAGATATCTGCTTATTATGTTATATACAATGGTATGGGGAGACGTGTTCTAGCGGGGCGGGTTACCAAGTGCTGGAAACTTGCCTCGCGCCGAAACCGATGACTCTTTTCTATTTTCACAAGAAGGATTCGAAAATTTATTGAATCCATTTTTTTTAATCTCAGCCAACTGTTTCGTTGCTCGTCGGTACCTAAAGAAACCAAGAGCAGCACTTCTCTCCTGTTCCTACTGGAATATCGAACAATCTGTATGAAAGTCTGGAATTATTCCTGTGGCATCACTCAAGACTTTCATATTCATAGAAAATGAGATTTGCAAGCATGGAAATAGGTATCAGTAGCCCATCCAAAACTGGGATACAATGCAAGGGGACAGTCAGTCCATGATAGCTTAGCCTATGGATTCTTCAAGAACTTCGTCTAGAGTGTGTTTCAAGTAGAAAGCGAATATCAAGCTTCTTGCAACATCATAATTGGTACCTTGACGCATTGCAATTTGGACTTCCAAAGAAACTCTTTAAAAGCTCTGAGGCGGACATATCGAAACCAGTGTCGATACTAGTGACTAGAACAGTAGTATCGAAGGAATTGCAGCGAGGTGTTTTCAAGGTTTCTACGCAAATGAAAGCGCAATAGTGGTATCTTCAAAATCATTGACAGTTTCTGTGGCATTGATAGTAACAAGGCGAATGACAATCCATAGTTGAAATTAACATTGCTTTTGGAACTAAAACCCTTCGTGATCCAGCCTACCACCATGTTAAATGAATGCCATCATACATTCTGCATGTAGTTGGCAACGAATTATACGCAAGGGAACTGAAGTGAAGCAAGTCACTGCTCTTAGAGAAACGCCACCCAAGCCAAGCACGCAAATTGCTTTCAGTCCCACAACGTCATCACTTCATATTTACAACGCAGCAGCCAAAAAATATCACGAGCCGAACCAATCCAATTTCGCAACTAGCATCCTTTTCTCTTCTAGAGTCTCGGCGATATTTCAGCCGGCTTGGTAATCCGAATGTTCCAAATATCTTGAACAATGCCAAGAAGCAACTTGCTTACGCGCTAATTAAGGCCTGCCAACCATCAGAGGCCGTTACCGAACCAATGAATTCGATCGGGACTGTGAGGTCGGAATCTAAGGCGGAACATGACTTGTACAAGGGGCGCAATTTGCTTGTGCTTGATAACGACCACGGAGAGTAGAAAATCCTCAGTGAGAAACCATGCTGATCCATATATAGGTATATATGGACTCCCCGTCCTTCACTATGCTCGTCTGAAGTACTTTCGTTTGGATTCATTATGGCTACCTTCACTGACTTCATTCGAGACACGCCTTTCGGGCCAATAGTGCGCTGGGTCTCAGGTGCTCGATTGTTCAGATACCCTGAGGAACATCCAGATTTCTTGCTATTGCATCCGTATATCAAAGCTGCTGAAGAAGGTGGCCTGTCATCTGAAAATGTTTCGGAATCAGATTCTCCAACTGGTAATCTTCAGATTCCTCCCTTCACGTCCTCAATGCTGTAACTGACGTCTTTCCAAGAGAATAACAAGACGAGCAATCCATCGACCCAAGCACCAGACAAGTATACCTTGGTTTCCTGGTACTTCAACGACGATCCCGCCAATCCATCAAACTGGTCTCTTGGAAAGAAAGCCTGAGTCCACGCCTCAATAAACTACTATGCCTGCGCCATTTACATGGCATCCTCCATTTGCACACCAGCTGCACCAGAATTGATACATATCTGGAACATATCCGTGACGGTCTCCTCGCTCGGCCTCGGAATCTTCGTTCTAGGCTACGGAATCGGCCCTCTGCACTTCGGCCCACTGTCTGAGATCCCAGCAATTGGGAGGAGTTCCGTGTATTTCGTGACAAAATTACTGTTCCTGGTCCTGTCAATTCCGACCGCTCTGACGAACAATGTAAACGAGTTCATGGTGCTGCGATTCTTACAAGGCTTCTTTGGTGCGCCAGCATTGTATATTGCGGGAGGGACGATTGGGGACATCACGGCGCCGCTTTGGTTGCCGTTCATGTTGTATGTGTATGCGTTCTGTCCGCTGGCTGGACCTTCGCTAGGACCAATTATTGCGGGATTCAGTGTTCCTGTTAAAGGATGGCGGTGGTCAATGTGGGAGGTTGTATGGAGTGTTGGGTCATCATTCTTTTCAATGGTAAGTGAAATCCTTTTGCACTGGAAATGAATGCTCTGTGCTGATAGACTGCAGATATTTGTTCCTGAAACTTCGGCAGCTACGATATTGTACCGCCGTGCACACCGTCTCCGAACTCTGACCGGAAATGAATCATGTCGTTCGCAGTCTGAGATCGATTCCCAACACATCTCCACATCGCTGACGGTGAAGAACTCGCTCTTCATCCCCTGGAAAATCAATGGCCTTGATCCTTCCGTATTGTTCACAAGCTTGTACTGCGGGCTGGTCTATTGTATCTTCTATTCCTTCTTCGAGGTCTTTGAAATGTCCGGCATCGAAGTGAGAGTAATAAATTCTATAGACCGACTTATTAGGTATAGTAAGGGTAAGGTAAGCTAAGCAAGCGAGATGTCACGTGTAGATTGACTACCTACCTACCTACTCGGCCTCCACGGCAGTGGCCCCCGGAGGGAAATATACAAGAATATGTACGGGATGAACTCTGGGGAGATGGGTCTCATTTACTTGGCTGTTTTGGCTGCTGTGGTCGTTGCCGGTGTGCCATATCTGGGTTTCATCCATTTCGTTGTCGATAAAGCAACGAAGGAGGGGAGGAAGATCCAACCGGAGACAAAATTGTTGCCGGCTTTGGTGGCGTGTTTCTTCATGCCAACTGGACTGTTTCTCTTTGCCTGGGCGTCGAATCCTGGGATCCATTGGATTGTACCGACTACTGGGGTATTTCTGGCCAGTGGAGCGTTTTGCATCATCATCCAGAGTGTCTTTGTTTACATCGCTCTTGCCTACCCTGCATATGTGTCCAGCTTGTTCGCAGCAAATACATTTTGTCGTGCCGTTTTGGCGCTAGCGGCGGTATTGTGGAGTGAACCGTTATATCATGATCTGGGAGTTGGGCGAGGTACGAGTATTTTAGGTGGTTTGTGTGTTGGGTGTATTGCTGGTGTGTTCGTGCTGTGGCATTGGGGTCAGAATCTCCGAGCAAGAAGTCGTTTTGCAGTCAGTGAATGATTTGGTGTTGTGGTTGACCTGTCATCTTTCAGAATAGTCAGATTGAATAGAAATTAAAAAAGTAGCTATACCTTTGTTCTAAATGAAAACGTAGATGAGCTTGTAAAGATTATTCCTTGCTTGGATACATCATGTTAAGATAAAACAACTCGATGCACAGACCGAATCATTTCATATCGTGACGACCAGAGCCCAATTTACAGGGGGATGGTGCCTGAGGAGAGCCCAGGGATCTTAGAAATACAGTGGTTCCGGTTAAGTGCGGGGTCAGGAGACGGCCTGAAATTTACCCCGCACATACCAGTAGCGCACCCGACCCCAAAGAAATTTTAGGTGTGGAACATCAGTGTCATGATGGCGCTGGGTAGGATTGCTGGGATGGTGCGACGATTAGAAGGCTGGTCTGATTCATCGACATTGTGAAGCCTTCAGGTCGTCCCCAGGTCTAGAAAAACTCTTTTGCTTCTAATTCTTTCACACAGGGATCGGTCCATGAGAAAGCTATTGACACTTTGGACCGTTGCTCTGTTTGGATTCGCATCCGGCATTGATGTAGAACACCATCCCAATCGGCTCCTTATAAAGTTCTTGTCAATCCTCGATGCTTTGCCCCTGTCTTCCAACTGGAGACCATTGTCATCGAAGAACAGACAAGAAATGGCGAGTGCAACACCGACGGATAAGTCTTTGCCACTTTCGCAGGCAACGATGATTTTGAGTGCGGCATGTGTCTCATCAGACTTGCTGCGAGCCAATGCCTTCTCAACAAATCCAATGATAAATGGCAGAGACGTCCTGAGATTCCGACTGCCGAGTTTATGAGGACCAAGCCCAACATCTATGCGAGCTGAGGAGGTCTGCCATGTGCTTTGATCTGTAGTCTGGGGTAGCAGATTGATTGTGCAGATATCTTCATCTGAATTTCTCCCGTCTATCGAGTTCGTAGGTGCCACGAAGAGTATCGAGGTAGGTTTGACAAGCCGTATCAACGGACCATCGAGACCAGCATGCTTGTCTTTTTCAACCAGCGACTCAATCAGCTCTGGCATTTCATAGTCAGATATCGCTAGAATTATCTCTTTGTGCCTCCAGAAGACAGGTGGGGTGAGCCCATGTGCCCAGTTCTCTGTGTCGTCTCCCGCACCTTGGATATATCCACCTTCACTGAGCTCTCCTCCCGGGACCATCCTTGACACTGTACAGCAGATTATGGGATGAAATTCTTCAAATACTGAGGATGTTGGCTCGACATTAGATTCGGGGGTTACCCACATTGGTCGCAGAGGCTTCGTAATATGCGATCGAAGTTCGTCGAGAGATATCTTGAGTGCTCGTAAGGCATCCGCGAAAGATGGAAGGAGTGCTGTCATTTGTGCATGCTCGGACTGTGAGACGACTTGTGGAGGGGTATAGAGATTATGAAGCTGGGTTTTATTTGGGAAAAGCACTCGATTGAGTACACTGCACCATATTGGAATGGTTTTGCTGAGAGCATCGGGCATTCCTACTTCGTATTAGCACAGTTCAATAAATTCTGGAATGAACGTACTTTTGCCACGTCTTGTAGAATCAATAATGATACAACTACACGAGATACAATTAGAAGCGATTGTATCTGCGATATATTCAACGTACCCATCATTCTTTCCAATGATCTCCAACAGGTGCAAGTTCAGCCTTCTCGAACTAAACTTCCAAACACCAGTATGCCCGTCTGTACTCTTGAAATATGCACTCCCTCCTTTCGATTCGGGGCTAATGTACCAGCTTCCACATCTTTCATTTGCAATCAATGGTCTGCCATAAGCTTCTGCGACTCGGCGAGCGAAGGCTGCATCGTGCAAAATGGACTCGAGGCGGTTTCGAATGGAAAGAGTCGATCGTTTGAGCTCCCCTAGTGTTTTGGAGAAATTGTGATTTGCTTGCTCGGAGAATATGATCTCAAACGTAGTTGTAGGAGCGGGCATTGGGAAATGTAGGGTGTTATGTGCTTCTCTTGCTAGGAGAAAGAATGGGAAAGGCTTCGCGAGGCTGAAGAAAGGAAAGGCGCCAAGGCCGGCAGCCAATGTTTGCTGTGTTTGCCAAGCATCGGGATGTCAAGCTCCATCCATCCCCTCCAATCTTTCACCCCCTTCTCAATACTCAAAGACTGTGCAAGTCCGGATCCCAGAACCTGCGGATACCTACCCGTACAGTCCGCTTTTACAAATACATTCTATTCGCCTCAAAACGTCGCGCAATGGCTCAAATGCGTCCTGCACGCCATCAGATTTGCAATCGCATGCAGCATGTCTGTTGTTTAAGCTTGAACTCTCTTCGTCACGTTGCACAAGAGCTATCTTTTCAGAGCAGATACCCTTAATACTGTGGAGAACTTCAAACACAATTGAAACCCGCTTTGTATCATTGTGCACTTGAAATGGAATACTTGTATGCTTGATGCTTTCGCCAGCGTGGTTTTGCATCTTTCGGCCAGATATGCATGTACATTTCGAGCTTATATACAACAAAAGCTCACTCGGAAAGCATTTGCGCGAGTTTAGAATCTTCTTCGTTCTTTGATTCGATTGGAGCCATATGCAAGTTGACTAGACACTGCTCATGTATAGGTAGTGTGTACTGCATGCCTGGGAGCACGTGCATACTGTCCAGGTGTCTTAGTCCATCATATAATGATGGACGTCCGGCTTCTTAGTCTTGATCAAATCCTATTATACGGACATAATTTCGGGGCGACTCAAGATGCCGACAATTTATGTACGTGTAGAACTTGAGGCCCTATCATTGGTAAAGTCCACGAAGTACAGCAGACTTCGTTGCTCTTATCCCTGAGGCAATTCAAGCCAAATTGCTACTTTATGGACAAATGGAGATCCCATTAACAGCCCAAGTTGACGGAAGGAGAACGTTGCTTGCCTTGATCGTCACGTGGACTTTGTCCCGTTCTGACTTTGTTTACATTCACTTCAAACCCATTCAGATCAGGCAGAAACCTCGCTACACAAATTCACCCTCCCTTCCTCCTTATTCTCAACCATTTGTTTCTCTTCTTCAAGCATCAATTTCTCCTCGTCCAACCACTTCTCGTCCAAACACTGAATCTTTTCAACCTTCAGTGCTTGTTCGATCTTGTCAACACAGCACACTCTATTTCTTCACTTTTCATCCTTCATATCAGATTCTCGACCTCAATAAGGTCGACTTGGACAAACAATGGCGCCTAACGAGGCTCTGTCGGAGACTCTCTCGTCCGTCACCAACATCAAGCTTGCTGAGATTTCTAAGCAACGAGACATGTTCGAGAAGACCAAAGCGGAACTACTGAAACAGGCCGCCGCAGAGCCCATGCTCCGAGATAAGGCCACCATCCTTCTGGAAGGAGTGAAGAAGCTGGTGCTTTCGGGCGAGATAAAGGCAAACCCAAACATATCCCTGACCAACATTGACAAATTCCTCAAGCAGGCCCAGTACGACCTCTCGGTATCTCGCAAGCTTCTCCAACAGCGGCAGGACAAGCTTGTCAACGAGCTCAACGTTCATTCACTGAAGTTCGATTATGCTTGCCTATGTGGTCGTCTTGTAGAAGAATGTCTTTCAGCCTCTTCGCAGAGTCTCAAGGCACCTTCAAAGTCCGATTTTGGGTTTGAGACATTGGCAGAAACGGATTTGCTGGACCAGAGAATAAAGTGGGAGGCACTGGCATTCGCTCCCTTTCCTACGGATACAATTGCTCTGCAAACATACCTCAATCGGCTCTTCAACCAATTCCCAGTCATCACAAAGGCGTAGCTCAAATTACGACAGTCAACTGCAGATTTCGAGAGAAAGATGAACGCGCGAAATGGAAATCATTTCAATGACACTTCAATGAGCTGGGTCATTAATGGGCTCCTGCGAAGTGATCTTCTCACTGACGAAAAGCGCAAGGTCTTGAAGGACTTCCAAAGCAACAAGGCTGTCTTGTCGGAAATCGCTGATGTTCTGAATATGAGAATTATATATCTCGATAAATGGGAGTGGGATCCAAATGGTGTTGCAATTGAACAGCGCAGACTATTGAATGGCCGCTCACGATTCTTTCATGACGACGAGCTGCTGCAAGCGATGCTGATGCGATATGTCGGAGTTGAGTGGTCTGTTCACCTCAAGGCTGCTTTGACTGAATTTCAGACTACTGCAAATGTTTGGAAGACTGCCTCAGGAGCCGTTCCAGCCTCGGACCAGGAGCGTCGCAAGTACTTCCTCCCAAGTTCTCTTACAGAAGGGGCCACGGTAGAGTCCATACGCACCAAGTATTTCAAGAAAGAAATATTCCTTGAGCAGCTTCCAGACAAGGTTGATGAGGTTCGTGGAAGCTATGACAGCGACGTTTCCGAGGATGATGATACACGAAAAAGCAGTCTCCAGATCACTCAAACTCTGTTGCATACATTGGCCACCGAAATCATCATCAAACGTGCTCTTGGACAGGATTTGACTGTTGTTCGAACAGATTTTGCCTCGTTCGGCCCATCCCTTCCTCATCTGACCATCACCACAGTTCTCAAGACACTCGGTGTATCTGATCGGTGGGTAGACTTCTTTCGCCGTACACTGGAGTCCCCAGTAAAGTTCGTTGAGGATGGACCCAACGCAAACGCACAAACCCGAATGAGAGGCACGCCACCTAGCTCTCCAATGAGTGATTTCATGGCAGAGGCTGTTTTATTCTGCTTGGAATTCTCTTTCAACCAGGAGACTAATGGAGCCAGAATGTACAGACTGCATGACGATATTTGAATCTGGGGGTCAGAGACGAACTGCACCAAGGGTTGGGATGTTATGATGAAATTTGCAAGGCTTGCTGGTCTTGGTTACAGTCGTGAGAAGACGGGTTGCGTGAAGATCGGCAGGGGAGGAAGCCAGCTGCCTCAATCTTCATCAGCACTTCCAAGTGGTGATATCTCGTGGGGCTTCTTGAAGTTGGATGCTAGCTTTGGACGCTTTCTCGTTGACAAAGTTCTTGTAGATAAGCATGTTGGCGAGCTTCGTCTTCAGCTTGATGCCTGCAAGTCTGTCTTGGAATATATTCAGGCCTGGAATATCTATGGAGTTCGTTTCTTCGCCAATAACATCGGCAAGCCAGCGAATTGTTTCGGAAGAGCACACATTGACATGATCCTGGAAACTTTTCGTGGCATTCAATCTCGACTGTTCGGTTCTACAGAGCATCGCGCCAGGGAAGACAACACAGCCAATGATATCACGGCTACCCTACAGCATCAGATCAGACTCAAGTTTGGAATGGACGTTCCTGAAGGATACATATACTTTCCAACTTCACTAGGCGGCCTTGATCTCAAAAATCCATTTATCAGCCTGGGTCTTATTCAAGACTCCATTTACAAGAATCCGCACTTGGCGATGGCAAAGTTCTTCCAGGACGAAAAGGTCGACTATGCTCGTGCTAAAGAACACTTCGAAAAGGTGAAGATTCCAGCACGAGAAAAGCTTTCGAAGGAAGAGTTGGAGAAAGATAAGCTTGCAAATGAGCCTTTCATGTCGTTTGCGGAATTCACTCGGTACCGCGAGCAAACCTCAACTCTTCTGTACAAAGTCTATCGGAGTCTGATGAGGGAGCCAGTCGAACAACGTGTCGATGCTGCACCTGCTGTCATTGAAGCTCTTGGTCGCGAGCCATGGGACAACCTCAATGCTTATCAGCAACGGGTCATTGAGCTACACGCCGATGATATCATTCCTCGCTTCAGCGGACTGAACATTGTTCAGCAGGGTTGGCTGCCAACTGGGATGGTTTCGATGTTTCGTGAGAGTCGTTTCCAGTGGAAAAGTTAAGGTTTTGACTCATGACATGATTGATTTCCATATATAGAATCCTCAAATGGCTCCTACGAGGAGATAATCTGAGTGGGGCAGGTGTAAGGGCGAGCTTCACTGGTGGATGTTGTTGTATGACAGTATGGATATGGAACGAACCAGAGCAAGCTAGTAATTCAATCATAACCATAGAAGATCAAATGAGATGCTGATGTCGTCAACTTTTGGTTCTTCACAAGTTTCATACACCGATCGCCCCTGAACAAAGACTGGTGGTTGTTTTGAAGGAGGCGAATCCTAAACAGGACTAGTAGCTGCCCATGTCCCACGCTAATGTTATCAACCTCACCTCTATCTTTTGTCTTTTACACTTCTCTTCATCAATCCTTTGATCTCCCGCGAAGTCGTTCAACAGTGTTCTCTTGACTTGGGTAGTGCACCGTGGCCTTCAATGATAGGGTTCGTACTGGCGCACGCGTCAGTGCAGCACCCGGAACGATGACTCCGCCACCTGCGTGCCACAACTGTCGACGCCAGCGCCTAAAATGTGACAAATCGATTCCAGAATGTCTCAAATGCTCTAAACGAGGAGAGAAATGTGCAGGATATGGTCTATTTCTCCGCTGGGAGCCTGGAGTGGCAAGTCAGGGAGCGATGATGAGACGAACGTTTCAAGAAGAGAAAAGAGATCAGGATCGGAGGAAACCAGAACAGCATTATACGATGTCTCTCCATTACTCAGTGAAAGATCCACTGTTCCAAGAACTAAACGGCACTTCGATGAAGTATTTACATTATTGTGAGCTTTCTTGAATATCTCTTGGCGTTGTGATACGACATTGAATCAATACTTTAGTCGCGACCGATGTCTGCAGAGACCTTGTTCTCTATGATCAACTGGGCAATAATGCGTTCCGAGAACTAATTCCTCTCACTCGCAATCATCCCGTCTTATTAAATGTGATGATCGCTAATGCGGCATTGCACATGTCGAATGCATACCAAAAGTCCAGTGAAACAACCGGATTTTCTCGTCCCGCTCACGAATCACTTGCTCCTGGATTCGCACACCGCAGCGACTCTATTGTTACCTCTATCAACCAGTTTCGATCTTACAAAGATTCTCTTGTAGCTAAGCAACGAGCTCTAGGGTTCCTGAGGTCCGCTCTACGCAACGAAGCTGCAATGGACGCCGACATAATTCTGGCGGTGGTACTTCTCCTCATCGAATGCGAGCTTATTGATTCTGGTCGCAACACTTGGAGATATCATGTGGCTGGTGCAAAGCCACTGATCGAGAAATTATGTCATCAGGGCCTATCGACCACTGGAGTGATGAGCCCGCTGTGCAGGTGTTTGATCTCGAACTGCTTAGTGTAAGTCCTTAGGTCTGTACAATGTAAATGCTACCCAGTACAAAACTAACGGAGCAAGGTTTGATATTTTGGGATCTACTATTGGTTCCACGGCTGGGATTGCTTCCGGTAATCTACTTTCTGCGGAGAAAATGTCGCTACTACAAGATGCGGAGGGCAACCACTGCTCATCTATGCCCGCCATTCTCCTGCAGGTAGTCCAAGAAGGAGCTCGAATCTTCCAAATTAGCTACTCAGCAACACCATTAGACTCCTATACCACCGACAGGTATCAGCAGCAGTTGATAGCATTGCTCCTCACCGCGCAGTCTTTTGATCCACTCGGATGGGCAACAGCTCTCCAACCGAGTTCCCCAGCATCCGACACCGAACATCGAAAGCAGGTCGCGTCAGCACACCAAACAGCAGTTTGTCTGTATCTATGTCGTGTTCTCCTCTTCCTCTGCCCGTCATTAGTGCTTCCATACGACCTTGAATCTCTTGCCGCAGATATCATAAGACATCTCACGGTCATCAAACCAAATGATGCTCTGTTTACTGCAACAACGTGGCCGGCATTCATCGCGGGAGCGGAAATCAATGACGATGCAAATCGTGCATGGGCGAAGGAAAGGTTCCGAGAGTTGTGGAATGTTGAGCCTTGGGGCTTGATGAAAGGCGCGCAGCAAGCTCTGGATCAGATATGGTCCGAAAGAGCGGATGACGCATCATTCGACGACAACGGAGTGGCACTTGACAATATTATGGGGAAGCACAACTGGCTATTGCATCTAAGAAAAAGGGGTGTAGACTGGCTAATCATATGACAAATCGAATGTAAATGAAGAACAAATTATCTCCTGCAGGTAAGTTGAGTGTCATAGAATTACTTCGCTTTAACTAATAATCTTCAGGGGTGAGCACAGTAATGGTTTGTCCCACAAAAATAGATATTCGCTCTTGCTTTACAGTTCCTTGTCCGCAAATTGCAGATTCGAGCTCCGCCTCCCGAACCAATTCCAGCTTCTCATCCGCAGACAAATCGCTCGTTGCCTTCGGAACTTTCCCCCAGACTGCCATGAGTATCAAACTCATAGCCCCAGCTACAACACCAAACCAGAACGTATTCTTATAGCTCTCTCCCAGACCATCCTGAAACGTTCTAGACTGGATTATGTCCGTCAAGCCGAGGCAAAGAGCCACACCCAGCTGCAGCACGGAGTTGATTACACCACCTGCCAACCCTTGTTGAGAAATAGGAAAAGTAGTTGTTATGAACACTGTCATAAGAATTGTGGACAGATCTATACCAATCGTACTCAGGATCATAGCGGGGAAAATCCATGCCCAGTAATTTCCCCCTCCGAGCGGAATAAATGCAAGGAGAAGTTGCGACCCCACGGCGCCAAGACCAGAGATAACTAGCAATACTCTTCCAGGGACCAAATGGAGGATAAATCCCTCGAGAACACTGAACAGAAGCCCAGCCACACAAAGTGGAATGTACCACGCGACCACCTGGAGTGGAGTGGCTGACATGATATTCTGAAAATACAACGTTCCGTAGACGGAGAAGATGCCCCATGTGCCGTATAAGAGGAATATGGCGAGCAAGAGAGGTGTCATACATGGCGTTGCAAAGATCGAAGCTGGTAGCAATGGCTGGGAGGAAACTCGTGTTTCTATGAATATGGCCGCTAGAAGGGAAAGAAGCCCAAGTGTGAAGCAGATCGGGATATATGGCGTCTTCCAGCCTTGAGGAGCATGCGCGGATTGAGTGATCGAAAAGACTGTGAGTACGAGCCCGGAGATGATTGCAGCCGCACCAAGGTAATCCATTTGTATCTCATTTGAGGACTCCTTGTCAAGTGGATTGGACGGGACAGCAAAGACCGACGCCACCAGAGTGATCGCGGTGAGGATGGCTCCAATCCAGAAATAAAAGCCCCAGTGTAAGAACTGGCCGACCATCCCGGCAACAAAGATCCCACCGAAGAAACCAAACACTGCAGACGTGCCGTACATAGCAAATACCAAATTCTTCCGTGGCCCAGGTCGATACAAGGAGCCCATGAGCATAACACCACTAGGCAGGAAAGCAGCTGCTCCCAGCCCTTGAAGCGCTCGGCAGAAATCCAGCATCAGAGCATTACTGCTGAATCCCGCCACGATACTCCAAACCAGCAACCACGCAAGACCACCGATGAATATCGGATATCCTCCCCACATGTCTCCCAGGCGGCCAAAGACAAGCAAAGTGCTAGCGATGACGAGCGAGAATGCTGTTGCAGGCCAGACACTGGATGCTTGTGGAATGTTGAGTTCTCGAATCAGGGTTGGAAGGATGACTACGAAGCCGGAGACGAAGAACTCGGTTAGGAATTGCGACATGATTATGCTGAAGACAAAAGATATCTCGCTCCACCGCGTGTTGAATGTTGGGGGTCGTTGACGACCTAGACGCTCTATTCGGGCTTGGAGAGATTCTTCTGTGGTGGATATAGGTGTGGCTTCCACTTTCGGATTTGGCGAGGGGTCTGTGTTAACGGCAACATCTTGAGGAGCCAAACTCGCAGTAATCAAGCTGGAACCTGTTACCAGGGTCGGATGTGAGATTGGCATCTTGCTCGAATTATGATACAGTTTGGAAGATGGGGAAGACTTTGAAGATACCGCGCTGCTCAATCTGCGGCAAAGGGAAGAGAAGTACTGAAGTTCTGAAGTTCTGAAGTTCTGAAGTTCTCACTGTGGTAAAGAGGGTATATACAAGTACCAAATGGGCAGGGGAGCATTTGTAATGCATCTTGCAAAACTCTGCGGAGGGGCGTAGGACGTAAGGCATACCTTAGTTGACGAGAGTTTATTAGAACCTAGCTCATGAGCATGGTATTCTTCGCCGAAAGTTAGCTGCCGAATCAAGCGAATTAAGTTGTGGCAAATATCCTGGTCCCAAGAGCGCTCAGGGATTGAGCTAATGCAGCTCATGCGGCTTGGCTACCGGATGGAGACTGTTTGTGGAACTTTTTGAACAAGATCAGTCAACGGTGACTTCAGACAAGCATCTTGAATTGAAAGTTTTGCAAGAATCTGATGTCCGTCATTGGCTGCAAGATATGTGTCTTGGCTTCCTATCAAGGCAAAGCGCTTTTGGTGTTGGTGCCTCGCTAGTGCAAGGGAGGCGAAGCGGGCTTGAGCTAAAGCTTGAGCTTGTTGATCTATGGAGCTTTAATTCTTGTCAAGATATCCTATTTACTAAGGATACATATCACAAGGGCGTGAGATTTCAATTTTGGATTATTCAGCTATCGATGCTTCAACTGGATGTATATCTCATCTCCTACTATGAATTCTACCGCTAGACGGGCTTGAGCATTTCACCGAGTACATAAAGCCAAACGACGTCCCCAACATTGGCTGCCAGAATTCTATCCAATTGACAAGGTTAGTTTCAAAGAGGACCGAGATGTCACCTATCATCCATTGCATCCGTCACGGACAAGGTTTTCACAATGTCGGCGCTGGCGCATACACTCTCCGCGATCCAGACCTGACACCTCTGGGCGAAGAGCAAAGCGAGATACTCCGGAAAGCCTCATTTCCCAATCAGTCGAACATATCTCTCATCGTAGCATCTCCACTGCGTAGAACACTCCATACCGCCTTCTCGATATTCAAACCTGCACTCACATCGAACGGCAAATGCTCACCAGAAATCCTCGCCCTGCCAGACATCCAAGAAACGTCCGATAACCTCTGCGACATTGGCTCTGACCTGCCTACACTCCAAACCCTAGTTATAGAGAACAAGTGGCCTGTGGACGTAACCCTTATCAAAGAAGGCTGGAACATCAAGACCCTTGAAAGTCGGTACAGTCCTCACAGCGATGCCATCACTATTCGGGCACGGGACGCCCGACTTGCTTTGCGCCGCATCGTAAGGGAGCTGGTGGAACAGGGAGATGAAGATGTCCATATTGCTGTCGTGACTCATGGGAGTTTCTTGCATTTCTTTACGGATGACTGGGAGGATGCGTGGAAGTATCCTGCGACAGGGTGGCGGAACTGCGAGACTAGATCGTATATTTTTGAAGACGATTTTAGAAAGGATAGAGATGTGGAGGCAAGGTTGACGAAGACTGGTGAGAGTCGTGCGAAGAGGGGAAAAGAGTATCCGATGTATGGGAGAGAAAGACAACCAGGGTTATTTCGATTCGCAATGGAGGAGTGGGGAAAGCAGGGCTTGCAGCGCCCGGATAAGTTGGAATGAAGGTTTGGAATGGGTAGAAGAGGCCCATATAGACTCAGGCCGATTAATACGTTAATCTCAATTTGTTTTCTCCAGTTCACTGAACCGCAGCTTCACTCGGGGGATCAATGATTTCTCGCTTAACACTTGTGCAAGGAAAGTCATCCCATAGGAACCTCTAGAAAATTCCAAAATGTCCAGTCAATTGTAACAGCAGTGTTAAGGTGAGCGAAATTAAGCGAGATAGATAGTACCAGAAGCTTTATTGCCCTTTCTAGCCACTTGAGCCTCTGCCCTTTCTAAAAAGAATGAGGCGAAATATGCGCGTTCCATGATTGGTTGACTCGACCAACGCCGCCCAGTTGTATTCATGGGTGAGGAAACATGAAGAAACTTGGAATGGTCACCTCCATTACATCGATCCATCAGTCATAAATCCCAGATGTCCAATGTCAATGTTGTTGTGCACGCCCTATTGTTGATTGGTGGTTGAGGCGACAGCGATGACCAAAGCCGGTGTTGGTGCATGATTCGCCGTGATCCGCGACTCAAGGCAGCAACCCCTCTCGATCCGACAGCCTCACTTTCTCAGCATTTTAATCCTACAACAGTACATCAACTTCAATTGTCACATTCCCGAATTACATCTCGGACGGTAAGTCCACAATAATCATGGCTTCCTCTCGTGCCTCGTCGGTAACACTCGCAGATGAATCAATCCACGACAAAGACATCGATGTGCTTGTGGACATGGACTCCGAGGGACAGAGTGATCCCGAAGCGCAGCAAGACCTCCAATTACTCGACGATTACTTGGAGGATTATGATGTTGCTAACCTGGGGCCATCAATGAGAGCAGCTCGACAGCCCGATGATCGCATTTTGAGAGCTGTTCTCGAGTTAAGCAACGACGAGACGCTGGACGAGCGCCTCAGGTCTCCTGCACTTTCTAATCGGGCTTACTATAGAGCGAATGATTCTGCACCAAGAAGCTCAGCTCCTCCCACGCGATCAGGTGGCCTCTGTTCTGTAGATCTTGGACCGCACAGCATCAGATACTGCCCAGAGGGGGTAGGCATTACATCTCCATTGATGGAAGCAATTCGAGCACGTCTGCCTGATAACGTTGAAATGCTTCTCAATGCTGGGGCTGATCCCAATGGAGTTCCACTCTGGGCATCAGAGATGTACGCTGCGCTGTTCTTGCGATTCAGACCAGCTGTGCCATCAAGCGGTCGAAGAGATGGAGCAACAAGAGCCACTTTGCTGCACCTGATGGATCTTCCCCAGGTGTCTACTCTGACGCGAGAAGAAGTCGAGGATAGATTCTACGAGGGGGTTGCGCCATTCTGGTGTGAAGAAGGCTTTGTACCGTTAGATTATCATCGCCACGGGGAATCGATGCCTTCCCTTGTAGAAGCCGCACGATCGGGCTCGGTTGAGATATTCGACCGGCTCATGGAAGCGGGGGCAGATCGCAGCTTTTGGATGAGGCCACAGGTTGAAGTACCGAAATATCCTACATCAAGCAGCCTCAGCGTATCAAGTCCGCTACACGCTGCTCTCCAGACTCAGGATTATCAAATGCTCGAGCGTATACTGGAGTGTGGATTTGATCCTAACACCATGCCCCTCGCCAATCCAACTCGCTGCTTCACACCTGCTATGGCAACGATCATCTACCACACTGCTTTCGATAAAGCTGCATTTGACTTCTTCTGTCAGCAGCCTAATATTGATCTAGAGATCAGAACTCCTGTTTATGGAGTACATATCCTACACTTCGCTGTCGCAACACTGGATATCGATCTACTCAAACATGTCAGTGCTCGTACACCATTGCGCAATGCAGCCGAAACAGCACTCGGTCATACGTTACTGCACATTACGTGCATGCCCGCCAATGCTTCTCAGGTCCAGAGGCATTCCGAACTAATCTGTAAATCCATCAACGAGTCGCGAGATCTTCGTGCTCAGAATGATGTTTTCTCCCGTCATCCATATTCCGTAAGTCCTGGATATCTACCAGATGATGATTCAAGCGAAGAGGACCTCAGCAAGCAAACCGCGATGGTGAAGTATCTTTGGGGCCAAGGCATCCAGAATCTAGCAGTACAAGATGTGCATGGGAACACTGCACTTCACTATCTTGCTGGGTGTAAAGATGTCAATTGGGATTTGATCTCGTGGTGGTGGGAACATCCAGGTGTGACTAGGATATGGCAGGAGACGAACAATCGGTCTGAGGCGTCCCCAGAAGACCTTGCACATGCGAATCAGTGGGCAAGGAACGAAGAAGAGAGGGAGCCGAGGCCGTGGAAACCGTGGTTTGTGAGTTGGTGGAAAGTGGGAAGGGAGAGGAGGAAAAGAGCTATTTGGAAAAGATTGTTGGGCAATGATGACTTGGCTTGAGAAGTACACGATGTTTATCAAGGGAAAGAGGGTGGAGACTCTGGTGAGGTGGGAGTGAGGCTATGCATTGGGCATTTCCTTTGTCACGGTATGTTTATATTAGTATAAAGAATGTCTAACATGCCGTTTCCTAAATATGGACATGCTTCCTTAACTTCAAAGAGCGTGTCTATAACCGAAAGTAAACAACGAAAGCTTTTCAAGAGAGGGGTAGAGATGTTCTCGGGTTGAATGGCTTTTCTTTGTAGAGAGGCTAAAGTACTTGTCTCTCAACTAGAATGACCCCAATTCTAGTTTCCCTTTTCCCCGTTCCCCATTTCCTGGTCCCGCAGTACTTCTCGTTATCTCTCAGGTCGTAGGGTCCACGCACGCCCTTGGAAGCGCAATACTTGGCTCACATATAGACATGCTTGCGCCCCTCGAGTCTGTTTCCACTTCCATCATAGTAATCAACGGTGATGTGATCTCTAGAGTCGCTCTGGCTTGTGTGTGGTCCGTTCCTGCTTTCTATTAGTTCACGTGCGGACTAAGGCTAGAAGATATGTACTTACACAACAGTCGCCGAAACAGCTCCATCTGGGGCTTCAGGCGCATCTTGAACCGCCTTGACAATTTTCGCTCTCATTGCTGGTTTCTTCTTATACATGGTCGAAGGATCGAAAGTAACAGAGATCCCCATCTTGTTGAGATGTTGAGAAATGTGGCGCGGTAGGGTAGTCGGGAAGTGGAAATGTGATAAGGTAATGCTGTTGGATTGATATGTTGAAATGTCTGTAGGTGAATGAATACTGAGAGATCTTATATATTCTACCAATGCATTAGCTCACTTGAAGATGGAAGAAAGCAGTCTGATTCCCCAATAATGCCGAGAAAGTTTGCCAGTAAGACATTCTGCCAACGCCCGACCGCGTCGACTCTCGAGTCAGTAGGAGAAATGGCGCGTTTGGCAACTGCACGGATGCGTCGACTCTCAAATCAGTAGGATAAATGCCGCGTTTCCAAACGCACGGCTGCGGGGACTGTTAAAGTCAGAATGAGAAATGCCGCTTTTGCTAACGCACACCTGCGTCGATTTTCCAACCTGCGAAGGACCACTCCTCGATTCCAGTGTAACAGATTTATCATCTACTGCTTAAGTAGTGATCTAGCCTGGTAGATTAGATTAGATTTAGATTAGTGATTTCTTAACAAGATTAGATTAGATTAGAGTAGGAGGCAGTACTCTAATCTAATCTTATCTAGTTATTACACTGCTCGATTCACATACTCGAGAAATTGAATACCTTGGCAGCTGTATCCAACATCACGTCTTATCTTGATATTAGGGCGAGGTAGCAATAGAGTTCACGAGTGTGGACTTCAGAAAAGTTGCTTAGAGAGCTCCGTGTCTTGAGAAACACTTGTATATTCCAACCTCTGAAATACGCAGCTAGGACCCCTAAACTTTGATTTTCAAGGTTTGATGTTCAAAGGTCAAACTACGAAGTACGAATCGTGTACTTTTGCGCATTTTAGAGAGTTGAGTTGAGTAAAAGTGGACATTTAACAAGTTAAAAGCCTCTTTTATTACTGGGGTCTTAGTCTAAAAGTATACATAAAAATCAAAGTCATTTCATAAGTATGAAGTACGTACGTACTTGCTAACTTACCCTAGTTGATACCAAGCTATGTGTGTGTCACGAGATTCGACAGAGTTCCGCTTTGATTGTGTCAATTGTGAAACCCTCTACAGTTTAATTTGATTCGTCACTGGCAAGAGTCTGGGCTGAGAACTGGTCCGTCTCTTGACTGGAGGTTATTTGGTAAAAGTAGCAAGCACACCTTCTCTTCAAAAGACTTGTCACTTCTGCGTTATGCTATCCACAAGTCTCGAAGAGGCAGGACGAACACCGGAACGGGCTGCAAGGTTTATCTCACCGCCTCAAGGTAGTGACAGATCGAGAACAGGTCCGTCCTCCGCCTGCAGGATATTCTTATAAACTAGACAATAAACTTTCTCTTTTCGGGACTCGGCTTCTTCGCCTTATTCATACACCTAGCATTATCGGGTTGGGCTGAATCGTGAAGGCGGGACGGGCCGTCAGGCGAAGGCTCACCGCCTTGGGATGAACTAGCTTTGGCAGAAACACTCTGTACTGTAACGCCTGCAGGATACATGCGTTATTTCTGTCACCCATATAAAACGTTCCTTCGTTTCAGAAACTCGTTCATCTGACCTGGCTACAACACTGTTCCCGCTTACACCGAATTCCTGTATCAGTCGATGCTCATGCAATTTCCTTGGATGGTGCTTAGTCGTCTGCGCCTAGCTACAGCGAACTTCCTCAGCCCACAGCGTTTCTTCACAGTCGCCTACTTCTCCACACCTCGCTGTTCTTCTTCTTCAGGTCGCCATCTATCCTCCAGGATCCCAGGCCTAGCGATAGCCATGAGCTCTTCTCCATCCACGCCGTCCGCAGAATTGCCATCTGATGCCTCACAACACCGATTCCATCAGATCGGCACAGCAACAGAGTGGGCAGAAGAATACCGTCCAGGGCGATTCCATCCTATTCATTTTGGAGACCTGTTCAAAGATGGCCGATACAAGGTTATTCGAAAAATTGGCTATGGCTCGTTCTCTACTGTCTGGCTGGCCGTTGACAGAAAGTAAGCTGCCTCTGTGTACAATCCTCGCAATCTACATAGTCGAATCGCTTACCCGTCACAGTCTCGCTTGCTACGTCGCTTTAAAAGTACTCGTAGCAAAGGAATCGCCCACCAGCAAAGAACTCCCCATCCTCGAGCACATTGCCAAGTTATCGGCCAGCTACCCAGGCTCCGAACACATTATTTCCATGCTAGATAGCTTCACCCACAAAGGGCCAAACGGGACACATCTCTGCCTAATCTTTGAACCTATGGGCGGCACAGCTGCGAGCATTCGCGAGACCCTGCCTTGCAACTTGCCTCACCGACAAGGTCGTGTGGCTCGTTACCCCTTATGGATGGCTAAACGCATTTTACGGCACACTCTTATCGCCCTAGATTTTCTTCATCAGGTAGGTATCGTGCATGGAGACATACAGCCAGGCAATTTATTGTTTTCCATTGCAAACCTGAATGATATCTCCGAGGAGACTTTGGAGCAAGGTCGCAGCCCAAGTGAGATTTCTAAGCCGCTTGAGAGGAAGGATGGAAAGAATGATAAGTGGGCACCGGCATACCTCGCAATACCGCAGCCACTCGAAAAATATGTGGACACAGGGCCTGGACTGGGGGTCAAGGTATCTGACGTTGGTGCCGGTAAGTCAAACCCCTCTGTAAGAGCTCTAGGGAATTCCATTAACAAGCAATAGCGTTCTTCGCTTCATCCCCTCCAACCAAGCCAGTAACACCCAAAGGCCTCCGTGCCCCTGAATTGATTTTGACCTCCTTTCCTCTGACTTCCAGCATAGACATCTGGAGTTTCGGCTGCTTGGTCTTCGAATTCGTGACCGGAACCTCACTCTTCGCACTAGACCTTTACGGCGCCACAGAGGAGGAAATCGATGACGACCATTTACTCATGATGACAGACGTCCTCGGAAAGTTGCCTGATCACATGTTCTCCGAGTGGGCTCGAGCGAAGAAGTACTTTGGAGAAGGAGGGAAGAGAATTAGTTCTGCTACAACTGAAGACATGGAAGACGAGGAGGAGGAACCGTATATTTCGGATGATCTGGAGAAGTCCTTTAGGGAAAATAAATCGGATGAGGTGGATGAAGAGCAGACTTCTATTATCATCTCCGTGATCAGGGAGATAATGCAGTATGACCCGCGAAAGAGACCCTCGGCTGGGGAGCTATTGAAGCATCCGTGGTTCAAAGAAGATATAAATCTTGAAAAATGAGAAGATATTGGTTGCATATAGGTGCCTTTCTTGATTGACTGCTTTGTACTTTTTAAATGGGATTCGGCTCAGTCTTCGTCAATGTCCAAACGTTTGAAAGCCCAGAATAAAAGGCTGATGATGAGGAGCTTATCTAGCAGAGAATCTAATTTCAAAATTGACCACTTAGGCAAATAACAATTATGTTTTACGTGAAGTTTTTCAAATGGTGGCGAGGAAAACAAATAGCGATGAACATAAGCACAAGAGCATAGAAAGGCCTTTTGAGTTAACAAAATCTGGGGTTCTAGAGCGCGTCAAGTAAATCCTTTTCGAATAGATAGCAGCTCGGAGAGAGTGAACTTCCAGGGTACTTTGCCGAGATGTGAAAGATTGGAAAGTTCCGAAGTAGAGAGGCGCCCTGTCGAGCTTCTGGGACCAGGAGAGAGAAGTGTCATTCAGGAGCAACTGACTGTAGCTTGTTCCAGTTGAGATACCTCAATGTTATTATTCAGCGACACGACAGCCTGGATGCATAATCATACAAGCTAGAGACGGACTACGCAAGAATGATCATGGGAGACAGCCGGTGTTTTCTCTATATCCCTTGAGCTGTCTGAGCCTTAACAGATTGAGATTGGGCCTTTTTGGCCTCATAGAATCAACTCACATGTGCACGTATTCAATTGAGATAACCGGTCAATTAAAGGAACCCTTTCATTCCAACCAGCTTATAAGAAAGCCAAATCAGGCCGCAAGGGTACTATGTTGCCAGGGCGAATCCCTATAGTGCTAAAGTTAAGTCAAAGAGTGCTCAGGATGCTTACCCTCGACTTAGGTTAAAGTGACAGCTACCCATGCTCGCTATGTCCAAATACTCCAAGGGAAGTAGCGGGGGAAAAGATTCGAGCCCGACTTCTATGGGAGTTTCGGATTTAGGTTTGCAGCGCAATAGAGACGACTTGACCTAGCAAGTCGGTTCCAAATGCTTCAAAAGCGGTTCTCGGCACCCAGGTCTCGCATGAAGATCATCCTGCCCTGAACTCTGTGCTCTCGGTAACCAGCGCAGCGCGCTCATGACCGGATCCGCCGGAACCTCTTATCTCTCCTTGTCTCCTACCTTAACTTCAGTAGCCTTCTCCATGGTTTCTTTCCCCAGAATTGTGTTATCTCGTGCCAGAAGCCTTCATTACTGCCCAGGTCTTGGGTCGCAGGCTTGCAATTTGCCACTATCAGCTATTACATGCCATGACTTCGTATACTGAAGGGGGTGGCCACATGAAAGGCACTGCCAAAGTCTGATGGACTTGGCACCCGGAAGCATATCAACAAATCAGATCACGAGGTTTGTAACTTTTGCAGTTAGGTCACAGCAACAAACGAGGACCAGTGGCTTTCCTTGAGCTCGATTATGCTTATGTGGCCATGCTTTGTACCTTCCTTATTCGCAGCTCTACTTGGCCAGCACTTCGAAATCTTAGCTTCCCCTATTTTTCTGAAATGTAGCTTGATCACAGGACTAATCTCCACCCCTACAGTGGTACAGTAAATGCCTGGCTAATCTTGGTATTGGGTAGCCTCGAGGATAGCGTGTGGAGGAAGAGCACTAATGACAGCCTTGCCTCTCGGCCCTCGTCTCCCATTGCACGGGTTCCTACTTCAAGAACCACTGGAAGTCATTGCTTACATTCTTGGTGCGTTCCACGCCAATGTCTGTTAGCTAATAATCAGGTTGATCGCACCTCTTACGTCGGCCAACCCAATCCGACTTCTCGGCGCCACAGCCGAGCTGGTCCTAGTTAGACCTAGTGATTCCGCCGGCCACTTAGCATTTACGAGCATGGAAGGTCAAGAACACAACCAAGATACCCAAGAGGGTTTATTTTGGAAACAACTGCAAATGGCCAGAGCATCATCTTATCTTTGTTCTTGCTTGTGAACCAAGGCATGGCAATAATTTACCCCACTTCTCGGCGTTGACTGTAGTTTGTGATTCTGGAATTGTGCAACACTGTTCACGCTTCGACGCGGGCTTGGGATTCTGGGCAGAATGGTGAGGAGAAGAGTCGCAAAATTGTTAAGTACGTCGCGTTTCCCCTGGAAATTTTCTATCTTCTCGTTCCGCTCGTGTCTTTTCCGATCAAACTGAGAGGAAGATCGCTTCGTCAAGTCACTGTACCCTAAGCGACCCCTTTTATTTACGCGACACAAGCGAATTCTCACCAACTCCACAAATTCATATTATCGACAATCCGAGCTAACCATGACGAGCCGATTGCCTGTCGCAACTGATAACGAGAAGGGGCTCGGGAGTGTCGGCCCTGATAACTCTTCCACAAGCTCTCCCAAACTAGATCACACCAATCCAGCGGCACAACAACCTGAAGCTAGTACTTGGGACGGCACTGTCCGACATGAGAACTTCTTTACCAGAAACGGCCTCAATTTGGAGTCCTTCAAAAAGCGCAGTTATGGCCACGGGCTTGTGGAGCTTGATAGGTCGATGAAGAAGCGTCATTTGCATATGATCGCCATCGGTAAGTCGTCTTTGATCGGAGAAACAAGTGCTTGTTGTGTTGATGGAGATCATCGCTAACTTTGGAACTTCAGGTGGCTCTATTGGTGCCGGATTCTTCGTTGGATCTGGTGGCGCTCTTTCTACTGGTGTAAGTAGCCCAGCTTGTCTCTCAAACCTTTTGAAGATCAGCAGATACCATCGACATGGCAGCGTAAAGGTCGTTCGGGACAAAGGCTAATTTCAAAACTCAGGGTCCCGCATCTCTTCTCATCGACTTCAGTATCATCGGTATCATGATGTTCAACGTCGTCTACGCTCTTGGTGAACTCGCTGTCATGTATCCTGTTTCCGGCGGCTTCTACACATACTCAACTCGCTTCATTGATCCATCATGGGGTTTCGCAATGGGCTGGAACTACGTATTCCAAGTGAGAAAATCCTTCAATAACAGGTTAACAGTACTAATATGCTGTAGTGGGCTATCGTCTTACCTCTAGAGTTGACAGTGTGCGGCTTGACATTACAGTACTGGCCAGGGGCTCGAGATGTCTCCATCGCTGTCTGGATTACTGTTTTCTGGCTCGCTATCATCTTGATTAACATCTTCGGAACTCTTGGATATGCTGAGGAAGAATTCTGGTCGTCTTGTTTGAAGCTCTTCACCATCGGTAGGTCTTCATATCTCGCTTCTCTTCATCAACAATTTCCAAGAGAACGACCTGGACACCAGTGCAATGCGCTGACTCAATCATAGTCATTTTTATGATCATCGCTCTCATCCTCGTTTTGGGTGGTGGTCCCTCAGGTGGTCGATACGATGAGTACTGGGGTGCACGACTCTGGCACGATCCTGGCGCGTTCCGAAATGGTTTTAAGGGATTCTGTGCCGTCTTTGTCACAGCTGCTTTCTCCTTTGCTGGCACTGAACGTTAGTATTTCACTGCCCCTTAAATATTGTCTTATCACAAGACTAACTGTGATTTTAAAAGTTGTTGGTCTCGCCGCCGCTGAATCGCGCAATCCCGTCAAGGCTCTCCCAGGTGCAATCAAACAAGTTTTCTGGCGTATCACCCTGTTCTATATCCTCGGTCTTTTCTTCGTTGGTCTTCTCGTCGCGTCCAACGACGAGAACCTCCTTGGTGCTGAGAACCCTTACGCCGAAGGCGCATCTCCATTCGTGCTTGCTGCTCGCTACGCAGGCCTCAATGGCTTCGATCACTACCTCAATGTCGTTATCCTTATCTCCGTCCTTTCTATTGGCGTCTCTTGCGTTTACGGAGGGTCACGCACGCTTACTGCTCTCGCTCAGGAAGGATATGCGCCGAAGCTCTTCACTTACGTTGATAAATCTGGTCGTCCACTGGCCTCTGTTTTGGTTCTTCTGATTTGTGGAGCTCTAGCATATGTCAATCTTGATGCGAAGGGAGAGGTCGTGTTCAACTGGCTTCTTTCCTTGTCTGCTTTGGCCGCTCTGTTTACTTGGGGATCGATCTGCCTTGCCCATATCCGGTTCCGCAGAGCTTGGGCTTATCACGGTCACACTGTTGATGAAATCCCTTTCAGAGCAGTGTTTGGTGTTGTTGGGTCCTGGATTGGGCTCGGTCTCTGCGTCATCGTTCTCATCGCTCAGGTACGCTAGTTCTCCTCCTACTTCCGGTTCCTTGCTTCTCCTCTCGCCCCCAAACATTGACAACTCAAACTAACTGGAATTAACAGTTTTTCGTCGCTATTGCTCCACCAGGAAATAATGGCGATCTCAATGATGCCGAAGGTTTCTTCCGAGCTTTCCTGACTGTTCCAGTTATTCTCTTCTTCTGGGCTATCGGTTTCCTTTGGAAGCGTGAGGGCTGGCTTCGCACGGCCCAGATGGATGTCGATACCGGTCGTCGCGAGCTAGATTGGGAAGCTATTAATGCGTATCGTGCTGAGGTTGCGTCGTGGCCAACATGGAAGAGAATGTTGCACAAGTTCTTCTAGACGACAGGCCTCGTAGCTGGGTTGAAAGGGGAGACGGGTCTCTATTATAGTAGTGAAGAGTAACTTGTTGAGGTTGGCTGGATGTGTTGTTATGTTGCTATATACTAGGTCGTTGAAACGAAGCAAATCTCAATTTTGAATAGATGCTTGAAAACTTCCTGCTTGGTGTACACCATTCCCGCTTCTTTCTTTCCTCCCATCCGTCCTTAGATTCATTAGATAATGCGAGTTTGTGATGAACAGCAGCCATTATAATAATTTCAAAACGCAAAATTGACTGCTGTTTTTCACTTCTTGATTATTTTTGTGACCTTACGAGACGTCGTTGTTTCGTAGGATTTAAGTGATGAAGCAGCCTTCCAGAGTGTATCTCGCTAAATTTCTGGCGCGGAACTGCTATTATGTTCGCTAATTTCCAGATGATTCGCATGCTGTATCTACCCCGCATTACCCCGCACTCAACTGAAGGCTGGTATGATCTGTAATACTAAGTGGTTCCAACTCTGCTGTAGGTCTTGCTGGAGAAGTGTAACACTATTGTACGATTTGATGCGCTAAGCAGTGGAAATAGTCTGTGCAGAAAGGGCGAAATTCATCTTACGGTTGCCATCATGCTTTACACAATAGGCTCGCGATCACACTATCCAACTCAAAATATTCCAGTTCATTGCACCGTTGAAAGACAATACAACGGATAATCTCCTAGCGCGAAAAGTGGTATTAATCACTGACTGATCTTTTTGTCCTAGGAACAACGGTAAATTGCTGACCGCAGCTCCGCGATTTCTGGTTAGGTCAGTGGTTTCTTCACGCTCGTGATTCGTCCTCGGAAAGTTGAAGTGTGAAACAGAATGGTTCTATTCCCTATTTTCAGAATTAATCTCGTGCTCAGCTATTCGCTTCACGAAGACATGGAGTTGAGCGCTGACACTCTATTGGGGATTTTTATTCCAGAAAGGGAATGTAAATCGCGGCTGACGGTTACATTGCAGTTGGGACGAACGCTTAGGCAGTGCATTCGACCGATGCTATGCAAGCCATCAATGCATCAGCAGGTGTGCCGAGTTTATTTTACTTGGGCGAATGGATTGCCTTGGCGAGAGCTACTTTCCAAGTTCCGTTTGATCCATTACTATTCCTTTAAAATTCATTTTATGTCATTGATTGTATTCAAAACTCCCAATGCATACCATTAATCTGGCACGGAAATTGAATTGTACCATAGCACCTCCATGGTACCTGCCCCCGCAACTGTAAGCGGGAATTGATCCAGTACTGTCAGGATCAAACAAGAAGGGACTCTCTCTCAGCACAAGGATATCCACCTCTTTTCGTGGTGCTGCAGGGTACCGTGACAAGATTCAGTGGCCGATCTGGTAGCCATTTTCGGATCCCACAGTCTCGCTTAATGTCTTTGCTTACATGGCGTTCATGGCGGTAAATTGAAGTGAACTTAAACGAGTAAGCAAGCGGATGAGAGGCACAGTCTCCAGAAGCGGAATCCTCATCGTGAAATTGGACCCTGAAGGTTTGTCATTCGAGCTCTTTTCCCTTCTCGTCTTGACTACATGTGGCCGCGGCTCAGTCAACTGCTCTGATTGGTGCTTACTTCTTTCCTATGCTTGTATAGGATGTTGCCAATGTCAGCTTCTGGACGGCGGTACAGCCACTGAATTTCCGCTTCCAGGCAGTCAGGATTCAAGAAGTCTTTTGATTAGACCTTTCGCCCAAAAGTTTTGTGGAATCACAGAGAAGTAAACAAGACATCCACAAAAGATATCTGTGTCTTAAAGTTTAGAGCTTAGCTTGGTACTAAAGCAGCATAATTGTAGTGGCTGTAAATGACAATGGTCCACATAGCTTGTGGATTTTCAGCGTCACAGTAATACTGAAATTACTGAATCCACGTCAAGTTTCCTTGATTGCGGCCTATGGAGGAGTCCGTCCGTTCAAAGTTTAGAGTACCTTACTTTGGGGTGCTTCCTCTCTCTCTCCTCCACCTCTCCATAGCTATCCTAAACTACTTTTACGGTAAGATCACTCGGAATTCACGATGGTCTCGCTCCGGGAACTTGCCACCCCCTAGCCACTTCATGTCAGGCTGTTGCCAAGTCCGAGAGACTTCTCATTCAATGCACATGGTGTAACCGTTCTATCGTCTCAGTCAACAGAGTAAAAGTGATGTTTGCCATGCGAGCAGCTCTTTATGCTGCGTTAGGTCCCTAATTACTATGAAGTTGAAGTTGGACCTATCATCTTGAAGTTTACCTCCAAGATATACATACCCTTGTTTCTTGGACCTTATTCTGTTCTGGTCTCCACTATTCCTGATTGTAAGGAGTTAGAAGTGGGCTGCATCGTAATAATGCTGACCGCTCAACTTCGAGAGTAAAGGGGTAGGCGACGTCCAAGTATAAGAAGACCCCGAATTCCCTCTCTTCTTCTCTTCTCATCCCACCACCCTACCCTTACTCAACAGCAACTCTCCTCACGCTGAATTCCCTTCGGCAAATCATGGTTGGTTTCAATTTCAGCAAGCTTTTTGGGCTAGCAGCAGTCACTTTTGGCAGTATTGTCTCAGCCCAGAACCTTGGAAAGCCGACGCTATGGGGAAACAGCATGTCTCCGTTGATTGAACCAAGTTTTTGGAAGAATTTAGCTCCAGTTCCAAGTCAAATAATACCATGGGCTGCAGGTACTATTCCACAGCGATGCGCTGATACGGCAAATGGAGAAACCCCGAAGCTTAATCTCAGGGACTTTGAAGTTTTCTACGTCAAATACGAAGATTGCTTCAACGGTTGGGCATTCTGTAGAGTAAGTACAGAGCGGAATTCCACCACAAAACAAAAGTCTTACCACTACTGCCAATAGCATCGCGATTCTCCAGTCAGGTATTTTTGTCAGCTTCACCGACCCCAAAAATGAAGTACTAACGAGGTATAGCCAAGCAGCTATGGTTGACATCTTTGGACGAATCCCTGTCAAGGAGCGACAGTGGGTTCAGCATGTGGTTGCAATTCCTGGTCCAAGTTCTGCATACATGTCAAATGCCATAGTCGTGTTCAAAGGCACGGCAGCTGGCAGCATTGGAGTGTTTCAGCATGAGATTGGTCACGCAGTCGATTTCTACAAGAATGGCTTCCAAGCCAGCGGCAGAACTGAGTGGCTTGACGCCCTCCGAAAGGATACTTGTGTAACGGACAACTACGCCAATTCCAGTTCGTACCCTTCTCTCGGAGCTCATTCTTTCAAATGCTAACATTACTGAAGACGCTGTTGAAGCTTTCGCACAAATCGGTGTTGTTTCTCTCTTCCAGAATGTGAACCCCGGTGGCTTGGATCCTGCCTTTGGTTGGACATGGCATTGTTTCCTCAACCAAATCACCACTTATAATCAATTTCAAGGAGATTCAATGACTCCAGGAGGAGTCTGCACTCGTCGGTGGTCTGACAGCGCTATCATCAGCACCGGAGCAGCGAAGACAATTTCTCCAGCTGCGCGTCCCAAGCCGGAGAACGTTTTGGGCACGCCCAATGTCTTTGCAATTCCATTTGAGGCTCATTCAAAACTGAGCGTATATGAGAATATTACCGTCAACCAGACGGAGGCTGAGGCTGCTGCTGCTAGGCAGAATGCTTGGGCTGAGGAAGTGAATGCTATCAGGAAGGGGAAGCGAGCAGAGAGATTCAGGCTGTAGGAATTTTTCAGAGAGATCTTCGCCTTCAATAATAAGTTAATAATGCATTCAAGCCTTTGAATCTATCAACAGTCTTTCAAGGTCGAACGAGTCAGCTGAATGAGTGATATATCCTCCAATCAGATTATCAATTTTCGTCAGAGAAGGATGCCTTACTCTGTACTTACGTTCATCTCTTCAATATTGCGCCCCCCGAAGACGGCAATGGGTTTCCTAATATGGTGATTTTCTTTAACGAGCAGTACCCTGTGAATATTGTATGGTAACTACAGCTGATTCTTACGCGGTGTCAAGTAACTAATGAGAAGCGAAACTCGCCTGAGTCACCTCGGTAGTCACCTATTAACAATGGATCTAGGTTTTGGCACTGGAATCATATTTTGCTTGAAAAGCTGTGGAAAATGAGACCTCATATCTTCTAAAAATCTGGATATGCTATAAATTAGGAAGAGTTGTTCCAGACTTGTCGCTCAAGTTCAGTGATCGAGACATTACATATGTTGACATCAAAAAACAACTTGACTGCAAGGGATTGAGATGCAAAGAGTTCAATCATCATTTTCGAAATAGATCCAAATTCCACAACCTTAGTTTGTGCCTCAAAAGCCGCAGAAGTCGGGTCAGCAGCTGCTATTATGTGACTGGAACGTTCCCAGGAAGTGTGGTAAGCCCTAATCATTATGTCAGAACTGCATGAACTGAAATTGATACATTTGCGACTTACATCCATCAACTGGTTCGTTAATAGGGGATTTCTTCTGGCACTTGATAGCGTTCGCCGCCGACTGAGAAGGTGTTTGGGCGCATTTGTCAAGATTGCACCTCGCATCCAAAGCTTTCTGCAAACTATCGCCTTTCCATCCGAAGAGGTAGTCACCGTGATTTCCATATCCGGTGCTGCAATATTCTTTAGTAAACGCCTTTAAAGTTGGGGAGTATACTTACGCATCCCCCATTGAATAGACGAATGGTTGGGATCCATCAGCGGGCCAGATGGACTTGTCATTGAACTGGCTGGTGTCCCACATGACTTCAAACATGACTTGAGGGAGCTTGACAGGGTGTGTTGCAGGACAGGGTCCACCTGATTCAAATGTACCGCTACTAGGATATGCCACATGTGTTCGATGGTCTGGTGAGTCCAGATTCTTGCCGTCCCAGCAGCTGTGTTATCAATGTCAGTGAAGTTCTGGTATTCTATCCCAAGATCGCATTTCATTGCAGGGTAAGGGATAGAATGTCTTACGTTGGGAACATGATCGTCTCGCGGATCCCTCCAAGACATGTTCCTCTTGGAAGTTCCGATGTATCAGCGCCTGTACAGGGGGCACTGCCAAACGGCTGTTGATTCTTTCCAAAACAACGATGACAAACACCCTTCGGTGCAGCAGACGCCGAACGGACCATCGGATCTCCAACCAGCATGCGGAACCCCTTGGATCTATTAGTATGCCAGTCAGTTGGAATTGTTTTGAGAAACTCACAGGTTTGAAAGCGGTGACCTTCGACTTTCCATCGTAAGGAGGAATATAATACACAGTCAATCCACCTTGTTGCGTTAACCCCTGGTTTGCCATCTGTGGCACCCGTTTGTACGTTCCATTACGAGCTCTGAAATATAAAACCGCTGTCCAGTAGTTGGAAAAATCTTCGCTGAAGGTACAAGAAGTGCAAGTAGATAGTCCAACTGTATCGTGCGCACCGGCATCCATTGAGGCATTGAAGGAGTTTCCGCCGGCAATCTGATGGAGATGAGTCGAAGGTAACAGTCCAGGGTTACCAATGGGATCGAGACGCTCCACAACTAGTTGAGAGCAAGCGAATCGGAGCATGGCTTGAGATAGTGCTCCATGCACACAAAATGCAAGAGCTAGAAGAGAGCTCAAATGCATGTTTAGTTCAGCCTTGACAACAGTCGCGGGGAGAATGCGAAATGAACGGCGGGATAGACACAAGTGGCAGCCTATGACTATATAATTCAAAACTGTTGCCACTGGTATGGAAAGACAAAGCAGAAGCAGTGCAATCTTCCACATCGATTGTCATTGACTTGATCGCCTCCATCGACAGCAACTGCCGATGCACGAACATTACCGGGTAATTGATAACTCTGGGGGGCATGGTCTCTTTGATTGGTTGGATACACATCAAACAATAATCTGTACCTTCCAGATCAACTGCCGGAGTGTGAAAGCTTGTATCTTAAATTAACAGATTATTGCACAAGTCACAAGATGTGGGGTTGCATTCGCAAGGAAAACTGTGAAGCCACAGCAAAGCCCTCAAAGCTGCCATCCATGTTTCAAACCCAGAGGCAACTAAGTGGGGCACGACAGCACACGTGGTGAAGCTTCTTCTTAGTATTTATCCAAGGGTTCATTGATATGATCATCAATTTCACAATCTAGTTATGAAGCGCATTAAAACTCCTGCCCGGGCAACAACAAGCCGACACCACAAATCTTTATACTTACAAGCAAATAGCCACGAAATAATCGAGTTGGTTGCAGATGCCTTGCATACTAGAAACGAGGAAACGGGCGGTTCAGCATCTGACAACACTATTGTTGCAAGTCCTACCCAATCTTTACAAGGAGATGGCCTGTCTGGCTATGTTGACGTGTGGGGAGAATTTTCTCGCTTCGGTGTTAGGTCTGTGGGGCGACCCCTATTTAGCCGAGTCGTTGATCAACATGGCCGTCTCACAGCGAGGCAACGCCTCATGTCCCCTAAGCTACTGTAAATACACTGTTTGTAGGGCGCAGTTCCGGAGCGAGGCGCCACGATTCTGGAGGATATCTGCACTACAGGGTGTGTGCTCTAGCTTCAGCCCCTGGAAATAGTGTGCTCCGAGGGGCAGCTTCGGGGATAGTCACTCACTCGCACGTACTATCTGCCTAGATAATAAAGGTCGCCAAACTAAGCTCTCATGTTGGTTGGATCAATAAACTTGGTACACGGATTTAGGAGCACGCGGATTGGGGGTATTGCTGCGAGGACAAGATGGAAGCAGGAAGCAACATGAAACTACGATAATGAGAATAAATGACTATTCTAGGTGTAAGCTCAACCAATCGTCATATAAGGGTCAAGGAATTCTTCGTGACAAAATTTTTACTGGATATCGGGCTGAGATCGCTGACCTATGTGGGTAATGTGACTAGGCGAAGTTGATCACGCAAAAATAAGGAGGAAGCAAAAAGGCATCTGAAGGAACATGATGATTCCTTTTATCATATTCTTCATCCGAGCATTCCGTCATCCTTCAATCCACTGCCCTTCGTGTGGGTTTTCAAGTGCCGCGCTCGCTGATCCGCTCTAGCAAACCGTTTCTTGCCTGACTCTTGAGAATAGTTACACCAAATATGTGGGCAAAAGAACTCCCGGACACCGCTTTGACTCTGTTCAGAGTGCTGCTCTCGAGTATGGCGAGTGAGATCTTTTCGGTACCGGAAGCCACGGCTTGGGCAGCCTGGTTGGAGGCATTTGAAGGGCCGCTCGTGGGCTTTGAGATGACGGCTCAAGGTTTGTTAGCACCGAAAAAATGATTTGAATGATTGGCTGCATATCTCAGCTTACTTTAATTGATAAGGCTTGGAGAAGCTACGATTGCAGTCTTTTTCCTTACAGGTGAGTTGTGGGACACCTGGCCCATGTGGTGAGTTTTCAAACTCAGGTGGTGACTGAAAATCATCTGATGGGCTATTGTTGTGAAAAGAGGCTCCAGTTGGAGATGATGGAAGTGAATCTTGGACTTCTGGAAAGTAGGACAGTTGAGTTTGGAGTGGTAAAGCTTCTTCTTGGAGATTCAAGCCTTGCTGAGGTTCGGGAGAGGGAACGTAACGGATGTCAAGGAGGCGAGGGTCGATGATAGATGGATAGTGTTGTTCTTCGTTGAAACCCGCCTGATTGGTACTGAAAAGATCCTCTATGCGAGTCGAATGGGGGGCTCTCCTCTACAAGGAAGAGAGAAAAGCCCGATGTCCAGCAAGGGGGCAGAGAAGGGTGACTGGCCGCAAGAAAGGGAACAAAAGAATGAGGAGTCTTCCAGAGACTGTGCAGCGCAGTGAAGGAAGAAGGAGAGTCCTCACGGGTGAGGTGGGCAGGTGCCTTTATAGGTGGCCCAGACCCCAGATCCATTTGAAAGCGGCGCCACAAAACAGCGTCATGCCTCAACGAATTCGTTTCGACCAGGAACAAATTTGAGCAGATTATGGACGAACTTAGAAGGGCTACAGAGAAGGTACGAGTATAACGCCTCAGAGGATAGGCTTTTTGATTCAGCCATGTCAGGACTATTGCGCACAAACTCTGAAGAAGCTTGAAATTGTGACAGTAACAGAAAGTGTTCCAGCTTCGTGAAATCCTATGCTGCCCGCCGCCTTAAAAGTTCATTCTGTCCCAATCAAATGGATAGCTGAGTGCTTACACCTTCTTTGTAGACCCCATTTTTAGCGTCTTGGGTCGCCTGTTCGTTGACGCATCAGCACCTTGCAATTGATGGTAGGCCTCGATTTTAGCTCCAAATTTTGCATCATGAACAATCTGACTGGCAGAACGAACTGCCATCAGACGAATCTTGGGAGCAGAAGGGACTTGTCATGTTCAGCGCACATCTCTTCCAATGAGATTGCTTCCTCAAGCCACTAGACCAGCTCTACATTCCCCAGCATGGAACTCCGATTAGATGCACGACTTGTGTTCAGATCCAAAATGAGAGAAAGATCATTCTTTTCAGGAATTCTATAAATCAGAGAGAGAAGCACCATCTACCACAAACAATTCTTCTATTCCCTTCGCCACACAGTAAGCCATTCTTTCTGACCTCGTCCCCCACCTTCACACCACAATACAAAATTTCAGAATAACGGCCAACAACATGTCGACTATCTTCTGCTTCTCTACTATCAAACCGTACAAACCGAAGAAAGTAGACCGTGAACCGAAGTTCACTGTCTTTCTGAAGTGGTCGAGCTCTCCTGCTGGTTCTTCGTCCACAGTTTCAGAGGCGACTGCATCCCCACTCAATACCTCGGCTTATGCGATCCAAGTTGTTCGTTAAAAAAATTACGGTGCTTTGGACTGGAAGAAATACTTCAAATTTGTCAACTCTTCTACGATGGAGGCAGATTTCTCCGAAATTACGGAGCAAGACATCATCGACGCCAACTTCGAGAAACTCAACAAGTATGTTGCTCTAAAGACTTTCCCTCCCACCATCTATCAGTGACCATGCTTGATCCAAGCTGACCTTCAAAAGGTACAAAAATTTCAAATGTACTATTCACGATATGTTCTTCGAGGGCAATGTCTACCAGAAGAATCCCCTCAACCTACATCACTGGCGGGCCAACGTGGCACGTCCTGCATGGAATATCGACCTTCCGACGAATTCTGCCAGCCAAAACCCGAACTCACCTATTTCGACTACAGCAGACCTTTATTTGGAAGTGGTTAAGTCTGAGCCATGTGCACAAGAGAATGACTCACTGGGTTTGGGTAATGAGCCAAAGCAAAAGTCGAACACCGACCTACGACCTGGCGCAGCCTTGCAATCAGTTAGCACGGACAAGAAGGAACTTCTTATCGAGGAACCGGTCTACTACAATGATGACTTTTCTGACTCCCGAGACGAGGATTGGTCGCGATCGTCCTCTCGCTCTGCTCGCGGTGACGATTTCACTGCTTGTAGTGTAGACGACTGCGGGTACTGTGGTAGATGTTCTTACTGAGGATATTTACTGTGTTATCTGTGGGTTCATCTTGGCAAAAAACAATCGAGCTATTTTCCTTGTCTATTTTATATATTTATCATCCACAGTCTGGGATTTCACACATTTTGGGTACAGCCCTTGGGAGTCGATCGAAGTGATCAAAAGCAACGCTGCGAGTGTTTGAGATTATTGAGGTAACTGGTGGATAAATCTTGGATAGAGAAAAAATGGAAGTCTGTTAGCACACAATATCGAACTTGTCATTGATATTTCAAACCTGATGATTTGTTCTTGTTTTTCAGCTGTTTTTGTCAGGCGAGGAACAGATTGTTCATTATTCTTTGAGTCTCAGAACCAAATGGATTCTGTCATCATACGTTCAAAGTCCAGTTTTTTTGATGCCGTTAATGAATCATGGGCATCTCCTGACTATCTTCATCATTGCAGCCAGTATGATGCCAAGCCGTCACGTACAAATGGAAACAGCCTACATTCGTGTCCGGGACGCTCTGACGATCAAGACCAAGAAGTTATGAGGATCATCTTGAAAATGCAAGGACTAAATAACATGAGGTTCAAAGAGCTCCAGATCTTTCTGCACGCCTCTCGTGATTCAGAGTCTTGGGATCAAATCAAGGCTAAGCGACAGTCGTGGAACCCTTCAGCCGCTGCAGTTCAGGAGCACTCCGCATCTCGAGCTGATGCTGTATCTCCACCATTTACTCTATGTTATAGGTAATATCGAACGATTTCAAACAGTGATCAGGAATATTCACTATGCTGGGCGCTCGACCTCTATCTAGGTACTTACTGTGCCTGATTGTTTAGTCACGTGGAGGATCACGAGCAGTCTCAGTTGGCTGCTGACGTGCTGATCACGAGGAACTCACAGCGGATCAGAGCCAGAGAGAGCTGACCTTACAAACAGTAACTGTTAAATGACTGCGATTGAGGCTGATTGTGGTCACGAAGCAGTGTTCGATTGTTGTTGGTTGCATGGTGTACCACAGCACGTCAAGAAAACGGGAGCTGACTTGCAGGTACTTGGAGAGTCGCTGACAGCAGAATTATCTCTGAAACTCACTGAAGTGGAGTTGCCAGAAATAACAATGCCTTTCGAAAAGTTTATCAGGTGCTCACATCATAGCTATCTCAGCAGGGAAAGGTGATTGACCAGTTGTTTACCAAACCCCAGAATGCCTCAACGTTGGTTTCTGATGACAGGCACACAAGAAGAAGCAAGACCTTCAAGTAAATGATCGCTGTCACAACGACCTCCTTCGCATGTGCATGATCAGCTAATCTATTCTCTATGGATATCAAGAAGCTGAAGCACATTATTTCTTTCTTTTCCTGGTGAACCGTAACCAGGAAACTCCCGAGCTGAACTAATATTATACAAGATCAAGACTTCTACCGAATCCTCATTTAAAGAAGTTCACGATGGCATGGAATTACGATTATGAGATAAGGCGCAAGTCCAGCCGAAGGCACAGATCGAGTAGACCCGTTGAGTACGAGTACGCTCCGTCTTCTTACCGAAATAGATATCGAGGTAGGTAAACTCACTGGCCTGACAAATTGTCCCTAACGCCAGAATGCAGATCCACCATATCCGACTCACTACCCTGATACCGCAGGCCGAACGAATATTACCAGTCTCCCCAATGATATCAAACTGTCAGTCTTCGATCACCTCGATCCCGTCTCGTCAGCTTGCCTCGGACTTTCCAGCAGACACCTCTACCCATCCCATAGGTATATGCACAAGAATGTTTCCCTTTACGAACAAGCAGACGGAAACGTTCCTCTTTGCTTTCAGTTGGGAGACTGGGCTCCAGATGATCTGATGTTGGACCCGAGGTCGGGAAAATATATCAGCCGTGAGAGATATGATAGGCATGAGAGACGGGAGGGACGATCGGAGCGGAAAAGACATTTCTGGGATGGAAGGTTGAGGAGGGTTGGTAAGGTAATGAATCTGAGAAGTAGGGAAGAGAAGCTCAGAAGAGTCGGGAGAGTACATGATCTTAGGGCGACGTACTATGGAAGATGGAGGTGAGGACGATGTAGACTTGGAGGGAGCGTTGTGCGGATTTTCATGGTAGGGCCTGGTTCAATGTTGGAAGATGGTGTATACTTTTCTCTTGATCCTTGGGGTCTGTATCATCATTTATGGGGGCGCTCTGTATTACAGCTTCGTGGTAGTCATTTGGTGGTTTTCCTATTGATCGCAAGTACTGTTTACTTTTAGCTTCATCTCGCTAAAGTAAAGGCGAACCTAGATAACTCAACGAGGTTCAAAGTACAGCAGGAGCGTAGGCATATGGACCATCGAATACTTGATAAGCTTCAATGAAGAGAATTATGTTTGTGGTTATAAATTGCGATGGTTGGCTATTATCGGCGAACGTAATCCGCAAATTACCTTTCTTCTACTTCAGCTGAACAGAGACCAACTTTGTACAGTTGGCATTCGGCCAAGATGTATCTAGAATTCTTACCCCCAAAGCTCGTTTTTGCGTTTGGATACTACAGCTAACAATGAATTTGGCTCACTCTCGAGCCCGAGAACCATCCCAACAATGTGAACTGCTGTTGATCACGTGTCAATACTGTACCGTACCCCGCCATCTCCCGCGGTTCACAGCTGCCCCTCGTCCCCAACTTCACCCATTTGGCAGCACCGCAGCAGCAAACTTCGCGATAAGAAGCACATTTCCTCAACTGAGGAGAACACGACAGGCTTCTAAAGGAATATTTCAGCAATCGGCACACACCAGTCGCAATGGCAGCAACAAATTACCAAGCAGCCATCTCCTTGATTGATGAGGCCCATGCCCAAGACCCAAATATAACGATCGTCGACGGCAAAGATGTCCCATACGAACTACACTACGCTCAGCAGATGTCTCGATACCTAGATCTGCGAGCCCCTGATGCTTCTCCTGTCCTCAAAGTCGCGATTCGAGCTCAACACTTCCGCCGCTGGGAAATTCGTCGCGACTCTTATCCGATGACCAAAGCGGGTTACCTAAACTGGCGGAGCTTCCTCAAAAAACGACAAGCAGACCTCGCCGCTGCAATATGCGTGGGATGTAATTTCACGACAGAGGAGGCAGAAGAAGTAGCAAAATTGATACGGAAGGAGGATTTAAAGAAGAATGAGGAGACACAGATACTGGAAGATGTAGCCTGCTTGGTATTTCTGGATGACCAATTCGAGGCATTCGAGAAGGGACACGATGAGCAGAAGATAATTGATATTCTGAGGAAGACTTGGGGCAAGATGAGTGATAGGGGACATGAACTGGCACTACAGATCCCAATGTCAGACACGAGCAAAACGTTGATTGAAAAGGCGCTGGCAGGTTAGCTGGGCCGGATATGGGAGCCGAAATATACCACACAATAAGCAAAAAGTGCGTGGGAGATTCTGGAAAGACAGGCAATGCGAGAGTCGGTACTGAATTGAAAGAAGCAGATCAGACACATAGGACTGCTTCTACGGAAATCTTCAACCTCAACTCCCGAATACTGCTTGCTCGGCCTCCGCAACCGTCAGTCTCCGCTTCGTCTCTCTGGAAGCAGTGTGACACTGTTTTTCGTGTTGTTACACCACTGTCGGCGACTCTGCGACTCGCCAGAGATAGATCTCCCAGATGACAGGTTGGAATTCCATGACAGCTATACAATAAAGTGAAACAAAAGAGCATTTTATCCAAAGATACTCGGCGAGTACAGAGGTACCTTCGATGGTAATATTAGCTGAACAATCTACGCAGTCATGGTGACGCTCTATTCGCCCTCAACAACTGTCGCCGAACCATCATAGCTTCTAATTCCGAGGGAAATTTCCTTCGTTGAAGCTTCAACGCGTCACTTGTTCGAAACTCTGCATGAAGTTACACTGTCCTAGAAGAAAAAGTGGGAATCCCTTAATGGAACTGTTATGGTTACTCTCAAAAGTATACAATGCAGATCCTCATTTAACCAATCTTGCGATTCTCCACGTTCCAATTATACAGTTTCCTTTGTACTTCTCTGTACGGCCTGGACATTCTCTGAAATCTCCTACTTGAGAAGATGTGTTACGTCGTAGTATTGAGTGCAAACAGTTGTGCTAAAGCTCCAATTCTCATTTGAACTTTTGGCATAAGTCAATTGATTACTATATATTCGTGATCAAACACCCCACAACAATAATCTTCTTTCCAAATCACTTTGCATCTCTTGTTTCCAGCACTTATCACCGCCACCTTTAGCACCTAGCTATCATGCATACTATCTCCATTCTCACTGCGCTGGCTTCAGCCATATACGTCGCCAAGGGAGTTGCTCTTCCCCGACCAGACGTAAACGTCGTCATCCAAGTCTCGGTTTGTCTCTCTCACACTCTCCAGAGTCTCGTCACTATCAATCCAACGTTGAGCTTCAGCTACCTGGTCAACAAGACTGACTTCAATCTCAGGATGTCGGACACTCTAAACAGACAACTGCAGGCGACCTCTTTAGAGGGGACGGACCGAAAGAATTGGGCTGCCTAGGACAAGCTGGTATTTGCCCTGACCTTACTGTCTCCTTCGAAATGAATAGATGACTGAAGTGCTGTCTTTCTAGCTCCATGCGGCTTGCCTTTCGAGCCTCCGTGTTGTGGGAATCTTCATTGTCAAGGCGGCCCGACCTTGAAGTTGTGCCTCTAGAGTCTAGGGATACTGACAAGACTGGGTGCTATAAAGAATTGGACCGTTGTTGGTGAATGAAGTGAGAGGGCTTGTCAATTGGTTTAGTCTTTTATAGCACAAAGATTGAATGAAATCAGAATCTTGGTCGAAACATTAAATACTGCTCGCATTGACCTTTTTTTTTGTTGGTGCAAGCTGTGCTGTTCATAAACTCCAGGTAGAGCGTTTCGGTGGGCAAATTGGAGTGACGACGTGAACTATTTTTGTCCTTACCTGTGTTATCTTTGCGAGAGGCACATAAGCTCCGTGGGTGGAGGTGGAGACGAGTTCTCACTCTTTAGCTTCAGCCTGGGTAGAGCAAAGGCCTATGAATAGCGAATAGTCGTCCGCGGGATCTCAAGATGAAGGTGGCTTACGCGACTGGCTTGTGGTAGCTACAGCTAAGAAATTGACGCAGCTAAGAATGTGCAAATTTACAGCCAATATCGAAAGTCTCTTAACAATTTTGGGTCTTCAAGTCCAGGCAGCGATTTTGGGGTTTGTTGTCTCGCCGAGCAGCAACTGCTTCATCTAAGCGGGTGGAGAAGACTACAAGAGTGTTTTGATTCTATGACATGATTGATACTAGATTGATTCTAAGAATCAAAGATAAATAAAATTCGCATCCAGAACCTACTGCACATCCACCTCCGGCGGCTGCTCGAGATCGTCTAAAGAGTTTCGTTGATACATCTGAGTAGGAGAGAACAAACGAATCACGTGGTTTTACTCCAATTGATGCGCATCCGAACGGGTAGACTGTTACCTACGTTGAAGACGGCAATGATCTGATCTATAAGCACAGAACTGAACTGCCACAGAAATGAATAACTGAGAAGTGCATCTACGACTCAACATTCAGCCTCGTCTTATTAAACGCAAGTTTCCCAGGTTGCTGGCAAACTCCCTACTGACGGCTCGCTTGGGAGGCAGCACTGGAGGACACCTCTCTCGCAGGATTGTCCAGTAAAAAATAATACAAACATCTGGTACGCAACGAGACAGGCGTGATAGGATTGGTCGCAAGATTAGAAAGCGTTCACTTGGTCGTACACTCGATCTGCAGATCCCGAGACAAAATCACGAGTATTCTTGATTGTTTCAATTTGTCGAAGATGCGTGACCTAGATTTGTGTAACTAAACGGCGCTCGGAATATGGTGAGGGCGCGAGGTGTGCTCATGCATGAAACACCAAGAAAATCTGCGACAAGCTGACGTTTGTGACACCGACACGAGGAAGTTTGGACGGCGAGGAGCGCAAAGACGAACAAACAACGATAAAATGTACAGAATGAACGCAGAGACGTGAGAGGCGGTGACGGAATGACGGTGTGAAAGACTTCGGATTATATATTTTTTTCGGCTCGAAGTTCTTCATCCGGAAGTTGACACCTAGTTCAATCATCCTTAACCTTAAACCACTACGCTTTGCATGAAGACACGTAGATCTCTTGGCCCTGGCCTTAGTAGGAAACAAAAGTCAGTGCTGTAATCGAGCTTCTGTCCAACTGTCGTCTTCTCGAGCTGCAGCAGAGAAGATGCAGAGAAGTTGAGGGTGCATAAACCCGGCAAAGTCGGGCTGTAACTGGCCTCTACAGGGGACCACCCCACTGGACTGGCGGCAACCCCATTCGCCCAGCGGATGCCCCAGATATTTCCACGTCTCGGCGTGCCTCCCCACCAGAGGAAAATGGGCTGATAATACCGTCAAGCCGTCGAAAAACTTACGATTTTGCGGTAGAAGGTTAGGATTGTCGAAGTGTGCGATAGGCATTTAGATTTTCAGATGGCCCTTTACATATATAGAGAGCGGTTGACCTTCGCACTCGTGAACGAATGAGTTTAAAACAACGAGAGAGGACGGATCTTGCCATTTCGACACCACACAGGAATTCTGAACACACGCCATGCTGCGGACGCCTTTGCCCAGGCTCTCCTCACCGTCGATTACAGTTCGCCTGAGGGGCTTGTCGGGATCTTGACACACGCACGATGATTCGCGATGTCGTGGACGAGGTGCTTGGCAGTGCTGTCTGGGAATGGCTCCCATCAGCGTGTTGGAGAACAGCTGCTCGAATGGAGGATGTGTGTAAGTTCGAGACTTTCCGTTTTCCACTGAATAACTCCCTTCTTTCTGGTCTGTCCGGCGTCGATTGGCTAGATCTCTCGATCTCTGTCTCGAATCCAATCATTCATTGAGCGAACCGGCGCGCTTGCTTCTGGTTCCATCCCGATCCCGATCCCCCTTGCCCAGAGGACGACATCCCGAGTTCTCCAGCCGCAGGACACAGGCCAGCTAGCACCAACCTGTATCACCACATCTCCACGATCGTGGAGTACGGCTTGCTTGGAAGCGCATCTCTGGACCGCAATCTAGACCATTGGAGAAAGAGCAGTGACATCCCTGGCTCCTCGTACTGGCTTCGTCTCAATCTATGAGAGACCTCAAAGATATTGATTGATATTGGCCGGTTGTTGGTATCTCTTCCCCGATCTTGGGATATTTGGGATCTTGAAGATCAACTGGTTGGGCGATACCCAGGGGCTTCGACCTTCCCTTCTCCTTGGGCACCCAAACTCGCATGTGCCTGTCAATCCTTCCCCTGTTCGCCCCCCTCACTCAAAGTAGCCCTTCGCTGGCTTCGGCTTTTCGGTCATCAGCTTCACAAACAACTACCGATACTATTATTGAGAGTGGCTTTGCGTCGTTGAAGACGCCGCATCCAGCCTGGCTTCTTTGTATCACCCAGAACTCTGATCGATCTCGTTTTGCCCTTTCTTGTGCGAGATCTGGCTGGTTGTTGGTCATCGTAATTAGGAGGCTTTTCCGTGGCATTTCGAGGAGTCGCTCGGTCCACCAGGTTCATCCATCGAATCCACTTAGGCACTTGGCCGGCTGCCGCTCGCTTGTGGAACCCGACACAACTCTAACTTCACTCGACCTCAACCTTCAAGGATCCCTAAGCTCCCCTCACTCACATCTCCTCACATCCATCCACCTCCACGTCTACCACTCGACCTTCAACCACCTCATCCTGGATCGCGACAGCAACTCCCCATCCATTCGAATTGACTTCGACTTTCTGCCTTGGGTTCATGCGCTTCGTTCCCTCGCAATGCCCGCTTGACCAACGGCCTACAGAAAGGAAACTACCAGCGGACGACGTCGTCACATCTCATACTGTCGCACCATGAGCTCAACATCAAGCCTGACCTGCGATCCCTCCAACACCTGGACAAGCAAACAAAACGACTAGATTGCTGCAAGCCCGGAGACTGATCAATCGATGCTGGCGTATTGAGGACCGCGACAGATCGTGACTAACTCTTCAAAAAGTTCTTGCCCTAGGTACTGCATCTTTGTTGCTGGCCTCTAAGGTCGCAGACAATCCAGCTTCAATGATTTGGTATCTGTTGTATCCGTTTCGAGGGTATGTGTGGTAGCCTGCGGAATGGTTGGGAGCGAAGGTTGCTGATTTGGCTGCAGAACTACAGAACCACCTCAGCTCGACAATAAACACCCTCTCCGAGCAGCCTTCACTCGCTATGGCAACTACTCGGCACGCCATCCGGTCATCACTCTTTTAATATCGGTAGCTACGGCTGCAATTTTAATATACCCATTTCCATTTCTATACACCAATAATTTCACCAGTGGCGCCTCGAACCTTCCGCATCATGTCTGGACATCTGCGCAACCATTTGAGGGCGTTCCGAGTACCCGCCCTGACGTTGTCATGCGATCGATATGGGTACACGGTATGGATGCAAATGTTGGTTAGAAAATCTTTGCTGATGTTGAATAGGCAGTTACATGAAGGCATTGGAGCCAGAGGTCCTGTTGCGCGCGCTGGAGATACAAGATGAATTATTGGGACCAACCGTCAACTTCGATCCAAGAAGGCCTCCAGAACTACGGCTTACTATCAACGCAAGTGCGAGCTTGACACCAGATATGCGAGATGTTTTCCATGCTGTCAATGGTGTGAGCGATTCGTCCTGGTTCTTCCATTCTCCATTACAATATTGGTCCTGCGACAATGCAAATATTATACAAGACAAGGACATAATTTCGACAGTCAATAAACGATCCCGCCAATCAACTTCTGTCAACGTAACTCTCCGGCATTCAATAGTTTTCAGTGGGAAACGTTTCGAAGATCACCGCTTGGTTGCCGCCGATGCACTGGTGATCACGCTCGTACATATGTTGGACTCTCCCGTAGGAAGGCAATGGGAACAGAAAGCGGAAGCACTTGCTCGAAAACGAATTGATAAGTGGCGCCTCTACCCCCAAAATGGACGATCAGCTACAAACACTTTATACGAGTTTCGATTCCAGCCACTCTCTTTCCAGGATGACCTGTTTCTCGGCGTAATTTATAGTTCAATCGTGGTTTACTTCTTCATCAGCCTCTCGAAACTACGGGCGTTGAAATCTCGACTAGGGCTTATAGTTGCAGTGACGGCTCAGATCGCAGTGTCCATCATGTCCAGTTTCACTATTTGCGCCATTTTCAAGATCGACCTTTCAAAAATCCCGCGTGAGGCCTACCCACTGGTCATTCTCACGGTTGGACTCGAGAACATTTTTAGACTAATCAACGCCGTTATTGTCACGCCGTCGTCAAACTTAACTGCTTCGAGAATCGGGGAAGCCCTTGGTCAGACGGGGCATGTGGCGCTCGCAGGTGTCAGTCAAAACCTTGTGATTCTGTGGATGCTGTCGAAATATGTCTCGCCACAGATCCATGCCTTCTGCACCTTTGCAGCCATTGCACTGTCATTCGACTTCTTTTACTTATTGACGTTCTTCACTGCCGTTTTGAGTGTGGACGTTCGAAGAACGGAACTTAGCGATTCGCTGAACAGAGTAGCAAGCCTTAGCAGACCGGCGTCACCACAGCAGCAACCTAAACAAACTTGGATAGATGCCATGTGGAAAGGAGAGGCCGCATTCTCTACGCGCATCGCTGGGACCGTTGTCATGACTGGCTTCATTTTGATTGCCCAGTGGCACTTTTTCGATAACGAGAGTCTGGGTCAAACTGCTCACCGAGTAGTGCACCTTCTGAAGTCACAGCCACAGCCCCCTCGATCCGCTCAATCGGCAATGCTTTCCGTTGACATCCACCAGGCAAGGACTCCCACAGCTTGGCTTCGAATGCAAGATCATGAAACAGCGCATGAAGTGATCAAGGTTGTCAAACCAAATGCGAATAGCTATATTGCTCGTGTTTATGACCCGCTTGTGATCGTGCTAAATGGATCAGACCGGACGCCGACCCCATTTGGGGTACGCCCATTCTTGCCTGCTGCCTACGACTTCGCAAGAAATCAGTTCGGCGTCTTCCTAATAACAGTCATCGTCACTGTTGCGGCGGTATCGATTTTGATGAACTATCTTCTATGGGACGAATCATCTGAGAATGAGAGCCATAATCGCCCAGATGATGAGCCCCTTTTGTCCGTCAAAAACCTCCATAGTGGCCACAGCCTCGATGTTGTGCTTTTGTCGGCTTCGCGAGATGGAATTATTGCTTCTGTTGGCTTGGATAGGCTAATCCGTATATGGGATGTCCGAAGAGGCGTGATGGGCTACATTGTTCAGGATTTCGAGTCTCGAATCGACCTATTTCCGGTATTAGCCATTGCCATTGATGGTGACTCAAATTGGTTGGCACTTCTCTCTGGCAAAGATCGTGTCTACCTATGGAACATTCCTGAAAGGCGCTGGGGTCCCTCCATGGAAGTGGCAGTGAACGGGCGCAAACCTATCTCATTTTGCTTTGGGTATGACAGTACGGAATTCATCAACCCGCTTCTCGTCATTCGATCCAATGGAAAAATGACTGAGCTTCACGCGGAGAGCAACGAGAGTGTAGAGGTATCGATCTGTCGCAGTCCTTTGGTTTGTGTTCGACAACATTCCGAAAAGCCAATTGCATCTATGCCAAAACCGCCTGATCGTATTGTCACGTCTTCGAGGAAGGGCTGTGTTCACATAGCTTCTCAGCTCGAGACTGGCTGGGTGTCCGATTCTGTTGACATTCCCTGTCCACCAGGAGACCAAGCAATTACCTCAGTCCTACCGCTGCCAGCTCTTAGCTCTTTCCTCGCGGCCAGGACACGTTCCGTTGATCTTGTTGACATCACCACCCATAAGGTCACTCATACCTTCACCACGTCGCCCATGAAGCCAGAGTCCCTCCGCTGCTTTCACTCGACTCGCCGAAGGCCACAATGCGGCTCAGTAGGTTTGGCAAGCCTTGTGATTGCATACACAAATGCAGAAACAGGCAATGTTATTCTTCAATCATATCTCCCAGAACGAGACGGTGACACAATATGTTTCCGAGATCCTTACACGCCCGGAAGCAAAACCTGTTGTTTGTGGAGAGAAACGGTCGAACAAAGGTACGAGATCGAGAACCCGGGCGAGTGGGACGCATTGAATGCTGGCTACCTTGTCGGAGTCAGAAAGCGCGAATCGTCATCGGCGAAAGCAGACCCTTTTCCAATCGCCAACACTGGTCTACGTCGTCGTGGAGGCAACTTACCTCGGCCGCTCACGATAAGGAAAGATACTTCAATAGTGGAAGACGATGTGTGGGAAGTGTGGTCAATATCTGCTCGCGGTGAGAGAACAACTACACCACTATGTGGATATGCTGAGAACGATCATCTCCTTGTTCCTGGTCTGGGTCCTGTGCATAAGATGGGAAGTAGCTCTATTGTTGTTGGGCTCGGCAATGTGATCAAGGTTATCTCGGTCGGAAACGACAAATTCGACGGTGGAGAGAATTCAGCCGATAATGCTCTATTCGTCGGCATGGCAGCCGCGACAACGAGCAGGCGGAAAAAGACTTCTCTGAGCTCTAAGAAAAGTTATTGATTACCGTCGAATGTGTGTATGATGTAAAAAGAGCACAGATCATTGAGGCTCTGTGGCTTGACATAGTTGGCCATTCTGCAATACACGAAATCGCAGGTGGCAGGAAGATTTTCTATTATCACCTGGTATAATGGGTTGGTGGTATCGAATCAGAGGGTATGGCGGGCCTCTGGGAATCCACCACGAATCAAGGATCAAGGAACTAAAGGAAGATACCCCCTGGATTGGTTGTTTTTACGGTTATTTTGATTTTCATTTGTTTTGGGTGGACGGCGTTGTTCTGCAACAGTAACGCAGCCGGGGCGGGTGGCTTGATTTTGTTTGCTTGCTTAACTTACCCCTTTCTTGGGAGGGGCGTTCTGGGAGGGGCATGGATGAATGGATGCATTTATGGCAAGACATTGGCTTGTAGAACAGATAGCATTTCCTTTAGGGGAATAAGGATGGCGCTCAGTGTGCGGAACTGGGAGGGAACTAGTGTGCGTAACATTTTCGGGTGGCTTGGAGAGACCAAGGCAAGGCGAAACATGATTGTTAGGCCTGCCTGTTTTGGTAGGGCCGAATGATGCAGACGCCGCGAAAGCGAAAGCAGAACTCCATGAAGAACCATTATCAAACCTCTGTGTCTTAAACTTTTTTCTCGTCCTCGTCTTGATCGTCGCCATTGGCAAAATGTGTTAATCTATCCACCACCAGTACTACCCCTCACTACGTCAACAAGACCCACTGTCCCTGCTCGTCCCCGGCTCAGGCAGAAGCAATCTCTAGTATCAACAGACGCAGCAGACCGACACAAAGCTCGCAATCAAGGGCTATTTCGGAGGAATTTTGCAACCAAGCAAGATCTACCTTACCTTGGTACTACAAAGGACGAAACACGAAACACGAAACACAGAAGTGTCGATCAAGTAACCGGGCATCTGGTCCTTCCTGATTCCCGTTCTCGACTTCGTCATGGCAGGGGTAAGTGGCTTGGTAGGTTCCTGCATGCACTCTGATGCAATGTTCCGAGCTGCTGATTCTTTGTTTGTTGGACGTTAGACGGTAGGTAACGTTCCATTTCCCCCTGCCTCCGTGTGGATGCCGAAGCGACGAGCACTTCTGCATGATCTGGATAAGGGGAGTGGGTTCTGTTTATGCTGCTGTTGATTTCGCTTCGATTCTCAGGAGGAAGTATTGAATGGTTGGGGCATATCTACTCGCCCGAAGTTATCTCGTTATTTTGCTGCATTTGGCTGAAAAATGTCTCAATGCCTGTTCAGTAACTGTATCCACGACTGATTTAATCTCTACCCCGCATCTGTAGTGTCGTCGGGGTACAAGATGGTGTCTGACAATAAACGGGGTTACAAGAAATCGGGAGGCGTACAGTACCTGCCAAGATATGACACATCTCTCTTGGTCTCCTTCAGTACCTATACACTTTGAACTTTCCATCGAGGTAAGAACGAAAGACTCACATACCCCTTCATACTCACAACCAAACCACTTGATCTTTCAACTCTCCACAAAAGAATCTTCACCGCCAGACGAGATCTCACAGACACAGAGCCCTAACAAACGTCGTCTTGTTACCGAGTACCAGAGTACCAGCATTTCTGTCAGTCTCGATTCACATGAGCTCAAACATCCACACGGACTGTTCCTCCTCTCCGAAAGAAAAGGACCGTCTCGGTGTGGAAAATGACCTCTCGCATCCCCGGATCTGTAGATTCCCGTCTTGCACTTTCTTTCTAGGCCGGGTCCTCGCACCTTCCTGTCGGTGAAGAGGATCGCTCATGTAAGGAGCCGAGTACCTGGACTGATCTACTCCCTTCAACCCCTTCACTAGCGCATAAGAGATAAGACGTTTGACCTTAGACTGGGCTTCAGATTCTGTACCCCTCGTTCCATTGCATCATTGAATCCTTTCAGAGACGGCGATGTGTACGAAGCGGAGTCCCCTATAAGTATCGTCCCCAGATACTGAAATCGAATTTGGGCACCACCAAAGCGATTGCTTCCCAGTATCCCTCAAAGAAGCCAAGAATACGAACCGATCGATCAGTAGACAGAATACACCATGCGTCTCTCAATTTACTCCGTCTTCGCGATCCTCAGCACAGCGGTCTTCGCTCACCCCGCTACTGAGGCAGCACCTCTCCAGGCTCGAACTAATGGCTGGGCTATCAAGAAGTAAGTCTTCTCCCCTCAGCATTCCTCCCTGTCTGGCTCCTCCCCTTTCAGTCATTCCCTTCTTTCTTCACACAAACTCTCCTCTCTTTTCCCTCCCTCAACACAGTACCAAACACCGTCCAAGTCATGCAAACCTCAAGGCAGAACTCATACTAACCCTCTCTCCCCACGCACAGCTTCACCCGAACCAGCTCCTCCCCCTCATCTCCAGTAACCTACACCCTCATCCTCGACACCTACGGCGCTCTAACCAACTGCACCCTCACCGACAGCACCAACCCCGCCTGGTACCACGCTTGGTACGATCTCCCCTGTAACAAAGACACTGGTGCTCCGTACCATTTGTCCTGGGGCTGGGACTACCCTGGTGACTTCACGGTGTTGACAGTTGAGTCGTTCCCGCCGAGTGGGCCGAGACAGAAGGTGTACTTTGGGTATGATCATCCGAATGCGAAGCTGCCGGGTACGGTGTACTATCCTGATCAGGGGTATAATGCGCCGCAGTAGAGGGTAGAGAGAGGAAGGGGAGGGTGAGGGATATGATGGAATGAGATAAGAGATGACCAGGATTTGAATAGAGAGAGGAAAAAAAAATTATGATCAACTGTGGAGTGGTGAAATTAGCTTGAACGAATGAATGCATGCATGGATGTCAACAGAAAACATCTCCAGCGGTTAGGTGATGTCATTCTCAGAAAGTTACTTAGGATTATACCAAGCATAATATTATATCCCTCTTCACCACTTGGCCTTGCTGTAACAGAAGAAGGTTGTCCAACATACACAACTCGATGGCGCATCTTGTATAAGTATACTGAATGCTTCGTGTCGAGAACCCTTCAATGCACGCTCTGGAAGTGCGACGCGAGTTTCATTGTTTATGCCCCTTAGATGTTAACCGAGACTACCCATAGTCAGATAGGAGCTAAGCGATGAACAAGAGCAGAAAATTCTCAATCTTCGGCAACATGTAGTTGCACTATCGTACATGCAACACAGTTTTGTTGGCACAAAGTCTTTTAAAGAGGGAGTACTTTGAGAAGCATTATTTTCGGGAATGGTGGGACATCCACTGTACACTACATACTTTGAGTACTTCAGCTCACATACAACTCAAAAACTGTAAATGGTAGCATCTGGGGATGTGTGGCCCTCATATCTCCATGTCTGGTACCTCGACCGATCAATAGCTCTGATAGGCACGATGAGGTCACGTGGAGTTGAGCTCAGTTCGAGAATTACTGCTTTTTTACTCTATAGTAACGGAGGATTTTTGGCCTACAATCTAGATGCAGGAAGATGGAGAAATACTTTGCCAACAAGCTCTTCTCTCTTCAAATCTCTCCACAGAAAACCACGCCTGGAATCGGTACAAGGGTAGGAGCTTAGAGAGAATGAGGCGTCCAAAGTGGTGGCCACGAAGCACCAGATAAGTGGCTGGATAAATGAAGATCGTTTTGCCGTTTCTTTCCCGTGTGTCTGGTGATGGCCACTTAAGTAGCACCTTTCTCCGACCGTGTCACCAAACTTGACCCTGGTAGGAGCCAAACCGCAGGTGCAGGTGGGGGATGAAAATGGCGCATATCTGTCGGGCGTAGTGCCAAGGACCTATGCTTGAGAGGTTAAGGCCTCATAGGGTCATATAGCATGCAGGATGCAAGCACGAAGTCAAGGAGGTTTGAATGTGGCTTATATCATCATTTCGTAGGCTGGGATTTTTGGGAAAGTTTGTATCACTACTGAGGTACTGGCGATGAATACGTGATCGGCGAATCCTCACTTATGCAGGCTACCTCCATCCATGAATGGATCGCGGCGGAGAGGGACCGCAGGATACTCCGAGCAAATGCATCTTACGGGAAATATTGCCTTCCGACGATCAATGTCTAATGTGATGGCATTGAATAAGCACGGATCAAGGCCTGAAAAGGTATTGTGGCCTGTTCCGAGCCACTGAATTTAGCTGTCACGTCTTGTGTCTTGGGCTGAAGGTTGAAATGATTAGAAGGCTAGTTGTGTTCATTCCTCCAGCATTCAAGAAGAAACAACCAGTCTCCTGACTTTGGATTGTAGCAAAAGTATATCGTCCCATTCATACGGATACGCTCCAAAGCTCCTAAGTGGTACGCTCATGGCTCTTGCTTGAAGATGCTGGATTTTGGTCTCAGATTCGCTTCTCAGCTTCACGTTACAAAGCACATGAACTTGAATCGAGTCATTATCCGCCATTAGTAAATGAAAGGTGGAGTACGCTGAAGAGTTCAGATACATAAAGACATCGTGAGCCGACCTGGCCATTTTCATTGCCTTGATCTTTCTCACGACAATGTTCTTTGTAATACTACTGCTGGTTTATGTGAAGAGCTGTTCAAGTTTGGCGAGAAATGAAAGGAGCTGGAGTCATCCTGACCAATGTTTCGCTTACTTGAAGTGCAAATGGCCCGAATAGGATCTTGCCATCCCACTAACGATACCAACCCATGTACATGACATAACTTATTTCAATCCATTATTCTAAAACCAATCTGTGGCCTCTATTCCTCACAAAATAGCTACTAAGGACTGCAAAGGCTGCTTGATCGAGCTTCAGCATGCAACGAGGCGCTTGCCAACAGCATTGAGCTTCCGCTGTAAGGCGGCAAGTAGAAGCGGTTCGGGCAAGGAATATCCATCAACACGCTAAGAGCTACTTGAGAGCTTGTGGCACGCGTATTGGAAGTCTTAGATAGTGCCGAGCCTTGTATCGCCTCGTGCTAATGCTTTTCGTCCGGCTGCACACGAGGTGCAACGCGAGACTACGCCTTCCGTGCCCTCGCAATTAGACCTACAACAAAGCTAAATGTAGCATATGGCAGGCTTTTGTATCCCTGCTTACTTACATTGCTAAGGAAAGATCAGCTGGGAGTGTGTAGTTGATTGATTGACCTTCCCCACCAAAGTACGGATGCGCACAACTCGAGTGATGCTGCAAAGACATTTGTAGAGCGTATTATTTTTTACCAAAGTCGCTGCCGAATCTCTCGCGTCATCTGTAAGTTGTTCAGCCAATGAAAGGAGGAAATCCATTGCTGTTTCGACCATCTGATGCGCAGTTAGCTCTGGATTTGACAAGCTTGAAGGAAAACTGGAGTATCTTCCTGCTATTTTCCCAGAATATGGGCACATTTGCCAGCCGAAAGACATGGCTTCTATGCAATTGAGTTCATAGTCACCATTTTTGAGAACTACGTCTACCGGTGAACGATTTGATAAACAGCTGCTACATGCAGAAACCTGCATATATTGATATGCATTTGTGTGATGCTCGATTATCGCGAACACGCCATGTTTGTGGGACAACTTGGGGCAGGAAGGCAACTGCAGTCTTGCCCTGAAACATTTCCAATCATGAATTCTGCATGCGTTCTTTGATCGGTCTAACCCACCAATTATACATTGCCGCACACCTCCCCAACTAACTAACGAAAGAACATAAATTAAGGGTGGCGGGACCATCCCCCGATCCAATTGCCCATCTCCCACTCTTCTCAGCAAGCATTTCAGCTTCTCACAGTCTGCCTTGTGTTCGTCTCAGACCGAGTACAGCTCGCCAGAAGTCTGCTTAGAACTCTGGGTTCCTCCGTCACAAAGTAAGTCTACTACCACCATAGATGCTCGGCACTCTTAACCGACGAGCATACTGATATCACGTACCAGTCAAGACACAGACTGTCAGTCTCACTTACCTGCCAAACCACTGAACATCCTCATTCTTGCTCAAGTCGCAATGACGGCCGAAGATGTCCCCGACGACAAAGCCACATCCCGTTCCGCCTCGCCAGCATCTGACAAAGGGGAAAACTCAGCAAAGGAATTCCAGGTCTCGAAAAGCATTTGGGGCCAGAAGATCGGAGCTAAAGAGGAGTCCGACACGCGTGCCCGACCGTGGAAGAAATTCTTTGGAGAGCCAGAGGCGGTCAAGGACGAGAATGGGGAGGATTGGATTGATTATCCTGCGATTTATGACGTGTCGAAGAAGGGAATTGCGGAGTGAGTAACAGGCGATGTCAGAGTTTCTTTGACGTGGTTGAAAGGTGACTATGGTTTGCTGGGTTTGATGAATGAGGGGGTTTGAAATCATAAATTCATGGCAGTGCAGACTTTCATTGGAATGATTATTGAGACCATCTAGTAGTTGTTTTCATGAAAATTTTGGAGGAATCTACACTCAGACACGATCTGTGATTATCAAAAACCTTGCCTCAAAGCTTTCTCGGGGAGGCGCATCCTTTGGAATCTGTCTGTGAAGAAATGAAGTGTGAAATGAACCTTCAGAAGTGTCAGTAGGCTGTCAGGAGTTGTTCACCAGTAAGGACTCGCGTGTAGCTGCCATACCGCTAGCCGAGTCGAATATCTTGAAAATATGAAGCTCGTCCGGTCTCTGATGATTGAGATAGTACCATTTGTGCTTCGGCGCGTAGAGACCATACATGGTGTTTCCGTGGTATAGTTTGGTGATGTGATCCACCTCTACAACGTCTTCCTCGTCGATTGTCTCTCCGTCGCAGAGTGCCAGAGGATTGTCAACTACCTCATGATACAGTGGCCGCCATACACTGCCAGCTGTCAGCTAAGTGGAATGGGGTTCCTACTATGTATATAGCAACAGACGTACTTGATAATTCGGAGTCGGCCTGCTAGGGCTCTGTTGACTTGATCGGGTGCGTGATACTTGAGGCGGTTCAAGGCCCCGGTAGGACTTTGGTCTAGTCTGGTGTTAGGAATCCACTGTGAAGCAAGTACAGAATTAAAAAGAAATTCTAACCACAGTGAACTTGCCTCCAGGGCTCGAGTAACTGCATCTTATCATTGACATTGATTCGTGATTTTTGAAGTGGTGCATTCTTCCTCCTCTGTCCTGTGTTCAGCCCAACCCCGCTTGAGGACCTTATGGGGGAAGTGAGCATACCCCCCAATCAAAGCAATAGATAAAATCAACACCATCGACTTCCTTCTTGAGAAGCTTCTCGATGTGCGGAACATATTCATTGCGAACAGCGTCTTCGGTCTGAAGATCTGTTTCAGGCATATCCTGCCTCCGAACCATGAATCCATTTTGATCCAACGTGAACTGACCCTCGATACCCCTCAGATCTTTGACAGCTTCTTCAGGTGCGTTCCAGAAAACTAGGTTTGTAGGTCTCCGATTTGGGAAGTCGGGTGGTATCTGAGAGAATATCTGGAAGGGCTTCTCGTGTTTGTAAAGTTCTTGCCACTGTAAATAGCTGAACGAAACCATCACATCGCGCGTTTCAGGCATCGTGTCTCAGTCTCTGTTGATACAATTTCGATGGATGCTTACAAGTTCTTCTGTTGGGCCTGATAGAGTGCTCCATGTTTGCATTACAGCTCCTGATTTAGGCGAATTCGGGCACCTGGTGCCCAACCTAAAGTCCGGAGACATGTGAGCCTCGAGTTTGTGGCACTGGAGCTCAAGGGTGGCAGTATCCCTGATATGTGCATATCCATGAAGATTCTTCAGGCTTGTGATGAGGGACACTCGGGGCCATAAAGCACATTTGGGAGGGCAAGGCTGGGTGATCCCAGTGAGGAGGAGAAAGACATGAGTGTGGTTGTGTTACATTGCACTTTATGTCCGCAATATCTGGGGTATTACTGCAGCTCCGTTGGCCTACTCTACCACGCTTAGTAGTACACAACATGGTCCTTCTTGCTAAAGTCAGCCAATCGTGTTCCCCCGGAGTTCCAGACGCACAAGTGAATCATCACAGCCCCTACTTCTTGTACTAAGAAACCACCCTCTGATAAAAGTGATTCAGAGCCTTCCGCCTCTGTGTCGGAAAAGTTACTGTTAGCGACTTTGGGAACAAAGGAGAACACAGCGTGCTTACGGATCAAGAGCTATTGGCTGTTGATAACCCACTGGACTGATCGTTTCCGGAATGATACTGAACCATTCCCCCTCTGGTACATCCAAATCATGCACCCAGCGTAACTTGCCAACTTGACCATTCTCGCTTTCCGCAAAATGAAGGATGAAGATTGAAACATCAAGATCTGGCCATCTGCCAACCATTCTGCTCTCTTCTTCTGATAACAGCCAGCTGAAGACATCGACGGCGTGAGGTACGAGGAAATGTGTCTGACTTGGGAGACCTTGAAAGCTGAGGAACAGCTGCTCGGTGCCATTTCTCTCTGAGACTCCAATCTGAATATAGAAGTTGTGTATTTCATTGTAGTATTTACCGACGTAGTCTGTGAGAGGTCGAAAGCTTCTGTTCGATGTTCTTGTTTTCGCAAGCTCCCTCGGCATATCCGCCCACAGCGCTGCGTACTTGGCCGAGCTCTCTTTTGCCAAGTCGATGTAGTCGTTCTTCTCGGGGCAGTCAATTGCAGCTTCAAGCAGGAGCTGTCCGATCCAATCTGCACAGTCGTTCGTAGCAAAGGAGTTCGTGAGAACAACGATGATAACTCCCGAGTCAGGTACTATATATACTGAGCTGAAGAAGCCAACAAGACTTCCATTGTTGTACCAGACTTTCTTTTTTTGCCCACCCTTGCCAACTACAGGCATCTCGGGAACCAGCATCCCGTTGATGCCAATTGCACCCACTGGGGCTGGCAGTTCTACAACCGCCCATCCTGCACCGTATGATTGCTCGTACTTAGAGTCGTTCTCCATGGGGATGTGGCCTGTCACCAACTGTAAAACATTCTTGAGCGGTGTTCTGGGGGGTCCTGGACTCGCTGTTCCTTTTTCACTCCTCCAACCTTGAATGATGGCGAAGTAGTACTTCAAAAGATCATTGACGCAGGTCTTGACAGCGTTTGCACCAGCCATCACCGTACCTGAAGCAATGTGGGGTCGACCGATGAGAGTTTCTTCTCCAGCCAAGCCCGCGAAATATCCCTCAGCGTAATTTTCAGCAGCTATATCCATGGTTGCAGTTGTACGGTCCAGCTTCAGTGGCTTGAGGATACTCTCATGAACGAAAGAGCCGTATTTCATGCCAGAAACTTCTTCAATGACAGCTGCCCCAATATCATAACCGAAGTTGTTGTAGAGGAACGTCGATCGGAACGGGTGGACAGGCTCGAGATACGAAACGAGAGGCAGGACATCTGAGAAGTCGACGAGGAGATCTTGGCCATCCTCAGCCCATAAACTCTGTTTCGAAGCCAGCCCAGTCCGATGAGCCAGAAAGTCCAAAGTCGTTGCCTCTGCGTTGACGGTTGTGTTATGCTGAGAGAACGTAGGCAGTATCTCTCGAAGGGGCTGGTTTAGATTGAGCTTTTTATCGTAGGCCAGTATACCCAGGGCAGCGGCAGTGAAGCTCTTCGATAATGAAGCCACATGATAGATCGTGTCGGCGTCTGGGGCAAGCTTCTTCTCTCTGTCACGATAGCCAAAGCCGGCGCTATATATTGTCTCTCCCTCGTGACTTACCCCGACGGAAGCGCCAGTGCAGCTGGAGATTGCCATCAATTCATTGATGACTGGCCCAAGCACCTGGATCCGCGCTGCCAGAGAAGTCATCTTCATGCCCGAGGAGTCGTCGTTGTTGTCGCTTCTGAAGTGGTTATAGGAGTGATTGTTACAGAGTCGCAGTCGTCGCCACCGTCAACCTAAATTGAAGGGAGAGGCGTTAATACCAATGCTGACAGAAGCAGGCCATCAACCGTGGGCAGGTACGAGACAGTATACCGCAAGCGATCACTGTAGGACAACGAGCTGTGCATCCTCATATCCCGAGCAGTCAAAAGCAGCAGTGACAAGAAACTGATCTACCTATAAGGTATCAAAGACGCAAGAAATACAGTAAATAACCACGTCACTAACTAAGAGTTTAAGGCAATTCACCTTTCCTGCATTTACCTTATCGTAGGCAGGCATGTATCCGGTTCATCCAATTGCCTTCCGTGAGGCTGCCTGTAGATTTAGGTTCTGAGCAGCGCAGTGAAGCAAAGCTCGGTGGGGAGGGGAGGCGCCGGAATGCGCCAGGATTAAAGTAGCCTGATTCAGCCGTTTGTAGCGCCGGAAATCATGCATGTCTTTGTCTCGTGTAACATCACCCATGCAGCACGCAAACAGCTGTGCAAAAAGCACATTCCCATCTCGTATCTCGGGCGGGGCGCGTTCAACAGCGTTGGCCTACAGTACCAAGCCAGAGTGGAGTCACCTGTGATCAGGCGAACGATGCCCCTCACTCACTCACGATGGCTGCCCGATGAGGCTGACCGCTAAGAGCAGCCATTCCTCGTGCATCTATATGAATGGTAAAAACTCTGACTTTGCTGATGACGCGAGCACACACCCATTTATTGAGTAGTATCGATCCCTTGCATTGTATCCGAATTCTGCATCACTTCGATGGCCAGTGCGTAGACTATTCGAAAGCTACATGAGCTGTTGTGTTGACACAGTGAAACACTTCTCAAAACGACCCTTGGGTAAGTAGCCTCGCACCTTCCCTAGTGATATCATTACACTCACCTTGAGGCAGCAAACTTTCTCCGCGGTCTTGTAAGTTCAAAATATGACAGCAAGCTCCAAAAAATCATGGTGCAGATCGCAGATAATGAGAGAGCGTTTCTCCGGGACATCGAACAGACCCCACGCGAAGCGGATACAGCTCGCGCTCTGGATAATGCTCAGAGACTCGGTGCGATTTCGACAACCCTAGGAGTGCCTGCTCTGATGGAGCCAGCTGCTCAATATCAGATCCGGTTCCCCGTCACCACCGTGACAATGAGGCAGAATGCAATCTTCACGGGGCGAGATACAGACATAGTGACAATCCATAACATTTTAGATCCTTCGAAGCGAAGTCCGTCACTCTCTCCTCTCTGTGTCGTGGTGCATGGACTCGGGGGCCAAGGTAAGTCTCAACTTGCCCTTGAATACACCTACAGACACCGTCAGAGCTACGACGGGATATTCTGGTTGAGTTCAGGAACCGAAAACGGACTTGAGATCTCGTTCGCAGAGATTGCTAGAAAGGTACGACGAGCTGAGAATGGAGGCAGAGAAATTAGAGCTACCAGCCCCGAAGGGGAATTAGCTTCCGACATTGAGTATGCGCGAGATTGGCTGGAGGGCACGAGTAAGGCGAAATCTTAGATCTACCGAGCTTCATTGACTTCCGAAATAGACCGTCGATGGCTACTCATCTTTGATAACCTCGAGGACGCTGATCTTGTTGATAAATTTTTCCCAGTCAATCTAGCTGGGCATGGATCTATCATAGTTACTACACAAAAGGCGCACATGTCACCATTGACGAACGACTTCAAAAAGATGCCTCTAAGCCCTTTGATTTCCGATAGTGGTTCAGATTTGCTCTTCAGAATCCTAGACAGAGGCCCCAAGGACGACTCGGAGGAGATTGTGATGCATGAAATCTCAACATGGGTGGGGGGCCTTCCACTAGCTCTTGTCACCCTTGGAGGCTACATGAAGGTCTCAGAATCTAGTCCTACAGAACTGTTCGAAAGTTTGAAAAGATCATCAAACAGTTGGGTAAGCTCTGGAGAAGGCACTGTCCGGAATTATGACAAAACCCTAGCTACGGTATTTGACATTGCCTTGGGAGAGTTGAGTGAGAACGCCAGACATCTTGTTGATATTCTGGCGTACCTCAATCCAGATCCCGCCGAGAAACACTGCCCGCGGGGTCTCACCTCGCAATTCGCCGGTCGCTCCAAATGAACATCCTTCACGGACTGAAGAACGATAAAGATTCCGAGAAGAGGCAGCGCATCTTCCATGAAGTATTTTCCATGATCGAAGCCGTCCTACCCCCCTCTTCCCGGCTCGCACAAAATGAAAAGGACATCTGGCCAAAGTATAGGATATATGTCCCACAAGTCATCAGCTTACGCCAGAACTCGCAGTGCCCCGATCCACCCCTTCTACTTAATCTTCAGTTCGCGAGAATGCTGGCAAATATAGGGACGTACCTATGGCATACGGGAAGATACAAAGATTGTGCAGCAACTATGACAACGGCAGAAACAATCATGCGGGCGCAGGATGTAGAATTCCAGCCAACACCTGAATGGGAGGAGCTATTGAGCGACATATATCTTGTAGCGGGTATTCTAGCAGACTGCATCGGCGTCAGCAAACGAAAGGAAAGTTTAGAACACCGCCAGGTATTGCTGAGGCTCCGACAAAATGAACTCGATGCGATTCCCGTAGGTAAGCGAACGACAGACGATGAGATACGATGGGGTAATGCAAAGGGAGACCTTGCTTGTGCTTATATGCAGCGTGGGAGGTATAGCGAGGCAAAAGAAATCATGGAGGAGCTGGTTGTCTGGTTTCGAAAGTGGGGCTCCGAGACGGAATTCCCGTATGAATGGTGCAAATACTACTCATATTCGGCGTACATGTTAATGGTCGAGGGTCATGTCAATAAGGCAATAGAGTTTGCAAGGAAGGGGCTAGTGCTGGAGACTGCCCATGCTGGTGGTGAGGATGAAACCGTTTTGTCAAATCAGTACTGCCTCGCCTCGCTTCTCTTCAACGCTGGGGAGGTGGAAGAAGCGCTTGATTTGCATATGGATACCCTTCAAAAAAGGGTAAAGCTATGTGGTGAAGATTCACAGTTGACTTTGGAGAGCTACGAGGCTGTAGGGATTATTCTGCATCTACACGGCAGGGACACCGAAGCAGAGTAAGTTTCAAGGTTCTTCACCATTAGGTCCACGCATGTCTCATAACAAAGCACAGAGATCAATTCAAAAAATGTCTCGCGAATCGCAGCCGCGCAAACTGGACAGTCGAAGGCATCGCCCGAGCCCAATTCTGGCACTCCAAGGTTCACAAAAAACTTGGAAATGACGATGCGGCAGAGAAAGAGCTTAAAGCAGCACGAGCAGTAAAACAACAGTATCTCGAGATATATCAAGAATTCTTAGTTGATGATCCGGATGACGAGGCAGCTGTTTTTGACCAAATGGTGCCCATGTGGAGCATGGCCACTACTGGACCCCTCGCCAGAGGTGGAGCCAACAGAAATGTCACTAACTGAGCAAGACTTCTGTGGGCCATGATTGGATCTTCTGTGTAGCGGCGGTGTGATGGCTCACATGGAGGGGACCAATTATGTACGCCGACCTTCCATGGTACATACTTGAAGGAGCATGATGCACCTCATATATTCCAACTTGTCCATTTCTGGTCCCTATGCACTCGTCCCGAGCCGTAGAGTTCCCTCGAAGCAGGGTCGACAAAGATTACATGATGCCATGCAAACAATTTCCCAACAATGCAGATTATACTCTACCGATGGCGTTTAATGAAGTCGATGATGACGGACATACACTGTTGTAAATATCTGGGACGGTTTGGCTGGCAGTTGAGAGTTCGGGATCTAGAGTTCAATTTATTATTGATCGCTGATAATGAAATGAAGGTGAAAATGAAGTCTGTTCCTAGCAATGGTGAATGTGCAGTTTCTTTTTGCATTCCTAGATATCTTGGTTTCTGTTTATACTTCAAGGACACGGAAAATCGATCAGTGTTCCCCTGCGCTTTGGCGTTTGGATCCCTCTTCAATGAGTATTCCGATAACATCAATTAGGCAACTGAGCACCCCTCATCAGACGATCAAAATTTAGCCAGAGGGTAGTCTGCTCCAAGCGTCCTAGCGTTGGAACGAGCTCTCTGAAAGCACTCGAAATGTTTGTTTGGTTGTTTTGCTGTTCACTGGCTGTCTTGGCTCGGCTAACATGAGATAGATAGCTTAAGTGTGGTAGATCTACTCGAGCTTTTCGGAGCTTTTCGAGGTACAGAGAACTACTCTTGCAAAATATCGCAATTGAAAGGAACGTCAATTCAAGAGACGAGATACTCAGAAGGTGAGCAATGCAAAGTTGATCGGCACAGCACGTGACTTTATGCGTTAAGTAAAATCTTTGTGCTCGTCCCAGATGAATACTTCAGTCATAGTACACAATTTCGCTCGGTTGTATTGATTCTAGTTGAAATTATTTGGTTTCTGTCCAGGTGTTGTGTCACCGATAGCCATTATCGTCAATCCGACGTAAGAGTCATCAACTCCTGACAAGTGACAAGCCACTTGTTCATATCTGGAAGCTTGTAATGTCCGGCAGAGGCGCAAGTACCTGAAATTTGACTAAACCCTTGAAAAAGGAGTATCTGAGTGAGATGTGACTCTTCTGGGTCTTGCAGACCTGCCAGATGACGAACTCAGACAATTCTCTTATCCTTAGCGGCCGCGCGGTGTAATATGTAATTGGCTGCCTACCTTATAGTGTTAGTTAAGAGAGGTTTAGCCCGGAACGTATTTTTGCCTTACTAAACCTACCTGACGTAGTGCTCCTTTACTACACTACCTTTTAATACTCTTATAACCTTTATAGAATATAAAAATAGTAATTAAAATATAGCAGATTTATTTATTTAGTTAGAATTAGTATTAGAAGTATAGTTATAAAGCTAGAGATAAGTACTTTAAAGAGAGAGAGGATACTAAGGAAGAGGAAACTAGAGCTAGATTTATATAATATCTAGGAAAGAATAAGAACTTAATATATAAAGAATCCTAGGAGTATATAAGATAGTATAAAACTAATAAAGAATATAATTATATTTTATTAGCTAAGAAGCTATAAGATAGACTCGTTAGAGCTAAGATCTTTACTTAGCTTGATTTATAAGAAGTATATAATCTTATTAAAATAGCTACTAAGAGTAAAGAAGAGAAAATAGTATTTCGTACTTATTTTAGTTACTATAAGTATATAGTTATACCTTTTAGCTTAACTAATATACCGGCTATATTTTAGTATTTAATTAATAATATTTTATAGCTTTACTTAGATATAATATATATATATATACTATTTAGATAATATACTAGTCTACTCTAAATTAGAAAAGTAATATATAAAAGATATTATAGCTATCCTTTAAAGATTAGAAGATATCTACTTATTACTTAAACTAGAAAAGTATAACTTCTATATAAATAAAATTATCTTCTTAAGCTATATAATTACTATTATAAGATTAGCTATAGATCCTAAAAAGATTAAAGTAATTATTAAGTAGATAAGGCCTATAAATATTAAGAAAGTATAATTATTCTTTAAGTTTACTAACTTCTATAAGCGATTTATTAAAAACTACTTAAAAATCACTAGGATACTTATAGAATTAACTTATAAGGATAAAGAATTCCACTAGTCTAATAGTATATAAAAGGCGTTTAAAGTACTTAAAGTAGCTTTTATCACGGAACTAATACTTACTTCCTTTACTTCTGATAAAGAAATATATATAAAGATAGATTCTTTAGATTACGCTATTAGAGCTATACTTAGCTAGCTAAGCGAGGATAGAAGATAATAATTAGTTACTTACTATTCGCGGAAACTATTACTAGTAGAACTTAACTATAATATATATAATAAAGAATTACTAGTAATTATAAATATAATATATAAATAGAAAGTCTACTTTAAAGGCGTTACTTATAAAGTATAGATCTTAATAGACTATAAGAATCTTTTTTAGCTACTAGCTATCTTCTATCTAATATACTTATAGTTCTTATAAACTACTTTATACTTTACCTCTTATAGTAGACCTCCTAAGCTAATAAGGCCTAGTTCTTAATAAGTAACCCTAGTAGCTATATTAGTCTAGTAGTAAGTATTATAGCTAACTTAATATAAGCTCTCTTCTCTTTAAGTAACTTCCTAAGTTTTATTTACTTTTAGCTCTAAAAGTTTAAGTTAAAGTAGCTTTAGTTCTAGAGTCTATTCTAGTTCCTAAGCCTCTTTCTTACTATTACTTAGTATTAGCTCTATATTATTATCCGGCTTAGAGCTATTATTATCTTAATATATATAATCCTTAGAGAGCGTACTAATAATAATTCGCTTAAGCTAATCTATAATACTTATAGAATCTTACTTACTATTATTAGAGTTATTTAACTAAGTATAGATATAATTCTCCTTAAGCTTATTAATAGTTATATATTAATATATTATAGCGAGATATTATATTAGTTTATTATAAAAGCTATACTCTATTATATTAGTATATTTTCTATTTACTTATAACTTCTTTTATTAATAAGAGCTAGCTATATAATTAAGAAAGCTATACTTAAAGTATACTAGCTTCTTCTCTTATTACTTACTTATAACTTTCTTAAATAGCTTACTACTATATAGCTTTCCTTAATAACTTAGCTTCTAGAATATTATATTAAGTTCTATTTCCTAAGAGTAGAATAGTTTTTTATTATTACTTCCTTTTCTTTAATATATATATTTTAAAGTAGTATTAGCTTTTTCTCTTAAGTACTTTCTTATAATTTTAGTTATTAATCTTAATAGCTATCTTAATAAGTTCTTATAAGCTAGTAAGTATATCTGATCTTACTATCTTATCTTTTACTTTATCTTTTAACTCTTTATAATATTATACTTAAAAAGTATTATTATTTTAGCTAGTTTAATTCACGAATTATTAGAAAGTAGTAGTATATATAGTTACTAACCTAACTTATTTTAAGTTTTATATTAGTAAAAAGATCTGGCTCCAGGTAGCCGCCGGCTAGCCGCTAAAAGCGCTATTTTCGCGATTTTTAGCCTAAGTTATATATCAATTAATTTAATAGCTAGCGACTCCTAAGGCCGTATATAATAATTTTAGCCGGCGCCCTTAGCGCCCTAGGCGCCTTCAACGTTATAAGTACTTATAAGCCTAATTAGGACTAGCGTATAAAATAAAAGTAGGTCCGATTTTTTATTTATTATATAAGGTATATTAGTAAGCTTACTAAAAGCTTTAATAATACTAAGAATACTAAGGATACTAAGGATACTAAGGATACTAATAAGAGTATACCTTATAAGAGGTATTATTAGGCTTATATCGCCCGATTAGGTAAGGCGGCGACTCACCCTTATATAGAATTTACCCGAATTAAATTATAAGCTTATTAGCGATTTTTTAGCGTAGATATTTATAGCGTTAAAGGCTTAGTGAGACTAGTTTTAAAGATATATGTAGAAAGTATAGGTCTTTTTAAATTCTTAGTTAAAATCCACGCTAGTCTAACTATTTTTAGTTAGTTTAAAATCTAAAAATAAACCTAACTTTTAATTTTTAATTCTAATTAAAAATGTTATATCTTTCCTAATTAGGTCTAGCTTATGTATAAAAGTAGGTCTTATAAAAGGCGCCTAAGGCGTATAAGACAGCCTTTTATTATTTAAGGCCGATATACGACGGCCTCTTATATTTTAAAGCGCCTTAAGCGTAAAAAGCGACTATTTAGTGAAAACAGCGAAAATAGTGTTACGGACCCCTTGGCGCTATAGTTCAGTTAGCACCTATATAATAATAAAACTATTAGTAGTACTATAGGGGCATTAGTACTAATAAGGGAGCAGTACTATCGATAGGGTAGTACTAGCTAGGGAATAGTACAGGATAAGCGAGTAGTACTACTATACACTCACGCTTCGGTAGTAATAGTTACTTAGATTATAGTAGATGATAAGTCACGTGATAGATCCCTAGATCTTTAGATCCCCTTATAGGAAAACAGATCTAAGGATCTAAGGATCTAGTATCTTAAGGGATCTAAAGCGAATAAAAGTTCTATATAAGACTAGTATATCTACTATTAGATAAGAGCTTTATACTTAACTTTAAATAGTATTCTAATACTTAGTAACTATCTTCTTATTTATATGATATACCTACCTCTCGATTATTAGAGATTAACTGTAGCTTTCTATATTTATAGTAAGTAAATACCGGACTATTACACTTTAAGCACCTTCTTATTAGAGGTACTAACTTACGAAGATAATATATCCTCTGTTAAAGGATCGTTAAACGACTACTTAGCTCCTACTAAAGTCTTCGACTTAAAGAATATACCTAAGATCGCTACCCCGGATCTCTATAATAGAGACCGATCTAAGCTTAGAGTATACCTCACGTAAGTTAAGCTTTATATAAGCTTTAATAGTTACTAGT